ACACATTGACATCAGGACTCACTTTATCAGGGACCACATTGGATCTGGCTCTATCAATTTGGAGTACTTGAGCACTGGAATCATGGTTGCTGACATGTTCACTAAAGGTCTTGCTGCTCCTCAATTCATAGAGCTAAGAAAGCTTTGTGGTATGGTGACTTTGAATTGAGAGAGGGTGTTGAGTTGACAATCCAAAGTTATGTGGTTAGTCATTGTTCATGGAACCTTCTAGAACTTATGGAACATTCTAGAGCTTATGGAACCTTCTAGAACCCATTGAGATTAATATAAATATGGGCCATGCCCCCCATAGTCTGAGTTTGTCCTTTATATAATTTAGATAGTTAACAAGTAAAACAAGTATAACAAGGGAATAAATATTATTGAATATTATTGTTATCAATGTCTTTTGTAACTAGAGTTACAAAACTACAACAATATTTGGTGCTGATGTCTTTTTGGAGAGTATTAGGCCAGGTTTGACACGAGTTCCCAATTTTAACGCCTAGATATTGGATTTCATAATTATTGTCAGCAATATCTATTTGGAAGTCGGACTGGAATGGTATTTGATCGCATGGAACAATTAATCTGGATTTGCTTTTGTTTAATTTAGAACCACTGACTTGTTCGAACGCCTGAATTATCTTCATAGTGTTTTTGAAGTCATTATGATCTCTCAAGAATAAGGTAACATCATCTGCATAGGCAAGGTATTTGACTCTGGGGATGATGTTTGGTTGGATCTTATGGTTGTAACTGAATCCTTTATTTAATCCTTGGATGGCTCTTAGAAAAGGTTCAAGGGCTAACGCGAAAATTGTTGGTGAAAGTGGGTTGCCCTGAAGGGTTCCGTTTCTTAATGGGAAAGAAGGGCCTGTAATGTTATTTAGGCAAATGGTTCCGAGGGCTTTGGTAAGGATAGCGTGAATTGTTTCCGTCATTTTTCCAAAATTGAGTTTTCGAAGTAATATTTTAAGGTGCTGTGTGTGTAGACTATTTTTTTTTTTTTTAAAGACAAAATTCAATATATTAATTAATTATATAACTATATATCTCATAAACTATCTAATGTAGTTTGAAAATTAAAGTATTAAGGGAAAACCATTAATGGTGAAAAACCCTATTATTGTGAAAAAATGTTTTTATGCGTTTTTAGGGTTTTTAATTGTTGTTTTTTTTTTTGATTTTATTTTTTTTTGATTTTATTTTCTTGTTTTTCCCCACCTATTTTTTCTTCTCCGCTTGAAAGATATTGCTTTCAAGCAAGAAGATCATTGAATCAACGGCCATATGACAATTGAAATGCCTTTTGGATTTCAATCTTGATAATTTTCGTTGGAAACCTAGATATCTATCGATCGTTCTGGTTTCGTTCATGTTTGTGGCAGGGGTAATGATTGTTTGCCAGGTTAATGGGATATTCAAGTCAATTTTTTTCCAAAGTTTCTGGGCCAATGGACATTCAATAAGATGGTGCTTCATGATTTCAAATTGGATTTCCTTTGGGGCATATTGGGGTTCATCATATCTGGTTAATTTTTTGCTGCAATAGTCACAATGATTATTTACGTAATTGTGATTTTCAATGCCCAAATGAAAGATGTGAATATTTTGATATTTCCCCGGGAAATGTTGGTTGAATTTTTTGAGGTTATGCCAAAAGTTATCAACTTGTTTCTGATTCACCCCAGTAATGACCATGAGTGTTTTTGACATCTTGTTCACATCTTGTTTTTCCCGTTGTTTTTTACTTCCTTTAGTATGGTCAAAATCCTTAATTCTAATTGGAATGTGTTGTTGATATTTTTCAGGAATCCCTTTTTCAATTGAATTTTTCAAATCTTCAATTCCAATCTTCATTGGCTTCAACCTGATTGTACGTTTCTTTATACCAAGAACTTTTCTGAAATCCCAGTACGCTGTCCTTTCAGCATCTGAGAATGTGCTGCTATTCATAACTTCTAAGGAAATTGAATCATTGGTATTCTCAATGTCATCCGCTAGTTCAAGTAATACCACCCACCAATAATGAGTTTTGATATAATCTTCCTTTGGTGATTTTGTTGGTGATGTTTTTTGAATGATGTTGTTGATACTTGATTGAATTTTGAAACGTAATATCTGGTTATATTTAGTGTGACTATCCAAAAACAAATCCTGGAAAATTTTGGCTCTTCGGTGTTGGAGTTGAGACTTTAAATCAATCATTGAGAAACCGCCTTTGTTGTTGTGTGTCTTGAGTGTATCCAAAGAAATAGGTGTATCTTGCTTGACCAATAACTTAATCGATGTGTCAATTTGATTCAACTGATTGGGTAACAAAGGTTGGTGTAGTTCTTTGTAATAGAACTTGGATGCAATATATGTGTTGAATGCTTCTATTTTTGATTGAATCAGCAAGCTGGTCATGTTTGATAACTTGTACTTGATATGGAGGTCACGCTGCAATGTTTCCGGCCAAAATGTCACTGATGGTCCAATAGTTATCCCCAAATATGTCAATTGAAAGTTTTCATCAGCAATCTCAAATGGGAATGGTGTCAAAAATGGATAATTATCAGTTGGTATGATTAGTTGGGATTTCTTTTCATTGAGTTTGCTGCCACTGAATTTTTCAAATAGTCTAATACATTTCATTGTTTTGGAATAATCTCTTTTATCTTTGAGGAAAACTGTGATATCATCAGCAAAAGCAAGATAATGTTGACTGCTATATGCTTCAGGTATCAAATCTCCTTGGTAACTATGGCCTCTGGTATTCTGTTTGATAGATCGTAGTAAAGGTTCTACTGCTAATGCAAATAATGAAGGGGAAAACGGATTACCTTGGAGGGTACCATTTTTTAAATTGAATAATGGGCCGGTCATGTTGTTGATGTATAAGGATCCCGTTGTCTGCTTGAGGATGTTGATGATTAACTTGGCTAATTTTTTTCCAAAATTTAAATGGGACAATAGTTGTTCCATATATTCGTGAGATATCCTATCGAACGCTTTCTCCAAATCCACAATTAGTATCAGCTTTTGTGGATTTGGTATTATATGCGTTTTATCTTTTGGATGAATTAGACTATCTAACATTTCTCTGAAAATGGTGATGTTGGAGAACGATGACCGGCCTGGAATAAAACCAGCTTGATCTTCCCCTATGATATCGGGCAAGTGCTTCAACAACCTATTATTAATTATTGTGGATAATAATCGAAGATTAGTGTTGATAAGGGCTATCGGCCTATAGTTTCCAATGTTTTCTTTTGACTTTCCAGGCTTTGGTATGATGTTAAAGAGTATAGTTCGGTAGTGGAATGGTAAATTTCCTTCAGTTAGAATGTGGTTAAATTCTTGAAGAAGGATGTGTTTGATTTGGGGAAATAATTCCTTATAAAATTTGTATGGGATTCCATCTATGCCCGGTGTGGACTTCAAATTTGCCGAATCAATTGCCAGTTTGAGTTCTTCCATTGTTATGGAGGAATCCATTTTTCTCTTCTCTTCAGGAGATATTCCTTGGGTTGGAATCACGTCCTGAAGATATTTATGTATTTTTTTTGTGTCCTTTGTTCCTCTGGTTCCATCAAACAAGTCCATATAATATTCAGTTGCTATTTTCATTATCTCTTCATGAGATTGAACTAGTGTCCCTTGTACATCTTTTAGCTGTTTTATTGGGCGTTTTTTTTATTCTATTTTATAACCAATTGCTCAAACCATATTACAACAATACAACACAGTGTGTAGTGGCGTGGATGGTTTAGTGGTAAAATTCAACTTTGCCATAGTTGAGCCCCGGGTTCGATTCCCGGTCTACGCATTTAACTTCCAAAATTTCACTTGGAAAAATTCTTTCCTCTTAGAGGCCAACAACCAAGGCGTTTGGTTATCAATCAAAAACAAGCTTACTTTTTTGTCAGAGTATACCACAACGGTGGTATTCAACTCATTTCTCTGATCAATCCTAAGTATGGTACCGATACTGGATTGTACTAACATTGCTACATTACTGGTTCTAGACTGTATTTGATTAGTTATAGCAACCGTAGCTTGGCAAGTCAGGAGCAAGAAGCAATAATCTGGATAATGACGTACGGAGCTTCTAATAGTCAGGAAGGAAGAATTGTATAATAAAGGATGTCTACATCCTTAAAATATCTCACACTAGTAAACTAGATAGTTGAGTAAGAGCAATTAACATTGACTTGACAGACCCGAAAGAATATTATTATTGTAATGGCTTCAACTAATGAGTCCAATGATGCAATCATTGCTGATGCACTGAACACTTCAACTACTCAGTCTGATTCGGCTTCTACTGCTAATCAACAAGCGGGTGTCCCTAGCTCAGCTAGCGACTCCCATCAAAAACTTCCACTTCTCAAGACGAATATACCATGGTTGTGGCACATAATACTATTTTGTTCAAGTATTTTGAAAATACTTTGTGATGGCGCAGCCAACTATATGATCGTTTACATTTATTATCTATGATGAGGTACTTGAAACTTAGAAACCATTAGAACCTTGAAATAGGAGACTGTAGAAGGCGCTCAGGTTAGTTGTACATGGTTCATAATAAAAGAGAATTTGAAATCTTATCTTCATTTTAACCTTCAAATGCCTCATATTATTCAATGTTGGCTATAATGAATTTACAGAGCAAAATAAATACACATGAGTCGCAGTTGGAACTATCTTATATATATAACGACCAACCAAACAACAGAGATTGTGTACTACAAGGCTGGGTAGCCTACTATAAGCAGTGAAAATATGTCATGATATTATGTAATCACATTATAAAGAAACCTCCGGTTCTCATACAATCTTCATAAATCGTTTCAGTATAATATATCTATGTATATAGAAAGGGTCTCTTGTTTCATATAAGTTTTAATGAAAATAATTAGCTCCATTGAAAATTCTAGAACATTCAAAAGTATCAGCGAAATTTTGACAAATGAAGGTAGTTGAAATAAATTAACAAATGTCCTTCACCAAAACTAGGAATAGCAAAATTCTTTAAAGCACTTTTGACACACCTTTGGAATACTGAATGTATATGGATTGATTTTTCTGTTCATTCCTAGACTTCCTCTATCAAATTCTCTTTTTAATGTAGCACAAGCTATGCATTTATCATAATAGGGAATATACGAGGAATTTCCATATGTCACAATGTTCACTCCATTTGTTAGCATACCGCTGACCTCTTCAGGGCTATATGAAAGTTTGAATGTCGAAATATTTGATTGGAATGAATATGGTGAGTTTGGGAAATAAACAATTAATGGCGGGAGCCATAAGTTGCTGGTATGGTTTTCATGGAGATCCCTTTGGAAGGTCGGATTTTTTCTCTCAGGATAATCTTGCAAGTGACATCCCATAAAGCTAGGCATTTTGTTTAAACCTTTAGAAACCAATTCAGTCGATGATGGTACATTTGGGAAAACACTATGATAATATAACTTTGATTCTGGAGAGTGTTTATATGCAAAAGCTGGCATGTTGGTATTTTTGGCATATCTATCAAAAGTGGCTTTTAAAGATGTACCATTCGGAAATCCTCTCATGTCCGAAGTTGAATCTATTGCAAAAATTATATCCACGTTTCTTGCTTCTTGTAAATATGGATAGAAGGGAATATTCTGTTTGTCTTCACCACCGTCAACCATGAAAAGATTAGGAGATTTTACAAAATCTTCATCAGAATTAGAGCTAGTGAATCCATAAAATGGATTAGGAGCCAAAATAGCATAATCAGGATGGTTCTTGGAAATTCTTTCAAAGTTCTTACCCAAACCAAAAGTATACAAAATAACGCTCATAGCCACAGAAGTTTTCTTTTTTGCAGAGGTGACCGCTTGCCATATATAAATCAAAACGTTGTTGAAGAGGGAAGAGGATGTCGCAGTTATGAAGCCAATATTATCAAAGCCAGAGACACAAAGTGGTTGATTTTGCTGATTGTAAAACACAGGTGATCCGTTAAACACAGGTGATCCAAGATATTCAATATCAGTAAAGGCATTCAAGTAATAATCCCAGGATCCGAATTCAAAGGGGGTGAATTCCAAAATCTGTGAGTTCTGATTGGTTGCAATAACATCAGGCCATCTTGAGTTACTTAAAATTATAGGCAATGGCATTTCATAGGATTTGAATGATTCTAATGTTTTAGTGGATGAGTAAGTCAAAGGTATTTCTAAGGAAACATCAGGCAACCGACCCGATGAAGATAAATAGAGTCTTTTAGTCAATGCTATGGCCAAATAATCAGTAAATGTTATACCAAATCCAGCTAGTTTTTTAATTGTTACTTGGGAATGTAGATTCTGGTAAAAGCTGGATATAGTGTCCCAAGTCACCTCTCCTTTGCTGAAAAGTCCACGACTGCCAAAATATTTATTCCTTAATGAAGTTTGATTTTTGAAAGACTTTATTCCTTTATTAGATGGCGAGAAAGCTTTGGTAACATTGGACAGTGTCGCATTGCAGCATTTAGCATCAAATTTACTGTAATAAAAAGTGTTATTCATCAAATCAATTTTTTCATGCTGTTTATATTCTAACACCCTTTGATGTGTATGGTTTTCATCATTACCATCCTTACTCAATTTTTCCAACCTTTTGATAAATCGTTTGAGCTTATCATTGATAAACCCTGCAATCTTTCGTTTTATCAATGCGTTTTCATAATGATCATTGTGTTCAATACTTAGTTCTCTCTTTGCAAATTTGGGACCACCTCTATTATTGAATGCTTCCTGTTCAGCAGAAAAATCAATGTGCGGAATACCTTCAAGTAAAGGTCTATCAAACTTCCAGCAACTCGGATTATTCCATAAAACATAAATTGATTTGAAATCATGAGCAACCACAGATGATACCAACCAGCTTCCACCGGATACTCCTGAAAGGTACATTGCTGCCTGCAAAATGCCGCCAAGATGGCCAGTATTTGTCGAGTTAGGGGTTCGAGAGTCAAACGCCATTAATGCTCCGGCGCCATTGAACATTGACCTGTAACCACCACCACTAATAGAGATAGCAATGGTGACATTCTTTGTAAGGGTTTCATAAAAGCTATCGGCATCAAAGTCCTCACCCAAATCAGCGCGATGAATAAAGTTTTTATGAGCTTCGCCTGTGATTCTTTGTCTATTGCTGATATACTCCTGTTCTTGAGCGTTGAGATATTGCTGTTTTGTTGGTTAGCACTATTGATGAGCCAGCCACCTCTTTTTCTATGACTTCAAGCAAAAACAAAAGTCCAATACCCACATTCGCTACTCTTACTAATGACCTAGAAGGACATATGACCGAGTAAGGGGAATAGATGTGACGTTCCAGCCCTTCTTTTAGTGGCTGTTTGAGTGGGGGACTGACTGCGTGACATATGGATATAAAAAGGTAAACCAGCAAGAGAACAAAATTACTCTTAAATTTAGAAGACCACATTTGGAAGGATATCTTATTTGGGGAGACAATTATCCTAGACATTCAAAGAAGGAATACAAATATGGTCTGAAATATGCCACAAAAACAAAATTTGCCGACGCCATCCCCGTAAATCAGAACGACAGAAACACGCATACATCGCTAAACAGCAAGAAGTGGGGCCATTACGCCTTCACACGCCCGAATATAGCATCAAATTATATGCTAGTACTAATAATCACTATTAACTGATGGCATAGGTGAATGTATATATAAGGAAGAAACCGTCTTCTATTTAAAAACAAAAAGCACAAAGCAATGTTGTCACTAGTGCCCTTAGCAATTATATGAGAAAAAAAATAAAAGGAACAGAAAAAAAAATCCCCAAATTTGACTGTGTTACGTGTGATCATCGACGCACAAACAAAAGATACCATGAAAATACACGCTATAATATTTGCTTTTGCCTTGCAACTTACACAGAGTTTGGCTATATCTCAAGAGGAGGCTGCAAAGATAGGAACGGACCTCAAACAAAGACCCCCTGCTGGGGTTTCATGGGAAGAATGGCATATGAAGTCAGAGCATGGATTAGATGACTATGATGCTGACTCGGTGTTCCAATTACATCTTTCGTCTAAAAAGGACGCCCTTACAAGAAAAGACATACTTAATATGTATGGGTTATTAAGAACAGAGGTTGTGGGTAGTGGTGACGGAATGGGTAGTCATGATGAAAGTGAAGGTATTACTGATGCTACCAAGGAGGAGATCATCGATAAGGTTTTGAGCATGTGTGATTATAATAAGGATGGAGAGATTACTTTGGATGAGTGGAGAAGATTTTCAAAAAATGGTGGCAGACTCCCTGATATGGGTGTTGGTGTGGGTCATCATGGTGACTTTGAGTATGAATACGAGATTCATCATTGGTTGGAACACCACTCCGAAGATGATCCAGATGTGAAAATACAGCATAAAGAAGACATTGAACATGAACTATTACATCATGAACATGAAATTGAACATGAGGATGGTACTGAAGATGGGCGTCCAAAGAATTTCGTCAAAACATCTGCCCAAGAATTGAATGCTCAGATCATTCTTGCTAACATTCCTTCAAAGTATCGTGCATATTGATTAAAGTTACTTTATATTTGTATATATCCTATACTTCATGCTTTCATTATTTCTCTCTAACATATCCTCTTTCTTTCCTTTTCTCTAGGCGAGTTTTATTTCTAAATTTTTGCAATACTCTATAAAAGGACCTTCATGATTGTTATTTATTTAAACAGTAGAATTATCAGCTGTATCAATTAATAACCAATAAATATTAAAATTAGAAAATAATACTAATAATAATAAACTAAATACGGCAGCCAAGAAGAATATATAGAGAAAAAAAATATGGTGGCAGATCACAACTTCAAAAGCTATTGAGGATGTTTGTCAGCACCTTTGTTAGCTAAAGCATCGGCCATCTCATTCCCATATATACCTTTATGTCCAGGGACGTATGAAATCTTGATGCTTCCTTCGTTGTTGATCTCTTTGATATTACTGATAATTGGTTTAATCAAATCAGAATTGGCCACCGGTGTACCTGTGCTTGTCTTCCATCCATTTCGCTCCCATTTATCCTTCCATTCGGTGACCGCCTTTTTCGTGTATTGAGAATCTGTATGGACATTATACAGACTACCGTTACCAGCACGGATATCATCTAAAATTGAATCTGTGGCATGCCTAAGAGCCTGTAATTCAGCACGTTGATTAGTTTGAACTGGCCCTTTGAGAGGGGCATGATAGTTTTTGGGGTCGTTATCATTCCAATACACACCATAACCTGCTTTGGCATTTGGTTTGCCATTGTTTCTCGATGATCCATCAACGTAAACATCCTTTGTGACTTTGCTAGTACCTTTACGGCTGGAGTAAGAGGAGCTAGAAGCACTATATACAACACTACTTGATCCTGTATAGCTATTCACGGAAGGAGAAGTTTTTGTCGCAGCTTTGATTGTGGTATTAGAGTAATAGCTACTACGACTTGATCCATAGCCACCGGAATTGTAACTGGGTGAGTAACTAGTGGAGCCCCCACTACCTGATCCATAGCTACTTGATCCTCCACCCGAACCATAATTACTGGATTCTCCTCCACTGTTGGAGCTCACAAAACTTCTCGCCTCTGCTTCGGTATTGAAGGATTTGTAAACTGCGTTGGAATAACCATGAACCTGTTCTTTGGCAGACCCCCAGTCATTGAAAACCCCATTGCTACGCCCATTGGCAATGGCATAATACTTTTTTCCCATAGATACAATTGTTTTCAATTTGTCGCCCTGTCTGATTTTTATTGGGGTATAATTTCAGCTTAGGGGGCAAATCATAGAATTCAATTCATACACTCATCGCCTTTCGTGCAGTAACAACTAAATATATAAAACGTGACTTTTCACATGATGAAACTTGTGCAATGCCAAAAGGCCCGAGGGGCTATATCAAAAGTCAATTGAGACCTGATATATGTGAAAAGTGTCGAGCAATGTTCGTATTATTCGACAGGGAAACATTAGTAGATAATGAATCTGGAGAGACCTCGCTTATGTTATCATCAAGTGGATTATTTCTGGGAATCTTTACATAATAGTTTTATAATTATTGTTACAATATTCAGACTAGGGGCTGTGTGTTTGTCATTGACTTATTATATTCTTAGCTCCCCTCTAACCTTTCTGTAAGATACTTATCTTTATATACTTTTCTATATAATAATTATTGTTTCGAACTATAAATAATATCTCCTCTTCTTGGTCATTTACTAGCAATCATTAAATAGCCATAAACAGGTATTTTGGTGTTATATCTATTAGATGGTTCTTAATCCGTATTTCCGTATTGGGCTAATATCAACAAAAAGGATTATATTACTTAGCACAGAGTCACTGATTATGCTGCCAATATATATAATTCAATTTAACAAGAAACTTCAAATTTTGACAGGGTGACAGAAGGGGTCAGGTACTTTTGACGTCACCAGTATTAGTTATGAATAGTAATTATTACCTACCAGGTCCTTATTTTGGCTTGGAGTATACAAAGTAAGCTATATCAAATTCCACTCGCCAATCATATTTTTTTTAAGAGACTTGCTTTTTATTTGGACTAATTTTCTTGGACTTGGTTACTTCATGATAATGTCAGTCAAGAAAAGAACCATATTCTTTGAATAATTAAAAAAAAATACAAAAAATAGCGTACAGCTATGCAGATGCAAGTTTTAGTTATTCATCAGAAAAATCAACAACACGTTTCATCATAACATTTGCAAATATTGGAATTATAAATTGGAAAACTATCAGATTGAAAAGACGAACAAGAAATACTACACTTTTAACTATTCATGATCATCTCCAATTTAGTCTGAAAGTCATCCAAATCATACTTGTAATGAATTACTTTCCGTGTTGGGGTATTGACGAATAGGGAATCATTGACATTCTTCTCTTCTTCCACTGTCGCTCTGATAATCACACATTTTATGCCAAGAATACGCTCTATCACCATGGTATTAACCTCTATGTCAGTTTGATCTAATACAAAAATATGTGTAATGAAGTCAGAGAAAGATAGTGGAGGTAAATCCTTCGATTGATGAAAAAATTGGTTCTTTAGTAATATCAAGTTTAGCAATGATGACAATAACAGCACAGATATCCCAACCGGGTCAATACCATGGCTAACCAATAAATTTATCACAAACTCATAATTTTCCCTCATAATAGGTGGAGAAGGAAGATCTAATTCAGATTTCATTTTCAAACTGTACAAAAGGGAATTGATTGTTTTGCCAATGAAATCTAAGGAGTTAAATCCTCCAGTTTCACGATCACTATTACCATTCAATAAAAAAATCTTTTTCTTTCTTTGTATGGAATCAATAAAGCAATTTACCGCCATTGCTTCCCCAGTCCCTCGGAGCACTAACACTGGGATAATGCTCGTAAAAAGTGAACCGATAGAATAGATGATCACATCTGCTTCTTCCAATATTTTTTGTGCTTGGTCAAATAGTTTTGGCTGGTATTCATGATATTTGTCCTCAATATAATAAATTCTGTTAATTGGTGATATCAATGGTTCACTATGATCCTTTTGAAAGATTAACTGAGGCTCATTAAGATCTATTGTACTCAAATCAATATCACTAGGTACCGATAGCTGGGTTAGTTTTGGTTTTGAAGTTGAAGTTGACGGATGAGATATTTGGGACTGGCCCCTTATTATGTCACCATTGTCAAGCAAGGCTGCAATATTGTATCTTTGATCTTTTGAATTGATAGATGGTATAACCGTAAATTTTCTATTGATACCCACAAATCGTACAAAAAAATCAGCGCATTGATACAAGTCAAACCCATATAATAACCTCAAGGAGAGCATGAATAAGTTCCCAATAGAAGCATTTTGAAAATTGAAATCCTTATGTAAATCTATCAATTGTTTATTTAAATAGATGAGCAAAAACAAAACATAGTTTCGAAACTTGGCATTTATCAATAATCCACAAATCTGATGAGTTCCTGATAGAATCATCCGCCACTCATTATCTGCTTCACTTTTGATTGTACTAATTCTATGATTAAAGAACAGTCCGAAAGAAATGTCCTCATGATTTGCCTGTGAGGACTTTTTGTCTTGTAGTGATGCGAGTTTGGTGATTCTTGATCTTAGATCACCTATGGCCGGACCTCCAAACACTCTAAGGATCTCTGCTGAAGATCCACCATTATCGGATACCGGTAGCACAAATGATATTTTGCATATGTTGGAGATATTATTGAAGGCTGGTATCAAGCTATTTGTGGCAGTTCCCCCAGATATTATCGCCATTTTTTTTGAGGGTGTTATTTTATAGGACATTAGGTGAAAGACTAATAAAACAAAACGAATGAAAGACTTTAAATTAAATAGAAAGAATGAAAGGAGTATTGAAACACCAAAGGGAGGTTAAATAATTGGAGGGACCAATACACACGATAATACGTCTTCACCACTTTGCCAGCGTTGTGTGGCAAGGTTTTCGCATCAACAAAATGCACTATTTTTACTTGGTGCACTACTATTATAACTACTGGTAACCACATCATATAGCAATAATAGAAATATTTTTTATAAATATACCTGTAGGTAAACTACAAAAAATATATAAATGAAGAATAAAATACTGAGAAATAATATATTTAGTAGAATCATATTTAGTAGAATCCCTTTATCTTAGGATTTGACACTTAATTCCAATAAAGATTCCTTGATGGCTTCTAAAGCAACTTTGGTGTCATCTCTATCCACTACAGAAACCCCCATGTGCCCAACACGGAAATATTTAGTAGCGATGTCCTTATGAACACCACCGGCAAATACAACATTACGCTTGCTTGTCAATGGGAATAAGTTTGCCCCAGTGACACCTTCTGGGAAGTAGGCAGCAGTCAAGGCATGACAGCCGGCATGCTTCTTGCTTACCAATTTCAATCCAAGCTTTTCAAGCTCACCCTTGAACCAATCAGAGTTTTCAATGTGCAATTTAAACCTCTCGTCAAGGGGTTTGCACAAAATATTTTCAAGGGAAACTTTCAAAGCATTGATAAGTTGAACTGATGGAGTGGCGAAATAAGCACCTTTGCCGGATTCATAAGCTTTCATAATGATATCCCATCTCTTCAAAGAAGCAAAATATGTGGTATCAACATCTCTGTTTAATGCAACGTCAAGGGCACGACCTGAGATAAAACTGATACTCAAACCTGGAGGGACACCAATCGCTTTCTGGGAAGCAGTTAAAACGTAGTCAATTCCCCACTTGTCGAATTCAATATCTTCAACAGCCACAGAACATACACCATCGACAACAATCAAGGTTTCTGGGGACACTTTTTTCACAATCTTGGAAATCTCTTCAACGTTAGACAAAACTGCGGTGGAGGTATCGACATGGGTTATGGTGATGATTTTATATTTCTTTCTGCCTAATGCCTTTTCGATTTCTTCATAAGAGACATAGTCACCAAGATCAGCTCTAATAACATCAGTATTGACCCCATAAGTGGTCAAGGCATCGGCAAATCTGTCACTAAAGAACCCAGTGGACAAAACCAAGGCATCTTCTTTAGGTTTGATCAAATTAGAAGCAACAATATCCCAGCCAAGAGTACCACTACCAGAAATCACAAAAGCTTGAGCCTTATGATCGGTAGACTTGAATAATTTACGTAAGTTTTGCAAAGCTGATTGAAATATTCCAATAAAGGGTTGATGTGTATGGCTCATGCTTGGGCTGCCATTGGCCTCAAGAACATTGTCGGCAACTTCAATTGATCCAGGAATTAAAAGAAGAGGATGGGCAGATTGTTTGAATGTCATATTAAAGGGTGATATTATGTGTTGGAAACCTTGAGATCAAAGAAGAGGAAGATTACTATGATGGTTAACAGAAGATGAAGAAGCTCGGTGAAAAAAAAGAAGAAGTTCGGCCGGCCGCAGCAGTCACTGCTAATATGGAGCTTATCGCATGCACCATCCCCCATTAAACCGGTGCCCCCCATGCTCCCAACCTTGTTATTATCGGTATCACCCTGCCGTGATATCAGCGATAACTGATACATTATATTTGTCAGCACATGTATTTCATCACTATTGCTATATTTTATATTTTAAGTAACCAAAAAAAAATTATGCGAATTCTTTTTCTTGTATAATAGACCAGAGGCAGTGTATTGTTTAATTGAATTTGAAAACCCTGTGGATTTGAGTCAATCTGTAAGTGACTTTTTCAAGACTTTCCAAGCACGCCAACAATGATCCAGGGCCTTCGATATTATTATTGAGATTGTTGAGTAACTTATTGAACTCCCGATCCAATTCTTGTACGACTTGATAGTGCGGATGATCAATTGGGACGCCAAAATTTTCCAAGATTTTGGAAAATCACCTGCAGATTCACTAATCTAATTCCTGATAAGCATCGCTAGAAAGCAAGCCCAAACTGACGATCTGGTATTTTTGCTCCTCAGTGTAGTGTTTACCGTAAACATCAAAAAACAATTTAACTCTGGCTTACCAGTTGAACAAGTAGAAGTACGAGTAATCCAAGCTGAACCCAGAACTTTGGGCAGTAGCAAATTCAATTTCACGGGTAGTTAATTCAGGCATTGTTATGGTATATTGTGTTCAGGTAGGTATATCGAAATGTTGCTATTCAAAAAATATTTTTAACAAATTGCACATAACTAAAATATATGCCAAATGCCTCTTTATAGGCACTTTTTTTTTTGCTTTGACGTTCCAGGCTAATGTAAAATGTTAAATAGATAGGTACCAGTAGAATAACCAGAAAATAATCTTAGCAGCCAATCACGCACAATATTGGCACGAATGAAGGTATCTTGGTAAAGACAGACAATTTGAGTGATATTAAGATTACATTCGCATCATTAACAGTAAGCAACTCCAAAAAAATATGGCTACTCTTGATCCAAGCGGGTACAAAAATGTCACTTTATTTGGATGGTGGATACATGACATATCACTAATAAATAACCAAGTTAGTAATCTTTGGTTCAAACTTTCAACCCATTAACTAAGATTCTAGAATTCACGAATTTTTTTCAATGTATTATTTTTAGTTTTCCATGGTAATATCATTAGTATTATAGTGTAATATTAACTTGATTTTTTATTAAAATAATATATAAGGAATGAGTGGTTTAGCACCTCTTTATAATGAGTATAGAATAGTAGTTATAAGATAGGGAATAAGATAGTGAATAAGATAGTGAATAAGATAAGGAATAAGATAGGAGATAAGATAAGGAATAGGAGATAGATCTAATTATAAAATAAGGTCGGTAATGCAGAAAAGCTCTGATAAGAAGTAATTGATTAGGTAATGAATGAAAAATACTGGTGGTATATGTTACATATAGGAATGCTTAAAGCACGAATATAAGCAGTTTTTAATTGTAATATATTTCTCATAAAGAACTGTAACAGCTTCTTGCTATTCTTTGCTTATGTAGTGTGGATGTAAACTAAAGCTATTAAAATAAATTATCTATATATGCCCCTTTTATTTTTATTGAATGCAATATTAAAGAAATTCAGCGTTATCTCAACAGGTGGTGATATTGAAGTATTCTATTAGTAGCATGGGAACACAACTATCAGTTGATAGATAATATATAGTCTGTATCTTCATTTAAAATCAATATCTACAGCATTGGAATATCATTTGGATTTTCTCATTCACTCACTCACGCACACCTAAACCTAATGATACATACGTTGATTACCCATACGATTCCAAGAACAATCTTAAAGTCCAGTGTTTACATACGAAAAATAAAAGTGAGTGGCATCAATTTTCTCAAGCAGTGCAACACCATGTGTCTGAATAGAATTTAATACTTATTTTTCTGTCTTATGTAACAGAAGATATAAATTGCAATGTTGAACACTGCGGTGAATTAGCGTAGATCACATACTTCGTTTAATATTTCTCATGACCCAATGATTCCAATTCCAACAGCCAGATGAATTAATGGCCCGTATATTCTGTAGACACACAAAAAATGAGGACCCAATTTGAGTGAATGAATAAGGAAGTAATTGCATCATTGCTGAGGAATGATGAATTGTGATAACTTCATTACCCGATTATTTAGTTGTCTGAATTCAGGAGCATTGTACTGGTAATACACTATTGTTTGAATAATAATTGGGCCCTTAATGCTGGATGGACTGGAGTAAGGAGAATAAAATGCCCTGAATCCAGTATGGGTGGCCACTTCCACTTATCACGGAAGGAATAGGATTGTATTACTTAAGAGTCTAGAATTCTCCTATCTACAGCTGAGATAGATTACTCAGAAGAGTAAGTTTAGTTTAACTAAGAAAGAGTCAATAAACATTTAACCAATCTCAACCAATTTATATTACCATGATGTCTGAGGATACTTTGTTCACTCCTGCTGCTACTACTTCCAAAGGAGCTCCGCAAGTAGAGATCACATCTGGTGATCGACATAACCTAAAAATGGCTTGAAATACCGACTCTTTCTTGAAAGTTTTTGAGTCTAGCAATTTATAATATACCAAAAGAATGAATGAACGAATTGTATATTAACAAGTCAGAGAGGTTCTAAATAACATGTAAGCTGGGCATTTTGTGCCGGCCTTTCTAATAGGTAAAGTAAAATACTATAACTTTCTTACAAAATCACACTCCTTGCTTTAAGAATTAATCACATCACCGGAAAAAAAACTCAACAATCAAGATTATTAAAGGGGAAATGTGTAATAAGAAAATATGATATACCAAGGCAACGGTACTATAAAAACTCCACAACTGTATTGAATTCTAATGGAGAATTTTCATCTGGGCGTGTGGCGTAGTTGGTAGCGCGCCTGCCTTGCAAGCAGGAGGTCACTGGTTCGATTCCTGTCTCGTCCAAATTCTCTCTCATTTAGAGAATGTCTTTTTTTAGGTGAAACGTAAGCTCTCGCCTGTGTTATGTGAATTTTGCGTTTGGCTAAATTCAACGATCTACAATTGTATGTTGTTATCACTCCAATCATTTTTTGTGTATAAGTAAATTATGTAGCTGCTATATAACTTATAAGCCTCTCGGAAAGAATGATTTAATATGAAAAAATGAGTAAATGAATGTATAGTGGCCTGGAATCAGAGAAATGATTTTTCTTTTGAAAAAAAAAAGAAAAAGAAGAAATAAAGTTTATATCGATATGCAAAAAGTTATAGTAATAGTAATAATTTATAGTAATAGTAATAATTTATTCGAACAATACAGCTTCCCCAGTTTTCAAGTCAGCAACTTCCTTGACTCTTGCATCAATTGTTACGTCCACTCCAGTATCATGAGGTCTCAAAAAAGCAGCTCCACCACTACCGCGTCTTAAGCTATTCAAGTTACCGTTAGAGGTGGCACTGGAGTTACTCAATTTTCTTAAACCAGCCAGACTGACAGCATTTCCGTCACTAGAAGAGCTTCCTCTTAATTTTGCCAATTCTTCAGCATTTTTATTCCATTCAGAAAGTTCCATTTCATGTTCTCTTTCAATAGCATATTTTACTGCTTCCAAGACATTAGTACACATGTGTTTTGGCTTATATTTTGGGGTGGTACCTGGTTGATAAACCCCCGTGTTGACAAGAATTGAGTACCATGTGGAATCATGACTATTGGCAAAACGAATATCAGATTCTGGAGTATCCCCAACAAAATAAACAGTGGAAGATTGAGGCAAATCAAGGTCAAGGACAAGATCACCAGTTTCTGCTGGAGTTTGTCCAGCGGCAGATCGGGCCATAGGGGTAACTATATCATCTTCTGAATCATCTTCTGAATCAGAGTCATCGGTATCAGAATCAATAGCCATTTGGAATTTGGAATTACTGATTCTAGACTTCAAAGATGGTCTGGAATTATTTGATGAAGGAACATTTGATTGTGATGGGACCTTATCCTTAGCTTCCTCCTGCTCATGCTCATCAAGCTTCAAGTCAGCCATTTCCTTGGCAACGTATTGTTCCAATTCGTTTTTTCTCCACAAATTCAACACCTTGTCAGCATATCTAAAAGTACCTCTTTGAGGTTTACCAAACCTCGTAACAGTCAATTCTTTGCCAGTATGCTCACCGTAGATGGCAGCAATAGAAACTTGCAATGCTCCCATCCCATATCTTGACAATCCATAATTTGTCGACCAAAGAAAATCAGAATGAGCAAAATAAATCCCAGGACCTTCATCAAAGGTTGGACTGACAGTGCCCATGACACCATTTTTCGATAATAAAAGTTCTAAAATGATTTGCTGATCAGCTGCCCAGCTTCGAGAGTCCGCAAATACCAAAATGGCCTCGATTTCTATCTTGCTAAAGTCTCTATCACGCGCCACTTTCAATTCATCTTCGGTCAAGGTATGGTAAGGGGTTACCGAAGGTTTCCATTTCATGATATCTAATGGAGTAACAACATCTTGGAACCCATAGCCTTCAGCAACTTTGCGACAGGCGTCACCGACACCACCAATGACAAGCACAGTTTTGAATTTGGATACCAAATCCTTCATTGGAGTGTGGCCTTGAATCACTTGGTTTTCCTCAATTTTTACACCCAATCTTTTGGACAATTCTTCAGAACGGGCTTTTTCAGAACGCCCACCACCGTTGGTGACAAAAATGTAAGGCACCTTGATATTATATGGGTTAGCTCCATTAAGCATCTTGAGGGCGTCACGGGCTTGAGGAATAGTATCAGGACCTTTGACAATGACCCCATCTATATCAAAGGCAAAAGCATAGTTTGCGATTCTAGGGTGATCAATTTTTGTTTGTTTAATTGAGCGATTTGCTAGCGAAGAAGATCTACTTCTGCCGCCAACACGAAGGTTAGAAAACGATCCTGCAGTGGTCAAGTTTGCAAATGAGTTTTTGGCACTATTAAGACCTACCCATTGATCTGAAAGAGACAAATTTGAAGGGCGGTTGTTGTGTTGTAATGGAGTCAATTGGTCAATGCCGTCATTGTTCAAGAAAGAAGGAACCGAACGAATTTGTGGGGATGATGGCTCGGAAGGTGACATGGCTATATAGAACAGACTAATAAAATGAGCTAACTTTTTTCTAATGGAATATGTGTAATGTAGACAGTTAAATGAATAATAAACAAACAAATAAAGGCAATAATTACTCCGAGAAATGAGTGAGGATCTGGCGATAATTTATATAGGAAATATAAGGGCGTATGTATGACAGTCCTGCCTTCTCCAGTTGATTGCTTTCATATGTACGTATATGCAGGTAGTGTATGATTTCCACATTGGATGATGTAATGGAAGGTTCTGGACATATGGAAAAAAAATTGGGAGTCGAGCCAGTTAGCAAGCAGACAATTTTTGTGATATATATACGCATATATATATAGATAATATATGGTATCCAAAGTAATTTTTAGAGATTGAATTTGCTTTGTGATGCTGGGTCTTTCTCCGCAATATGGTGTCACACCAACAGTGTGTGTGTTTGGGGGGCACGACAGGGTTATCATCTAATTAATGACGCAATGGGGCGACGGGGGTATGAAGACACACGTGGACTGTCAAGTGACTCAGTGAAACCCTCTTTCTTGCCATTTTGCGGTCTAGACTGTGCGAGCATCAAAAGTTGTAGAGATATATGTTTGTTTCCTGAGTTTATTTGCATTATTCTAACTTAGAGTCACAAGGTAAATTCCTTCTAATTCCTCACAAGGGTTTACACCATCCTGGTTGAGACTATTTTATGGGGTGGGAGTCGATGAACCCAAAACAGAAATGAGGCTAAGTAACATTACGTAACATCCGTGTTTCTAATTATTTGTTGATGAGGTAACATGTTGAGTGGAAGAGTTACAGCAATTTTTATTTTTATTTTATGATTTTCTTTTAAAGAAAAAGAAGCTTTTACTTGTAATGGTGTTTCTCTACACTTTTGATTGATACGGAACACCAGATTATATTCATACTAGTAAGCAAAAATAATTCATACAGATCTCTGGATTTTTTTTTTTTTTTGTGCTTTACTTGATTCATGTCAACCGGGAACAATTTTTCCCAGCATGGAACTCTAATTGCTCACATCAATAGGAAACAAATTTTTGCACCAGACACATGTGTATAAGAAGTTATGAAATTAGACATTTATCTTCTATTTGTGCTTTGATTGAAAGGAATTAGCACATTTCCTCTAATGCTGTGAACAGATATCAATATGTGTCGAAGCATCTCTTCAGAAACCCTCATGATTGGGTTGGACGTAGAACTAAATGTCGGTTTATAGATATTAGTGTAATGATAATAATAAATATAAAGTAAATGCGAACATTTAATAATATATAAACAGGAATTAGGTTGTGAGTCTTGATGATTCTATATACATGATAGTAGTAACTATTAATCGCTAAAAGCTACAAAAGTAGTGGGAGTATTGTCAGTTCCAGCGAAATCACATTACTAACTGCACTACATGAGAGTGGTAGTTACACTCGGAGACCCGAGTCTGAAAATTGATAAGTACGGCTAATAAGCCAATCAGAGGTATTCTGATACTGGAGAAGATTGATCTTCAGAGATTTAAATAATTATATATAGAAGCATAATATACCACCACTGGTAGGAGGGGGAGCTGCGATTGAGAGAGATCCGATTTCGACTGAACTTGTCTTATCATAAACTCTGATATCATTTAATCCCAAGCTGAAATAAACGACACACAAACCATCCAGCCCCCCAATCTAACTTGTAACAACTAATTATTATTACTTCATAATGTCCCAAGATAACTCTAACTATAACTTATCCGTCACTTCCAATGCGGCACCTACGGATGGTCATACTTCCGCTCCGGTAAACTCTAACAAGAATTTACAAGTATTTATGGTTATGAGCCCTTTGACACAGAGCCATGTTAATAGGTCTGTACTATGGGCAGACTGACATTATCTAAGTTTAGTTGAACACTTGCTGCACATGATTTACTACCCTCGATAAAATTTTACGAAAAACTTTGGGCGGTAAGGATTTAAGTAGCTATTATTCTATTATTAATTGCCAATTTTTTTGTTTTTATTTTCTTCTTACACTCTTTTAGCTCGCAATTATTCCTTTTTTTAGACTTCAGTACAATTTTCAGATCTTCATAATAATCGTTTAGCATCAGCCACTTTGATTACATATAATTCTATCCATAGAAATCCTTTCCAATAATTCCAGTCATGAAGTTTTAAATTTACTCAGGTTTGTAAAATCACTAGCTGCATTCTCATAGGATATACGAACTTCTTTAAAAATTAAAAATTCAGCCCTTATCTACTGTACTAAAGTTTGTCAAGAACCACAGACTTTTTGCTAATTCAAATTGATTATCAAATCCTCGGAACCCGAGCTGATCTAAATCTGAAGATGGTTAGTGCTTCATTTAATTTTTTTTTTCTGTTCCCAAAAGAGGAAACGTGTTTACCAAACCTACTTACACAGTGTTTCTAAAGCGAGAATCTATTTTCGCTAGTTTGTACCTAATGGCTGTTAAATGGTTCAGCTCATATATTATACTTATTTAAAGGTTTCTCATTACAAACCTAAGATATCGATCGAACATATTTCATATTTTCTATGTTTTTCGTGGCTCACCCATTCTTACAAACCTACAAACAGTTGTGATGATTTCAAAATAGACCCCATCAAAATATCGCAATGTTGTTGATAGTGGTTTGCGTGTGTTTTGGCCACTATAATCGATCGGAAGTGCTCGATACGTGAGCGTGGATAGCTTGCAATCATTATCGTCGTTTGCAGATATACAGGGAATTTCAATTAGTGGAGTCCTTGTAAGAGAATAAAAAATAACCAAAGTAGTTGTGAGCATTGGGTTATGCTCTTATATTACTGTTATCTCCGGTCCGGGGGTTAAGCCGTGCGGCTTGGCGGTATAAGATAGAGAAGCAACAAAAAAAAACCAACAAGAATCAGAAAATAACAATAAGTAAAGCGATAATTATTATTCATAGGCAAGGCATAGAGAAATTAAACAAGAAAAGAAAAAATAAAAATAAAACTTACAAGAGCCAAAACTAAAGAACCTCGGATGGAAAGATCGAGTTATTCTTTCTGATTATTATTAATTTCTTCCAATACAATCTGGGTACCTTCCCTTTAAAGAACTTGAAAAAAAAAAAACAAAACAAAACATAGAGTAGAAATTTTATACGATCCCTAATTTGGATAAAATCCTTTCAACTATAAAAAGGGACGTCGATTCTCCCCATTCCATGAAGATTTTGTCGTAATCCCCACAATTTCAAACAAACAACGATGCTTGAGTTCAGAGAAAAGTACCGGGCCGGCACACCTTTGTTTCTCCAAAACAAATGGGTCATTTTTTTCATGGTGACATTGAGCACCATGCTAGATTTACTCAGTGTCTCTTCTTTATTGGTGTCGACAAAGTTTATCCATCAACATTATCACGTATCCCCTGCAGTAGCGTCGTGGACCTTGTCAGCGTACGCCGTTACGTTTTCTGGGTTCATTGCATTTCAAGGTAGAGTTGGGGATATCATAGGTCATGACATTCAATTTATTTTAAATTCCATTTTCTTTGCTATTGCTTCTTTGATATGTGCTCTTGTTGATAACATTTATGTGTATATTGTGTTTAGAGCGATCCAAGGGATCGGTGCTGCAGGGCTTGTTCCGTCAAATTACGCGATCACCGCCAATTTATTCCAAGGGAAGCAACTAAATATTACATTAGTTTTTTTGAATAGTGTTTTGGGAATAAGTGCAGCTTTGGGAATGCTCATAGGCGGAGCCTTCTTAACAACCGGTGTCAATCAGCATGGAATTGGGTACGTGACTTGTGCCATCTCGTTGATATTAGGGATAATCGCATTTTTCAGTTTTCCGCAGATTACTCGCAGCAAAGATAAATTGAAAAACTTGGATTACTTAGGTTCCATTATTCTCATCAGTGGATTATTATTGATTATTGTTGGGTTCACTGAAGGAGGTGAAAGCTGGAAATCTCCCAAATCATACGTTATTTTGATCATCGGTTTCATATTGGTGTTGTGCTTTTTTATTTTTGAAAACTACTTGGCATTAAGATTTTTCCCTGATACTCATTTGCTAATTCCCCCAATGGTTTGGAAGATCCCAAACTTTACACCACTTGTGGTAATCTCAATTCTCAACTTTAGTGGATATTTTGGTAACATGTTTGTCAATACATCATATTCCTTGAATATCGACGGAGTTTCCCCATTGGTAGCAGCTGTTAGGTATTTGCCATTCATAGTTACCATGCTTGTTGTGACATTCTTCTTGGCTCTTCTGTACGGCAAAGTTTCTGAAAAATGGATATCAACTCTAGGATTCTTGATCGGTACCGGGGGATTGGTCGTGCTTTCAAGAATGAATTATAGAATCGATAATTATTATTGGAAATTCTCGTTCACTGGACAGATCGCCTTGGCGCTTGGAAGCTGCTTATATTTTGTTCATTATTTGAATATGATAATCACTGCCACTCCATTAGAAGTTCAAGGAATTGTCAGCGGTATAGCGCAGACTTTTGCTCAATTCGGAATTGCATTATCATTTGCGGTGATCACATCCATTGTTGGTGATCGTGCCACTGAAAAAGAGTCATTGCATCAAAAGTATCAATATGGTAGTTATTTTTGTTTAGCCTGTTATGCATTAGGTACTTTATTATTATTATTATTTGTCCGTGATGTTAAGGAGGAAGAGAAAATTGATATCCATGCTATTAAATATGATGACAAAAGTTTAAAGGAAGAGATAGCACCTAATGTTTGAAGTGTTCTATTTTGTATTTTAATTCTTCAGAATGAATTTATTTAGAAATAATTATTCCGAGGCTCTTGCGTTTAATACAAATCATATAAATATAAACAGGATATGTTTTTTAGTAGTTTTCTAATACTGGTGACTTAGAGATTAAGAAAGAATATACTGACTACATAGAGGTTAGCTGGTTTGAACATTTTTCAACTAAAATGTAAACTTTTTTAAAACAGTGAATAATGTATTGAAAATTTTGGAGATACAGTAAAGAGAGAAATGATTTTTCTAGTCACGTGTGTTGATTATAATCTCAGAACTTCTAAAAAACTTATAGGCTGGGCTAAAGAAAATTGTATGAACGACAAACTTTTCCCCAATTTCTTGTTTCTCTGCTACTCTCATATATATGTCAAGCTATTAGTAACTTGGATATTTTTCTGATTATAATGATGGCTGTGTCATTTATTAAGGTGGAGACTTGGTTTTGAGGCTACTACACAACTATGTGTTGCTTCATTACGCTAACTGTTGTTGACATGGAAGACTGAGATTTGTGCTGATATCCAGGTTGCCTTGTTCTTGACTGCTTTATCATCGCCCAAACTGGACAAAAAATGCCAAATATATCCCAACTACCGTGCAAACCCTTTTGGGACTCTCGAATATGCCTAATATGTACTTATTGTATTGCGCAGGGAGTATATTTACCGATATCGTGAGCACTGGGGGAGATGGTCAAAACACTTTCAACGTATAGACATCTTCTGCAGTTGTTTTTGCGGGTATTCCGACAACAGTAATTTCGTGGTAGCAAACCATGGGAGGAAAAGCCTCGCCTGGTAAATCTGGGGCGTGGGATTTGATCACCCGTTTGGGAGTCAATACCGCGAAAATCAACACCAAATCCATTCTAAAATTAAACGAGGAATTTAATAGTAAAATTATCATTTTGTTTGCTCTGAGCTTCCATAGTGGTATGATAATCGTTACCGATGCCAAAAAACAACTCAGGATACCGCTAATATTCAACATTTGGGTCAGTTATTGAACTCAATTTATACCAGGGTCCAGAGTGTTGGGAAACACCTATTAGAATCTAGCATTTCTTCGGAGGAGTGTTATAGCCTTTAGGTGATATATTCAAGGAGACTGAGGACTGAGATTGATGATAGGATATTGGCGTAATGACCTTAAGCGACTGTTTATTGCCATCGTTTTTTCTCGATGGGGGGCTTCAGTGTTTGAGCTAAAGACTACAAGTTGGGAAACAAATAGGAAAAAAAAAAAGAATAGCATCATGGAATTTAAGCAAAGGGTAGAAAAGAAAAGAAAATGAAAGCAGTGATGACTGGAAAGACATTTCATAAGAAGAACGATGACTGACAAGACTGTTCATAAGAATAATCACAATTATAGAAAGAACGATAGCAATTTTGAAAAAAAAAAAGAGTAACAGGAAAACAATCTTGCGAGTAACTGCAGTGGTTCAATTTTCACAATATTAATAATGATCATGAATCGAAAAAAAAAAATATGATTGGAAAGCACATTAATGAGCAAAAAAGGAGAGAGGTGACGATGGAGAAATCACTCAACCAATTAAAACGTCAGTCAATTAATCAATCGACCAGCCAAGTAGCTAACCAAACAACTAATTTACCAACAAAGCAGCACATAAACACAACAAAAACAACAAATGGAATGATTCCTTAAACACCAACTCAGAGCTATTAAGGGGGAGAGAAAAAAAAAAAAAGAAAGGTTTTAAACATTAGACACAAAGCCCTCTTTTCACAATTCGGTTTCTGGAAATCGCAGAAAACCATTTATGGAGGTATATCAGTAGTTATTAGTTATGGCAATTAAACCGGTATTTTGCAGCATCCAATAAAAATCCCAATTTCAAAGGTCATTCAAATAAAATAATTTCAGAAGGACTCTATCCATCCCTTGTTCTCTTGATATTGTGCTGTGGTTAATTGATTGCAAGGAACCACGATTTTGAAGGCAAAATGGAGCAAGATCTTGAGCGTGTAGGAAGAAGGATGTTGTTGAAGGTTATTGAAGTTTTGAATAAAATGAATGATGGATCTTTTTGAATGATGAATACAGGTGATGTGATTGCTCTACTTGAACTGATTATTCTGATATTTGATATTTAGGCTTCGCAAAGTGCAAAGTGCAGCGTCCGTGTTTAATCGTGTTTAATTTTTCTTTCTTTCTTTCATTTTTTGGTTGGTGATTCATCAGGTCTCCCTTTGGGGCCACCCTTTAGAATGGATATTAGTTGCAGCCAAATGGCGAATGCTGCTGCTGGTCGTTACTCTTAGTTGTTGCTGGTTGTTGGTCGTTGCTGGTCGTTGCTGGTCGTTGCTGGTCGTTGCTGTTAGTTGTCGTCGACTGTCGGTTGTTGCTGGTCATTATCACGTTTGCGCTTTACAATAAATATGAGCAGCTTCCGACTGATATTGGCGCCTTATTTCTCATCCTTTCTTTATTCACGATGTTCTCATTCCATTCAGTGTAAATTTTGTTATCAGCTTTTTTCGTCTTTCTCATTTTTCTGCCAATTGTGCCATATTCTCTTAATCTTCTCGCGATTGATTTAATTTCTCTGGCTTCCTTTTCGACACTATCCACAGGGACCTTATTGTTTTCAGTGGAAATTTCACTGTCAGGCTTTTTCATCATTCTCATTTTTCTGCTGGTAACATATTCCCTTAGTCTTCTTGCGATTGATCTAATGTTCCTTGGCTCCTTTTCAACACTATTCATAGGGGTCCCATTATTTTCAGGAATAATTTTGTTGACATATTTTTCTGACTTTCTAATTTTTCCACAAATATTACCAATCATATTCCATTCTTTGACTTTAGTGGTTAATTTTTTGGTAGATATTTTTGGGCATCTCATACCAGAGTCTTGATGAGTGGCTTGTGGAACTGGGAGCTCTTTCTTGTCTGGTGAACTGGTGGGTTTTTTGGAATTATTAGGGTTTTCAATGTCACCAATATGAATCATGTCGACTGGTTGTTCCAGCTTCTCAAGGCTTGAATTGGAGATTGAAGTTGTAGTGGAAAATTGAAGCTTCTTATTAGGTTTCTCGATACCACCACTGTGAACCACGCCAACTGGTTGCTTCAGCTTTTCAACATTTGCACTGAAGTTCAAGGTTTGAGGGACCAATTGAAGCTTTTCGCGATCACTCACCATGGAATTGTATTCCATCATAATGAGCTCAAGAAGTGCTTTCATTCCCTCTGGTGTCTTTGGCAATTTGGAACCAGTCGCGTTTGGTTTGGCTTTGCCAGCCATAGTAGAGTCATTGCTGATATTGAAAATAGCAGCTGGAGTATTCTCCTTTTGTGCAGGACTCTTGTTCTTTGGAGATTCAATCATTGGTTTGGCTTTGACAACCATAGCAGAGTCATTGCTGATATTGAAAATAGCAGCTGGAGTATTCTCCTTTTGTGCAGGGCTCTTGTTCTTTGGAGATTCAATCGTTGGTTTGGCTTTGACAACCATAGCAGAGTCATTGCTGATATTGAAAATAGCAGTTGGAGTATTCTCTTTTTGTGCAGGACTCTTGTTCTTTGGAGATTCAATCGTTGGTTTGGCTTTGACAACCATAGCAGAGTCATTGCTGATATTGAAAATAGCAGCTGGAGTATTCTCCTTTTGTGCAGGGCTCTTGTTCTTTGGAGATTCAATCGTTGGTTTGGCTTTGACAACCATAGCAGAGTCATTGCTGACATTGGAAATAGCAGTTGGAATATTCTTCTTTTGCAGGCTGTTGCCATCTTGCGTCATTTGCATCATCTGCCTCTTATATCTGATTGCATCACAAGCTTTTCCAAATCGTTTGTTTCTTCTTCTTGTTTCAATTTCCATTGTGGTTTTCTTTTTGGTGACAGGTCTCAACTTTTTTCCTTGATGTTCAGCAAATTTTAAAGTCTTGTACTCGGTGATATAAAGGTTGTTACTGTCCTCTGGGGCTAAAATCTTCACTTTTGGAGTGCGGACAATATCATTGATCTCATATGTGTCGTGCCATTCGACCACCTTTTCGGCTCTATGAAGTATTTTTTGTACTTCTGACATGAGTTCATATTTCGCATTTTCGATCCTTGGGTCAATAATCTTATTAGCATTTTTTGGAGTTGTGCTTTCATTGAAGCGTCTTTTCAATATGGATTTTGGAACACTTGGAATATTCTCCTTTTGTGCAGGACTCTTGTTCTTTGCAGATTCAATCGTTGGTTTGGCTTCGCCAGCCATAGCAGAGTCATTGCTGACATTGGAAATAGCAGTTGGAATATTCTCCTTTTGTGCAGGGCTCTTGTTCTTTGGAGATTCAATCATTGGTTTGGCTTTGACAACCATAGCAGAGTCATTGCTGATATTGAAAATAGCAGCTGGAGTATTCTCCTTTTGTGCAGGGCTCTTGTTCTTTGGAGATTCAATCGTTGGTTTGGCTTTGACAACCATAGCAGAGTCATTGCTGACATTGGAAATAGCAGTTGGAATATTCTTCTTTTGCAGGCTGTTGCCATCTTGCGTCATTTGCATCATCTGCCTCTTATATCTGATTGCATCACAAGCTTTTCCAAATCGTTTGTTTCTTCTTCTTGTTTCAATTTCCATTGTGGTTTTCTTTTTGGTGACAGGTCTCAACTTTTTTCCTTGATGTTCAGCAAATTTTAAAGTCTTGTACTCGGTGATATAAAGGTTGTTACTGTCCTCTGGGGCTAAAATCTTCACTTTTGGAGTGCGGACAATATCATTGATCTCATATGTGTCGTGCCATTCGACCACCTTTTCGGCTCTATGAAGTATTTTTTGTACTTCTGACATGAGTTCATATTTCGCATTTTCGATCCTTGGGTCAATAATCTTATTAGCATTTTTTGGAGTTGTGCTTTCATTGAAGCGTCTTTTCAATATGGATTTTGGAACACTTGGAATATTCTCCTTTTGTGCAGGACTCTTGTTCTTTGCAGATTCAATCGTTGGTTTGGCTTCGCCAGCCATAGCAGAGTCATTGCTGACATTGGAAATAGCAGTTGGAATATTCTCCTTTTGTGCAGGGCTCTTGTTCTTTGGAGATTCAATCATTGGTTTGGCTTTGCCAACTATAGCAGATTTATTAGAGCTGGAATTGGAAAGAGCAGTTAGAACACTTTCTTTTTGCGCATTGTTGTCATTTTGTGTCACTTGCTTCATTCCTCTGTTGGATCTGACTTCATTGCAAACTTTTGCAAATGTTGCAACTATTTGTTTTCTTTCTTCAATTTCCTTTGTGGTTTTCTTTTCAGTAACAGGTCTTAGTTGTTGTCCTTCGTTTTCGGCAAATTCTAAATCTTTGTACTCGGTGATGTAAAGATTGATGCTGTCACCTGGGGCCAAAATCTTCACTTTTGGAGTGCGGACAATATCATTCATATCATATGCTTCATGCCAGTTTACCACCTTATTGGCTTTATTGAACATTGTTTGTTCTGGTGGCAAGCTTTTAAATGTCCTAATTTTGAGGCATTTGCCAGTGGTCATCCTAACAACTTCAGCGTTATAATTAGCATTGAAGTAGCTCTTCAATATGGAAGTTGGTTTTGTTTGCTTCGTGCTTTCGGTAACGATAGCTCTGATAGTTGGTGAGAGCATTGTTTTCTAGTGTTGTGGTTAGCTTGCCGTTTATTCTGCTGTTATGGGTTTTTTTGAAAACTGGAGTTCCAAAGAAACTAAACAATATTGACACTGATTCAGTTAACTAATAACAACTTACTAAAAGTGATAAAGTTTTGATTTAATGTAATAGCTCAAAATATTGGGTTTATGAGCTGTGGGTTTGCTGGGAATTGTAGTAGTTTGGGTTTGGTAGTTTGGGTTTGGTAGTTTAAGTGAATACAAATTTCAGATGATGTTTGGAGACGATGTTTATTTTTGCTGGATGGATTTTACCCATCATCTACAGGTGTGCCACAAAAACAAGAATATTGCTGCAGGCTGACAAAAAAAAAAAATTGCTCGCTAGTGTAAACAAAACATTGAACAACTGATATTTTCGCTGACAACTATATACAATAGTTCAATATATAATCATTTTTCTATGAATCAAAAGTAGCATACTATATATAAGAGTTGTCCGTTATGTTTTTTTATGTCCTGTTGTTGGACTTATTTTTTATTTTGGTATTTGTGCACAAAGAATGTTGAACAGATTCCGCGCAAGTGGAGCTTAACCATTGCAGAACCCTTGAACACAAACAAATAAACCCACACACTCATTTTCTGTTTGACACAAAACAAAACTCCGTGGAGTGTAAACAACATTACGCTTGGAAAAATTGAAGCTTTCGGTAGATTTATAGACTTCAAATTTCGCTATATGTTGGTAATTGACTGGTAAAGGTTATGAAGAGTCATAGATGTATTATTGATAACACATCACCATGAATCATCGCGTTGCCGGACAGCATCGGTTTGCATACAATCGTAACATAACACTAAATACATATGGAGCAGTACACCATGACCAGAGAGGAATATTTGGGAGCATGCTCATACTAAGTTTTTCTCGGTCAGCTTTGGTTCTGATAACCTGTTCCACTTGAGAGTGATAAGGCCCTTTCTTCAAGTAGAGTGGTTTCCAGGGGATTAGATAATTCTCCATATATTTGATTCCCTCTTCTCTAACCATCATATCACTTCTAAGAATGTATATCATTTCTTATGATGTAAAACTTGACTACAGTATGTCCCTTTTGGCATTTTAGCACTAACAACTTAACGGTTCTTCGGCTTAAAGATTTCCCAACAAAAATAGTTTAAAGGATAGTCCAAAAGAGCGAGCAATATATGAAGAATCTTTCAAGAGAATTCAAAAATTAGGTTAGGGTCAAATTATGGTGAAGATCGAAAACTCGAGCATAGTCAGTATGTGCTTCCGTTAAAACCACTTAATGAGATCATCGATTTGAACAAAGTAAAAAAATAACAATAAACAACAACGTTGTAATCTCGGCTGATTGTGGTCCTACGAAGTGAACCTGGCTAAACATACGATGGTAAAAGTCTGACTTCAACAAGTCGCCATCTACTTGACCGAAAATAGCAAGTGGTGGCAACAACAAAAAAAAAAAGAAAAAAAAAATCGGTTTTTCAACGCCAATCAAACCTTGTTTACGTTCGTCCATGGTGATCTTATTTTGAGAATGAGTCGATGTTACACCAACCAATAAGCAAAAGCTCGGGAATATTAACTCGATATATATCTGATATCTTTGGCCCCAGCAAAAATTCCGCAAATGGTCCGCATAAAATTTACAGATGTTCCAGGAAATATTGACCAAAAGAGTGGGTAGGATCTTTGATGAGGCATTTTTGCTGTTGTTTCACTAACAGGGTACGATCGATCCACCATCGACATGACGTACTTTTTGTGCGTGAAAGAACGACTTAAAATAAATGATACGCCTCTTTTTTTTCTCTCACTTAAGTATGGTTTACAGGCAAAGGAGTCTAAAAATTGAACGCAATGATGTCTCTGATTATCTTCAATTCGCCTTGATCTTCGCTTAACACAGCCTTTTGTAGCTTGCCGGAAACCACTCAACCGAGAAGATCGTAGGTTATACTTTTTGACATGTCATGTCCACTTTCTATTGTTAGACGAGTGTCTGAGATCTGAGAAGAATTCCGCACGCCAGATTTTAATAGTGATCTCATCGCGTTTATTTGGGTTGTTGCTGCTTGTTTTTTTGCGTATCTTCTCTTCTTATCTTTCTTTCTTTCTTCTTTTTGAGGACTGATCTTGAAATCACAAAATAATAAAAAAATTAAAATGAAACTGGAAAGAAGTTTATTTCTAAACCCTACTTTTTTATCATTATTTATATAAATGGTGTCTTCTATTGATCGACAAGGTTCTTTTTGAGGTTTTTCCAGAGTCGAATTTTATTTCATTTTATTTTTTTGTGTTTGCGATTCCCGAACTTTAATCTTTTTTTTTGATAGTGCGGGATCTATTTGTGCGTGCGCATCTTATTGTGTGTTTGAGATCTCCAAGTCAGGTTAGTATCGGTAATGGACCACGAAGCGAATGACCTCCACACGACGCTCATTAAATGGGGCTAATTAAGCGCTGGAATGGATTAAACAATACGGACTATGATAAGGAGACGAGTCTAGTGCTGGGTTCTGTGTCTGTGTCTTCACTTCTCTTCTTTTTTCTCACCGCATTTTGCAACATTATGATTAGTATTACTGGATATTTACATTTCTAACCACTATCTGTATTGGTAGTAGGAAGGTCAAAAATATGACTTACAGCTGGTTAAACCCCCTAGAAGAAGAAGGAAAAGAAAGTTGCTGATATGTTAAAGAATTATATAGCATCACAAAGAAAGAAAAAATCCCCAAGGTTAAACCATTATAGTTTTTCAGAAACTTCATTATACGAATTCTGTGAAATTAACTTCTCGGTTCTGAATCTCTCATACAATACGTCATGAGTAACATCCTTGAACTCTTCCAAATGAGACCCAAACAATATGTTCTTCAATCTTCTGAAGTCACAAATTTCCGGGTCTTCAATATCAATTTCTCCCCAAAAATATTTTCGAATGTGGCAAGTTTTCCCACTCAAATCAACTTTTGTTGCATTGCTACCAATGACTGTGAATGGTAAGATATCGTTCAAATAACTTGAATCATCGTTATCATTAGATTCTTGCTCCTCGACGCCACCACTATTGTTTTCACCATTTGCAAAGTCGTAAACCTTAATATTATTGTTTTTAATATCTCTCATTATTTTCAACTTATTAACTATAGTTTCGTGCTTGGTCATAGTATCGGCTTTACCCAACACAGGAACTAAGTTTACCCTTCCACTTAGTGCCTTCATGAGCTCAACATCTAATGGTTTCAAACCATGAGACGTAGGATTAATGAAATATAGAGCAGCATGAACTCTTGGGTCTTGAAATCTTGGGTTGCGGCGTATCTTCATTTCTTCTTGAAGCACTTGGGAATACTGTTGGTCCAAGAAGTCGGTAATTCTGGCGATGGAATTGGAATTATTCACTGATTCACCCAACCCTGATGTGAGGGAAATACTAAGAGAAATAGGGGGGGCAGGGGGCTCACAAAAGTCAAGGGTGTATTGCTCAAGGCGCATGTAGTCTTTATCATAGATATCTAAATCAAAGGTGGTAGATGAGGGTTGTGGAGTTGTGGGGATGCCAGGAACGGTGCCATTGTTGATATGGACCCCAGTTTGGTTGCAAAGAGTGTTGATGAAAGTTTTCTTTCCAGAGGAAGACTGGCCACAAACGAGGATTGAAAACTTGAGAGGTTTGCTGGCGAGCTTGTTGCGTCTCAATTCTTCTGGGGAAAGCTATTAGGTATTGTTAGTGTACAGTTGACAAGATACCATCTTTCATTTTGTCGTACCATTATCAAAGGCGATATACCGTTAAAGGGGGACTGGATAATTTACAGTGCGTGTATAACAGCTCGCGCTTACTAAACCTGTTTTTCTTGTTGGTGATGTTTTAGTGTTGGCGGTGTTTGTGGCAGCACACAAAAATGTATGTCGGGAATATCACCTGATCACGTTTCACCCATCTAAGACCGCCAGGGCTGCGAAAAGGTCGTCCCTGTGTCTTTATGCGGCTACATGCGCAATTCTCCTTGACAAATGCGGTGCAGTGCATATATGCGCAGCAAGAAGAAAAAAAAAATTGGCCGGAGTCAACTACTCGCAAAGGGCAGCAAACCACGAGCTGCGCAAGCGAGAAATTAGAATTTTCCCACCACACATCATTGTGAATGGAATGTGATTGCTATAGATTATTGGCCATTAATTAAGATCATCACTTATTGCTTTGGTATTGGAAAAATGGTACTTACCCACACCACATAAACAATAGTATGTGATATCCCAGCTCTCATGAACAAAAAGGGGTCAATATTGCCTCACGTCAATTTGAGACATACGGATAAATCAATACAGAAAAAAACCACAAAAAAAAAAAACTTGGGACGACAAAACTCAATCTAAGATAGTCAGAGAAAACCACAAAGATCTCCCCTCTAAATGCAATAAACAAAACAACCTCAAGATTTATTAGCTTTCCGGGTTAGACTGAGTTAAGTTATTATTGTTATTACTGCTTTGGTGATTTTCATGTACAATATAGCGTTAGAGAAGAAGGGCACCACGACGTGCTGCTCTTTTCTTTATAGTTTATTTTGACTTGTACCCTGGCAATCATCAACAAAGTGTTACTATTATTTTTTTATTATCATCTCCATCTTCATCTTCGCATCACATCACACCATATTCCTAATTCTTTTTTTGTTTTGTTGGTACCTTTTTCTTTTTGCTTTTTCCTTGTGCTTTAATTAGTTTATGACAATCCATTCCATTCAGTTGGTAAAGGTGTTTTTATTGGTGCCATTTCCCCATTTCCAATTTGTTGTCGTCCATTTTTCCTGTATCGTGAATCGGTGAAAGAGCTACTAATATTTTGGGCCACAGAAGAGATTTATGATCTCACCTTATCGTCTATCTCGCTAAATTTGTTCGATCTTTGTTGCCTGATATATAAATAGGCCCTTGGATCCGCCCTCTCTTCCGTCTATCCTATTGTAATTTGAATATTACGGGCTTAAATAACAAATAACAAAATTCTATCATTCCTCTATTTCCCCATATTTTGTGCCTTCTTCGCCCCCCCTCTCTCTTTCTCTGTCTCTCTCTCTGTCTCTGTCTCGCTGAATTACCGCTCCACATATATTTGCATTGTACTATACATCCCTTCCCTCATCATCACCATCTTTCATACCATATCCATAATTAGGAACACATACTTGTGTCCTCCTTTATTATTTTTCCTTGTCCATCGATCATCATTTTATTGTCTTGATTGTTTGTGTTCCATAAAGTCAACTTTCACCATTCACATAACAATAACAAACATGTCATCTCAAAGATTGAAACTTCCTTCATTGTCACAACCTCAACCCTTGGCAGAATCTGGAAATCATTTGCCCCTGCTTGAAGAAATAATTGGTCCAAATTACAACCGATCTTTCCCACAAAAAAACATTAGTGACCTTGCGAAAAACAACACAAGAATCTCATCGTCAAGATCATCAATAACCACATCAAATTATTTCCCTTCTTCCCCTAAATCATCACTGCATCAGTCTCAAGATTATTATCACAATTCTTTCCAACAGTCTCCTCCAGGAAATCTTTATAAAGATCCGTTTTGTTCCCGCTCTCGTGCCATTTCTCACGATGGCTTGTCGTCCACCGCCCCACTTTCTCCATATAACTATCACGTCTCTTTGCCTTCGCTTGTATCTTCATTGCATCATCAAAGCCCTTTCCCTCATAGAAGTAGCATCAGCGGCATGATTACGACTCAACACACATCGCCTCCATTTAGTGCTGGTTCAAGCTCCTCTATTTCTCTGACATTAACTGGACCTCCGGCGCTGGCGCCTTCGTCTTCTTCGTCTTCTTCGTCTTCTTCCTTCTCCTCCTCGTCCTCTGCAGTCACCTCTTCTTCCGGGGCATCGCTACAAAATGGTTTTGATAGTGTCCACTCATCTCCCGGAGGAGCTGCTTGTTTCCCATCTCAACCTTTCTCTCAACCCAACGCCTATCATTCATCAATGACCATGCAATTGCCTCCGGCATCATTTCATAACGGCGGAGGATTGGTGTCAGGGCATCATTTTCAGGGCGGCCAAATGCCCATCAGCATAGAGTATTCTGATCCTTCGAAAAGGAAGGAAATTAAACGGCGTACGAGAACTGGATGCTTGACTTGTCGCAAACGAAGAATCAAATGTGATGAGCGGAAACCATTTTGTATGAATTGCGAGAAATCAAAGAAAGAATGTATGGGCTATGAAAAGCCTAAGGCTGCCAATGATGGCTCGAAAAATAAAGCTAGAAATAAACAAGCTTCAAAAGTTTGAAACAAAAAGGAAAAAAAGTTTGCATGGATTACGGTTATTTGTCACTATTTATTTATCATACTGTTTTTTACTTTCCATTACTGGTTTTGGGATTTGGTTGTTTCTTTTTTTATTATTATTTTGCTTATGCTAACTTGAAATATAGAGGCGATATTCCTTTGGGGAAAAAAAATCATACACTTTGGAATCTACATTTTTATTGTCACTCACCACGAATTACACAAGCGAAGCCCCCTCTGGCTATACAAATTACACTTATCATGACCCTCGCGTGGTTTGCCTGTGTGCTTTTCCTCTAGTTCAGCTTAGTTGATTCCAGTTTGACATTCTATCACCAATTTTTTTTTTCTCATTCGCAATTACTTGAAGATGCGGTTTTCTATCAAAATGTTTCGACAACGTTTATCTTTTTCGTTTATCCTACTTTCATAATCCTTGGCTTTAAAATCTCTGTTTTTGTTTCTTGAACTTTTTGCTTTATCTTTCGGCTTTGTTTTTCATGGTTCCTCAGCATAATTTACCTATCTTGTTTAATTGTCTTTTTTCTGATTCTCTTTCCTTCTTTTTAACATTGATCTTATGTCAAATCATTCCCTTTATATTTTTTTTACATCATTTAAACTTCTAGCATATAGTGATTTCATTTAATTCATTAACAAGCACTTTGTCCCAATCTTTTTTTTTGTTTTTGGTAAGCAATTTACAAAGGTATGGCTTCCAAGTTTGCCGCCTCCTTCCACAACCAATTACCAGAAGCTTTGTTTCACAGCTTGATTATAATGTTAATAAGATTACTTGTTTCTTCTTTCCCCCGCTCTTTTGCTCGTAATCACCTCTTCATCTGGTACGAAAAACACATCATCGATACTAGTCGATTTTTAAGTGTAAGTTTACTTCATAAACACCGCAGCTGAAGCAATCTCCTACTGGTTAGTGGCTACTCCAAAGGCATTTCTTTTGGTCATTACCCTTTTACTTAGGCGATCAACGTACCCATCAGTTGCTGAAGAGATAATTTTCAAATCTATAGTTACTTTTTAGTAGTAAATGTCTTTTTATACTGCTACACAATAATGCCAATCCTGAATCTGAGCGGGGGCTCTCTCATCGCTTCAAAAACATCATCATGTGAATATAAATAAATCCCGTTGCAATGCTACAAAGAAAAGGCCGGGGGACGGCTCTTCCATAACTATGGATATTTCCGGTGGTTAGTGCCAATAAAAAATTAAATCGCTGTATTCTTTAGGAAATGAGCCATTAATAATAATCTATATGTAATAAGAAAACATATAGAAGAAGAATCATGAGGTCAGCTTGAGTAGCATGGAGAGCCAATAATAATAGGGTAACACCAAAGACACCGGAGTGGGAATGAGATGAGGGAGATCTTTAAGCAGTATACTTATATATGCGCAAACTGGCGTAGGAGGTTGCTCTCTGGAAAACTTTTAGCAGTATTTTACACGATAAATTCGCTTGTCCCTCCTTTAGATACTAATAGTATGACTTCAGCAATCCCAAAGGTCCATAAGGCTGCCGTCTTCAGTGGATCAGACGTCGATGGTAAGATCTGTGAAATAATTGAAACCAAAACGTTGCAGCCACTGCGCAACATGCTTCTTGTTAAGATCAATTCCATTGCTTTGAATCCAATTGACTGGAAACGTAACAACGTATGGGGCGGGAAAGGCAACATCATTGGGACCGATGCCTCAGGTGAAGTAGTTGCCGTCGGTGACGGTGTCACAGGCTTTAAACCAGGTGATTCGGTTTCTTCTTTTGCTCATGGTGGCTATAAAGAAGACCCTACTCGTGGTGTATTTCAAGAATACGCAATTGTCGATCCTTGTTTGACTATTAAATACCATGAAAAGTTGATCAATTCCGACTCGTTAAATGGGCCAGCCAAAATTACAACTTATGAAGGTGCAGCGTCCATCAATTTAGCGTTAGTCACTGTTGGTCTCTCTATGTATAACTCTTTCAATGCCTCCTATGACAAGAGTAATCAAGCTGGAAAATACCTTTTGGTATGGGGTGGGGCCACTACTACTGGATTTATTGCAATTCAGGTCGCCAGAAAAATATTTGGCTTGAGAGTTTTGGCAGTTGCATCAAAGAAACATCATGAAGTATTACAGTCAGTTGGTGCAGAAGCCTGCTTTGATTATCATGATGAGGACGTGATCGCGAAAATTGTTGCTCATGGTGGTGACAATATTGTGTACGGTTACGATACGGTTTCTTCCGATGAGACTTTAAATTCAACTTACAAGTGCTTATCCACCAAGAAACCGGCTATTTGTGAGAATCTTTTAAACAAAGATGAGTCGAACATTCTTGAAGAAAATAGAAGAGAAAATGTGACGGTTACGCATACGTTATCCTTCTTAGCAGGGGGTGAGACTTTACATCTTGGAGGTATTACGATCAAACCACCCCCAGATCTTGCTGAGAAGCATCTTGAGTACTGGAACATTATTCAAAAATATATTGTTGATGGTACTATCAAACATGCTCCATTGAAGGTCTTACCCAATGGACTCAATTCTGTCGATGTGGGATTATCGCTATTGAGAAATAACAAGGTGAGTTTGGAAAAACTCATTGCTAGAGTTGCCGACACAAAATGATTTTTTGGTTTAAATGTTTATAATTGATGATATTTGTGCTCTCCGTATATGTTAATATCATGACTGTAATTGATTTATGGCTCCTATAGTAGGATTATGATAATGACGGATGATATAACTGTTTATTAATTTCTGATGGTTGAGTCACCATATCATCCAGTTTTCATTCTCATTCTCATTCTGTCAAGGATTATTCAATTATATAGCATTAAAAAAAAGTAAATTGCATTAAAAATAATTCAATTACCTATTAATGCGAAAGTGAATATGTTTACAAGTGAAGTAGACACAATTTGGTAAAATATATTGTTTACTTCCATGTATATAAATATACCAGAGATAAGCTCAAGTCTTCTGGTATACTATGAATTGTAATAGAATTCCTTGAACTTACTTAGAGCTTTTTCTTTATTATTACTACTTCTTTTATTCCAGAAAAAGTTGATATAGTCTGCACCTCCTAAAAAAAACAACGTATAAAAGCCATTTCATTTCCCAAAGTCATTATTTATTAGTCAAAATTTGTTTGATTGAGTCTGTAATAGTTTGCTCCAAATTCCTAAGCTCAAATCCAAGGATTTCTTTAGTTTTTTTATTGTCAAGGACTGCAAAAGTTGCTTCTTTACCAGAACCTGGGACACCCTTTGGCAAATTAGCAGCATATTCCGGGAATTTCTCGTGTAAAATATCTAATATATCCTGACAAGTGAATCTACCAGCTGAAAGTAGCAATCTTTGCAGAATTGCTTCTTTCTTTTCGAAGGCAATTATATGTGCTGCTGCGACATCTCTAACATCGATATAGCCACCTTCGATATTAGGAACGTTATCATCTGGCTTTAATTGAACAATGCTATTGATAATTTCTGCAGAAGTATTCAAAGTACCCTTGGCGTTTTCATCAAAGGCTTGAGGTCCAAAAACGAATACTGGGTTTATAACTGAGACGTCAAATGATGGATTTTCAGTCTTCACAAACTCCCAAACGGCCTGTTCCGCAAAAGTCTTAGACCCAATATACCCGAATAAAGGGTTGGTAAGCGCCACTTCTTTAGTGATGGCATTCCATGAGTTTTCATTAACAGTAATTGTAGCATCAGTATCGTCCTTAGGGAACATTGCAGCATAAGATGAAGTAACAACAACTCTTTTCACTTGAGGGCCATACTGCTTGATAGTTTTAAGGGCGTTTTTAGTACCATAAATGGCAGGAATTATCAATTGTTTTTCAATATCTGTCGCATTGAAATGGAATGGAGACGCAGTGTGTAAAAAGATAGTAGCTTCAGGATGCTTCTTCAAAGCTTCATCAAAAGCACCTTCCTCTTCGATGGCCTTAACAATTTCATAAGAGAACTTATCGGAATTCAAAGATGTCTTTAATTTCTCACCTTTCTCAGTAGATCTCACCGTTCCAACAACGATATATCCTTTAGCAAGCAATTGCTTCACAATGTGTTGCGCGATGTATCCCGTAACCCCAGAAACAAACACAGTAGTTTCAGACATTATTCAATATGGCAATAATTTGGGTAAAATAAAAACAAATGATTTCTAAAAAGTGACAAGAAAAGTAATTGTATTGGGTGTTTCATGGTGTATAGCAAACTTGGGAGTTTAGCAATCAGTCAGAGCAACTATATCTGAACAACAATAGACGGGTGGTTACCCCATTTTATGTCGGCAAAGGTCTATTTGAGGCCGACTTTGTAAAAACTTTTATGATTATGGTTTTCGCTAATAATACATATCTAATATCCTAAGACAACAATACTCAATTGCGGCCACCCCAGAGACGCCCCAGCATGCATGTGAGAGGGTAATTTGTTGAAAGTTGATATTATTGTTAGTTTATAGCTACTATGATTGGCTGCAGATATTATAATTAGTTATGGGGTTAATAATTGGTTATATTCACAAATTGACGAACCAAAGAATCAGTTAGCCTATTTTCCTCTATATCGTTGTAGTTCCAGACTGAGCTTGAATAGTTTCGTCCCATTTGACTCTGTCTATAGAAATCTACGATATGTTTTCAACTTCTTCACATTTTGCGCATACCTGTTCAAAGCTAGAATTTGTTGACTGAAGCATTGAAGAAAAGAAGTCGCCAAACCATCCAATTTCTCAAAAATATGGAGAATTATCTAATCCCCTGGAAACCACTCTACTTGAAGAAAGGGCCTTATCACTCTCAAGTGGAACAGGTTATCAGAACCAAAGCTGACCGAGAAAAACTTAGTATGAGCATGCTCCCAAATATTCCTCTCTGGTCATGGTGTACTGCTCCATATGTATTTAGTGTTACGATTGTATGCAAACCGATGCTGTCCGGCAACGCGATGATTCATGGTGATGTGTTATCAATAATACATCTATGACTCTTCACAACCTTTACCAGTCAATTACCAACATATAGCGAAATTTGAAGTCTATAAATCTACCGAAAGCTTCAATTTTTCCAAGCGTAATGTTGTTTACACTCCACGGAGTTTTGTTTTGTGTCAAACAGAAAATGAGTGTGTGGGTTTATTTGTTTGTGTTCAAGGGTTCTGCAATGGTTAAGCTCCACTTGCGCGGAATCTGTTCAACATTCTTTGTGCACAAATACCAAAATAAAAAATAAGTCCAACAACAGGACATAAAAAAACATAACGGACAACTCTTATATATAGTATGCTACTTTTGATTCATAGAAAAATGATTATATATTGAACTATTGTATATAGTTGTCAGCGAAAATATCAGTTGTTCAATGTTTTGTTTACACTAGCGAGCAATTTTTTTTTTTGTCAGCCTGCAGCAATATTCTTGTTTTTGTGGCACACCTGTAGATGATGGGTAAAATCCATCCAGCAAAAATAAACATCGTCTCCAAACATCATCTGAAATTTGTATTCACTTAAACTACCAAACCCAAACTACCAAACCCAAACTACTACAATTCCCAGCAAACCCACAGCTCATAAACCCAATATTTTGAGCTATTACATTAAATCAAAACTTTATCACTTTTAGTAAGTTGTTATTAGTTAACTGAATCAGTGTCAATATTGTTTAGTTTCTTTGGAACTCCAGTTTTCAAAAAAACCCATAACAGCAGAATAAACGGCAAGCTAACCACAACACTAGAAAACAATGCTCTCACCAACTATCAGAGCTATCGTTACCGAAAGCACGAAGCAAACAAAACCAACTTCCATATTGAAGAGCTACTTCAATGCTAATTATAACGCTGAAGTTGTTAGGATGACCACTGGCAAATGCCTCAAAATTAGGACATTTAAAAGCTTGCCACCAGAACAAACAATGTTCAATAAAGCCAATAAGGTGGTAAACTGGCATGAAGCATATGATATGAATGATATTGTCCGCACTCCAAAAGTGAAGATTTTGGCCCCAGGTGACAGCATCAATCTTTACATCACCGAGTACAAAGATTTAGAATTTGCCGAAAACGAAGGACAACAACTAAGACCTGTTACTGAAAAGAAAACCACAAAGGAAATTGAAGAAAGAAAACAAATAGTTGCAACATTTGCAAAAGTTTGCAATGAAGTCAGATCCAACAGAGGAATGAAGCAAGTGACACAAAATGACAACAATGCGCAAAAAGAAAGTGTTCTAACTGCTCTTTCCAATTCCAGCTCTAATAAATCTGCTATAGTTGGCAAGGCTAAACCAATGATTGAATCTCCAAAGAACAAGAGCCCTGCACAAAAGGAGAATATTCCAACTGCTATTTCCAATGTCAGCAATGACTCTGCTATGGCTGGCGAAGCCAAACCAACGATTGAATCTGCAAAGAACAAGAGTCCTGCACAAAAGGAGAATATTCCAAGTGTTCCAAAATCCATATTGAAAAGACGCTTCAATGAAACTACAACTCCAAAAAATGCTAATAAGATTATTGACCCAAGGATCGAAAATGCGAAATATGAACTCATGTCAGAAGTACAAAAAATACTTCATAGAGCCGAAAAGGTGGTCGAATGGCACGACACATATGAGATCAATGATATTGTCCGCACTCCAAAAGTGAAGATTTTAGCCCCAGAGGACAGTAACAACCTTTATATCACCGAGTACAAGACTTTAAAATTTGCTGAACATCAAGGAAAAAAGTTGAGACCTGTCACCAAAAAGAAAACCACAATGGAAATTGAAACAAGAAGAAGAAACAAACGATTTGGAAAAGCTTGTGATGCAATCAGATATAAGAGGCAGATGATGCAAATGACGCAAGATGGCAACAGCCTGCAAAAGAAGAATATTCCAACTGCTATTTCCAATGTCAGCAATGACTCTGCTATGGTTGTCAAAGCCAAACCAACGATTGAATCTCCAAAGAACAAGAGTCCTGCACAAAAAGAGAATACTCCAACTGCTATTTCCAATGTCAGCAATGACTCTGCTATGGTTGTCAAAGCCAAACCAACGATTGAATCTCCAAAGAACAAGAGTCCTGCACAAAAAGAGAATACTCCAACTGCTATTTTCAATATCAGCAATGACTCTGCTATGGTTGTCAAAGCCAAACCAATGATTGAATCTCCAAAGAACAAGAGCCCTGCACAAAAGGAGAATACTCCAGCTGCTATTTTCAATATCAGCAATGACTCTGCTATGGTTGTCAAAGCCAAACCAACGATTGAATCTCCAAAGAACAAGAGTCCTGCACAAAAAGAGAATACTCCAACTGCTATTTTCAATATCAGCAATGACTCTGCTATGGTTGTCAAAGCCAAACCAATGATTGAATCTCCAAAGAACAAGAGCCCTGCACAAAAGGAGAATACTCCAGCTGCTATTTTCAATATCAGCAATGACTCTGCTATGGTTGTCAAAGCCAAACCAATGATTGAATCTCCAAAGAACAAGAGTCCTGCACAAAAGGAGAATACTCCAGCTGCTATTTTCAATATCAGCAATGACTCTACTATGGCTGGCAAAGCCAAACCAAACGCGACTGGTTCCAAATTGCCAAAGACACCAGAGGGAATGAAAGCACTTCTTGAGCTCATTATGATGGAATACAATTCCATGGTGAGTGATCGCGAAAAGCTTCAATTGGTCCCTCAAACCTTGAACTTCAGTGCAAATGTTGAAAAGCTGAAGCAACCAGTTGGCGTGGTTCACAGTGGTGGTATCGAGAAACCTAATAAGAAGCTTCAATTTTCCACTACAACTTCAATCTCCAATTCAAGCCTTGAGAAGCTGGAACAACCAGTCGACATGATTCATATTGGTGACATTGAAAACCCTAATAATTCCAAAAAACCCACCAGTTCACCAGACAAGAAAGAGCTCCCAGTTCCACAAGCCACTCATCAAGACTCTGGTATGAGATGCCCAAAAATATCTACCAAAAAATTAACCACTAAAGTCAAAGAATGGAATATGATTGGTAATATTTGTGGAAAAATTAGAAAGTCAGAAAAATATGTCAACAAAATTATTCCTGAAAATAATGGGACCCCTATGAATAGTGTTGAAAAGGAGCCAAGGAACATTAGATCAATCGCAAGAAGACTAAGGGAATATGTTACCAGCAGAAAAATGAGAATGATGAAAAAGCCTGACAGTGAAATTTCCACTGAAAACAATAAGGTGGATAGTGTCGAAAAGGAAGCCAGAGAAATTAAATCAATCGCGAGAAGATTAAGAGAATATGGCACAATTGGCAGAAAAATGAGAAAGACGAAAAAAGCTGATAACAAAATTTACACTGAATGGAATGAGAACATCGTGAATAAAGAAAGGATGAGAAATAAGGCGCCAATATCAGTCGGAAGCTGCTCATATTTATTGTAAAGCGCAAACGTGATAATGACCAGCAACAACCGACAGTCGACGACAACTAACAGCAACGACCAGCAACGACCAGCAACGACCAACAACCAGCAACAACTAAGAGTAACGACCAGCAGCAGCATTCGCCATTTGGCTGCAACTAATATCCATTCTAAAGGGTGGCCCCAAAGGGAGACCTGATGAATCACCAACCAAAAAATGAAAGAAAGAAAGAAAAATTAAACACGATTAAACACGGACGCTGCACTTTGCACTTTGCGAAGCCTAAATATCAAATATCAGAATAATCAGTTCAAGTAGAGCAATCACATCACCTGTATTCATCATTCAAAAATCCATCATTCATTTTATTCAAAACTTCAATAACCTTCAACAACATCCTTCTTCCTACACGCTCAAGATCTTGCTCCATTTTGCCTTCAAAATCGTGGTTCCTTGCAATCAATTAACCACAGCACAATATCAAGAGAACAAGGGATGGATAGAGTCCTTCTGAAATTATTTTATTTGAATGACCTTTGAAATTGGGATTTTTATTGGATGCTGCAAAATACCGGTTTAATTGCCATAACTAATAACTACTGATATACCTCCATAAATGGTTTTCTGCGATTTCCAGAAACCGAATTGTGAAAAGAGGGCTTTGTGTCTAATGTTTAAAACCTTTCTTTTTTTTTTTTTCTCTCCCCCTTAATAGCTCTGAGTTGGTGTTTAAGGAATCATTCCATTTGTTGTTTTTGTTGTGTTTATGTGCTGCTTTGTTGGTAAATTAGTTGTTTGGTTAGCTACTTGGCTGGTCGATTGATTAATTGACTGACGTTTTAATTGGTTGAGTGATTTCTCCATCGTCACCTCTCTCCTTTTTTGCTCATTAATGTGCTTTCCAATCATATTTTTTTTTTTCGATTCATGATCATTATTAATATTGTGAAAATTGAACCACTGCAGTTACTCGCAAGATTGTTTTCCTGTTACTCTTTTTTTTTTTCAAAATTGCTATCGTTCTTTCTATAATTGTGATTATTCTTATGAACAGTCTTGTCAGTCATCGTTCTTCTTATGAAATGTCTTTCCAGTCATCACTGCTTTCATTTTCTTTTCTTTTCTACCCTTTGCTTAAATTCCATGATGCTATTCTTTTTTTTTTTTCCTATTTGTTTCCCAACTTGTAGTCTTTAGCTCAAACACTGAAGCCCCCCATCGAGAAAAAACGATGGCAATAAACAGTCGCTTAAGGTCATTACGCCAATATCCTATCATCAATCTCAGTCCTCAGTCTCCTTGAATATATCACCTAAAGGCTATAACACTCCTCCGAAGAAATGCTAGATTCTAATAGGTGTTTCCCAACACTCTGGACCCTGGTATAAATTGAGTTCAATAACTGACCCAAATGTTGAATATTAGCGGTATCCTGAGTTGTTTTTTGGCATCGGTAACGATTATCATACCACTATGGAAGCTCAGAGCAAACAAAATGATAATTTTACTATTAAATTCCTCGTTTAATTTTAGAATGGATTTGGTGTTGATTTTCGCGGTATTGACTCCCAAACGGGTGATCAAATCCCACGCCCCAGATTTACCAGGCGAGGCTTTTCCTCCCATGGTTTGCTACCACGAAATTACTGTTGTCGGAATACCCGCAAAAACAACTGCAGAAGATGTCTATACGTTGAAAGTGTTTTGACCATCTCCCCCAGTGCTCACGATATCGGTAAATATACTCCCTGCGCAATACAATAAGTACATATTAGGCATATTCGAGAGTCCCAAAAGGGTTTGCACGGTAGTTGGGATATATTTGGCATCTTTTGTCCAGTTTGGGCGATGATAAAGCAGTCAAGAACAAGGCAACCTGGATATCAGCACAAATCTCAGTCTTCCATGTCAACAACAGTTAGCGTAATGAAGCAACACATAGTTGTGTAGTAGCCTCAAAACCAAGTCTCCACCTTAATAAATGACACAGCCATCATTATAATCAGAAAAATATCCAAGTTACTAATAGCTTGACATATATATGAGAGTAGCAGAGAAACAAGAAATTGGGGAAAAGCTTGTTCTGAGATTATAATCAACAAACATGATGACGAGCATCATCTCTCATCCATCATCTATCAAGTGAATTATCAATGTCTGACCTAAGTATATATTAAAAAATAGAACACAATTAACAGGCTCTTTATTAGCATTCAAAATACCCTGGCTGCCCTAAGGTCTGCCTGCAATACCTCATCAACATATTCGGTACCACCCGGACGAAGCCCAGCTACATGACACCGGGCAACCTTTCAAACACGGGGGCCACTAACCGTTGCAAAAAGAGGGATCAAAAAAGCTCTTAGTTTTGTAAAATGAGAAGGAACATGCCAATCAACAGGTCAATCATTAAAGTCCGAGGGGATTTCTATAGGATTTTTGATGCTATCTGGAAAACACTCATACGATGCCTGAAAATAATTCCCAAATTAATATAGGATCTCTATCCGATGGGGAGGTAATTGACAACTTAGGCCCTGAGAATTCACATGGGGAACAAACCATCAACAGCGGTAACTATCAGAATTCATTACAACAAGACCCGGATACTATTTCTCATAGCAAAGAAGCCCGTGAATTGAACGAAGAAATAGAATTAATTAGTGAGGATGAGGCATATGACGACGAATACTATGAAGAAATTGATGATGAAGATTTAGAATTAAATGATGAAGATGATATCGAAGTGATCGAGGATATGTCTGGGGAAGTGGATTTGCAAAAAAATATAAACCAAACAACGGAACAAGTTAAGTACGGTACTGTTAATGTCCCATCGTCTACCATTCCATTGGCCACAGATGCTGAATATTGGCTTTCACAGTTCACAGAACTTGATCCAGACTATCCAATCAAGGCTCAATCGCACTATACTTGGGAAATTGAAAACTTCGATTCTTTGCACGAAGGCAAGTGTACTTCACCTACATTTAAGTGTGGAGACACAGAATTCCAAATTTTGATGTTTCCTAAAGGCAATGATAATAATTATTTGGCGCTTTATTTAGCACCTTTGCCAAAAAAGATCACCAGGCAAAATTCTCTGCCAGATGCTCAAGAGACCATTGACCCAACCTGGTACCGCTGTGTGCAATTTGGGTTTGTAATTTGGAACCCAGAACATCCAGAAGTAAATGCGTTCAATAAATCCCAACATAGATTTAATGGTGAAGAGCCAGATTGGGGGTTTAGCACTTTTACGGATCTAGGCAACGTTTTTCCACAAGTCCGTCCGAACCAACAATGTCCTGCAGGAATAGGATTTATGGATTCCAAGCATAAAGTGAATATCACATGCTATGTGAAGCTAATTGATGATGTTACGGGGGTTTTGTGGCACAACCTTGTGAACTATGACTCGAAGAAGGAGACAGGGTTTTCAGGATTGAGAAACCAAGGTGCCACTTGTTATTTGAACTCTTTATTACAATCATATTACTTCACCAGAGTGTTCCGTAAATCTGTTTTACAAATTCCGGTAGATCCAGAAAACAACCAACCGAATACATTTCCTGTGGCGATCCAAAGATTATTTTATAATTTGGAGTTTAGTGAAGATGCCGCTGACACTTCTGAATTGACCCAAAGTTTCGGATGGGATGCTGCTGACAGTTTTACTCAACATGACGTTCAAGAATTAAATAGAATTTTAATGGACAGATTAGAGGGAAAGATGAAAGGAACGGTAGTTGAAGATTCTTTGAATAAGACGTTTGTTGGGAAAATGAAATCATATATCAAATGTGTTAACGTTGACTATGAATCATCGAGAATGGAAGATTTTTGGGATATTCAATTGAACGTGAAAGGCTTAAAGGACTTGACAAGTAGTTTTAAAAGTTATATTTCCAAAGAAATGTTAGATGGTGAAAACAAATATGATGCTGGATCATTTGGGCTCCAAGACGCCGAAAAAGGTGTCGTATTTGAAGAATTTCCAAATGTTTTGCATCTACAGCTCAAGAGGTTTGATTATGATTTCATGTATGACAATTTGGTAAAAATCAATGATCGCCATGAATATCCTGAGTTTATTGATTTGAAGCCATATCTTGACCAAGCCAATTCTCAAGCGCTTGCTGAAAATTGGGAATACGAGTTGTTTGCAGTATTGATTCATTCCGGTGACATTTCTTCTGGTCATTATTATGCCATGATTAAACCTTCTACAAATTCAGGATGGTTTAGATTTGATGATGATAAGGTTACGAGAGTCACAAGAAACGAAGTTTTTGAACAGAACTTTGGGTCCAAACCATTACCTAATAATATTTTGCGAAAAATGACTAGGGCCGAAAACTTGGATTACCAGATTCGCCGCCACACTTCTGCTTATATGTTGGTGTACTTCCGTAAATCCAAACTTGATGAAATTTTGTGTGATTTCGATCCAAATGAAGATATTCCTCCTCATATTAAGGAAACCATTGAAAATGAAAGGAAAGAGGCCATACGTCGCAAGAAGGAATTGGAAGAGCAACATTTGTACATGAGAATTCATCTTTATGGCGCAAAGGATGACTGGTTAAACTACCAAGGGTTTGATCTCGGCATCAATAGGGCTTCTTCTTCTAAATGGAACACTGATATCTTCAATATTCCAGGAGAGTTGGTTAATTTGGATGATTCGCTAAAAAAATTTGAAGTAAAGGACAAGGATATGGCTTTGGGATACCCACCAAAATACCTAAAAAGGCCAAAAAATACCACTATTCGTGAATTATATGAAGATGTGGTTCAAAACTTTGCTAACTTGAAGGATCCAGGATCAGAATTTAGATACATTAGATTATGGATCATGGCCCATAGACGAAATGACACCACTAGACCAGATTCCCCATTGGGATATGGACCAGCATATTATAAGGAAGGTTTAATGCTCACTGTGGATGCTGAAGGTAAGCTAGTTACTAACGAGTCTAAGATTACTGATTCTATCGATCTTAAGACTCTTGCAATTTCGAATCTTCCAGAAAATATCACAATCGAGAGTCTTCTTGATAAGTTTGCTGCCAAGAAACCGCATGGATTATACTTGTGGATGGAAGACACCAGAAATGATTTGTGCAGCCTTTACTCTTTCTCTAAGAACCTATCCGTGGATACATTAGACAGTTTGAACAAAATTCCCCGCAATTTCTTGGGGTTCCAAAAATTGTTTGAAGCTTATCGTGACTTGATTTCCTCTGATGAGAAGAGCAGCTGTACATTGTTTAAAGCTCGTGATATGTCGAATTCATCTGCGCACGTTCTGATTTTCATCAAATATTTTGATATTGTTAATCAAACTTTGACTGGGGTATCCCATATGATTGTGGCGAAGGATGCGACAATTTCTTCGATTGTTCCAGCATTGAATGCCTTTATGGGATTTGCTGAGTCCACGCCATTAGCAATTTATGAAGAAATTAAGCCTACTAGCATTGGGATAGTCAAGCAATCTAATACTTTTTCTGGTTGCGAGTTACAAAATGGTGATATTCTTGCATTTTCCCTTGAAAGTGTCCCACAATATGAAACGATGATTGGTAAATACAAGTTTGAGAAATTCAAGGATTATAAAGGAATCGGGGAAATGACTGATGAGGATGACATTAATATTCATGGTTCTGGGGATTTACAATTTTCTGCTAGTAAAGCCGATGTTCTTGCCAATAGAGATAAGTTGGTGGATAATGTACTTGTCAAGTCCGCAGGTGTTCAAGAGTTTTACAAATACATAAGAAGCAGAATTCATCTTCTTGCTAGACCGGTTGGAAAAGTCGAGGGTGATGATACTTATGTTGCCGTGAGAGATGAATCGATCATCAAGGAAGAGTTTGATTTTTGGGTGACCACACAAACAAGCTACCAAGATATTGCTGATGGTATTGGTGGCAAATTAGGAATTGACCCCCATATAATTAGAATGTTTCTTATACTTCCTCAAGGTGGTAGTGTTCCATTGAAGACGAGTCATGAAGTTTCGCATATTGTTGGTAATAAGCACATGGCCAATTTGACCTTGGTGTTTGAATACGAAATATTGAATATCAAGATGGAAGAACTTGAAAGTTTGAGGCTTCTTAAGATTGGCTGGTTTTCTTCAGGAGTTTTACATGAACAGGCTTTTGAATTTCTCGTTGCCAAAGATGCCCTGATCAACACGGTAGTTGATAAATTTGTTGCAAAGCTTGGGAAAACTGGGGATGAAGAATTTAAGCAACGGCTTACGATCTGGGCAGTTTCCCAATGTCGTATTGTGAAGACTTTTACCCTTGAAGATTCTATTGCGATTTTGCCGGATAAATTTGCCCTTCATATCAGATTACTTGATAATGATGAACTTGCGGCGTTTGGAAACCATCTTTACAATAATCCTCGGGCTCTTGAGACCCCTAATCATAATTGTTCTGAAGATTTTGTAATTGTTGGAGACGGTCTGAAAGATTTTGTGGTGGAAACTGTGCAATTTTATAAAGATCCAAGTAAGGCACACGGGATTCCATTCCTTTTTGTGTTAAAGGCAGGTGAGAGGTTTGGGGAAACTCGAAAGAGACTTCAAGCGAAATTAGGGTTGGGAGATAAAGAATTCACTAAAGTCCATGTTGGTTTATTGGATTTGAGTAGTGGGAAGTGTCGTTATTTCATCAAAGATGAATTTGTACCACTGGATGAGTTGAGTGAAAGTGATGTGTTATTTTTGGATCACCCTGACCGTGCACAACATCGTCAAAATTACGGTGGTGGGGCTATACGGATTAACTAATTGATTATTAGCTTTTTGCTCTATGAATTGTTATTATTATTGACATTTTTTTTTTTTTTTTGTTTAAGGTGAAGCGTTTTTTATTTTTTGTTCTGTTTTTTTTTATTGTTGTGTCCATTATGAATTTATTTTTAGGATAACAGGAATAATATATGCAACAGGAATGAGTATACTTTAAAAGAGCAAGCTTTGCTTCTCACCGGAACTAGTCCTTGAAATTGAAGATCCTGAATTAAATTAGGAAAAAAAAATGGCGAGATCATCGTTGCATGAAAGGATCTAAAACGGTTGGACTGTAGAGTACAATGTACATATATATATATATATATATATATTATAGCGAGACAATTTTCCAAAAGATAGATATCATAATTAATAAAACTCAACTAGAAGAGAATTCTTCTAGTGCTTTTTTTCCTTTCTTTCTTTTTTTGAGAAACACGGATAGTGCAAATGCTCCCATTTGAGTGAGTGAGCGATGCAAGTTTTTGAGGCGAAATGATCTTCAGGACGACCGTACATAAGAATGTGGTGACAGCAAAAGTGAGCAGAATGAGAGTTACAGAGATTAGGATTATTCAGTGATTTGTGTGGCATTGTTTTTAGTTTCTCTTTTTTTTTCTCTCTTTCATGTCATTATCATGAACCAATTGAGTACCACCACCATAACAACATGAGCGTGAACACTACCACTTTACTGATTCAGACTAATCTTGATACCAATGGCAAGATGGATCCTTCTAGTACTACTACTCCCACAACGACCAACCAGGTGGCGCTCCTTACTTATCGATTAGACCAAGCGATTCGTGAACGTGATGCTCTAGAGGCCCAGATCAAGCGGAAATTAGCCATGTTGAAAGATACCAGCCTTCTTCAACTCACTACAGGGATCCCCAACGTTAAGCGGCTCAATCTTTTCAGTATCCGCAAGTTCAAAGCCCATACTAGACCCATCAGGGCGGTGTCGTGGTCCAGAGACTCGTGCCATATTGTGTCGGCATCTGATGATAATAATTTGATCATTTGGAACTCGCGGACGAAATTAAAAGAGCATTTTGAACCGTTGCAAGTCGATGATCATTACGCTTTTGCGTGTGATATCAGCCCCGATAACAATTTAGTGGTCTGCGGAGGCCTCAGTAATTCTGTATCAATTTTCAGGATCCGTAATAATAATAATAATAATAATAATAATGGCTCGATGCATTATGGGGATAGGAATGATGGGGGAGTGGTCAATCGTGACAATATAATTTATGGGGCGGATCCTATTCAACTTGATACGTCATTATCGTCGTCATCGATCGTATGTCGGTTCAAAGACCATACTGATTGGGTGACGGGGGTGAAATTCGTGAGCAATCATGAACTCATATCGACGTCTAGTGATCGGAAATGCTATCTCTGGGATATCAATAAGGGCACCAAGACCAGGAGTTTTGCAGATAATTTGTCGGATATCACTGGACTAAGTCTTTCACCGGCCAACGAGAATGTGTTTATAACCCTGAGTGCCCAAGATTCCACGGTGCGATTATACGATATCCGCGACCCCAACAACGCTGGGCTCGTGGAGCAGTTTGGTCCGGTGGGCGACGATGCCACCGCAGTGGAATTCTTCCCCAGTGGTAATGCGTTTGCTGTGGGCACTAAAGAGTCGACGATCTCGTTGTTTGATATTCGGTCGGGAAGCATCAAGATGGAAGAGTTCATGCTACCGATTTCTAGCATTACTCAAGCCCAGCTTGCCACCAATCCTAGTCCCACCTCTACTCGATTCAAGCAGGGTTCAGGACGCAATAATCATAATAATTTATCGAATAATGCGAGTAGGAGGGGTAGTGGAGGAGGAATGGCAACCATCAACGTCGATGGGGTTGAGTGTTTGAGTTTTTCCAACTCAGGAAGAATCTTGTTCATCACTACCCAGGACTTGGGGTGTTTTGCGTTCGATATTTTGAAAGGAGAGATGATCCAAGAATTGGATAAGTATAGCTCATTGGTGAAAGTGAGTCCTGATGGCTACGCGGTGTTAACTGCTTCTACTCCACAGCATTGTATGGAATTATGGACGTTTATGTGAGTTTGTATTGATCATGGTCAAAAAAAAAGGGACGTTACTACAATTTTGAAAATCATGGAATAATCTGAGTAGCCAGCCACTTTGATCAGGTATTTGTTAGAATGCCTCCCTTGGCTTTTCTGGTTTATTTGAGGGACATTATATTTATACCAAGGCTCATTTTCTTGAGTTATTGGCTGTCTATTATATTTTATTATTCTTATTCATTTCATTATGTAAACTTCTTCAAGAATACAGGTGTCGATTTCTTGAACATACTTTCATCTTTCATAATTGAGAATTTGAGGGGAGAAACCATCTTAACCTTTGGGAAATGTTGATGGTTATCCGTGGTTGATTCATGTTGATGGGATGGGGTTATCATTTACAGATGCCTCAATATTGTAAAACCCTCTCAATTATTTCATCTGTCAAGAGCTGCACTTGATATGACATATCAAACAAAGCGATTTTAGAATTTTAATGGCAAATACATTCATTCAGCACAATAAAAACAAAGCCTATTAAGTATAACAAGAATAATTTAACACGTTAGAAGTAGAGATACAATGAATTTCAGAAATGGGAAAACAAAGAGAAAAGGAAAGATACAAAAAAAAATAACAATAAATAAATAGTAATAGGTGACGCCTAAATTAAGACGGCACTAAAAGAATATTTCAGAAATTCTTTCAGGATTTATTCATCTCAAATTAGGCAATGATAATAACCAATTCTTAACCAATATTATAGATAGCAGCAGCGATGCTCATCTCCCCAGTTACTCAATATTGGAGTTTTTCTTTACGTAATCCCATAAACTCTTCAATAACCCATCAGGGAAAGTGTACAAATCTATGGTGAACTCCCCTTCATCCACATCGTTCTTTACACTCATGTCGGGCGTTCTATTATCGGTTATCATTTGCACCACCGTCAACAAGTTATCTTCTGTTAGTTTGGTCAAACCAAGTGCTAACTTCTCAAGCTCCACCCCACCTTTGACCCTGATTGTTGAATTAGCTTTAGGTTTCTTCGCTTTAGATTCCGCTACCGCCCCACTTTTACGTTTCTCACCACCTGGGCTATCAATCGGCGATCCAGCAACGGCGGCAGCATCCAAACTAGGCACTGGGCCGGTTTCTAAAAGAAGACGCGCCAATTGGGGTTTTACGGTTGGCACGGTGATGGGATGGTCAGAAATGTACTTGTTTTCCTTGAAGTTCAAATCATGGCTGATCTTGCGTTCGCCACCCCCAATGAGATGAAGGGCAATGATCATGTCAAATTCACCCCACCCTTGTTCTTCGATCTTGAATGGTGGTTTTTTAATCACCCTGGTTGGGTTGACAAATGTTGGGTGGAGATGATAAGTGACTTTATCAAAGATATTGGCAGTGACTTCTTTGCCCTTGGAATTTAACATTGAGATTTCAATCGACCATCCACGCATTGGGAACCCTTCTTGAACTGGGGCAATGTCTTTGAGGACATTTTGGATCGTGGTTATTCTGACTGTTCTCGAGACCTAGACAGGGAGGTGTTAGTAAAGGTATTATTTGGGATCATGTGGAATGATAAATAATGTCATAACAAAGGAAATAGTCAATATACACAAGATAGTGGCTGTACGTGTCAAATAGCCAGTCATTTTCAAAACACAGCCAATATTCTTAAAATAACCAAAAGAAAGAAAAAAGACTCGTGGCATTATTACTATCCATCATTTGACATTATTCACGCATCTATTGTTATTGACCGTTTAGTGAAATTTGACAACCCATAAAATTTCTCACTTACCTCAGACATTGTTATTTAGTATATATATATTGGGAAATATGATAGTTTCTCTAAAACCAGTGGTTTTTATTCTTGAGAATCAATGGATTGATTTATTATTATTATTATGGCGAATGGTTGCAATGATAAAAAAAAACAACAAAACACCTGCAAACCTCGGATGAGCAACGACAATTGAACAAGTGCTGATTAATCCACAGATACTTCAGGCAACCACGCACAGCAATACAAAACAAAATCGCCCTGGATGAGTACGAAATATATTACGGCAAATAATATTAAACCCCCAACGCTGAAGGCCCGCAAAACCCATTGACTTTTTGGCGTTTCCAAAATTTTCTGGCGGCGGTGGTGGTGGTTTGGTGCCCTTATATTCACGTGATGCATTCTGGCTATACCCCATACTATACCCCAAACTCTTGCGTATTGTCTATTATATTAGTGCCACTCTCGCCGTTCTTGTTGTAGATATTCTTGCATTATTGTGCTAAGAGTCTGCTACGCTCAATTAGCATACTAACTATGTATTATACAACCATGTTAACGTACTTTTCGACAATAATAAACAACAATACACAACCAATTGTTAACGAGATATCACTTTATCATGTCAACCGCACTCCTTGATTGATTACCTGGGAAGAACGAATAATGAGCACCATAATAATCTTCTTATTTGCAAGCATAATTCTTCTTAAGGATGATCAATCCACACTAATCTACTGTTGTTGCCCCATCTCTTGATGATAATCTATCGGATCATATTGACCGCGAACTACCTTCTGTTCGGACTGTTTCTGCTTCTTTGACCTGGTGTTTTGGGTGTTGGTGGTTCTTCCATAAGTCCCCTCATCAAATCGATCATTGACGTTACTGATCTCCTCCACCCGATGTCCGTAACTGTAGCCAACTCCTTCCTCCCTCGCCCTGGTTTGTGCGTCTTCTCTGGACTTACAAAGCGTCCTTAAATGTGTATGAATTATCGCAGCATTCCTAGTAGAGCAGCTGTTCAAGTACCCGAAAACCACCCCAAGGACCGGGGGCAAAGTGATGAGAAAGTCAAAGAGAATGTTCCCGTACATCTTGGCCATTAACCCTTGGGGAATGCCTCCATTAAGTTGCGAATTGGCATGTTCCAACAACTTGGCGTGGACAGCGTACATGAGAAATGGACCCACCATAGGAATGATGGTGATCAATGAGGCCTTGCCAATCCCACAATCCACCGGCATACACCCACAAGCACACCTGTCGTGTTTCCAAGCAGTTTTTTGGATGGATTTCCACCCAGAAATCTCTTGTGGAGTACATCCCAATGGGGCCTTGACTTTATGACATTTCCCATTGGTTTCCTGGTAATATGGATCATGGGTGAATTGTAAATGCTCTTCGGCGTAGTCATCCCAGACACACAGAAATAAAGTCTCCATTTTTTTCACTCACTCAGCAGGATTTGTTTCCATTCACCATAATGTCCTAAAAGACGCCCTTGTAATAATAACAATAATAATCAATGGTAATAAACAATTAGCAAAAAAAATGGTGGTCTTCTGTTTCCTGGTGTGTCGTCTGCACCGATGCCACGGCTCCACTTTTTTGCTTCACTCAAAAAATTCGAAAAAATTCCCCATTGCCTCATCGTAAATGTCACATCTTTCTGACACGACACTGGTTGTGCTTCTACTTCTTCTTTTTCCTGCTGTTCTTGTTTGTCGGTGTTCATCTTGTTCTTCAAGAGAATAATCAAATAATAACCAAAATACCAAAACTGCACAGACATCGACATAATAGAAAATAAAGAAGAAAGTGTTCCATGACCAACGCCGTCCATCTTGTCTGATCCCTTAACCAATAAGATGACACAGTCCTCAAGTTCTGACAATGACGGATCTTCTCCTCCTCCGAAATTGAAAATCTCGGCTCTTTTGGATAATGAAACCCCCGAACCGTTGGTGGAAACAGAGTCTGGGGGAGAAGAGGGAGGGAACCTGGATACCCCATTGGCCGAATCCAATCCGCAACCACTGGGTTCTGTGAAACACGAAGAAGAACATGATTTGGTGATAAATGAGGATAAAAATAAAAAACACTTGGATGTTGCGGCACCTGATGGGAAAAAACCCCTGATATCGTCGCTAGAGCTGACCAAAGCCCCTGGTAGTGATGCCACCAAATGGTCAAAAGAAATGAATGATTTATTTATTGATCTCCTTGGTAGAGAATCTCAAGAAAATTTGCACGAGAAGAACGAAAACGAATGGAGCCGGGAATCCTGGCAACGAATCATTAGAGAATTAGAAATGGCGTTCCCGTTGAAGGCCAAAGCCCATAAGTTTGAACGTACAAAACTTAAAAAGCATTTGAAGATTGTCAAGGATGAACATACTTATTGGAGATTTATGAAAGATAATGCCAAGGGATTCCATTGGCAAGATGATAAAGGATCGTTTTCTTTGGATTATTACGGAGTAGACCATTATTTTTCAATCAATAAATTCATCGAGGATGAAGAAGTGGTAGAGAAATATCAGAAAAAGAAGTCTTGGATAAAGAAATTGTGTATCGATCATGCTTGTGATTATTTGGTGAAGTACGATGAAAATGTTTTTGCCTATTATGAAGATGAATCCTTTGATTCTAATGAGGATGAAGAGGTTCAACTAAAAAGAGCCGAAGAAACTGAAAAAAAGAGACGATTATTAGACGATGATGAAGATGAAATTGATGAAGATGACAATAGCGGCGATGGCGATGGAAAGTCGAATATTAGCAATGGTAAGGCTACGGTGATAAATACAGAGAGTGCCATTAATGGCAATAAGGGGAAAGAAGAGGAAATCGATGATGATGAAAACGAATTACTAGAATTGACAGGATATGGTAAGAAGAATCCAAAGAAGCATAAGAGGTCAACATCACCTAAAAGAAGAAAAGTCAATGGTCTGGTTCTACCGAATTTGTATTTTAACCACTGCTCCGCCACCACCGACAACGACGATTCCATTCTTAATGTCAATTTGAAGAATTTTGAAAAGATTTCCGAGTGGGTAATGACAAATGTGTTGGCGAACAAAATCACGGTTATCCAACAACAATTGTTATCCAAGCTTTTGTTACGTGATTTGATGTTATTTAATTTTTTACAAAGTGAGAAGTTTGATGATGCAGAGAAAATCAAATACGTCGAGGAGGTGACAAAAGAGTATTTATAATCTTTTTTTGAGCGACCTATTTTCTCATCCTCGCCAAAAATGTTTCTTTGTGACTGTTTTAGTTGGTTTACTTGTCTTTTGCTATTGTATATATGAGCTGCTTTTAAATTGACTATTTTTGATGTGGCTAATTTTAAAAACTATAAAATGAAACAGAGTTCTTCTTGTTCCTTTTATTTTGTTACGATTAAATGCTGTGATTGGTTTTTTATTTCTTTCCCTTTTTATTAGTTTAGATTCTTTGCTTTTTCTTTTCTTTTTTCTTTTTGTGTTGAGTTTGTCTGTTTATTTTTGTCTGTTTGTAATTATTGGTTCACTGTTATTCCGAAGAATGATTAAATTGTCATTACTATTTATTTATTTATTTTCATGATTTGGTATCTAGAAGTTGTATGGGTTGAAATTATGTAATTTGACAGTATTTTAATTCCTTTTTGCAGAGTATGGAATGTACTTTCCAACAAAAGCCACATTCATTACAATTTCATAAATAGAAGGTCATACTATATCAAATACTATTTGCTGGTAAATTTTATGAGGGAAGTAAATTCTCTCAGATATGTTGTCTGGATCAGTTAATCTCGAAGAAGTGTCTAGAAGAGCTCCCCTGTTGAGGAACGTTCTGCTTCTCAAAGATCTTATAAGGGTTGGAATTGGCGGGCCACTTCTTTATTATTATCTTATTATCAATGCCAAGATCAGATTTGGATAACCAAAGATATTTTTTCTCACTGTTTATTATGCTAGGTATTTTGGTCAGGGATGTAAGTTGGTGGTCTCACTATCCACGCCATGATGGATATACATTGAATTGTGAGATGAGAAGTTGAGGTAAGTCTTGAGAAGAAAATCTTGGATGATAAAAGATCTTTGAATGTGGTTCATTTGAATAATTGGACAACAATAGAGAGTATCGAATGTTGAATTGTCAAAAATCACAAGGAGCATCAAGAAAATTATACGAGTGTCAAAATTACCTGTTGACATTTATGTCTCTATGACAATGAACAATATCTCACCTTCTATAATAGAAGCTATTTCTAGAAATTTATCATCAAGATACTTACTAAATAGCCAGCATAAGGCCTTATCAATTAGCCAACATAAAGTCTCACTGACAATTTGGACATGGTAGAATATCTTGAACGAGGAATATATTAATATATTATAAGATCAATTCGTTCCTCAGTGATCATTTGACATTCTGTCTCCTCTAAAAATATCTGAAAATTTTTATTAGTAGTTGCCAACATCGTGCACAATGATTACAATTTCTTAACCACATATTCCCCCTCTTTCCATTTAGTTTTCAAGTCGATCTATATCAATCTGCTATTTCTAATAATATAGTTATTTTCTCAGTAAACCATAATTTCGATTTAACCTACGAATAAATAATTGATAGTATCAATAAAAAAGATTCAATATTATTCAATTCAAATAAATAATACTGTAAAAATTGAGTTTGGTCCTTCCAAGTAATCATCTAAACGTTACCACTTTTTGTGAAAGGATCGGATCTCACTCACGCCTCATCTCCTAAATTTTGGTTTTACTCATATAGTACAACAAACATAGACCACGCTTAGTTAGCAGACTTGGCCTTCTTAGCCTTCTTAGCCTTTAATGGTTGTTTCAACAAGTCCAAAATGGCTTGGTCTTCAATCTTGTGGGAACTTTCAACCTTGGAGATGTCAAATTCTGGGTAAGCGAGCTTAAGAACACCAGTGCTGGTCAAGGCAACGGTAGAGAAGAATTGGGCAATAATTTCACCTTCTTTTTCACTGACAACGTCGTAAGCGGTCATGACATTGTGGTTAACACATTCTTGCAAACCCATTCTACCCTTGGTTGGTTCTTTGAATTCACGGGTGGTGACTGGGAAGTTAGCAGAGTGGGACTTAACTTCGGCCAAAGCGGCGTGGGAAGACTTCAATTTCAAAGAGTAGTTGTTACCGGTGAGCTTGTACAAAGTGGTCTTGATGTCGGTTGGCTTGGCCTTACCATCCTTAGAAGAACTGATCAAGATGTCCAAACCGAAAACATCACCGTTCTTGAAGTTCAAAGAAGCAACTTGGTTCTTTTGGGTTTCGCTTGGGTTGATGATGATTTCTTTTTCACCCAAGGCAACGTTACGTTGTTGACTGTAGGACAACATACCTTCCAATGGGGTGGTTTCGTAAGCCTTGGCGATTTCACCAACAACCTTGGTGACGTCAAAGTTCTTCTTTTCTTCCTTAATGGTTCTGATGGCGGCTTCAGTAGCGTAGTAAGCGGCAGCAATGACATCGGCAGCACGGCCAGTAATCTTTTCGGCACCAACCACAACGGTTTCACCAGCAGAAGCAACGTAACCATCGATTTGGGCACCCAATTGAATGCTGACAACATCGCCTTCCTTCAAAGTCAAATTAGCAGCTTTGTCATCGGCAGAAGCTGGAGACAAGTATTCAGCAATGTTGTTTGGAGAAACACAGGTTGGGAAACCAATACCCTTGGATTCGACCTTGGATTTCTTGGAGTTATAGATCTTAGAAGTTTCTTCAAGAAGCAATTCGTCCCCGAATTTACAGAGCTCGTAGATGGTGGCACCTGGAACAGCAAGCTTCTTGACTTCTTGGAGAACCTTGACAGAGATTTCACCAGCAGTCTTGTATTTGGTGACAACGGCTGGGTTGTTGATGGTGTAGTCTGGGGCAGCAGCTTCAGTAGACATTGTCTTTCTTTCTATAGCAAAAAAATGAGTATAAATAGATCCTTCAAGGCTTCTAAATGGTGAATAGTATTGATGGTTGAACGACTTTTCGGTGGTGGAACTAAAAAAATTTTATTTCGACGACAGGGTCGGGTACCCGGCCAGGCGATGAGATGAGGGAGGGGAGAGCATCAGCAACGGTGGACGGTGGGCAATTGCCAGGATTGGAGGAGTTATTGTCATAATGATGAAGATAATAATAGTGGTCAATGGATCACATAATCATCATTCGTGAATGGGAAGTGGAATTGCGTGGTGTTCGAAGTTTTAGTTGTATTGGGGTCTCCCATTGCTTGGTAATTGCTTATATAAGTACAAATATCACTGATTATGTAATCACTGGGAAATCAGTCAACAGCACCAATTGACCAAATTCTATCTAATATAACAATAATTAGTATCTCATATCATCGCCAAACTATTTTTCAATGAGTATTCCATTCCCGCCGTTGCAGCTGTCGCTGTTGTAGTTATTGTTGTTGTTGTTCTTCTTCTTCACGTGTTTTTGGTGATGCGAAATTAAAAAAAAAAAAAAAAAGTCGCCAAAAATCGCGTTTTATTCAAACAAGGAAATCCATCAATAAACACCTTGAATACCCATTGTTACCTCCTAAAGGCGTCATTATTATGTCCTCAGATCGTGAATCTGAAGCTGGAACCGTCCAGTTTCAGTTCTCTGATTCCATTGTTCCTTCAGTTAAGGATCCAATCGCCACAAAAGTTCTCGTCAAACGGCTATCGAAACTTGCGAAACAACTTGCCGCCTTGGAAGAATCCTCGGTTGATTTGAGGTCTTTGACATCAATTACCAAAGATATCGTATCTCCGAAACTTTTACGTCACAATGATTACGGCGTGCAATCATATACTGCCCTATGTGTTTTAGAAATCTTGTGGATCCATGCCCCAAATGCCCCATTCACCGCATCGCAACTTACAGAAATCTTCAAGTTATTCACCAAGATTGTCAAAACTTTGGCGTTACCCCCAGACTCTTCTGGTTATTTCCCTCAGAATCTTGCGGCAATGACTAAATTAGCAGAAACTAGTTCCATCATTTTGATGACCGATTTACCCAAAGCAGATCAATTAACAGAAACATTTTTCAAGGTATGTTACGAAGAGGTTGGTAAATCCAAGCACTGCTCGAACCGCCTTATCGCGGTGATTTCTGATATTCTTAGTGGGATTGTATCAGAAACCGAAGTCCTCTCTCAAAACATTTTGAAAATGATCCTTAGTAAGTTTCTCAGCAACGCTCACAAGACCACTAACGGCTCCAACAACATCGGTGCCATCATGATCAATAACCCGGGGTTTGAATTTACCCTTGCCATTTGCGAAAACAACATCGAACGGATGGGCCGTCAAGTAGCAAAATTTCTATCAGAAGAGCTTTATGAAAACTCCTCGTATGGCATAAATAACGATAACGACGATTCTGATGAAGAAAACCTCGATTTCAAACGACGGTCCCAACATCTCGATGCCATATCCATGAAAAATCTCGTCAAGCTACATCGTCTAATTGAAGAGATTTGGAAATACGTTCCTCAGCTATTATCCTCAGTGATGGGGCTACTTGACGCCGAGCTTGTGGCGGATAATGATAAAATCCGTATTTTATCCACAGAAACCATAGGCAGGATTCTTGAGTATCAACCATCAAAACTCAACTTCCTCACAACGCATCATGAAACCTGGATCAACTGGTCAAAGAAGATATTGGATGCGTCACCTTTAGTGCGGTGTAAATGGGTACAAACCGCTACTAAGGTACTTAATTCCCGTTTTGATATGGTCACCGAAATCTCTAATGGTATTGTTAAAGCCTTGATCGATACCGATGAGAAAGTCCGACTAACTGCTGTTAAATCTGTAAAAGAAAACACTTCCCAAACTATTTTTTCCGGGAAGTTCAATCACAATCTCACAATAATGAACACTTTGGGGCAACTTGCAAGAGAGAGAAACTTAGAAATCCGCAATGATTCCATTTACTTGCTAGCAGAATTTTATGACCACAAGTTTTCAGATCTTATAGAAGAAGAGGCGGAAAAAGAAGATATTGAAGAAGAAGTTACCCAAGAAGAGGGCAATAATAATACTTCGACAACAACAACAACCTCTAGCCTTTGTAAGCTCATTGGTTGGATCCCAGATCATCTCATCAATCTTGTTTATATCAACTCTAAAGAAATTAATGCTACTCTTGATACTATTCTTGTGGATAAAATCTTCACTTTAGAAAACTCGGCCACTCAACGTGTGAAAAGATTCCTCTATATTGTTTCTAAATTGGGGCAAAAGGCCAAAATTGCCCTTTGGGCAATCAATCAGCGACAGGTTCAACTTTCTGGAGGCATTTCCACATATCTTAAGTTGGTTGAACGGTATCATTCTCCAGAATATTCCGCTAGCCGTTCTAGTATTGAACTGAAACTTGAGACCGCCATTAATTGGATTATCAGCGGTCTTCCAGATGCGTTTAATGCGTTTAATGTACTTGTACGATTTGCCCAACTTGATAACAAGCGCATGGTTAATTTGGTGAGGTTATGCGTGGCGCCCGAAAATGCCATTGAAACCATCAAAAACTCGTTCAAAGAGCTTTTTAATAAGCTTGGTGATAACAAAGTGATTGCGAGACTTGATCGTGATGGTGACGACGAAATCGATCTTGATGAATCTGTCTGGGAAAATTCATTCCACGTCACCACCAGGGAAATGGTTGATACTTGGAAGCTTTTATTATATCGTTCAGCAGTGATTTATTACAATAAATCGAATATTGGGCCATTAATGTTACGTGCCAAAGAAGGGGATAAAACCGCAGTGGATGTGGCCCAACAAGTGGCTTCCACGGTTCCAAAAGTGTTTGAATCACATATCGATGAGCTTGTGAAGTTGGTTATCGAAGCTTCTCCCGTTGATGAATTCGGTGATAAGGAAAACACTAATGCTTTCGCCACCCCACTATCATCGCCAACTAAACCCCTAAGGAAGAAAAAAGCCACCGTCAAAGCCGATACGTTGGTTAACATTTTGAAAGCAATTTACTATTTTTTTGCAAGATACCCGAAATATTTCCCCAAAGAAAATTCTCAATTTGCTGAAGCGTTGGCGAATATTTGCTCCACGGGGACTCCTTTTGAAGCCAAGTACAGTATTAAACTTCTTGCGCTTTTTGAAACGGAGGCGTATGCTAGTGGCAATTTATTATCGGCGAATTATTACACTGAGTCAATATTACAATCAATATTGCCGCTTGATTCTCATAATCCACAATTTGCATCACATTTATCGATTATATCGGAATTATTCCTTTTGAAGCCGAGTGTTATTGAAACTGATACTTCTGAAATCACCAATTATCTTATCAAGGAAGTGCTTTTGAATAATGAATTAATTAGTGATGATGAGAAAAAGCGTGATAATAATGAGGAAAATAATGGTGATGAAAATAATGATACAAAAAACAATGATACTAATAATAATAAAGACTTATGGATCACTGATGAAGATCTCGAAGCAGGGAAATTCAATGCTTGTTATGCAAAGATTCTCGCATTGAGAATTTTTGTGAACCGGCTCACCGCCCTCGATCGAGACAATAAAGATATTGATAATACCACATTGGCAAATATGGTGTTGAAGCTTCTTGTTTCTTGTATTGGTAATGGTGGGGAGCTTGTTGGGGAAAGCATTACCCCGACCCCAGCGCCAGTTCAATCGCGGCTTCGTCTTGCTGCGGGGTTGATGTTATTGAAACTTTCTAAAGTCCCAACTTATAACCGTATGCTCAAACCACAAACCATTTCTCACTTGGTGCTTCTTGTGCAAGACGAGAACCCGAAGGTTCGTGCTGAGTTTGCTGGGTCATTACAAAACTACTTGAACCACGAAACCATTTCCCAAAGGTATCTCCCATTAATATTCTTTATGGCGCATGAACCTGATTTGGCACTACGCAAGACTGCTAAGACGTGGATTCGATCGTCTTTTGCAAGGGAATCCACTAAAGGTGGGGAGGAAATCTTGTTTGAAAAATCCCTTGTCCGATTACTCCACATGGTGGCGCATCACCAAGAGTTCATTGACGTGATCAATGAAGCGTATCAGAATAACACCAGTGGAGAAACCTCGACCGACTCCAATGAAGCTTTGTTTAAGGCTTTTGGGTTTGCGGTAAAATATGTGATTTTCTACCTTGATAGTGTCGCTACTAAAGATAATATACTGCTTCTTTATTACTTTTGCCAACGGATAAAGCAATATCGTGATGCCCTTATATCTGATCTTCATTATGATTTGGTGCCTCGTCCGACTCATATTGATAACATGTACCGAGTGGCTGACGTTGCTAGTTTGGCGGTCAATTTGGTGGCAAGCAAGCGTAGTTGGGTAATTCAAACGTTTCCAGGAAAACTTCAGTTACCTAAGGATTTGTTTTCCCCAATGAAATCCCCTCAAGAGACCCATGACGTTGTGGGCCAAACGTATATTCCAACGACGATTTCCCGAAGCTTGGAAACGTTTATTAAGAGCGAACTTGGGTATACTCAAGTAGGTAACTCTAAGAAACGGTCTTTAGGAGCCGGAACAACCACAAAAACCACAGGAGCAGGAGCAGTAGCTGCTCCCCTTGCTAGAAAGAAATTCAAACCTACGAAAACTTTATCAAAAAAGAAGAAAGTGAAACAAGAACAGCTTCGACCAACCAGACGAAGCTCCAGGGTAATACAAAAGATCAACTATGCTGATTCATCTTCGGAGCTGGGCGAAGATGATAAGGAGGATGATATCCTAAGTTCGAGAAGTGAATCCGATGAATGATTACTCTTTTTTCTTTTTTGATTCCAATTCTTTCATTTCTTTATGCATGATTACAGCTATATTCTATTCTTATATTTATTTATTTTGCTTAATTTCCTAAGCTTTCAATTATAATGACCCTGCTAATTACAGAGAAGTATCCTTCCCCAATAAATAATAGTCTAACATTCAACACCCGTGCATCAGGAAGCACGACGCGACGCGAATTTTTTTTTTTTTTTAAATGAAATTTTTTTTATTTTATTTTTTTTCTCCTTTGGAGGATTTCCAAATTAGGTGAATGAACGACTCTGGCAGAAAATCGTCCTGAATTTTTTCTGTTGTTTTTATTTCTTCATCCTTGGATATCTTGACACACACCGATATAGATATCCCCATCAACAAAGATTATATCCTCTTCTTTATTATCCCATTGAAAATACTGCGACTTCTCGATTCAATTGTTGGTGTGAGATCTATAATATATATCAGCGATTCCCAAATATAATAAAAAAAAAAACATGTCCAGCAATAACAATAACAACCGGAGCAGTCAATCCCAATCCCAATCGATAAATAACGGTGGATCGTCACCTTTATTTTTCCCATCCTCTTCCAATCCTCCATCAGATATTGGCACCCCTGCTGCTGCTCCTCCTGCTCCAAGGAGTCATGTTTCCAGCAGTCATGGGGGATCTTCTCCATTACATTATTCGTCATCGCTTTATAATTCCGACACCAGAGGAGGGAATGGTGGAGGAATTACCTCTGATGTGAGATCTGATTTGACTTCGGATGCCGCGAGAGAAAGATTCCGTCGTAACAATTATCAACGTGGTGATTTGAATTCTCCAGATTCCAGTTTACCAAGAAGAAGATACTTTGCCGATAGTCCATTGAATTCCCGAAACACGATTTCTTCCAATGGGTTGAACTCTGATATGACGGAAACCGGGAACGATGAGCCAGTGAGAGTGATTTGGGGAACTAATGTCAGCATCCAAGAATGTTCGAACAATTTTAGAAATTTCATCATGTTGTTCAAGTATAAATATAGAAAGACTTTCGATGAAGATGAAGAGAGCACTGCCGAGGAAGATAATGAATTATATTACATCAACATGCTTAACGAGATGAGAAATGTCGGGACGACTAATTTGAACTTGGACGCTAGGAATTTGCTCAGTTATAATCCTACGAAAAAATTGTATTATCAATTACAAAACTACCCACAAGAAGTCATTCCAATCATGGATCAAACCATTAAGGACTGTATGATTGCCTTGGCGACGGAAAATAACCAAAATTTTAACGTGGAAGACATTGAAACCAATATTTACAAAATTAGACCGTTCAACATCCAAACCCAAAGAGGGATGAGAGAATTGAATCCAAATGATATTGATAAATTGATCAGTGTCAAAGGATTGGTATTAAGATCTACTTCGATCATCCCTGATATGAAGGTTTCCTTTTTCAAGTGTAATATTTGTGATCACACTACTTCGGTGGAAATCGATAGAGGGGTGATTCAAGAACCATCGAAATGTCCAAGATGTAACACCAGAAACTCGATGACAATCGTTCATAACAGATCGTCGTTTTCTGATAAACAAGTGATCAAACTTCAAGAAACCCCTGATTTGGTGCCGGATGGGCAAACTCCCCATTCGGTGTCGTTATGTGTTTACGATGAATTGGTGGATTCGTGCCGGGCTGGTGATCGGGTAGAAGTATGTGGGATCTTTAGATCGATCCCGGTGAGGATGAATGCCCGACAACGCGCCATGAAGAGTCTATTCAAGACGTATGTTGATGTAGTGCATGTGAGGAAGATCGATAAGCGAAGATTAGGGGTCGATGTTTCTACTTTGGATCATGATGCGCAAGACGCGATCATTGGGGATGCTGCAGAAAGCGGGGGCGCTGCCACCACCACCACTGCCGAACAGGCAGTGAATGAACACCTCCAGAATAACGTTGAAGAAGTGCGGAAAATCACTGAACAAGAAATTGAGCAAATTAGAACCACTGCTGCTAGATTCGACGTCTATGAATTGCTTGCCAGGTCCATTGCTCCAAGTGTGTACGAATTAGACGATATTAAAAAAGGGATTTTACTACAGTTGTTTGGTGGAACCAACAAATCGTTCAATAAAGGTGGAAGATATAGAGGAGATATCAATATTTTGCTTTGTGGGGATCCTTCGACTTCGAAATCGCAAATCTTGAAATACGTCCACAAGATTGCCCCTCGAGGGATTTATACGTCTGGTAAAGGGTCGTCTGCTGTGGGTTTAACCGCGTACGTCACCAGAGACGTCGATACAAAACAATTAGTGTTGGAATCCGGGGCATTGGTGTTATCCGATGGCGGGGTCTGTTGTATTGATGAATTCGATAAGATGAGTGAATCCACCAGATCGGTGTTGCACGAAGTTATGGAACAACAAACGATTTCCATTGCTAAAGCCGGGATCATCACCACTTTGAATGCCAGAACCTCGATCTTGGCATCGGCTAACCCTATTGGATCACGGTATAATCCTGATTTACCAGTGACTTCGAACATTGATTTACCACCACCGTTGCTTTCAAGATTCGATTTGGTGTATTTGGTATTGGATAAAGTAGATGCGGTTACCGATAGACTGTTGGCGTCGCATATCGCCAACATGTATTTGGAAGATGAAGTGAGCCATGTTTCTAGTAGTGAGATTCTCCCAGTGGAATTCTTGACATTATATATCCAATACGCCAAGGAACATATCAAACCGCAAATCACCGAGGACGCTAAGAATGAATTGGTCAAAGCGTACGTGGGGATGAGAAAGTTGGGTGAGGATGTTCGCAGCTCTGAACGTCGGATTACCGCGACCACCAGACAATTGGAATCGATGATCCGTCTTTCGGAAGGTCATGCCAAGATGAGATTGAGTAGACAAGTCGAATTACAAGATGTTCAAGAAGCGGTCAGATTGATCAAATCAGCGATTAAAGATTATGCCACCGATCCAGTGACGGGGAAAATCGATATGGATTTGGTGCAAACTGGACAATCAGCAGCTCAAAGAATAATGAAGGATGATTTGATGAACGAAGTGGTTTCCATAGTTCAATCACATAATAATATCATGAGTTATAACGATTTGATCAGAAGAATTAATGACCAGTCGCAAATCAGGGTGGAAAATATCGAATTAAGTGATGTGTTGAATCTTTTGCAACAAGAAAATCGGGTGGTGATCACTGGTGAAGGGTCGAGAAGAAGTATTAGATATATTGGATCGTCTATTTGATTGTTTTTTTAATTGGTTTTTTGTTATTTCTTTGTATGAATGTAGTTCGGGTTTAATTAATATACAAATTGAATAAGAATAAGAATAAGAATGAAACTTATTGAGAATGAAGAGTGAAGTTTAATATTTTACTAAACGCACCACGCAGAATATGAGATGAAGAAAAAAAAATTCTGAGGCCAAAAAAAATAAATCACCGGCAGATTATTACTTGTTGTTTAAGTTCCATTATTTATAGATAACTACCTCCATAATGTCTGCTGCTGCTTCGGCTAGTAAAAGAGTCTTGTCCTCATATTTGCGTGCTTTCCGTGCCACCAGAGTGGCTTTTCAAGGTAAGTTGTGATGGAAGAATCATTGACTGATTTGTCATAAAGTACAAATTGCTAAAAACGTATCTATTGTTTTTGGTATTTCTTTTTTAGACGTCACTTTCCCTTTTAATATATTTAATGCCTCTCATTATTTTTTGTCGTCTCTTTCTCTCTCGATGATATCTGTCTTTTTGGTGCTTCTTCCTTTTTTTTTTTTGGTCTATAGTATAATCTAAAACCTTAATGATGTCTTCCTTACTAACTGTCTCCCAATAGGTGATCTCCCGGTGCTTACTGCCTCAAGGGGTGAAATTAGAGAAAATTTCAGAAACCCAGACACTTCGAAACCTCTTGAGGCGAGGTTGAAAGAAATGGACGATATTTCGACTTTCTTATTGAGAAACATCGTGCAAGGTAAAAAAATGGAGAATGCCGATGGTAAATACGCCCTTAATATTCACAGTAAGACTGAGTTGGGGGACAATGATAGCGTAAAGAAGGCCAAGAAGGTGCTCATGGACAATAATGGCGGGTGTTGTGGGGGAGCCAACGCAAAGATATAAAACGGGGTTCCTAAAGCATATTAAACACGAGAAGGTTGTGTTCTAAAATGTAATGGAGGTGGTTGTATTTTAAGATAGGTAGGGAAGAATGGGTGGAGGCCTCAGATATGATTATGGTACTCGAAAGAGATAGCTTATAAAGTCTGTCTAATAATATGTTCCTTTGCAATATTCAATTATAATGGTGGATGGTTTATTTATTATATATTAGGGTTGAATGATTTTTATGTTCTAGTGATATATTCAAGACACCCGAAATTTCTACATCATGGTTGGTTTTTTAATAAAGAAAAACAAGATTAGTTCTTTTATTATTATTATTATTATTATTATTGGTTTGTCTCTTTCTGTGTGTCTATTTAATCCCCATTTTCAAAAGATAGAGAGTTTTGTGAAGGAAGGGGGTTTGTCTGTATATAGGTGTATCAACGAGATTATAAGTTCGTGTGGTTTTTTGGGATATTTCGTGGGTTTTACCACAAACTGCAAGCTATGCCAAACGTAGACACCCGTCGTAAACATCCGCCAGTAACAGCTGATAATCTATCTATTTTTGGCATTCAAGAAACTTACATCAACTTCGTTTGCAATACTTTCATTGGCAATTTTTGAAGTATAAGTTTGTCTGTATAATCTAGCAAATAAGTTAATTTTGAGAATGGTTGATGTTTTTTCTTCTTCTTCTTCTTCTTCTTCTTCTTCTTCTTCTTCCTTCTCCACCATTAGAATCTTGTAATCTTCAGTATTTTCTCCAGCTATGTCTAAATCCCAAAAATAGTCTTCTTTCACCTAGTTATGACAATTAATTCTTTCGATGAATAGGTACTCCTCTAAGGAATAGTTGTGGCTTTCCATCGCTTTCTTGAAATTGATCAACAACATACAGACACCATAGAAAATTGCTATAGAGGATAAGTCGATTCCATCTTGTGTATTCAATGCCATGATTGGAAAACGGTTGTGGGCATGGGCAGTTTGGGATTCGCTTCTAGTTCGCAACTCCTGTGAATCAGCATTTACTCTCTTCATTTTTGCTACCAAAAGTTCTACTTCTTCTCAGTTTAAACCAGGGAAAACATCTGTAGTAGCGTAGAGCTCGAATGGTGGTGTAGGAAGTTTCTTTAGTATAGATAGGACTTTCAGGATACACTATGTAAGCATGTAGGCAGCACAAGCGCCCCAGGAAGGAATCTTCAAATCTCTTGCTCAACTTGGCCTGTCGGAGATGGGAAGAATTATTATAGACAACACCATCTGACAGATTGGTAAAGCCTAGCAACATTTCATACATTCCAACAATATATTGGAACTTCACAGAGTACAATTGCTTGCAATTGTGCAGCTGATAGTTTTTTCTTTGGAATCACAAATATGCAAAATTGAACTACCAATAAAGCTCACCACTTTTGAACAGTATTTTTGGCCCGATATATTCCGTAAATGATCAATTGTCTGTTTCGGCATTTTGTAACACCCACCTTTCAATAAGTACTAATATTTGTGATAAATGTAATGGAATAGTTTGACAATTAACGAGCAGATGACTTTAGGAGAAAGCCCAAGTGACATTGAAATATCAATAAGTCGATAAGGTTCAGAAAACCATCGTGCAAGAAGGCATAGCAAGGCATTCGGTGGCCGAGATCCTAGCATTATACTGTTTCACAAACTCTACGTCAACTTTTAATAAAGCCAACAAGTAATTAATTTGCGCCCTTGTGAACCCGAAACCTGAAAACGCAAAACGGCTATTGTAATGATTCAAGTTTAACTTGAACTTTGGCCACCCCTTATTTTACTCCAACACACACTCTCCCCCATTTGACAAAAGATTATTACTCACGCTGTATACTGAACACTGTATAAAATATATTAATATAAAAGGGAACCATCGATGTTGAAAAGAAGTCATTTTCACAACTTAACAAAAACAAAAAAAAAAAAAAAAGAGCAAAGGTAAAAGAAAATCGATAAATGAGAAAATGTAATGTGTTAAAAGAACAAGAAAAAGCTAGAAGTCACCCACCCAAAAAACCAAAATAAAATCAATAGATGATCCAATATAAGAAAAAACGAAAACTAAAAATGAAAACTATTAGAAGATCACGATATCCGATAAGTTTGAAACCATAAAAAAAAAAAAAGGATAGAAATGATGAAGATATCTGAAGATATCTGAAGAGTTTAACCCACAAAAAAAAAGGATAGATAATAGCAGAGCAAGATGGAAGTTGTAGAAGAAAAAAAGATAGAAATGGAATAAAAGAGTAGAAATAATTTAAAAAAATAAAAATAACTTAAAAGAATACAAAATCATAGAAATCAAATGAAAAGATTGAAGGAGTTTGCAGTGATGTGTCAGCCAAAAATTAATTTTCCAATCATACCAACCACTTCACAACTCACCAGCATAAACATTCCCACTGCCACTGTTTCCTTCTCCATCATTCACCCCGTCTTCTGGGGATGTATCGGCAAACCTTACCAAATGATTTTCGTTTGTTCTATGGACAATCCGAGCAAGATCTCCCGACAAATGGTCCAGTAACGGGGTATCACCACCCGGCACCCTTCTTTGACCGGATGACGGTAAATTCCCCATGAAATAGTTTCTTAAAGGATACGCTCTGGTCAGTTCTCCACCACTAAGTCTAGGCATTTGCAGATGACCTTCGGGGATCGCGGTGTAATGATATTGAATATCACCACTGGCAGTCCCAGGAGCGGTGGCGGTAGATAATGAAGAAATCGGGCTATATAAATGGGTGGCCGCCCTTTCTTGAACGGCAATATTAATTGGATGATATGGAAGGTAACTTGTAGCAAAACTATTGCCATCATTTTCGTCTTCTTCCTCATCATCGTCTCTTTGATGTTCATTCCTTTCTTGTTCTTCCTCTTTTTCTTGTTCATCCAGGGGATAACTCATCACTTCATTATCATCATCATCATCTTCTTCTTCTTCTTCTGCTTCATCTTCATCTTCTTCTTGGATTGAATGGTAATTCCCATTGTTCCATAAAAAGCCTCTATTCTCTTTAAATATCAAGCCACGGTGATTCCTATCGATAACTTCATTCCAATTGTCACAAGAAAACTTATACTCGAATTCATCACCAAACTCAGTATTCTGTAGTAAATCTTTGGTCATTTCAAAATAATGGCGGTCATCACGGTAGATGATTTTGGTATTGGTGACAATAGTTGTTGGATCATTACTGCTCAAAAACTTCTCGTAACAGCCATCATCATTATCATCATTATCTTCTTCCTCTTCTTCATTTTGTCTATCCAACCAATGAATTTTATCATTTAATTGACAAAGATAAGCTTTCATCGTACTAGAATCAACGGTTTTACCTTCATCAAGGGTTTTTCTGGCAACTACATAATCGACCACAGTAGCTCCGGTTTGTAAACACCCAATTAATGTTGCTTCAATGACAAACCGGTTCTCTTTATATTTTTGAGATATCGACCCGGCTTCAAGATATTTCCAACCAATGGTGGCCATACATTGCTTGCACTTGACATCGGCGATTTTAAACACCCCGGTAATCAAGTGTCTGGTCTGATGTTTTCGAGCAATGAGATAGTTAGATAGCTTGTTGACAAAAAATGCTTCACCATGTACCCCTTTGAATTTCTGGTTTCCTGTTAGTAAAAACAAAGCAAAAAATATTGGGGACAGGATGATCATAATCGGAGATACTTACCCCTGGAATGATCCAGGCAGAACTCAATAAATGGGTATGGCATCCCCGACAAACGTATACCGGGTGCTGGGTATTGAGGTCCTCGATCATCTCGGTGACCTTGATCCCCATGGTGAAGGGTGCTTTATGGGATTATGATGGTTCCTTTTGGGATGTATTCTTCTTTTCGACTCCTGGTGGGTATTTCCAAGAATGTTTGTGAGAGCTGGGGGAAAAAAAAGGAATGAACTCTGTAAGAATTATTATTGTTATTATTATTATAAGTATTGGCAATGGAAAGATATTGGAATCTCTAAGATATATCTACTTGGAAGAGCACCAATCAAGTTGGTTCCAAAGGTGACTCCTTAGCGATGAGCAATGCGATGAGATTAAAAAAAAAAAAAAAAAAAGAATACAACAAAAACAAAATAGGACGAACCAGACTATCGGATGACAGAATTATGGTGGTAAGCTATGCTTTTATTTTTACTTTTGACGGTCAATTTGTAGATATTCCAACAAAAGAACGTTTCTACGAGAAAAAGGATTGTGGACATACAGACAGACAAATTCCCTCTTCGTACTAATTGCGCATCACATGCCCTCATCCCCCCCCTGCTACACACTCCGAATACAATGCAAAACAACGATAATATTCATTTTTTTGGTCTATTTACAGACAATATATGGACAAGAAAAATAATCATAGAATAATTAATAAGAATTAATGATGATCACCACTTGTAAAGCCCTGGAATCACCCCACGGATAGGCTCGCTCGGTAGCTGTTCCCACGCTTTCTTCTTTTCGGCCTTCATCTTCTTCTCGTGAGCTAATCTCAATTTCGTTTGTTCTCCTCTCAAAATCATTCTCACATGGATGTATCTGTGTGTGATCACCCCCATTCTCCCTCTACCTTTCCATTCTTGACGTTTGAGGAAACGCCCATCGCTACCACTCCAGATTCTCGAAACAAACAACTTGTTGGCGTCCAATTCGACTTCCTTGGCCTTGGTGATCCCGGTTTCTAATACTTCTCCCAATTCTTTGGCGATCTTCTTCTTGCTGAAATGACACTGGTTGATGGCGTCCTTTAATGACAAACCGTTCAACAATCTAGTGACCAAGGTGGCCTTCTTGGCAGACGATTTAATCCGGTACGATTTCAAATAAATACTTGGTTCAAGCACTTCGATTTCTTCTGGTTTAAGTGACAATCTGTAACTTTTGCCATCGTCCAACTTCACCAGCTCGCCATTCATGAAAAACCCAAACTTGGCAACATTAGCCAAATAAACCTGCTTCTTGAGCGGCGACAACAAGCTATCCACCGCCACAAGAGGTTTGTACTGTTCTTTGTAGAAGTTCTGCAATAATGTGTCGTCTTCTGGCTTCAAAGTCTTTCTAAGGACTTCCAATCTTTTTTGAGTCCGTTGTTCTTCGGTCAACACCACTCCATCATCGGCAGATTCGTCAATGTTTTGAGTGGCCGCGGTAACCTTATTGGCTTGTTCGGCAATAGCGTCCAACTTTGTGGTTTTCGCCTCAGTAATGTCACTGAACAATGATGATGATGATTTATTATTCAAACCGTGGTGGGAGGTGTGGAAGTTCCCTACCGATTGTCTGGTGGCCATCACCATACTTCTGGCCACTGGCATCTGACGAAGTACCATGGCCAGCAAGCTAGAACTGAGAATATATGACATTCTCTGAGTTATTATTATTATTATTTACTGATTTATGGTGAATTATCGCACCGTTTGATAGATGATTTATTTGCTGGTGTGAAAAAAAATTTTGTTTGGTTGGACGTTCTCTTTATGCACGTGACAATGGCACGTGATGGAAAGCGAACCCTCTGTTATGTAGTTAGTATAAGTAATGATAATAAAGTAAATCCAATGGTTTTGGAGAAGGGAGGGGGTTTTTCTTTGATATATTGGTAGGTTGTTTTTATTAGTATTCTTATGGATATTATTCATTTCAAATGACGTTTGTTGTTGTTGTTGTTTTTTTTATTAGAGTATAATAATAGTGTCCTTAAATAGACATAATGGAAAATAGTAAATAATAATAATAATAATAATAGTAGTAGTAGTAGTAGTAATATTAGTGAATTAATAATGGCATCACAGTAATAACCATGATTTTCATAATCCTTCTCCTGTATTTTTTTTTTTTTGCATTCTTTAGATGTTTGTTTTGTATTTTGCAAAAGTATCCATATATTCCCACCCTTGAATACAATTAATAGCAGTCTTAACAATAATTTTGTGGTTGGCTTGCTTCTATTACTATTTTTTCTTTCTTTGCAATTGCATCAAATCCATGATAATCCTTCTTCTTCTTCTTCCTCTTCCCAACAACAACTTCAACACTTTTCTTCGTAACGTAATGATAAATAAATGACAATAATAAATGATGATAAATAAAATAACAATGATGAATTATAAAATAATAGTGACATTAATGAATAAACTTTCTCTCAATAATGATGAATAATAACCTGTCTCCTTCTTTCTAACTGCTCCATTTTCACTCAACAACGTTTCCCCGCCCCCTCTCGTCCCGAAAATATATTTTATCTACTCGTCATCAAACCCTTTCAAATCCTTGTTTCTTGGAGCTTTTGGGACCGGATAAGATTGTGGCAATGGAGTGTGGTCTGGATAAAGGTACTTTCTTCTAAGTGGACCAACCCCCAACAAGAATACTGGACCCATGGCCCCCAACATCACGGCAAAAAACAAGTGAGGTCTATTGTGGGCGTAATAACGCATCCAACGGATTGGTTGTTTGAAGTAAACTGGGGCACTGGCTTCGGCTGCTGTCATTGTGTTATTATTGTTATTATTATTATTATTATTATTATGATTGGAGATATCCCACTATTTGATATTACTACTATTATCTCCTAGTAAAAGTTCTGCTCTGGCGATTCTCTCTTTTTTTGCGTTTCGATTATTTTTTCCGCCGCTGATTGGTGGAACAGGCGGTTATGAGTGGAGGCAGGCGATTGTGGTGGTGCAGATTCCTCCCAACATGACAAATTATATTAGTTTTGTTTATTTCATGGCTTTGTTCAGAGGAGGGATTTATTGTGTTTCTTATGGGCTGAATGGTGCGATTGAAGTATTGAAATATCAAAAATATATAGTATATTTGCTGGTGGTCAAAGGTGGAGAAGAAGAAGAAGGAGAAGAAGAAGAAGAAGAAGAAGAAGAAGAAGGATTATCATCATGAGAAACTAATACTTCTTGCTTTGAAAAAAAAAAGATCCAGTAATGATGATCGTCTATTCCAACGTTAGTAGATTCCAGAAATGGTAGTATTCCATTCCACTTGTAGTATAAATTATGCTTAAAGTATTTATAGATAATCCTGTGTCAACCATGAGATCTCGCGTATACAGGACTTATCTTATTCCCGACGTTATTCTATAATTATATCTGCCTCCTGATCTCTCACCTTACCCCCGATCTCATTCCACCTTATTCCGTATGTATCTTATTTCCTATCTTTTTATTCCTCATCTTATAATCACTATTCTATATTCATTATCTATTTAAAGAGGCACTAAACAACCTATTCCTTGCATATTATTTAAATAAAAAATCAAGTTAATATTACAAATTCTAGTAATTTCAACACAACCTCAACCATTTTCTTATAGTATCAACTCTTCTTATTGCCTTACCTTCTGTTCCTCATCTTCAATCATTCATTTGATTGATCAATTGAAAACTCATCGTGCTAAGGTATCACAGGTTTTTTTTTCCCTTTGATAATAAAACCAATTGGAGTTGTGAATATATTATATTGCCTGAATTTTCCATCCCATCCATACTTCATGGAAGTGCTCCAATACTATGGAAAAATATCTTCTCCAGAGCAATTAGACAGTTTGTTTATTACATTCTCTGTCCTCTTAAATAATCATTAATTGGCAAAATAACATGTATACATTCTCAGAATTTTATCATTTTGGATAACTCGCCTTCTGTTAGGATAATTATTTCGGTAGTTTGGCCAGTATAAGTTAAGTTGCGAAGACGTCAAGGAAGTTGAAGACGCACGTACCCCCCTTTAAGCCATACTTACTACTACTACTACTGCTACTACTAAATAACATAAATCTATTATTACCCAATGAGCGGTGCTTGTTAGTGGTTGCCGATGATCATCCGAAAACAATATGCTGAAAGAGTGGCAAAAACTACGGGAATTTAAATAATTTCCACACCTCAATTAATTGATAATATTTAGATAATTTACATGAGCATTATTAAAACTAAAATGTACATTTAAAGAAAAACAAAACAAAACAGGTAACAATAGACATATAAATGGTGAGTTGATATATGACAATCCATTGCCATGGTAATGGTAGAAAAATAAAAATAATTCAATAGTTACTATAGATAAATTACAATCATACAATACCACCTCAATACCTTGCATCATATTCCAAAAACAATAACCATTCCTCAATTACCATTAATTCTTCTTTCTTTGCTTAACTTCTCCTTCATCGACCCCTGAAGCCTTGGCTTTTCCATCCGCTTGTGCTTCTTCTGGCTTAACATGTCCGTATTTCTTTTCATTTCTGGCATCTTTCTTTGCTTGTTTTTCGGCTTCTTTTTCCTCTTCTTCTTGTCTTTCACGTTCTTGCTTTTCGAATTCTTTTAATCTTTGTTGATACTCGATTTCACTGTTTTCATCTTCAATGATTTGATAATATCTCCCAGCTTGCAATACAAGAACCCCAAGGAGGAAGAACACCATCATACATTGACTGGCACCAATGACATTGATCCCGGTTGGCATATCGACTTCACCCCAGGTCCCATAAGCGGCGGCAGCAATACCGGTTTTGATATTGGTGATGGCCACACATACCCCAAAGAAGTATAAACCAAGTGAGGTGTAATCGTAAAGTTTGAGGTTAGCCCCTGGTTTGTAAAGCACAATAAGTAGCCCAGTGAACCCGAGCAACGTGACGATGAAGAGGGGGATATAACCGAGGATTGGAAGACGGTACCAACGTTGGTAATGGGCCAACGATTCGTCGAAGTCCACTGGTTGTGGTTCACTGAAGAGGGTGAAGTAAGTATAAGGAACTTGAGCGTACACAAGACCTAAAAGGAACGAGGTGGCTAGAAGGAAAGTTAGTTAGTAAAAGTTGTGGCGATACAAAAAAAAAAAAAAGTATATATATATATTATATCTATCGATACTCACCAGAAAGAGCAAGACCGATCCCAATAGGGACCAACTTAGCGTATAAACCCATGATTTATTTATTTATTTATTTATTTATTTGTTTGTTTTGTTATTATCGTTGTAAAAGGAATATGTAACGAAAGAGTTAGAGCTGGTGGGTGTACGAACATTCTTATGATCCCCATTTTTCCCAAAAAGTTGGAAATTTGCAGCATGATAATGCGGACTGATTCCCCTACCTGATCGATGGTGCCGCAGATTTTCTCGAATGTTTGATAGCCAATATACGAAAGAAACCTTTGGAAAGATGCTTATTTTTTTCTTTTTTTTTCATTTCATTTTCCTAATGAAAATCTTCATAATTATAATATCTGATGTAATACTCTCAATGTAATAGTACTCTTTTCTTACATCTTTCAGTTAAAATATTTTTTAAAACTTATAGTACAAACATATAGAAACACATGTTAATTAAAATTCAATAAAACTAAATAATAAATAAAGTTCAAAGAATTTAGGCTTCAACTGGAGCTTCTTCAGCAGCTTCTTCTTCAGCAGCGGCTTGCTTGTAGGCAATGACAGTTGGTTCAGCAACGTCTTCTTCTTCCTTAGGGTCGAGGATTTTGACGTAATCTGGCAAGGACTTTGGACCGAATCTAGCGGTGGCTGGGTCTCTCATAATCTTAACCTTAATACCGAGGACACCTTGTCTCATCAAGACGTGTCTGATGGCAACGTCAATGAAGTCTCTGACTGGTTGACCAGAGTGGATCATGAAACCGTCGTGGAACTTCATGGACTTGGCTCTAGCAGCTCTCAACTTACCAGAAATGACAACTTCGACACCCTTGGCACCGGATTCCATAACGTATCTAACGACACCGTAAGCGGCTCTTCTGATGGCCAAACCGTTCAACAACTTGTACTTGAGGGATTCGGCTTGGGCAACAGCGGACAAACCTCTTTCTTGGACTCTTTCAACGTAAAGAACAATGGTACCTTCGGCGAACTTGAATCTCTTTTGGATCAAAGAGGTAAGTTCGTGGATTCTTCTACCATTTTCCCCAAGAACGGCTTGAGTGTGGGTGGCTCTGATGATGACTTCAGTCTTGGTTGGGGTAACTCTGACTTCGACACCGGCGTAACCTTCTTCGGCCAATTCTCTGGTGAAGAATTCGTTCAATTCGGCGTAGAAGACACCGTCAGCGACAAGCTTTCTTTTCTTGGAGATGATAGCAACCATTTTAGATGATGTGATTTGATGAGTGAATGTTAGGAAACGAACGAGGAAGGAGAAACAGAAATTTTTTCAAATCAAACTTTTCACCGCCAACCGCACGCCGCTGGAAAATAAAAACAAAAGTCACGTGAGGAGTGAATGGGAAGCTGTTAGGGCACATAAGTGGTGACTAGCACGTGTGATGCAGGCTAGGCTAGGCGACGCTAGGGCGCATATTCCTGGCAACTGGCGGGCGACGCTTGTTGTTATCCACAGAATTGGCATTTGCACCGGAGGGTCCCAACAATCGTGGAGTGGACATTGTGAGAATGAATGATAATAGACGTGCAATAAATAAGGGGTGGATGGGAAATAAATACCAAACACTGAACAACAAGTAGAATAATAAAAATACAACAATAATAATAATAATAATAACAACAACAATAATAATAATAATAATAATAACCACCATGATACAAGAGAAAAAGGTCTAGATCGCCAAATAGGAGAACAATCAGCCCTTCCCAAACCGGTGATTGCGGGGTGCACACCCCCAAGACAAGTTGGGTTTTTGTCCTAAAAGTTGTCGGAGTTATATTAACTATACTGTGTTATATATTATTATATCGTATAGTAGTTTTATATATGCTGTATATAGATGTTATGATATATATCTATATATAGATATCATAATACTGTATATAGATATATACCCGACACACCAGGTAGACAGAGAAGAGAAGAGAAGAGAAGAGAGATATCCCATTCTGGTTGGAAACCACCGCGAACCTTATCAGTTTCAGCTATTGTCTCACAACGTCGGTGACACGCACTAAAAATTAAGTCGATCGTCCGCACTATTATCCTTTATTCTGTTTTGGTTTCTCCTATTTAAGTTCTCCAAACATTATAAATATGGCAATCGCTCCTTCCCAATTCAAGCCTTGTTGTCTCTTATTATCGTCATCAATATCACTTTTCTATCGATCTATCTACCACCACCACCACTAAAAATGCAATTCTCTACTGTCGCTCTCTTCGTCGCCACCGCTGCTGCCTCCACCACTGTCGTTGTCACCGACGTCGATGCCACCGTCACCGGTACCATCTACTCCTGTGGTTCTGAAGTCACCAGCTGCCCATACTCCACTTACTCTTCCACCGAAGCTGCTGTCGCCACCACCGAAGCTGCCAACTCCACCTCTGTTGCTGCTTCCAACGGTACCTCCAACTACTCTTCTCCAGCCGTCTCTGTTGCTAGCGGTGCTGCTGCCGGTGGTTTGTCTGCTAACGGTATGGTTGGTGCCATCGCCGTTGTCGCTGCTGGTCTCTTTGCTTTGTAAGAAAATCGTCACTAATTACTAGAGATACCTCCTTTTGTTTGTTTGCTCCTGCTTGCTTCTTTTTTTTTTGCTAATTCTTTGCTGATATCGTTTGTTATATTTTCTTTTCTATAGAGTACTGGTCTTTCACTTAACATTGACTGGTCAAGCTGGCCTTGAGCCGTGTACTACTACTAATTTGATCTATTCTGGTTTTTAAAGATTATTGTAAGATATAGTGCAACATATCTATCGTCTTTTTTTTATGAATTGTAACGCATAATAACCATAACAATTGCAATCAATCAATCAATTTAATGATTAATTAATCAATTAATATAACACACCCGCACCCACACAATATTATAATTACAATATTATAATTACAATAATAATAATAATAGAGTATCAACCACAACCCAATACATACTCGGGCGTGGTAGTGCGCGTAGCCCAGAACACACCCACCCGGCAATCCACGCGATATTTTGAAAATGCACCACAAAGAAACAAAGAAAGGAGAAGGAAAAAAAAACAACAGCTAACCCATTAACAATTCACAGTTTTTCTTCCGTATCAAAAAAAGAAATTCACCTGCTAATAGTGCCCCTCCCCTATTATTATTGTTGTTGTTTCTGTTAGACTTTCTAATCGTTCGTTCTCTACACTCCCATCATATATATATATATATATAAAAAAATGAGAAGTATCAAGTGTGTCGTTGTCGGTGATGGTGCCGTCGGTAAAGTATGTCAAAGTTATTATACCTGGTATCGAGATCAATCTCTATATCATACCCAGCACAATATTTTACTAACACAGCTTATTATTATTATTATAGACCTGTCTTTTGATCTCCTACACCACCAACACCTTCCCTCACGATTATATCCCAACCGTCTTTGATAACTACTCTGCCAATGTCATGGTCGACCAACAACCAATCAAATTGGGGCTTTGGGATACCGCCGGTCAAGAAGAATACGACAGATTACGTCCATTGTCTTATCCACAAACCGAAGTGTTCCTCATTTGCTTCTCGCTCGTCGAACCTTCGTCATTCGCTAACGTTAGAGCCAAATGGATCCCAGAAATCCGTCAGCATTCCACCAGAGATATCGCCATTTTGCTTGTCGGTACCAAGTTGGATTTGAGAGACGATCCTCACACTTTGGACAGATTGAGAGAATACGGTAATGAACCAGTCACCACCGCCGAAGGGAAGAAAGCCGCTAGAGAATTGGGATGTGTCGATTATTTGGAATGTTCGGCCTCTTCCCAACAAGGGGTCAAGGACGTGTTTGACGCTGCCATTAAAGCAGTGATCGATCCACCAAAATTCAATGAACCACCAATCATGAATGCCGTCACCGGTTCCAACAATTTCAATAATAGTACTGCTACCACTGGTGGCAAGAAAAGTGTCATTGGTGGAGGCAGAAGAAGTAGAAGTGGTAAAAAGAACAAGTGTGTGGTGTTATAATTTATAAAGTTGCGATGTTATTACTGTTATATTATTATTGAAAAATGTTTTTGTTTTTATTGAATTTTCTTTTTTTTTTGTTCAAAAATAGTATTAGACCCGGGAATTTTTAATTATCTAATTATGTTATTGAAAAGAAGAAAGATGAAAGATGAAAAGAAAAAAAAAAAAAGAATCGTTTTACTATTGATAGGCATGATATATTATTGATAGACAGGATATATTTGGTTTTTTTTTTTTTTTTTTTTTTTTTCAATGAAGAATTTGATGATAGTTTATTGAGTTGGTACTTTCTGAATTTCAAGCATGGGAAGAGAAAAATAAAAATGAAAAATGAGTGCCACACATTGTCCACTCTGTGCTTCACATATTCTTATTATCGTTCTCCTTTCTTTATTGCTTTTCTTTGCTTTTGATTAGGAGCAATAATTCGTGGTGCTATATTGTTTTTTTTTATTATTATTAATATTATTATTATTATTATTATTTGGTTCATGCTATTTTTTTTTCTCTCCCTCTATCTTTCTTTAGCTATTACTTTTGTTGTGCTTATTTTTTTTTTTTTTTACTTATAATTCAAACATTCATTTTTGTTTTTTGACTATAACATTTATTAATTATTACTAATTTTTAATTTAATTTTTATTATTTTAATTTACAGCTGTTTTTTTTTTTCTTATAACTTCTAATCTGCCCCTTTTTGTTGACTTTATTCCTTGATGTTTTTTTTTTTTTAATTGATATATTTTTAATTGATTCTTTCTCAATTTATCTTTGATCATTTTTGGTGACTTGTTCTTGTAGATGTACATCTGGTATAACTTATTTTATCATTAGTGGCTTAGTTGCATGTCAGGTTTTAGTCGTTATCATATTTGCTTGACAGGCTATCTATCATTTAATGACAGACGCATTGACAGTGTTGTTATCTTTGATGATTGATCATTATCTGGATTGAAAAGGCCATTTTTAATCGATATGTTTTTTATCACTTTATCTGTGATCGTTATCTTGGGATAACAGCTTTATAGGTAGTCAGTATCGGGATTAGTAGTTTATCAATGATCATTATCTAGATTGTTAGTTTTTCGTTGATGGGTATCATAGATGATCTTTTGATGCTCGTATCAATTGACAAACACCGACTTGAGGTATGTAATGATCTTTGACAATTATATTATTATTACCTGAAAAAAAAGATTGACTTGAGGTATGATCTCTAATGGTTTAACAATTCGCGTGTTGTCGATGATAATTTAGTCGTTCCTTGATAAATTGGACTATTCCAATCACATACGTTGCTGATTTATCTTTGATCTAGAAATTGAGAATTTTATCAATGATCTAACGGTTGAGAATTTAAAATGTTGGTGATTATCATGCCAATTTGGATGGCATCTTGTTAATTTTCCTTTTCTCTTCTCTTACCTTCTTATTATTGATTATTGATTATTGATTTTTTTTTTACATCCTATATCAACCTCCAAATATTAACATGCACTCTTTAACATATAAATATATATATACAAACACATACAAAACGACATACAAAAACGGGAATATTAATAAATCACCACCAACCTTTCTTAGAATTCTCCTCCGGCACTTGGTCAAACTTCCCCAAACCATAATTCTTTAATACACTCTCGATATCTCCAAATTGATCTCTATTACCTTGAATCACCACCGTAGGCTTTCCTGACCCTGACTCACTGGCATTCCCGGTCAACACCCGTTGGGCCACTCTTCGGATATCCGCCAACGTCACTTGTTCAATCTTCTCGATCATTTCAAATAATGGGATCTTGTACCCGTGGACCTGGATCTGTCTCCCCAAATCCTCCAATTCCACCATCTTACTCTCCAAATTCATCAATAATGACGACTTCAATTGATTTTTCGATCTTGCCAATTCGGTCTCGGTGATCCCCCTAGATGATGACGATGATCTACCACCACGAATTCTCCCACCTCCCGAAGTGCCTTGGAACGTCAACGCTAGCTGCTGGCACATGATTTCCACCAAATATGGGGCAGCGTTAGGAATACACGCCGCGCTGATTCCAAATAACCCAGAATCGTAATATGAAGAGTTGAACGCCACGCAGTTCTCGATGAACCCATATTTGTTGAGGACTTCGGTGTAAAGTTTCGCGTACATTCCTTTTCCTGGTCCCCCAGCACTAAATGACCCCCCGCCCCCTAAAAGGGTTTGCAATAATGCTAAAGCATAAATATCAGGATCAGAAACACTGAGCCCTTCGAACCCAAGGTGGATATACGAGAACTCCGGCATCAGACCATCAGGGTTGGCAGGATGTGGCAAAGTATATTCTCCCCCGGTGTATTTTGCCGGTGGGAACTTCATAGGAGAGGCAGCATCAGCAGATGATGAAGACGATTGCCAATCACCAAAATACTTGTTGGCCAATTCCACCGCGGTGGTCTCAGGAACCCCGATCATTGATACGGTGATGTTTTCGGGATTAAAGAATCGGTTACGGTATTCATCAATCAATGGCTTGGTGATATATGGTAATCGGTCCATCAGGCACAATAACGGCGACCCAAGGTTCTCGCCACTGTAGGCCACCATGTGGAAGAGTTCCGGTAAGATCAATTCTGGTTTCTTCCAAATCTCATCGATCTCATAACTGGCAAAGTTTTTCTGTTCGTCAATCTCTTGCTCAGTCAATTGTGGGTGAACCACAGTTTCACTGAGTAAACGCACCATTTTCTCCACATCGTCGTTGAACACCGACGCTTGATACATTATGGATTCTCTCGATGATGAGCACATGTAGTTCCCTCCTAACCGTTCGAGACTTTGTAACATTTCCACTCCGGAAAGGTGGGCTGTCGAATTATAAGCGAGTTTATCGACCAAATGACTGACTCCTTGTAATTTCCCCCCATCTTCGAATCGTGAGCCAGCATTAACGTACACTCCAAGAGCCGAGAAATGGCCTGGCAAAGGGTTGGTGACCACTTTGACCTTGTTCGGTAACTCTTGGTACTTGTAAGGTTCTTTGGGGTTGATTATGGTGGTAGTAGACATCTTTCTGGTGGAAACCAACCTTCTGGCGGGTGTCCTGAGTTTTTGGTGGTGACAGAGTCTAAACATCGTTGATTTTGTTATCTAAATGATCTTTTATGTCCTTGAATATGGAGAGTAAGTCAGTTTCGCCGCCATTTTTTTGTTTGATTTTTTTCTTTGAAAATTCCCTGTGGGGACGGCGGCGGCTGTCCTGTGATGGACACATGCGACTGCGTAGTTGTACATAACATCAAAATTACATACAAAAAAAAAAAAAAACCACCAACAACTGGGGTTATATTACTCTTTTCTTCTTCTTTTATACCTCATCTCTTCATTATCCCATTATGAAACACTCTCTTTATTGCCGACCATTCACGCTATTCCGACGGCTATACGCCACAAAACCCCACCACCAACCTAACTACTTCCAGTTATTCCCGAGAACCTTCCCGAACCATGGTCCCCCAAACGATAGATTCTTGATCAATCCTAAACTCCTTCGTAAAGAGTACCTTCAACTTCAAGGAGAGACCCATCCTGATCTTTTGCTCGGATTACTGGGATCTAATGCTAGCAATGCCGAAGGTGCCATCACTGCCGAGGAAATCGTGGCTGAGAATTCCAAAGTGTTGAACCGAGCGTACGCAATGTTGAAATCCCCATTGACAAGATCGCAACATTATCTCATGTTGAACGATATCGATATCATGAATGACGATGATAATAATAATAGCAGTAGCACTTCTTCCTCTTCGCAGTTTCGGAAAATCGCCTCGCAAGACCAGGAGTTGTTGTTGATGATTTTGGATATCCATGAACAATTGGAAACCTGCGGGAGTCAGGAAGAATTAAAGCAATTGAAGGTGGAAAACGATCAGCGGATCGTGGAGGCGGAGAAAATCCTCGATGATTTATATTATAATCATCATGATTTGCAAAATGCGGCAGTAGAAACCATCAAGTTGAATTATTGGTGTAATATTAAGAATGCCATTAAAGAATGGGAACCTGGCAAGGCTGTCAATTTGACCCATTGAGTTTCATCTTACCGATTTCAACCCAATTGATTTTCATTTCAATTTCCCCCTTTGTAATAATCCTCGTTACAAATATCATGTTAATATTCTTGTAATGTCATGTACTATATTATATTAAATGATGGCAAATGTAAAATCATAATATTATACAACTATGAAAAAAGATGATGATTACAATATAAAACTTCAAAAAGAAAACAATAAAGCTAATGAGAGAGAGAGAGAGAGAAAAAAAAAAAAAAACTAGAAAGAAAAAATATGACAAAATATAGCATTAACCACAACCAAAAAAAAAAGAAAAAGAAAAAGAAAACTCTATTACACAAAGCTGGAAAAAAGTATGAAATTGAAACAAATATAATATGGACATCAGAAAACAATAATGAGACAGGTAAAAGAAAAAAACATCATCATCATTTCACGCTCATTATACTTCCATCAGGACTCTTCATGGTCACATCATCATCGTCGGCTTTTACCTTCGAGTCAGTACTCTTGACATCCTCATCGACAACATCTTTTTTATCTTTGTCTTTTTCTTCTGCTCTCTTCTCTTTAGATCCCTTCAATTTACCAACGTCTTGGGGAGTCGCCACTGAATACTCACACTTATTATATTCTTCAATTTCTTCAGGAGTGGTTGGGAATTGTCTCAACCATTTCATTCTTGGCCCGCTTTTACTGAGCTCGCTAAGTTTGAACCCAAATATCTTTAGTTGGAAACTTTCCTTTTGATGTCTTGCTGCCGCCTGTCTTTCCACTTCTTTGAAAGTATTAATGAATAACCCTGGAAAAGTGGTGCCAAAATACGCCCCATCAATGTTCAAGTATCTAGACGACGATGGGAAATAAATATCACAACAGCATGGGCAAAACAACCGCACGGTTTCTACTCCCGCCTGGTCGTACCTGCCAATTGGCAACAACAACATCGAATCACAATTCACTCGAGAACAACTGCCAAAATGCCCATTCTCATACTTCACCGCCATGGCGTTGAGCCCTTCTTTGGTCAAAATGAACCGGGCGTGGATCAACCCATAAAGTTCTTCCGCACTGTGTTCGATTAATGGCAAGTCCGCGGTGCTTATTGGGGGTTCTGGCTCGAAATCAAGGATCAAATCAAGGGCTTCACGGTAGTGCGATATCCCGGACGAAAGCCCCGTCAAGTTGAAATCATCTTCGATAAAGTCTTGCGACACTTCGACAAAATAGTCATGGCCAAATAATGTGCAGTAGTTGGAGATCCAAGATTCGTATTCTTCAGAAGTCACGTCCTCTGTGACGTTCTGTTGTCCTGATTTCCAAGCTGACATGATGTATTATATTTATATTATTATTATATTATTATATCTATATTTTATAGTAAAGATGATATTGTGTTTTTGCTATCTATTCTCTTTTTCCAAGTACAACCAAAGATTGAAAAATTGAGGTCAATTTCTAGGAACAGTAATATATTTCCTGATTGGGAAATGATACGTGGATATTTATTTCAATTGGCGGATAACTGATGGTTGATCGATTGCCACGATGAGCGTGGTAGGCCTCTTAAATTTTAATTTTTGTTGTTTAAAAAAATTTTCTTTTTCTGAGGGAGGGGGGAGGATGGTTACCCGGGGATAAGTATTGTATCACTACCTTCGTTAATATATTAAAATTATTGATATCATTATTATTATTATTATTATTATTATTATTATTATTATTATTATTATTATTATTATTATTATTATTATTATTATTATTATTATTATTATTATTATTATTATTATTATTATTATTATTATTATTATTACATTAGGATATTATATATATATATATATAGTACTTATTAAGGTCTCTAAAATGTTCATAGATGAATGGGTGTGATGCACATGGTGATAAAGGTTGTGCAGGAAACGTCACAATCGACATTATTACTATCCCCTTTTGAAAGGTTTCTTCGATATTGGATATCCTCATTATATTTGAAGTAGCACACTCTTATTGGTAGACGAAGACCATGTAAACTGTTGAAAAATTTCAACTGTTCCTTTTGTAAGTTCAATATTACGCTGCTTTTGTCCCGGATTTCCTCATTAATGAATGTTTCCGTTCTGACCAAAGATTTTCCCAGAGTTTGGCAGTTTAGGAGTTTTGTACGAGTAACTACAATTAATAATGATTGTACCATTGTGAAAATATTGGTCACTAATTCTTCCAGTGACTACTGCATATATTGCAAAGTCCAATAAATATTACCACTCCAAGAGTGTATGTAAATAGTTTATCTTTGTAATCTATGTTCGCGTTGATCACCATTCCTATTATTTTCTTTCTGTTTTCAGTAAAATGCCAGAAGTAAACTCTCATTAACAATATGATTATACAAACAACAAAAAACAAGAAATATTGAATGGCATTGGTATGATAAACAATATAAGAGAGTGAATTATAAATAAATTATTATATCTTGAGATTCTCGATTCTAGCCTATTGTTAACAACATAACAACCATAGCCTCTGAGTGTTTTGTTTCCCACAAAACCATAGCCTGTATTGTTGCAATAACAATCGCGATTATTGATACTCTTAAGACCCTCTCGTTATTGGCATGGGGCAAATACTATCAAGGGTTTCTCATTGCAAACAATCGAAATGTTGAAATGTCGCCGTGCGCGTTGCCCGAGGCATGCATGTTGGGCCAACATTCCAACCAAACACCTCCTCAGATGGTTTTATAATTAAATCATATAAAGATCCTGGAAATTCCAGAAATTAACGAAAGATGTGTCTAGCTTAATATCCATTATCCTTTTTTTTTTTTTTAATAAAATATAATACATTCTTCTCTTCCAATCATCCATAATGAAACTTTCTAGTATTGCTGGGTCGATGGCCCTTTTGAGCATTTCTGCTGCTTATCCAATCAACACCATCCAATCAAATGATAGCGATGATAATGCTAGACCTCATATGTTGCACCATATTGTTGGTAATAGACAACTGGAAGGCGTGCATGCTAGCTTTCATGATAAGAGAGGGTTTTTCGACGACGTTGATAATTGGTTACATCAACATCGTAAAGATAATGAAACTATCGTTGATAAAATGTTTCACCATAAAGATAATGAAACTATCGTTGATAAGATGTTGCACCATAAAGATAATGAAACTATCATTGATAAATGGTTCCATAATAAGGATAATGCCACGGTGATTGAAAAATGGTGGGATCATAAAGACGGAGAAAGCATGGTCAAGGGTTTGTTACATCACCATAATGAAACCATCATGCAGGAATTGTTCCACCATAACAAAAATAATGAGACCAGGGGATCCCATGAATTGTCCAAAAGAACATTCTTTGATGATATTGATAATTGGTTACACCATAAGAAAGCCAACGAAACCGGGTTTGACAAAAGATCGTTCTTTGATCATGTTGATAACTGGTTACACCATAAGAAATCCAACGAAACCAGTCTTGGTAAAAGATCAATCAGTGCTCAAAAAGATGGTTTTGTGAACGCCATGGACAATTGGTACGGCCAAATCAGTGGGAATGTCACCTATGATGCTAAAACTTTGATCCATACTCTTGATTCCTGGTTCCATCAAGAGTTTCAACGGTTCGATAACACCACTAACAAACCATCAGGATTAGGTAAAAGAAACTTACTCGATGATTTGTTTGGTCATTACGAAAATAAAACTGGGTCTTCTTCTTTGCTTTAAACTTTGGTTATCTTTCAAGTGAGCTCAGCTAGTTCTGGTTTACAATTTCAATTCTTGGATTTTTTTTTTTTTTTTCCTTATTCTTTCAATCTAGTTCTATCTACTTAATTCTCAATAATAATAATAATAATAGTAATAATAATAATAATAATAATAACAATAATGTAATACTTCTTGCCAGTAAATATGAATAATCGTCGTTGGAAAGTCTTCCGACACGGCACACCGCGCAGGAAGACCGATCAACACCAAACAAAAAAAAAAAAAACCAACCAACAAAACCACACATTTTCACATCGTTCTTCTGGAAGAATTTCATTCAGTTCAATCAAATCAATCACTTTCAATTGCCAAATGCAGTGGTTGCTTATCATTACCCTTTTGGTGATATCCATCAAATACCTCGTCAACCTTGTGGGCAAGGACGTCATCTCCAGCAAGGTGTATCAAACTTACCTTCGTGTCTCGGGAAATAAAGCCTTTGCCAACCTTCACACTAAAAAAACCGAACTTCGTGATATTAACAAACAACGACTTGCCATCAGTGCCCAGGATCAGTATGCCAAATGGACAAAACTCAATCGTCGCTGGGACAAACTCAAGAAAGAAGTGGACGAGCTCGAAAAGACGTTGCTCGTGACCCAGGCCGCCGCCATCAATGCCATCAAGACCGGGTTGACGGTGGTGACTACCGGGCCAATATGGTATTATAGAGTGATGCATCGTAAAAGTGTGTTGGTTCATTTACCAGCAGGGCTTTTCCCAAGTGTGGTGGAATTCTACTTGTCCTTTCCTACCGTGGCCAGAGGCACCATTGGGTTAGGCGGCTGGATGTTCATCGTTAATACCATGATCGATAGTATGGAATTGATCATTAAGAACTTGGTGTTTGCTGAGAAGGTGGAAAAACCAAAGGAAACTAGTACCAGTAATGAGGAAGAGAAAAAACCACAACCAGCATCAATCGAGCCAAAGATTCAGGAAATTAACTAAAGGGGCGTGCGGTCGTTTTTATAATCACTTTTTCATTTTTTTTTTTTTCTATATTCTTTTCTTCTTTCATTACTATTATTATATTTTATTATGGTTTTTTTTTTTTTTTTTTTTTTTCACTTTGTTTGGAATATCTGCTCTGATTCGGATTCAGCATTATGATTGTCCGTGATGTATTTTTTAATTAGAAGGATTTCTTTATTTTTCAATCTTGATGGGTGTACTCATGGTTTTCTTTTATTATTTGCAAAATATTGCAGATATATTGAGAATTGTTTTGTTGATTGAATATTGTCATGGTCCATTGGGGTAGCGCTAATAAATGTTGGAAGCACAAGTGATTGCCTATACCTATATGTGATTTACAATCGACTGTTTCCTATTGGAGTACTATTGGATATTATGAGCTATTATCTCTAACGAGCCATCAGCTATTATCAGACATTGTGTACCAAGCTCATCATTAGGAATTGGCAATTGGCAATATCCTATCTGGTAATGTCTTGGAGATGCCAAATATTAGTTCACAACCTGGGATAAATGCGGTCTTGCCAATATAACTTTAACCACTTACGACAACAGCAATTAAAAAGAAAAAAAAAAGTTTTGATGATTCAAAAGCAGAGTTAATCATTTGATTATATCTCCAAATTATCTTTAGTTTTGGCTTTGACATGAATTACCACACACATTGATCGTCAAATGAAAAAGAAAAGAGCTCGCGATCATCTCTGTATGCTAAAAGATTCTTTGCAAATCTTATTCTCTTTTTAACAAGTTTGACCTATTTTGAAACATAATTCAGACCGCTACCCATTTTTTTCCATAGACAAATATCAAAAGCTGATAAATATGATATGATCCAATAGAGTGCCAATCACAAAAACTGCTGATTAGATCTTTTATATAATGACTACAAACAAATACTAATTTAAATCATAATATACTTATTCCCTGTTAATCATCACTATTTATTCGTAAACAATACCATACTGGACTCACCATTCTGGCTCGTACACCCCACATGGACAAGAACCCAAGTCTGGGACAAAGTCGACCCCTTGGGCTTCTAATGGGGTTTTCAAGTAAGTGAATACTTCGTCCTTGTTAGTGCCATCTGGATGCCACTTACTGGTGGTGACCCCAAAGTTTTCTTTTCTAAACAACCCTGGGTGCAATTTCTTGAAGAAATACATCGCCCTTGGAATCAAGATCGTCATATCATCGTGGTGACGGATCGTCATCAACGAGGTGTTTGGATCTTTATCTTTACCGGCTTCTTCACGGAGATGATCTTGAACGTCGTCCGGCAACAAACCCAAGTTCATCAAAAACACGTCGTACGCGGTCAATGAAACGTCAACGTTATAGGAACCACCGTACTTGTGACGTCTCCATAAAGCGTTCAACACCGCAGAAACCCCGGCAAAAGCACATTGATAATCGGCATTTGGAAACACTGGAATCGCTGGCTCGTCGAGTCCCAAGAATTTCCCATGTTCCCAACACACCCCGGTGATACAATCGGAGATTTGCTGCCATCCCGAACGGTGGGCCCATGGGCCTTTGTAACCATAACAGTTTTCTCTAACAAACACAATACCTTTACCACGACGCTTAGCCAAGAATTGGATATAAGCCTGGGAGAACCCAAGACGGGCTAACGCGTTTGGACGGTACCCATCGACCATGACATCGGCATCCTCGATAAGTTTCTCGAGCACCCGTTTACCGGCTTCGGTCTTGAGGTTCACGGTAGTATCTTTTTTCCCCAAGTTGGTGTCAAACAAGAGAAGGGCCATATCAGGATTACCATCATTGGAAATTCTCACCACGTTGGCCCCCAACATCGCCAAGTATTTTGAGATTTGTGGAGCAGCAATCACTCTTGACACATCAAGGACGTTAATCCCTTCAAGTGGTCTGTAAGTGCCTTTGGTTTGGGCAGGCCACGGCACTGGTGGTAAGTCTTCGTTGGTAGAATAAAGGTCGTACAATGGGAAATCGGCAGCGGCTTTACCATGCTCGGTTTTGGCGAATTCTTCTTTGGTCATGACAATGGCCCCGGCTTGACGATTACGTTCGTTGGAGGTGATGTCCAACCACTCGGAGTCGTACTTGCGGACTTCGTTGTCGTAGTACTCGATGATTTCTTTTCTGGTGGACAATTCCTTATTGTGGTAAGGCAACCCCAACATCGTCAAGGTTCTATCAGAGTCCATTGACCCGTGCAAATGGAAGAATTTCCCATCTTTGGTGTGGTAGATATTGGTGGTCAAGGCTCTCCAGTCTTCGGTCAAGGTTAACCCACGATCGTAGATCAAGGCTCTTGGATAGATTTCCGGGTCCTTGAAATTCTTACCTCCAAAAGTAATAAGGGCAACCGACACAAGATTCAAAGTGGCCTTGTCGACATCGACCTTCATGGTCTGTTTGGCGTCAGCCCCATAACGATCGATGATGAGGGCATTGACCCAAGTGGCCACCGTGGCCCAGATGGCACTACTGGATTCAGTAAGCTTCAAAGAAGTAGGGATAATCGGGGTGTCAATCCCGGTGTTACTGATGAATTCGATCTCTTTGGCAAGACTCTGGATTTCCGGGGGAAATTGGAGCACCGGATCAGACACGAGTTTGTCAAAGATCTTTTGTGATTCAGCTTTAAGGGAGTATGGCATGGTTGGAAAGGAAATTGATGGGGATGGAAGATGCTGTAAGTCCCGATAGATACACAGAGAGACATACAGCGATCATGGATCCTTATATTGATCCGATTTTTTTTTTTTTTTTTTATTTTATTATTTATTTTTTTCTTTTCTGGTTTTCTTAAAAAGGGAATAAAACCACAGTGGGTGGTGCACCATGGAAAGAGAATCCGATCCAAAAGGTTATATGCTTCACAGGAACAATGGGGCCCCGACGATCTTTGGGGTGGGTGCATTTGGGGGCATTGTCGGTTTGGCCGCCTCTATCTCGACAACATTACTGTGAGAACGCCAATTGCACAGTCAAATATACCAATGCTGCTGTCAGAGGAAACAGCGGATGATTGTGAGAATTGTGTTGCGATGGTCTTCCAATGTTGGAGCAAAATGAGTGTTTTCCACCGGTAATTATTAAACGTTCTGCAGGTACAATTGGAGCCACCGACCCACCCACCCCAACCAAGAAAAATCATAAAGTTTCCTCACAACAGAAATCAGGAGAGAGTTTACGGCACAGATCCCAGACACGTCGCCGCTGACGAGCATTGTATTCGGCTAGTTTCACCGAGATACTTTAGCACTTGTTATTGATCTCCAGGGTATTTCGTATTTGTGCTTGGTGCAGTGCCAGTGCCTGCTGCTGCGACGTGAGCTATTGTTTGGCGACAAGTGCCCAACAACAACAACATTTATTATCTCCATATCTCCACCCCCCTCCATCCCAGACATTTATTCTCTATTTAAAAAAATAAAAAATTAAAAAAATGAAGCAATCAAGCAAACAACTTTAACAAAAATGAAAAGATCTATTGCCATTGCCAATTGCTCGGGATGTAACTGGGACCAAGGGTCTCAGATGGCCAAGCAGATCACAGAGGGCCACATTGACGCGGTTTATGGCGACTACTTGGCGGAGATGAACTTATCCGACAACGCTAGAGCCTATAGGACCGGGGCCCATCTCGGGTGGGAAAAGACTGCCGAAGATGGGATTCTCTTGTCGTTACCTTTGATCGATGAGATCCAAAAGAAGGAACAAAGAACCATCAAAATCATCGTCAACGGTGGAGCCCTTAACCCCCGTGGACTTGCCGAGTTGGTGGCCAAAGAAGTTGCGGCCAACAATTATAATTTGAAAGTAGCGTACGTTTCTGGAGATGAGCTCATTGATCGTGCTCCAGAATTGTTGAAAAGAGACTTAGAGCATTTGGACTCCGTGAATTCCAACATCCGGTACGATCCAGCGGTATCCAAGTTCTCAGAAAAATTGCACAATGACGTTGAAGATTTACAGATCGTCAGTTGCAATGCCTACTTGGGGGGTCGGGCCATTCTTAAAGGCCTTGAAAACGGCGCCGATATCATCATTTGTGGCCGGATCAGTGATACTTCACCAGTGGTGGCGTTGGCGTCGTGGTGGCATGGCTGGTCGGCCACCAGCTACGATCAGTTGGCAGGAGCCCTTATGGCCGGCCACTTAACCGAATGCTCTGCTTATTCTTGCGGGGCTAACTTCTCTGATTTTTGGAGATATCCCGTCGATGACCTAATGGACCTTGGGTTCCCAATTGCCGAGATCTCTAATGATGGGACGTTTGTGGTCACCAAGCACCCATCACTCAATGGGATTGTTAATATCGATACTGTTAGGACCCAATTTCTCTATGAATTACAAGGTACGGAATTCTTGCATTCGGACGTCAAAGTGGTGCTTGACAACGTGATGGTAGAATCAGTAGGGCTTCACAGAGTGAAGTTCTCAGGAATCACTGGGGCCCCTCCACCAAGTACCACCAAGCTCGCGATTTTCTGGAACGCCGGTTATCAGTCGCAAGTGACGGCTATTGCCACCGGGACTGCTTCACAAGTTGATGCGAAGTTTGATCTTTATGAGAAACAGCTCCGTCTCTGGTTGACCAAACAATGCGGTGATAAAAGTATCATTGATGATTTCGACGTGCTAGAATTCCAACGATTTGCCCACCCGGACCCCCAAGCACCAACTCAGAACCGTGGGTCTTCGTTCATGAGAATCTTTGCTCAAGCACAAACCAAGCAACCTCTTGTGTCGTTGAAAGAAGGAGTGGTTTTCTACGGAATGCAACACTATTCGGGCTATCATTTCATCGTTAATGCGTGGGCACCAAGGGATATCAACACTTTTTTCCCATCAACGATAGCTCAAGAAGAACTAGAAGAGACAGTGACTTTCATTGGTGGAGAGACTTATGCTGCCGATAACCTCGTCAAGTGTGAGCCTGTGGGACCTCGGAAAAATTACGAACCAGAAGTCTGTTTATCAACCATTGCTGATAAGTTTGGTCCCACAGTCACCAGTTTCTTGTCAGAAGTGGTGCTTTCAAGATCAGGAGACAAGGGATCGAATTCAAACATTGGGTTTTTCGTTCATGAAGATGACGAGTTCCAATGGCTTCGAAGCTATTTCACCAGTGATAAGCTTCGCGAGTTGATCGGCGAAGACTGGAAAGAATGGTATCATATTGAACGGGTGGAATTCCCAGGGATTAAAGCGGTGCATTTCGTGATCTATGGGATTTTGGGCCGCGGGGTGAGCAGTAGCTCGCGGTTGGACAATTTGGGCAAAGGGTTTGCTGATTGGATCACCAGTAAAGAGGTGGAAATCCCAAAAAAGTTTGTTGATAGATACAAGGGAAAGAGGTATAGTGCTGACCAGTGGAGTTGAGCTACGGGGTTATACTATATAGATCTATATATCCTAATCTACTACATGGTATAGTATATATATAAACCATCATCATTCTTTGTAAATGTCAGTGAAAGAGTAAAAGAGAGAGAGGAATATGGGGTGGTGGTGTTTGTCACGTGCCGGAAACATCGAAATTGGCCGGAAGAAGAAAATCGGCGCCATCTTGATATATTTAACCTCATTGATGCTCCAATTGTCGTCCAGGAAGAAGCGAAGCCATGGATAAATCGACAGTGACTTTCATTGCCACGCTAATTTTAGCGTTCTTGTTCTTGAGATGGTTCATTTCCCCAGACTTGCCTGCCGGTGACGCCACCCGCAACAGAAACGCCAGAAGAAGAAACGCCAATAGAACCAGGCAACAACAGCAGCAACAACGACAACAGCAACAGCAACGAGATGGCGGCCGTCGCAGACATAATCGTCGACCAGTGTCCCCTGATATGATTGAAATAGTCCAGACTTTGGCTCCGAATCTCACCATTGGCCAGATTAGAATGGATTTGGAAAGAACAGGGTCTGTCGAGGAAACCGTTGAAAGATTTCTTTCCGAAGGGTCATTGCCATTCCCTGAAGGGGAGGCTCCAGCGGCTAATGGAGGAGGAGGAAGTGGAGCAGAACCAACTGAAAAGAAGACCACCACCAAGCAAGCAGCGTCTGGGAGTGCTTACGAACGGTACGTGGTGAACAATGCTTCATACGACGAAACTGCCTTGGGTGATGATAGTACTGCTTCTACTAATACTACTGCTGCTGCCGAAGGACAATTGAACAAGAGTGTGGTGGGCTGGGCGAAGACTAAAGAAGAAAGATCTAAGAATTTGCAGCAGAAAAAAGCCGAGATGGTGCTCAGGGCTAGAGAACGGTTGAAGAGCAAGCTTCCAGAGCAGGAAGATGGGAAGTAAACATTGATTGTAATGAATAATCAATAAAGTTAGTATATTTCCATTCATTGTTTCCCGCTCATAAATCATCGAATATCAGATGTTCGCGTGAATTAGAAGGATTTTTGAAGAATCTACCCTGTAATAGCCTGAATAGGTTTCCTAAATTGGTACGCGGCATGTTCTACATATGAGTGGCAATAAAAATGAATAAATGTTTGCATTTTATATATTAATCATGATTTGCATTGTAATGGAAACACTCTTGTGGCCAGGGTTGAGGGCTTATGGGCCGAAGTGCGCGTAGACCGTACAAGAATCAAGGAAAAACCGCCTGTTTATGACAATCCCTATCACTTCCCTAGTTTACAAAGCAGTGGAAAACTAAATAAGAGAATTGCGAGATATAGAATTACCGTCTGTCTATGCTATATTCCACCGCTAGCAATGAGATTTCACGGGAGGAAAAAAAAACCACTGACATCGCCATCCAGAGTAGTTGAAAACCCCACTCCTCTTCAAGGATCATCTAGACAGCCCTCTCCTACCAGGAAACCACCAGTTAATGAGCCAATTGACCGGCTATCGGCACAGGATGGACCATATCTACGGCATCCTAATGGTGCGACGACCCCATCGCCAACTAGAAGGTCTCCGTCGCCTAGGAAAATACCTCCCGTACCCATCGAACAACAAATCCTCGCGGAGATAGAGGTGGCTGAGCCATTGAAAAATATTCATTATCGATCGCCCACATTAACCCAGTTCACTTCAAACAAATTTAAGAAGAAGTTGGTCAAAGAGTTGGTAAATGAACCGATTGAAGATGATGAGGAAGAAGAAGGACATCAAGTAAAGGGTTCTGCGGCCCATGACGATGTGTCGTCGTACGGTTTAAAGTGTTTTAGGGACGAGAACCCCAATTTCCGCTTTATAAGCCAGGAGAAATTGGAATCATTGAAATTATTTCCAGTTGAACATTATCCTTCAATGTCTGCGGTTCCTACAAGGTTCCTGCACTTGAACGTTTCCAAAGTTGCCATCACCAATGTCACGGAAGTTGGGGAATTCGATTACTTATTTGACAATCGCAAAACAAAACAACACATGGCAAGCAAAAAACCCCTTGAAAGACCACATTCAGTGGCATCATTTTCCAGTTTAGAAAGTGGATCAAAATTAAAGAAATTTTCTACAAAGGCCAAAAGGTTCAGTCAAATCGCCGACCAAAAATTAACGGAAAAGGCCCAGCGGCGATTCGGAAATCATATGAATAATCATCATCATTTAAGACCAGAACTATCTTCAATGCCTACTAATAATTCATTATACCTTACCGATACCAATTCTCTGGTATCTGACTTGGCTAAAATATCACAATTAAATACCCAATTATTGACCCAGCAGCAAAATAGCCAGTTCTTCATCAAGTATCATGTATTCTTATTCGATTCGACAAGAATGATCTTGAGCACCAATCCTGATAGAAAGCACGTCTATTGTAAATATGCCCCTGGGTTCACGGTGAATATCCAACACCCAAGATTGCTGCACGATCAATTAATGGCTATCCATCAAGGAGGAACCCCTTGGAAGAAATCAGATGAAGGATTCAGATTAGTTTTAAAAGTGGATGGCGACGAAGACTCTAATAAACCAATGATTGTCGTGACGAAAAAAAGCAAGCTCAAAGGCAATGGCTACGTGGTGTGGTTGCTACGCCGCACGATATTAAATGAGAACAAAGAGGTCGAAATCCAAGAAGAACACGAATTAAACGAGTATTGGCAAAGAGAAATGGTAGAATCACCGTTCTACGACGCTTTCCAAAACTCCGAATTGAGGAATGCGGTACGAAGGGCTGATACCAAAAAAATCATGAATCGGTACGAGATCAACGACTTCAACGAGCTAAAGTGGATCATTGGGTCGATTCCCAAAGTTAAAAGTTCCAATTTTAGTAAGTTTAAGAATTACTCTAAAGATTTACTAACCGAAGGAGCCATTGATTCTAAAGTTGACGGTTCAAAGATCAGCCATAAATACGATGTGTTCTTTTTCACCCAAAACAATACCATCAAGAACTTGAATGTGACACTTCCAGAAACCACCGGCAATAATAAATACGGAGTGATGGAGAATAAAGTCTTGGCTATGTTTAGACCTCACGAGACTAAAGCCCGGAAGCGGCTCGTGAAGGATTTGAAGAGGTTCAAGAATAAAACCTCCGATAAGTTCTACATTAATAACTCAAAGAGTAGCTACGATTACAATCCCATGAACCCAGAGAGTATTGAAGATGATTTCAATAATGATGACGCTTCCTCAATGAACACACAATTGCCAGGGTACGAGGAGTCGAAGCGGGAAATTTTTTATCAGCCAGGAGATGGAATCGTCATGAAGAATACCCCTGATGATTCTCCTAGTAACCTCAAGATGGGCTGGTTGACCATTTACAATGAACTGTGCTTGGCCACTCCAGGGATGTTTGAATTGGTATTGGGGTTGACGTTGGCAGTTGGGTACGAACGTGTCATCAATATGCAAAATGAGAGAAGTGAAGAAATACACTAGATAAAAGATACGTATTATTGTACAATGAAGAAAGCCAAATGCGATCTTGTACTTTTTGTTTGTCCTTCCTGGTGATGCCTGTCTTATTTCCACACTTTCTGAAGTTCAACGTGATTTTATGGTTTGTAAGCCCTCGTTGAAAAATGGTATGGGTTTCAATGAGAGCTGAATATTCAAAATCAGAGACTACTCTAGTGATATACTCTTTTACTGTTCTTTATCAGTTTATCCTGCTACTATTAATTTAAAAGTTTTTTTCAATTACCCAAAAAATTTAACCTTTATAATGAATTTTTTTTTTTTTTTTTCATTCTTAATCATACAACATTATCCTTCTACAGAAATGCTTTTTATTAATATGAAATTGCTTATTTGAATTGATTTAATCTATTTTTCAGAAGCAAATAGCTAAATGATATAAATTATAAATCATCTTATGTAGCTCCTCGGACAGTGAACTTCAAACGACCGGACATTCTAGTTGTTCTCATGTTCCCTACATCAGGTACTCCAAGTATCGATAAGTGATCAACTTTTTGGTCTCAAGGTAGCTGATAATGACGAGAAAAACTTGAATAAAAAAAAAAAAAAAAGGCTAACGATAGTCAACAAACAGCAAATCCCAAAATTACAAAAAGAAAATAAAGCAAGAAAAAACAACATAAAAGTGAAGATAAGAAATAACACAATAATCATAAGTCTTCAAACCACACCCCCCGCACATATTCACGTATACCAAATCAAGCAAACACAATCACTTTCTGCTTTCCTCTTGAACCATCACTGTCACCAATTCTTGCAATGGACCAAAGTCCTTATCACTGACCAAGTCAAACTCCTTTGAAAATAATACAAAATGCTTCAAGCTGGTGTTCAAATGTGTTTGCAATCCCAATTCGGTAATTTCTTCGAAATGATGGCAGTAAATATGCGCGTAGACTCTAAACAATCTCTTCATGATGGTTTTAGCCAATTGCAAGAATCTGGAGGGGAAAGTGGCGTTCAATTTTGTCGGAAAAGCGTATTCATCATCAAATAATCCTTGGATCCAATTCATCAAATTCTCAACGTAAACTGGAGCACTAACACTCACCGGTTTCTTCAGACTTCCTGACCCCTGCCACAAGTATTCGTATTCATTGGTGGCGATCATTCTAGGACAAGTTTTTGGAGAACAAAACTCGGTGATCGACCCATATAACATATTGATTTGGTTATAGAAATCAACAATGTGGACAGCGAGCCATTCATTCAATTCTTCGTCCTGAGGAAGCTTCACTGCCTGAGCCAATGCCGACCCTGATCCTAACGTGGCCTCGGCAAAGTTTCTGATATCTTTATGTGATGTGATGGAGTTTGCAGCGTTGGTGTTAGATTCCTGAGGATAATAGAAGTTCTTATCCAAAAGAGACGAGTCATTTGGGGTATTATTTGCCTTCTTGAAGGCTCTGGTGGTTCTCATTGTGTGAACATTGTTGAGATGTCTTCATGGAATGTTAGTTGAGGCCTGAATTAACAGGAAGAGAAAAAAGAAAAAAAGAATAAGGCAGATTAAAAACGTACAAATTGTGAAAGAGTGACATGGTATCTGTGATAAGTAATATGAAATTGCAGTTTTTCTATAAAAAAAGAATAATGTCAACAATATCAGTTGGGATCAAAATATTATTTGGAGTAAAAAAAAAAATCAGGCTTTCCCACTTTGTTTACCTTTTGCTGTTTGTGATCTTGCTGCGGTGCGGTTATCTGATGGTTGATGGGTGCAGAAAATAGCCCCGACATGCATTATATCTCCCCTCCCCCCTTGGTAAAAGAACCTCTGTAAAGTGAATGGTACGGAGTAGTTTATAGGTTACTATCTTATTGCATTGATTACTCATTTTATTTCATAATAGCACCTCCTTCGTTAGGGTAAATGGTCCGATGTATAGTCAATGTTACCAGTCATATTCTGCCCTCATCTCCAGATTATATAAAGTACACCAGGGAAGAAGAAACTTATCAGAAGATTATTATTCATAAATTTCACCTTCTTCCTCTTTTTCTCACTAATGAATCAAATAATGGATAGCCTATTATTCTTATACCTACTCTTTTACACTAACCAGTGCCATGGTTTAACGTTCTCATTCTTCCAAACACCAAATGCGTTATCCACCACCAGCCATAAAACCAGTGAATTTTCAGATATTACATTAGCTTCCCAGCAAATTGATGATGAGCTCATTTCAACTATAATTACTGATCTCCAAAAAAAATACTCAACGAGTATTGGAATGGTGGAGGACAATTTTGATGTACTGTTCCCCTTGTATGACACGGAAACTATTGATACCACATGCATCTTGAAAGTTCTTGACCCCATTCTTGATAAATGTATTTATCATTATGACACCATCACTGATGATTTCAAAGCACAAATCGCTGCCTCATTAACAGCATGCCAACTCAATGCCAACCATATCCTGGTCCCTAGAGACTGTGAGCTTCTTTTGTCTACCACCAGCCAAGTCAGCAGTGTTAACTATGATAGATGTATTAAAGCCCTTTTTGAATCTCCCCAATACTGGACAACCTATGATGGATGTTACAAGACAGTTGGGTATGGATGTCTCCAAGAATCATTCAAGTATCAATCAACAAAAATCATTGAGTTACATCTCAACATCACTAAACACTACCAGAAGCTAAATAAAGAAATGACTAATAATTTGAAGAAATACGCTATTTTCAAATCTGAAATCTTACAGAAAGTTGAGACGTTGATTAAAGAAGAGATTATGGTAAAATATGAAGAGTTTGTGACTCAAGCAGAGGTGCTCAACCAGCGTCACATGTCGGTAATACAGACAAATGAAGCTAGACAAATCGAGAAGTTGAATGGTTTATATTGGAAGAATATTGAAGATAATCTCAGTGAGCTAGATGATTTGTTTTTTGAAAAGAAACTTGATATGTACCATTTCTTTGAAGTTCTGAAAATGACATTGTCCAATTCGGTTGATGAACTACGAAAAAGCGTACAAACTAGTAACAGAGAGATTTTAAACCACAGTGAATTATTTACGAAGAAATTGAATTCAACAATGATTAAAATAGAGCGGCTAGAATCAAAATTCAACTTTTTGGTGGATTTTATAAATGGTTTTGATATCACTGCGAAATTCAAGAAGATGGCAACATTAGTGAGGTTTTTCATTGACTACATGAACTATTTTTTCATTGCCGCTGTCATTTGCTATAGTGTTTTTTACTACTTGTTTTCAAAGTGGGTCAGTTTTCTAGTGTCTCCTCGATCAAAAACCTCGCTTTTCAAAAAACTCATCAAGCTTTTGGTGTGTAATATGGTGGCGTTTCTTATTGGTAGATCGTTGGTGCATTGTATCAGTGATTTGCGACGGAATGTCTGACTTTCAGCCTCTTTGCTTTGCCTCTTCTTCGCATTCCACTTTCATGTCATTCTCTTTCTAACGTTATTATTATTGTCTCATATTTTGTAAGTTCTGGCCATCGAGTTAAGCTCAGGGGAAAAGAAACTTTCATGTTGAGAAAAACCATAAAAAGCAAAGGAAAGATGCGTTGTGGGGAGTCTGGTCTATTGTTATTCAAATTAAACTTCACCTCAACGCTTTTCTTTTTTTCCCTCAATTTTTTAATTTCTCAATCGCTCAATAAGATAGTAATTACATGTCATAACGACATAATATATTTTAGAGTGATTTTAAACCGAGCACAGTGAAATAATATCAATGATGTGGATATCGTATCATAATGCTTCCAATAATAGTTGGAATTAAATCAGGCACCAAAAGGAAATAAAGTAGTGGACCCCATAAAAAAAGAAAAGGTTTACAGTGAATAACCCCCTTGCAGACTGTCCTGCCTCGGAAAGATCAAGTTGACGAAATGAAAGTCTATCAATTGAAAAAAAAAAAAAGAAAGATCAATGATCTCATGAAACATCAGCATCTTTGAGGGATATATATATATATATATATAAATATAAATATAATCTTTCCTCCCTAGTATCATTATCCTTTTGAAAATTTCATTTTTTTTTGGTCCTCCAATATCTTACCAACTTTTATAATTTTATTTTTATTCAGAAATAATGCTTCACAAATCATTTACTCTTTTATCTTTGCTTTCAGCAACAGTGTTTGCTTCGAATCATGAACACCACCATGGAGATTCAGACTCCGATAGTAACAGCACTACTACCAGCACCGATATATCTTTCAATCATTGGAATGTTTCTGGTTGTGGGGGTAACTCCTCTATAAGTTCCAACAGGACTACTATTGAAAGCTCCGAACTTGGTGCGGACCTCACCAAAGACTCTTATTCTACTACTTTGACTTCTGTTGCTTCTACCTTAGTCACTTCCACCATAACTGCTCATCATCTGGATACTACTTCTGTATCTAATCTAGATGATGCTTCTAGTCTGGATGATGCTTCTGCTTCTGCTTCTAACCTGTTCACCGCTTCTGCTTCTTCCTCTTCTTCTAGTTACGCCGGTAGAGGTACTTATTGGACCCCCGATAGCACCGATGCCTGCGGAATTACCGCAGGGCCAAATGACCTCGTTGCTGCCATCGGAATCAACTTGTATGACTCCAATACCAACAGCAATTATATAAGCGGGTACTGTGGTAAGAAAATCAATATCAACTATCAGGGGAAGTCTGTCCTGGTGACAGTTGTCGATGCTTGTGCTACTTGTGGTGACCAGGATTTGGATTTATCCCCTTCTGCGTTTGCTGCTTTAGCCGATCTTTCAATTGGGGAGATTCAGCTTAGTTGGTCCTGGGCTTAGTATTACTGGTGAAGATTCTAAATAGATAATATACAAAAGATATAATATATAATAATGATAATAATATACATAGGTATACTTGAATGCCTTATCCAGTAAAGACCTTAAGTATCCCCTTAGAGTTGCATATAGACATCAGTACCCGCATTATTTGGAACGTTCTCACGCCCGGCTTTACGGAAGATGGTCGCTAAATTTACGTCAAGCGGAAAACTTTAGCTGAATAAGACAATGGAAATCGCTAAGTGGTGTGTTGTCCCTAGAGATCGTTAGTGCTTGTTTTTTTAGTTCGTGTTGTTTCATGCAAAGTCTAACGGGATATATTCCTCCCCCAGGAAAATTTTTTTCTTCTTCCTCAATTCTTGAATATTTATTGTTACAATAATTTCTAATGGATACAGTGACTCTCCTGTGTCCAACCGTTACATAATAGTGCAAATCTTCTCGCAACAAAGTGGTTGCTTACACCATACGTTTCATATAGCTCTTTTTGGTTATCGGAGCGATTGGACCCATTGTTCTGGAGAGGTAGCAGCAGCAGCAGCAGCAAATCACCTCAGCCTTTTTTCATCTGATTTTTTTTTTTAATTAATCTCCTTAATCATTACTATTACTCTCCCCTCCTCAACCACCAGTGTCTCCTTGCCTGGAATCATTACCACAAGATGAGTCTCCTAGAGCACAATTCCCCTTTCAACAATGAAGACAACTTCGACTCGTCGTTCCAGATGGAAACCAACTTGGAGTTCAACAAGATCATGGAATCGGTGGATGAAAGGGAAAACAAGCTCCTCTCATCAAAGAATAAGAATATCAACTTAGGAGAATTGTTGGAAAAGGATAAAGCTCTTCAGAAAAAACGCCTCCTGCTTGCAGAGAGCAACACCAAACCAAAAACAAAACTGTTGTTGGCGTCATCCCCCCTCAGCTTGGACCTACAGCAGCCACAGTATGCTAGGAACTTATCCTCAAAAGGAGGCTCCTCTGCTGAAAAGGACCGGTATAGTCGTTTCTCTATGATGTCTGACCTCTCTTTTACCTTTCCAGACGTCCCAGAGAGCCCTACTGACCCCAAGGCATTCACGAAAACGCCAAACCAACGTTATTCCACAATCTCTAACGGGTCTTCTAGATTTGTCATCCAAAAAAGATCTAACAACTCTCTCAAATACCGGGATAGAGTCTCGAAAACTTCTAGTGGGGGTAAAAGATCCGCTTATATTTCAGGAGCTACCGTTGATAGTAGACGAACCAGTAACACTGTGAATTCTCACAGCAGTGGCGGCAGTAACACCAACTCCAGAATCATTGCCCCAAGGTATAAAGTTGAGCGGTCATATTCTAATGATTCGTCATTCATTGGCTATCGCAACTCAGTACGGTCGTTTTCTACTACCGTTGATGGGTCGATAAGGTTCTTTGACGCCGTTTCGATTAATGATGATGATGATGATGATGATGATGATGACAATGCCTTCGATGATAGTGACATGATTGGCAGCAGGTTTAGCCGATTGAAAGCCGGAGCCCCCGGAATCGTTGGGGTAAATATTGTCAATAAAAATAGTAACATCCACGAAATTGAGGACCTGTTTGGATTGAGTCATGGTCTTTTGGATGAAGATGTCGTGGATGATAATAATAGCGATAAACACACCATCCTATCGAACTCAACCTCAATCATTCCTCCTAATAAACAAAAAAAGAATCTCAAACGCAAAGAAATGACAATTGATATTGCTGGAGCTCAAAGTGTCCACACCGCCACCTTGACATTGGATGATGATGCTTCTATAGGCTCCAATGCATCTTCATTGCCATCACCGTCTTCCGAATTATTGAAATTATCATTTGAATCTTTGCCCGGTATTCACAGCCCCACAGAACTCAAGTTTGGCAATATTGACGATTCTGCCAGGGGAAAAAGCAGGAACTCCAAAAATCAAAACGACCTTCTATCAACTTCAAGAACTAAGAAGTTGGCTTCCACTCCTACTTCTGAGACTTTCAGAACCTCTCATTTTAGAAATTTCTCGACCCCAGCCAACATATATCTGCCAAGTTCTCAATATTCTGAAGATACCCAATCGCTGAAGAAAAAGCCATCAAATGTCTCGATGCCGTTAAGATCCTCAGGTTCAATGAGAAGGGACAACTCTTCCAACTTCCGCAGCATTGAAACAAGTTTCGATGATACTTCAGACTTGACCGCAGTGGTTAGCTCTAGTAGTCGTCCGTCCAAACACAACGATCGCTCATCAAATTTTGATAAGTCTTCAATCACCAATAGCTCCGAGTCTCAAAATGTGCAGTTGAAAACCAAAAAGCTTGTGAAGAAGTTTTCCAAACCGTTCTTCAGTAATAACAGCAACAAGAAATCTTCATCCGATACGTACAAACTGCAATCTCTGACAACTTCAAAAATCCATCATAAGAAAAGTTTCTCTCTTACCTCTCGCAAACCTTCCGATCCTCTTAAGTTTGTTGATCCATCATTTTCAGAAAGCCTGCCCACTGCCACTCCATTAGGTAATGGTATCTCCAGTACAACGATTCCGTTGAATGGCAATGTTTTGACATCAGCAGTTCCTTCTACCCCAAACACCAGCTCTTCAGGTTCCGGATTCAAATTCAAATTCCATAAGAGAAACATCAGTATGGTTAACACTAATTTGAAAGAAAAAATGTTTTCTCGTAATGACAGTACCGGCTCAGTCACTTCGTACTCCCACATGAATAACTCTAGCATTAGTACCACCAGCTCCAGCATTTTTTCTCATGAGAATAAACTGAAGGCAACTCCGCAATCCCTTGCCAGTGTTGTTACCGGCGGTGGGACCAACAATACTAACGCTAATGGACCTGCTCCCCCAAATGGATTATTTGCCAGTGACTATGGTGCTTTGCTCAGTACTGAAGTGCTTGCGAAATATGGAAAGATCTTGCTTGGGGCCACTCCTGCCAGAAAAATTGCCGAAGAAAATAAAATCAATTATTTAGATCTTCACAATTTAATGAATTTGTGTAACTCAAATAATAATTTGATTTTAGAATTTGGAGATTTTATCCAGTTAAGGTTGAAAGAAATTAAGAATAAGATGCAATTCAAGAAATATTCCGAGCTGCCTTATAGCGAGATTTTCATTGAAGAGTCTTTAAAATCCAAAAAAATTACTAATGTTTTGAAAATTATTCCGTTTAATGCTGGAGGGAAAGTAAGTGTTACTGATTCTGAATCTTCTTTGGGATCATCCTCATCATCGTCGTTATCCTCATCTAGTAAAAGATCTTACAGAACATCTAATGACATGTACTCTATCCAATCGGCGATTCAGGAAATGAGTATCATCACAAAATTGCAGAATTGCCAAGGTTTTATTAATTTAAAATCTGCGGTCGTGGTCAAAGGGGAATACTCTAAAGAATTACTCAAGGAGTGGGATTTTAACCATATTATCAGCCAGTCGAATCTTAAAAAGAAACGACCAGACTATTACAAAAGAAACCAATTATACTTGATTTTGGTACTAGATTACGGAGGATTGACTTTAAAAGATTATAATGTACAATCATGGCATCAAGCAAATAAGATTTTCTGGAACTTGACTAGGGTGTTGAAAACCTCTGAGCTATTGTATAAATTCGAGCATCGTGATTTGAATTGGGAAAATGTGTTGATTAACGATATTTTGGAAGAAGAGGACGATTGTGAAGAAGGATTAGGAATTTATAAGAGCCGTGGAAACCGTAGTGCCACTTCTTTTAATGAGGTTTATGCATCAGAGGATGATGCTGATGATGATGAAACTACGGCTTCGGAAACAAAGAACAAGTATACTTTGGACCTACGAATTTCTCTTATTGACTTTGCTTTCTCCAGAATCACAACTTCTCAAAAAGTTTTTTCCATGGACTTGTCGAAACTCGTTAATAATTCTGATGTCATTGGAAAGTTGTTGGATGATGATTATCGCTTTGACGTGTATCAATTGATCCAACAAGAAATCAAATCTCAAATGAAGATGGATTCTGAAACTACAGAGCATAACATCGATATAGATGATTCTCAGGAAATTAATTGGGATTGTTGCTGTCCAAGAACCAATATAATTTGGCTACATTATATTGTTGACAAATTAATAACCAGCAAGAACTTGAAACCTATTGATAAGCCAAGATCCATACAACATCACAGTAAAAATAATATCAAGAGGCGTATTGGTGAGAGCAGGTCATCCTATAATAAGCAAGTGACCGGAAGAGGTGATAACACCGTTGGTCAAAAATCAATTCTTAGAAAACCAAAAGTGGCAGAGTACCTCGACGTCGAGAATTCTCCTAATTTCAGCAAGCTTGAACAAGAGGAATTGTTTGAAATTAATGAGTATAAGAGTTACAAAGCTCTAGAGTATCTTCATAAATCATTAGATCCGAGAGTTTCATCATCAACCTTGATTCCCACTGAAGCTGCCACCAAGTCTTCTACATCATCGATCCAATTGAAGTCTGCAAAACATGAACCATTTTTCAAATCGGTGTTGGATGATTTTGGCGATTTATTCGAGCTATACAAAAGCAAATATTTCAGAGAAGAAGTTCATTTTGAGGACTTTGATAACTTGGACCAGATTTTGAAGTGGGGAGAATTGAACGAGTTAATCGTTTAAATGATTAATCATAATAATAATAATAAAAATAAAAAGAAGTGTCTGACAAATAAAAAGCCTTCTATCACTTAATTTCTGTTTCTTTTATATTTTTACTTTATTTCATTTTTTCTTCTTTTAGTTCTTTTCGAGTTAGTAATATAGCTCGCCCAAAACATTTACTGCTGAGTTTTTAATTCTATCCTTTTATTATTTTTTGCTATGTTATTCTAGAAATGACATATATATTATATCTATCGCTTTCTAATGGTTATTTGCCATTTTTAGAAGTTTCTATTACATACATGATGTAGATTATGATAAGTAATTCAAAAAAGAGCGTTACCAGCCCTATAAGTACCACAAAAATGGTAATCACATGTCAAAGAATAAATACCATGGAAACGGTTTCTTCAGGTGTTTGGGTTAATATGCATATACCATATTGGAGGATACATAGGTGTTGGGATTAATATATACATACCATGTCCACGGTATATGCATTAAGAACCATAATAGTGGTATATAAACATTAACCCGAACACCTATAAATCCTCCAACATGGTATATGCATATTAACCCAAACACCTGAAGAAACCGTTAATTTGGCACATGCATTAAATACCGCCAAATAGGTGTATTACAGATTAACTAATGAATTCCTTGGTAGACACTTTCACTGATTAGTGCAATCAATTATATAGTGTAGTAAACAGAGGATGTGAACTCATATCTTTGTGATCAGATACTGACCTTAATATTTCGGTGCTCACATTTTCATTATTCTTGATTTCCCCAACGTCTGCTGCGAATGGGTGTAAGTTTGATTGATTAGGTTGTTTTGAAAATAGTGCCACGAACATTTTCAAATTCGACTTAACCAATACGCTGTCACCAGCAGGCTATAAAAATTCTGGTAGTCCATCATTCTTCGGGTCTTATAATTCCTAGAGTAATTCAATTGCTTTAAATCTTGGTGAGGTTGTAGTGCTTAGATCCTATTTCTGGTCGGATGATGTTGGAAAGTACAATTTCAAAGTGAGCACAAGCGGGATTGCCTACGTTTATATTGGCTCGGAAAATGCATTTGCTTGTGGAGATATTCTCACTCAAGATATATATCTGGTTCAGTTGCTGGCTTAGGTATTGGTAAGGCTCCCATCGATGGTTTAACTGGACTGAGCTCTTTTAGTGTTCATTTGGAGTCTTCAGGGGTACCATTACTACTCCAGTTCATAAATACAGGTACACTGGCTACTTTCTTCTCTTAAAATGTTGATTTGAATGGTTATCCTATGCTAAGTAGATTCCTCACTCCATATGTGAGTGAATCTTTGTGTAATAATACCGAATCATCTACGACATCTACGTCGTCTAAAACTTCCAGTGGCTCTACAACTTCCAGTAGCTCTATCATTTCTATCATTTCCACCACCTCTATATCCTGCACAACATCTACAACTTCTAGTAGCTCCACCACTTCTACGATATCTACAAATTCTAGTAGTTCTACCACGTCCAATACTTCGAACACTTCTAGCAGTTCCATAGCCCCTGCACCATCTACTTCCCCTACACCATCTACCACTTCTGAATCGCCTGCCTTTTCTGAGCCGTCTACTATTTCTGGACCACCTACCGCATCAGGATCATCCACCAATTCTGAGCCGCCTACTACGTCTGGGTCATCCACCATAGCAGGACCTTCTACAGCACCAGCCACTACTCCTAAATCTTGGGAGTTTCCACTAAATCTACTATACAAACCACCACATTAACCACATCAACATGTTAGGAGTCCTCTACAATGCTTACCACCTCTTGGGAACCTTCCAATATTACTTCATTTTCAACAACTTCTTCGACTTACACCACCCCTTCAATTGATACCCAATCATTGAATAATGGGTTGACTGTTTGGAGATCGGGTATATTGGCTATGTTATCTTCTGGTTTATTGGTGCATTTAATTTTATGAGTTGTTTCAGTCAACACTATCACTATTTGAACCGATTGTCTTTTGATTTTATTTGCTTTTTTTTTATTTATTTTTTGTTACCTATATTCCTGTGGGAATCAGTTCTGCTAATACATATATTTGTCCAATAATCAATAATTTATGATATCTTGAGTAACTACACAATAGTATAGTATTCTCTGTAACAGTAGCAAAAATTTATGTATGCTGGAGCGCCTGTAGCATCATCAGCTTACCCTCCCCAAAAAGAATCCCAAAAGGCAAAAAAATAAAAAATCACATCGAGGGAAAAAAAAACATACTCCAAAGACTCGTCATCTTCGTTTTAGGCAATAAAAAAATAAAAAGTGAACTGTGTGTTATTGTTCGAGGGGGAAAAACAAACAAACTCATTGACATTTTGACAACTAGGGAAAACTGACAAAAAAATAACGGGAAATTCAAGAAAAAGAAAAGGCATGTCACACTACTATGACACGTTGGAACTATTACAGCAGTGTAATTCGCTAGACTCTCCTGATCTAGTTTCCGCAGAGATACCATCAACATCAACATCAACATCGTCATCACTGGGGGACAATAAAAAACGTTCAAGGTCGTCATCATCAGCGAGCTCCGAATACGAGTTGCCAGAGATTCAATGGGACGACCAACACCAACTTCTTAGCAATTTTGGTCATTTTAGAGACATGTCAATCCAGCTGATCTTTTTAGACCACTATGCTAAGGATGTGTTAAAAAAACAGCAGCAGAGCCAACAAGAGACAACAATGGGGAGTAATAGACCAAAGAAATATAAGAAGCACATAATAGGAGGTAATGGTCAGCAGAATAGTTACTATGGTCTGGGAGGACACCAGGCTCTGACAGCGGCGGCTGCAGCAGCAGCAGGAGCAGCATCGATGTCATTGTACATTCCGTATAGCCTGGAGACCATGGCAAGTCATCTCATGCTCAGTAATTTCTCATCCAATGCAGAGGCTGCGAACCGTGCTGCAAAAGTATTGGCTGAGGAGGTTATCGCGGGTGGGGCGAAAGGATTAAATTTGGAGCTTTTGTTTCCTGAAAATGATGGGGGGAACATGGATGCGGATTCAATTGTTCAAAAGTTTGGATCAGATGTGGCAATGAGAATCATCAATAGGAAGGCTCGTTTAGCAGAAGAGGCCCGCCAAAAGGAGTATCTTGAAAAGCAGAAGGAGGAGATGCGGAAAAACCAAGCGAATAATGATGAAAAGAAGATAGCTAATGAGACAAGCAACGAGGAAGCCAACATACAAAATAAACAACCACAACCTCAACCACAACAATACCAGCAGAAATCAATACAAAAACAAAAAGTCCAACAAGGACCAAAGAGTGTTATTCCATTGAGTAATAATGCTATGAACACGCCAATTGTTCCTAACAACCCTTTTGTGATTCCCACCAATCCGGGATTGGCGGGAAACTCGTCAATGGTGTTGGAAAATGGATTTACTGTGCAAAATTATACCGATGCCTTGACTCAATTATTAAAGAACAAGGACTTGAATTTGCCACAATTGACCCCGGCGCAAATTGAAACCATTGCCAGACTGCCAACCTTTCAGAATAATAAAGTGATTACCGATTTGATCAGACATACAATGAAGTTGAGTGGTAACAAGAGCTGAAGATGCGAGACAATTAGCAGATGTACTATATATTTTTTATTTACTTATTTTTATTTGGTTGGTTACATTCCTAGGCATTAATGTACAATAAAATATGAGCGTGTGAGTTTTCTATGATAATTGAATGTATAGCATCCAAAACAAATAAAACAAAAACAAAATAAAACAAAATAAGAAATTATCCATTCATGACCTGATCAAATGAAATTATACAGATTCATATATATATATATATATATAAGCAAGCAAGAATGCCTGAGAATTAGAAATACAAAATAAAAACGTTATGCTATCTAAATTAGTCTTGTTCAGCAATAGCAATTAATCTTTCTTCAATTTCATCGCTGGTCAAAATAGTAAAGTTGCCATCGGTGGCCACCCCGATTTCAATGTCATCTTTTTTGAATTCGGAGTTCAACACGTTGGATAATGTTATGATGGCGGTTTCTACCAACTTTGTGGTATCACCTTTCAAATATTCTTTATTCTTGTATTTCTTTTCTAATGCGGTGGTGGCTTCATCCTGTTTTGGGCCAACAGCAGTGGCCTTTGAGCCAATGTAGTAACCTGCTGGGTCGACTTTGTATAATAAAGGACCCTTTTCATCGTCAAAGGCTCCAAAGGTGATGATGGCACCTGAAGGTCTCATGTAGGCTCTTTGGGTATAAATTTGTGCGAGGTTGGCCATACGCTTGGATAACACATCGACAGGAATTGGGTACCCGTACTTGTACTCGAAGTCATTGGCTTCACTTCTGGCTCTAGTGGCAAGGGATCGAGAGTCGGCAATGGATCCGGTGGCCATCATCCCAATATGTTTGGAAATCTTAAATAAGTACGACACAGTTTTTGGATCCAACAACTTGTCAGGGACTTTTTTCTGGGAGATCAATACCACAGTGTCTTTACCTGTTATCCCAAGGGCAGTGATATTGGCGGCGGTGACGGCCTTAAAAGCGTATTCAACTTGGAATAATCTACCTTCTGGCGAGAAAATGGTGATATGTCTATCGAAACCTGCGGAGTCTGCAATGGGGTGTTAGTACTATATTTTACCAATGGCAAAAGAAACAGAGAAACTACTCAGCAGATAACAGCCACAACATACTTGACATCTTTTAAAACGGAGGGGGCAATGGTAACTGTGAACGATGAGCAGCCATCATTCCAGTTAGTGGCGATTCTTTCAGATTGTTATTTATGAATTCTGCCAGACATGCACCGGGTAACTGACGTGTTACCGTCGCGGACGGACGAAGATGGTTGAGCCTTAGTTTACAGATAGACACACCTATATACAGTATATAATATTCATTAGAAGATGCCGTGGTATAATAACCACCAGTAGTAATGATAAACCCGTAGAAACCCCTTCTGGATCCATAGTAATGGCGCACCACCGCTTATGTTCCCTCTAGTTGTCTCTTCATTCTTTTTTTTTCTTTTTTTTTTTTCGTCCTCAGAAATAAAAATTAGCCGTTATAAAAAAAGACCAATTCGATAATGTCACATTTTTGCCATCAAGCAATAATATCGACAGCCAATCACTACAACACCCTTTCAACTGCCCAATTCTTTCTTAGTGTCGATAACCAATCAATTCATCACGGTTCCTTGTTGGGTATTTATAGCCATTAGCTTGTTCTTTTTAAGTTATCTCCATCTTCTGATTATAATTGTGGAAGAAGAAGAAGAAGAAGAAAAAAAAAAAAAAGAAGAAGAAGAAAAAAAAAAAAGGAAGAAGTCATACTGCCTATCTAAAAGATTTTCTTAGACTCTGTCTGTTTGTATTTTCCTGATTGCCTTCTACTATTACCGGCTTATCCCTATCTTTTCTTGATTATTGGTTTGCTGCTCAATTCGGAGAAGAAGCAACATAATAATTTGGTTTCGAGACCTAAGCCATATTCTGAAGTCCATCTCTTTGCATTTCTCTTTCTCTGCTGTTGACCAGCCATACCTGAAGTTCTTTCATTCGACAGCCTTTGTCAATCATGGGTAATTCTAGTTCCAAGCAAAAAGGAGACTTGCCAAAATTTACACGAACCGACACCTCGACGTCCCAAAGATCAGGGAGATCTAGAAGGTCTTTCAAATCATCCAAGGATGATGATGATGCTGCGTCGTTTAAGACCGCCACAAGCGAGCTTTCCCGAAAATTCCCCGGCACTCCTTTACTCTCTAGAAGAAACTCTGCCCAAACCGTGCCCATCAACAATACCGGACTCAACTCAGACAACTCCGATGACCAAAACAAGCAATTAGAAGATCAAATGAATAATTTGACTTTAAGTGTCAACAACGTGGCCTCCAGCGATAATAATGATGTGTTAACTCCATCATCGGTGACTTTGCCCCCATCAATGGTGCAAATGGAACCAAAGACCCCAATTTTGATAAGAAGAGACAGTACAAATAACTCATCTGTTGCATTGGTTGCCGATGGCTCAACCACCACCACCACCACTACCACAACAACACCAATTCTTGAAGGAGGCTCCAGTGGAAGAACTTATAGCAGAAGTTCCAGCCGGCATAATAGTTTTAATAACGGGTATGGCCTTTCACCAAACGACGCCAACAATAACAATTTGACGGTTCCAAGAACGCCGAGTAATAATAATTTATCATTGAGTGATAGCAGCCATAGTAGGAGAAATAGCGACGCTGTGAGTATAGGATCAGACCTAACCTCGATTCCAATAAAAAATGGCCACAATGGATTGAGTGGCGATGAGCAGATATCAATGAGATCGGGTTCGATTCCCGGAACTCCTGGAGGTACTACAATATCGCCATCATTCTCTAACATTAATACCAAAATCACTTCTAATTCAAATAATGGAGTGGTGATTGATGTCGAAGATTTAATCCAAAGATTATTAGATGCAGGGTACTCAGGTAAGCGTACCAAAAATGTTTGTTTGAAAAACTCAGAAATCCAAGTGATCTGCTCTACCGCCAGAGAAATCTTCTTATCTCAACCAACATTACTTGAATTATCTCCTCCAGTGAAAATTGTTGGTGATGTCCATGGGCAATATAGTGATTTGATTAGAATGTTCACAAAGTGTGGGTTCCCCCCAGCCGCAAACTACCTATTTTTAGGAGATTACGTTGATCGTGGGAAACAATCACTTGAAACGATTTTGCTATTGTTATGCTACAAAATCAAATATCCAGAAAACTTTTTCTTGTTACGAGGCAATCATGAGTGTGCCAATGTCACCAGAGTATACGGGTTTTACGATGAGTGTAAACGAAGATGCAATATAAAGACTTGGAAAGTGTTCATTGACACATTCAACACGTTGCCAATTGCGGCAATTGTCGCCAATAAGATTTTCTGTGTCCACGGAGGGTTGTCCCCAACCTTACACTCAATGGACGAGATCCGAACCATTAAAAGACCAACCGACGTTCCTGATTTTGGACTACTTAATGATTTACTTTGGTCTGACCCTGCAGATACCCCGAATGAGTGGGAAGATAACGAACGAGGGGTGTCGTATTGTTTTTCGAAGGTGGCAATTAACAAGTTCCTAACAAAATTCAATTTTGATTTAGTTTGTCGAGCTCATATGGTGGTTGAAGATGGGTACGAATTCTTCAATGACCATAGTCTTGTAACGGTATTCAGTGCGCCGAACTATTGTGGGGAGTTTGATAATTGGGGGGCGGTGATGAGTGTTAGTGAGGAATTGCTTTGCAGTTTTGAATTATTAGACCCATTGGACCCGCTTGCTTTGAAACAGTTTATGAAAAAGGGAAAGCATGAGAGAAGAAATGCCAACAGTTTACAGAATAATAATAGTGGTGTTGGCACCCCGAACCAAATAACCTTATAATTGGAAACAACAAAAAAAAAAAAATTCAAAACTTGAAAAAACATAAAAAAAAAAGAGCAGCAGAAAACGAAATTCAAATCAACTAAAACTAATAATAAACAAAAAAAAACAAAAAAAACAAAGGAACTTTCTTGTCAATAATAGTTTGAATGATTGAATAATAATGATCGATTTGCATTTTACTCCAATATATTTTTTTTTTATGGAGAAATTTTTTCTCAATTTCAATTAATATTTATCATTTCAGTTCTCAATACTTCATGTGTCTTATGCCTTTTCTTTTATATTTTATTATTATTATTATTATTATTATTATTATTATTATTATTATTATTACTATTATTATTATTATTATTATTATTATTATTATTATTATTATTATTATTATTATTATTATTATCACTTTGTTTTATACCACTGTTTGAAAAACGAATCAATAATTCAGATTGAACAAATAAAAAGGAAAAAGCCCTTCAATTGGAATTCGGGGGAAAGATGTCCATCTTTCACAGGACAAGTTATTAATAATGTTTGAGACTTACAGCAATAATACTAATGAGGTGCTTTATTTTTATTCTATTCTATTCTTTTTTTTTTGTTATTGAGAGTGCGAGTGTGTCTGGTTATTGTTTTCATATTTTATAGCTTGTTTTTGTTGACGAATTGAATGTATGTTTGAATAAGGATTGATACAAATGTGTGCTGGTTTTCAAGAACAGTAATGATGTCAAGTTTATTTATACAAGAATATTAATAGTAGGTTATGGATTTTTTTTTAAGTGCAGGAGCATGTGGTTTTTGTAGTGATGGTTGAGTTAGAAATTGGTTGAAAACTTGGGTGTTCAACGTTTGGATAACTGGTTAAGATCTATTCCATGTTATTAGTGTAGTGCGGGAAGAAAATCACCGAGGCCAGATACTTGTGTTACGCTAAATAGTTTTTCTGGTTTTCTCGGAGTACGACATTTGAGAGTTTCATTCCATTGAGAGTTAAACGAACAATGCAAATGTACGGTAATCCTTGCCTGGTGAATAATAATACAATCCTCCCCTCCCCTTTACCATTGGGAAAATGCTCACTTGGCGTGATTTAACATCAGGAGAAGATGCCTACATATTTCCAGCTATGCGAAATATAAAGGATTACCTCGACTCAAATGCAAAAGAGGCCGAACAGACAATAGACGAAGAAGGCTACCTTCAAAGAGTCAATGGAATAAGAATCGATCATGAAACACCCTACCCGGATGATTACTACAAATACCAAAGCAATAGCTGGTTCATAGAATATGTTTCGATCATTGCCATTTGAAGCATTGTTCTTGTGCTCTGTATACCTCTGTTTCCATGTACATGAGATTAACGACAAATCAAATAATTAGGTATGTGCTTATGTGTTGGCGTTATTTGTGAGTTTCCCTTTGATTGATAGTTGCTGTCAAATGTATTTTATTTTTAGGTCGTCTCTTTTTGGTAAAATATATAATAAACACATGTGCTTGATGACGGGGGAACATCTTGGAATGGGACTCATTTGGATAGCAGCTGGTTGATGATGAAAAGGATACCAACTATAACCTTGCTTATTGACCGACCAGTTTATCGTTGACATCTCAGTTTATCGTTGACATCTCAGTTTCCAGATGTTCGTTCATGATATCACCCAAACTAATATTATTCTCAAAAGGGATCCCCAACTTTTGATGCGTTGTTAACAATTACATCAAGAGAATTCTGCAACAGTCAGAGTCGTCTATAAGCCATTATTCTATCATAAAAAACATTTAATGAGCCCTAATACCTTGGAAAAAAATAATAATCAAGATACTTACGTAATAGCCAAGAATATGTCTTTTCGACGGGTATAAACTACACCATTTACTTCCCAAAACTGATGGTATCTTGATAAAGATATGACTTAGAATAACTATGATGTAGATCTCTTACCCACTATTCACTTCCTATTATTTGGTCTTTTATAACAGAATCTTTGATGTCATGATAGGTCAACACAATACACAAAAACTATATTAGCTCTTTATCACTCACTGCGTCGTTTTCGTATCTCAGGAAGCATTCTTGCCACCAAGAGAGTTGATTGTTCGTGATTATGACTCTCTTTGATATATTTTAATATGCCTTCTAAGTTGGCAATTTACAGAGGCTCAAGCGATTATTATTTTCACAAGAGCTTGCTCCAAAAGATCAAAACACTTAAGGATGTTCGACCCAATATGTGCGCGTTCAAAATTCTTCCAGGCCCATTCTTATCGACAGTAAAAACAATATCTGATTCTTCATGGTGTTAACCACTACAACTATAATGTGACAATCTCTATCAGAGATATCCCAAGTACAAGATAATGCTTTGCATAACTTTTAAAAAACAATGTATATTTTTACCATCAGTAGAACAGCATAGACAAACAAAAACAAAGAAAGAAAACTCAATAAACCGAAAAAAAATAAATAATAATAGCATTGTATGAAAATCAGAACAACAACAACTAAAGAATAAAGTCAAAAATTGAACGTTTGGAAAAAAGAATATTAATCATTATTGCCCATCACTTGTTTAACGGGTTCTGTGGTGTTGAAATATAGCTTGTGTTCGTGAATATATCTAATGACAGAGTTTGGTAACAAGTATTGCACACTCATCCCTCTTCTAATGAATAATCTCACTTTTGTAGAACTAATATCGTTATAAATCAATTGTTTAATCACCAAAACGTTCTTACGGTGCTCATACAAAATGTCATGGCTGAGAAGGAAACTTCTAACATCACTTCCAGTTCGTTCAACAATCAAACAACCATACGAGCCCAAAATATGATGCAAATCGTTTTCAGCCCACACGTTTGGCTCGCCCATACTGACAATCAAATCACCTCCGGCCAAAAGCATAATTTTCACTCCACGCTTGGTTTTGCCATCGGCAGACATGATCCCGCCTCTTTTGACATTGATTTCCTCATTGAAGTGATCGAGAACAAGAGCGGTTCTTGTATAAGTTGGCTGTAATGTTTCCCAAGCGTCGACCATGAGCCAATTACTGGTTCTCTCACATGCCAATTCGCACATCCTCACCCGATGCACTGCGGGAGCTAACCCACTCTTCTTGTAGTGATCAGACACCGGGGAGTAGAACCCACCAATTACTTCGAACTTGGTATTTTCTTGGATGGCATCGAGAGCCATTTCAAACATCCGCAAATGAAGGTAAGTAATCGGAGAAAACGACCCGCAAGCAACGATGACAAGGGGGTATTTAGAGTTATCGTGAAGTTTAGTCTTGAGACGATGGGTAGGGAATTCATATTTTTCAAGACTTCTGGCTTGGCGAGACACTCCATACGGAACTTCTTCCAAATCTGCCCCGAGGATTGGTTTCCCTGATAAGTCGTCACTGGTGTACGAAGAAGGAGAGTAATTTGGGTCAACAGAGAGTTTTTTCAATCCTTTAGATAAGACCGAGCTGGTCGCCGAGGTACTGCCACATACAGCATCATCACAATAACTGGTAGCAGAAGATTTGTGAGGTACCGAGGTATTTGCCTTATTAGTCATGTCGTTATTGTCTGGAGATATATTGGTTATCTTGTCGTCATTAATTTCGTCACCTGAGGAAGACGAGTCTGATTTCTGCAAGTCCGAGGATATTCTAGGGATCGAGGAAGTAGATCCTGCTCTTGATTTCTTCTTTGTCGAACGATGCCTGGCCTCGCTTGACATCTGACTGCGTTCGTGATAACTGATGGGAGCATCGATATCATTCCCGACATCGGCGAGGACGTACCTCTGAATAGGGTCGCTCTTAGGGATTCTTTCTGCAGGAGAAGGAAGAGGTAATGGTTCCTTATCAGAAGGCGGAACAAAGCCTGGGGCCTTTGTAGGGTCCATTTTTGGATTGTGTTCGGTGGTAGGGGTGTTGTGTTCACCAGCGGTTTTTCAGCAATGAGTGGGTAATTAATAACAAAATCTCCGCCGGCAATTGATCCATCAACAGATGACAAGAAAAAAAATCCATTACGTCTTGTGAGTGATTATCTGGTGTCGGGGTGTTTGTACGACTATCTGCTATCTGAGAGTACCCCAGCACCCACACACCAGAACACTCACAAGATGGGAAGGAGAACTCTCCTTTTGCTTTCCTTGTTCTTCTTGTCTTCCAATGACGGATAAATCAAACCATGAACACACTCCCAAACCCAGCAGAGTTGCGAGATAGGAATGTCAGGCATACCGACTTCGACGCCCTCAGCTCGCGGTTGGCGTCGATTAAAAAAGGGTACTTGCTGGACCGCTACGTGGAGATGTTTGTCGAAGGGATCAAGACCAATTTACTCAGGATCCAAGGCAGATCAGGAAGCAACTTGTCATTGAAAAGAGCGATCCGTGGAAATTTCTCAGAACAGAGCCTCCACTCAAAATTCCCGATCATCAATCGTGGTACGTACTTGAGAACCGTGGCCATCGATACCATAGTATCCAAGTTTGTGGATGCAAACCAACGGAACAACAGCCATTGTCAAATCATATCAATTGGTGCGGGGTCCGATACCAGGGCGTTCAAATGGTTGAAGAGTAATGACCAGCTTACGTATGTGGAGGCGGATTTTTTAGATTCCACAAAATTAAAGGCCAGTGTTATTGTTGGCAACCAACAATTATCTAGTGTTGTATCTCTAACCCCCGAACAAATCGAACAAGAATTACTGGAACTGTCTGGAGAATTGCACGGAAAAAACTATCATTTAGTACCATTGGACCTCCGGCAAATTGATGATATTAAGAACTTCTTATCATCCTCATCGTGCATCGATCCCCAGGCACCAACTTTGATAATTAGCGAATGTGTGCTTTGTTACATTGACTCGCAGGTCACATATGATATTATGAGGGTTTTCAAATCATGTTTACAACGAGCCGCGGTTGTGTTATACGAACCAATTGGTTTGAATGATAGTTTTGGTAAGGTGATGGTTAGTAATCTCAAGCAACGAGGGATTTCCCTTCCAACCTTACAATCATTTCCTACTATTGAATCTCAACAAGCGAGATTGATGGATGTTGTTTCTACCGATGATGATAAAAAAGTGACCACCGAACACCGAGTGTTTGTTAGTGACATGAACTTTGTCTACGATAATTGGGTTTCTACAACGGAATCCGCTAGAATCTCTAGGCTTGAATTGCTTGATGAATTGGAGGAATGGATTTTATTATCAAAACACTATTGCTTAGCGATAGGGACATGGTGGCCCACTAACATTGATGAGCCGTTCCAGGAGGATATCGCGGCCTTGAAATGGCAACTTTGCTGAAACATCTTGCGGGATTCAAGATATGTCATAATCTTGTGTATTATATTGAACAATTTATATTCTATTCGACTAACATCTCTCGCTATTTCTACTCGGTAAATGTTCTGTGCTTATAATTTCGTTTCGTGCGGGTAACCGACACATTCTGCATACTAACACCCAAAACGTAAACAAACACATATTTTTTTTTTTTTTTCTATTAATGATGATGATCCATTTAGTCAAGATTAAAACCCCGGAAGCGATTTGAAAATAAATAACAAAAATGTCTTCCAATGATGAGGAGATTGAGTTCAACTCGCACAAATGGGTATGGATCCCTGACAAATCCAAAACGTTTGTCAAAGGGTTTGTACTAGAAGATAATCTTGATAGCGGGACGAAAATGAAAATTAGAACGGAAGATGATAAGGATATTATTGTGATGAAAGATGAAGTGGAACCGGTAAACCCTCCTAGGTTCAACAGTGCTGATGATATGGCGGAATTGACCCATTTGAACGAACCATCGGTGCTCTACAATTTGCAACAAAGATACATGAATGACTTGATCTATACTTACTCCGGGCTATTCTTGGTCGCGGTGAACCCGTATGCCAATGTCCCATTGTACGGGCCAGATTATGTGGATATGTATAATGGATCGAATAAAAACGATAGCAAACCCCACATTTTCGCCATCACTGAGCTAACGTACCGGTACATGTTGGAAAAACAACAGCATCAGAGTATTTTGGTAACTGGGGAATCTGGGGCTGGGAAAACTGAGAATACCAAGAAGATTATCCAGTACCTTGCAGCAATCACCTCGTCAATGAAAACTAATGTGAACAGTTCTGGAGGAGACACCGTCGTGGTGGAAAATTTCGAAGATCAGATCATCCAGGCTAATCCGATTTTGGAAAGTTTTGGGAACGCCCAAACTGTCCGCAATAACAACTCATCTCGGTTCGGTAAGTTTATCAGGATCGAATTTTCTGGGAAGGGAAAAATCTCCGGGGCCAATATTGATTGGTACTTGTTGGAAAAATCTAGAGTCATTCATCAAGCGTCAAATGAAAGAAATTACCATATTTTCTATCAATTGCTTTTAGGGTTGACAAAATCGGAAAAGGAAAACTTGTACATTAATGAGCATGCCAATTTCTTCAATTATTTGAAAAACGGGAACATCACCATTCCTAACGTTGACGATAAAAAAGAATTTAGAGACTTGATCCATGCTTTCGAAGTGATGAATTTTTCTAAAGAAGAATATTGGGAGATTTTCAAAACCGCAGCGATTATTTTGTTGATTGGTAACATCAACTTCATCAGCCGATCCACCGATAAAGCGAGATTTTCCGATGATTCACCATTGACTCAACTTTGTGATTTATTGGGAATCGATTTGGCAGCATTTAAACAAGCGATTTTGACCCCAAAAGTTAAAGCCGGTAAAGAATTTGTCACCCAAAATAAAACCGCTAGCCAGGCTAAGTTTTCTCTTGATTCGATTTCCAAATCGTTATATGAAAGAACTTTCAAGTACATCGTTGACAAGATCAACGATAAATTGGACCATTCTTTGAGCACCTCTCACTTCATTGGGGTGTTAGATATTGCCGGGTTTGAAATCTTCAAACAGAATTCGTTTGAACAGTTATGTATCAATTACACCAACGAAAAATTGCAGCAGTTCTTCAACCATCACATGTTTGTCCTCGAACAAAATGAATATATCAAAGAAAATATCAATTGGGAATTCATTGATTTTGGCCAAGATTTACAAGATACCATCGATTTAATTGAATCGAACCAGAATCCTATTGGGATTTTATCGGTTTTGAACGAAGAGTGTATTGTTCCAAAATCATCAGATAAATCATTTATCAACAAATTGAATACTATTTGGGCCAGCAGTATCAGTAGTCGACATGGTTCGTCGTCATCAAAGTTCAAAAAATCACGGTACGATAACGGGTTCACCGTTAAACATTATGCCGGGGAAGTTGACTATACCACTGATGGTTGGCTAGATAAGAATAGAGATCCGTTGAACCAAAACGCTGTTGATTTATTGATCAAAGCATCCAACAAGCACATTGCGCTTTTGTTTGCTGATGAGGAAGGATTAGATGCATCAGGGACCACCAACGCCAAAAAGCAAGGTGCTGGTAAAGGAGGGATGTTCAGAACCGTGGCGCAGCGTCATAAAGAACAATTATCTGACTTGATGACCCAGTTATCTAACACCTATCCGCATTTCGTGAGATGTATTCTTCCAAATAACAAAAAGAAGCCCCATGATCTCGATAAAAAACTTGTGCTCGATCAATTACGGTGTAATGGGGTGTTGGAAGGGATCAGAATCGCCAGAGCTGGGTACCCGAATCGTATTTTCTTCAAAGAGTTCTACCAACGTTACAAGTTTCTTGCCAAACAACTCCAAGCATTTGGCTCATCTAATGATTTCAAGAAGAATTGTGAAATCATTTTGAACGCCATAGATTTGGAAGAATCAGTGTATAAAGTGGGGTTGACTAAGATTTTCTTCAAGAATGGGATCTTGGCACAATTGGAAATCAAGAGGGAGGAAATCATCAAGGATATATTTGTGGGGTTCCAAAGTTTAATTCGTGGGAAATTGATCAGAGGAAGAATCCAAAAAGAATTGCAAAAAGTCCAGGCGGCCCAGGTGATTATGAAGAATTTCATGATCTTCAACGAGTTGAAGAATAACGAATGGTATAATTTGATGATCAAGATCAAACCGTTATTGGACTCTTCGAAACAACAAAAGCAAAAGCAATTGGCAATGGACCAAGTCAATAAGTATAAGGATCAAATAGTGGTGCTTGAAGAACAAAATAAAGCCACTATCTCAGAAAAGGAGGAATTAAGCCACGAATTGAAGAAATTGAATGAAGTTTTGATGACAGAACGTGACCTTTTATCCGAGAAAGAAAATAAGCTTCAAGAAACCAAGAAGAAAGAAATCGAATTATCGCAATCATTGCAAGCGAATCTTGGAGATTCTGCGAAATTGAAACTGGAAATTGAAGAATTGGTGGCTGCCAAAGAAGCATTGGATAAGAAAGCCCAAACTTTGGAATCAGATCTTGCTAACAAGACCAAACGTCTTGATGAAATTGAAAGCCAAAAGAAATCATTATCTGATGAAAAAGGTCGGTTACAAAAAGAATTGAACAAAGCCACTTCCAGCATTGAACAATACAAAAAGGATAGTAGTGCCCAAATTGAATTGAAAATTAAGAGCGCCACCACCAGTTTGAACCTTGAAGTAAAGAAACTCACCCTGGAGAATAATGATCTCAAGGAACAACTTGTGAAATTGAAAGAAAGCTCCACCAAGTTGGAGTTGGCGAGACTGACAAAAACTCGAGATTTGGATAATTTAAATAAAACTATCGAGACGCAAAAGGAGCAAATCAAACTGTTGACCAGTGACAAAGCCAAGATTTCTGCCGATCATGATGCACTTTTGAAAGAACATGCTAAAGTTAAAGAGGAAGCGGTGGCGACCCAGGCGAAATTCAAAAAATTAGAATCTGATGCCCTCGAAGCCAAGAATTTGTTGAAAATTAAGATTGCTGATGACATCAAGTTTGAACGAGGCAAGCAAAAATTCGATAATGAGATTTTGGAATTGAAGCACGCCAAGAAGTTGATGGAGAAAGAATTGGCGGAATCCAAGCAACAAAACGCGGAATTGATGGAGAAACTTGCTAATCATCTGGGCAATGATGAAGGAAAATCTACTGCACGAGGATTATCCAATGAGAACGATAACTCGGGGGTCAATTTATTGGCGATGTCAGGAGATGATAAACTTGTTAACGATTATAATTCAATGAAACTTCAACTTAATGAGAAAAGTGCAATGCTCAACCACGAGACTCAACAACGGAAAAAACTTGAAGCCGAATTGAAGATCTTTCAAACCAGACTTGCTTCAGAATCGTTCGATAATCAAAAACTCAATGCGCAATTGCGGAAATTGAAACGTAATTCTCGAATCGGATACATTCAAGAAACCAGTTTCAACAATGATTTCTTGAACGGTAGCAGTTCTAACAGTAGTGAACATGATATCGAGGAAGAAGAATTGTTGATGAAGAAAAACACCATGTTACAAAAAGAGATTGATCATTTGAAGTTAGAGTTGGCCAAGAGATCAGAAAACGGAATGGATTTATTACCAAAGAAGATGAAGAGCGTTAAAGGGGCGTCGAGTGGTAATGGTCATCTTATTAGTAAATTCAACAACTTGGATAATCAAGATGATTCTCGTAGCATTTACAAGATCAAATTCGAGAATGCCGATGCGAAGGTCAAGAGTTTGGAAAAACAACTCCGGGACTTGAATTACGGTGGTCCATTGAGAGAAAATATGAACATTCAAAATGCCAATTATGATGTTGATTCTCAAGAATTGATGAAAAAGTTGAAGATGGTCAAGCAAGAAAACTCTCGTTTGCAACGGATTTTGAACGATATGAAGATGAGTAATGACCATGATAGATCATTTGATGATGGGGAAACCAGCAAAGAGTTCATTCTTCAAGAAGAATTGGTCACCAGTCGTTTGAGACTTGAATCATCCCAAGGGAAAGTCGATGAATTGACAAGACAAGTGAATTTATTTAAAGAACGATCGGAAGAATATTTCAATAAATTGGAAATTGCCGAACATGCGGTGCGGTCTTCCAAACGTGGGGAAACCAAGGCCAAGCAAGAGTTACAAGAGGTTGCTGCGGCATTGAGTAATTTGAAACAAGGTGAAAGATCATCAGAGACTCAGGTTGCTAAGATGAAATTGAAAATCAACCAAATGGAAGCAAAAGTCCAATCGAAAGAAGGAGAAATCAGAAGATTAAGAGCCACTCAGCAAACTTTGACTGAAGAATTGGAACATTATCGATTCAAATTAGTGACAGATTCGAAATCCGAAAAGGACAGGAAATTCGATGAGCTCAACAAGAGATTGAAAGAGAAATTGATTTTGGAAACCAACTTGAAAAAAGACCTTCAAGTGGCCAGAATGTTGCTTGAAAATACTGCTGCCGAAAAAGAGGCCCAAGAAGAAGAATTGGCAGCATGGAGAAAAGATCAGTCCAAGGTTACTGATAGGCTTACTACTTTGGAAGCCGATAATGCGAGATATAGATCTTTGGATAAAGGTAACAAGAAGAAACTTGATTCGTTGTTACAACAGATCAATACTCTCCACGAAGCCATGGATAAAATGATTAGTGAAAGAGAGTTGATTCAAAGAGATAAAAGAATCCTTGAGGATAAGATTGAAGAATTATCGAATGGACATGATACCAATGACGCAATGAACTCGGTATTGCATCAACAAAAACAAGAAATTGAAAGAAGTAGAAAAGAGCTTGAGCTTCATTATCGGGCCCAAAAGGTGTTGAAGAAAGAATTGATGGACGAAAAGGAGAACACTTTGATGGTGATTGAGGAAAACAAGGGACTAGGGAATTTGATCAAAGAACTTCAAGGATCAATCAAAGAATTTGAACACTCTAAAAAAACTGATGGCGGGGACCATGAATTCTATCTCCGAAGAATCCAGGAATTGGAAGGTGAGGTAAACGATTATCAACAACATGAGGAGAATTTCCTCATCATGGAACGGTTGATAAAGGACCTCAAGATCAAGTTGGAAAATGTCGAAAAAGAAAATGATGACTTGATGAAGGAAAACCAAGACGTGTTGTCGAAATCGGATCAATTGAAAGAGATGATTGATCAGTTAGAAGAGAGCGAGCTGCAAGCCACTTTGAATTACCGTAGAGTGGAAAGAGCTTTGAAAGATCAAAAGGAAGCCAAGATGAGATCGGAAATGGATTTGATTAATTGGAAGAATAAATTGAGCAAGTTCGCCAATAGAAAGTGATTTTTTTTTCTTCGTTTTTTTTTTTTTTGTTCTTGTTTGTTCATTTTTTATTTGCCTTTATTACTAATTTTTTTTATCATCATTTATTTATTTTGGTTTGGTTTCTTGATGATTCCCCATTATAATGATTTCATTTCAACTTTTTTTTAGAAAAAAAAAAATATTAATTTGTTATTTTAATTAGATCTTTACAATTTTTTTTATTGTTTTTTCTTTCACCAAGATATGTTTTTGTTATTTTACCTTATACCTCAGTTTTTTTTTTCTGTTTTTCTTTTTTTTTTTTTTTTTACATGTTATCCCTTTAATATCCATATAGTAATAATAATCAGAATATTACATTTCAGATTTAAATATGGTTTGTTTTATAGTATTGAAAATAACTCCACAGTACAAAATAATAAGAAAAGAGAGACACCAAAAAAGAAGAATTCCATCCTTGACCAGCCACCAAACCAACAAGTATAAGAAAAAAGATCAAAATTGAAACTTGAAAAACAACAAAAATAATAAAAATAAAGGTAATGAATAATAATATCCAAAAGCTTTTTTTTTTTTTCTTTTTCCGAAAAGAATATTATACATATCAAAAGATTTGCAATTTTCATGGAGACGTAATATGAACAAATAAAAAACCTATTTAGATGTTACATCTAAATTGCTTAATAATCATTGGGCTTTAAAGCAATTAAGCATTAGAGCTCAAGAAAATTAGTTGACGACATCATCCCCATCAGGTTTCTATTTTCAGCCCTCTATTATCTACACTTGGGACTTGTTGTCGGAAAAGCCTACTGGTTGCTTCCCGTTACTAATGGCATCAGAATAAGAAGGAACAGCGTGGCCTGCAGAAGAAGCACCGGCTTCATTGTTAGCATTGTAGGCGTTTGGAACTGCAGCTTGAACATCTGGTCCATCAAATGATTCGATATCGTCGTCATTATTGAACTGCAAACGGTCGAGGTAGCTCCCAGTTTCACTGCCGGTTATGGCTGAATGATGATAGATGAAATACCAAGCATGGCAAATGGCAATGAAGTGGCCAAAGAATGAGAATATGACCGGGAAAAACAAGAGAAAGTTCATCCATAATTGAACATCTCTGTACTTATTCCCATTCTTGAAATAGATGGTTGCTGGGGCCAAAAAGACTGCCAACAAATAGAATGGCATATCTTCATTATTGAAAGGAGAGCCTGGCATCGTGAATTATATGAGGAATGGAAACAAACAAAAAAAGCAAACAGAAAGTTCACAGAAGCAGCAGCAGAAGTAGCCTGGTATTAGCAGTGAAAGCAGGTCTTAACAGAATTATCTTATTGTGCAAGGAAAACTGAGGAGGCAACCGTTTGGTGGGGGCGGGATGACCACCACTCTATTTTGTCACGCTTCTGTCCACGTGAAAATAACCGCCGTCCGCCCCCCAAAAAAACGACACCAACATTTTGGTGGGTGATGAGCCGCCGGTTGTGTGATATCTCTCCATCTACCATATATACAATTAACCACTATAACAATGCCTGCAGTCGAATCACAACCAAAGATGGATGAGAATGTGTCTGCTGTATCACCCGAGCCAAACCACGAGCAACCAGCGCAAGTAGAAGAAGAAGAGGTTTTGTCAGGAACCGACGATGAAGCCGCCGATGACGAAGAAGACCAACAAGAACAGGATGTTGGTAAAGAATTGGATAAGAAACACTATACTGGGAACATCATTGATGATGACCATCCAGACGTCTACGAAGCTGACGCGGATTTGACCAAAAATATCCCAATTGACACCGATTATATCGAATTGATCCACTTGAAAATTCGGTCGTTGAAAGATTTACAATTGGGAAGATTCAAGAACGCCGAGTCGATTTGCCTCAGACAGAATTTGCTCGAATCGGTATCGGATGTCAAACATTATAATGCCGAGAAGTTAGTGGAGTTGGACTTGTACGATAACAGAATAGACCATATCAGCTCGCATATCAACGAGTTGGTCAACTTGACCACCTTAGATTTGTCATTCAATAAGATCAAGAATATCAAAAACTTGGATAATTTGGTGAAGCTCGAGAACTTGTACCTCATCCAAAACAAAATTTCTGACATCAAAAACTTGAGCACCCTTCAAAATTTGAAGAACCTTGAGTTGGGAGGCAACCGAATTCAAACCATCTCCGCCGAGTTGTTGACTCTCCCATCAATTGAGAAATTATGGTTGGGGAAAAACCGTATCACCAAATTAGAGAACTTGGATAAGTTGAAGAACTTGAAGATCCTATCGATCCAATCTAACCGGATTTCCAAGATTGAAGGGCTAGAACATTGTGAGAATCTTGAAGAATTTTATATTTCCCATAATAACTTGACGAAGCTTGAAGGATTGGACAAAAATGTCAAATTGACCACCATTGATATCACCGGAAACAAGATCCAAAAACTCGAGAATTTAGACCATCTTGAAGAATTGACCGATTTATGGGCGTCGCTGAATTTGATTGAAGATTTTGAGAATATTGGACAGGCATTAAAGAATTGCAAACAGATCGACACAGTTTATTTCGAGAATAATCCTGTTCATTTGAAGAATTTGACAAGCTACCGAAGAAAGATCAAGTTGTATTTGAATCCAAGTCTTACTAAGATCGATGCTACATATATCCAATGAAGTTATATTATAAATAAACCTGTGAGCATGATTTTTTTTTTCTATCCGTGGATTGTAATTGATTTTTTTTTCTTTTCAATATAAAGAGGACTTCAGAATATATGTAGAAAATGGTGTACTGATATTCAATAATCTCGATAACTGATGGTTGTTGATTATTGCGGGATTCTGTCACGAGGAATATTTTTATTTTATTTTTTTTCTTTTTTTGACGTAATTTTTTTTTTTGCTATTGTCAATTAATACCTTATAGTTGAAAGTTTGAAAAACTCAATTGACTTTCTTTTGTTGATGATTATAATTCATAATGGATGGATCCCATCATAAAACCGCCAATTACGACCAACAGCCTCGAACTCCATTGCATCCCCGAGCAAATGAGGAGTTCCAGACGGTGCCATCGATGACCAGGTTAGCGGACCTTCAAATGGATTTAAATCCCGATCTAACGGATGATGAAACTGATAATAATAATGTAAATAAAGGGGAAAGATATGATGATGGGGAATGGGACGATGATATGGGTGTTAGTAAAGAGAATTTACAAAATGGTGAGAAAAGCAATGACTTAAATAATCAACTCACAGACAACAATAATGATAATGTTGATGTTGATGATGATGATGATGATGATGAAGATATTGATGACGAAATGTTTAATAGTGATGAAGAGGATGAGCAATTTGAAGAGGTTTCTCATAAACGAAAAGTGGACGAAGTTTATAATTCTGGTGAGAAGTTTGATTCTGACATCGAGCCCACTTGGTCGGATTTTGAGCCTGTAAACTCACCATTTAGCAATAATGATGATGATCTAACGAAACTTGAGGACTTGGGACGATGTCAACAGAAGCGGCTCAGCTCATCGCAGAACTCGAAATTGATCGCATATATTGATCATGAATTACTAATGATCCAGCGAAAGTTTATCCAGTCATTCAGCGACGATGAGTCGCGAGGGGATCAACGTCTTGGGTACCATTCCCTATCAGAGTTATTAGTGGATTTGAACAAGATTACCGAATTTATTTGGTATACCGTAAAAGTCACCCAGCGAGGAAACGGTAAATGTATGAGATCATTTTATCAAGGGCAATATTTCATCAAGATTGCTGGGGATTTGGTGGATTATTTGCAGAAATATTCGATGCTGGATAGGAAAGTGTTGAAGGCGTTAATCTTGTTTGTGCAAAAATTGGACCAGATATTTGTGAAGATTGTTGATGATTTACAAGGGTTTGATTCTACTGAGAAGGTCAGATTGGTATCGATCACTGAAAGAACCAGGGTAGCTGTGATTAATTTAACCATCAAGTACCAGGTGAATGATTACAAGTATGAAATTGGAAGGCTATATGAAGGGATCATTGATAAGATTTCTGAATAAATTTGTACATCCGCAAAAACAGGAGGTAGTATTTTTTTATCGTTGAATTATGAATAATGAAGAGCACAAATGAGAAATCACTGATCTGGTTATAAATAATAAATGATCCATTTAATATATGGACAGAAAATGGTTGAGGCAATAGGTTATGGTTAACTCACTTACAATTACACGAAGGAATAATTTTAAACTAGTAACGACTGTTTTTTAAGATGAGCTTTATAAATAACGAATTGTTCGAATCAATTTTATGAATAATGAATGTTTTTCAATCAGTTTTGTTGTATTAGCCATAAATCTTTCCAATTGTAAAATGTTCTTTTGATATCAATTAAATTGATCCCATCATTTCAAGTGGTCTACTGGATAGCAGAATACTTTATAAAAATTGTGATTAAATTTCTGAATCATAAAAACATCATTATTAGTAATGGATTGTAAATTTTAAATAGAGTAATCATCAACAAAAAGAAACCCTCGATATCCTTCATAATACAAAAAAAAAAAAAAAAATATTGACGACTCAATGTTTCTGCACATTATTCTGGGTATCAACAATCTTGACATTTCTGACCTCGATCATGATGATCACGTTGTTATCTCCTTCGATGAATATTTTAGAATCAGGGTAGCTCTTCAAGAGCAACTCTTTATAATAGTTTTCGGCGTCGGCATTGTCTTCCACCAAGATCGCTTCACCATTTAGAGTGACACTGATTGTCGATAGCTCGCTCTGGTTCATGTTTTGCAATAATTTCAACAATGGGGAGATGTCAGTGGTGCTGCTGGTGCCCCTAGGAGTTTCGGTCTCACTCAACGTTGATTTTGCAGTGACCCAATCATGGATCAAGATACTGACTTTAGGGTTGATCTTGATGTTTTCAAAGTTAGTAGCGCTCTTGTTGACAGAAAAAATGATATATGAGGTCTGAGGCGACGAATTTATCTGTTGATGAGTAGGATGTAATTCTGATTGATTCATGTAGGCGTAGTTCATTAGTGAGACATTTGGTTGGTAGGTATGGGGGTTGGCGGTCGCCAAGTGGGCGTATTTGGCGTTCTTGAGCAAGTTCACCACCGAAGCGGAGACGTCTGATTCTTTGATGGTCATTGTGAGAGTATTGTTGTTGTTAGGATTATTACTAATAGTTTACTAGTGGTGTTGGACTGTCATGACTTTGTTTTGGTGTTTTCGGCTTTTTTCTTTGCGGAAAACATTGCTAACCGGCCCCAACATCGATCATTTAAAGGGGAAGCACAACCATCGACAAACAAACAAACAAACAAACAAACAAAGAAGAAAATGTCCTTTTGGAGGGATAAAGGCTGTGTGTGTTGTTTATAGACTTTTCCGTAAATATCGAGTGCGAGACGGTAAGTCACAATCATAACTACGGAACATATATATGGTCGCAGAACAAAGAAGCACAAGGTGAGATGTTATGTCGTCCTCTATTTGGGTGGGAATTTCTACAGAAAGACACAAGGGAATTACGTGGCACTTTTGGGGTATTCTTAGGAATATTGGTACCTTATAAGTGATGTTTGATTGCTATGAATGGGTTACAATCCACTATCCAAACACCTCAAAAAATTTCAAGTATCCAGAACTTTTCCATCCGGTATTACTAAATCTATCGGGCGCTCAATTCTATGGGACATTTAAATCTAGAACAAGAAGTAATGCTCGGTTAATGAAGTGTTTCTTTTCCTTTGTGTATATTGAATCCCCAGTCAGGCACTTTCAAAGGATATCAAATCCTGGAAAAAACAGGTGGTTCTAATTGTTCAATTCAGATGGTTTCGATATTCATTATATCAGAGAAACACAACGAAGTCAGCAGTAGTGTTAAAGTATAGATTCTTGACATTTCCCCTCACTGAATTGGCAGCAACAATGATTGATTGCAATCATAATCTGGTTTGCTTCAAAGAGCCGGCTATGAAATAGAACATAATGGTGCCTGATTAAAAATGTCCCAAATGTTTTAGAATGATTTTTCTTCATTTATTTTTCCTCAGTGATTTCTGATGTCGTCCACCATTCTGTATTCTGGTTATATGTTCTCATGATCAGTGCGTTTGTATACAGTAATAGCAGAGAAACTGGCGACGTCAAATTGATGTTCTAAGGTGAGTATTCTATTGTGAGTTTTCCGGTTATTTCTTGTCGATATTGCTGTTCTATCTCTGGCATTAGAACAATGATAATATTAAGAATGGTAATGATAGTGATAACACAGGTTAATGGTGTCTAAAATTTTCATCACGTGGACATGACCCAATGAGGTTGCGGCAAATGCCAATCACCCCAATTTATGAAAAGTAAAAAAAAAATTGTATGTTCCCTCTGCCTAAAAACATCACATTTCCATTATCATTATTACTATTATTGTTATTATTATTAAATATATTTTACCATCAAAATGTCCCTTTTTAGACCAGTGACACACGCCTTGAGAGTGGCGAGAACCCCAAAGACATTCACCGCCTACAGACTCCCGGCTATGAAGAAACAAGACTTGATCAACTATGGCCAAAAGAGAACCTCGATTGTATCGGTCCACAGAGACACTAAGGAAGACAACCCTGAGATTCCATTTGAATTCACAGCCGAAAACATGGAAAGAGCCAAGGAAATCATTGCCAAATACCCATCACAATATAAGAAAGCCGCCACCATGCCTTTGTTGGACTTGGGACAACGTCAATTGGGATTCACTTCGATCTCCCTTATGAACTACGTTGCCAAGCTTGTGGACATTCCTCCAATGAGAGTTTATGAAGTGGCCACTTTCTATACCATGTACATGAGACACCCAATGGGTAAATTCAACATCCAGTGTTGTACCACCACTCCATGTCAATTGCGTGGTTCCGACGATATCATGAAGGCCATTGAAGATTTCACTAAAGTGCATCCTGGTGATACCACTGCCGACAAGTTGTTCACTTTCCAAGAAGTTGAATGTTTGGGTGCCTGTGCTAACGGTCCAATGATGGCTATCAACGATGACTTCTATGAAGACTTGACTTACGATTCCACAATTGCCATTTTGGAAGGGTTCAAGTCTGGTAACATTCCAAAGCCTGGTCCAGTTTCTGGTAGAAAGACCATTGAACCAATCGAAGGTCAAACTACTTTGCTCGGTAAGGAACCAACCGATATGAGAAAATTCACCAGATCTGACTTGTAAAGATCTTGAAAAAAAAAAAAAAAAAAATGAAAGTTAAAAAAAAAAGAATAAGCAATAGAGCTTTCTAAAACTTGCATTCTCTTGTTGAGAAACTTAGAAACTATCGATTGGATCATCCGGTTTCATGGTAGTGAAATTCACATCACATAACTTTTTTCTTTTGCATTTTTGAAATATCATTAGTTTGCAGCAAAAAAAAAAAATATATTCATCCACACATAATAAGCACACCTTTATGGTTTTGCTTTTTTACTTCTCGTTTCCTTGTTTAATTTTTTTTTTTTTATATATATATTATTTTTGTATTCTGTCATGTATGCTCCACCTAGCCTCTCGTGTATCAATAAACTGGACGATTATCCAAGTCACTGACATTTTTATCTTGAATGTAAGCTATTATAATTTCTTGAACGTTTGAGGAGAACTATAGCGTGTATTGAATACACATATTTTAAAATGAGAAATATATATTAATAGACAATGAAGAAGTATAACAGTTTGGCATTTCAATAAATCGTTGGTCTCAAAATATGAGTTGTGGGGGTCTCTATCAACTCAAACACAATGAGATCACAAGTAACAGAATATGATAGGAAAACGAAAGAAGAAGAGTACAAAAAAAAATCAACAGTTTTTTTTTTTTTTTTTTTAGGAAAAAGAATCAATAACAAAAAAAAAATCAGAAATAGAAAGAAATAGAAAGAAAAAAGAACTAAAACAGACAAGCGAAAGCAATACATCAATAATCATATCAATTTTCGGGGTAATCAACAATTCGCAGTAACGTCACCTCATTCGAATTAGTTGTAACAAAATATCATCACATTAATTCAACATAATTGCTTGGACAAATACCAATTTCCCCATTTTCCCTCTTGGCTTGCCACCATCTACCCTGGATTTCACTAATCATCAAGATTTCTCCCTTTTCGAAACTGATTTCATTGACATCATCAGGATTCGCCTCGTAAGCGTAAAGGGCTCTAGCTCTGTAAGGATAAATGTCTTGATCAAAAGCTCCGTTAGAATTGGCACCGTCGCCATTAGAGTATTGGTTGGTGTTGAAAGAAGTTGTGTCAATATTAGAGTTTGGCTCGCTGAACCCAGTTTCTGGGTTATTATTACCTTGCTGGTGGAAATCTGACAAATTACTGTTGGAGGCAGTATTGCTGGTGCTGAATTTCTGAGAATAGTGAGAGTTCATACGAGAAAGCGAATTCATTTGGGTATTGGCTTGGGTTTGATTGTCGTAATCCGAGTACTTGTTGATATTACTGGTGGTGGCCCCGAACGGGTTTTCTCCTCCGGCAATCGAACCACGGTTACTGAAACTGTTAGAGATTGGATGAGAAATTAATGTGTCGTATCCACCATTATTCGATGCCAAGGCACTCAATCTTGTCAGTTTAGCACGGCTCAATTGGGCCGCGGTGGTCATGTGTTTTCTGTTCAATGAGAACCCATCGATCCATCTGTTGATTGGTGAATCGTTATCACCTCCATAATAAATCAACCAAATCATATTTATCATCGAGATCAAAATAACCCCGCTGGATGCGGCAGCCAACGCTGATCCAGAACTGTACACCAAGTTATTGGCAGAGTTGGTACTGTAAATGAAGGCCACGGCAAAACTGGCAGACAAAAAATTTCTGTACGAATCTATCAAGTCATAGCAATAGAAGAGAAACAACACAACAATCAACGAGAACTCGAAGGCTATCGACCACCAAGAAAACCGTGGAAAGTTAAATTTGGTATCCGAGGAAGCAGCACACCCACCAATGAAAATAATCCACGAGACAAACCCCACCGATAACGTCCCCAAGGCAAATGGGTCAGTAGTTATGTTGGTGATATCAAAATTATGCTGGTATGTGTATGGGTTCTTAGACGACATTTTCTCTGGTATTATTCTTGAGGAATGTAAATTGGAAAATTTTTGTCCAGAACTATCAAAAATATCGTGATGAGGCTTATCTATGCTTCGAGTGTATAGCGGTCAAATGAAATATAGCGACCAAGAAACGAAATGATGGTTAATAAATGAGATTTCAGGTATTTTAGCACTTCAGAAAAGACAAAAAGAAATGACCTTCTAACTTATATCTCGACAAAAGAGTATGGATTCCATAGGTCAAAAGAAGGTTTAAACGTCTTACAAATTCTGTTGCGCTGTTCGAAAAAAAAAAATTTAGTGCCATTTTCCGTGACGGCTATACCATCCTGTCCGGACTGGTGGGCAGATTATGTATTATCACTACGGTAATCTCCCTCTTTAGCTAAGAAAAATGTATAGTAATTTTTTATTAGCGTGAGTAATTCGCTTATTTATCATCAACAAAAGTAAAAGGTTAAACAAAATGTATTAATTCTGTGCATCCTTAGCTGGTGGTGCTTCTTGTTGGTCTGGGTCATCTGGATGATCTGTTTCAGATCTCTTCTGGTCTGCAAATGCTTCATGATTTTTCGGATCGTCACCACTAGCCGACTGATTTTTTTTTGGTTTATCCTGCGTTGTAGCTGGTGGTCGGTATGTATCGGTTTTTCCTCTGTAGCCTCCGTTATAATTTCCTCTGGGTCTAGAGTTATACCTGCCATTTCGTGGACCTGTTGGAAGCCCACTATTCCGGGCGTTTTCGGAATCGGCCTTATGTCTCTTTCTTTCTGGGCTCGGAGATCTGGAATACCTTTGAGGTCTTGGGGATTTGGAGTAACTGCGCGACCTTGGGGATCTGGAGTAGCTACGCGATCTTGGAGATCTGGAGTAGCTTCTTGATCTTGAGTAGCTTCTTGATCTTGAGTAGCTTCTTGATCTTGAATAGCTACGCGATCTTGGGGATCTGGAGTAGCTCCTTGATCTTGAATAGCTTCGAGATCTTGGAGACCTGGAGTAGCTTCGCGACCTTGAATAGCTACGAGATCTTGGAGATCTAGAATAACTTCTAGACCTAGAATAGCTTTGTGATCTTGGAGAATGCGATCCTCCTCTAGAATAACTACCCGATCTTGATATACTTTTTGAACCTGATCCATTCCCTCTTCTTTCCATAGTTCTACCTCGATCCAGGAACTCCTCCTCCTGCTCCTTCTCCTTGTTCTTCTTCTCCTCCTTCTCTTCCTTCTTTTCTTCCACTTCCTTATGAGGCAATCCTGCCAAATCATCTCTCATTGTCTCGGTCAACGCTCCTAAACCAATGGCAGTAAAGAAATTAATACTGAATCTTAATATTTCCGCAAAATTCGACGAGTCACTGATATCTGCATCTTTATCATTAAGCAACGCAATCTTGCTGTTTGGAAAAATACCTGCAACCTGCTTGGCAATGACTTGGTCTTCTCCCAGAATCATCTCCTTGATTTTTGGCAATCCTGTATTTTCCACCATTGATTCAAATATCCCTTTCAACAAAATACGTTGCGCCGATGTTGTAGATTCCTCTGTTAATTGGGCATTTTCAAAGATTTCAAATGATAATACATCCAGGGCAACCAAGAACCCCCAAAATTTAGCAATGTTCCGTAGTTGACCCGCTTTGAATAAATGACAGGTGGTATAGTATGTACCAAATACTTTTATGAACGAGGCGTGCCATTGGAAAGAAATGCTGCAGAGTTTAGAGCCAATGAGGGCGTGATATTTGGAGAAGGACTTTTCAAGCGAAGAGGACTTAATGATGATATCAATTAATTTCTCTTGGAACTGGGTATTGTTACTCCCTTGTTTGGATTTGGAAACCCCTGGAATATCGAGTTGAAGAAGCTTATGCACCGCTTCATCGGAACTCATAGCCGACATTATAGTTAAGTACACTGCTTTTTGGAAGTTAATGAGATCAGTTTCTGTCATGTCGGTGATAGTTGCGTCTTGTGTTTTTGATTCTTCAGTTTCACTGATATTTTCATCACTCTTGTCATCATCACTCTCGTCACTATCATTACCAAGGGCATCCTCATCATCACCCAATATCTCTTTTTTCAACTCGCTGTATTGCTGCTCATTTTCTAGATATTTTTCATCGAATTTGAAAACATTGAGTTGGTTTTCTGCTTTCAATGTTTTATCGTCTAGTTCCACCATATGGGTGATCCCATCTTCTTCTTCCACTAAATCAAGTTTTTCTTCATCAGGAATCATGGGATAACTTTCGAATCTTGCAGCTTTGATCTTGAAAAGTTCTTCAATCAAATACTGGTTTTTCTTTGTTAATTGTTTGTAATTTATTAGAATCTCTCGCAATTTTTGGAAAATTTTATCCAACACTTTAAGATTGAATACCATCAAATAGTTCCCAGCATGTTTGAGCACCACCGTTGCCAACTCGATAGAATTATTGGACATTTTAGCATCATTCAAGAGTAATAATAAGATTTGAAGAAGTAATACCTCGTGGATCACTCCGAAATTCATTAAACCTGCCAAAAATATTAAAGTTCCTTGTAGACCTTTTTTATCGTTTCGTTTGTAGTATTTTCTGAAATTCAACACGAGTCTCACTGCAAGCAATTTTCCCACTACTGGGATTTTTGAATTGATCACGCTGACATATGAACAGTACACTGCTGTGTAGTTTCCTGATTGTAATTGGTTGGATATCAATGTCTTGGTAAGAATTCCCCGAGCGCGGACCAAATTCTGTTGGAACGACTCAACCACCATCTGTTGGATATTTTGTGATGAAAGCTTGTTGATGGTCCCTGTAAGACGTTTCTTGAGGGCAAGCCACGATTCCTGTTGATTCTCCAATGATGATGGATCGGTATCTTTGGACTGCTCTAAGGCTAAAGCCCGTAGCTTGGCTGGCGGGATATATTTCTTGCTCCCTGACATTTATTATATTTATTGGAAAGATCCCAACAACTAAAAAAAAGGTCACAAATGAAGGGAAGTAACAAATTCCAAATGGTGATTGATTGGAGGCCACAGATGATTAGATATTAAACAGATGTCAAAGCTCATCACCATCTGCTGCTTGTTCTTCTTCTTCTCTTAGTTTTTTTTCACAGCTCCTTTTTTTGACAAATTACCCTGTGCAGCACCACCGCCCAACATGCATCACCACCCAAGGATCTTCCTCCAAATAGCACTATAAGTTCCTATTAAAGAAAAATAGCACATCTCAGACAGTTAAGAATTGTTCTATACTGCAATTTTTTGTTTCTTTCTGTTAAAGATATTGGCTAGTGTTGGGCTTTCTGGTTGGAACACAACCGTAAGAAAGTGCGCAGTCTCCTGTCTTCAAGAAGTAAATCACTCGGACGAAGGGTTCCTACAAATTAATTGTGGAAACTATTGTAGAAAAAGCCAGGAAAGGCCTTCTCTTGTATTTAAGTAGATCTTGGATGATAGGAGTTTTAGCCATATGAGCTTTCTCTATGGAAAGAGAATATGCAAATAGCTGCAAAATAAAAGACATGACAATTTTTTCCACCGGGCCACGACAGTAATTCTTCACCAGACATCCTCATCATTAAGTACTCGCTAATGCTATCAATCTTATTCCATATCTCTCACCCTTTTCCTTAGTGCTAAATGGCTGGCAAGCGACCAACGGTCTCCGCCAACTGATGACAGTAATTGTGGTCGGCTAACCGCACCGCATAATCCCGGAAGCGAAAGGAGAAGAAAAATCCCAATGGCCATCGAGAAATCTTGTTTATGACATTAAACAAGACCGTTATATATTGCAAAAGAAAACAAAAAAAGATTAACTACAAGTTATCACCTTTTTTTGAATACCCAAGGCTTTTCGTACTTATAGATTTTGTTGTACTCCGACGCTGTTCTTGTTGCTGTTTATACCACACTGCTTTTCGATTAATTGCTTGGAGCTCATCAGGTGCCTGTCAAAGTATTTTTGAAGGTAAACATTACAATTATCATTCAGACAATTAATATTTCCACGAGTATTTCATTATTCGTTAGTTCAGGCTCAGACTCGTCTATTTTTGACTGTTTTATTTATTTTGTTTGCTGTTTCTCTCTCGCTCTCGCTCTCCTTCTCTCTCGTTTGCTTGTTTGTTTATCTGTGTGCTAGTGACCCCAATTATTGCTACACCTATCATCAGATTGCTTGTTCAAGTTAAGACAATCCTCCTATACTAAAATCAAAAACATCACCAATCCATACAAACTGTTTGTGATCTCCGCACATTATACTATTGTTTAAAGAAAAAAAAAATAGCAATGGTTCAAGGCAATGTTTTGGTGGTATCCAACAGACTCCCTGTCACCATCACCCGTAACAAGGATGGATCATATGAATATAAGATGTCATCCGGTGGTCTTGTAACCGCCCTTCAAGGACTTAAGAAATCGACGTCTTTCCAGTGGTTTGGTTGGCCGGGGCTTGAAGTTCCTGATGATGAAAAAGCTAGAGTGAAGAAAGATTTGATGGACCAGTTCAATTGTATTCCGGTATTTATAAGCGATGAGATTGCCGACTTACACTATAATGGATTTTCCAACTCGATTCTTTGGCCATTGTTCCACTACCATCCGGGAGAAATCAACTTTGACGAAACTGCGTGGTATGCGTACAATGAAGCCAACAAGTTGTTTGCTGAAGCGATCTCTAAACACGTCAAGAATGATGACATGGTATGGGTTCATGACTATCACTTGATGCTTCTTCCTGAGCTACTCAAGAGCAACATCGATGCTAAAGGTATCACTAATGTGAAATTGGGATTTTTCTTACACACTCCATTCCCATCATCGGAAATCTACCGTATTTTGCCAGTACGTAAGGAAATATTGCAAGGGGTTTTAAGTTGTGATTTGATCGGATTTCACACATACGATTACGCCCGTCATTTCCTATCGTCTGTCGGGAAAGTGTTGAAATTGAATACCTTGCCAAATGGAGTGGAATATCAGAACCGGTTTGTCAGCGTCGGGGCCTATCCTATTGGTATTGACGTTGATAAATTTACCACAGCTCTTAAGGAACCTAGTATTCTACAAAGAATCGCTCAGCTCAAGCAGAAAGTCGGCAAGGCTGAGGGAAACGATATTAAAGTGATTGTTGGGGTCGACCGGTTAGACTATATCAAGGGGGTGCCCCAAAAGCTCCATGCTTTCGAAGTTTTTCTCAATACCTATCCGGAAATGGTTGGTAAGGTCATTCTTATTCAATTAGCAATTCCGTCTCGTGAAGATGTAGAAGAGTATCAAAATTTGCGCGCTTCCGTCAACGAACTTGTCGGGAGAATCAATGGAAAATTTGGGACCATTGATTTTGTACCAATTCATTATATGCATCGTTCCATTCCTTTTAACGAGTTGGTGGCCTTGTATTATATTTCTGACGTGTGCTTAGTATCGTCTACCCGTGATGGTATGAATCTCGTTTCCTATGAGTATATTGCTTGTCAATGCGATAACAATGGGGTTTTGATCTTGTCTGAATTTGCTGGGGCCGCTCAGTCGTTGAATGGGTCAATAATTGTTAACCCATGGAATATTGAAGAGTTGAGTGAAGCTATCTACGAATCACTAACTTTGCCAGGCCCAAAGAAGAAGGCGAATCATGATAAATTGTTTGGTTACATTTCAAAGTATACCAGTGCGTACTGGGGAGAGAGTTTTGTTGGAGAATTGTACAAGATATCAAAAAAGGATCTTGAAAAGGAAAAGAGACTGAAGAGAATTCAATTGGAACTCTGATTTTTTGAGATCTTGGGCGGATCAAAAGAAGAAAAAAAAAAAACAATATTTGAAATTGTATTTGTTCTTCTATTTTATCTGGTGTTTTCTTAGATCATTGAATTTTATGTTGGTTTTGTTGTTGTTGTTTTCCTTCTCTAACGCCAAACATGACAAGTATTATTCATTATGATATTGTAATTTGAATGGCAATTTGCAACTCAAAAAAAGGGGGGAGGCTAACAGAATATGTTTATATTACTGTTGCAAATTGTTATGAAGATGTTAAGAAATCTTTAATAGTATATTTTTATTTTATTTGTTTTTCTCTTTCAGGTTGTGGAAAGCACAATCTTGGAGAATTGTTGTTTTTTCTTACAACAGTTAAAAAGAAAAGAAAGTTATTTTCCTGTTCTTTATTGTATTTACCTAATAATATTTTTTTTTTTGTATTTTAGTCAATTTTTGATCAATCAAAATTATATTCCCAGTGAATTCCATTTTGTAGAACTGTTCAACCACCATATGAACTACTATCCATGACTTTGGGAGCTAGCACTTGACATCGATTACATTTGTTATTAATACGAGCTTCTGGTTTTCAGAGGAATAGTTGCTCATATTTATTGCTCAAATAATATCATGGCATATAATGACCTATAAATATGAGCAAATTCTGCGAAATATCTTAAGAGAAATTGATCTAATTTTCCAACTATAAGAACAAAAATACATGCATTATATTGTAAATACCGGCCATCAATTTCTAGCATCATTTATGCCAACAAAGATTTATGCCAACAAAGGAAGGGAAAAGAGAAAAAAAAAAAAAAAAGATAACGGTTTAATAAAGTAATTAGAATTTTACAATTACAAGTTCTCATTTTTTGTCCCTGTTTGGTTATAGTTGATAGTTCTTCTTGGCTGGCACGGCATCTTCTCTGCTCAATTCTGATATATTTGCTCATAAATTGGGGTGCACAGGAAAAAAGCTTGGTGCATTGAATTTTCCAAGGAGATTATAAATACTTGGACATTTTCTACTCTCGTTGCCTGATTCAAATTTTCAAACACTACAAAAACACTCTTATTACTGCCATCACTAATCAAACAATAATAATAACAATAATATGCAATTTTCATCACTTTTATTGACTTCCACCCTTGCGGCCCTCGCTGCTGCCGAAGCTGTCACCACCACCATCACATATTCCACCACCATGTCAATGGATGGGATGGCTTCCATGGCAATGATTATGACTACCACCAAAACTATGGACATGTCATCCAGTACTAGTATGAATGGCACCACCATGACCATGGATATGAGTAGCAGCAGTAGCAATTCCAGCATGGCAACCAGCACATCCGCTGCTAGTGGACTGAGTAGTACTGCTGGCGCAGCAATGCTAGACAAAGGATCTATGGGGGTTCTTGGAGGAGCAATGTTGGCTGGTGCTTTGCTATTAGGATAGAAGCATGTATTATCATTATCACTATACACCTCATGATTATTAATCTGCATTAAGGTGATTACATAACAATCACGTGTAGTAAAGTATATAGTGTAATCACCCCCCGAGCGTCATCGCTACCGATGCACCCCCCCTCGCCACCAAAACGAAACGAAAAAAACGTGCCGCCCGGCGAGGGAAGGATGAGATAACCACATGTAAGTTGTCCCCGACCCAATTTATATATAAAAACATTCTATATTCGCTCATTTCCCGCGTCGCCCCTTTTCTTTGATACTTCTCTTTACTTTACCTTTTTTTAACCTTCATTTACATCTTTGATCTTTTATTCTAAGGTGTCAAGTCAACTAACTCGCCTTGTATCTCATCTCTGATAACGAAACCTTACATTTTCTTATCAGTTGTCCTCCGAGGCTGGCTCATCTCCACATAAACAACAACAAAAATATACAACGACAACAGCAACATCATCATCAACAAAAGCTTAGACTTATCATAATGGGATTGTTTGATTACTTCTTCTCATCCTCCTCCAAAAAACCACAAGCATCCTCAACCTCTGACCCTTCTGGTTTCGCCAAATCCACCGCTGAGGTACCAAAGTACGACAACAATGGTTCTCTCGTGTTTCAAAACAACAAGATCCTTGCCATGAACGACGATAAGGAGGATGGCTTCATCCAAGTCGATTTCCGCAAATTGTCCTACGCTGAAGTGGCTGCTTTGAAATCATCTTCATTAGGACCAACCAGCGAGGGCCCTGGGTCCAAAGCAAGTGGCGGCTCATCGGATAAGTCATCCATGGCGGTTGATATCGACAAAGACTTGGGTACTGATATCACGGACTATCAATTAGCAGAAATGTTACAGAAACAAATGAACAACGACGTCATTGAAGACCAAATCTTGGCTCATCAAGCTTTTTTGAACCAAGGAAACTCCATTGATAATTTGAATGATTTTGCCGATGCGTTTGACGGTAAGTTAGAAAATGCTAAGACCAACAAGTCCAAGAATAAGACCAAGGTTAGAAGAAAGAGTCATGGCAACCAAGTCAAACATGCCGTGTGAATATACTATCATCTACGGTATTGCTCTTTTGTTTTGATTTGTTTTTGTTTTTTTTTTGTTTTTGAGATTTGCTGCGCGCGTGTGTGTTATTCTTTAATTGTTGACACGATAGATATGATGCTCATTATCACACATAATTGTTATTATTATTATATATAAATATACATATAGTGCACACGCTGGTGCTGGATACAGCAAAAAAAAAATTATTCCTTGGGATTAGTTGTGCTATTGGTTTTTATTATTTTATTCATTTTTGGTTACGTTTTTTTTGGTTGATGTTTGTTCTTAGATGTTAAGTACTGGCGATTGGTTAATTACACATTTGTTATTTTATTTTATTATTTTTATTATTGTTATTTTTTCTCATTTGAATTTATTGTCGTGACCATCATTTGACACAATCACCATGGTTTATTGGTATATAGAATAGGAGTAATCTGATATGTTTGATGTGCCATTAACGGGCGGATTTCTCCGGATGTACGTGTCGGTTAAAAAAAACAACAACAGATGCGATGAGATGAGATGACATGACTCAGCTGCATTGACTCTTCCCAGGTCATCGCAAACTTCATAGCCGAAACAATTCTGGGTTTAATCGTGCTTACGTAGATCATAATTTTTTATATGTTCTTCTCGTGGTTAATTTTCTTATTTTTATCTAAATCATTAATATTACCAGGAAGAGAGAGCCCTTGGCGTAAATGGGGATAAGTGTATGAGGAAATTTTAGAAGCGTGCAATTGTACATGAACGTAATTGTTCCGTTAATTTAAAGATGAAGTGCCACATGTTGACCAAAAATAGCATATTCATCATTAATACATTGCTATCGCACTCTTTATAATTAAAGTAGATTCTAATTTAGAATAAGGTTCTAGCACAGTTTAAAAGTTCTGAGATCTAAAAAGGAATATCAAATATTGAAATATCTATATATATATATATAAATCTATACATAAAAGTAAAGGGCCTAATTCAAAGAATTCAAAAACCCTCTTCAGGTAAAACAGTTTCTATTCATCATCCATTGTTTTACTTTTCTAAATTTTCTATCATCTAATTCTTTGGTCTTTCACTTCAACTTGACTGCCAAGGTGTTTTGTATCACCCACCACTTGGATAATTCCACTCTTTAATCCCAATTTTCCATCTTTAACATCCTTTTTGAATACATCAATCACGGTGATCGAAGTATTGTAAACGATTTTGACCACATCATCTGTAGGAATAAGCTTTGGGTTCATGTTGTATTGCAAATCATTTGCGAAATGATTGATCAATGCCCGGATCGACCCCCCGTGTGTTATAAGTAAACAATTTTTTGTCAGGTCATCATTCGCAACAATATCCACCACGTTCTGCTCGACTTCTCCAAACAATCTGTCACAGAAATCGTGCTTCAGCTCCCCAAAATCCCGGTAACTATTTTTCCCATTGGCCACAGCATATTTCAAAGCATCATCGATATGACGACCTTCGATTGGTCCCATTGACCGTTCTCTGAACTTATTACTTATGGAAATCGGAGTTCTCGAACCACTATCACTGCCGTCCCCTTTGACTCGAGAAATATCTTCATCCAATGACCCATAATCGCCAGCTATTTCCCCGGTTTCTGGGTCCTTATCGGCCTCAAATTTTCCATTATTTTCCATAGCGGCAGCTTCCAATTTTTCCACTAACTGTTCGACCGCAAACTCGTTATTCTGAGTGGTCTCGTCAACTTTGACATCTCCACCCACAACAATTCCCCAAAGGGTTTGTAAGCACCGTCTCAAATCACTAGACCATACCTTATCGACTTTCACTTGTTGAAATCTGGAACCACAAAGCTGGGCCTGGGAATGGCCTTGAAGGTTAAGCGAGGTATTGAGGTGGCCTTGCAAGATATTGTTCTTGTTGGCGTTGGTCTGACCATGGCGGACGAGGAAAAGTCTTAGGATGGCCGGATCAGTATTGTTCAAAGAATCGGTAGAGGCAAGAAAAAGGGATGGATCTAACTGGGTCATTTTCTGCTTTTTTTTTCTATCTTCTACAATGTGTATTTTCCAGATAATTTGGGGAGGAACAATAATGATCTCTAATATGACTATGAAATATAAAAATGCCTCCCCCCAGGGCTTCAACATACATCACCCCACACCACCCCCGATAGACATAGGCAATGTAACTGAGGTTTCTGGTACTATACAACTGTACAGAGCAAGTGGATGGATGGTATGAATAGGGTATAACAACTCACAAGAAAGATCTTTATTGCAATTTCTCATTGAATAACAGGTTAAATTTAGTGGAAAATGGTTGAGATGTGCTATTGGTATCGGTACTCCCGTCTTGTTATCAGTAAATGCCAAAAAACTCCTACAGGAATAAACTGAAAATAAAAACTGTTAAAAACGGTACTTAATGATAAATACTGTAATGAAATATTCTTTCCACAATATTACACCATCTATAGGGCCCAATTTCAATTTATATTGATTATTGCGAGTATAAACCATTGGTACGGTATTTATTCCCTTATATGCATATACCATTGCGGAGGTATTTGTTTGTGTGTGCCATTTCGATGAAATATGTTGATAAATATGCCCCTTTACTAATACTATGTAGTGAAATACTGCTCTTAACAAATACTTATTACAATTTATAATATCATATGATGTCTATTACTTTTATTAAGGGTGAAATTCGACATCAGAATAACGTGAATAAATTACACTAGCTTACATGAACAATAGAGAATTACGCTTCATCAAAGACAGCTCCTGCCATGAATAGCTAATAGCTTCGGGTAATTTAAGCTGGAGAGATGTGTGATTTAATTCTTGGAGACATTGAGTTCCTCAAGCAGTGGAATATTGTTAAAGCTATTCATCGAGGTAAGTCTGTTATCAAAAAAAAAAAAATCAATATTTACAATTCAGGAAATTCTAAAAAAAATCTAAAAGGACTTCAGCAATTGCATTACGAACAAAATGGAGACTGGTGAGCTTGGGTAAATTGGGAAAATTATTAGCTTTAGTGATACCTTCATTGTTGTAAATACTCAATTCCTCCAAATTTTTCAAGCACTCCAAGTTTGAAATCCTAGTGAATGAATTTCCCCTATGTCTAAGGTTTTCAAATTGGGGAATGATTCAAAGGTTCCTTCACTAATTCTTGGATTGTTAATTTAAAGATGCAATTATCAGTCTGCCAGTGCTCTAGGGATGGCCGGAGGCTCATAACTACCAATACTTCCACTACTTTTGTAGCTTTTGACGATTAATAGTTACTACTATCATGTATATAGAATTATCATGTATATAGAATTATCAAGAATCGCGAATAAATTCCTATTTTTATACTATTAAACTTTTACATTTACTCTATATTTATTATAGTCATTACATTAATATCTATAAACCGACATTTAGTTCTACGTCCAATCCAATCATGAATCCTGAAACTATTCCCACCTATTCGGGATCAATAAGCAATAATGCGTTCTGTTCGTTGTTTTCGTCTAAGGTTAATAGTTTTCTATTTATCAGCCATCAAATTATCTTTAACATCATTTACAAAGCAACGTTGATTAGGAGAAACTACCGCCAGAACAAAGCAAATATATATTGGTTATGCTTCAAACAACTAGAAATAACAGTGATATGGATAATAGACAGCAAAAGATAAGGTAAAATCGATGCAAAGGAAGCCTGGTAGAGTTAGCTGATATTAGTAACCATCTAGAAGTGGTATTTCGTAAATCAGTTAGTTTACTAAATATCAAAAGAAAGATCCCACCTAGTCACGTCTTTGAAGAAAGAACATGAACTAATCCAACCCCTGAACCACACATTTTAAAAAGCGTATTCCAGTCCTTTCTTTTCAATTGTTTATAATTGACATCCAAAGATTTCTCTCAGGGAATTATAACAAGAACTAGCTATCTAGAAATATATAAAGATTGTTGCTGACATTCGTGATTTTATGTTATCAAGACAAGGCATCGCAAAACTTAACGAGACAAGAAACTTAGAAATCTCAAAAAAAAAAATCAAAATGATTTTGACAAGAGTTATTTTTGTCGTGGTACCCCATATCCAGGCTTTGGACGGGATACCAGAAACAAATAGTGTTGTTGTGCTGGTGAAGCAGACTCGCTTCCTTAAACAAAAGAGAGAGAGAAAAAAAAAAAAAAAAATCGACCAGAAAATTTAAAACTACAATATTTGTGAAGATCTTCCCATTTTTAAGGATAAAGTACCTCCCTTCCCCTCCTCTCTCTCTCCCTCTCTCTCTCTCTCTCTCTCTTTCGCACACACTAGGAGGGGTGAAAATGTGAAACAGATACAAAAAAAGATGAGAATTACAAATATTTCCATTAATTTCTTAATAAGCTTCTGTAGTGTTTGCCAAGTGATGAATGAATTTGAAAATATTGAATTACACCATCCATCGATATCATGTTACGTAAATACAACCATATTTTAAATGTTTACTTGTTGATTGTTATTAACTCGATACAAGAATAATAACGAAGCTATCACCGAGTTAGCTCCAATTGCAATACTCTGGCAGAATTGATAAGTTGGGCACAGTTTCTGACCTCATCAGGGTCATAATCAACACATGGTTTTTGAAAAAAATAGAAACCCCCTGAATTTATTGGGCAAAGGCCAACGCAGGCCATGAATAACGGCAATCTTATCAAAGAAAACAGATTCAATGTATTCTAATAAAGGCAATTGATCAGCATCAATAATAATATTTCTTGAATTCACCAACCAAAGTTTGTCACAAAATTTGAACACAAGCCTTATCAATTCCAACAAGGTAGTTTGTCTAACCTAACTCTCTTCATTCATTGGATTATTGAACCCCATCAGGTGTGGTAGTAGATCGGAGATCTGGATAAATCCTTAAATAGAGATATAAACTTTTCTTCTTTACAGAAACAAAAAAAATGACCTAGAATTATGGAAGATCTCGCTATAATGGAATCTTTAACATATCTTAATAATATTGGTTCTAATAAAAATAGGCTACTATTATTCGCTAATGGATGATACCTTCCCCCTTAATTTGTAAAACAACATGTATTGAATACCCTGGTAATGGCAAGAAATCAACTCTTTTTTGTCGCCAAAGAACGTTGTAAAATAATAAAATAACGAACATATTTATTACCAATAAGTAAGTAGCCGCATTCTCCTAAGTATAAGAAGACTTTTTAAAAGAAAAAAAAAAACCAGTCCCAGTTTACCACTTCTCTCGCACGTCCCTCTTGTGTTAGCCACTCTTAGGGTATCCATACTGAAGCTTCCAGTTGTCAGAGAAGGAAAGATCCATCATTTACGGATATAATACCCATATAATCTACATTAATGTATATAGGTATTGTATATTTTTTCAAGTAAAAATAGCACCCAATTTAGCATAGAGAAACACCATTGTTGGTCGCGAGAGTACGGTCTGCAGTATCATCGTGATTAATTCCAATTGAATTGGGTAGCTCAAACTCTCCTTTTTCATTCTCAAGGGTTGATTATCTATTGTAAGTTTCTGACTGAGCTTCAATGTGCAGAAACAAAAGAAAAAACCTATCAATCAAAAGCCATCCTTTCTCATAGACATTTAACCGTCCCAGATAGAAAACGTTTGGATAATTGACTTTTACATTTTTGATGTTTTCATTATTTTTTCTTTCCAATCAGTCTCAATTGAATAGAGCTCAAGTATTCCACTGGTACGTATGACTCTAACACAATGTCTCTCAATCTACACTTTATAGCTTTACTAGGCACTGTGATGTTATTTCCATCATTTTCTGGATAACTATTACTATTATGGCCTCTATCATACTCACTCTTTTCGATACTTTTACAGAAAACATGCATACACTACACCTCCAGTGTGTTTTTGTTTTCAAAAAAAATATTCTCAAAACATTGAAACTAAGTTTACTGTACCAGATTAGAAAGCAATCTGATTCAATAGCTGTTTGGACGAGATCATCAATTACAAGAGCATAATTATCATCCGCCAGTCTCACAGATCCCGATATGACCTTTAAAACCACATAAATTGCGATGATAAGTAAAAACAGTAATAATAAAGATAGCGAGAACATTATAACGAGATTTACTGCAGAAGAAAGAATAGTTCTGCCACTTGGAGCAAGCAAAATTGCTCCACCTATATATAGAGTTTTTGACGCTTATTGTCATGGTACGTAATATGCATGCTTTTAGAATTACATCATTCAACTGAATTGTTTTGTCATACGAGTATTAATGATGATTAGGACACATAGAAAACAGAAGCATTGAACTTTCAAATACGCAAGGGTGATATGACGAATAACAACTAAATAGTATTCTTGGTATAATAACAACAATAAAGTAATAAAAGAAACAATAACAATAACAAAAAGCACACGGAGCAAGAACGGGTGAAAACAGTATAGTATAAAAAATGCAAATAAATAAAACAGAAGCCATCATTTATAATTCGGAGGCCTGTTGGATTTGTTTCGTTCCAATCTCACTACCATCCATTCCAACGCCTCCTTCACTCCGTCACCTTTGAGCCCACTTACTGGTAATACTCTACTGTCTCTGGCATTTAAATGCTCTGCCACCTTATTGAAAATCTCCTTAATATCTTCCACTTCCAAGTGATTTTCCAAATCCTGTTTATTGGCCAACATCAATATCGGAATGCTTTTGTCGATCTGCTTCTCCTCATCGTTGATCAACTCGTCCGGATTCAATATCTTCATCAATTCCTCTTTACACTCTTCCAACTTGCTGCGATCCCCGCTATCGACGAGGAAAATGATCCCATGTGCCACTTCAAAATAACGTTCCCACATGCCCCGTAGCTCGGCTTGACCCGCAAGATCCCATATTTTAAGACTGACTTTGGCGTCGTACTTGACGTGTCCAACATTCTGACCGACAGTGGGCAAGATCCTCTTGGGCTTTTTGTAAGTTTGGTTCTTGTCGACATAGAGCTCCTTGAGCTTCTCCAAAAAAGTGGTCTTTCCGGAATTCTCTAAACCTAGAAGAAGGATTGAGTATTCTTCTCGCTTGTTGTAGTTGTCATATAGACCCTTTACCAAGTGGAACATGATTGGTTATTATATAACGAGAGCTGTCCAATCACAATGACAATTGATTTATTACCACCACCATCTCTCGGTACATCACCAATCACCACTATCAGTTTATAATTTTTTTTTGTTTTTTGGTATTGTAGGGGGTGACAGACCCTGGTTCACCAAGGCTTTTCCAAAGACAAAAAAAAAAAAAAATGCTGCTGATCTTCAAGACTTTTCAACATCAGAAGAAGGAATAAAAGATAAGCCAAAAAGAGGTTCTAGTTATTGAAAATGAAGAGACTTCAGAAGTCCCCATTCTCCCGCCAGTTTATCCGGAATATAACCGGCAAACCAACTCTACAAAATAGTAGCACTGCCACCAGCAATAAGCCACCAGCATATGAGCCTGATTTCTCCATCACCCAAACAACATACTCTTACCAACTTCCCGTTGCCAATGAATTAGAATCAGATATTAGAGTATCTGCATCCCCTATTTCTTTGTTATTTGAGTACACAGGTGTGGAAACTTCCACGGCCAACTATAGCAAAAACCAAGAGGCGTTTGAAACTTACCCATTGACCACTTTCAAAAAGCTTTCAGCAAAATATGCCAACCTTATAAAGAAACAACAGGAAATTTCTCGCAGATCAAATGCTCAAATTGCTATTGAGCGTCCAAGAAACCTCAAACTCACTTGTAAAGACTTTATTGATGATTCGCTATACAATCCATCTTATGGGTACTTCAATAAAGACGTTGAGATTTTCCATCTTGACAAACCATTTGACTACCGTGGGATAGCTTCTACTGACGAGTTCATTGATGTTTGGATGGAACATTATCTGAAATATAACCAGCATAGATCTAATGGTTTGCAACTTTGGCACACTCCATCGGAGCTTTTCCAGCCGTATTACGGTCAAGCAGTGGCTAATTTCATGGTTAATCAATACAAATCAAAGATTCAACCAAAAGGAAAAAATATGGTGATCTATGAAATCGGGGCAGGTAATGGGACATTGATGCAGAATGTATTGGATCACTTGAAGGCCACTGAGCCGGAGATTTACGAGAATGTTGAATATAGAATCATCGAAATCAGTAATAAGTTGTACCACAAACAAGTTAGCAATAAAGTGCACGAGTCGAAAATCAAATTGATCAATAAGGATATTTTCCAATGGAATGAATTGGTTGAGGACGAAGTTTTCTTTTTGGCGTTTGAGGTGTTTGACAATTTTGCTCATGACGTGCTTAAATATAACATCCGTACCAAGTTGCCTTACCAAGGTTATGTGGTGATTGATAAACATAATGAATTTAAAGAATTCTTTAATCCAAAATTGGACTACTGGACCCATTTTTTCTTGGACCTCCGATCAAAAACTTCTTACCAACAGAAACTTGATTCTCGATTCGCGGTGCAAAAATGGCTCGATCCTAAATCCCCAGCCGATGAACTCGAAGAATTGAACGAATTCCGCAACTATTGCTGGCCATTCCGCAACAAGCTCACATGGTCCCTGGAGTTCATTCCGACAAAATTGTTGGAGTTCTTTACCATCTTGAACAAGTATTTCCCTAATCACCATTTGCTTGCGACTGATTTCAGCCGTTTCGATGGCGCGGTCGAGCCAAGTTACAATGGACCGGTGGTACAAACGTTGTTTTTAGCCAATGATAAATTGGAGAACGATACCAGAATCGCTAAACCTCGTGCCCCAAATCCAATGGCCACCTCGGTGGTAAACAAAAAAGATGGTGATGACAAGGTAGACAAGAAGCTCGAGTACAAAGTTTCGTTGATTCCAAAGGACAAGATGGTGAATACGTCAACCTACATGGTTCACCAGGGATATTTCGATATTATGTTCCCTACTAACTTTCCATTGGTCACAGAATTGTATGAGTTAGTTACCGGTAAAAAGGCAAGTCATTGTGGACATGGAAATTTCTTGCAACAGCATAGTAAAAACTTAGACATGACAACTTGTAAAAATGGAGAGAACCCAATGTTGGAATTTTATAAGAATGTCGAATTCATGTACACTAAGTGATATCATAATTTGTGAATAAATACTAAACATGTTAAATAGATCATACTTTGGACAGCTTTCCAAAAAAAAAAAACGTGTGTAAGTTAACCTAACTTTAGGATAGTCAGTGAAACAAAGCAGGAAAAACAAGAGCAGCGAAAATATTGAAACTGTGGATAAGCTAAAGGAGCAAAGCAAACAAAAAGGACAAAAATATGGAAAAAAGAATAAACAGGCATAGGCATCATAAAATCTTCAAACAAAAAGCTATAGAAAAAGCAGACACTCAGAACAAATGAATTAATCCTTTTTTTCTCTTTTCTCTCTGAAGCTACTCCAGACCGGATATAATTTAAATTTCTTCAACAAAGCCATTTCAACAATCCATCTAGGAATCCATCTTATGACCCAAGGAAGAATTGATGCGTTGGATCCTCTGTGAACATCAATAATACGAGGTGAGAACTTCAACATATCATTAACCACGTTTTTGGCGTACACTTCAGGAGCCTGTGGTTTGGCATTTGCTGACATCTTTTGTCTTGCTATTAAAGATGCTCTACCTTCTTCAGTATTGAAGATTGAGTTTTCTGGCAATGGTCTGGTGTCTGCAATGTTGGTTTTCACTCCCCCAGTAATGAGGTTCAACACTTTCACATCAAACATCTTCATTTCCAAATGGAGAACTTGACAATATTGATGAATAGCAGCCTTAGAAGCAGAATAAACACTAGCAAATGGGAATGGAACAATCCCCGCAAGTGAGCCAGTGAAGGCAATTAACCCTTTGGCTTTGATCACCAATGGGGAGAATTCACGGCTCAACCTGATAGGAGCAAGAACATTAACTTGGAAACATTTAAGAGCAGCTTCATCAGTTACATCGACTGCCGGGAAAGTACAAGAAGAACCCGCATTATTGAAGAGAATGTTGAGTTTCCCCCCAGTGGCATCGGAAATGGTGGATTTCATGTGTTGGACTTCCTGAGCGTCCGTAACATCACACTTGATTATGGTGATCCCCAATTCCTCAAGAGGCTTCATTGGCTCAAGTCTTCTGGCACAGGCAAACACCTTAATATTACGAGAAGCAAGCTCTTTGGCAGTCCAATAACCAATACCACTACTTGCACCGGTGACAAGGGCGGTCAATTGAGAGTGTTGTTCAGACATTTGTTCACCGTATTTTCTCCTTCTTTTTCTTTCAGAAACACTAGCAAATATGTTGGTTTTTATCAATTAAATTGATTTTAATTGAATGCTATATCGTCTTGAGATATTTGTGATTTCCTCTTTCTATGGGAGGTTCAAAGAAGGCAAGCAATATGCGATATTTTGTGATCTCAACCAGAAAAAGGAAAAAAAATAAACCTTAAAGCTACCTTCTTTGCAAAGAATTTATATCAAGAAATCTATTAAATAAAAAATTAATGTCCTCAATTCTTAGATAATAATGAAGACTCAATAATTCGCTGTTTGTAGGATAATGAAATACGGGAGTCACAAGATAATTGACCATTGTAGCTTAGGCATAAGCCTTCAAAAGGTGGAGCAACAGTGGATGGATTAGTTAAAAACTCTTGGAAATTACAATAGGATGTAATTGGTTTGGAATGCTAGATAAAAATATAATTACTTGGATCTTCACTATTTAACTCTTCACTTTTCTGACCATCTAATACTTTGCAGACTTTAGATTCCAGGGTCTTAGAGTAGCTGACAATTCATTGATCAATGCTGCCCCTATAGTATCCATAAACAGGAATAACAATGTCGATTAAACGCAATGTTACCAGATATAATCAGGCCTTACACTATATACTAATTAGCGGAACATTTAGTGATACATCATGTCTTTGGTGTAGTAGTAAAGGAAAAAGCGAAATCTTATACCATTATGGTGGATCCACATTGAAAATGTATGCAAAAAATTGATTTCGCCCAGGATCGAACTGGGGACGTTCTGCGTGTTAAGCAGATGCCATAACCAACTAGACCACGAAACCAACTTGAAAGAAATTGTGAATTGAAAAGACCACCTCGATAGTTCATGTATGGTCACGTGCCACAAAACGTGATCTCATGGCATAAGTGACAATCAATTATTATAATGATCGCTGCAAGAGTTACAAAAGCTACTACTTATTCTTAGCAAATATGAGACCAATGATTTGTCTTCAAGTAGCAAGGTTGTTACTATGTTAATATATAAGAGATTCTTTTTCCCTCAAGTGGTTTTCAAGAGGTTTTTATCAAATATTGTTAATGAAAAGGAAATATCCAGGGCTAAAGATTTTTTATCTTCCATCAGCAGAAACTCGGTACCTAAGCACTTATACTCTTTGAAATTCAGTCGCTCCAGTGGTCCAGGGGGTCAAAATGTCAATAAGGTGTCAACGAAAGTAACTTTATCATTATCAGAGTCATTTCTCTATCATATCCCCAAGCTAGTGTTGGAGCAGTTAGTGGAAAAAGACTTCAAATATTTCAATAAATCTAAAAAACTGATCTTGATACAGTCGGATTTAACAAGATCTCGGGAATCTAATGTTGACGACTGTTTCAATAAATTAGCGAAAGAGATGAATGATATTGTATATTTTAGAAACACGGAAAATGACGAGGTAAATCAAGCTAAATGGAAAAAAATTAAACAGAAAACAAATGAGAAACGTTTACAGGATAAAAAGAGACTCAAACTGAAGAAAGAACATCGGCAGAAACCCCAATTTGATTAGAGGATATACTAGATAGTCATTGGAAATATTGAAGTATCATATTTCTCCTTGCTGGGCTTTTGGAACATAGAAACTCAATCTCAGAGACACCACCCATCAAGCCACAACTGCAAAAAATTCAGGGTCCCTTTCAACCTAGCATTTGAGGTGTGAAAAATGGCACTTGATAAATCATCAACAGCATAATGTTAGATAGACCAGAGACTAGTATTCAATACAGCAAGAGGAAAATTATAGAAACAATTTTGCTCTGGCCAAACATCAAAGTTATAAAACCATAGGCAGATAAGATAATAATATAGACGTGTTGGTTATAAAGGTTGTTATACTAAAGGTGAAAAGAAAGGCGTGTTAATAATCATTCTACAAGCATCTTCAAAATCAAGTATTGCGTTTCTAGTGTCAACAATGGTACTGATATTGTTTATAATGATACTATATGCTATGTTATATCGCATGTATACTAAGGTACTTGTCAAATATTGTATAGTAATTTTCCCTCTTAAAGGCATTCGTCATTTTCAAACCTACAAATTCTATATTTTCCCAATAATCCAACGAATTAATCAATAAGAGTAATACATTATTGTTCTATTTAACTAGAATTCCCAACGCCTTTCCCTTAAAGTATTTACAGAAAGCTTAATATGTAAGCAACTAACTTCAAGCTCATGATCTTTGGAAAATCTAGAGGAGATAGAATATAGGTCAATGGGATTTCAAGTATCTCATAATGTCAGATTATGGGTTCAGAAATTCAAAACCTTGTTTTTCGATGCAATGGATTACTGTGGTAATGGTATACATTAGTACCACTCCATTACATTGAATATACTGACGGTACAGGCATACATAGTAATTGAATTGAATATTCGACATAGATTACAACTTCCCAATAAATCTTGCATGTCTTATCATAAGTAAGTTACACTGACTACACTTCAATTTTCTTGAAATGTTATCATGTGTATAGCAAAGGATTCGTCATTGACATTGCATGCGCTTACAGTATTAAGAGTTTGAAGTGTCGAAGATATTTATTCCCTAGGACCCATATAAAACTTCAAAATGGATATTTTTGACAGTCGACAAGAAGAAATTTACCAGATTTCCAACAATTGTGATTGTAAGTTTCAAAAATAACCAGAGTATTACCAATTTCACGGATGGTAAAAGAACCCATACTGAGTATAATGCCATTTATAGGACTAGCAAAATACGCATAAACATACCATATTAACGGGCTGGCATACGCCCCTATTAACGTACCATTCGGAAAACCATACCAGGCTGACGAGACCTCTTTAAACGACCATTCGCAATACCATGCTGGGCTGACGCAACCATTCTATCCAAACCATATTAACGGGCTGGCGGATGCCCTTTTTAACGTACCATTCGGAAATCCATACCAGGCTGACGAGACCTCTTTAAACGACCATTCGCAGTACCATGCCGGGCTGACGCAACCCTTCTATCCAAACCATATTAACGGGCTGGCGGATGCCCTTTTTAACGTACCATTCGGAAATCCATACCAGGCTGACGAGACCTCTTTAAACGACCATTCGCAGTACCATGCCGGGCTGACGCAACCCTTCTATCCAAACCATATTAACGGGCTGGCGGATGCCCTTTTTAACGTACCATTCGGAAATCCATACCAGGCTGACGAGACCTCTTTAAACGACCATTCGCAGTACCATGCCGGGCTGACGCAACCCTTCTATCCAAACCATATTAACGGGCTGGCGGATGCCCTTTTTAACGTACCATTCGGAAATCCATACCAGGCTGACGAGACCTCTTTAAACGACCATTCGCAGTACCATGCCGGGCTGACGCAACCCTTCTATCCAAACCATATTAACGGGCTGGCGGATGCCCTTTTTAACGTACCATTCGGAAATCCATACCAGGCTGACGAGACCTCTTTAAACGACCATTCGCAGTACCATGCCGGGATGACGCAACCCTTCTATCCAAACCATATTATCGGGCTGGTGGACGCCCCTATCCGTACCATTTCTTTCTTGGGTTGGCAGATACCCCCACCATTTATAGGGCTGATGGACACCCAACACCATTTATAGGGCTGATGGACACCCATTAACAGCATCACAGAACTGCAAATCCCTTGTAAGCTCAGGTTTGCAACCAACATCTTTCTCTAGTAGAGAAAACTTTTATCTGAAACCTGAAATGATGTTGAGGGATCTTCTATTGCTGGCCACATCCTAAAACCATTCCGACTTATTAAAGATTATCACATAAAGTCACAGCAAAGACTTGGGCATGCCAAGTTGGTAAGGAGCAATAACCGCAAACCTGGCGAGATCCGAAGGCGGTAAGCGAGCAGAGGTATTTACTCTGATTGATCCATGTGTAACCTAATAACACAGATAACTTCTTCAGCATTCAGTAGTTGCGGAAAAAAAAATCAGAGAGAAATTTTCAAGAAGAATGGCCCGATAGCAAATGTTTAGAACACACCACGTGCTGACATAGGGTTACATGCCTGGCCTAACATCTAACACGTTAAAGCCAGCAGAAGCAGGGTAATTGTATTGACTATCCAAGGATGGAAATCTTCTCTCTCCACACATAGCGATGAGGAACTACTATTACCGAGCCACTTGTTGCCCTGGGGTGCCTATGTTACCTGGTAGTGTCTCCGCTATCTAAGGGTGACTCGGGGATTGTGGCTTGTGGACATCCGCTTGTCACAGGTTTATTGTAAAAGGAATTGCGGGGATTTAAGTTCAAATTCTTTCATCTTCCTAATGATTAAGATGAAGCATCTATTATCTTGTTATACTAGAATAAAGCTAGCCTGAAAATGAGGGTTTGGGATTTGGTTTTGGTATAAGGAAAGGATGATCATTGAGCGATATTGTTGTTGAATATAGTAACATAGTCTCAACAGAGAATAGCTCTTTTTTCGATTTATAGCCCTAAAATCAAAAAAAAAAAAAAAAAAAAGATGTTTTCTTCAGCTTCCAAAACGGACCAGAAATATGTAGAATCAAATATATTCAAATGTTTATTTATGAAGGTTTGTTTACTTTTCGTTATTTTTTGTTTTGAAATGTTTGGGTGTGCACGTGAGACAGGTGATCTGCGGAGTTGATCAGAAAAAAAGTCGATTTTCCCTACCAAGGAGCAAAAATCTATTGAGCTGTCCGTTTTGCTCTACTTTTGATATAATTATATATTATCAGTAATTTGAACTCTTATTTGTATCAAATATGTGGATTTTCAATTGGTGTATGTGAGGAACAGAAGATACATGGGCTATCTTCATTTTTTTTTTTTTCATTCTCTCTTTGCTTTTTGATCCCTTAAGAACCCCTTCTTTTTCTTTTGATCAGATCATGACTTACTTCAAATTTATTTCACAGATAGAATTACTAACAGAATCTCCCTGCTCAAACAGTTCAAGACATTTTGGCCTCTTTAGGTTTGTGGAACAAGAATGCTAAGTTGTTGTTCTTGGGTTTGGATAATGCTGGTAAGACCACCTTGTTGCACATGTTGAAAAATGATAGATTGGCCACCCTTAACCCAACCTGGCACCCAACTTCCGAAGAACTTACTATCGGTTCCATCAAATTCACCACCTTCGATCTCGGTGGTCACGAGCTTGCCAGAAGATTGTGGAAGGATTATTTCCCAGAAGTTGATGGTATTGTGTATTTAGTCGATGCTGCTGACTCCACCAGATTTGAAGAAAGTAAAGTTGAATTGGACCACTTGTTGGCCATTGAAGAGTTGCAAAAGGTCCCATTCTTGATTTTGGGTAACAAGATTGACTCTCCAAACGCTGTTTCAGAAAACGAATTAAGACAAGCTATGGGTCTCTACAGCACCACCGGTAAGGGTAAGGTTCCATTGGATGGTACCATCAGACCAATCGAATTATTCATGGTTTCCGTCGTCATGAGACAAGGTTATGGTGAAGGTATCAGATGGTTGTCCCAATATATTTAATCGCAGAGATACTTTTGTTAAATAATCATTAAGTTTCTGATTGATTGATTTATTTTAGTATTGTTTTCCTCTAATAATGATGATATTGAAGCTGGTTCATAAACCATAATGGACCTTTTTATTATATTTTTTTTCCCTGGATTAATTTTCTTTATTTTCTCATGTTATATTATGAATGTTTCTCAAATCATTCCTTGCACCTAATTGAATAAGCATCTTTTACGCTCTCTTAAATTGATGTGTAAATGACATAAAACCGACTATCTAGGGATGTCAAGATCCTGTAACATAAGCTTGAATATTCGAATGTCTTGAGTAAAATATTATAAGCACTTGATTAGATATATGTATAGTATACTTGATGTGATTGCCCATAAGTGCCATACATGTCGGGGAAGGAAAAAAAAAAAATTAAAGTTTTTAATTTTTTTATTCGAGATTTTTCTTGCCACTATAAAGATCAAAGAAATATTGCAAATTATCAGAAGGCGAAGGAAGTGTTAAAGCCAAATACCACTCATTCTGATTTAATTGCGATAATATTCTTCATTTTTTTTTTTTTTTTTTTTTTCAAAGACTTCCCCCTTGCATTCGTTAGAACATGCTACAAAATTCCTCTGACGTTTTAAACAAATTACTTTGTTGGGCCAAATCTAATGGTGCCAAAATCCATCCAGATATAGAATTCACAGTTACCACTGATAAAGGGATTTCTGCATTCAAAAAGTATTCAAAAGAATTGGGTGCCTCATATGATTATCAAATCGAAATTCCTACCGAAATTATCATTACTCCAGAGTCATCCCGAGGCTTTTTCCATGAGAATTATCCAGGATTTTCATCCAAAGTTGATGAGGCCCAATTGCGATTCTGTAATTCCAATTCCATCACAAAATTGTTTCTCTCATACTTAAAGTTCTCTGACTCTGAGACCAATAGCTTTTATCAGCCTTATATTGATTCTTTGCCAATTGGTTCAGTTATTCCTGATTCTCCATTGTTATGGTGCATCAAGGATAAAAAGCTCCTACAAGGTACCAACTTGGGAAATTCCATTGACTTAAAGTTGATTGTTCTTATTAAAGAATGGTATGAGCTAGTTAGCTTATTGATTGGAAATTCCAACTTAGTGGAGAGCAATGAATTGGAATTTTATAATGAGTATTTTTTGAATAAGGGCGAAGTGCTGCAATTATGCTATGTTGCTCTTGAAAAATTTCATCAAAAATTGGAAAATATCAGTAACGACAATAAAATAGAAAAGGGAAAGATCTCATGGTTGAGTTTTGAGGCATACCTATGGGCACACTTGATGATGACCTCCAGATCATTTCCTTATCGTGTTATCTCCGGTAAAGAGGATAATGACGAAGGTATCTTGCTTCCTGTGGTAGATTTGTTGAACCACAGTGTTTCTGAGAGAGTCGAATGGAAACCAGTGGTTAACGCTGCGAATAAACAACTCTTCTCTTTTAAAAATGATGGCTTTGATACATTGGCTGATGGAGAAGAATTGCTCAATAATTATGGGTTGAAGAATAACGAAGAATTATTACTCGGCTATGGGTTTATAATTCCAGGTAATAAATACGAAACTTGCGCTTTGAAATTGAAACTCCCAGCAGCCCAAATAACCGGGTTCGCCAGTGAGTATCCTGGTTTGAAGTTGCCTACCCCTGAGGATTTCAGTAACATAAGCTCAAATTCACTTGCCATCAAAGAAAACTCCAAATTCGACGATGGATTGTTGTACTTCTTATCCAAAGCTAACCCTATCCCTGAAGAATTGTTGCAAATATTTTGTCTTTTGGTGAAGAATGACTATGATGAGACGTTTGACGATGAACATAACTCAGCTAATGATTCCACACCAAGAATCACAACAAGAATGAAATTACATGCCATCAATAACTTACAAGTAGCTATTGAAAGCAAATTTAATGCTTTGAAAGATAACAATTTGACCAGCGCCACCACTCCTCGAGCTAAAATTTGTTCTGAATACCTCAAATCTCAAGAAAAGATTTTTAATGGTTCTTTGAAGGCTTTGAAGTCTGATTTGAAAACCACAATAAAGGAAGTGGAAAAGGGTTCCAAGATTCTCACCATCAAAAAGATCCTTAATAGAGACATTAAATTCCAGGAGGCCTTGATACAGTTATTTAATACAGATAAGGAAGAACAACAAGAAGATGCCGAAGAACAAGAAGAAGACATCATTGATAGATTGATTCTGCCAGAGAGTTCAATTGCCCATGATCCGGAAGAAAGCCACATGTTAATTGAGCAAATTATTGTGTTATGGTTGGTGAGATGTGGTAATAAGAATTTCTATCCTGAATATAAAATCCCAAACAGCGATTTTGATTCTGTGCTCCCTAGTTATATTTTTGACTTGTTTTTATGGTTTAAAATCCATAAGTTCAGAGAAACAGAGTTTGCACAAGCAGAAATAGCTCATTTCCAGAATCTTCATGATGCCTATTTCCCAACTTTTGCGGAAGAGTGTCCAGAGATTTTCGGAGTCGGGTCTTGGAAAGCGATTGATCTCGTGATTGCTAATAGAATTTTGGATCTCATTCGTTATACTAGAGTTGGTAAAGAGGACATATATTTGCTCGAAAACTCTTTTGTTTGAACTTTCAATTCTGTTTAGGCAGTATTTTGTAAAGCTATCAGACTTTTGCTCCAATATTTTTAATGACTATTTATGAATTGTTACAACGAACTAGTAGCGATAATTATTGCAAAAAAAAAAAATGAAAAAAATAAAAAAGGAAAATAGAGCTATACTTCCAGATACCTCATAGATGATAATATATTTTACGGTTTTTACATGACCTGGAAAAAAAAAACTTCCCCGTAAAGGCCTAAACAAACTTGAATTTTGAAAGTTTTATTATGAAGTAAGTAAGTCATTTTTCGGTAAAATAATGGTACTTTCATTTCGAATATCTGTAGAAGCAAAGTTCTCAGGCAGGCTTGAAAAATCTATCATAATAGGTATAATACTGAAAGCGTATGTGAAGCAATGTCATGAGCGCTGCTCTATGATTTTTCCCAAAAATTTTGTGATTACGGAATCTTCCTTCCAAATCCAAACTACGACATCTCACTAAAAATATTTTTCTGTTGACTTTATCTCACCAAATTCTTGAAATATATAAAGAGTATATTTGCTCCTCAATTGAAATTTATTTTTAAATCAAATTTGGACTAAAGGATAATCATGGCACTAATCAGCAAGGCCACACTTCGGAAGAAATTATTTGAAATTTTACCTCTTGACAATGATTCATTGGACCAAGCCATAGATTACTCTCTCACCTTGAAATCTAACCAGGAAATTGCTGGCCATTTCACAGGTTTGGCCGGTGACTCTCCATTGGTGATTGAATTCATCAATGATGTGATATCTTACAGAGACCAAGTCGCTAATTCTCGAAAAACCAATAATAATAATGATAATATTAATAATAACTCAAAAGTGAAAGGCAAGACTCAGACTAATAACTCAGTATGGTCAAGTAATAACAAAGATTCAAAAATGAAATCAAAGCCAGTGCCTTCCACAAAGCAAAGATTGTCATCGGCAAAATCGTCCCATACCGTTTCCCAACTAGTGGATCAGACCCCCACCGCTAAGACGAAGAAGGGAGTGAAGACGAAGAACAAAGCCCAAAAGTTGAATGATATCAGTGATTTGGACGAGTTGCTCAATAAATTGGAATATGGTGGTGCCAATTCAAATGTCAAGTGTGATTGTATGGCAGTAAGGCATGGTTTGAACAGGGCGATACCTAATTGTTTAAATTGTGGGAAGATCATATGTATGAAGGAAAGTGGGAGAACCACTTGCTCATTTTGTGATAAACCATTGATTTCACTTAGTGAAAAGCTCGAAATGGTCAGACTTTTGCAGAAAGAGAAGGAGAAGTTGATGGATGAAACTACAGGTGGAACCAATAATAGTGCTCCTGTGGCGCCTAGTAAGAAGAAGAAAGAAAAGCTTACAATCAGTATGGGGGCTGGATCATCGTTTTTTTCCCAGCAGGATAAGTTATTTGCCAGCATTGAAAAGAAGGAAAAGCAAAAGAAAATCAATGAACAACGGAAAAAGGCTGATGAAGTAGATGTTGGGAAATTGAATGACGATTTAGCAAAAGCGCAATCTACATTGAATAAGTTATTGGGTTACCAAGAGAATTCTACTGCCAGAACAAAGATTATTGATCAAGTTTCAGATTATTCATTACCTAGTGATACCAATATTTGGACAAAGTCCTCTCTACACAAGATTTTGGAATTAAAGAAACAACAGCGGAACTTGAAGAAAAAGGAGAAATTGGAGTCCGAAAGAGGTGGAAGAGGTAAAAAATTCATTTCATTGAATGTGAAAGGTGGGAAAGTCACAATACAAGAAGCATCAACTGGCAAAGGTTTGGAATATGATAGTGCCAGCGATTTTGACGATGATTATGAAAACGAAGATGACGATGAAGCTGTGGATTCAGAAGACGAAGAAATCAAAAAGTCTATCAAGGAACTTGAATCCAAGATCAAGGACGAAGAAAAAGATAATGAGAAAAAGGCCGCTAAACAAAGATGGGATTATTCTAAGGATTTAGAAAAATGGAAAAACAGACAGCCAAGATACACTGGTATAGGCAATTTGATAACCGATGATAACGCCGGCGAGGGCGATGCTGGTGATGATAATGAAAATCAAACATTTGATAGACTTCAAACTTCCATTACGGATAACGCTCCGATGGAAGAATTGATGCTTAATTTATAACTATAGTAATTTTCTTTCTCCGTTAATATAGAATATTTCATTTCCTTCGACCATAGTAAGTTCTAAAGGTTTCTCACTCATCTGAATCAAAAGTAAGATATTTTATCTCATAAATTATGACTAGTCGGCTAACAACTACGTCTTGATTACGAACCTAAGTTTATCAACCTCAGGCAAATAAACATAAAGTGCTGCCGGGCGACTTCTACCTAGAGTGTATATATCCTGGAACATCGTAAGCTTTTGCAAACTCCTTAAAACTGATTATTCCACATCATCGAAGGGAAAATCACCATTTACAACATGAGACTACAAATTAGATTGATTTTGTGACATCAGTAAACCCATAATATATTCGTTATAAAATATACAATAAAGAAACTATTTTTTTGAGAAAAGACAAATTAATGCATTTCCACAATTAGTAGATTCTGTGGGCTGGACCCATAGTAGACTTGATGTGCAAAGAACCGACGTTTTGCCAGTGCTTCTTCAACAAGGAAACCAAGAAGTTAGAAGCCATCATGATTTGGTTAACCAAGACATCTTCTTCCATTTCAACGTTACCGATGGCAACAGCCAAACACAAGACCTTCTTCAATTGGAACTTGATGGTGGACTTAACATCGTTAACCTTGGCGTTCAAGTCATCGTTGTGGGAGACTGGGGTTGGGAACTTACCAGCCTTAGACAATTGAGGACCCAACAATCTTGGAACTTGCTTAATCAAGACTTCAGAGGCGACGAAAGCGTTGTACTTCTTGGCCAATTTCTTGATCAACTTCTTGTTCTTGTTCAATTTCTTCAAATCTTCAACGGACATAGCATCACAACCGAGGGACTTAGCTCTGTCAACATCGAAAGCATCACCGAAGATACAGATGGTCATGTTTGGTCTTGGAACTTGTGGCAATCTCAAAGTACCAGAGAAACGCTTGTCTCTTTGAGGGTCATAGTTCTTCAAACCGACTTGCAATTCAACGGTTTCCAAGAAGTTTCTCTTCTTGGTTTCGTTAGAGTAAGTCAAGACTTGTTGGACGTATTCACGAACTTGGGAGGAAGTAAGCTTAGACATTTTGTGTTATTCGTCTTCCAAAAGTTTGGTGTGCCAGAAAAGGTTTTTCGACGGATGGTTTCTTTCTTTATAAGAAGGTGTAGTAAGGAAAAAAAATTTGACGGTGAAAAATTCCCATGATCCCACCGGTACAGTGGTTGGAGAGAGCACCAGGGAGAAATGGTGGCTATTAGCAATTATGGCAGGGGAAATAACCATTTTCAGAAGTCACAGCATCTGTGCCCTATAATTTTTACAGATCACGGGTACAATGCGTGATGAATATATAGCCCTAAGTAAAAGTCGCCCCAGGTGAATCACCCCCCATGTCCCATGAAATATTCTGTAAACAAAAGTGATAAATAAATAACTATCTACGATAGATTCACCTCATCTCATCTCAAGATACCGATATCTCCACTTTACAATGCAACTCACCGCCGACTTGGTAATAAATGCTCCCACGTATACCAATGCAATCAATGAAAGAACAGTTTCTTTTAGATCTAATGGGCTTTTATCGTTACAAAACCTTGAATCATTAGCAGATGTATATGAATGTATTGATTTTACTAATAACGAGTTGGCCTATCTCGGGAACTTCCCTTCAAATAAGACCCTTTTCAATGCCACTACCTTATTATTCGCCAATAACAAAATTTCAGAAATTGAGGATTCCATAGGGGATTATTTCCCAAATGTCACAAAGATATCATTAATCATGAATGATATTGAGAGTTACCAGGAATTGTATAAGCTCCGCGAATTGAAGAATTTGAAGAGTTTGGCAATTCACAAAAATCCCATTACAGCTCACCTGGTAGGATATAGATCATTTTTGATTTCGATATTGCCACTGCTTGAAGTAATCGATTTTGAAAGGGTTAAAAATGCTGAACGTGAAAGGGCCAAAGAATTAGACATTGAAAAGATTCTACTTGATGACAAGAAGAAGAGGGAAAATCTGTCACTGGGAAAGAGGAGTGTAAGGGTCAATAGAGAAAACCTTTCTCATCAAAATCATTCCAATGATAAGAATAATAGACATCAAAGAAATGTGGTGAACAAGTTAAATGACCTGGATCGTCAGTTATTGAAAAAACAGCTTTTGGAAGCCGAAAGTCTAGAGGAAATTCAGCAGATTGAAACAAGATTGAAGCAAGGCTATTGGTAATATATCAATTCTCATCCATAAAGGCTTGCTAATATCTCATAGTCTTGACAAACGGAAGTGAAGTTTCAAAATTTGGGGGAATCATTTAGAGATATGATCATTTATTAAAGAAATCACGGCAAACCCCCATCAAATCAACTCCGAAGATTTTTCTTTTTTTCAACCCGAAGACTAATAATATGAACTTTTCGGCTAAATCTAGTTCACGATAGAATGTGAGAAATGCCTCTCGATTAATTATACTATGCTTGAACGAATTACCATCAGCTGCTCGCTTTTCAGTGATGCTTTTTTCATTATAGCTCGCATCATCATTATTGTCATTAGTACCACTGGTTGTTAGTTGATTATTTCCATTGACTCTTTCATCCATTATATCATCACCGTTGCGCAGTATTTGTCCCCAAGTTTGCTCATATTCTTTATCTATGCTATCCAACTGTGCAAATTTTTCCTCAACTTTGGTGGTAAACCCATCATCAGTTTCTAAATATGAGTGGTTGTGACTAGTGATTGCTCTTTTGTGAAAATCTTGGCCAGCACCATCATTTTCCCTATTTAGGTATTCATCAGTATCATCCACAGAACTATAAAACTGGCTGACCATACTGGCAATCAATGCTTCTTCCTGGATATTTTTTTCACTATTATCTTTAGACTTTGCCATATCATTGAGCTTGTTCAATGCAAAACTCACACTTTTGGAGAATATTCCAACAGATCCTTTACCATCGCTGGCTGAATATTCTTCATTAATGTCAATCTTATGGTACCATTTTTTCCCTTTATTATCCCTCTCGTAATTCATTGCATTTTTGAATAGTTTTTTGGAATGAAGAAAGAAATTGGCGTCATTTGGGGTATACAAGAATGGAATGGTATACTGTAACGAGGCTTGGGGAACTAGGAAGACCTTTGATTTCCATTTAGGAATTACTTTAAGGATCATCCATTGGTGATATAAATTTTCAGAATATAACGGAGCCACCGGATAGTTTATATTACAATTGAAGTTTTCCACCTGTAAAACGTCTAGCACCACGGATTTTGAAGATGAAGATTTGTGCAAAAACTCTTGGCTTAATTGTGAATAAATCGAGGGTGGTACATGGCATTGAAAGATGCCGCCGATAAAAGAATATGGCTTGAAAATAGGGATTTCCCTAGAATGATATTTTTTGTTCCTGACAATTTTAAAACAACTTATATCTGACTTGAGCAAAGATTCCTGAAAATCATTAGTATCCTTTAATGATTCTATCGTGCCGTGAAGTTGCTCCTTGGCGCGCACATCATTATAACCATCATCTTTTAACTGCACCAACTTTTCTATCTTGAATATTTTATTTCCTTCTCTTCTTTTGAATGGCTGGCTAATTGCTTCTAGCAGCAGCTTTAAGATGTATTGATCTTTGTTTGCCGTCTTTATGCAGATTGTGGAGTTCCAATTCACGTTGATGTCTTTGGCTGATATTTTGTCCGTTAATGCCAAAGAGTTTCTTCCTTTATTACAAACAGCGATGTGAATATTACTGGAGAGTTTTCGAGAGTTTAAGCTGAAGGTGTTCCGTTTATAGAACCTAATTCCAGTGTAAGGAAATGGTGACCGAGAACCTGGGTCACAGATCTTATCATTGATTAGCCCGTAGCCGGAAACGAGAGAAAAGTGGAAACCAAAGCCCAAAATGGTGATGAGGAGAATAAAGATCTTAGACATGAGGTTTTTAGTACTAGTGTTAAGAAAGAGAAAAACATCTGGATTGCCCGCTGATAAATCAAGCTCTTCCCTAAAAAGGTGTTCAAAAAATGGAAACTCATCACAAACACTGAGAGAAAATTGAAGGCAGGACGTCGAACCGTAATGCCAAAAAACACAAACGCAACGCATTGCAGGATGTCTTGATGATGATGGCCGACCAGACCATTTTACAGAAATTAAACTATTTACACAATATTAGCAAATTAAATTACACACATCACTTTGAAAAGTAAGTACAGCATAATGATTCTTGTTTGACAATGTCAGTCTAATTTTCCAGTACTGACATCAAAAGCTGTAGGCGATAATGATTTAAAAAAAAAAAAGTTTTATTTGTTTTCCAACTGGTTTTACTTTGCCAGTTGACATAAGTCAATTTTGTTACCCTCAACGTTTGAGGAGTCAATCTTATCATTTGCAATCTCATCATCATTCCACAAAAGTTTTAATTGAAAGTATTTGGCTACCACCGTTAAGAATAGAAGAATAGGAACTTCTAATAATGGGCCAAATGTGGCCGCGATTGATTGTTTTGATCCAGAACCATAAATAGAAATAGCAATTGACAAACTTAATTCGAAATTGTTAGAAGCAGCAGTAAAAGTTTGAGTTATAGTCTCACCATATTTTGCCCCACACCACATCTTCCACTTATTTTCTGCAGACTCCCTTTCCATGGTTTTTTCACAACCACATCTTATCAACGGTTCTTCTTCTCCAACAGCTTGTATTTTTTTTCTATTCACGTAGTTGGAAAAGTATCTCATGAAAAATAAAGTGCCAAACCAAGTAATGACAAAATATACCGTCAATGGAATGAAACATTTGAATGCTTGCCCTATATTTTTGATGAAATCATCACCTCTGGCAATAAATATGACAATAATGGTATAAACTAAACCAATTAAAGACCACGGAGAAATCAAAGGCAATAATTTCTTCTCGTAAATTTTTTTACCGAAAATACATAATGAACCCAATCTAATCAACAAACCAAATCCAAAGGGGATACCTAAAAATACCCCCACACTTTTGGCAACCAATTGATAACTAACGCTTGAACCACTTCTCGGAGTATTTGAGATGATATAGCATAAAAATATCTGATAAGGGGCATATAATAGCATTTGCAAAATACTATTCATCACCACAATAATGATGCAAAGGGTATTATCGCCTCCGGCTAGTTCATTCCACACCAACACCATGGCAATACATCTTGCAACGCCAATCATGATAATACCAGTTCTATATTCTTCATCATTAAATAACGCCATCCAAGCCAAAGCCACCATAAGAAGCGGGCAAACGATCCAGTTTAAGATAAGAGATATGACTAATTGAGTATATATCCTTTTTTGTCTCAAGATATTGTGGATATTCTCCCATTCAACCTTACACAATGGAGGGATCATCATAATGATTAAACCAACTGCCAAAGGGGCACTGACTCCGGCTAATCTATGTTGAGAGTCAAATGCATTTCTTGCAGAAGGGTCGTAGACAGAAATAAGGGTTCCCAACACTATCGACAAGATGATGATTACCGGCAATAGTCTATCAGTCCATGACAACTCTTTAATCAACCTGTAGAATATTTTATTATTTGCAGAATCCATAACAATCTTCATATGTATTAACTACACTAAGGATCGTCGTGAGCAATCACTTAAAAAAAAAAAAAAAGAGGGAGTGCTGAAAAATATTGTTTTTTTTTTTTTTCTTTTTTTTGCCCCATGTTACTTTTGTCAGATCGACAGGGCACCTGCTAGATACAGCACGTGGCAAAAAGAAATTTTTGAGGTTTTTTGCGTTTTGTGTCGAGGCATTTTGTTTCCAACGATGGGATGGCAGCCATTGACCTTGCTTAGCCAGGCCTTCAGTTGAACATGCCATCTGGTAACAAACATTTATCTGTCCAAGATTGGCTCGGAATCCATCCAAATCCAACTTCTGTGGCGGCGCGCATCTCCCATGAACAGACCTTGAAGTTATTACAGGAAAGACCAGATGAGATTGCGATCCTTGATTTAAGAAACGATAGATCTCCAGGATTTTTGAAAGAATCAATAAATATCCCCGCCACATCATTGAACGGGATAGATGAAGTGAAAAAGGAGTTGATTGATCCTATGAAAGAATTCAAGTCGAACTTGCAGTTAACGATTGTGCATTGTAACAGCTCTAAAAATAGGGCGACAAAGGTAGCTGGATGGATTCAGGATTATATCAACGAAAATAATATAATCGATTTCAAAGTTAGTGTTTTGGATCATGGTATTAATGGATGGTTTAAACTATCTGACCCTGTCTATAAGCTGTATATTGTGCCTATTTAAAGCTGTGTAGGAATGTGAGTTCAGTTCAATGCGTTTATCAATGTTCTGTTGATTACTACAAAGTTGTAAGGATTTTAGTTCAGTATCACATACAATATAAAGCTTGTTTCAGTCCTTCATATGTTCATGGCCCACTGTATTTGATAGATCAATAATCTCACGATGTGAAGGATGGTGAATGCTCCCATGTCCAGCATGCACTCTCCAATGCATACATTATAAACTATTTTTTTAACTGTGTATAGGCCAATTTGCTTATCTCGAACATTTTATTCCGATCGTCCTTTTTGGAAAAGGCTCGCTACTGGTTTTCAGCTGCAACTTAAGGATGGATTGACTTTTCTTAACGGCCGTCTTTGTATGCAGATTACTAGGTTTTGATTCACATCAACTATTCTGGCAGATATTTCTTTATAAAGCCTGATTCAGGTGTAAAAGAATTGGTAGCCGAGATCCCCGGTCAACAGCATTCTCTTTGATTAACCCATAGCTGAAGCCAAAGGAAAAGCGGGAACTATAGCCGAAAATGGTGGTGAGGGAGACATGAGGATTTTAGTACGAGTGTGAGGAAAGTGAAAAACATATGATTTTTTTTTTCTTCGCTTCATCAACCAAATTATTCCTTAAAGAGATTCTTAAAAAAATAAAAAGGGAATCAGTCAGATCACAAACACAAGAGAAAATCAATGATAGGTGGAACGTAGCACCAAAAAAAACACTGGGACGCCACGCATTGCAGGATGTCTTAAGTATGGCTGTCACACCATCAGGTTAGATTTTCCTGGTAGTGTCGATACATGGCCATTCATTCTACAGAAACTAAACCACTTACACAATATGAGAAAATTAAATGGCATAAATTACATTGAAAATTAAATATAGCAAAATGACTTTTTTTTCTTTTATTTTGATCAGTAAGATCACATATAGTATATTGGCTTGTAAGTCGTGGTAGAATATAATGTTTAGTATAATATAATAATGTATAGTATAATGGTGTTATAGAGGAGAGGTATAGCAACGCCAGTAATGACTATCAATCTAGCAGTGTATTGTTGGTGAGCTCACATAGCAAATACTGTCAAGACAATGCCAGATTGCACATTCATTTACCATAATAATGGCTCTCAATGTAAGCGTGATCTCCATCAAATTATCTTGTGAATAACCATTTCCCAGTATATATTCATTCATTTTACCCATTCTCTACCAAAAAAAAAAAAAAAAATCACAATTCAACTTAATTTGGGTGGGAAATTCTGGGACACCAACGGATTAAATTGGTATTTATGATACTTCTTGCAACGCGGCTTGTCGTCACAAGTTTCATCATTTTGGTCTAATGATAGTTGAAGTGGTGAATGTTCCGATTGAAGTTGAGATTCAGGAGAAGCTTCGCGCGATACAAAAACTTGGGGACGTTCTTGTGATAATGACCCACATGGAGTTTTTTCCCTCTGACGAGGATACGGCAGGTGCCTATGATAATGATAGGTTTCTGCTTCTCCAGAGTGAGTTTGGGGTCTCGAGATACCACAAATTTTTGGCTGCGATGAAGGACGGCCCTGAGCAGACTGAGATAAGCACCGAGATTGGATCTTCAATTGAGAATGGGGTTGGGAAAAACAACGAGTTTGGGGATATAATGGCAAATCAATTTCGAATTTTGGAAAAGAATGTGACTGTTGAGATTGTAAAGGTGGAAGTTTGTAACGGAAATTGTCTGTGGAATAAATTTGTGGAGTCTGTTTAAGATGATTCTGTGATATAAAGGTCACTGGAGCATTTTTGGGTGAAGTCCCTGTTTCTACCCTCTGTGAATTCTTCAATTTTTCCACTTCCCAACGAATTTTTCTGATATCATTCAATTGACAGTCTAAGTCCTTATAATCGAAGAATAACTCATATCTTAATAATTTCATAAGGTTGACTTCAAGTCTGTGGTTGGCGGGATTGGTGCTGTTCCACCCAGCTGCTTCCCAGAATTGCGTTTCTGACGAATGGTTGTCCTGCAACAATTTTTCGGCAACTCTGATAGCGGAGGAAACAAGCTTGAACACATTTATTTCATCAAGTTTCACAGACTGGTTGGCAATGAAATTGCTGATATGTTTCAAAGAGTTGCAGCCATCACTAATATCTGGTAATAAGTCAGGGTTAAAGAACAATCTTCTAAGGTAAATAGAAGCAGCAATATAACATTCTATGTCGATATTGACAATATTGTGAATTCTTTCCAAGAATTTTTCCAAAGATAAAGTTGGGGTACTGGGTAATTTGAAATCATCTAGAATAAGAGGATAATCCGTTGGAGATAAATATGATGGGGTAACAATTTTTTTGATTTTGGTTTTTGGAGAAACCGGGGCTGAGATACAAGATGCAACAACTTCAACGGTTGCAGATGGTACAACGCTGGTGCTATTATTATAATCGGTATTGGGGAATAATACCTTGGATGCTGGCTTAGACCCAACAAATATTTCAGACGAGCTTTGGAGTGGGTCATTAGCTGTTGTACCGCCCGAATGCTGTCCGTTTGAAGTAGATAACGTTGTTGTTGGTGCTTGGATACTGCAAAGACTAGTGTTCAACAATGTCGATCTTTGCAGATCAACGTTTGTGTAGGAGGTGACCCGATCGCAAAAACCACCAATACGAGCCTTTGGAGTGTTAATATCATCCTCGTTCTCAGCAATAGTTCTCTTCTTGCTATCTGGTGATGTAATACTATTCAAAAATATCAAGTCGTTCAAATGTTGGAGCAAAAATCCTAGCCCGTGGATTGGCCTCAAGTCGTTATGTGTTAAAGATGCGGGGCGATAGGCTCCGCTATTTGAAGTGGGCGAGAACATCTGGTGGAAAAAAGATGAATGATGGCACAACTCTTCATTTTGAAAGTATCTGTTTGTAGTGGCAGTCAATATCTTTCTTATGGGAGAAGACGGTTGAGAACAGTTCATCTTTTGCTGATGAACCAATCGTCGTTGGTGGCTGTCAGTCCAAACAGAGAAAAAAAAAAAAAGGACAACGCTGTCTAAAGGAATTTCCTTCAATTTTATTGCGATTTGAAAATTCGTTGTTTTTGGTAATTAGTATTAGTGACATCAACATCTAGCAACTGGGAAAAAAACAACCAGGATGGATTATGATATTTATACTTTTATTAGGTGTACCACACTTTCTTTTTTAGTGGTGCTTGCATTGTTCTGACTCACTTTTGCAGGAAGTTGACGCGACATGACATTACGTTTTAAACGAATGTTTTCATTTCATGGACAACAAAAAGGCTACCGTGAAGCTGGCTACAATAATTCGAGGGTTTAGGGGAAGCAGGTGTACCGACAGCGATATTATACTCGGATAACGTCAGCTGGGCAATTGTAAATTCTCTGTTCATATCGGGCCAAAGGAAACAAACCACTGGCAGTTAGTTGCTCAGAATAAACCAAAAAAAAAGTTCCTATTTCGGCAAACAAAAGTTGTTTTGACAGGTATGGATGGGATGGCACAGAACTCTAAATCCTCAAGGATAGTGCAAAGGCAAAGATAGACGGCTTAATTTACAGTCAGTATATTTATTGTATTGTATATTAATTTATTGCGAACTAAACCTTTCAAATGCCTCCTCCACAATTCTCTCGTATCGAATAACTCCCTATTTTCCCACCATATCGTAAATGCACATTGTTAATATCTGGCATTTTGACGTAATTAATTAATGTGCCTTCTTTATTTTTTTTTGTTTGTTTTTTTTTTTTTTCGCCATTTCTTCGTATCCATTCACCGTGGATTCCATTTCCTGGAGTCTCATGATTGTTTATATATTCAATGAGATGGAAATTTGTGGCTTTCATCACAATTCAAATTTCCATTTAAAAAAAAAAAAAAAAAAAGACATTCTGTTGTGATTACGTTGATCTTGGAAACTCATTAATCTCTAATATCTGTAAACAAGAATATACATGGATCGATTATTATGGTAACGGTGCTCACAAAATTGATAGATTAAATTCTACCCGAACCCAACTTAATCATCATAAAAAGTAATACAGTCCAGCCCAAGTTGAGCATTAAATAACTTAAAGAAATCTTTATTTTTCCCTTTTATTGTAATGATCTTTTAGTATGGTTAATTATCTTTTATTATTAATTATTAGGGAGTGTAACAGATATGAAGGTCTCATTAAACTTTGAGCAAGAAGAAGAAGAAAAAAAAAAAAAAAAAAAGAATTATTTCAAAAATTAAAATGAAAAACAAAATGAATAAAATGAAACAAAAGAGAAGAGAAAAAAACTGCAATAAAGAAGTTCATTGATCTTATTTGTTTAATTATTCCACTTTTCAAGATCACATTCATTCTTTCTATAGAATGGATACTATCTTTTTGGATTCAAGTTAAATATGCTCTTGCAAACTTCTCCAAATCCCCTTCCGATATAGACATGTGTTCACCATTGATACTCTCAAACACTAGTTTATCTGAATTCAACATCTCTTGTAATCCGATTAAATCTTCTCTGAATTGACGAGACTCAATAAGAGGAATAAGCACATGGTCTTCGTTTTTCGAGATTTTAGGCTGCCAATCAGAAAACCAGGCACTATCGCGAGGAACAACAACTTTATCTTTCTCAAATCTTACCATGACAAATTTACCATTGATTGATGTCAACTTTTTCTTATACATCTCGTCCCCTTTTTCACCTTCGTTGTTGACGTCTTTCAAAAAAATAGAGTTTTCTAAATATTTTTCATAATCCTCATTATATCCATGACTTCCCGCACCGTTTCTGAAATATTGAGCAAAAACCACATTCTGCTGAATATTCTTATCCCAAATATGCCCCTTGACGAACTTGTTCCGTTGATGGCAAACCCAATCTGTCTTTCCACATTCTGGCAAATCCAGAATCCCATTGTGCGGCAGTCCAAAAGTAATCAAATTATTAATGTTGTTTAATCCTTCACATCTTTCAATTAAAGAGCGGGAAAATAATCCTCCTTGTGAGAACCCAATCATATTCACCCCACTATGCGAATCAGCACCTCCATCATGCTGATTTTTCAAAGCCATGGATATCACAGGATCCGCTAATACTCTCTCACAAACAGCATCAAGTTCCTCATTCATGTTCGCGAACATCGATTTTTGGGCGTCCTTCTCTGTATCTTCATCTAAAAAGACAGAATATATATAAAGATCGGGTACTACCAGTCTGAGGATTTCAAATACTCGATACATCGCCTCACTATTATATGAATCACCAAGGCCATGCCATATTATTAGTGGACGAGGGCTTTTTGTGGAGTTGTAGGTAGAAACCCCAATATTTGGATTGACAAGAGGATGATCATTGGTGGTTTCTCTATTTATAGAATCAAAATTAAAACTGATAGCATCAGATGAGTCCTCATGAAGCCCCGAGTTCAGCGACCTCTGATTGTTCAAATGGAATCTGCTACCAGCAATCATCGAAGTCATTGACTCTAGAATTCTCATCTTGGAATATAGTTTCTTTAGGGCTGTTCTTTACTCTGAAATTATTTTAGATCTAGCAAGAATATCAGGTCAAACAAACTGACTGGTGACGCCTATCCTGGATTATTATCTTCTGTGTTTGGTAACCTATGGTATGTTTTATCTTTTCATTAACTTGAATGGAATATTATTGGAAGCATATGCCTAACCGGAAACACTCGCAACCAAGAGAAGAATTATAAATAGCAAAGGTATGGTTATGATCCGACGAGTTTAGAAAACAAATAGCTATACAATGGAATAAGCCAATATGTTTTTGATATGATTGTTGGTATGAATCAGCCAGTTTTCTTTTTTTTAATCCCCGAATGTTCAGCAGTTTGATGATAGCTTGTTTGTGATTCTGGCATCTCATCTCATCACCGTGAATTTGTATTTTTGCGCAGCGCGGGCACGTGTGACGTGACGGCTCTCGGGGGGAGGTCGAGGGCTCGAAAACTTCTAGTGCCCGCAGTTTGTGTATGGATTGCTCACGTGTAATTCTCGGAAAGACACTTTTTACACCCTCGGAAAGCATCGAAGTTTCACCGGGATTAAAGTTTGGCTTGTGTACATGCAGGGTTTTGTTGATGGAGACATGCTGCCATGTACATTTTAGGAAATTTTCAAACAAACAATTGCACTGCTCTTTCTTCATTTTGATTTGCCCGTTATCCGCATTAATTTTTTAGGCATTCATTGGCGGGATGGGATGGGCAAGAGAGATAAAAAATTAAGATACAGACTATTGAATTTGCAAACATGGTATTTCCTGCTCAGTAAATTAATTTGTATGCCATGAGAAAGAAACGTGCAACCTTACTGATCGTAAGACAATTTCAAAATCCGGCAACTCGGTATTTTAGTGGATCCAGTAAGACAGCAAAAGAAATCTTTGGGATATGTTCCACGCTACCAAAATAAAAGATATTGACAGCAACCATTAGCCTTAAAATATTTCTCAACAGATATAGTCCACATTTACCCATATAACATAAGGGACATCATATTTTTTTTTTCTTTTTTTTTTTTTTTTCCTTTCATTTTTGGAATTTCATCGTATTAGTTTATAGGTGAAATGGAAGATTATTCTTTCTATAAAAATGAGCGTGGGTTTACTTGGTGGTACCACAATATGGCCCAAATATCATTGCGTGCGAGATAAAGATGAATAGTTCTATTCTATAGACTTTTAGTGATGATTTTGAACCATTTTCCTTGTTAAGAATTTTAATAAGCTTTCCAATACATGCTGCTAGTGAATAATAGAATGTATTATCGAAGTTAGAAGAAACTAATCCTTAGGATGGCAGAATGGCAAATATGGCTTTATTAACACGGTTTAAGCAATGTTTACGGAAACATTCACAATATACTCTCTGATTCCATCTTCCAAGCTCCAATTCTGAGGTATCACAGGCAAACGCCGGTGGGCAGGCTTCGGAAAAAGTAACATCGGAAGATAATAGAACAGGACGAATGGAATAACAAAGACAAACAAAAATATGAGAGATAAAAGAAGAAGAAAAAGCAAGAATAATGAATAGCAAGAAGTTAACCAAGAAAAAAAAAATGGAAAAATTGAATGAATGAATTACTGATACTGTGCCTACTACACTTTGCCTATCGTAATCTCTAGGTATTCTGTCCGGGTAATGAAGACACTCCACCAAATTTATCCGCTTCTGTTTTTTGTACTAATGCTAGAGGGCACAGAAGATGAGCTTTTCCTCTATTACATTCAAAACCTCATAGTTCATGATTCATATATTGTATCAGAATTAAAGACCCTACTGAACCAGATAATTGAGTGCTAGTATTATCCTTAGCGCCCAATAATATCCAAAAGCAGCTGACAACTAATAGCAGCTAGAAACTCTTTTGGCTATATTCAAAGGCTCCGGGAGAGACGAGAAATCAGTGCTGTTTTTGTGTTATTTCACACATAATAGTCAAATTAAAGGGTCTGTTTTTGTTATTAAAAGGAATAGGCTACTGGGAAATTATTGATTGACATCTTGCGGTTTTTGAAAGAAAAAAACCAGAAGAAGAAATAAATTAGAACTCATATCTTGCCAATTTTTAATCCCATCTAAAGGCAAAAAGATCGAGGTCCAACTTTAAAACTTAACGAGGCTGGAACAAAGTAACGAAAAATCACTGCATAATCATACCTCCCCAAAATAGCTGGACAATATTCTGAAATACAGATGACTGCACAGGAAGAATCTGAAAGAACTCTGGTTAACATACCCCGGAAAATCCCCAGCGATGACTTCAATCTTACTGATATATCAACAACAGAGGCAATTCACATCTTAGTGCAAACGGTGAATGATTTAATTTTCTATAAAAATATTCGTGAATGTGAAATAGAGCGACAGAAATTGAAGATTCAAGAGGAGCAACAAAAAGAACAAATGCAAGCTTTAAAAGATGATGAACAGAGCGCAACTCCATCAGCACCCAATAGAAATCTCATGGGCCTCAAAACTAATGGGACAGTATATTATCATTCTGATGTATCTGGGTCTTCAACATTTTCAAACACAGATTCCAATAGTAATAACAATAGTGATTCCTCGAATGATTTGCTATCTAAATCACCTTCATCAACGCCGGTAGATCAGTACAAGTTTTTACTGGAAAATTACACCGATATAAATTTCAAAAGACAAAAACGACGATACGATCTTGATGACCATTTGAAAGCCCAAGATAATGAAGAATCACAGTTGAAGATTTCGATTCCAGAGAAGTCGGACAAAAAGATTGCGAAAAATATCGTTCAAGGAGAGGAAGAAGAACACGAGGGAGGGAAAGAAGAGCCAAAAGATAATAATTTCAACAAAAGTCAAACTCGTCAACTTTTTAGGAAGTTCAACTTGAAGTCTAAACCTAAAATCTCTATTATGGATTATGTTGTGAGGTTGCAAAAATATTTAAAGTTTGGTAATACTGTGATGATTGTTGCTTCCTATTATATTTATAATTTGATTTATTTCTATCATGGAGAGGAAGATACCAAGAAAGAGATTGGTAAGAAAGATATGTGTGATAACACCAAAAATGTTAACACTGGTGCTGAATCAAGCGATACGAGAAATATGACTGTTCAAAATGATAAGGACGCAGTACCCATCGACATACCATATTTGAACGCGGAAATTGATGCTGAATCTTATCTTTCGCTTACAGAATTGAATTCCTATCGTATAGTCTTGACCACGCTCCGGATTGCCACTAAACTCATTGAAGACTTAAATTTCTCATCGAAATTTTTCGCTCAAATTTGCGGAATCAAGGTTGGTGAATTAAATAAAATGGAAACAGTGATGTTGTTTTTGTTAGATTTTGATTTAAAAGTTGATAATGAAAGATTATTAAGTCATTTGAAACGAATTAGAAAGTTACAGGGGTTTGCGGTAAGAGAGAAAGAGAAACAAAAGCAAAAGACAACTGATGAAACTGAAGGTGGAGCAAAAATTTGATATGGATAATGCTTATAGTTTCTTTGTTAAGGGAGGTGCTAGAAGAAGAAAGTGAATGCTCTTTCAACAATATTTTTTTTTTTTGTTTTTAGTCTCTCAATTTTGGTCAATATTCAAGGAGTATCTGGAGTGTTTTTTTTTCTTTTACCTTGGTTATAACAATTTATTAACCTCATTTTTTTTTTGTTTGAAATGTTACAAGTGATACCTGTTTCAATGGATTTTTGATGATTCGCCATATTTAGAACAATTCGCTCATTAGTTTAGTTACTAGATATTATTCATTTAATTGTTTTGGATCTTATTTTTTTTTCATCTCTAGACGATGTTATTTTGTTTATGGTAATGTCACCTATAATCATTATGTTAACGTCAATTTTTATGTCTACGCAAGTAGTTATGCTTATGTTCCAATTCCTTTCTGGAATGTTTGCATTGGGAAAAAAGTTTTGCCAATGCTGCAGCCATGAACTTATTTTTGCTGCTTTGAGTTAAATCCGAGGAGAATTTCTGCAAGGAACAACAAACTGTTGCTGGTGGTGATAGAAATGTTCATGATGGATAGTTACATTCAGAGAGGGAGAGAAGATAAAATTCATGAGACTTTATTTCACTCAAGCGGGATATCAATTGCGAGATCTTAATTGCAAAAATGTGTACGTATATATACGCTTTTACAGCAAGAACAAAACAAAAAAAAAATAAAAAAAGGAATACCAAAAGCCGAACTGAAAAAAAAAAAAAAAATTGGTGAGCCTTAATATTAACAGCATTGGGGTTCGAGATCTTACTATTTTATTCATTGTTTTTTTTTTTTTTTTGTTGGGTATTTAAAGTTCTTTACGGTTAGTGGTTATTAAAAAAACTAGCGTTCACCGTCACGTATTGATCAACTTGTAGCAACTTGCAAAGCAAAGCAAGTTACGTGTATAACAACATATTTGCTCCCATGAGCAGTCCCGAAACGAGACATACAGGAAGACATGTGTGCAGATGAGACGAGAAAAGAATTTTCTGGAAGTGGTGATATTCTGTTCGTCAAGCTTCGCTTACATTCTATTCATAGGGGAATTTGAGATCCCCTGGCAGATTTAGGTGTGTAAGTGAAAACATTGAGGATGTTTGCATACTGTCAGAGAATCCTAGGAATCAGTTGGAAAAAAAAAAATAAACAATTTTGTAAGCTTGTCTTTGAGTGGAACAACTGCACCATCGTAACAAAACGTGTTCTTTACGATATAAAGGTAATTTTTGAATTGTATAATATGAAAAGCTTGAAGAGGTATCCGTATCCCCCACTCTCTTTTTGCATGGTTCTATCTATCCCTGCATCCGTTTTCGGACACTGAATAACAAAATACCGAAGGTGAAGTATCTTCTCGAAATCTAAGCCCTGTTATTGGATAGGGTGCCCAGAAATGCTTAACAGGTTGATGACATGTGTTTGTTGTTGTTGGATCAATCATTGGCTCTAAGCGGGGGATTCACACATCTGCCAAATTTATCTAAACACAGGACGTGAGCAGCATCTTCTCCACCTAGCTCACAATTTCGTATAGAATCGATAACGTGGACTGACCCGCAAACACAATGCACAGTACGAAAAATAAACAATCAACAGCCTCTTTAGCAACCTAACATTTATGATGTAATAATAGAGGTGTTTTTTAAAGTATGGGAATGTTCCGTGTAAGAGCTTACTTCTTCTAGTTTGCGGTAAAGTATCATCATGATTGCCACGCCTGCAGATTGACCCCTATATAAGCCACCATTGACTTGACTCTTAGTGTCGATTATTGCAAGTTGTCAATTATTTCTATGTGGCCAGTTTCATATTGCATCTAGATCGTCGGTGCATTGTGATCCCGGCACCCAACCCCCGTTATAATGAGACTTTATCACGTAATTATCTCGATACCCCTGCCTCAGTACTGCTGCATTCCCTGATGCAATCGAGATTATTTATTGTAGACCCATGACATTTGGCAAAACCTCATAACTTGTTGGCTTGGTTCTAGTATCGGCATCACTTTTTGGATAGCAATTTACTGATCCTTAATAAGGAATAAAAATCACACTATAAAAAGAACGCTGTATCCCGCCAATTGATTATCCTACAATCTTATAATATAACTTATAAAGCAACCTTCTTCTTTTCTTTGAATTATTCATATTTACTTCAATAACACTTAACAATGGGTCTCTTCGGTGGTCACAACAACAAAAACAACAACAACGACTCCTACGGGTCTAACAACAACAACGACTCCTACGGATCGAATAACAACGATTCCTACGGATCTAACAACAACAACGACTCCTACGGGTCTAACAACAACAACGACTCCTACGGGTCTAACAACAACAACGATTCCTACGGTTCTAATAACAATAACTCTTACGGGTCTTCTAACAACGACTCTTACGGATCTTCTAACAACGATTCTTACGGTTCCTCTAACAACGATTCCTACGGCTCTTCTAAGAAGAACAATAACAGCTCTTACGGTTCCTCCAACAATGACTCTTACGGTTCCTCCAACAATGACTCTTACGGATCTTCTAACAACGATTCTTATGGTTCCTCTAACAACGACTCCTACGGATCCTCTAAGAAAAACAAGAAGTCTTCCAGTGACTCTTACGGTTCCTCCAACGATGACTCCTACGGATCTTCTAACAACGATTCCTATGGCTCCTCTAACAACGACTCCTATGGTTCTTCTAAGAAAAACAACAACAACTCTTACGGGTCTTCTAACAACGATTCTTACGGATCTTCTAACAACGATTCTTACGGTTCCTCTAACAACGATTCTTACGGTTCCTCTAACAACGATTCTTACGGTTCCTCTAACAACGATTCCTACGGTTCTTCTAAGAAGAACAACAACAGCTCTTACGGTTCCTCCAACAATGACTCTTACGGTTCCTCCAACAATGACTCTTACGGATCTTCTAACAACGATTCTTATGGTTCTAACAACAATAACAACAACAACAGCAACTCCTACGGTTCTAACGACAACGACAACAACTGGTAATTTCTTTGAAGTTATATTTTACTCTGTTTTTAATTTTATTTTTATATGAGTTTATGAAAATAATACTATTATTCTTTTTCCGAATTTTTATGATATGTTCTTTTTTGTCCCAATCTTGCTGTAGTCAGATCTAGGAACTAGGCCTTGAATAAACGATCTCATCACTTTCTATGATAGGTTTTTATTTAGTTTGCCTTTTTTCTAGAAGATACTGCTACTTAAAAATGTTATGAAGTTCAATTTTATATTGATTTGAATTGAATGTAGAATATCGTGAATGCAGCACGCATGTTATTTTTGTACTGTGTATTTTTAAAACTCAAAAGAAGCATCGATACTGCAATAAACGCTAATAATCATAACACGTACGAAATTTCACAATATTCCCTGACTTCTTTGATTTAGATATTGAAGTGCTTTAATTGGAGTGCCCTAAAACTTTGATATAATAATAATAAGAGATCTGCATGTTTCTACTGATATATGCAAAATGTGTGGTTATTGCGTTGGTGTGTTTGTGTGTGTGTTTTTTTTTCTTTTTGTGGAGAGAAGCTCGATGAGTTGGAACAAGGAGCAACGAAAACATATAAAGGACACACTCTTAATTTATAACTAATAAATTACGTGGCTTCTGCAATACTCTAAAGGTAAACGAACAATTTATTGACAGTGAAGAAATAATTTTATTTTTTTTGTTTCCGTCTTTTGGCTTCTTTGTGCGTTCAAATGGATCATAGATAAACATTCAAGTGATGAATAGGGTTATTAATAAGAAATTTGTTGGTAGACAAACAGTCAATAAGAAAAGAGCCGTCTCGAATAGCACAAGACACAACATTTTTTTGAAAGCACTGAATCTGATTAGGTCTTATTCAGTGAAACCTGAAGAACCTTCACCAGTAACAACGATGAGTGATAGCAGTTATGTTTCGCTAATTGACAAGTACAAACCTCCATCATTCACAAAGCACTTAGCGGCAGATATAAGGGTTCCTTTTGCTCCATACCACTTGATTCCTGATGATCTCAAAATCCCGGGCCGGAGCTATGATTCGATGGCCGATTTTTCCCAAAAGAAGTATCAGAATAATGAACAACCACCATTGGAGGATCACTCAGTCGAGATCAAAGGTGGCATGAAGTATGATAAGTATTTGAGCGAACTGTATTTGCACAAGCCTAGGCAGCTATTATCAGGGGCATTTAGCTACTCATTACCTGAAGCTAGAAAGCAACACAAATTCTTAACAGTTTCCCCCAACGCCATGAAGGATCTAAATTTGAATGCCGAGTATGAATTAAACAAGGAAAACAATACTTATTTTGAGGAGATTTTGGGAGGACAGAAAATCGTTGAAAAAACGTTTCCTTACAGTCAAGCTTATGCTGGATTTCAATTTGGCCAGTTTGCAGGTCAATTAGGTGATGGAAGAGTTATCAATTTATTTGAAGTAGAGGGTGACAATGGTCAGAAGTTCGAGATTCAGTTAAAAGGAGCAGGTAAAACTGCATTCTCGAGGTTTGCCGATGGGAAAGCAATTTTGAGATCCAGTGTACGAGAATTTATTATTTCTGAGTACTTGAATGCTATTGGAATTCCAACAACCAGATCTTTGGCAATTACTTCATTAACAAAAACCTACGCCCAAAGAGAAAGGGCTTTGTCATGTGCGATAGTTGCCCGATTTGCTCCAAGCTGGGTCAGAGTTGGTACATTTGATTTGTACCGAGCCAGAGGAGATAGGAAAGGCTTGCGAAAAATGGCAGACTATTGTATCGAACATGTTTTTGGAGGAGAAGGTAAACTAGGTGATGTAGTTATTGATGGAGGGGCAACGAAATATGATAAACTATATCTAGAAATTGTCAGAAGAAATGCAAGAACTACAGCAATGTGCCAAGTGTATGGATTTTTGAATGGTGTCCTTAACACTGACAATACTTCAATTATGGGACTCTGTATTGATTTTGGACCATTCGCAATAATGGATAAGTTTAATCCTGGTTATACTCCGAATAGTGAAGATGGAGAAAACAGATATGGCTATGATAATGTCCCAAGTTCTGTTTGGTGGAATTTGACAAGATTGGGTGAAGATTTGGGAGAATTAATAGGTGCTGGACCGAAATTCGTCAATGATGAGAGCTTATTAAAAGGGAATATTGATGCTGAGTTAGAGGGCAAAATCATTGGTAGGGCAAATAAAGTCATTGACATGGCACAACAAGAATATCAGGATGAATTTTTGAAAACGTATATTGAAACTTTTGGTAAAAGGTTGGGATTGGCGAAGGTAAATACTGGGGATAACGATGAATTGATTTCTCCAATGCTAAAAATGATGTGGGAAACTGAAATAAATTATAATAAGTTTTTTGTGACTTTGAGTAATATCGAGTTTTTCAAAAAGCCTGGAGGCATTGAAACTAACAGTCCAGCACAATCGCATGATTATTTGGAACTGGCAAAAAAATTCATTCCTTTGAATTTTCAAAATTCCAAAGGTTGGTCTACAGAAGAAATTGCTGGCAAGATTGCTGAATTTTTGAAGATCTACCATCAAAGATTGATTGATGAATCTACTATGAGTGATAACTCGCGTCTTTTGGTTTCCAAGTCATTCAATCCGAAATTCGTTCCTAGTAGTTGGGTTATGGAAGAAGTTGTTGAAACGTTGAGAGAAAACAAATGTGATGATATTTCCACTTTAAAGAAATTGACGAAAATGATTTGTTCACCATTTGATGAGAATAGTTGGGGAGAAGAGCTACCAGATGTTCAAAAGAGATGGATGGATCTGGGTGAAAGCTATGATGGGGAAAAGTATATGCTACAATGCTCTTGCTCAAGTTAAATTGTCGAGAAATCTTTAGACAAGCTTTCACAGGGCATATTGACTTTTCATTAATTGAGCCTATAACATAGAAATTTCCAGTGCTTTACTATGCCAATTACAGACCCTATTGATGAGATATTACATTGTTAGGTATATAATAAATAAAGAGAATGAAACCTTTTTGTGTTTGATAATGCAAGGGCAGCTTTATTTACATATTGTTATTATTATTACTAAATTCTCCACTCCAAAATTTAAATACATATCGAATCAGACCCTTGGTTTTCGTTTTGCTAATCCAATGGTGGATCAATCAAATGCTGATCCTGTTATATGAACCAATAAACAGACCAATTTTATGGATTTCATATATCTGCGGTGCTGATTTACCTGAACTGTGAATAATTCAACAGAACAGCAAGGAGTTAATAACTGGGTAAAAGCCCATCGCACTGTACGCAAAAAAAAAAATTGTTGCGAGCCCCCGCAGGACGACGGGATGGCAGACTTCCAGGGACGTGACATCGCACCCCCACAACAAAATGGCGTCATTTTGATAGGAACGAAAATTCATCTTCTCCATTAAAATACTGGAAAGCCTTCAGTGTTTAAAGAAGAATAGGACAACCCAGGAGAGAGAATCAAAAAAAAAAAAAAAATAACCAAAAGAATCTGAGAATTTTGGCTGTCTGGAAATAAATAGTAACAATCATGATGGCTTCGAGAATTCTACTTCCGAAGATGACCTTCGTTAAGGGAAGCTATCAGGGTACTGCTTATAGGCTTACTGGGGTGATTAGATTATCATCATTGCAAGTTAGATCACATTCACACAGCCATGGACCAGTGTCAAGATCGAATCCTGATTCTCATTCTCATGCGCATTCGCATTCTCATGGATCTTCTGCTGATCCGTGTATGGAAGATGATCATGTTCATTTGAAATCGTCCGAATCAGAAACCAATGACCAGCTTATCTTTGGTGTTAAGGGGAAACATTTTGAGTATATCAATGGTTCGGGTAATGACTCTCCATCGACATCAGTCAGAATTGAAGATGCCCCAAAAAAGAAATCCGTTATCAGCAATGATAATTTGAATAGCATGTCAGCCCCCTCTCATTCTCATTCTCATCTTGGTGGTCAAGGTCATTCGCATACTCATTCTACAGAATTATTAAAAGATATAAATTTCAGAAGCTTCATAAATAATAAAGGGGCGAGAATTACCGTCATTGGTCTTTTGACCAACGTCGGGATGGCCGTGGCAAAGGGGGTTGGTGGGGTTATGTTTCATTCTCAAGCACTTCTAGCAGATGCGGCTCACTCGATTTCCGATTTGGTTTCTGATTTTCTCACTCTTTTCACCATCTCATTCTCATCCAGACATCCGGATAGCTTATTTCCTAATGGCTATGGGAAGATTGAATCGCTCGGTTCGTTATCGGTTAGCTCACTTTTGTTAGTGGCAGGGGTTTCAATTGGTTACTCTTCATTGGTCCAGATTTTGGGCCCAATGGTCCCAGCATCCATTATTGAAGTGATCCATCACTATCAGGAATTATTCCATATTCACAGCTCCTCGGGTCATTCTCACGCTCATGCTCATGCCACAGATATCAATGCTGCTTGGATCGCTGCAGGTTCCATAGCGGTGAAAGAATGGTTGTATCAAGCTACAAAGAAAGTTGCCATTGAGAGAAACTCCAATGTGTTACTTGCGAACGCCTGGCACCACAGAGTCGACTCATTGACCTCGATTGCTGCCCTTATCACCATCACCGGGGGCATCTACTTCAATGTAAGTTGGTTAGACCCTCTTGGTGGGTTGCTTGTGTCTCTCTTAATCATCAAGGCCGGTTTTGATGGGTTTAAAGTTGCAGTATTTGAGTTGATTGATCGCGCATTGCCAGCAAACGATGCCACTTACGTGGAAATCGAGCAAGAAATTAATACTGTCTTGAGCAAATTATTGAGTAACAATAATAGTGGAAGACGTTACACAATTGAGGAACTATCAATTTTATCAAGTGGTCCAAATTATGTGATCAACAATTTGAAGTTGTTGGTCCCAAAACAGAGGTGGGAAAACGTCTTGACAATTAACGAATTTGAAAATGTGACCAGAATATTGAAAGAAAAATTGTTTGATAATAGACCTAATCTAAAGAAAATTTCTATTGAGTTTATTGAAGAAGAACACATTCCAGAAGTTAAACAATAAAACTAGAATTTTTTTTTTTTTTACCACAATCATTATTTTTTTTTTCCCTATAATATATATATATATATATATATCGACTCAAACAAAGTCCTGCTCAATGTAATGTTGACCAATTCCTCCTATAATGCTTCTACCAAATTTATCTTCTGGTATTCCACATGGATCACTACAACACGGTATTGGTGTAAGAGTCTATTAATCCCAAAAATATAAATGATTTCTTTTTCTTAATTTTGTGGAGTGTGATATTTCTCTCTGCTTTTCTCACTAACTACCCTATTTTACATCGATATCTTGCGATTTCAGTTCTAGAATTTACATGTTTACATAGATCGTAGTATATTTTTGATAATGCTGTGAAACAAATGTATTATTCGATTTATATTAATTTATCCATCAAAACAGAAAAAACAATTCAACAATAATATGAAAAAATAGTATGACAATGGTAAATAAAGAAAAACAAACAAAGAAAAAAAAAAAAGAAAAAAAATCAAGAGCTGTTCGAAAAACCAGAATATGAAAATATTGCAACAAAAAAAAAAAAAGGAAAAGTAGGAAAAAGGGAAAACAAGCCAATATATTATTCAACAATTGCTGAGAAATATATCATCTAACAAATGCTAAGAGATTGAAAGAAAATTAGAATGAGTGTTTTTTTTTAGATGTGTTTAAATCATCTATTCATCTTCATCATCGGTATCTTGAGGCTTTGGTGTACCCTTTGGAGATGACAACCATTCAATATGTCTAAGACGTCTTCTTTCGTCTCTGGCCTTCTTTTCATTTCTGGTCAACTTCTTCTTTCTCTTCTTGACCTTGATATTGGCTGGCGAATCATCATCATCTGGTTTTTGGTAAGAAGCAGCTTCACCACTAGCCATCACCTTATTGGCGACTTCTCCATGCTTACCATCTTCGAATCTGTCCTCATCGATAGAAGCAATGGTCTTGGTGACCATCTTACCATTCTCAACAATCCATTGTTCAGGACACAAAGCACCGGTGAATTCATTGTTGTGGGAAATCATAACGACACCACCATTCCAATCTCTAATAGCAATAGCCAAAGCACCAAGAGAGTCTCTATCCAAATAATTGGTTGGTTCATCCAAAACCAACAAATGTGGGTTATTCCACATGGCACCAGCAATGACAACCTTAACCAATTGACCACCGGACAAAGATCCCATTGGGGTGTGGTCAGCAATTTCACCATCCAAACCAACGTCTTCGAAATGTTGTCTAATCACAGATGGAATCAATTGTCTATAACCAAGACCTTCTCTCGAAGCTTCATGATCATCGAATTTCTGGACCAATTTATTGAATCCGTGTTCTAACAACACTTCCTTTGGAACCCAAGAATTATATCTTGGTAACCAGAACTTCCATTTGACTTCATATTGGAAAGATTTCTTGAACTTTTGTCTACCGACAATGGCTTCAATCTGTCTTGGTCCTCTACCGTCATCAACTTCAATTTCTTTTTTCATGATTTCTTTTTCTTCATCAGAGATCTTTCTAGATTCCTTCAACAACACTTCACGATCGTCACCAAACTTATATCTCCATTGTAAATATTGATTAGCAGTCTTTTCCTTGTGTTGTTCAACATGTTGCAAAGCGTGTTGAGCAATGTAACCAATACGCAAGTTTGGATGTTTTTCAACGGTACCCTTATCTGGGACTAATTCGGCAGTAAGTAACTTGATCAAAGTGGATTTACCAGCCCCATTAGGACCTAAAACGGCAACTCTGGAAGACAAAGACAAAGAACATGAAACGTCAGATAATGATGGCTTAGGAGCTCCTGGATAAGTAAACGTCACATCCACCATTTTGGCGATAGCCTTAGTTCTCGACTTGATACCTTGCAACAACCCACATCTTGGGAAAGCCATTTTAGCATTAGAATCGGTCAAAGTGTAGTAAGATTTGGTTTCTGGCTTGATCTTAACCAAAGCAGACAAATTACCCTTGTAGTAGACCAACTTCTTGCTTTCGTAATGAATGATATTGGTACAAACTTTATCCAAGAATCCAGAGTCGTGGGACACGATCAAAGAGGTGATCTCAGAGTGTTCCAACAAGTAGTCGGCCAACCAGGCAACATTTGCAACATCCAAGTGGTTAGTAGGTTCATCCAACAACAAGATATCGGCCTTCATCAACATAGCTTTAGCCAAAGCCAACTTCATTCTCCAACCACCAGACAAGGAGTTAAGGGCTTGGGATCTTCTGGTTTCATCGAAACCAACATCTTCCAATGCCTTGGCAATTTCTTCTCTTGGCAAGTTAGTGAAATCTTCTTCGGTTTGAATTAATGAAACCAAATCCAACTTGGTGGACTTCTCATCTTCAGTTGGGACTTTATGTTCCACAAAACAAGTCTTCAATTGATCCTTAGATGGAAAACCATCAACCTGGCCGTTATCAATGGCTCTCATCAAAGTTGATTTACCAGCACCATTTCTACCACACAAACCATATCTGTGACCTTTAACCAATCTCAATCTGGTCTTGTTCAACAACATTCTACCACCGTAAGCCAAAGAGAAAATGGTGTTGACAATTTCTTCACCTTCGTCTTCGTAAATGTCTTCTTCATCTTCAATGTGGAAAAGTTCCTTCAAGGAATGGATCATAGTAGCAATGTATTTTTCCTTTTCTTCTTCAGTGGCAAATTCCAAGAGCTTGGCATCAGATTTGACGTTAAGAATAGCTTCCAAGTAATGCTTCAATTCTTCCAATTTATGAACATTGGATAAATCAGCGACAATGTTGGCAACATAGTTTTGAATAATGCTGTTGCTCTTGAATTGTTCACCAAGGTACTTTTTGGCTTCTTCGAGACTCAAAACCCCATTGAATTCGTGCTTTTTGGTGTATTCATCGGCAGTTTCCAAAACCTTCAAAGACTTAGAGGCCAATTCTCTAATTTCTGGTAAAGTAGCGTTCTGGGCAATCTTCTTGACTGAAGGTAACAAAATTGGCAAGTAGTTTTCAATTTCCTTATAATTTTTCACTAATCTTGTCAAGTTTTCAACAATAGTGATGGTCAATCTTAATTGATCTTGGGAAGAGGAGGCCATGTTCATGGACTTATTCAAAGTTGGGGCCAAGATAGCCAAAGTAGCTTCGGTAACTTCGGTAACAAAAGTAGTAGAAGCCAAAGAATTGATACATGCAGTAATCTTTTTTGGGTCGTTCAAAGCAGCAACAATAGCTGGTAAGTTCTTTTCCAAATCTAAGTTATCTTCCAAAACGTTAACAAAGTTGGTCAAAGTCTTGAAACCTTCTTTTGCCAATTCTGGCTTGAAATCACTGGAAATATCACTAAGGATTGGGATGGAGACGTGGAATTTCATCTTCAATACTTCGGCGCTAGCATCCTCAATAATATTGTTGATGATTTTTAAAGCACCAACCTTAGGCTTCCATTTGGCACTACTTTGCAAATAAGCTAATAATTCATTAAGCAAAACTGATGGGGAAGAAACGGATGGAATACAAGTATAGAGCACATCGACAGTCTTTTGGGCGGCTTTAACAACGTTGATTTCCTTAGCCATAAATTGGTTGAGACATAATGGGAAGAACTTAATAAGATATGCTTCATATGGTTGTTTATCGATAAAGGCACTGGAGACCAAAGTTTGCAATAAAATCATTGCCCCTTCTTTCAATAAGGCCGATGAAGACTTAGAAGTGGTCAAAAGTTTAATAAAATCGTAAAGTTCCCATTCATCAATCGAAGGCAAACCGTGCTCAACAATCTTATCGGAGATATCACCAGAGTTCTTTCTAATATCAGCCAAGTTTTTGGAGTTCTTGAAGTTTTCCAAACATTCAGACAATGGAGAAACGTGCAATTTTTGCATAGAATGGTTCAAAGCTGTCAATGATGTGGTGGATTGAGTTGGAGTGGTCAATCTTGACGATTGTTCCGAGGAAGAGTCAAAATCAGAACTGTTAACGCTATCAGTGTGGTTCTTTCTTGGTTGATTAGCGGTTTGGAATTGTTGGTAAGACATTGGTTTTTTCTGGTGGAAACTATTGTTGAACCCACTGTTACCTTGGTTATTGTTTGGTCTGTACCCATTGTTGTTATAATAACCACCGTTTACACCATACTGCTGTTGTGGTTGACCAGGTGTGAAAGATTGTGCCCCATTGGGGTCAAACTTTTCAAACTTCTTCTTTTGACCTTGACCTTGACCGGCAGCCATGACTATAGATTAATTGACAGGAGAGAGATAAGTGAATAATAAAAATATAATAATCAGGCAGTTTACTTTGATCCTCTGTGAGCAGTAAACAAGCTAATATATATCTTTCTATCCGGTATCTGGCCTTGGTATGTGTCAAATTATAAGAATATAAAAAGAGAGATCAAAAAAAAAAAAAAAAAAATCAGGAAAATTTTTTTGCAGAAAAAAAAAGAAAAGAAAAGAAAAGTTCGTTAGCACGTGCAGGATAGCGTATCGCTTACAATATAAAGAAGATAGAAATTATTAGATGATTTCACTATTTACTGATGTATAGAATAATAATTTGCAAAATAAATGAAAGTTATTGCCTTCATTCCTCATCATCAGATTCTTCCTCTTCGTCGTCAGACTCTTCTTCTTCACTGCTCTCTTCTTCAGCGCTCTGTAACCAGTCAATAAGCTGTTCGACATACTTGTTATCAATCTTTTTACTAGCATCTTCAGATTTCTGCGATCCATTGTACCATTCAATAATGTTTTCTTCGTCACATATTTCGAGATCATAGAATTGTCTCATGATGAAGAATTGCAATTGTTTGGCATTCAATTGTTGATGATTATCACCCTCCTTGGCGTCAATTTTCTTGCAAATTTCATTCAAAAGATCCAATAAATCGAGCTCATCATCTTTATCAAACACTTGTCTCTTGAATAATATCCCCCATTGTCCAAAAAGTTTGTTTGTAGCTTCATTCACCTTGAGAGTGTTAGTTTCGACATAATTGGTGATTTTGGAGATAAGAGTGTTCAAAGTACTGCGTCTAACCATCGAATATGTAACGTTCATACTCATTCTAAGAGTGTTAAGTTCAAGAACCGCAGTGTCAATATCATGGTTATTATCAATAGCACGCTCGATAGTGGCAGTGGCTTCAACATAAAACTCTTCAATTTCTTTCAAACGCTGCTTTTCTGGGTTCAAATTAGAGCCATCGGCATTCGAAATTTGTGAAGCGGTGGAGTAGCTTCTACCACTCTTTTTGTTGGATAATCCCGAAATTGAATCATGATGTTTATGGCCATGCTTCTTCTTGTTCTTACCGACAGATGATCCCACAGACGCAATAGACTCATCAGATAATGCCAAGGTTGATAACTTATATAATGCATGGATATCACCAGTTTCTGTGCGTGAGTGAACAGAATCAGCATCAGAAGAATCTTCAACGTCAGATTCATACTCTTCATAGCGGAAACCAACACCATTAGGGCCCACCACCAAAACGTCGCCAATTTCTTCAAACTTTTCGACCTTGATGATTGGCTTATTATCATCTGTCGATTCTTCGTCTTCATCATTCTCTGAAAAGAACCCATCATCTACTTCTTCTGGCTTCTTTGCAATGATCTTGGTACCATGTTCAATAACCATATCATTATCTATAACACAGTTAGCACCAATCACTGATTCATGGAGAATACTGACATTATTCCTGATGACCACATCGCCACCAATACACGAATCGACAATTGTAACACCGTCTTGAATCTGAACATCATCGAAAATTATAGAGTTAACAACCGAACAATTCTTTCCGATTTTCACGTTGTTACCAATTACGGATCTTTGAATCTCTGTATTTTCATCGATAAAAGAATCAGCACCCAATACTGTGTTATAACCGATTTTACACGATTGAGCCAAGACAACCTTCTTGTCCTTGTAAATATGATTTGATTCATATTTCAAATTATTATTATTGTAAAAGTTTAATTCTGGAACAATTGGGTAGATGAATCTTTGAATCAAGTCCTTAGTGATGGATTTGAAGGTCAGGTAACTAGAGACTCTTGCCCCATATTCTTGTTGAGCAATATAAACGTAGAAAGATCTCTTCAATAAATCAAACGTTAGGATACCCTTGAGGAAATCTTTTCTCATGTGTTGGAAATCAAAGTTTTCTGAATAAATAGCTGGGACAATTGGAGTACAAATATCAATATGGCAATCGATCAAATCGTTTCTAATTACGAAATCGTCGATGTTTTCCAATAATTCTGGGTCGATGCTGACTTGTGACTTCTCACCATTGATCGGAGGAATGGCGTCGTAGTACAAACATTTATTGTTTGATTCATTTAAAACAAATACTGAAGGATCATCATCAAATGGTCTGGATCTGTGATTAGAAGTGGCTTCTGTGGTGATCATGGTCACAATATGATCTCTGTCTGACTCCTTGATCTTGCGATGATATTTCAAAGCATCATCAAAGTTAATATTGGTAATGACATCACCGGAAATCAACAAGAAATCATCAGTGATAATGGAACGGTTATCTAAATCTCTCATCACATCACCAATAGATCTTGCTTCCAAAGATATAATACACTGGACTTTGAATGGCGACCAAGGCAAAGACCACTTAGATTTGTCGATGTACTGCTGGATTGGTTCCACATGATTACCAGAGCACATCAAGTACACTTCATTTGCTCCAGCATTGGCTAAGAACTCTAAAGTGTATTCGATCAAAGGAACATTTCCAAGATGAATCAAGCATCTTGGGGTGGTAGCTGTCAATGGCATAAACTTGGTTTCGAAATCATCGGTAAGAACCACAGCCTGGAGCTTTTCCTTCTTGATGACCTCTTTCTGCTTCTTACTGCTAGACTTTGGTGCCATTTTGTATTAAATCAATAATATTCCTCTTCACAAAAAAAAAAAAAAGGGAACATTTGATAATTGAGTAATTACAAAAAAAAAAAAAATTCCGAAGTTGAATTTTTTTTTGTCCTGATGCGAAGTGCGTTTAGCCTCAAAGCATAATAGAAAGTTGGCCAACATCGATGAGAAATTGAATTATTTTATTGAAAGAATTATGTTTAAACCAGCAGTATATAATTTCAGGATACAATTTCCTTAGATTTTTTTTTTTTTTTTTGATGTTGATAAATTGGTGAACTTAGATTTTTGTTTATTGAGGGCATCCTTGCTGTTGAGGGCTGCAATTAATTACTAACAATCCTACTGTTTACATTAACTACAGCTATCAAATTATCATCCTAGATAACATATGTTGACTACACTCAGTAGAAATCGACGGTTCTCTGTCAGTAACTAACTGTTTTAATTATAATGATAGCCTAGCCTATCTGTCACTTCCTATGGTGGTATCTTCGAAAACACCCAACGCCTTGTATAAATATCACAAAATTGGTTTGAGTCATGACCTTGTTATGACAATATATAGCATTGATTATGATGAAGATTTCAATTTAGTTTGAGCCTTCAAATGAAAGACACCCAGATAAGATACACTAGATGTTTTCAAAGGGCAAGGAAAGGTTGGTACAGCATGTATTGAAAGATTATTCCAAAGAGAATGAAAATGAAACCTTCGGAATTATTAAAGTACAATGAAACAGCAATAGAAACAGTAGAAGAAGAGACAAATTAGCAATTAGAGCAGCAAAATCAGCGAAAAAAGAGAATTGAGATGCTCACTAGAAGCGGTAAGAAAAGAGAATTGAGATTTTCACTAGAAACATCATGGTGAAAATTATGTTAAGGATACAATGACTGTTCATTTTCATCTTCATTTATTGGAAAGCGACAATTTTTTCTTTCCATTTTTTAATTACTGGTTGAGACAGTAATCACAATGACAATGATCACATTGGTAACACGCAAAACAAAAGCTGTCATTGTTTCTTGTGCATATACAACATCTCCAAGCCATGATTGAGGTTTTTTGATTCGGGATTCAACAAAAAAAACACTAGATTGGTTTGAATCAAACTTTCAGTGATGATAAATTTTTTCTTTAGAAAGAAAAAATTGGAAAAATATTGGGAAAAAGACAAACCACTTGTGACGAACTTATGGGAAGGTAAATCTTTTCGTGAGCAGAATGGGCTGATTAACAAATAGTGCTGCAGAACTATTGGGAATGAAGAATCGAAATATTTAGGAAAGTATGGTTCCAGGAATTCCCAAGACTAATAGATAAAAAAAGAATTCAAGGAATTCTATACATATATATATATATATATATATATATATATATTCTTTCTTTTCTTTTCTTTTTTTTGAATTTCTCAATGGCCTTCCCAAGCATGCCGCAGATGATTCATAACATTATGCTTCAATATCTCAAAATTTCAGTGTCGATGTAAGAAAAGAAAAGAGTCACAAAAATTATGTAGATAACTTTGATTTCATCATATCAATAAAATTCTGGTGACATCTATAAAGTGTTTAGCGAAATATTTTAAAGATTAAGGACTACAAAATAATGAGGTACATGTGGTGTAATTCTGACAGAAATATGAGAAAGATACCAATGATCACATAAAACGACATTCTGGAAAAGAAAGAGAGTTTAGAAAAAAAAAAGTTAAATGTAGATATAGATATCTATGCCAAACCAAATTAGCGTACACTCTCTATTCTTGATGGAAATATGATCCAATAATCCGTGAGCAGTAGAAGTTTTTCTGGGAATAAACTATCTATATACCACCACAAAAGGATATCCGCAAAACTGGCAACTGTAAAAACTGAACTGTTCCTCATTCTCCATTTCGCAATAAGGACAAATCCAATAGACATCTCCAGGTTCCATCTTTATAATTCTGCGCTTCTTGGTGCTGAGATAATCGAATAAAGCTGAGGCTTGAATTTGAGCTCCCGGAAGCTGCTAAATAACTGAGCGAAATCAATGGCAAGTACACCTATGAAGAGTACCATAAGATATAACGAATATTATTTCAAAATCTTTCACTTTTATCTTCCAGGAATTTTTAAACATGATATTGGAGGAAGAAAAAAAAAACAGAGAGATCGGAAAAGTGATATAATTTTCTCTGAAATTTTTGAGGGATTTTGGGAAGCTCCTATACCAATATTCTTTTTTATTACAATATCAATTTATTTCTTCTATTTAATTTCTTATTGAAAAGAAATTCTTAATCATTGGGCCAATCCGGTGATTATTAAGAAGATCTTTCTCCACTTGGTTTGCCCGGGATACTTACTATATCTATCAAATTAGAAGAATGAATATCTCTAAATTATTTGTTGTCATCTCCCCAGATCAGTCAGTTTAGCTTGTGTTGTGGGGTTACATCTCTTTTTGAAGCCCACAACTATTATTAGTCTTGAATTCAAAGCATTTTTCCTAATTTTAAGGCATATCTTGAATACTTTTCAGAGTGCTACTTTTTTTTTTTATATATACATAAAATATTACAATATAGAACAATCAACAGATTACTTAGAAAAATAAAAAAATTAAATAACAATTAAATAACAATTACTAAAATTAAATACATATGCAAATATATAAAAACATTTGAATGAAAATCATAAGCTAAGTATTAATAGTAAAAATCAAAGCTTTTTCATACCTTCTTCGAATTTCAATTCTTCATCTTCAACTTCTTCAACGGTGACTCTCTTCTTTGGTTTAGCTGCTTCCTTTTCAGCAACTTTAGGAACACACACTTCAAGCAAACCATTGCTGTATTTAGCACCAATAGCTTCATCGTTGATCTTTGGAAGGATTGGAAACTTGATACTTCTTTCAAAGGCACCAAATCTGATTTCACTAACCTTAAGATAATCCACTTCACCATCGTTAGAAGAGGAGACCATCTTGTTCTTGGTATCGGTGGAACCGCGAATCACAAGCTCGTGGTTAGTTGGATGGAAATCAATTTCAAATGAGTCCTTACTGGCACCTGGTAATGCCAACACCACTTTATATTGAGATGGTTTGTCATAAACATCAACGTTTGGAGAGAATGGCAAGCCGCGATCCATTTCTGGATGAGAGACTTGAAGTGGATCATGGATTGGAGATGGGGCAGGCATGTGGAATGAAGAAACCTTGGTTGGGGTTTTCTTGACAGAAGCAGATGATGGTTTTTTGGTGATTTCTGGTTTCTTTGCAGGAACTGATTCAGCTTCTTGTGCTTCAGAAGTAACAGTTTCGGTAGGAGTCACTGGAGATGCCGGTCTTGAAGCTTCTTCTTCTTCTTCTTCTTCGGATCCAGCAAGCAAAGCTTGTCTGATAAAATCAGCAATGTCGAATACTTGAGGTTGTGGTCCCTCGGCATCAGTCATGACCGAATCTTCTTCATCTTGGGCCGCCTTCAACTTCTTTTCGGCTTCTTCTTGTTGTTCTTTCAATTGAGCAACCGCAGCAGCTTCTTCAGCACATTCTTGAGCTTGTTTCTTAGCCGCAAGCTCTTGTTCGGCTTGTCTTCTCTTTTGAGCAAGTTCTGAAGCATCAAGACGTTCAGATTGCAAAGATCTGTGGCGGTGACGGTTGACCAAGTTCAAAATATCTTCAAGGGTGTACACCTTGCTGTCATCATCTTCACCATCTTCATCTTCATATTCTGGAACATACCAAGGGGAGTAACCGGCAAAAGGACTTGCATACGATGATTGACGTTGACCATAACCACGTCTACCGGCAGATGGACGAGCTTGAGCGAAATAAACCGGTTGTTCTTGTTGGCGGCGTTGTGGTTGGACCATTTGAGCACGGCGGCGTTGCTGTTGCTGTTGTTGTTGCTGTTGTTGCTGCAACATTCTTCTTTGGTTGACAGCTTCCATAAGGTCGTAGATATCGTACTGTGGGTAGAAGGACATTGTGGAGAGTGTTATGGCAATTGGGGTGGGAGATGATTAAAATATCAATAGTTAAATGCAATTGAGAAAATATTAATGATAATAATATTAGTTTAATAAAATGGAAAATATTTTTGTAGAGAAAAGCAATTTACCAGTGTCCGTGCTGCCATTTTATACACATAAACTTGACAGACAGTTTGCCCCGCGGAACTTTCTGGAAAGCGGAACTTTCTGGAAAAACCCGATAGATTTTTCTAGCAACCGCGCAAAACATGCTAGAAGAGACCAGAAGCAAATGGCGATTAGTAATTCACAGTGCTAGAAGATTCTCCGTGTAATTATTCAGATGGAACTAACTAGGTATGAAGTGAAAACAAAATAATAATAATAATAAAAAAAAGGGCAAGTTGATGAGGATGAATAAAACGACAATTGGACTTGGATTGGCTGAATCAGGATCTTGCTACAAACTAAGGTGATTGATTGGGCAAGCTTAGTATATATGTGGAAACTAAATAATAACTTCATCTACAAGTGTTTAGCACACAATAATACCCAGCATAAATCCCCATAGAGGATCAGTATGTCTCATTGGGAATTAAATACATAAAGCATATTATTATTAGCTTGACATTATGAACAGAGTGTATTTTTTTTTTAAAAAATAAAGAAACAAAAAATCAAAAGTAACCTAAACCTATAAGTGAAATTAAAAAAAAACTGAAAAGCGAAAGCCAGTACAAACAAACAAACCACAGCACACCATCAAGGGTCAGAAGCCAGAAATATGAACAACAATTTTTTTTTATAATCCCTCTAATTTCATTGAAGTCGCTGGTCAAGAATGATTATTTTAATTCCGTATAACTTCTTCCCATAGTACTCTTCAACTCTTCTTCAGTGATTTGATTGCCTGTTGTGAAATAACCCGCCTGGATCTTGGCATCGATTTCAACCTGACCATCTGCTGGAATCATATCTTCTGGGATTGGAACTCTTTCAACAATTTGAATACCAGATTCGACAATTGCATCATATTTCATATTTGACATCGACAACATACGATCAATCTTGGTGATTCCCAACCAATGCAAAATATCTGGCATCAATTGTTGGAATCTCATATCTCTAACACCAGCAATACACTCGGTACGTTTGAAGTATTCAGCAGCACTATCGCCACCACGCTTTCTGGCATTATAAACCAAATATTTAGTAACTTCACCAAGAGCTCTTCCTTCCTTTTGGAAATAGACAACAGCACCGGCACCACCTGCCTGAGCTTCCTTGACAGCTTCGCGGATACCAAACATCAAATATGGTCTACAAGTACAAATATCAGAACCAAAGACATCAGAACCACCACAAGAATCATGAACTCTAAGAGCCAATTTCTTGGAAGAATCACTGATGTTTTCTGGATTACCGAAAATATAAACTGTTAGCCCGCCAATTGGGGGTAAGAAAGTTTTAATGTCTGGTCTGGTGAGCAATTCTGGGTACATCCCACAAGTATCATTGAATAGCGCTCTTCTCAATTCAATTTCAGAAATCCCAAATCTTTTAGCCACTCCTGGCAAGTACCACACTGGATCAACTGCCAACTTAGTGACCGCCAAATCACCAGCTTGGTTTACCACCACTTCACCATCGACTTCGAGCTCACCTTTCTTAACATAATCTTCCATTTCAAGCAACTGTAAATGTGCCTTGGTGATACTAATGGTTGGTTTGATTTCCACTTCTTCAGATTCAGCAATGTGTCCATACTCCCATGGGGCTAAGTGTCCCAAAGGATCAAGCGCCACGATTTTTTCCTTGTTGAACCATTGTGGTTGAGGTTTGAAATGGTAAGCTGGTTCAGCGTTAGTGTAATCAGCACGGTATTCTGGGTTTAATTGGTGGGAGGCAACAGCAAGAGCATGATAAATGTTGTAGCAGCCACCATAGGAGCCAATAGTGTTGTGTTTTTTCACCCCTTTACCAGCACGAGAAGCGACAATAGGGCCTCGAGAGGTTGGGGTAGCGGCTCCCCAAGAGACAGGGATTGGGGAAACGGATGGGTCATTGTAATATGTGGTCAATGGGATGCCAGACACAAGTTTTGCGAATTGGTCGTCCAACAGAAGTTGGTCTTTAAAGATTGGAGTTTGTCTGCTCTCAGCACTACCATGAAGGCAGTTAGTGTTATTACAAACCGCAGCTGGAGCCATTGTTAAATAAATCGGAGAGCGCTAGATGTTGCAAGGTAATAGAAAAGATATAATATAGTATGTATGAATACAATATATATTCTCGGGAATAATAATAATAAAAATAAAAATAAAATAACTGATGAATAAAGAAAAAACAATTGAGTAATATATAAACAGAAAAGACAAGGAAATTGGCTGGTATTTATATTTGTTGCCGTCACACCAACCCCCGTCGTTGCTCCGCCGGCGTTGCCCCAGGATGGTAACAATAAAAAAAGAAAAGCATCGACCCAACCGGAACTTAAGGAAACACAGAGGGGGCGTTGAATGACGATGGTAGCGGTTGATGACTTACAAGACGGACTTATTTTTTCCGTTTGCCGTTACATTGATTTCCTTCTCTGTCCACCATTTATTGATGGTGTTTTGTTGTGGCCGAATTGCTATACATACATGACTCAAAAAGTGATAAGAATTCTTGACAGGCAAGCACCGCTCCCACGGTACCATCTTTTTTTCTCTTGCTGTTCTTTTTTTAAAAACAATAACAACAGCCTCCAGAAAAAGCGATATATATATATATATAAAGGCTATGCTACAAACTAACATGTGGTATTGAATTCTAATTTGATTGAGACTACCTCACCTCAGTACTGTGTGTATATGTCTTGTCTTCTATGGTTATCTCAGAAACACTGTATAAAGAACACACGCTGTTAGCATTTTGAGATTGTCGGGGGGTCCCCGAACCCGGTGAGCAATATGTGACAAATCAGAAAATAAAACTCCCCGATGGGGTTGGTTGCTTATCTTAATGTTTGGTGTCATAGAAAGATATCAGAAATGCCTATGATTTTTTTTTTATTTATGCTGATCTGATACTGAGGCTTGAACGATTGTTATGCAAAGATGTTGCAGAAGCGAGCAAAAAAAGGGGCTAAATTTCAAATCCACAGAAATCACCAATTGATAGTCTAATATTTCCTTGGAGTACAATTGGCGGATGTATATCTTTGTTAGCGTTCAACCAGCTAACTTCTATAAATAATCACTACTGGTTCTTGTATGCTAATAGTTATAAAAAAAGCCAAAAATTGGAGGTAATTATCTTCGTTTGGTCACACGAAGGGATGAAAAATATCGAAAGTTATATGCTCTTGGTTTGGCCTGGTCGATTACAATGGACATAAAGATGATTACGGAGTTGGAGAAAGAGAGAAAGAGTGAGAAAGGATCACGTGATAAATCACGCCGGTAACGAGGGGGTGACTAGACCCTCTGAATAAAATGTACACACCATAACCAATCCAGGCCAATAAGCCAATAACCACTCGACCATTAACATATTTTAACGTGAAGATGATCTAATTATCAATAGACAGTACAGTGCGCCTCAGGAGACTAGAAGTTCCTGTGTGAAAAAAAAAATGAAAGATAGAAAGAAAGATGAAAGAGAGAGAGAGAGAAATAATAAGAGAGGGCTAACTTGTATGGGAAAAGTTTTTTTACTCCCTTCTCTTGCGGCTTGCCCACTGAAAACAAGAAGGAAACAAAAACAAAAGTGCTATTGATACAGGAGCCGTTTTCGTAGCTGTGGCTTCTAATGTAAGTATGCCTTTTATGTTTATGTCGGGTGATTGACTATGTGAAGATCCTGCCGTCTCCACTGTACTGGGTGCCTAATCTCGGACTATCGTATCTTTAGATGATAACGATGTGTGGCACTTTTTCCGAAGGGAATTTTTTTGGAATGCCGTCGAATATTTCCTCTGCGATTAACAAGAGACTCAACCACGCACCAGGTTCTGTGATATTGTATCATTATTTGTATTGTTATTTCTCTCGTATATCGAAGTCACAGAGATTGTCACTATCATGAGAGCACAAATGGAATGGAGTAGTAACTGTTTTTAAGATCTATTTTTGAGGTCTATTGTTGCTAATAACGCTGTTATTCAAATGGCACTACTTTTGCCTCACGAATTCCTTATCTATCAATTTTTTTTTCTTCCTTTTTTTTTTTTTTTTTTCTCCTGTTTGCCTGGGTTGACCGGATAGGGCTAATCAGAATAATTTGTAGCACACCACCACCACCACCACTACCACCACTACCATCCACCACTTGCAATATGACAACTGATAGGGTATCTCGCCTGCAAAGGGATCGGCTCTCCTATTATTGTAGAGTATATTACCCAACGTTATTACGATAAAGGCGTACGGTCGGCAAATCGCGTGGGGTTCCTTGGCCTTCCCAATCCATCGTCGTTAATAGATTATGCGCCTGCTGCATCGTGTTGCGTTGAGGCGCTTCTTTATCTCAAACTTTTCCAACCACCGCAGAACACTCAGAGTTTTCCATCCTCCATCGTCGCTATATCATCCTGATCACCGAGAAATAGCACCATTACTCTGGAGAAACCTCTTCTTCTTCTTCTTCTTCTTCTTCTTATGCTCCCTCTTTTCCTTCTTGCTGCTCTCTTTCTTCCAATACATCTGTGGTATGCCCCCTCCATTTAGAGATATCATCAACGATCTGAGAATTATCACAAACACAAAGTTCCCACGCAAGTGTATAGTATCATCACTACAACGGTCTCAGAAGCCTGAAAAATTGGTAAAACAACAAACTTGCCTCAACAATGATGATCAATAGGCAACATCAACAAGTCATCAACGATGACAAACCCAAGAGAAAGTACAGTAAGAATGGCTGTCGCGAGTGCAAAAGAAGAAAAATGAAAGTAAGTATTAATTTCACACTAACCATTACAAAAAAAAAAAAAAAATGGCCAAGGAAGCCTAATTATAAGTTGATGATGGATCACTAACGTTATTATAGTGTGATGAAACTAAACCACACTGTTGGCAATGTTCAAGACTAGATAAGCCATGCGTTTACGATATGGCTAAAGAACCCAAATCTACCACCAAGAAAAGGAAAAAGTCTACTAGCGGCAACCAACCTTCAACGAAACAACCATCGCCACACTCAACACCAACTACTCTTTCGGATAGCACCACACATTCCAGCAACTCCCGCTCTACCACTCCCTCAAGTTATCATCCACCTTACAATCCACCTTATTCCTATACATCTTCATCCACTTCCTCTTTGTCCTCATCATCGTCATCTTCCTCAATACCAAGCTATCACAATATATCTCTGATTTACGAACCTGGATACAGTAGTGGATACAATCCCAAGAGTTACAAATCTTCACTATCAAATATTTTAAACAATACTCCTTCACTACCCAATCTTCAAACGACGTCTGTCCAACCCAACAGCAATGATGCAAGTTTTCCGTTATCTTCACCACTACGCCATCCGACAACAATACCTTCGACAACATCCGTTCCCACTCAAAGAAATCAATATTCCGATACAAGTATTGGCCATGGTATAGGACAAACAGTTACTCCACCAAAGAGCTCGCCCATCGCCATTCCTTCAAGGAGCACTGTTCATCCTCAACCTTTAACTCAATCTAATATAGTTAACATTAATACTCCAAAAACTTCCATCTTCAGCTTTGGGAACAGTATTAATGGATCAACCCCGGTTTCAGCTGGCTCGAGAGCCAGTCCCTTGAGCTCCCATCAACCCCAATCTTTACCACAACAACAATTACAACGTTTACCTGCTTTGATCCCTAGCTTTGGAGTTTCAAACTTGAATCAGGGGATTAATGAAGAAAGCCCATCGAGTGTGACTTCTAGCATTAGTACTATTGGAAGCACATTATCTTCCAGTATTGGCACCAGTAACCCAGTAATCAATAGAGACCAGCAACATCCCCAAAAAATCATGTTGCCTGATAATTTCCAAAAGCCTACTATTAATGCTACTCATTTGAGCAAAAAAGCTGGTATGGCCGACAGATATGACCCGATCAAGTCTGACTTATCGAATATCAACACTAGCAATAAAGTTGTCAATGACTCCCTCAGACAGGCTCTCGAAGGTTTCAATTTCAAACTATTGGCACAGGATATCAGCAGCCTTATTGGTAATAATGACCCTACATCATTCACAAATACTAACGATGCGGATGATTTTCAAGACGTATCTTTGACAATGAGTCTCAAGATAGTTGCCCAACCAGCTTCAGTCACTGGCGATACCGCTAAATCCAGAACCAGGGGGGCTTCGTTTATCAATGCCGTCCCAAGCTCCCACAACTACTTACCTCATCTGAATTCAATAATCTCCTCATCTCCGCCAGCTTCCAAAATGTCCATGAATAGACCAAGATTGGCCCTGATTTCATCGGTAGGAAGTAATGGTTCTTTTGCATCAGTAACAATGTCAGCAGCTTCAAGCTATGTTGGTAGTAATGGGCACCCAAATAATATGAACCATTCGAACCTTGGATTGGGTTATACTGGGGCTTCAGAAACCGTATCACTAGGATCTTCATTTGATGGCGATGACAATATTTCTGCATCGCGATCAACGTTAATGAGAAATACTAACTCCATGGCTAGTGTTGATACCAAACAAGAATACGCTGAAAATGACGGTGGTTCAAGGTCTGAATATCCTCAGTATGATGATGCTTTGCTCACTGCATCAGTTTCCTTAGACGCAATTCAAATCCCTGAGGCTCACAAACCTTATCTTGATTCATTTTACAATGAATTTTCTAGAAAACTTTCCCCATTTGCGAACCAGAATGGTTCGAATCCAATTAGAGACATCCTTTTACATTATGCTACCAATCATCGATACTTGCTAGCGGCGATATTGGCTTGCGGTTCAGTAGCGGGAAACACCCACCAAGCTCACTATTTATCTCAATGCTACCGTTTATCATTGATACTGCTTCAAGATGAAACCGCAGCAATCCAAAATATCGAACCTCTTTTATTGACGGTGTTATTATTGATCTCTTTTAATGTTACTTTGAATAGACATGGTTGGAGTGCTCATTTACAAGGTACTAAAGAATTGATGACAAGGTACGCCCTGAAACAGTTTGGTTCTAATGAGGATAGTGAAGTGCCTTCAGCAACAATAATCCCACTCTGTATCCATTGGTTCAATTCATATGAAATCTTGATGAGTTTGAATAACCCTGGCATGCTATTATCTGATAGTACTGACTATGACTTATTTTTTGCCACTCTGCCTTCCCAAACTGATCAGTTACAAACATTGGGATTAGTAACTGATGAAGGTTTCAATTTGATATATGGACATTATCATTCACTTATGGGTCCGGTGTGTCGGTTATTAAAAATGATTAAGGAAAATCAACCGCAGTATGAAGATTCCAAGATAGAAGACATTGAAATGATCGGTGAAAAATCGAGTTTTGATAGAGTCAGCAGAGATCCTATTTCTGTGTTCAAGGTTTTTGAATTGATTTCTGAGTTTACAAATTCCAGAAGTTGTTATAAAGTTTCTTCAACAGCAGAAATACCCAAGGATCATGACTTACACTGGACAAAGTTCGATTATGAGGGGCGGATCCAATTGGGGAAATTGATTTTGGATAACGGTATTGGAACAATGTATGTTTGTTGTGATACTGTTGATTTAGGGCATGGTATTAATGAATTTGCGGTAATTCAATCACGGAAATTTGAAGTTCATATGTTCCATTGGCAAGATTTATCGCACCAGCTATTTGTTCTTGGCTGTCTATTATATTTGGCGATTAACTTTTTGGGATTACCAAAAGAGAACTCCATGGTGCAACAATTGGTCGATAATATTTATAATATTCTGTACTTTTTGCCGTTCATTGAAGTTGACCAGGAATCTACAAAACAGGATCCAGTAATATCGATTAAGAAGAGACGAGCTCTTGACGATGAAAGCCCAGTAACGCTACATGCCGCACTTGAAACTTCAGTGAACGTTGGAGGTATTATAAATTCCAAAATGGTGATTTCGAAAAGTACCATAAAGACTGATGCGTTGAAATACTATTTGATGAAAGTCCAGTGGCCGCTTTTTCTCGCAGGGATCAACAGCACTAATCCAGTACATCAATCCCAAATTGGAAAGTTTTTCCAGCTATTAGAGGAGTTGGAAGTTGGGTCTGCTGGTTATACATCGGCAAAATTGCGCCAACACTGGATCAAGGAAAGTCAAAATGACTGAAACTGATGATGATGATGAGGCGGTCAATGAATTTTTAACCCCATTCCAACTAACTGCAGTTATTCCTCTAGCGTAATTGATCCTACTGCAGTAACATTGGGGGGTCACAAAGTCTTAGAAACAGGGTCTATTATTTTTTTGGGGATAACTATGTATTAGACAATCATATTCAGAATAAAATATACAAACCATAAACATATATATATATATATATTATTTTAGATTTTTTTTTTTTTTTTTCTTTTTTTTTTAATAGCCTTTCTCATTACTAGAAAAGCTTTTGTTTATTATTAGATCTGAGTTTAATTCTTGTATCACTTGTGCATTCTTAGATCTGTTTTCTGTAATTTCCTATTGTAATCATAATAATAACAACAGAAATATCCAGATAGAGAGGCTGTCCTTACATTCCATAATCCTTGCTATCGACTGACTAAGTGATATCTATCTATCAAGACTGATCCTTTCCGGCACGGCACAGCCGCACCGGCGGAGGGCGGAAAAGATCCGTAAATTAGGACATTTTTTTTTTTTGCCCGTGTTTTTTTTTTTTTTTTCTTATTTTTCTTATAATTTTGGATTTTGTGCTCGTTGTTCTTTTTGCAATATATTCAGTACAAGGATAAAGGAAGATTTTAACAGAGAACCACAAACCATGAGTGTATGTTGCGATGTTTTAAATTATTTTGTAACTTGGGATAATCATGAGAACAGAAACAGTGCCCACCACCCATAGTAGCTAGATAGGTTGGGAGGGGGGACGGAACAGCAGATTAATCATTGGATATTTGACTAAGCGGGGGTGGGTTGGGTTGGTATTGGAAAACTTTTATCTGGAGCCTAAAACCAATAAAATAAAATTGGATAACAAGAACAAACCAAACCAAACCGAAAAAAAAAAAAAAGAGAAATAAAATCAATGGTTGAAGCCTCTACATTTATTTGCTATTATCTTGAAAATCTGTTTAAAATTATCCATGGTTAAATTAAACGACGTGATATTTATTCTGTTTTGCTTTGAAATTAAAAAAAAAAAAAGAAAACAAAAGAATAGAGAAGAAAAGGGAAATACTAACCAATCACTATATATAGAATCCATACTACCAAAACCAAGGTCAAAACTCATACGAGATGAACTCGTACAACGCCAACAATCCATATGACCCAGCTCCTCAAGGCAACTACGGGTACCAAGCCCCAGCACAACAAACATACGGTGGACAATCTTATGGTGATAGCGATGACGTTGGATTCTACAATGAAATTAAAGGTATCAACACTCTTTTGGACAACTACACTGTCTTGATCAACAACATTGCCAGCAACCAACGTAGACTCCTCAGTGAAGTTGATGAAGAACAAGAATACCGTTTGTCCAAGGACATTGACAGTTTGACCGCCCAAGCTTCTAACCAACAGACCGAAATTAAGCAACGTTTGCAAACCGTCACCAACAAGTCGGTCAATGACTCTTCTAAAAAAGCCCAAGTCGACTCTGTTAAGGAACACTTTTTGCAAGAAATCCAAAGATTCAGATCTGCTGAAGCCGACTACAAGCAACGTGCCAAAGAACAAGCCATCACCCAATACCAAATTGTTCAACCAAACGCTTCTCGTCAAGAAGCTTCTGCTGCCATCGATGATGTTGGTGGACAACAGATTTTCTCCCAAGCTTTGTTGAACTCTAGTATGAAGGGTCAAGCACAATCTGCTCTTAATGAAGTTAAGGCTCGTCATAAGGAAATCCAAAAGATTGAGCAATCCATGAGAGAATTAAACCAACTCTTCAGAGATGTCGAAGCTCTCGTTGCTGAACAAGACACTCAAGTGGAAACTGTTGCTCAAAGAGTCGAAGAAGCCAGAGTTGACATTCAACACGGTTTGAAACATGAAGAAGAAGCTCTTGAAAAAGCCAAGGCTGCCAGAAGAAAGAAGTGCTGGTGTATCTGGATCTGTATCATTATTGCCATCATTGTCATTGCGGCCATTGTTGGTGGTATTGCCGGAAAATTTGCCAACAAATGATTTTGGGAACTACTATTTATTCGGGAGATACTAATCATTGGGAAAAGGGAGAGCGAAAAGATTATTATTATTATCATTATCATTTCTTTTTTTGTTAACATATTTAAACAGAAAAGAAGAGAAAAAAAAAAGTCTTTTTGAAATATTGTTTTTTGATTCACTAATAGAATTAATTATTTTATAAATATTTATATATTTTGTTTGTTTGTTTGCCTAATTATAATTATAGCTTTGATTGACAGGAGAAAGAGAAAAAAAAAAGGTTTAATATGTCATCAAGTTTTGTTTTAATTTAATTTAATTTCATTTTTATTTTTATTTTTATACTTATTTTTATACTTATTTTTATTTTTATTTTATTTTAGTTTAAATTCACTTATTATTATCTATCTACTTATTGCCACCAGTTTATTTTATTTCATACTCTATTAATTGATATATAAATGTTGTTTTATCAAGGAATTGATGAATACTACTCCAGGTGTCTGGGTGACTGGCAGTTATCGCTAACAACCCAACTGTGGGTGTCCCCCCGGGTAACGCCGGCAGCAAAGAGTCAACCACAAAAATTCCCAGCCGCAAAAAAAAACAAAGTCAAAAAAAAACTGGGCGAACATCGACGACAAACAACAAACAGAAAAAAAAAAAAAAAATTCTTTTTTTTTTCGTTGAAAAATTTCCCGAATTTTTTTTTTATTTTCTCCTTTTCATTTGAAAGAACCAAGGAAAAATCAAATATAAACAGGAAGAAATGTCTACTGTATGTTAATTTCTATTATATTGAGGTTATTCTCGTCCTAGTGCTGTTTCGGGTGATGCTCATTTTATTCAATTGGATCATTGTGAAGGATGATGGATGGATGGATGGAAACTAGGAGGAAGGGGAAATTGATTGTCAAGGATTACTGGGCTCAGCAGAGAAATCATTTGTATTACATTCCAGCAATATGATATAATATTTTGTCATTGGATTGAGTCAGTAATGGAAAGTCAACCAAAGCGAATGAACTGAAAGAAAAAAAAAAAAAAGAAAATAGTTCCCTGTCATTTTCATTTCCAGGGATTTCCAAACATTCAGTTGGGATAAATGGTATTGTTTGAAATAAATGAAATACACTCTAAGGAAACGTTGGTATTTTATCTAATTGAGTATAACAATGTATGATTACTTCCATTTTTTGCATTGATCATGAAAAAAACTTGCTCGCTCTCTTTTCCTCATATCATCACCATCATCATGAATACTTCAACATCTACCCCAAAAAAGAAGCAAAAATAGAATAGCAATTGAATGATGAATTTCTTACTAACATAACAACGCCAGAATCCTTTTGACCTTTTAGGTAGGTGATCATTATTATCTGTATCGTTTAATGGAGATTGTCATGAATGTCTGGGTGTGTGGCGACCGGTGCGCAACTTTTCGGAGGAAGAAAGAGAAGGAAAAAAAAAAGAACCCCCAATGTGCACAATCCAAGGTAACTGTCACACTACCCAGTGTTAAAACACAATATTCTCATGTTATAAATGATAAATGATAAATGATATGTAAATAACATATTACTAACATTGCTGATTTTATAGGTAACGACGTCGAAGACGACACCCAAGTTGCTTCCATTCCAAAGGAACTCGTCAAGAAGTCCACTTCTTCTAAGAAGAAGGACGTTCCACCACCTTCTGCTGACAAGAAGCGTGCTTCCAAGAACGGCCGTCCATCCCTCCCAGCTAACGAAGCTGCTGTCCGTGACAAGTCCGTTGGCCGTGGTGCTAACCGTGCCAGATCCACCGACGCCCCAGCTGGTGCCAAGAAGGGTGGTAAGCCAAAGTCCACCGGTCCAAACGACCGTAAGTCCAGAACCGGTAAGACCGACTCCGCCAAGAAGTTGAAGCAAGCTGGTTGGACTGGTGAAGACGGTGAAAGAGAATTGCAAACTGAAGAAGCCGCCGCCGAAGACGTTACCGAAGAAGTTGCCGCCGAAGAAGCCGCTGAAGAAGCTAAGGGTCCAGCCAAGAAGTCTTTGCAAGAATACTTGGCCGAAATTGAAGCCCAAAAGGAAGCCACTGCCTCTACTACTGCTTCTAGCAGAACCATCGAAGCTTTGGTTGGTGAAAAGATTGAAAAGAAGGAAGAAGTTTTCTTCAACTCTACCGTTGCCAAGAAGGAAAAGCAAAAGGCTAGAAAGGAAAAGCAAACCTTGGACATCTCTGCTGTCTTCTCCGATGAATTGCCATTCGAAAGAAGAAGCGGTGCTCCAAGAAGAGGTGGTGCCCGTGGTGGTGCTCGTGGTGGTAAGAAGTCTGCCGGCCGTAAGCCAGCTGCCGCTAAAGGTGCCGTCTTGGATGACAAGAACTTCCCATCTTTGGGTTAAATGTTTTTAGTCGAAAAACAAGGAAGGTTCTGACTAATGGTGTTTTTCTTTGACATTTGTGGAAAAGAAGACGCTATTATAAGTTAGTATAATGATTCTTTTCACCTTCACGCATTTTCCTCCCTGTCTCTTATTTCCCTCCCTCTTATGGTTGTTATCATAATTACCGAAATACACGAATAACGAAGCTCCTTTGCTTATTTTTGTTTTATCCATTGATGTTTATTGATTGCTTTCCTGTGGATTCATCTGATATAAATTGTAAAGAATACACTGTAGTGGAGACACTTAAAGTTACGTAAGGTTTAGTAGAGCCCCCATAACGTCGATTGAGTGTTTGAAGAATTTCAGAGTTCTAAATAAGCCATGCGATACAAAATGAAAAGCTGGGCGGGGCGGCCTTAAGAATGTTGATGTTTTTTTTGTTTTTTTTTTCTTATGGGTTCATTATAATAATCATTAATATTAATGATTGTGAGAAATCAAAAATATATACAATAAGGAATATTTCATGATTGATGACATAAAACTGATGACATAACACTAATGAAGCAAACTTCTGAACATCAAAATTTTCACTACTTGTGGCCGTCAACAGTAGAAAGCAGTAAGGAAATAGAAGTTTTCAATATGATTGATTTCATTTCTTCATCCATATATGACGATTGCTACAGCAATATTGATAAAGGTGATGTCCAATGATTCTTACTACATATAAGTCTAAGAATAGTAGGCATTTTTTGATTTTTTTTTTTTTTTTTTTTGATTCTTTTTGGAGTTGGATAATATCACATTAATTATAACTTCTTTGCACCACAAAGTTCAATATGATTGATTGTATGGAAAGGAGAACGGTTTCCAGTTATGATGAGTTTGATGAAACAATATTAGGCCATTTGAAAATTTATGCTCCGGATTTAATTATTCCTGAAGCTTTATACTCTGCTTTTCAGGGCACATCCTTGAGTAATTTAAAAATCAGTCCCCCATTAGATGAGTCTTTGAAAATTTATGACGGGTGTCATGGTTTTGAGATAATTAGGAAATTACAAGACCTCGCATGGGTATTTGTGCTGTTTGGTGTCCCATTGAATTTATGGAGTAAACTTGTCTTTTTATACTCACCGCCTAGGTTCAAGCGACGCCTTAGAAAACGGTTGAGTGAGAAAAACTCCCGTTCCATGACTGGAATTGATTATTGGCTTCATTCTCTCATTACTTTGACGAAAAATATATGTTTTGAGAATCATACAAATGATCTAATTGGTTCAACTCGACTTTTTTGCCCTACTAGAGGGTCTTGCTTGAAGGAAGGCATTTTGGAATTGATTCTGTTGGCAGAAGACTTACCTGTTGATATTGGGTTGTTAAATATTAAGTTTCGCATTGCGGAGCTCTGCAGCCAGAGATCTGACTCTTATAGTCTTAAAAAAGTTTTAGATGAAAAGCTTCTAGGAGTGAAGTCATATTGTGAATTGAGAGAGATTATTTGGAAGGTCTTTCCAGACAATGTAATTTATTGAAGAGTGTTTCAAATATTCTGGAGTGTTATTTTGCCGTCAGGGGCCTAAATATTTTTATTCTTACATTGAAGGATGTTTTTCTATAGCTGTTGGAGCTGGGAGACCATGATCCAATTATGAAATGCTGCAGTTTAAATTTACTTCTATTTTACGTCTACTGTAGGCTTATCTTCTGAAACTAAATGTTAAAATATTATTGCCTCTTCAAAGACTGGGGATAAAATAATACTTTATAATTCAAATTCTTAAAGCCTGTTACCTACAAGAGTGATCGACTCAACAAGGCTCTGATGAAGCAAGCATACATGAATACATGTAACGAAAATGAATACAATTTTGGCCCAACAGGTCACGAAACTCACTGAAAGATAGAATGTCAATTAATACTTGCCGCTTTCAGAATGAATTGAGGAAAAGCAAAAAATGAAAAGAAAAAGGTGGCTAGCAATTCTATTTTCCTCGGGCGAATAACATGATGATTGCTAATGCAATATTCATAGCTGTGATGGTGGATAAATTTCTATGATATATGATGATCATACACACCTGGGGGTTTCTCAATTATTTTTCAATTTTTGATTTGTCAACATTGATATATTTTCTCTCAAAATTTCGATATGGTTGACTTTATGAGCCTTAGAAGGGCAGATAATTATGATAAGGTTGATGATGCAGTATTAGGAAACTTGAAAATCTATGCGCCGGATTTAATTTATCCATTAACACGGTTTCCTCTAAGGAGGTTGAAAGGGATGCCTCCATTGGACCAATCTTTGAAAATTGACGAAAAATTCAAAGGCGTTCACCTAATCAGAAAATTACAAGACCTTGCCTGGGTGCTCATTATGCATGGTGCTGATACCAATTTATGGGGTGATATGCTCTTCTTGTATTTATCACCTGAATTGAAGCGTCGTGTGAGAGTGCGTTTGAATGCAAAAAACCCCCGCAGTATGAGACAAGCTGATTGTTGGCTACATTCTCTAATTGCTTTAACTGAGAGAGTTAATTTTGAAACATATAGAAAAAATATGTTGGATTTGATTGAAGCCGTCAACACCAATTATGGCGACCCTTTGACTGAGTCCCTATTTACTGTGATTCTGTTGGCACAAGAGTTGCCAGACGAGGTTGCATTACCAAAAGCCAAGTTAAAGATTTCCTATCTCACAAAACGTATGAGATCATATAATAGTGGCTGTATCCTAAACGAACAAAGCTTTCAGAAAAGTTTGACAGATATAAAATCGTGTCAAGAATTGAGGCAGTTAATCTCGGAAAACATTAAGGAGGGTGCACTTGTAAATTTTTGCTAATTTCTATTATGGATTGTTGATGAGAATTTTTTGATTATATTTTTGAAATCATACTATTTTGAATTGTCTCCTTGGAAAAATCAAAAAAAAAAAGCAGACTTCAATAAAATCGTGTCGTGAATTGAGGCAGTTAATCTTGGAAAACTTCCAAAAGAAAGGAGTCTATATTTAAAATAGTAACGGTAAATAATTCTATTATGGTCACATCGTTTGAGTTTTTGTTAAATCGCCGTTTGTAGATATCTCTAGCTATAAAGAGCCCATAAAGGGCCGAGATCTCTTATTTGAAACTTTGGAAACCATACTATTGTGAATAGGCTTAGACAAATCAAAAAAAAAAAAATAAAAAGGGACTCCAATAAAAGAAACCAAGATATAACGCAAAAATCAGACCATATTCAAGAGTTACTTCTTCTTTCAATGAAAAGAAAAGAGAGAAATGAGTTTAATACTGGCAATTTTAAAAGTTATTCTTTCTCAGTATTATTTTGGTTGCTGCAGCAAGAATACTGGCAATGGCGCTATATGTAATCTCTATATATTTTACTAGAATGCAGGGATTGTTTTCAAGCAATATCATATACGGTATCTCATTAAAGGTTCTTTAACTCCAGTACTAAATTAAAAATGTTTGACTGTATGAAGCATCGGGACACTGCCAATTATGACAGGTTTGATGATGCAATATTAGTGAAATTAAAGATTTATGCTCCAAGTTTAATGTATCCTGATACACAAAATGTTAAAGGTCTTCATACATCATTAAGCGGATTGGAAAGAGCCCCTCTATTGGAGGAGTCTTTGAAAATTGATGATAGTTGTCGTGGTTTTGATATAATTGAAAAATTGGAAAATCTTGTCTGGCTATCTACAATCTATGGTGTTAATATTAACTCATGGAGTGATCTTCTTTTCTTGTATTTATCGCCTGTTTTGAAACAACGTATTAGAGTGCGTTTGACTGCAAAGGGATCCTTGAATCGGATTGATCGTTGGCTACATTCTCTCTTTGCCTTAACTGAAAATATTCATTTCAGAGCCCATCAAAAAGAAATAATCAAACAAGTTGAGCTGTTCTGCCCCAATAAAGGTGACTGTTTGATTGAAAGTTTGTTGAAGGTGATTCGGTTGTCAGAGAGGCTTCCAGATGGGATGGCATTAGAAAATGCTAAGAGAAATGTTTTAGGGCTTACTATGTGTTACTTTTTGCGTTCTGGAAAGAGTAACAAAGATTTTCTAGGAAGTTTGGGAGACGTAGAGTCATCTCATGAATTGAGGCAGCTTATTTGGGGGACCATACCAGAGGAGGCCACTTATTATTAGGCTTAAGCCTTTTTTTTTTTTTAATTGATCTTTTTTTTATAATCATCTGTTGGTTTCTTGGCCCATCTATTGTAGGTTACATAAAGTAGCAATCAAGATGTGTATGATCACCACTGACCCTTATGCTCTACCTCTATGTTACTTGGAAATCGTTTATTAGCTCCTGAAGCATTTAGCAATGAAATGTGAATACTTGTTACTTTCAAAAGAAAACAAACAAAAGAAAACAAACAAAAGAAAAAAAGGAGTCTCCAATATTGGGAATTTTAATTCTTATAACGATGATTGCTGAGAGGAGTATTAATAACTATGATATTTAATGAAGCTACTTTAAGCAAGCATGCATGTTGTTTTTGTTGTTGTTGTTGTTGTTTTTTTCACAATTTATTTCCAATGTTAATTTCAACATGCTCGACTGTATCCACTGTCGAGAAAGAGTTAGCAGTTATGATGAATTTGATGAGGCGGTATTAGGGAAACTTAAAATATATGCACCAGATTTAATTTATCTCGATATACGGAACCTTTATGGTTCTTATAGGACTCCCTTGAGTATACTAAAGAGACTCCCCCCATTGGATAAGTCTTTGGAAATTGGTTCCCACTGCCGTGGCTTTGAGACAACAAGAAAATTACAAGATCTTGTTTGGATATTTGTACTGTATGGAATTGGCGTTGATGCATGGAGTAATCTACTACTTTTATATTTAACACCTGAACTAAAGCACCTTGTTGGTGTACGTCTAAGGATAAAAGGTCGTGGTTCCATGAATGTAATTGATTACTGGTTACATTCTCTTATTGTATTGACCGAGAGTATTCCATTTGAGAACTATAGAATCAAAACAACCAAACAACCAAACAAATTGAGCTGTTTCACGCCGTGTTTGGTGATTGTTTGGTTTACAGCTTGTTGGAGGTAATTCTCTTAGCAGAAGAGCTTCCATGCGACACTGTGCTACCAACTGTTAAGAAAATCATTTTGCGCCTCACTAAGGGTTACTTTTCGTTTCCTAATGAGAGCCGAAGCAATTTCGAGAAAAGTTTGATGGATGCAAAGTCATGTCTCCAATTAAGGCAAGTTATGGGGAAACCATTCCAGAGGACGTAACATCTGATAACTATCACATAGCTAATACATGTCTCCAGTCGAAATTATTTACGAGACCGTCTTAGAAAACGTATCTTACATATAATTCATTTCGCTTCTGGTACAAATCGAATAGTTAGTTATATATGCGTTAATTAGTGTAGATAGAAAAATTATTGCCATTCGTGTATTATAAAATACTCCTATCACAAGAAACTATGCAAAAAGTGATGATTTCAGGCGAAGCTTTCTCACAGATTGAATGCGAATATACGAATTTGAATCTTATCTCAAACAAAAAAATCCAACTCATATATGACCCCAATGCGGAACAGTAATATCATAAAATTGAAAAATACTTTAGTTTAAAATAGACAATTTTAATGCCTCAAGATCAAGATATGATTATTGTTGCTACAGCAATATTAAATTTTATAATGCATAAATTTTAAAGTTTGGGCGATGTTAGGTCATGTCATGAATTAAGGCGGCTTATTTGGAAAACCATTCCAGAGAATGCTATTGACATTATGTACTAGTTCTATTGATGCTTTTATGTATTTATATTTGTTGCGGAAGTTGCAGATAAGTTATAGTAAGATATTACAAGAGTAGTTATTTATTGTTTCTTCATCAATATACGTCACGTAAAATGAAAAAGCAAAGAAAGAAATAAGAAAAGTGCAAGATCTTGTGTGGATTTTTATGCTGTATGGTAATGAATTCAGTTTTTGGAGTAGTCTTCTCTTCTTGTACTTATCACCAGAATTGAAACATCGTGTTAGGGGATGTTTAACTTCGAAATCAAAGTATGCTGCTACTTACGAGAAAGAAATAAAGCCTATTGATTGTTGGCTATTTTCTCTCATTGCCTTGACTGAGAATGTTCCTTTTGTGGAGCATTGGAGGGAAGTCGTTAAACTGATTGAGAAATTTGTTCCTGAGAGGGGTATTTCATTCCTGAAGAGTTTGTTAAAGATGATTCTGCTGGCAGAAGAGCTCCACAGGAGATCATGCTATCATATGTGAAGCAAGCAGTTTTGCGCCTCTTTAGGGACAATAATGTTTCATTCTCTACCGCTGATGGTCAAATAAATTTCGAGAAGAATATGGGGAATGTGAAGTCCTATGCTCAATTGAAGAATTTTTTTGGGACGTCCCTTGGGGGAGGGAAGTGAATTCACTGTAATTGCTAGTGGTGTTTGTGTTATTATTTATGTATATGTTGAATATTTGATTTGCGACTTTTAGATTGTAGTATAATAGAGAAACAGATTTAAATGTTTAGAGCCACTATATGCCAACATGCCAATGTCTTTAGATATTACGGGGTAATATTAGACTTGCAAAGAAATACAGAATGAGATAAATCAAATTGCACAGAAAAACAATAAATTAAGAGATGGAAAGCCACAAAAAATATGGGGATCACTATAGCGCATCCTCATTTTGTTGTTTTTTTTTTTTTTTTTTTTTTTTTTTTTCCTCTCTTTATTTCAAGGAAAAGAAGTGAATATTGATGAAAGGTGTTTAAATATTACAAAAACAACAGAATAAGATGAATTACTAGGCTTGTCATAATTTCATATTATCCTTGAGAAAACATGGAGGTATCGACCAATTTAGGCGATAGATACATGGGTAATCGATAGTAAAAAATCAAACAAATAAAAAAAAAAAAAACGGTCGTGCAGGCAATCGATGGAGAAAACGCAATTTCTGTAATTAACCACCGGTGACATCGACTGGGATTATCTCCGAACAATAAAAATGGTTACAGAGACCAAATTTGGGGAATATCTCGGTTCCCCTTCCTAATTTTTCAAAGCTTGCTTGGAAGCCAGGGTGTGTTGTGTTGTTATACTACCACCCTCGTAAAGTGTGAGAGCCGGAAAACAATGCCATGTGCTAAATAAAGTAACTAGCGCCTCTGCCACAAATGATGGGCGGTTGTTGTGGTGAGACACGCTCGAGGGGGGGGGAGGGAGGGAGTTGGGCTTAATGGTACGAGGTGAGGACTACAGTATATGTATATGTATATATATATATATGACCCAGGGGAAATAGATCCATCGAACAAAGCGATGTGTTGTTTAGCGAGGGTTTTTAGTGTATTATAAATAACATCTCTGTCAGTTGCCACCTGCCTACCTTGTACCATCATCATTATTAGAGTTTCCCCTTTTGGTCCTTTTCGATGGTACTGGTCCACCACAGTGGTATATTCCTGCAAAGAATGATCGAACCACCCACCCAAACACCGGTACGTTAGCTAGACCAAATAAGACGTGCGTATCTTTCTATGTAAAAGAGAAGATAAAAGAAGAGAAAGAGAATGGAAGAGAAACAATAATCATATGATTATCGACCTAAGAGCATGGGAACCACAAAAAAAAAGAAGTATGGTGGCCCCAAATGATAATCACGTGCAAAGATTATTAATATATAATTATATGCCGGGGGCCTAAAATATAAGACGGCATCAAAAATGGCGAGGGGAAGAGACGCTGTGCCCCCCAATGGAAGGGGGAGGCGACAGCGACGACACTGACGCCGCCCATCGATCCACCTCGCATGGCGCCAACCGGCATACGCAGCACAGCGGCACCTCAATATGTAAGTGTCCCCGAGGAAGGTCATTTTCCTTTATGATTTTTTTCTATTGTGGGTGGTGGCCGTTTTGTTGTTACGGAGAGGAGACCTCTTTTTCTCTGTGAGTTAGTTATCGTTGTCCTTCCTGGGTGGGTTCCAATATATTGATACTAATACAATTGTCAGGGTAGTTGCCACACAAATCGCCAATAGCATTACCTCCACCACTCCCACAATTCAATTAGCAAAAAAAAAAAAAAGGTCAGGTCATATATATATAAACTAAAAACCTCACTTTTTTTAAGATCTTCGGTGTTGCTGGTGCGTAGTATGAAACATCGCTCTTGTTGAAATAAAACACTGTTGTGCCTTTTAGAAAAAAAATCTTTCAGTGGGTGTTCTTTTCAATCCTAATTTTTCATCTCAGTCCATCGCTGATTATTCCTACTTTAATTATCGTTATCCTGAAACTGAAATTCCAGTAAAAATTTCCAACGTTTTCACAGGTAAAAAAAAAAAGTCTATTGATTGATAGTTTTTCCCTTTTTTTCCCTCTTTATAATTTTTTTTTTTTTTTTTTTTACTCTTCCCCTTCTCCTCTTCCATAGTATAGTATTGGATTATTGTACTACTCAATCATAGTTCATAATCTCCATTATGAATGTCTTCCAATCACCAACTTTGCTTTCCCATCATCTTCATCATCACCACCAGATATCAAAACCACCTGCTGCTGCTGCTGCTGTTGCTGCCGATGCCCCTACAACAATACCATTACAGTTAATTGAAACCTCATCGCTTGAATTTGAGGACGACGATGATACTTCCAGTCAAGGCAGCGTCTTCTCATCAATACTAGATAATGAATGTCCCGAGTCATTAGCGTCTGTCATTCCAGAACCCATCATTGAGTTATTTAACCGTTTGTCAGGAGACCAACCATCGATATCCCCGGAGGAATTCGTAAAGTTTTACAAATCTCAGAATAACTGCTTGATTACTCAACATCAATCGCAACTTATCCTCGACAAATACTCCACAAATAATAAAAATATCAATACCAGCGGTTGTCAGCCCTCCATCACTCTAGAATCTTTCCATAAATTCCTCACATCAAATGATAATTGTCTCATGAATAACAACCTTGGCCTTGAAGATTTCACTAGACCTCTCAATCAATACTACATCTCGTCATCACACAACACTTACCTAACTGGCCGGCAAATCGGCGGTACATCATCAATAGATCTCTACATCTCAGCATTATCCAAGGGTTGTCGATGTATCGAAATCGACATTTGGGACGGCGCCAATGGCCCAGTGGTGAGCCATGGCCCAACATTGACTACCTCGGTCAATCTCAATAAAGTCATTGAAACAATTCGTCACTACGGCTTTCTTCATTCGGATTTGCCCCTAATTTTATCAGTGGAAATCCATTGTAAAAAACAGTACCAACATCAAGTTAAACAGTCCTTTGTTAACGGACTTGGCGATTTGTTAATGCAAGGAAATAATAATAACGCCGACAACCTATCCGATGAGCATTTGCCACCAGTTGATCAATTGAAAAACAAAATCTTGATTAAAATCAAAAGACCATCAAACACAAACATCACCACCTCTCAACCACCATCATTATCCAGTTGTTCTTCCACCTCAGGGGGCTTTTATTCCATCAATGGCACCGGGTCTTTTATGTCTTACATCAATTCAACCTCAGGGTTCCTACATCACACTTCATCATCATCATCATCATCATCATCATCATCACTTAGCGAAACTTCAATGTCAACCGCCGGCGGTTCTGGAGGGGATTCCGACTCGCATTTTTCTATTCCTTCATCATCTTCTGAATCATCTTTGGGACTTCTTTCTCCGAATTTTTCAACGTTATCAATATCCAATAACAAGAAACACAAGATCATTCCAGAACTCTATCAAATGAGCCATTACATTCACGGAGTTAAATTCAAAAACTTTTGTTCTACCGACGCCAAAACTTTCAACCATTGCTTTTCGTTTAGCAATTCCAAACTTTATTCCATGCTTCGCCATGCTTCCCCCTCGACAATCGAAGCGGTTCATTTACATAATACCAACCATTTGATGAGAATTTATCCAAGTGGGTACAAGATTAACTCTAGCAACTTTGATCCCACCACTTTTTGGAAATTCGGCTGTCAAATGGTCGCCACCAATTGGCAAACCTGGGATCTCGGAGAACAAATCAACGAATCGATGTTCAATTATGGCAGTAGATCCGGCTTTATTTTGAAGCCGCAATATCTATTAGATTCGCAATCGTCTTCCTATGGTAACTCGTTGATTAGAAATTCCAGTATTGATGAATCGAACTTATCCAACGTCAAGTTTTGTATTGAGGTTCTTCACGGGGAATTCAATAATAATGCGAGTTCTAAACCTTCGCCAATCACCATGAAGATCATTGGTCATGAATCAAAAAGTCAAGGGTTGCGCAAATTTTTAGCCAATTCGTTTTTCAAGAAATCAAAACTGTTGACTTCCAATACCATGTGGCAAAACTCCAAATTTTCTGGTGAGTTGTTCAACACCTTATTCGAATTTCTTTTCCTTAAATTTTCTATTGGTAATGGTGAATTCGAAAGAAGTGTGGTGGTTAGAATGTGTTATTTGAACAATGGTTATAAGTTCTTTTCACTTGTTGATGAATTTGGGAACGAAACTGATGAAAAATTATTTGTCAAGATTGACATTACCGTTAATTGATTCAATTTAATTGAATCTTTTTTCTTCCATTTCTTTCACCAATTATAGAGAAATGAAGAGATGGACAGAAAAAAAAACAAACTCTCCCCCCTTTCCAAGAAGGTTAATGTTTATATCATCACATGGGACGTTTTCATGTTTTTGTTATCTCAATTGCTATTACTTATTTGCTAAAATGTTTATTTACTCCAAATCACAATGAATTTGTTTTCATAATTTACCATCTCTTTTACATCATCAACGGACTTTTACGCTTTTACTAAAGGGGTTTTTTCAAATACCAGACCATAATAATCTTGCTTACAATCCAAACTAGACATTGAAAAATATTTCCAGAAGGAAAGACTTTTGGCAATCTTTTCTCTACCCGCCCCTTCTTAATAACTCTGGAACGCTTCATTTTGTTATTTTTTTTTTTGCTTAGCTACTACTACCACTACCTCAATCAAATCTTTCTCTAATCTGTGTCCCCCTTGACCATCATCTATAGATTTTGACATTCATTTTTTTTTTCTCCTCCTTTTTTTACTGCTTTTGTATAATTTTTTTTCTCTCTCTTTTCTTGTTTGCCCATGTTATGTTTCATAGTTTTTTAATGCATTGTTTTCTCTCTCATTTTATTGAAACTATTTGGCCTTGCTGATATTTGTAGTTTAGTTGCAATTCAGATATACTCCAATGCCCCTTCCAAGGATATATATATATATATATATTTGTAGTTCCCTATAGGTGTCCCCTCCCTCCCCTCAAGTGCATTGCACTCTCTCCTCAATGATGGGGAATTATAATTTAGATAACCCAATGCTACACATCAAATGCAATTTGAATATCCCCAATTCCACCTTCAATGATTATATATATATATATCTTATTTTTCTAGCTTACGCCCACTCAATCATGATATTTTCTAGTTTAGGCAACACCCATGCAATCTTCAATGATCCTTCTCTAACCCCCTCCCTCCCTCTTTTCAACCTCGCCAAGCGAAATAGCATAGACCCCCTCTCCTCCTCCTCCTCCTCCTCCTCATTTACCTCCTCCTCTACCTCCTCCTTCTTCTCCTTCACACGCTCGCACATATACACACATACAAAACGTCTCTTATAGGAAGAAATTCCCCAACCAAACCACAGCATAAACCGATTGGTTTTAACCTTATTGTTATATGAAATGAAGTATCTTGAAGTTCAATAATAATAATAAGAACCTTAAAAGAAGCATGTAATCTTTGAATTCACACCAAGAACCTTATAAGAAGCATATAATCTTGAGTTTTGCCATCAGAATCAGAATTCTCAGAAAAGAACTGAGCCGCGAATATCTACTGGCACTTTGAGGGTCCCCTATTGTTGTTAATGGAGACTATACTACATTTCTGGAACCAGCCACGATTTCCATGAAGTTTTCTCTGAATTCTGAAATCGAGTATATATTACCAGTGGTATCTATCAATTAATGTTAAATCGAGTATCTCTTATCCAATCCACCAATGTTGGGTATATGATCATCATTTGAACTTGGAATGCAAAGCACCGCCATCATGTATATCGACGCGAGTTTGTTTGTTAAATGAAAGGCCCAAAATCTCATCAAATTTATTACCGATTCCAAGTTCGTCATTTCAGAGATATTGTTCAACAGTAACTCCAATTTGGTCAGTCTATCACCATATAAACGATGATCAATGGTTCTTAGATCATTTCCTCGGAGATTCAACTTTTCTAATTGGGAAAGCATCAAAAAAAAAAGGTTTTGGTAGATACCTAACCAGAGATCTTTGGCAATACACGGAGGAAGGAACATCGGAGTGAAAACTTTGGTAACCTTTGAAACTACTTGAGCCAATCAACAGTTATTATTTTTTTAATCCCACAACGAGCCACTTGCAATATTTGTAAACTCTCCAACTCGTTAAGATTGCTATCCAAAACCCTTATCGCGGTATCAATAATAATAATAATTTTTTTTTTTTTTTTTTTTTTTTCAATTTTGGCATCAAGTGTTAATCTATCAACTTTATATATTGAAACAGTCAGTGATACCAAGCTCTAGCAAATAAGGAATTGAGTGGATAATCTCAAATGTTTCGAACTGTTTCCGGCCGGCAAATTGAAAGAGATACTCTAATCGTTTATGGTTACTAACATTGGTGGTAATTTTCTCAACGTCACAAGGAATCACCGATGACGATTTCAAATTTAAACACTTCTCTAACCCCTCCTAACTCAGAGACATAAAACAATACTTCAACCTGATACCCCCTCAAGGTTATTGAATGAAGTCTAAACCCTAAGCAACTCCCCATCATTAGAAAAACTGATCACACCTCTCCCCCTCCCTCACATTCAGTGAGCGATAGTTTAGTCAAGTGTGCTTCAAAGTATTGAATCTTTTGTCAATTCTATGGAGATGGTAACATTTTTCTAGTGTTAATTCCTCCAATCTATGCTGCCAATCTTCAATTATCAAGTAGTCGACCAACTTAATTCCGAGAATCTCCCCCACCCCCCTTCAAATTGCTGTCGACAATTGATTTCTGATAAATAATGATAAAATGAACTGTGGCGATGTTTTAGTGCTCAGCATCTCATAATTCTGGCCATTATTGCTATTTATTAGGGTAAACTGACAAACGATATTGTTTTAGCGCTGGACTTTTCAAGTTGTTTTTTTTCATTTTCGATCCCATCAATCTTGAATATAACCAACCAAGCATCGCAAATAACCAACAAGAAATATCATGGGAATTCCCTATGGAAAAAATATAAAGATATACTATTATCTATTATATATTGGATATGTAATTGGCTAGGCTTGCAATGACGGAGAAACTGGCAAGTGCTAAAAGACCTGCAAATAGAAAACACAAAAAATTGTCTCACAGGAGTGGTATACCCTCAGTCATGGCAATTGATGATTCTCAATTATAACATTTACTGTAAATAAAATAAAATAAAATAAAATAAAATAAAATAAAATAAAATTGCCGGAAGTTGGACAAATTTCTTTACGTTTTCTAAAGACATCAACATTGTTCAATTCCCAAATTGTGAACATGGGTAGCCAGGGCTTGAATTCTGGTATTTCAACCTTTTACTAGTAAACCAGTACCTACTCAAGTGCATGTCTCAATGAAAAACTTTGATTTCTCTGTATTGATAAGTAAACTAGTAAAAGGTTGATCGAATTGAATTGGTGTTTAATAAGGGTAATTAGCATAATTACCAGCCGAAATGTATTTTTAAGTGCTCATCATTAACAGAAACTTCAAAAATAGCAACCGTTGGAAGTTTTGGGTATAAATTGAGCAAGTAGTGCTTCGATCTCTAAATAAGCGGGATTGTAATATAAGCCTGGTCTCATGTTAATCGATGGATTGAGAGTTTGATATCATAATCCAATCTATTAATGGTTGCATCCGATAAAATAAAATAAATTGTTAAAGTAAGTACAAATACTATGTAAAGGTTTGAGGGTATCCTCTAAAATAAGAATAATAAAATGGAAAAACGAGAAAGATCACTCTATTTAAGTAGTTCGATCTTCTCTTAGAACTATTGGATAGTTCTAAAAAGTAATAGAAGATAATAGAAGATAGTAGAAGGTGATAATAATAAAAGATAATGCAAGATAATATAACATGAGCATGACCTATGTTACAATAACAGAGCGTTTTTGGAAACTTTCCCTGGGTCAGAATTTGGGTAGGAGACTACTTTCTCGTACAATATATGGTGGATTAAAATTTTCTGATTATCTTTTATATCCCATAAGTGCAAATTACAGTTTACGACACCCCAAGGCATTATAATTATATAGCCAACATAACACGACTTGGTATTCAGATGCAAATGAAAAAAGAAAATCCGGAGAGCGTAGTGCTCCTTCTATAGCAGCATTATCGTGACAACAAACCCAGACAAGACAAGACATTAGAAAAATGATGAGCAAGAAACAAGATAGCGAAGATAGGAATTGATAGAAAACAACATTAATAAAACCCAAATAAACACATTAGTAAGTAATTATATGGCAGCAACTCAAGCGGAGGTAGCAAAATAGAAAAAAAAAATGAAAAAAATGAAAAATAATATAGCATAGCTGGATACATTGTGACGAAAACAGATAAGCAAGTATCGTATAAAAAAACCACAAAATCTCAGCTGTTGATTGATAGCAAGCAAGTATCCAGCCCTTCATGCCGAACAGATACAAAAACATAAGTGGCAAACCAAGCAAGTCGAAAGACAACACCAAAAGTGAGAGAACAAAACACCGAACCGCTCAATACTCATATGTACTCATTGCATATCGCGACAAATTTTTGGATATTTCCTTCCAAAGTTGAAGATTCATTCACCATACCATAGTCTATCCAAGCAACTCTTTCGTCTGGAGTAACAATGAAATTTTCTCTTTTAATATCACCGTGATTGATACCTAAACCCGACAATAACTTCAATTGATTAATTCCAAACTCCATCAGTTTCTCGGTGATTTTACCGCCTCCAGGAATCTCTGTCATAAATATTGCAGGTCCACCAAACTTGATGGAGGCCTTGTCGAACAAGCTAACCCGTGTGCCACAAAACACAATTTTTGGGCTAAAAATAGTATTGGCTTGTGACTTGCAATTGTTATTGTAGGCTTCAATCTGCCTATATGAACAAACCTCGTTGGTGTATTGCTCAGCAGCAATGCTCAAAATATCTTCATAAGAAAACCCTAGTTTTCTAATTTCTCGAGTTCTGGCATATTGCAGTAGAAAATCCGCGTCATACACTTTTATGATAATTTTCTCACTCCTGGTTTTCATCTTAGGCAACTGTGGGAAAATTTTCTGGCAAGCAGCGGTGTTTATAGATGCCACAAACGACAAGTGGGAGCTACCATCTTGTAACTCCTTGATATCACTGGCGTAATGACCACGGGTATTTCCGGAAATTGTTTCACCCGCAGATCCTATTGATCTAATAGTTACTCCGAAGGGGAACCTTGAATTTCTGTTCTTGACATTTTGTGCCGAGCCGTTCTTTTTCATGAATATCAGCTTGTATTTTTCAGACTTATCTCTTGCACTATTTTTTTGATCAGCAGTGTAATTCACACAGTGGTGTATCAAACTTGCGAAAATCAAATTGATTTTCTTATTTGAATTTTCTACAATCTTGTAGAAAATAGGGATTGGAACTTCCATAAGTTGTTGCTTGAGGGCCCCAGCCTTTTTTTCAAGCTTTGCTTTTTCCTTTTCTAAATACCTTCTATTTGAATTGAATACCTTGAATTTGTGACCATTGGTTTCTTTAAGAAGTGCTTCGATTTCTGCTATTCTGTCATTCATCTCTTGAAGTTCTTTCCGCTTTGCGGAGTTCGGCTCCTTTCCTTTTTTCAAAGCGTCCTGATCAGGGTCTGCTAGCATGAAAATAATATGAACAAAGTAATCGGTAAGCACACAAACATCATTAGTACTGTTCAACATATTAACAACCACCTGGCGAACTAGCGACAGATCTGTAAGAACATCATTACGAATGTGTTTCTGTAGCCCGTACTTCTTTAGTTCAAAAAACATGCATGCTTCACCTTGGACTCCATTGAAGACAGGGAAAACTGAGATATCCGGACGTAGTGAAAAATTTTCTGGTCCCTTCACGGATACTTCAGTCCAAAAATAAACCTTTTCGTTAAAACTATCAAGGATAAGCTTAAGTTTATTTGACATCAATGCATAAAAATTACGTGAAACAGTGCTCTCAGTAAACTTATTGTCAGTCCACGACTCCCCTATAGTGTCATAGAATAAGCCATCGTAACGATGACCGACTTCAGGAACACTCCCCTGATGAAAAATTGACGATGATAAATTTTGATTACAATGTAATGAAAATGTTTCTATCAAATTATCAAAAAAATCATCAGGAAAGGGTTGCCAATCAACCGAAAACTCTCCGTAGTAGCTGTAAATAGCAGCACTAATTGAGCCTTTGGGAAGTGTGGTAGGCACACAGTCCACGTAGAGAGAGTTTTTGGGAGGATCTGGCGCAGGCAAGTTGAGAAAGAGCTTCCATAGCAGCGATGCGAGGTCGGTGGAATTCGGGCCATTTCTTTCTCTCTCAAGATATGCTTCCACTTTCATTTTTCCAATAACACCAGCTCTTAAGTTTTGGTCATCAAGAATGTCACCAAGGTCTAATGATAGACCTTGTGAATTTCTGATTTTGGATTTTATCTCATTTATTGCAGACGCTATTCTCTGTTCGTAAGCTTGGTCGCTCATATTGACATCAAATCATTTACTGGTCTTGTTCTTGGATTATCATTAAATGGCTTGTTAAACAAGAGCAAATTCAGGGAAGGAAACTGGAACTGTAATGAAAGATGAGGAGAAGAGTTTGATACGATGGGGTGCCACACCCACAGTCAGGTATACCGTCCTGATGGTATAACAATAATTGGAAACCAGAAAGTCCAGAGATGGTGGGATTACAAGACCCTTTTTGAGTAATGAGCTTCCACTTGCAGAGTTAAATATAAATAGCATCATAGAATATAGACAAAACTGCAACAAAAATAGATCGCGTTCCCCAAAATATTGTGGTGCCAACCAACTAAGCATTATTCGCAATCTTCATTAGTCCTCGAAACCAACTTAATGTAAAACATTAATTGGATATTATGTTACCGCCAAGTTTTTCAGTTTTTTCAACTTATTTCAGCCTCCCATAAAAACAATTCTCAACCTTCAAACTTATTATTGTCATACAATCAGCAAGCTTCAGCTGCTCCAGAAAGCCTGGCATATTAAGTAAACCATACTTGCAAGTGCAACCAATATATACATGTTCACAGATAATCCAGCAGACATACCGTAAACATGATCCATTGAAATGTTGCAAATCATGAGCGACGAGCACCATTTAATGGGGATCCACAGCAACTTCCAGCTCCCAGCTTCCAGCTAACAACTAACAAACTGGCTTCTATGCCCCTGGTGTATTTCTTGTATTATGAAAGCCTTCGCAAGAATTCGATTTTTCATCTCACAATTTTACATCCTTTTCAGTGTAACTCATAGTAGCTGCTAATCGATATTGAGTGAAGTTAAAGCGAATCTGACAACTCTGTGTAGGGATGATTAGAAGAACTAACATCTATTTGTCCCACATTCTCGCAATACTCTTAGAATATACCCCAGCACATAATTCAAAGATCTTGACAAAGATTTCAAAATGCAAGCTTTCAATAGTTAATCCATTGATAATGATGATTTTAGCACTAGCAATACTGTAAGACATATATCCTCTATGATGCTGTATGTAACGAAATACCCTTCATGTTTCTTACCAATGACGAAATGTTTATCGCAATGCCTCTTTTATTTCCAGTCTCACGTGAGACGGTGAAATGACAACAGAAATGGAAAGGAAGGAAGAGTTGACTTCTTAATCCTATATCGATACTTATCTTCACTCTATCTCTCATTAGATACGTGATAAGAAGATCAGATGTTATCACCGTACTTGGTCTCTTTAACTATCTGATTGAACACACAACTCAAACAAGTGGCTCGTATTCAACAACTTGTTATTAGGCTGAATTAACAGTAATAAATCAAAGAAGGTAAATGTATTAAATGACTAATAATAGTAGGATTCGCTCTTGTCTTCTAATAACAATAAGGAAGACAAATAATAATAAACAATAAAATAATTTAACACGATAAAATGTAAACTGGGGTGATCATATTCGTAGTATGTACGATAGTACACCCAGCAGGATTTCCCTGGCCAAATGGCGTTTGTTGATTGTAAAGCAACTGGAAATGATTTATGGAACGTTTTTCCTCATCAATCTAAACCTCATTTCCGAACGAATAGAATACGAATAATTCAAACCTGAATAGTTGTAAGAATAATGATTTTCCATATCCTATGCACCCCAAGGCGTCTATGGTGTGTGCATTTATAAATGTACATGACGCTCTCACACCATATATTGGTATACCAACAAATAATTACTTCAAACTCAACATGACACAGCGTTTTTGGAGACTTTCCCTGGGTCAGAATTTGGGTAGGAGACTACTTTCTCGTACAATATATAGTGGATTAAAATTTTCTGATTATCTTTTATATCCCATAAGTGCAAATTACAGTTTACGACACCCCAAGGCATTATAATTATATAGCCAACATAACACGACTTGGTATTCAGATCCAAATGAAAAAAGAAAATCCGGAGAGCGTAGTGCTCCTTCTATAGCAGCATTATCGTGACAACAAACGCAGTCAAGACAAGACATTAGAAAAATGATGAACAAGAAACAAGATAGCGAAGATAGGAATTGATAGAAAACAACATTAATAAAACCCAAATAAACACATTAGTAAGTAATATATGGAAAAATGTCTTTAAAAAACGTAAAGAAATTTGTCCAACTTCCGGCAATTTTCTTTAATTTATCACGTGCTGTCACGCGCACCACGTGCTCAACCAGGGCTCAAAACTAAAAGTAAAATAAAAAAGTTTGCCAAAAAAAAAACGTCGGGTCTGCAACATCCCTAACATTATTAAATATCATGATTCAAAGTGTGTATTTATTTAATTGGATGGATGAGTTTATTCAGTTTTTTTTTTTTTTTTTCTTTTAATGTTTGCTTCACCTCGCTTCACTCACTCTTAAAAAAAAAAGTTCAGAAACGAATACAAAATGAAAAAATAAAAAAAGGTATTAAAATAACAAAAGGTATTAAAATAACAATGTCTACCATTAAAAAACCTATATCAACAATAGAATTTGAAAAACAGAGAGAGAAGGGAAAAAAAAAAACCAAAATGTACAGATTGTAATTGAAAAACAAAAGAGTAACTATCATTATTATTATTGTTATTAATATCCAGTAGTTCAAAGATGGAAAAAGAAAATATAAGAATCTGATCAAATCTAATCATTCATTCATTAATTCAACCAATTAATCGAGTTCTTCAGTCATGACAACGTCATCATCTTTCTTTGGAGCTTCAGCTTCCTTGGCAGCTCTGTCAGCGGCAATCTTAGCGGCCATTTCTTGAGCAAACTTGGATTCTTGCTTAGCTCTCTTGGCTTGCTTCTCTTCTTCTTGTTTAGCCAAGTAACGACCTCTAATCAAGTTACCGGTTCTGGCCAATTCTTCGTACTTAGCAATGTATTTAGCCTTGGTGGTGTCGTCACCTTCATCGTACAACCAATCTTCAGTCTTGGTCAACAAGCCTTGCAATTTAGTCTTTTCTTGTTCACTAGCAAATGGAGCGTAGATGTCGTCCAATTTACCACGCAATTCGTAAATGTATTCTTCAAGAGCGTTCTTACGTTCTTCAGTTTCGGAAACCAATTTATCGTTAGCAACCATCTTGAATTCTTCTTCGAAATATTGGTTTCTGAGAGCTTCTGGAAGAGACAAGGTTTGGGCTTCGAGAACCAAGTCATCTTGCTTGACCAACTTCTTGACATCCTTGTATTCTGGTTCGTCATCTTCCTTGGCTTCTGGGTTTTCCACCAATTCTTGAACAATCTTTTCGACAACGGTATAAGCGGCTTCAACAGTGTAGAAACCAGATGGGTCCATTCTCAACTTCAACTTGACGGCAACGGAGTCTTCACCTTCTGGGACCTTGACACCGGTGACCTTCCACTTAGCAATCAATGGGTCAGTACCCTTTGGCAAAGCTTCTGGGTGGGTGTACTTGGCAGAAATTTCAAAGTCCTTAGATCTGTAAAGGGTGATGATCTTGGTGGATGGGTAAGTAGAACCGACTGGGAAAACTTCCATGTGGTCAACGTCTTCTTCATCCTTGTCCCAGAAGTAAGAGACAGAGAATGGGTTGTAGTCTTCAAACTTGAATGGTCTAACTCTAAGGGTTGGGGAGTGGATGGCACAAATGAAAGCGGCACCTCTGGCGATAGCTTCATCTGAGTTCAAAGTCGAGGACAATGGTTTACCAAAGATTTCCACCAATCTGGCCTTGATGGATGGGACTCTGGTACAGCCACCAATGACTTCGACGTTGTCAAGGTCTTCGGTGGTCAAACCAGCAGCCTTCAAAGCAGCTTCGACTGGGACGTGAAGACGGTCCAACAATGGTTGAACGTATTCTTCCAATTCGGATCTTTCCATGGTGGAAGAAACGTCGACGTCATCCATGACGGATTCGATATTGATTGGGGCACTGGTGTTGGCGGACAAGACCTTCTTGACTTTTTCAGCGGCGGTCAAGACTCTGTGGAAAGCCTTTGGGTTGGTGTGGATGTCAATCTTGTACTTGCTCTTGAATTCTTTGGCGAAATGTTCGGTGATGGCGTAATCGAAATCACGGCCACCAAAGTGCTTGTCGGTGGCAGTACCCAAAATCTTCAATTCCCCCTTCTTGATGGCGGCGATGGAGACGGTGTAAGTGGAGTAACCAATGTCGACAAAGGCAATCTTCTTTGGTTCATCAGGGAAGTTGTTCTTGAAGACCCCGTAACCAACGGCAGCGGCGGTGACTTCGTTGACAATTCTGACTGGGTTCAAGCCAGCAATTCTGGAGGCGTCGGCAACGGCTTGACGTTGCTTTTCAGAGTACCAGGCTGGGACGGCGATGACAACATCGGTGATCTTACCCTTGACGGTGTTTTGGGCAACTTCTTTCAAGTTGTTGATGAACATGGCGGACAATTGGGTGGCAGAGAACTCTTTTTGTTCGCCAGCCAATCTGACCTTGGCAGCAACTTCAGAGTCTTTAGCAACCAAAGGGGCGGTGAAGTACTTCTTTTCAATTTCAAAGTCTGGGCTGTCGGCGGACAAACCAATGATTCTGTTCAAGTTACCGACGGTGTTCTTGACGTTAGAGGTTTGTTGGATCTTAGCGTTTTCACCAAGACTTCTGGCCTTAGCGTTGAAACCAACCAAGGTGGCAGTGGAACGGTTACCGATTTCACCAACCACGACATCGATGTTGTTCTTGAAAGCGGCAGCAATCACAGAGTTGTTAGACCCTAAGTCAATACCGAATGGAGCGCTCATTTTTCTATTATTAAGTAATTGGGAAATGAAATAATAATCTGATAGATAATAATAACTTGGACTTCTCACGGAGAATTTTCTTTTTTTTTTTTTCTCTTATTGAAGAAAAATTCTTTTATTTTTTTTTCACCTTCGTTTGGTTGCGCAGCCCTTGGGTGAGGAATTCCAGAAGGTTCCAGCGGCGGTCGAAGGTTCCAGAAGGAGGAGGCAGGGTCTGTGATTACCTAGAGAGACGGGTGATAGAGATATATGGGGGAGGGGGAGATACACAGTGTTCCCAATGATCCTCCCAACCACAGTTTATACAAACCACAGAAGAAGACGAAGACGAAGAAGGGAAGGTGTGGTGTGGTGTGCCCATGTGGATTCTGCATTGCTATGCCTCAACATGCATAAAAAGAGCACAACCCAATAACAATAATAATAATAAGAATAAGAATAATCGTGTTTAGCCCATCGCCCTTTTCCAGCCAGCTCTGAAGTATTGCTTACAATGTATGTAAATGATCTCTCTCTCTCTCTCTCTCTCTCTCTCTCTATGATCCCCCTCCACCCAAAAAAGTATCTTCAAGAGGCGATGGGATCACCCCTCTGACCTCAGGGTAACCCTCCACCATCTTAAACAACAAAAAAAAAAAATTTTACTGCTCTGTCAGAACGGTGCAAACAGGGTGGAAAACTACCATATCTCTCTCTTTCTGGTTGGAAAAAAAAAAAAAAATCAAGAAGTATAGAATAATAATATTGACAATATGGAAGATACCGACGCCGAAAAGAATATTGAGATCTGGAAGATCAAGAAACTTATCAAGCGTTTGGAAAACGCCAGAGGTAACGGTACCTCGATGATCAGTTTGATCATCCCTCCAAAAGGGCAAATCTCGATTTTGAACAAGATGTTGACTGATGAATACGGTACCGCCTCCAATATCAAGTCTCGTGTCAACCGTTTGTCGGTGTTGTCCGCCATCACTTCCACCCAACAAAAGTTGAAGTTATACAACAAGGTCCCACCTAACGGGTTGGTGATTTACTGTGGTGATGTGATCACCGACGAAGGTAAGGAAAAGAAATTGAACATTGATTTCGAGCCATTCAAGCCTATCAACACCTCTTTGTACTTGTGTGACAACAAGTTCCATACCGAAGCCTTAAGTGAATTGTTGGACTCCGATGAAAGATACGGGTTCATCATCATGGACGGTAACGGTGCGTTGTTTGGTACTTTGTCCGGTAACACGAGAGAAATCCTCCACAAGTTCACCGTTGATTTGCCAAAGAAGCATGGTCGTGGTGGTCAATCTGCGTTGCGTTTCAGTCGTTTGAGAGAAGAAAAAAGACACAATTACGTTAGAAAAGTCGCCGAAGTAGCGGTGCAAAATTTCATCACCAACGATAAAATCACCGTCAATGGGTTGGTGTTGGCCGGTTCTGCCGATTTCAAGACCGAATTGTCCAAATCCGATATGTTTGACAACAGATTACAAGCAAGAATCGTCAAGATTGTCGATATCTCTTATGGTGGGGAAAACGGGTTCAACCAAGCTATCGAATTATCGGCAGAAACTTTATCCAACGTCAAGTTCATCCAAGAAAAGAAATTGTTGGACAAATATTACGAAGAAATTGCCCAAGACACTGGTAAATACTGTTATGGTATCGACGATACCCTTAAAGCTTTGGACTTGGGGGCTTGTGAAATCTTGATTGTCCACGAAAACTTGGAAACCGTTAGATACGTGCTCAAAGACGCCGAAGGCGCCGAGGTCATCAGATTCAACGTCCCATCAAGGGAAGGTGAAAAGAAGGAAAACAAGGAATACTTGATGGACAAAAAAACTGACACAGAAATGGAAGTTGTCGACGAACAACCGTTGATCGAATGGTTGGCTGAAAACTACAAGAACTTTGGTGCCACTTTGGAATTCGTTTCCGATAGATCATCCGAAGGGGCCCAATTCGTCAGAGGTTTTGGTGGTGTCGGGGCCTTGTTGCGTTACAAGGTTAACTTTGAACATTTGGGTGATGATGATGATGACGACGATGAATATTATGACAGTGATGACGATATCTATGCCAACAACTAAGTGATTTTGACCTCCCGTATATTACAAATTTCTCTCATACTCATTCGTTTTTCTCTATTAGCCTCATTTTTTTTTCCCTCTTTTGGTGTTGTTTATTTTTGTACTCTTTGAAATAAATGGACTCTTTTGATATACCTCAATGGATTATATGAGTATCTCTTGACAGATTCTACAACACACAATTTAAAAATTTTGTAAGCTTTTGACAAATATCTTTGAAAATTGTATCTCCTACACACACACACACACACCTACTACAAGTCCTAGACAACCAACCGCAATAATATCATTATTATATCATTATTATATCATTATTATATCATTATCATATCATTATTATTCTATTTAAATCAATCGCTGATGACTTTCTGGCGCTAAGAAATCTTGTCAAAGCACATATAATATATATATGTATATATTACCATCATGATATCCCAATAGAATAACTAATGTGGCTGACTTTGTCTGCGAATATTTTATATAAAAAGAAATTCATGTTGTTATTACTGACTATTAAACTTTTTCCCAACGTAAATACTCCTCAACCGTTAAGTCATCTTTTTTCATGATTTCCTGAATGTTAAGGAACAACACTGCAACAGAATACATTACTGAGACCGGCTTTAAAAGAACTTTGATTTTGTGGTGGTACTTAAAGTGAGAAAATTGCTGATTCTGTCGGGTAAACTTGTTTTCAATTCTAACCTTAATCCCACTCATCTCTTTATTGTGCCTCATTAAATTCGCTTTTCTACCTTCAATTTGTCTCTCCGACTCATGGGGATAATAAATATAGCGAGCATTTGCCAATTTGCGTTCTTGAAAATGGCGTCTTGATTACCGAGGAGTCACAATACGCAGCGTCTGCGTAAACCATGGTACCAGGGTAGAAATCCTTTATTTTTTCGTCCATGTTACTCATTTTTTAAAATGTCTGAGATCATGGACCAGACCGGCTACCGGACCTTCAAGGCCGTAAATAATATTATCAGTTCCAAGGAGCACCTGATTCAAACAATAGTTGTTTTTATGGCCGTTGTTTGAAGGTTTGGCATTTTTTTTTTTAGTAGGATCGCGGATCTGGACCACGGTTCCATACAAGAAAAAACACAAATCAGAATAATAATGATACAGCTGCAAATCCTGGCCTTCTTTTTTGAGAACTCTTTTTCTTTCTTCATCAATTTTATAACTATTAACATTCAATAAGTACCCCAATGTATCACTAATGTACAAGGCCAAATGTTTCACATCAGTACTGATGGCTGACATTGATTTACCAAATTTAACTGAGAGATCATAAAATCGATTTGGAATCGCTAATCTCGTAAGCAACATCGCCAAAGCCTCGGGACCTTGCGCTGATATACCGTAGGCACGTCTCACAGAATCATCAAGGTGAAGGAGATCTACCAAGTAGTAGATACCTTCCTTTGTGAATCATGTCTCTCTGATACAACGTGGATCATCCCACATTTCGATATCAACCTTGAACGGAGAATGACGCCATTGTTTGACAAAGGCTCTGTTCACCATTCGCTTCTCCATAGCCGAAACCCTTTCCCTTCTTCTTTCCTTCATTCGTGTTTGCATTTTTCTCTGTAATTTTTTTTTCAACAAATTCTAAAGTACCAGTGATAAGAATTATAGTAATGGTTTTTTTCAAGGCTCTCTTTTTATTGGCGGGGCCCATGTCAACCAAGATGCTTGTGGATGTATTATGGGTAATGACGTATATAGCGGTTTGCAAAACCAAAAAAAAAATTCATTCGTTACTACTTTAAAAACTAAAGAGGGAGGTTTAGCATTTATATTATTCTGCTAGTAAAGCGACTGGAAATATGTAGATAATGTCGTGGGTCGTCAGGCTTTAGCACCGCCTATTCCTCACAGTCAGTATGTTTACTGTCAACAAATACTTGATGTTGAAAAATAAACAAAGTGTTCTTAGACGAGATGCATGCATGAAGGTTAGTAGTAGCAGTGCTGTTTGCTGAAAGTTTGACGATTATTTCACCGATAATATAATATAATATAATATAATATAGTATTGTCATTGCGTATTAATTTCTCAACTATATTTTATCATTCCGTAATTTCTCATTTTTTTCATTCGTTGTTAGAATAAATGAATTCATACTCCCACTTAATGATGTTGGCTAAAATTCATCATCATGGTGAAGGATCAAGTACAATAAATCATTCATCAAAATAGATAGTCCACAACGTTTGAATCAATTTTGCTTTTTATTTATTAAAAACGAATAAAGAAAACATCAACAAGAATGGAAATTTTTTCAACAAAAAAAAAAAAAAAAAAGAAAAAACATTACAAAAGCTTGAATATTAAATATAAACGTTAAAAGAAATTCAAAAAAAAAACCATAAAGTATAGAAAACTTTCTAAAGATTTGAGATGTCAAAAAAAAAAAGTTTGTTCTTCTTCTTTTTTTTTTTCCATTTCCGAGCAAATAATATCAAGAAATCAAAGAAAATGAGATAAATTTCAGAAAAAAAAACACAAAATAAGACAAAAACTAAAGGTATAAGAAAATAATCAAATAAAAAATATAATCAATAAGTTGACAATAAAAGGTCAACACAAAATACTGTTTTGCGTAGCAGCCAACAATAAAAAAAAACAACTAACCAAGCTGAGAAAAGATTATCAAAACAACACTAAAAATCTATTCCATAAGACAATAACCATTAAAAACCATAATCGTAACCAAAAAGATAATAACCCACATGTATAAAAAACCGTTAAACCGTGAGACGCAGACCTAGAACAAAAAAACCAAAGACCAAAAAAGCAATAATAACCCAAGAAACAAGCCCAATAACCGTGAAAAAGACAAATATTAATACCTGAAAGAAATAGGAAAAAATCATCAACATAATAAACTAAATAAAAGGTAATGAGAAAATTATACAGATCCCAAATTAACCAAAGCATAAACTGCAGCTTCTTCTCTAAAATCGAGATTTTTCTTTTTCATATGAGCTCCATTTTCTTCAACACCACCACCACCATTACTACTACTAATACTGCCTTTAGTGTTTTCGCTACTCGACCCTTCAATTGTCGTGACGGTATGAGCGACTCTATTTGCCCCCATGGAAGCCCAATCTTCTTCATCGGTATCAGAATGGTAGCTTGGAGAGGTTGAATTAGAGTTGGTGGTCGACATTGTGGATACCGAAGGTCTGTTGGTAGAACTGGTGTTTGGAGCAAGCGATGAAGATGGAGAAACAATTGGACTTGAATAATGACCAGCAGAAGTAGGTTGTTGAAGATGAGTGGAAATTGTAATCGGCTGAGTCCCCGCGTTGGTGATGGAACTGGAAGGACTCATCAACAAAGGAGAATTGGTAGCATTAGTAATACTGCTGATACTGATTCTTTTTGAAGTGTTACTGCTTGGAGATTTGCCTCTAATAAATGATTCGTTGAATGACTGACGTCTGCCATTTCTGAATTTCATTAATTCATCCAAATTTTCCCCATTCTCGTAGGTCATTTCCAAAGAGCTTGAGCCGTTATTGCCATTGAAAGATCCTAATCTACTTCTAACTTTTGGTTTAGAAACCCCTTTGGCACTGGCATGATGACTGAACAGTGGTCTATTATGACGGATAAATGGCCCCGCCGAGGCATTACCTAACGGAGAAGTAGAATAAATGACTTGCGAGTGACTTCTTGGTTGAATAGCTCCTGGTAACATTGGTTTAATTTCGTGATATTGGAATTTATTATTCAACCCGTCTTCTTCATCGTCACTGCTGAAAACACCATTTTCTTCTTCATCAGAACTTGACATGATTGCGTCGTCATTAGCGGTGGCTGAATTACTAGATTTCAAAAGCTTTTTTGGGTTGTGGAAACTGGAGCGTGGAGATTGTGGTAAACTTGTGGCATGCACGTCGTTTGATTGGTTAGTGATCGATTCACGACGTTTCGACCAACCAAATGCTTCGGAAGGTTTTTTGATACTTGGAGGAGAAGAGCTTTTGGTCAAGTCTCTTCTTGGTGAAGAGGAGTCACGTAAATCTTGAATTTTGTCGAGTTCATCCTCGGCACCTTCATCGTTATCGATAATTTTGTGTGTACTGTTGGGACCCCCCATTTGTAATTGACGTTGTTTGACGGCTTCGGAGCCAATTTTTTTAGCAGCCCACTGGCCCCAGCCGACTTTTTCAAAAATACAGCCGGTTATTGGGTCACCGGAATCCAAGGCAGCGATAATTAATCTTCGTTGTTTTGACAAGGATAAATGGGCAAACCCTGGGATCAAGTTGGCCAAATGTGAGGTTAAATGACGGATTGCTAAAGGACCTTGGGTCAATAATAAGTTGGCTAATTTGTCGGGGGTTACGGCAGAAGCAGCGGCAATGCCGGCAGGAGAAGAGGTTGATAGTTGGCCGTTAGGTCTGGCACCATTTTCGTCATAGTCGTCAATATGGATCGAGTGCTGGCGGGGATGGTGTAAGTCTGGGGGGTTGCTTGAAGGCAATTTTGGTTGGTTGTGTTGTTGTTGTTGTATTGACATGGTTTGTTGTTGTTGTTGTTGTTGTTGGTTATTGATATTGGTTTGATTGTTGTATATTCTACTTGATAAAATCGCAATGTTTTGGTTGGACATTGATATGACCTTTCTTTGCTTCTTCTTGCTTTCTCTTTTTTTTTGCTTTTTTGTTTTTTTTTGGATAGTTTTTGTATTTTCGGAAGGTGATTAATTTTGCGATTAAGTAGAGGATAGTTTTGTTAAGTATTGTGTTGAAAAGAAAAGTTTGGCAAAGATGGTGAAATTTGTGAAATTTTAAAAAGGGGGGGAGGGGAGGAACAAAATTTCAGTTTTTTTTTTTGTGTCAACTTTTGTTGTCAAAAAAAAAAGGTTATGAGGCACGTCGTTAGTGCCTGGCAAATGTATAATGGGAATATCAAAATATCTTGTTTGAAGAGGATTATTTGTGGTAGTTGGCAAACAAGAATTGGTGGTGGTAGTAGTTGTTGTTGTTTTTATTATTATTTTTATAAGTATTAGAATTATTATTATTATTATTATTATTGATTTGCAAGGATGAGAGTGGGTGAGTGAGGGATTAGGTGGCAATTTAAGGATACCGATGTTTTTTTGACAGTGTGAAGTAGCCAGGGCCGTATATATATATGTATATATATATTTTGTAGCGAAGAAAGAGCCGGGGAGAACAGTTATAGAAATACTCTCAGAAGACCAGGAAAAGAACCGTGTAAGAAACTGGATCGATTATATATCACAACGATGGCCAGAGAGAGAGAGGAGATGATCATCGTCGTCTGTCGCTGACGCCTGTCGTTTTGTGCGGTTTTGTTTTTTTTTGCAGCTGATAAGTGCCGATTGTTTCTCATGTCATCATCTTATCTTCTATGATATTATATTATTATATTATATTATATTATACTATATCACATCATATCATACTACACTATCCCATCTCATACTATACTATACTATACTATACTACACTACACACTTGGTACACCCCACCTGTCTACAATATATCAGCCCTCCCCAACAAAACCAACCAACCACCTGAGGATCGCCATTCTAAGACAACGCTAAAAACCTTGCCAGAATATTAATAATAATAATGCCTTTCGTCCTCTCGGTGGTATCATATGAACTAATCAGAAAATAAGCCTATTCTCGCCATTGATTGTCTTTTCCATCATCATCACCACCACCACCAACTCTTCTAATAATAATAATAATAATAATATTTATAATATATTTTATTTTGTTTGGAATAAAATATCAGCTTTAAACCAAACCATAGAGTTCAATATTCCTACCATAATAACCACATAATAATAATAATAATAATGATAATCCTCTCCCATTCCCTCTTAAAACCATCAGGATCTCTCCTCCCAAGTCAAAAAAAATTATACCAGGAATAAAAGAAAAAAAAAAAAAAGAAAAAGAGAAATGTGGTACTTCCCGACTAAAGTACAAAGCTGCATTAATTATGGTTATAATCTAAATTACCCACAACACAATACCAATCAATCGGATCATCTCAAAAAGGTGGTCTGGTCTGGTCTGTCAAATCGTATTATAATTATTCATCCACACACTAAAATTAAAAGCGATCATTCCTGTTTCACTTTCTTTTTTTCTTTTTTTTTTTTTGATTGAAAATACTGTCAAAATTTAAATTAACAGAGTGTCATCCATTCGTCTGTCTGTCTGTCTAATTTTCCATTTAGTCGAGAGAGAGAGAGAGAGACAAAGAGACAAAGAGACAAAGAGAAAGATAGAGGTAATGGCAATTACCATTTTGTAGACATCATCATTAGGGAAAAAAAATACGAATAAGGAGACTGAATGGTTAGTCCATTTGATATGCCTTCCACATCAATGATTATCTCATCCAATAAAAAAAAAAGCTTAATAAAACAATAGGTATTTCATTTATTTAATTATGATTGCCGAGTCAATTTTTCATTTCCATCGACGGTGATCCAAAATATCGGATGATACGAATTTATTGAATTCATTTCCAATCATCCCCGTGTATTCCATTTTTTTTTTTTTTTGTATTTTTAGTGGTCAATCAAAATTGATGCAAATATTTACATGTCTATTTGGTTACTGCATATATTCAATAACAAGTATATATTCTATAAGACGAATTAAAGAATTCTCTCCTTATGGTTATCTTCCGAAGACTCCGTAGATCCCATTTTTTTTTTTTTTCTAATCTCATCAAATGCCTCTATAAAATGGAATAATTAAAATTTTTAGAAAAAAAATATATAAAGGAGATTATTAAAATATACGACCAAACAACAAAAAAAAATATATTCAAAAGAAAAAAAATCTCCAACCATTTTTCAAAATCCAGACCTTGTAAATTCCTCCAACGCCTTCTCAGCAGTGATTCGCTTATTGGCATCATACTCCATCATCTGATTGAATACCTTCTCAAACCACGAAAACCCCTCTTCACCTTGTAATTTTGGTAGTACTTCGTCAATTTCTTTCTTTTCATATTTTGTGAAATTAAAATTCCTAAAGATATCAATCTCTTGCACCCTAGGCCAGCAATGTTCGTCAGGAGTTCCAAACGTTTGGAAAATCGATTGCAATAAAGCAATGTCACTGAAATTCCCCGATTTGTTCAACACCGGTAAACAATCCTTACTTAACAATTGACTAACAATGATTCCAAGAGACCAAATATCCAATTCTGTCCCATAGTCGGTGATTCCCAACACCACTTCAGGGGGCTTGAATACTCCAGAACTGATTTGGGTGAATTTATGACCCGCATCAGGTTCGGCCGATCTAGTGAAATCCAACTCTTTGCAAAGTTCCACCAACGATTCCTGGCGCTTTATTTGATGCTTATCCATATACGAAATCCCAAAATCCGTAATTGCCACCTGCACCTCATCCTCATCATCATCATCAACGGAGATTAAAATATTTTCTGGTTTAATATCTCTATGGATAATCCCATTGTCATGAATGAAGTTTAACCCTTGGAGGATTTGTTTGATGATATTCATTGCCTTGCGGATATCAAGTTTATTGATTCTCTGGTACCGTGGGGCGACAGCAGAAGCTTGACCATAATCATCATCGGTGTAGAAATATTCATCAATGGGGTCCAATGGCGCTTCCTGATTATCCGTTGATAACAATGCGGTGAAATTGGTTCTCATCCGAGAGTTTTTGCGGACATAATCCAACAATGTGAATTGGTAGTAAGGAAGCACGAGGATCTGGTCGTCGTATTTTTTATATTCGTCTATCAACAACGCGACATTATTATTATTATTATTATTACTGGCATGGTCACAATGATTGAGGACCGATTTCAAGTACTTGAGAATAGATAGCTCCACGGTGATAGAATGTGGCGGGACGTTGTAATCGTCGGTGTCGACAATCTTGAGGGCACAAATAGCGTCAGATGGCCCGACGCAGCGGTAGATATTTGAGAAACGACCGCCACCGATTCGTACGCGGGAATGGTATAATTGATCTTTTCCAACCATTGACATATTTTGTTTTTTTATATCTTATTAATTGATCAATTTTTGTTCTAGATATTGATAATGATTGAGTGGGGATATGTTTTATTATTGCTGTTTTGGTAATTTTTTTGTTTTCGGTGATGGTAGCGGGGCACATAATAATGAGTAATAGATGTGAGAGAGAGAGAGAGAGAGATGATGATGATGATGATGAGACGTGAGGGATTGTGTCGAACTCAGTGGGGATAGTAGCAGTTGTTTTGGTAATAAATGTTATTAATATTATTAATATTTGATTGGTGATCATCACCCCGAATGATAATTGGCTAGCATCAACCACATTGATATAGTATTAGAGTTGAAGTGAGTGGCAATTAGTGACCTCATTTGCCATCAATGTTTGAAGGGACAACAACAACAACAACAACAACAACAGAAGGAAGAAGAAGAAGATGAAGAAGAAGAAGAAGAAGGCTCATGCAGGATAACGTACCCCACACACCGCAAGATGTCATGTGAGCGGGAATCATCGCCATCAATTGTTGTTGTGTTGGCGGTTAAGATGATCTGTCTTCTGTCTTCTGTCTCTTATACTTTTACTTACCCCTCAATCAATTTACAAGCGCTTCCCCTCCCACACCCACCCTTTTAAACAAAGGATCCCCTACTATATATATATATATACATATATATACTATCATTCATCTTCAAATCAGAACATACCCAATATTGAAAAATACCTCATTCATCTGAACAACACGGATAATAAGGAACACAGATTTTCAGGGTCTTTTTCTTTTTCTTTTTCTTTTTCTTTTTTTTTTTTTCCATCATGCTCAGTTAATTAGTTTACCTCGAGATTATTGTTGTGGTAATTGTCCAGAGATTAAAAGGGGCGCCTTCTTAATTACAGTATTCCAGCAACAAACATCAATAATAACACATCCAAAGAGCATTCTGTCCACAGAACGAAAAAAAAAAGGTAGACTTGGATGAATGAGGAAATGTAAGGAAAGACGAGGATTTACCAGAATACCTACCCTTTGATACCAATGACCATTACAATAATAATAATCATCGCATAGATTATTATCATGAGATAACCATTTATAATCGGGTGATAAAAGGTGAAAAACTCCGCACAATAAAAAATTTTCTTTTCTTTTTGGCATGTATGATCCCACGGGACGGGTGCATGTATATATGCATCTATCTATCTATCTATCTTTCCACCGCAATCTTTCAAACAATAATGATAACAGTGATGATAATAATAACATGGTAGTACAATAGAGCATAACAATACCTGGGGTCGATACGCGAAGTGTCTCCTCCTTCCTCCTTCGAACAACATGGAGAGGCATTGCTCTATGCCAGCCAGGATTGTCACCCACGCACTACTGCCAGTTTACGTTTGACAGCTTATTCACTGGAAATTATCATATTTTTAAGCGAATGCGGGGTTTTTAGCGGCATTATGAAAATTATTATTTGGTACACTGTGCCATTTTTTGCAAGGATACATACCACCACCAGCAAATAAACCTCAAAAGTATAGGATGCTCCAACCAACACTAGCATAGCACACAGGGGTTGAGTGATATTATACTATATTGTGTGTGTGTGTGTGTGTGGGTGTGGTTGCTCCACTGATATCTGCGGGTGGGTTTTTGTGTGTGTTTGTTGGGCTGTTACTTATGCTTGGACGGTAATTGCTGTGTGGGGAGCAGGGTGTATTTATTATAGTTTATTCTGTGATGTATGTTATTTGGGGATGGCTGATGTTGATTGTTGGTCATTGGGTGTAGATAACAAAATTAATAATTATAATATTATAAAATAATACAATATAATACAACATAATATGATATAATACAACACCAAACAAAATGAAATGGAAAACAGCAACAGAAAAAAAAAGAAGAAAAACGCACTGCCGCATGCCGCTGCAGCACTCTGCCTCCCACCAACCCACCGGGCACAGCAAACCTTAAATCGAGTTTTTTTTTTTTGTGCTTGTTTTATAAAAGCGCACCTCTTTGTCCTCACCATCCATCCCTTATCGTCACCTTTTTTTTTTCAACCGTATCTTCCAGAACAAACAGTATATATAAATATCGATATATTAATTTATTCGTATATTATATATATTACATTACACATCACACAATATATTACACCCATCTGATATGCCCATCTGCCATGACTACCTCCGCTAACCACCCGTATTATCTCCCTCCAATATCTCTGAAAGATAACACCCCTTCATGTCAAACAAGCAACCCAAATACCTTCCCCATCACAAACCCTTCCTCCTCCTCCTCCTCCCCATCATCCCTCGAAGATAATATTCCTCAATCATACTTCTCTGATGACTGTTGTACCATCATTGGCAACTCTTGCTCGTCTTCCACTAGCTCTTCCCCCGGAGACTCCAGCCCTTCCAATGAGTCTTGCTTGTCTTCGTACTCCTCTTGTTCCTCATTAGATTCCCACGACGACGACCTCATATCTTCTTCATCTTCTTTTCCTAAAATCCTTGCCAACGACAAACAATCCTTATCCAACAAGAACAACAACAAATTACTCTCACGTTTGATCAATAATGGCCATAACCATAGTGATTTATCCAACAACTCTTCCGACTCATTATCAACATTCATCCTCAGTGACCCACCATCGCAACAACCAGCCCCATCCGATTTGAAAATTGAAACCTCTAACCACGATCCGCTTCCCCCATCATCAACTACCAACAGTTTACCAATCTCTCCTACCAAAAAATTAAAACCATCGCTAAAATTATCAAGCAGTAATTTACCATCATCCTCCACTCTCCGGAAAAATCTCTTGACCAGATCAAATTCCGTCCCCTTGTTCTCATCTTCGAAAAAAAGCGTCAAATTCCCTGCCAACGATGGTCTTGAGAATATCGTATTCTTCAAAAAAAACGATACCCCCCTCAGTGTCAGTGGAGTGCCATCCAGTGATGATGAAGATTACGATGAAGAAAGCGAAGAGTTCTTTGATAATGACTCGTTCAAATCCGAAGATTTCTTCATATCCCACGGCAAGCATCATACCACTAAACACTTTACAGATAATGACAAGGTGAACTTCTTGTTGGATCATAACGAGAGTAGCGACGATGAAATGTATCATGTACCATCAGTGTCCGAAAGATATTGGAAATTGGTCAGCTCCAACATCAAAGATTTGATCAACAGCTCATCACCCCCTTCGAGAATTGCCAATTTCAATTCTAATGTGCAGGTAGAGAATTTATGCTTGGCCCCAACAAACTTATTGGTGGGTAATATCTTGGTGAAGAATCTTGCATTTGAAAAAATCGTTGGGATTAAATTGACAATTAATAACTGGTCAAGTTTCCAAACTTTGTACGCCCACTACATTGAAAGTTTACACGATAACCAAATCGATCGTTTCCAATTCACCATTGACTTGGACAAATTGGTGGGTAATTCATCGACCAAGAAATTGAATGTCAAGTTTTGCGGGTTTTACCAGTCCAAAGATCATCAATATTGGGATAATAACGGCAATATGAATTACCAAATCAGATTCTCTAGACACGGGTCCTCATCATCATTATCACCTTCTACAGCTCATAAAAATTTCAATCACTCCATCAACCAAATTTCTCGATCCAATATTTCGATGTTGAATGAATTATTATCCAATTCCACAAAATCAAAACCTAAAAACCGTGCCAATATCCCTCATCAAGATGATCCGAGAATCCATAGCAGGTACTTCCCAGAAGATAATATTGATAATTGGTTCAACCATCAAAGCATTATTCTGCAACCATCGTCATCGTTGAATGATCAAGATTATTTAGGCCAAGGCCTGGGTTTCGAAGGGAAGAGTCATAGAAGAGCCTGTTCTTTAGATTTGGATCTTCATAAATATTATCCACAAACCGAAAATTTTGCTTCAATTAATTCTAAAACTTATCGTGATTTGGTTGCCAACTATTGTTTTTATGAATCGAAATAGTGTGTTTATGATGATGAATCTGCACAAATTCCAACAAAGGTGTAATGTGACAGAACCAGATGTTGTACGTATTCTGCTACTTTTATGATGATGAATAATTCCAATTCACCAAAAATACCTCCATCCTTTTTGTTTTACAGGTGTTTTTTTTTTAATTAAGGTGTTTTGATAGCTTCCATTTTTTTTTTTTTTAATATTTGCATGGCATTGATAATGATTAAAAATTACCATCTATTTCCAATAACCATCTGTGTCCAGATCTATGCTCTTTGCCATATTTATAATTTGCTTAATCTTTGGGAACCTATATCTTGCATTATCCTTCTTCTTTTTTTTTTTTCTTCATCTCCTGTGTTAACTATTTTCGAGCTTATGGTTAACACAATGATCCCACATATAAAGTTGCTCATCATATATATTATTTTTCTCTTCAATTAGGGATGCTGCTTTTCTCCATATACATAGTTTACCGATGATGACCCCAGTTTTTTTTGTTTTTTTTTGCTGTTATTGTTATTTTGTCCTTTCAAGCTTCTTTTTTGCTTTTCTTTTTTTTTTTTTTTTGCTTTTATTATTGATTGGGTGGTTTATTGGCATATAAACGGATTTATTTATCAATGATAAACATCATCATTGACTCATTTTTTTTGTTTTCATTTTTTGTGTTCTCCTGGAGGATGATATACATATATTTCCCACACGGTGGGTGTATTGCTAGTTTATTAATTCTTTGTTGTTGTCATTGTTTTTGTTTTTTTTTATGTCTTTGCTATTATATAACTGTCTATTATTTTTATTATACAACCAATATTCTATATCTGTGATATATATGTTGATGTATTTAGATTTCGCAATGTTTATAAAATCAGTGATTATGACTTCAGTGGGTGTAAATTCTGTATTTTATATAATGTATTTTAGCTTAAAGTTAATTCTTATAAGATCAATACCTATTATAGCTTGATGTTTAATAAATACCTACAATATCGATACTTGTAACTTGATGCTTATAAAATGTGGGTTCATAAATTCTTTTCTTATAACTTCAATGCTTATAACCTCTTTGCTAATAACTTTGCTTATAACTTCTTTGTTTATCTTTGCTTATAACTTCTTTGCTCATAACTTCAATGCTTATAACTTCAACGATGCGAATGGTTCCAACAAAAAGGAAAATTACGATAATCAAACATGTAACAAAAGCAAAGAGAAAGCAAAATTAAAAATACTCTGGCTGTAATAGAACGATAATACTAATCTATCAAAAGAATAATAAGAAAAGAAAAAAAAAATTGATCTATATATCGGAAAAATTCATGTTGAAAAATCCTGACAAGATTAGTAGTCTGTCAATGAGAAACACAAAAATATCTAATAAAACTATTAAAAAAACAAAACAAAACAAAACAACTGCTTTTTCATAAACAAGGATTGAAACTGATGAAATAAAAGAAAAGAAAAAAATTAACAATCAAACAACAACTCCATTTTTTTTTTTTTCTAATCAAAACTCATCATATCTCAATCCGAAATACCCATCTGGAGCAGTACTTGGATCTTTCAAACTGGTTTGTCCAATACCCCCATCGACACCAGCATAACTCACAGTATTCCCCCACCAAGTAATATCCTTCTCATGGTATTGCACCGCAAAGAAGATGATGATCCCTGAAAACGCCACCCCGGCATCGAGCGCCGAGGATAAAATGTAGTTATACTTCTCCCACCACGCTTGGTACCGTTTCTTCACGTAATAATTGAAAGCGTAGTTGACGTAAAGTCCTGGAAGGAAGTAACTCAAATTATAAGGGGCGTAATTGAAAAGCCCCCCGATGATCACCGCTGGTTGGAACCATGGGGTAGGTTTCTTATAGAAAACTTTGAACGCAATACACAATAACGAAAGCAAGAACCCGATAAGGAAACAGTAAGGCAAAATAGGATAAAGCTTATCGAACACCCTTTTTGGACCAATGACTCCCCAGAACACCGACGATGAATAATAAGAAGTCTCACTAGGACAAGTAAAATTGTTGGCTTGATCTTCAGTACAGATCCCATCGAGGTGGTTGATTTCCCAATTGATCACCACCAATGAAATGATCACTTGGAAAATCGTTCCTAATAATTGTCCACGGAAAACCGCTCTTGGTGGCACCCTGGAATAATGCGCCATCTTTTGATCGTACATGTATTGTTGGGCTTGTCCGGTGATGTTGAACCCCAAAGCTTTCAAGAACATCAAAGCGTCACCGTTTCCTGGAATAGCGTACCCGATGATCAATTCCACCAAGACTTCTAGTGTGAAGTAGTAACCGGTAATCGCATAAATAAGACAGAATGGGATCACCACCACCGCATTAAGCGCGAGCATCAAGAAAATGCCCCATACCGGGGTGTTAGCAGGATACACTTTGACACAAACAATAGCAAACACTAGCGCCACCAACATGATGATGACAAAACACCAATCAGGCGTCTCTTTGTACCGAGCCATGATTCGCGAATGTGGGTCTTGGAAACTAGAGTAATCGGGAGAGGATCTGAAACTGAAGAATGATTGTCTCAACGATTTGAACGAACTCCAAATCCCTTTACGTTCGGTGAAGAACACATACGGAATCATGAAGGTATAAAGTGCACAATTGGCTCCGGTGGTCAATAAATAACCGGCAGATAAATATGGTGGACCATATTCTTGATACTTAGTATCGTCGAATTTCCCATTGGTGAGGACACTTTGTACGGTGTAAAGCTCCCCAGTATTGGTATAAATGTTATTATCATTGATTGGAAGGTACGCGGTCCAACGGTAATTACTGTAATAAAGCCCAACGATCACAAAGAACCCAATGAACATCCCGATCATCATGTTTAAATAAGTATAGAACGGGAACGCCAATGGCATCCAGTAACCAACGATATTCCAATCGAAACTGGTGATGGGGTTCAACCCAAGACCACTGATCGACCCAGTGATCATTGCCAAGTTGAAATTATCAGGTTTGATCCAGGTCATCCAGTTGAAATACGATAATGCTTGGAACAAGTAATCTGGGACCCACATCCATAAAAATGAGCAACTGAACACGATAAAGAAGAAATGGTACCGGGTGATTTGCCAACCGTTGATGCTTTCGCGTTTTTCTCGTTTCAATAACGCACGATTAAGGGCGAGGGTCGGTAAAATCGTTGGCCAGACCGCTCTAACGGGATAAATAACGATTTTTCTAAGGATCCCTGCGAATCCAAACCCGAACAATTGGGTGGCGAGAGATAATAAGATCTGGTACCCGATGGTGATCCAGGTATTACCGTAATACACGTCCAATTTCTCGACGTAAAAGTTGTAACCGACATACATGCCCCCAATGGCGATATCAAACATCACCGTGGCGAACATTTGTTCTTTATAAGTCCAGGGACCAGGGTTCAACGAGTGCCTGGTGCCAAATATCGTGAATCCCCAATCTGGTAATGTATGTTGAAGCAATAACCCACATGGGTACATCAACATTTGACAAACCGACGCAGAAATGTAAAGCGACGGTTGTCTACGGGAGAAAATCTCATTGACCCCGGTACCAACAATACACCAAATGAACCCCATGAAGTAAGCTCTGATGGTTTCACAAGGGATTTCTGGGTCGTCAATTGGTGAGGAAATTGCCCGGACTTCAGGGTACGGTGAATGATAATGGTTCAATACCGCGTACATTCTGACGTGAAAATCCCAATCCATATAGCTCATGTTTAATTGTTCAGTGTATCCGTGGGAAATTCTCCCGATGAATTCGTAATCTTGGAACGGGAAATTAGGATCGTCTTCGTGATCGCGGAGACATTGTTGTAAGATCTTTAATCCATCGGATAATTGTAACTCCTGGGTTTTCTGGTAAAGGTACTCGATATCCGCAATGGTGCTGTCTTCACTTAATACATCGGCGTGTCCTAATTTTGCATATAGTAATTGCTTGTACTCGTTGCTAAATTGGGAGGTCTCTTGGGTGAGTTCTTGCTTGATTGCAAGTTTCTCTTCGGCCATTTTTTTTTCCTCTCCAACTTTTAGAGGAGGCTGTATATTGTTTATTTTAGGAAACAAAGGGATTATTTTTCTTCACTATTTGTGTAGTGACTAAATGAATGGTTTGGAGTATATTACACACATATATAATAGACTAATTTTAAGACGATCGTATTCCCAGTAATTTACACCCTATATAATTTGCACCCATTCATGCAGCCATGAATAAGCCATAATAGAGGAAAAAAAAAAAAGCCCCATGACAGTGGAAAAAAAAAAAGAAAAGGAGTACAAAAAGCAGTAGCAATATTACTTGGGGAGTATGGATTATAGATTATATCGATTTGTGATTAGATATTGTTGAAAGAATGAAAACGGTGGACCCCATTCCCCTCTCGCTCGCTCCACCACTGATGGTTTTGATATCATAAAGCTCAATTTAAAGTTTACGAGGACGCGCGTTTTTTTTTTTTTTTTTTTTTTTTTTCCCCAACAGCTTCAGGAAATGTGTTTCAATCGGTTATTGTGAACATTATTGGATAATATAATTATTATTATTGTCGTTTTCATTATTTAGGATCCTCAAAAAAAATTTAAAAAATTTATAAAAAAGGTTGTGGTGCTGTGCCATAATAATTTAATTACGCCTGTGGTTAACGGTTGTTTGATATTCTTGGCATTAGACAACCGATATCGCACACGTAACGTACTTGGCAAATTCCACTAAAAGTTTTTTTTTTTTCCCTACAGCGAAAATCCAAGGCTAATATGCGTCATTTCTCAATAAAGATATTACTATTATTATTATTATTATTCTCAAAGAAAACCATCCCAGTGATGACAATCCTTTGTAAAAAAAAAAAAAAAAAAACTCCCTCCCATCTCTTTTTAAGATCAATAATTTATCGTGGTTGGATTTCAATAATCACCTACCGGCTGTGCTAATGTTGCAATTTTCAATGTATATATATATATGGCCGGCTGTACATTTACCATAAATATAAGGCTGCACTATTAATTAAAATCGGTAGTGAAAAATGACAAATATGTATACTGTTGTCCCATACTCTAACAATTAATTCCCTTGCATTCTCCCTCTCTCACTAATTAAGTGATATTTTTTCCTCAAGTCAATGATGATGTACAGAAAGGACAGTGAGGGAGGAGGGGGATCGAGGCATTTGACATTTTTAGTTATTCGGGGGCCAGCCAGTACATGAGAATATCATAAACCATTGCAAACAATCAAATTGATTTTTGCAAAGAAATCAGATAGATATCCCCCTCCCCCCGGAATACTGATGAATCCTGTAATGTTGTTGATCAATTCCCCCTAGGAACTGACACAATTGGGCATGGGTAATTTTGTTGACCCACCTCTATTATTTCCAGTGGGGGGTTTATAAATATCAATCATAGTTTGTTTTTGTTTGTCGTCATTATAGTACTGAGAGGTATGCACTATTCACAAAATCAACAACCAATCAATATTGAAAAAAGAAAAATGAAAAGATATAATAATAATACATGTAGCAGAAAATATATAAAGACACCCATACCATATTCAAATAATCATTATTCAAAAGAAAACTATACAATATTCAATAATCATTGAGAAAAAAAAATAAAAAAAAAAAAAAAACTCCACCCATATGTCATCACTAAAAGAAACCATCGTACATACAAGAGATCCATCCTCCCACTTTTGTTTCTTCGGGCTTCAAAAGAAAAACGCGGTCTTTGCTTTTCACCTAAAGAAACCAAACAAGAATAACATCACCACAACAATGAATAACATCACATCAGCAAATAGAAACACCATGGAGAACAACTCTTTACACGAATGTATCCCAATGACTGGAGGGTTTTTTTTTTCCAACGTCCCGTTTTTATCATTGACAGAAATCGAACCACCATTTTTCAATCCCGATGAGGTCAATCCAGAAGCAGACGAAGACGTAATGGTGAAAATACCACCATTCCTTTGGGATTTCTTTATCCCACCTCGACGATGTTTTCCCATGGTCAGACTAGACCTCGATCGTGAATGATGTCGTGAGAATGATTCTTGGATGATTTTATTCCGTGGGGATTGATGCAGTTTCTGCAATGATGATGATGTTGATGCTGATGTTGATGTTGAGGTAGGTATTTGTTGTGGCTCTCCTGAAAGGGTCTTCCGTTTATCATCCAAAGATGGTTTCTTTCCAAGAACTTTTTTATAAACTGCGGTCCCTGCTGATACCATCGCGGTTCCAGCAGCAAATACCATGTCGCCTGGAGCCAGAATCACGGTGACAGACGCCAGTCGCAGGGCTTGGATCACCCCGATACGTTTTTTATCGCCGGTTTTCTGATCCATATTTTTTTTGATTAAGGAACGAATTAACAGGAATGATAACAATTGAGATATAAAGGAAGACCAGATATGACTCCAATGATATTCACAGTTGATCAAATGATTCCCGCTTGGTAGGTAGTCAAATAAAAAAAAAAAAAAATGCCAAACAACTTGATATGATAATTCCTGATTTGATAAATGAAGAGTTCATACATATAACCTCAAAAACTGCAAATAGCTCCAATTAAATAATAATGTCACCTTTGTGAGCACACATTAATTAAAAGAAGAAAAAAAACAACAGCAAATAACTCCAGATTGATGAAGATGCATATAATTTCCCCCCTTTTATATATATATATATATATATTATTGATCGTGATAGATGGATATAATCATTAACGACAAAATAAAATAAAATAACACATTCAGAACGCCGCCGCCTTCTCCACAATGTTTGCTTTTTATAAAAAAACACAAAATCACATTATTAAAGAAGACCCCTTGGATTGTTTTCCCCCTGCTTTTCTTTTTTTCTCAAAGCGTTCAATTGCTATTCGGAGATAGCTTTCATTAGTCTGGATCCGTGTGCGCAAAGACCGCCACCCAAGGGTTTACAAAATTGTGTCAAAAGAAAACTAATGATATTATTATTATTATTAATAATAATAGATTTACGTTTCTTTTTTTTGTTTTGGAGGGTTTTGCTGGTCAATTAGAGTATTCAATTATTAATGGGATATGTTATTCCAAATGGTGCAACGGAACTAGATTGTCCTTTTCATAGAGAATTCATGCAGATAGATCCCAAGAGATAAATAATCAGGAGGTCAGTGTCAGTCAGTCCACTGTGGTTACCGACATGTATGATTGGGATTGTTTTTTTTAAAGATCATAAATGACTAAGTTTTTTTTTCACCATGTGCTAGCCTTTTGGTTGTAACCTCTGCTTATTATGCATTCTTCTAAGAATGACTCTTACCACAATACTACTAAAAGACTAAAAGACGCTCATAATAATAATAAATCCCATAAACTCATTTGTCATTTTTAATCTCAACTATTACCTACACCCAACAAAGAGAAAAGAGGAAAAGATGGCTCATTTATGTAACTTTATATAAACATACATATATATATATATATGACAAAAAAAAAATGATAATCATCATTAATGTCCAAATGAGAGACTTTGAGAGAAAAAAAAAAAAAAAAAAAAAAAATTTAATTAATATATTCACCATCCCTTCCAATAACTTCAAACTTTTTCAATCGTACCTCTTTTAATTCCTTCATTTCAATTCGGTAATATCACCAGATTCCGAGGCGTTCAAGCCCATGACATTCAAGAATAAGTTCAAATTACCCAACTTCTTAATAGATTCTTCTTTGAAACTAGCATCTTGACCCAACTTCTTGGCGAATTCAACACATTCAAACACTTTTTCTCTAACTTCGTCAACAATAATTCTTTGATGTTGTAATTTACCAGCAAGGGCCAATGAAGCCAAGAAATGCCATATGTATGAGTCATCAAATGCAGTCTTCTTGACCACCGTACTCTTATCTTGACCATATTCTTTAATCCAAGAGATCTCGTCGTTGATGTATAACTGTTTTGGGAACACGTTGATCAATTTACTGATCAAATTATTGAACAATTTATCGTAGACGTTGGTCCAAATGATCAAATCACTGCTCATAATGTTGATGTCTTGTCTAATCAATTCAATCTTGGACACCAAAATGGTGATCAAGGTCAAACCAATCTTGTTTGGTAATAATTTGACCAAACCATTATAATTGATCAAAGTGATGATCAACTTGACAATTTCGTTGAATTTCAAATCGTTGGAAATGAAGGCAATGATAAACTTCAAAATCAAATTAGAAAACAACTCCACTTTCTTATCAATCTTTGATCTGTCAGCCTCGGTCTGGGCATAATAATACTCATACGATGATTCATCAAGCAATTTCAAAAGAGAGATTTTCTTGAAGAAATTTTCAATCATTTTCAGTTTTTGATCGCTGGAGAAATATCTCAAAAGTCTTGGGAATAATTTGATCCCCTTTTCATAATTCAAATAAGAAACAAAGATATTTTCTTTCAATTCATCGATTTTACCGGATATTCTTTCACCATCTTCGTTAACCACCTCGGTGGAAATGTAAAGGGAGTTCCATAATTCGGTAGCGTCGATTTGTTCATGGTTCTTTTCTTGAGATTCCAATTTCAACACATTTTCATAAGTTTTCTCCAAACAATTCAAAATAATTTTCTTACTCAAATGCACATTGGCAATATTTTTATCGTCAAAATTAACCAACATGCTGTTGACCATGGCATTACCATCGGCACTTTCCGCACTATCTTTGATTTCTTTCTTGAGGATTTCTAATTGTTTTCTAGGAGTCTTACCACTACCAAAACTGATTTTACCCAAAGAACCTTCCTTCAGGTATTGCGAGTTCTTTGGTCTTTCTTTGGCAACGGTAACCGCTTTACTAACTTGTTGTTGCATTCTTTGCAAAGCAACATCGGCTCTCTTGTGTTTACCACCCAATCTGTGACCAGAATGTTCCAAATAATACTTGGCAATGGAATTCAAAGAACCATCGTGGGTATTTTGAGACCGAATGGCCTTGAAAATTTGGAAATAGAAATCTTCATTATATGGATCATCGGTGACAATTTGAGAGATTTGGAATCTGGTGACGAAATCGCGATCTCTTGGGGTCATGATATTACTATATTTAATGATTTTTTCGAGTTTCTTCCCCTTGATATTCAATTTTTCCTCCTCTTCTGGAGTCAAGGCAACTGGCGGTTTGTTTTCAAATTTACGGAAATTGTGATTATTGCCGTCTTGTTGTCTTTGATGATTTTCCTGGTTATTGAAAAAAGCTGGGTTCGAATCATTGAAATTTTGGTGGTTTTGAGGAATAGGATGCTGAGGATGGGTTGGTGGATTCGAGCCAAGAAGTGGGAACTGGTTCAAGTCAAGTTCTTTAGATTGACCCTTTTGGTGCGCTGGTGGTGGTGGTGGTGGTGGCACAGAAGATTGGCCCACAGCAAGAGGTCCTTGTGTTTGTTGAGGAGGAGGAGGTGGTGGTGGAGCAGCAGCAGAAGCAGCAGCCGCAGATTGATGGGCCCCCATTGATGATGGTTGGTTATACATATAGTTTTGGTTATTTGGCATTGGAGGAGCAAACCCACCAGGTGGTGGTGGACCCCCCATCATTGGAGGAGGAGCAAACCCGCCAGATTGGTTAGGGTACCCTCCATACCCGTTGAAGTTAAATCCTGGAGGAGGAGGAGCACCGTAACCGTAAGGAGTTGGCGGATACATTCCTTGAGGATGAGGCATCATTGGTTGTTGTGGTTGCTGTTGATACTGACCGGCTGCACCACCGCTGTTACCTCCTGTGGAAAAGCCCGCTTCGAGTTCTTCTAACGACAAAACTTTTTTCGATGGTTGTTGAGGTTGGGTGTCCCACAAAGAGTCCAAAGGTTTCAATCCGTCGTCATCTTCACTTTGTACCATATGATGATGATTCTTAGTGGCATTGTTTACTGCTTGGGCATAAGAAACTTGGGGATCAACCTTGCTGGCAGCAGCAGACGATTGAGATCCGAAATTGAAGTCTTTGCCAATGGCACTCATATCACCGCCAAAAGTCTCATCGTTGAACTGATCGTTTCCTTCCAATTCTTCACCAAACCCTTCATAAGTGTCTTGGAAATCAATGGTCTCTGCATCCTTTGGCAAGTTTGAATTAAAGCCAAAGAAAGACATTGTTCCACTGTTGTTTATTTCTGTCTATCTTCTCCTTCTTGGTTATTCCGATATAGGAATCGATGGGATAATCGTTAGACCGATAATAATGCTTTTATCAGTTGGATATTTTGCCCTGCTGGTGTGACGGGGTAGTAATTTTTTCTTCTTGTTTTTGTCGAGATTTTTTGGAGGAGGAGAGAGCTTGTGGGTGTGTGGGTGTAATACCCGGCCATCGTAATCAGCTATCTCTGAGTGTCTGGGTGTGCTGCCGATAACCGGTGATGGATGCTGATTTATTATCATTATTATTATCATTATTGATATTGTTATTCAGTATATATTGTTATCTCCTGCTTTATTATTAGTGTTGGGATATATGTAATTCCTAAAAGATTGTAGATTGTAGATTGTAGCATCTGACCACGTTGTGAAAAAATAATAGTGTTAGCATGATACCAAATAAAGATATGATATTTTAGATTGCTGGACCAAGACTTCCTTTTTATGGAACACTAGCATTTACAATAAATACGGTTTACGCCAACCCTCCAGCCTCATGGGTGTTCCAATCATTGGGGGTCTTGGAAGTTGTCGTGCGTTAACCTGTATTGTCTAGGTAGGCAGGCATTTGACAGCCAACGATAATAACCCCCCCATCTTTTACAACAAGACGAGGAGGCAAATAAGAGGCAATCAATATTATATATTAAACAACAATTGGTACCCAACAGTTATGAAGAACAATAGTTAATGGGGGGCGTATAATTGCGGTTTTTTGTTTTTGTTGTTGTTTTTGTATGGTGCAAATCGTCGCAGTTACCAGAATCCAGGCATCCTGCACTTGCGTGGGAACCGCATCGCAATGCATACAACATAATTTCAGGGTCCACCATAAACAATAATAATAACCACGATTAGTATTTATATATATATATATATATATAGTAATACGTCTCGATCTAAAATAGTTCTGCTCATTATTCTATTAATTTGTTTCTATTTCCCAAAAAAAAAAAAAAAAAATCTTCTGTTGGATTTTTACAGTAATTGTTATTCTCCAAATCCCATCTTTCTTTTCTCTAATGAAATTCTCTACCATCATCATTACTCTTGCCTCGTATCTGTTGTTTACAGAAGTCCACGCTGCCCCAGTGTTATCTCCTAATATCTCCCCGTCCTCTAAATTACTATCAAAGCGCGAACCTGGTAGCTCCCTTGCCTCTGAAATCGAAGCATTAGAAGAATCTGAGTTGAAACAATCAAGATTGAAATCAGAAAACGCCAACAACAAGAACAGTGGTTCCAAAAAAGGGTCTTCGTCCTCTACTTCCAAAGAAGGATATTCATCCTCTAGTTCCAAAGAGAGTGACAGCAAGTCAAAATCATCATCATCATCTTCTTCTTCTTCTTCTTCAAGTAATGATGGTAGTATCAAGGCATCATCTTCTTCAAGCAGTGACGGCAGTATCATCAAGACAAAGACAAAATCTCTGAGCGTGGCGAAACTTCCAGCAGCCGCAGAAGTGGCGGTGGCCGAAGAAGGTCCTAGTGCTTTGAACTCTCTTAACATCGCCATCAACGGAGGGATTTTGGGGATCACTGCTGCGGGATATATTGCTGATAGAAAAGAAGCTGAAGAAGAGAAGGAAAAGTACGAAAAAGAACACGGGACTAGTTCTTCATCCACTAGTTCTTCTGCAACCAGCTCTGCAACCAGCTCTGCAACTAGCTCTGCAATTGATGGTGCTTTAACTGCCACTTATTCCTCGGCTTCAATCGCCACTTCAGCTATCAGTACCCTTTGAAATTATTATTAGATAATGTTTGTTGTGGTATACTCGGATTTTCCTAATCCACGCTAGATTTTTTTTTTTTTTTTTTTTAGTTCTCCTCTTTTTTTTGTTCACCATTTTATATAAAGCAATTTACAGTTTCAATTTCTCCATAAAATACAGTGATGTAGATCCCAATGAATTAATATAATATGATACTACATAAGGATCCTTTCCAAACAAAATAATCATTAAAAAAAAATAACATCGTCGTACATTAAGACCCAAAACTAGCGAAAACTTGAAAAAAAAAAAAAAAAAAGAAAAGAAAAGAAAAGTAACTAAAATATATAAAGTACATCCACCATGAATAAAGGATAACTTCCCAACTATCTCTTGAGACTCCGACGACAACAGAATGGAATTTGTGAGACCAATCAGCTGGTCTCCTTTTGATACATTTTTTTTTTTTTTTCCATAATTATAGAAACACACTCTATATGGAAAGTATCCTGTCATTATAAAAACGGCATACATACATACATACTTTTCAGGCCATACTGGTCACAAAAGCCTCCCCCCTCAATATCATAGTAGTTATGAGAATTCGTAGCAGTGTGGAGATGGAGAATGAGATTTTCCATTAATTGAAATTTTCAAATCTCCTAACTCTCTCCATTGCCGAAGCTTCTTTCCGTAATACGAACTCCATCATTGCTTCTTCACAAAGTCCATCCAAACGCAATGTCGCGCCATCAACCACTGCCTTCCCCATTAATTGGAATTCCTTGGCAATTTTTTCCACTTCGGTCATATCTGGCTCAAAGCGATTTAAGTATTCCCTAGCCTCTATCAAGGTTTTCTTAATATTATAGAAAATCTTAAAGTTTCTCCAATATTCAAGACTTCGTGACTTGCTTTGCAGCTTCTTAAACTGTTGCAATTTTTCCGTCAATTGAAATTTCCCGGTATCATTCATCCCCTTGACCTCTTCAAGATCTTCCATGTTGGCCATGGCAAATAAAAAATCCAAATCTATCTCGTTGTAAGTTTGTGATTCCAAGAATTTCAAAAATTGACCTTGCCAGTTTTCCAATACCACGTCACTGAAGTTCTCAAACACGTCTAAAGTCCGGAACTTCAACGAATTAAACTTATCCACGAGCACTTGAACCCCTGTAGGAATTAAATCTTGGAATGTCGCCGCTTGTTGCGAAATTATCACTCGAGTTTTCTGGATTTGGGCATCAAGCGCCGGCTTTTCAATTCTCATGATTTGCTTGCGATCAAAGTTTCTCACCGTGATTCTTTTCAATAAATCAGATTGCACCAAAAAATGCTCCGGATCAGGATTGTCGGTGGCTTTCCAAAATCTTGCTCTATTGATATTCCCAAAAGATGGTTTCACTTTTTTGCCAAGAATGATGCTCCCATCAGGGTTTGCTGATGTACTGTTTACCATCCAATCATTAATATAAGATATTTCTTCCACGAGCCTCAAATAATTCTTATGGCTCAACCCATACGAGTCTTGGGTGTTTTTCCGGTATTTATTCTTGAAATATTTCAATTTGGTGTTGGGTTGGGATTTCGGAGTCTTTAATGAATTTTCATTCACCACCAAGTCTTGGTTGGTAGTAAAGACGTCCACTGAATCAATACTTCGCACCATTTCTTGCAAAGAAAACATGGATTGGGAAACCTCATTCTTCATGTTTGCCAACTCCTGTTGTAAAGTCGGGGTGAACGACTTGGCCATAAACTTTTTTTCATATTCACGATACTCTTTCCAAAACTCTTCAAACATGCTTTCACAGGTATTGTTGATCAGGGTTTGCCAAGATGACACTTTCCCTTCAAGATACATTTTATCTTGCAATAACACCGTTTCTTTCAACTTCTCCAACACCAAATCTTCATCGATGGAAACCAATATCTCCGTAGATATTTGAGTTTCTTCCTCCACCGGATCAAACATTACTAATAAGTCTGAAAGTCTTTGAACTTCTTGATTCGAGGGTCCAGAAGTAAGAAATCCATAATACCTATTAATAAATCTTTGCATACCATTGATGGTGGCAAAGTAAGGCACCGTGAAAAGTTTTTCAAAAATATGGCACTTATGAAGTAACCATGGATGAATATTAGTATCATAAAACTCAGACACCTTCAAAATACACGGCTGGACTGTATGGTGGTCACTGATCCAATAGACACCATTCCCCAATATTCTCGCAACATAATTTCCCATTGGCTTGATACCACGGGTATAGAAAATGTAGAGTTTTGTATGGAGGTGTTTAGAATATATCTCACCAATACCTTGGAAAGTATTGATACACGAGGCGATCCTAGGATAATTGCCAATTTCAATCACCATTATTGAACTAATCTTCTTCATAGTACCATCGAACCACGACCACAAGTAAGGTACAATATTTCTTCGAAGGTACGATTTAAAATTTCCATAGTAAGCAGGAACTTTGACTCGATGGAAATGGTAGACCCATAATTTAGATTCTTGGTATACGACAACATAAATGAAGAGTCGTAGTCTGACATATCCCTTCCATGACTGTTTGCCACAAAACTCAAGCCATTCTTTTGTACCGGGAACAATACAATCATTATAGTAATCGAGGAATTGGGTCAGTAGCCGTGAAATATGCTTGTCTAGCATTTGCGACGCTTTTTCTGAGTATGGTCGTACTTTATGAATGATGAATTTGCTAATATGCGGCTGGGCTCGCTGATAAATATACTGACATGTATTAACCGTCCGATTCACCACAGTGAGACCCCATCTTAAAATCCAAGCTTTTATCTTTATCACCACCTCATGACAATGTAGCCGGTATGAATCTGCCACTTGTTTATTGTAAGGATACGTTGTGCTATTGAATTTGTCCCTTATATAAGGCCATGCGATGTCATTGCTAAAACTTCTCGAGGGCTCGAGAACTTCTTCTTCAACGAATCCCAAAACTTTCCTAGACTGGTGTTGAGCCGCAGCATATACTCCCAAAGTCAGGGTGTCATTTTGGAAAACCAGGTATTGATGTCGTAGGTTTATTATTGGGGAGGTCTGACAAATCCTGGTTTGTAAACCAACAACCTTCGGGGAGTTGATCCACTCATCGATGGTGGCTCTGTTATCTACCACAAGGTTAAGTAAGACGAAGGTGATGATTATCCCCAAAAACCATCGCTTCAATGTGGCAAAAACATTGACCATTTCTTATTGCGCACTTGGTTGTTTTAATGATCTCTGTTGGGAATTGCAATTTTCCTTTTTTTTTTTTTTTGTTAGTTGGTTGTATTTATTTATTTTTTTTTTTTTTTCTTTTGTTGTGTACCGAGAATTCGGTAAGATCATGCGATGCACAAAGGTATTTTTTTTTGCCCAACATGAGCCTTGGCCACATAAACCAAGTGACCTTATGGATTTTGTACAGTAGCAGTGATAAAAGTCCATAACTTTTTATTGGTAGAAATAAACATATATGATAATGATAATAGAAGTTTTCTAAGTAAAAAATAGATCATACTCAATATGACCGCTGTGGAGAATTGAAATAAAACAAAAAAAAAAAACAAAAAAAAAACAAAAACACATCGAAAGGTATTATCAAAGAACATAGTTGTCTTACATCCTCATTGGCCATTCTGGAGTATCATTCCAAGGATCATATCCTCCCCCCACTCTCATTGGCCATCCGTTTTGGAAGATAAAATTCTCAAACCCAGCTAGCTCCGTGAGATCATCCATGCCATCCAAAGGTCCTGGCTCGTAGTAACCCATAGGAAAATTCATCAGCATTGAATTTTGCTGTACTTGGTAATTCTGTTGGTTAGGGAAATTTTCCATATACATCGGAGACTCTATGTAATGGAATACACAGGGGTAACTTTCGGTGACTGCTGGACAAAGGTAATTGCGTGGGTCCAACACCTGATAGTGTTTAATGATATCGTCCACGCGGATGCTCTTGATGATGTGGTCTTTAACTTCTCTATCAACTTGATGGCTAGGGAGATGTCTTTTGAAATTATCGAGTCGGTTAAAAAACCTGTTGCAGAGTGGGCATTTGATCTTCTCAACGTGGAAAGTCTGAATATGTCTCTTTATATCTGACTTTGACTTTTTCACATCACCACAGTCTAGGCATCTGAATGATTTGGCCATTTTATCTAAGGGAGTTTTAGGAAAAAAAAAAAAAAAAAAAAGAAGTGAAGAAAGAGTGAGCAGCAGTAAGTTATTATCGGGAATTAGGCGGGCAGCAAAGATATTATGAGGTAAATCACCAACTAAATGTTGTTTCTTTTTCTTTTTCTTTTTAGTGAGATGATATCTGAGGAAAAGTTATATGTCTTTTTTTTTTTTTTTTTCAATATCATATAATAATGAAACAAAAAAACAACAACAGAGAAGGCTCATTTTGTATAATTTTAGCTATTTGGCTATCAATTTATAACACCTCTCACAACTCATTCATCACCTTAAACCCTTCCTTTTTTTTTTTTCTTTTTTTTCATTTCAATATATTTGATTTCTCTTTTCTTGATATCATAATTATTTTCAGGGAAAACACCTTTGAAGAATTTTTCACTACACTAGTGATGTCAAATATCTCAAACACCGTTGAGGCAGGCGGTTATGGTTATCTTGTAGACCTGTCAGAAATGGGATCCGGATCCATTAAGAGATGGGGAGGGGGGGCTTTTTTTTTCAGGAGATTTTATTTGTGTTATACATTCTGAGCATGGTCTCGGTAATTAATTGGGCTGGATTATCTTATTATTAATGATTGTCGATGTATTTTGGGGGTATATCTTCCAATTTCATTCTCTGTTTTATTGTATTTAATAATTATTTGTTTTTCTTTTTTTTTTTTTCTTTAGGCGATGTCCCTGTGGCGTAGCTGAAACATCTGTCAAATGTATCGATTTTTTCTTAAGGATGATGGAGTGGCAGTACGTACTGCTTGCTACCCTTATTCTCCCCAATCCAATCCAATCCAATCCAATCTAATCCAATCCATCAATCTAATAATAAACCTCGGGGACATACATGTCTTGATATACGGTAGAGCGCGCCCTAACTAACTAACTAACTAACTTCTGAGTACGGTTTTTCTTTTTTTAGTGGGGGTGGTTGGTTGGTTGGTTGGTTGGTTGGTCAGAAGAGGGTTGGTTAATTGGAGGGTTGTCACCTCACAAAGGGCATCACCAGGAGACATCTGGGAAGAAAAAACTCGCCTTGTGAACCACGCCACGGGGAGAAACTTTGTAAGTTTTTATGATTATTTAATAGTATATTTTTGGGAGAATTTGTGATTGAAAAAAATCGGGACAATTTTTCTCAAAGGAACGCTTTTTTGTGGAACCACACCTTCCGAGGAGAGAGAGAGAGAGAGAGAGAGAAAGAGGGAGAGGAGGGAGAGGGGGAGTGCCACAAAAAGTACACCGTCGATTCCTTGTCTAAATTGAGTGTTCCATATTATACATATATAGATGAATAATTTCCAAAAAATAATTTCAAGTTTTACAGGAAATGCTTGACATAAACTGATATAAAGGTATTCTAGAATAATAATCACACAATGCTATTAACAACACAAGCCTTGATGAGAGTTTCGATAATGTCTAAAATAATTTTGATAAGAAGTAAAAGCAAATGAAATAATAGCAATATATAAATAACACATGGGAATCTGGGATCAAGCGATGTGAGAAGCTCATTGAGATATTCAGAATCGTGTGATGAAATAAAGCGAGAAAGCAGTCATATAAAAAAAAGAAAAAAACACAGAGCAAAAGAAAGAAAAAGAAAAATAAAAAACAAGAGCAGAATTTATATATATTATAGCTGAAGTCACCAATATTAACCTTCCAAGTAGTAAATACAAAAAAAAAAAAAAAATCAAAAAAACAACAGAAAAAAGAAGGTAATATGATGCCAATTGAAAGAATTTGATTGCAACAACACCCATTTTCAAATTGAAACCAAATAATTAACAAAACCAAAGAAAACCAGCACAAAAGAAAGAAAGAAAGAAAGAAAGAAAGAAAGAAAGAAAGAAATAAGAAAGAAGGAAAGAAAGAAAGAATCAATGAAAACCAAAAGCAAAGATATGATTATCATCACACAAGTCAATATTACCTGGGGATTTTTTTTTTTTTTTTTTTTTTCGTATAATAATTCACAGTAACCAATTAGTGGGAGCATTGCCAACTCCAGACATCCTTGAAACAAAATTGTTGTTGATATTGGTATGTTGAGGAGACAGGAAATTTTGGTTTTGCAATGCATCTGAATAAAGGGATGCTGAAGGGATTTTGATATTACTGTCTTCGATCTTTATACCGGTATCCCCGATCTTTATACCAGTGTCCTCGATTTTTATAGTAGTGGCGTCCATTGCTGCAATGGAATAGTCCTGATGGAAGTAGGTGTTGTCGGCCACCGATTCCGGGCTTCGTGGATGATTTAGCATGGTGTTTATCAGCGGCAAATTGACTTGTTGACCAAAGTTGGCCATCGAAAACGCGGCCGCGGCCTTATGTTGATCTTTGTAATCCGACGACCAGGTTCTTTGAAGCTGGGGAGTCGAAGATTTGTTGTGTGTGTGCCGATGATGATGAGGATGAGGAAGATGTGATTGGTCGCTATGGATACGTTCGAATGGCGAATCGGTAGTCGAATCGTCGTAAGAATAGGATCGGTAGTAGCTGGTGGGGTTGAAAGTGTCGGCAGGGTTCGTTGACCTTTCTATTGATGAAGGAAAGCTCATGGAGTTTGATCCGAGAGCAGGCAAAGAGTTGTGGTTGACCATTAGAGAGGTAGGATAATAATAAGGGGAATTGGCGTGGGACGGATCGGTTGTGGTTGTGGTTGTGGTAGTTGTAGTGGTATTGGTGTTGGTGTTGGACGAAGGTAGCTGATAAATGTCGGTCTTCTTAGGTCTTCCGCGCTTTTTCTTTTCTGTGAACGGGATCTCGAGGGATTCTCTTTTGACTTTAACCGAGGTGATGATGGCTGGGGAAGGCTGTTTGTTGGGATGGACGTTTTTGTAGTGTCTATTGAAGTTGTCCTTCCTTCTAGTGGCATAGATGCAAAGGTCGCAGGAGAACTGTTTCCTGTCAACACTGTGGTTTTCTCTGACATGTCTTGAGACGTTTTTCACCATTCTGCCACATTGGGGGCATGAATCTCTGGGATCTCTCATGGTTGAAGTATTTTCTTTGTTAATGCTTGACGTGCCTTAAGGGTACGAGAAAAAGCAGTAATTGGGGGGCGGGGATGGGGGGGAAAAAAAAAAAAAAATAAAATAAAAGATAAAAAATAAAAAATAAAAAATAAAAAAGAAAAAAGGAAGAGAGAAAACAAGTTAAATTAGGGGTATTAACGGGAGGAGTGTGAGAGGAATAATAAAAAGCTTAGGAGGAGAAGGAGGAGTGTTTATGTGTATATGTAGTTATATACATACATATATATATATATATATATATCTGATGCTGATGAAAGGGGAACTGAAAGCTCTGATAACATAAGGAAAGGGTGTGTGTGGGTGTGTCAGACACTTAGTTTTCATTTTAAGGGAATGTTTTTTACCAAAGTTAAGTGAGTGAGTGGTGTGGGGTGTGTTAGCGGCAAGGTTTAAGGACGCCACTTAAACTGCTTGCTGTGCACAATATGAATGAATGAATGAATGAATGAATGAATGCGAGTATCTTTCTCGGCCTCCCCCAATAGCAGGTTGCCGATATTGATTGATTATCACCCCACCCCTGTCAAAGTGCCTCCTACCTTCCCTTCCCCAACTGTCCCAGTGTTCTCGGGATGTCCCACCGATGGCCGATGCGTACCACAGCGGTGGCCCCCTCCTCCCAAATGCTCTGTGTGTGTGTGTGTGTGTGTGTGTGTGTGTCGGGTCCTTAATCGATGATTACAGCATCCGGCCATATAACATAATAATATTAGCCTATATTATCCTCCATTTGTCAACCCTCTTACTTAAACATCCTATGCTCAGCTCAGGGGAGTGGTATGTATCGCACACTATACTACCCAGGCCAAGACAAAATAGAACAGACAAAAGCTAGGCACCAATTAATAACAACAACACACCTAATCAACTTGTGTGACGAATAACGCTTCGCATAATAATGATAATAATTAGGGTCTCTGGCTATTCCAGTGCGTCACTCTCACTCACCAGGCGTGAATGAGCCCCCCACCCCAAAAGGCACATGATATTCTTTTTTTTTTTTTTTTTGGTGGCAGGGTAAGATAAGGACTGCTTAGTGTATTATCATTAAATATATTTATTTATTTATTTATTTATTTATTTATTTATTTATTTATTTATTTATTTAGATTACGCAAACGTCTAAGAGTGAATACACACACCTATTTATTAACCGATAAGACCTTTGTCAGATTCAATAGATAGAAAGATACAAATACCCAATCACGTAACAGTAACAGTAACAGTAAGTGTCAGTACAGTACAGCACAGTACAGTACAAATACCTCTAAAAAGTGTCAACGTGACTTCGAAAATCGGGTTACTTTTTGGCGTAGCATGTCTGTCTTGTACAATAACCATAGAATGCCACACAGCACTGCCGGATCCCCTTAGTTTTCGTACTGACCACAATTAAAACGTCGGTGCAAACCTCAACCTTACCCCGAAGTCAGACAAACAACAACAACAACAACAACAACAACAACAACAACAACAACAACACCACACACCTCAATGTCCCCCTCCGCCAATGATCAGAAAATACAGGATGAAAAGTTCCTCGAATACATCTACACCCACCTAAACAAACAGTTGATTCCATCAGCCAACCCCGAGTACGAAAACATGGTGCTCGGGAGGCCATACAACCCAGTGGATCCAGAGTTAGTGGTCAAACGATGCTTGGTCAACGACTACTTAACCTACTTCAATAATGAAATCACCCTTTCCGGTATTATGAAAGACCATGCTGCAAACGAACCAAACTCCCTGACAGAGCTTTCCCTTGCCAAAGATCCCGAGTTTCCAGGACTTGAGGACATGGTGGCGACGATTACTGATTTGCAAAAAGCCTCGAAGTTCCCACAATTATTACAAGATAAGCGCTCCAGGTTCTTAAACAAGTACGTCTTGGGGAAAATGGGTAGAAACTGCTTCTTCGAACCCCCAGTATTTTTCGATTACGGCTTCAACACCATTGTCGGCGATAACTTCTATTGCAATTTTAATTGTGTCTTCCTCGACTGCTCGTTGATCGAGATTGGTGACAACGTCATGCTCGGCCCAGGTGTCAATCTCTTGACTGCCACTCACCCATTATCTTCTGCCGAAAGAAACTTCAAAGGAATCGAGCTCAGTTATCCCATCTATATTGGAGACCAGTGCTGGTTGGGGAGTAACGTAGTTGTGTGCCCAGGAGTTAGGTTGGGAAAGCGATGCGTGGTTGCTGCTGGCGCCGTGGTGACCAAAAGCTTTGATGATGGCTGTTTGTTGGCAGGTGTTCCTGCTAAAGTCATCAGAGTCATCGATGAATCAGAAGATATTGACGAATTTGTTCGCCAGCAAAAGCAAGAGTTGGATAGATTACAGAATATTTAGACATAAATGAGGATTACAGGTTATTTGGGAATAACATAACTGCTTCCTGCGTGCGTTTATCTGTGTAAGAAAAAAAAAAAAAAAGGAAAAAAAATTGTAATTGATGGGGTGGTGGGTGACCAAGAATGAATGTTCTCATTAATATGTTTTTGTAGAAGTGAAGTTATATGTGTTTATAGAACATATATACACACACACACACACACACACACACACATATATATATATATATATATAAATCGACAATAGAGCAATGCTAAGATTCTCTATCCAAAGATCAACTCGGTATTTCTCGACCTCAATACCCCGTCAGCAGCAACATCTCACCGATGTCGCCATCATTGGTGCCGGTCCCGCAGGTCTATCGTTAGCCGCTGCTCTCAAGGCCAACCCAACCACAAAATCTCTTTCAGTTGGCCTCATTGAAGGCTCATCGCTCGACCCTGTAAAGAATTTTTCACAATCTCCACCAGAGAATTTCACTAACAGAGTTAGCTCCATCACCGCCCAGTCGGTAGATTACTTGGAACACATTGGTGCTTGGAAGTTTATTGATCAAGCGAGAATCGAACCATTTGATAATATCGTCGCATACGATGGTCTTTCCAACTCCAGAATAGAGTTTGACAACATGGAAATGGGTACAATGTGTGAAAATATCAACTTGCAAAGTTGTTTGTTGCAAAGAATTGAAGAATTAAACGACCCAACATTGAAAATATGGGATTCTACCAAAGTCACAAATATTGCCAACGATACAGACGATGCCGCCAATGGCTGGCCGGTAATTCAATTGTCCAATGGGGATTCCGTGAAGACTAGACTATTAGTGGGAGCCGACGGTTTCAATTCTCCAGTTAGGAAATTCGCGGCCATTGAGTCTCGGGGCTGGGCGTACGACAGATTTGGGGTGGTTGCCAGTTTGAAATTGAAATACGAGGATTATAGACTGATTGCCTGGCAACGGTTCTTGCCAACCGGTCCGGTTGCCTTGCTTCCTTTACCAGAAAAAAATGCCACCATGGTATGGTCCACCACCCCCGAACTTTCGAAACTTCTTGTTGGGTTGCCAGAAGATGTTTTCATTGCGTTAGCCAATTGTGCCTTTGTGCTACCTCAAGTTGATTTGAATTACTACTACACTCTTGCGCAAAATGAAGAATATGATGAGTTGTTGCTGGACATCAAATGGCGGTTCGAAAACTACACTTCTAAACCAACTATCGACATTGAGGATTTCCCAATTGCGTTGGAATCTGTCATCCCTCAATCGCGTGCCAGATTCCCATTGAAATTATCGCATGCCGATAGTTATGTGAGCAATAGAGTTGCCTTAGTAGGTGATGCTGCCCATACCACCCATCCTTTGGCCGGTCAAGGTTTGAATATGGGTCAAGGAGATGTCAAGTCATTAGTAGAATCGCTTGAACTTGCAATGAAGCGTGGTTTGGATATTGGTAACTTGTTAGCCCTCGAACCATATTGGGCCCAAAGATGGCCAGAAAACCATGTTTTGCTCGGGGTGGTTGACAAATTGCACAAGTTATATAGTATTGACTGGTCACCAGTGGTTGCTGTGAGATCATGGGGGTTGGATGTTGTGAATTCATTGCCAATGTTGAAAGATTTTATGATGAAGCAAGTCTCAGGTAAATAAGACGGCGGTTGTCTTTCAAGATGCATGACGTGGAATGGACAACTTCTTATGTTCCATCGGTTTGCTCTATTAAAGATAGTAATTTAATGAATAGCGTGTATATATAAATATATATATATTTATTTATATATATAAATCTAAATTATGAGTGTAGTTGTTGATTCAGTAGGTCATCAAATGTGAAGTTCAGGCCTCCCAATTATGCTTGAAACGTGACCTGATTCAATTTTTTTTATTCATCTCATCGCAGAAATTGCCTGGTACTACTTTCCTAGTAATAATACACTTCAATTATTTATTTATTTATTTATTTATTCATTCATTCATTTACATCTATTTTAAAAAAAAAAAATATTATCCAAGATGGCTCCAGGGGATTTGAATTTGAAGAAATCATGGAATCCGAAATTGATGAAGAATCAAAAGAAAGTGTGGGAGAAAGAACAGGAAGCGCTCGAAGAACGAAAGAAGATCCAAAGTCGTCAACGGGAGATTCAAGAGGAACGAGAGCGTCAAGAATTACGTCGTCTTCGTCAACAACAACATGGAAAATCATCGTCTTCCAATGATGTGGAACGCATGGATTGGATGTACGAGCATGGAGAGGTTGGTGATGGGTTGAAGAAACCCGGAAACAACGATGCCAATGATGATGAAGATGATGAGAATGAGTACTTGGTGGGGAAGAAGCGGTTGGACGATTTAATCATTAATTCTGATGATAAGAAACAGGTGAACAAGCATAATAGACTAGAAAACACTTTAATGGTAGGGAGACAGCAACAACAGCAGGCTGATGATGTTGGGACGACTAATCTGGGATCCTCTAGCAGGTCCGCAGGCGGGTTATTGGATCAGAAAGAATTAATGAAGTTAGCAAAGGATGATCCAATGGTGAAGATCAAGTATATGAGGCAATTACAACTACAGCAGCAGCAGCAGGAGACGACGAGAAAGCAAAAGGATATAGAAAATAATATATCAAGTGATAAAGATAGACAGTACAATGATAGGCATCGCGATAGGCATTATGAAAACCAAAGATCGACGAGACGTGATGAAGGGTATTCAGATAGAGATAGGTCCAGTAGGGATCGTGATCATCGCCAAGGAAGTGATGGATCAAGGCACGGAGAATCTAGAAAAGATCGCCTTGACAAAGATCGTGATTATCATAGAGGGAAAGATCACTACAGAGATCGTTCGAGTCATAGGAGAGGTCGTGATGATTACCACAGAGATCGCAGCAGTAGTAACAGGGACAATGATCATTATTCTCGATCTAAACGACATGATGATCATCGATACAGATCTCATCATAGAAGTTCTCACAGCCTGAGATCTCATGAAAGTTCCACTAAGAAAGACTTAGAAGGCCAACAGAAAGATAGAGAAAGCGTTGTTGCACTAAACAAATGAAAGGGGTGTTTATAATAGCCGTTGAGTTATTTTTTTGTATTATATATAAATATATAAATATATATATATATTAATATTGTAACATATTGGGAAGCCAAAAATCAGTTACAAATGAAAATGAAAAGCATTTTTTTTTTTTTTTGTCCTAGATAGCTATTGGTTTATTATGATATGCATGTTTGAGGCGGTTAAAGAGACAGTAATCGATTTGTAAAATTGACATTGCTGAAGTTATCCAAAAATTTTCACCTTTTAATGGGAATATATTGAAAACTGACCATCACTACTGTGTAAAATGAGGTTTGGAACTTTTCTTAAATCCCGTGCTTATCAAGGCATACCATACCATACACAGATGGTTAAAATATAATATCTCCGAAAAAAAATAAATATCCTACAAAAGTTTTGCTTTTTTTTTTTTTTTATTTTTTATCCAATATCGCTATTTAATAAACCATATTTATTACTCATAATCATTCTTATTCACAATCCAAAATTAGTCAAGCTTACTTGGATCCCAGTTAGGATGTGACACCCAGTATAAATCATCATGGGTCAATGCCTTGAAATCCTCATCACTCAATTCGAAATCAAATACTTGGAAATTCTCTTCAATTCTTGATGGGGTGACAGACTTAGCCAAAGGAATGAAGCCATGTTGCAATGACCATTTAATCAAGATTTGCCCATTGGTCTTACCGTACTTCTTTGCCAAGGCGGTGATCTCTGGATGGGTGACTCTGATACCTCTGGTTAATGGTGAGTACGCCTGCATGGCAATCCCGTGAGCCTCGCAATAATCAACAATTTCTTTACGTGTCAACCAAGGATTCAATTCGATTTGGTTAACCACTGGATGGAACTTAGGCTCACTATCAAGCAACTCCTTGATATGCTTCACGCCATAGTTCGACACTCCGAATGATCTGACGGCTTGCGGATGTGCGGTCTTATACTCTTCCAAAGCTTTGTACGCCCCAACTCTGTCTTCTGGTGACCCCATTGGCGCATGAAGGAGTACCAAATCAATGTAGCCGATCAACGGATTGACAATCGCAACTCGGTCCTTGATACTCGCGGCGGCTTCAGAGTGGCTGATTCTCTTGGGGGAGATCTTGGTGGTGAAGTAAATATCTTCGCGCTTATGGTTCACTGGGTCTTCTTCAATCCAGTTCTTGATGGCTTTGGCGGCCTCAAGCTCATTGTAGTACGCTTCAGCGGTGTCAATGTGACGATACCCAACTTTCAACGCATGGTACACCGAATCAACAGCATCTTTGGTGTCAACCTTATACACCCCGAACCCGAGCTGTGGAATGGTGGTGCCGTCGCTTAATTTGATTGATGTTTGATGGGACATTAGGTGTGGAAAGATAGTTTGTCTTTGTAAAAAAAAAAATAGACTGAAATTGTTTGATACCACTGAATCAGATTTAAGGCTGCTTCTGAACAAAATGAAATTCGAAGGCGATGGGAGATTATACGTGCGTGCGTACTTACTTACTTATATACGCTCGAGAAGGCGGGTAATTTTCTGCCACAATGTATTGCTATAACCTGCATACATTTGAAAATTGAGAATCCTCAATGTATTTATTCTACGGTAAAATGTAATATTGAATGGAACGCAAGCTAGCTTTAATAGCTAAGTGTGTGTATTAAGGAGCAGCACACTTGAGGATTTTCTGTCTTTCAGTCAACCGAGAATTGGGTATCGTTTCGGTGGAGCTGCCTGTTTGGTAACCTGTCTAGCGGCTTTGATGGCATAATTACCTTTTTAAGGAAAAAACCGCATTGGTTAACGCGAGACTCTGGTTACTAATCAATACGTCGTCTCAAATGGCCCTATCCTGGAAACTATCTATCTGTATTAGTAATGATTATGGCCGCCGCTCTCCGATCTCCGAGGGGGTTATTTTATTTTATTGCAATTGTTCGTAGTCCAAAGTTAGTAAGTGCCGTGCTGCTGGGTGTCCTTGCTAATACTCTCTTTACGCTTTAGCTTATTCGTTATCTAAGGTGTTTGGTATTCCCATCTTTCTTAGACATCTATCTTAATGGAAACTTTACTAAAAAATGATTATGATCAGATAAACTGAAAGTCAAAAACATGTAAAATTAATAATAACTATATATCACCATCCTCTATAATATCATTAGAATCCAAGTCACGTTCACCGATACTACTAATTCTATCTTCGTCTTCTTGTGGGTCGGGCATTTGTTGTTCCATGTAGGCTTTTTCCACCCCCAATAGCGTGGCAATCTCAATATCGTTCCAGCCAAAAAGTCTATCACCAACCTCATCGCCAAAATCACTGCCTTGGCCACTGGAGTTATTCAAGTAAATTACCACTAAAGTATGCACCACCCGATAAAAGTTGACAAATTGCAAGAACCCGGACTCGGAGATCTCATTGGCGATGGTTGGTGAGGATATCTGGGATAAATTGCCAAAAAATGGATGAGAGAGCGCATCGGGAATAAACATTTCGATTTTGCCATTGACAGATTGTAAATTTTGCGGTGAGAACAATAAAGCAGGAGAATGGCGCTCATCATTATTGTAGATCAATGATTGATAAATATCGTAATTCACACTCTTATCAGGGTTATCAATTGGTTTCCTAAGTCTTTTGGCGATTTCGATCTCGGAAAATTTCTCAACCGGATACACCTTATTCAATGCATCTGAGATCTCTAATAATCCTGTTTCTTTCAATAATATCTCGTTAGCAATATTGGTGAGTTGTTCAACTTCCTCAATTATCGCGTCGTTGATTTCGTCGTATTTCAACGAAAGCGTGTTAATGGTCATAATCTTATTCATGATTAAATCCAAACAATTAATTTTGACAATTTTTGCCGATCCGGTCCCCAAAGATTGTACACTATTAGAAATTTGTTGATCCACAAACTCGATTGGTTTATCAATGAGCAAATCAATTAATTTTATCAATAAATCATCTGATAAGTTCATGAAATTAGTGGAGGATCCCAAATTATTGAAATTCTTCAAAATATCCTGGATGCTATTCATATAATCAATCAACCAATCAGGACATTGTAAGTCGCTATCATCTATAGACTGACGCAATAACCCCTTTGATCCATTGACGATATAATTCTGTTTGCTGTGAAGAATACTGAAGGTGCGTTCTTGAAGTAAACTCTGAAGATCGCTAAGGGTATCAATGATCGCACTTTCATCACGGAGTTGTTTGGAAAACATCAATTTGTAAAGATCCAAGCAGTCATAGAGCTTGGAAATGATAGATACATCATTTTGCGAGCGAATGGTTTGTTCCAACCGCAACTTTAAAGGATTATTCAAAACCCCGATAATGTTATTCAAAATGTGGTTTTCAAGATCATTAATATCGATAATCAGTTGATCAATGATAATTTGTGTCTCATTAGCCTCATCTGGCTGGCACAAAAACTCGAGAATTTCTCGCTCACTGACAATCAATGAATGCACTGACGCGAGCATATCCCCAATAAATCTCATTGGGTCATGGATTGCAGAATACATTTGACGTTCATTTTCGCGCACGATATTTTCAAATTCTGCCAAAACGCTCTTGGATTTCGAATCGATGAAATTGTGGATCATTTCTTTGAGGTATTTATTAGACGCAATAATTTCCACAATATCTAATCGTTGGTTGTTATCTGGAGTGTACAAATCTTCTTTGGAGATAGAATTGGTTATGGCGTAAATACAGTTTTTCAATACTTGGAAATCGGCTTTTTTCAACACATTAAGTTCTGATAGGTTTTGCTTGATGAAGAAATTCATATTGTTTAATGCTGTGTCGATCAAAGATTTCATTTCGTTCATGATTCCTAAACCGATTTTTGGATTGTTCATCGATAAGAGTAAATAGCAATTATCATAGATGGTTTTGGTTTTTTGAAAACTTTGGAAATAGTCTTGGGTGTTAGTTTCAATATCTTTAGACGATTGTAACAAGAATTTTTCGTATTCGTTTAATTGGAACTTCTTTTGGAAACTCATGAGAATATGTTTTTTAATCAAGATTTTATCTTTCTGAGCTTTTAAATCCTTCAACACCGAAAGATTGAATTTCTCTGATTGTTTGAAGTTTTTCTCGTTGAATTTGTCCAAAGTGCTCAATTCATCAATGATTTTTTCATTAATTTGGTTCAAATTCTCCACATCTTTATCTAATTTCTTTAGATTGTTATAAATCGGTTCGAATTTCGCCAACATATTGTCACTCCCCAATAATGCTTCATTTTGAATATTTATTTTCAATTTTCTTCTGGATACCGTACCCAATATCCCCGGTTGAATAATTAAATCATAATCCTCGTCAATTTGTGAATCATTCGATGAATTGAGATAATTTTTCGCTTCAAGAAGTTGTAAGCTGGTCTTTATCGTGGTATCGTCAAGATGACTTGATAAAGTCGAGGAGTTATTGAGAATCTTGAAGAGCTTTTCTGAGAGAGTGCTCTTCCTAATATTAGACGATGATGCATAAGCATTTAATGATGGGCTATTAGTGAGTTCTTGTTCTGATTGTCTGATCATATCGATGGAGAGTTTTGCAAACTGATCGGCCAATTGGTTGTTCGATAGCCCTTCCCCAGAGTCAGGTTCTGAAGAACAAGAGTCCGGTGATTTCGCATTGATGCTGGATAATATTGAAAATCGACTACTTAGTCTTTTGGTGAAATCTTCGGTGAACGCTGGGGAAGAGTTGTTAATATTCGATAGTGAGATGTTGGCAGGGGACGCTGGTGCCGGTAGCGACACTGCTTCTGAAGTATCTAGATCATAATCATATATGAAATCCATACTTGTGGGGCTGAAGTTTATGATATTGCTCTTCCTACACCTTTCTTTTGGTCACTAGTGTTCTCAATGGCACGAAGCTCTCCGCCATCACATTGTCAAAATAATTGCCAAATCATTGGGAAAAAAGCCGGGGTGTTACTGCCACCCCCCAACTCTGCCTGCTAAAAGAAAAAAAAAAAAAAAAATCGCACGTGAATTAGCATGTGCCTTAGTAATCATCACAAAATGATACACGTGACCACATCGACGGAGATAACAAAAGCCGGCCATCGACGCATGGATAAGCTGGCGCAACCGAGCGTTCTTCCTCATCGGGCACATTAGCTCCGTTGGTGATGATTGGAAAAAAAAAAAGCAAATTTCCCCATTTAGTCAAATTCCGCGTAAATTACTGCGCGCAGCCTCGGCACAAGGTAAATTTCACCTCTTCCATCATGCACCTTTTCTGCTTATTTATTAGCTTATTTTTATTTCATCTTTTTTTTTTTTTTTTATTTCTGTTTTTCATTCTACTTCTTCTTCTATAATAATCCCTACCTTTGTCGTTGCTTGTATCATATATCTTGTTATTGGACCGATTCCTTTCATTCTTCTTCTTTTTATTTGTTTACATCCATCCAGATTATTCAAGATTCCGCTATAAATGGTGTTTGGCATTCTCAACAAAATCATCAAAGGCTCTGATCCTTCAGAGGAAATCGAAAAGGTCGTTCCTATTTCCGAGTGTGCTGCTGAATGCTCCTCTTGTACTTCCAAGTTCCCATCCTCTATGAAAATCGATACCAATACCCCATTATACAACTCCACCAGCCCGTTCAAACTCCACTGTGTGATCCCAACAGGGAAAGCCGATTGGAACCATTCCGCCACGGACACCAGTGGCTCAGTGGAGCATAGTGTTTCTACATGGGCCAGCAAACAAGGAGAAGCTATTGTTGGAGGGAATGTCAAAGTATCGGTATCAAATCACCCGTTGGACGAAGAATATCCAGCAGATGTCAATGATGTATTGTTATTACCGTACTTTGTCTGGGTGAGGAAAGTATCGGCAGACAATATCGGGAATGTGTTGTCTAAACTAATACCTTTGTTGATTACTGCTACAGAATCAGGATCTACGGAGTTGCCACAAGAGGTGGAAGGTTTCAAGATCGAACCTTCAAATTATAAGGCCTATATTTTCTTATGTTCCCACAAGACCAGGGATAAGAGATGTGGGATCACCGCACCAATCATGAAACGAGAATTCGATAGCAACTTGAGAGAAATGGATCTTTTAAGAGATTTTGGGGATGAAAGGCCTGGGGGAGTTAATGTGGGGTTTATTAACCATGTTGGAGGCCATAAATTTGTCGCTAATTTGCTTATTTACATGAAATCTGGAGAAATGATTTGGATGGCCAGAACCACTCCTGCCAACTGCAAGCCAATCCTTGAAGAAACAATTATGGGAGGCGGGAAAGTTTGGCCCGATAAGGTGAGAATCGTCCAAAAGTCTTGTGCTATCAATTGGTGAGCCTGGAGGTCCTTTTTCGGGGATTATATATTATATATGTATAAATTTCATTGAGAAATATTCTACATCTGCGTTTGTTTTTGTTGTTATTTCAATATTTGTTTTTGTTTGTGATAATAGTATTTTAGTAGAATCATAATTAGAGATTTCAAAGAAAGAAGTAATATTGCCTGCCGTCTTTGAAAGCAGGTAATCTGACTGGTAATTGATCTTGCTGGGAATCCTTTTCGTAAAATTCATAACCCACAACTCCAATGGAATCTCCATAACAGGATGATAATATATCATCACCCTGTCAATATAATTCCAACGCGGCAAATCTCGAAACAACATGGCAAACTCATGAAAAATATGCAAGGCAAGCTGCTGCCGCATTTGAAATGGCCCATCATGATTCACTTTTTTTTTGTGTTTCTTATTGATCATCAACAAAATTGTTGTTTTTTAACTATATATTCATTTCTCAATCCAGGAAAATATGCTCAGGTGTTGACCTTCGACTAGAATCTCCGCATGGCGTTACCATAAGATGTCAACCACATGCTCCTAACATAAACAAACCAAGAATTTTGATGCCATGGAAAAACGAATCTATCATCCAGCGGGGAGTTTCTATTTCAAGGCTATTAAATTGCAATAGAAAATATCAAGAATATCATAATCAGTCACTCCTGAACAATTCAAAGACCATATTGACCAAGTCTGTTGTTTGGTAAAAGTTAGGATTGCCCATGATGTTTTTTTTTTGTCCATGCGAAATATTAGTTGAAAGAATGGGAAATTCTATTTGCATGGCTTCGGAAATGCAATCATTGAGAAAAAACGATCATACCCGTAACGAAAATCAGTCTACAATCGTCTTGGGCACCCTGTGGATAACCAGTGTTGTTCTCTGATCATCAAGAAAATCAACGCACCACTAAAGACTCGTAATTCGCTGAAGACGTGACAGGAGAGGTTTTTATAGAGAATTTTTTATCTTGAAAATATAAATCTATGTGGCATTATTTCAGTAAAGATCGCCATTTCAATAAAAATCGCCTTTTTAGATATATGAAATCTTTAATCTGCAATGTTATGCGCCTATCACAGCATTTAAGATTTTTTTTTTTTTTTTTTTTTCCGCTGATGATCATCGAATTCTTTTAAAATCAATCACTAAATCCCATAAATGACCTCTATTGGAAGACAGTTTCCTCTGAAGTATGTCGGCTTTCTCTGCAATTCAAAGCAATCAAGAGATTTTTTATGTACAGAACTCCTCTGATGAAGAACAAGGTTCAGACAGCGATAACGATAATGAAAATTTGATCATTCCAGAAGTATCCAGTGCTCCTCCTCCGTCGATATTAAGGAGTAATAGTCAAATTAAACCGCCGGTATTTTCGAAATTCCAAGCGCGACTCAATGAAAATATCCTTCTAAAAGGTAATATTATCTATTTTGGTCTAAACTATGGGGAATCCTTGGTATTAAAAGGTCAATATATCCTCACCATTTACTCGGGGAAATTAATGATCAATGGGGTAACTTACCATCGTGGGACTGCAAAGTATAATGTTTATGCCCCGATTTCTCATTCCTTGCCTGAATTATTATGTATTTCATCTAATGAGAACCTGGGGACTCTTTCACCAGAAGTGGTGGATATTTTTACTGAGAAATTCGATACCATCGTCAAGCTTGAAAATAACTTCACAAAATTGGAATCGATTGGTAATCTTTGTCCGTTATTCAAGAATATGTTCCATAATAATCTTCATAACCAGTTTCCAAAACTCGTTGACCATGATGATGATGGTGATGATGATCTTGATTTGAATTTCCAAAAATACTCGTTCTGTCCAATACTTTGTCCAGTATACGACCTTAATGTCATGAGACCTCCAGCCAACTGGTTACAATTATCCAAAACGTTTGTGCTGCAGAATACCTCCATTCCTAAACGTGTATTGATCATTGGTTATAAAAACTCCGGGAAATCCTCGTTATTGAAACTCCTTGCTAACAGTTATCTTGATTCGATAAACTACGTGGCCGATGAACCGATTGGGATCTTGGATATTGATCCAGGGCAATCGGAATTCTCGGTTCCCAATTCAGTGTCGTACTCTACCTATAATTTCCCATTAATTGGCAGTAATTTGACGGGTAGCCATGCTGGCGGTAGTTGTTGGAATGAGTATTTTGGGTTCAATAACCCCATGGAGAACCCTGATTGGTACTTGACGTTAGTTGCAAAACTTTTCCAAGAACGGTATGAGGACAATGATCTAGTTCGCCAAGTTCCATTATTGGTGAACATGCCTGGTTGGATCAAGGGGTACGGAGTACAATTAATTTATAAAATCATCAAAATTATCAAGCCGACCGATATTGTATATTTGAAAAGTCACAATGAAATGGAATACCAATCGGAGGATGCTGATGATGAAGAAGATGATGAATTATTGGGGTTGATCAATGAGTCAAAACAAGATTTTTTCCAAAACATTAACATCATCAAGTCTAGTGGGGTATTCTTCCATCACACCAGTTTGAAATATTCATCGCAAGAATTATCGATCTTTAGAGTGCTTTCATATTTCCACAAGATACCAAATAATAACATTTCATCGTCATCAACCTCATCTAGGCCAAATTTCAATTTTAATCCATTGTTGTGGACATCACCATTGAAGATCTCATATCTTGCGAAGTCTCAAACCCCCGACACGATCATCTCCACCATCAGCGAGTTTAAAGGTATATGCGGGGTGACGGTATTTAACGATGATGAACTTTCCCAACCTTTGAACAGTACCGAAATTTCTACGATCTTTGATTGCTCAATTGTGGGGATCTACGCCGTAGAAACCAATCAATACTTGAATATCTACCAATCATCATCTGTCAATAAATCATCAGTGCCAGAGACCCAGCTCCCGGTATTTATCCCATTTTCGAAATTCCAAGAAGAATTCGGGCCACGAAGTAATACCATCCAATTCCTTGGTCTAGGAATAATCCATAGCATCAATTACAAAACCAAGACTTTCAACATATACCTTCCCGATCTCGAATCAATCAAACTGGTGAATTTCTCAGAATATAAAATCATCTTGGGTAGAGGCCGGACCTCGGTGCCCATTTGGGAACTATACCCAAAGAGTGAGGATAACAATAAAAAACGAAGTGAGAAATTGTTCAAGCATGAAAAAGTGCCTTTTATTAGCTTGAATGATAAGTTTGGTAAAGGGGGAAAGATCTTGAAAGTTCGGAGAAATATTATTAGACGTCGCCAGTAATAATATTCCTAAATGGCCCAAGTAATGGCGATCGATAACCAGGATAATTAATAAATGAATTAATGACTAGATGCAAATTTGGTACGTTCATAAAACTTGAATTAGTGAGTAGATGCAAATTTCATGAAACCGTAAGAATCACTATCCCATCCATTCACAAAAAAAAAAAAAAAAAATGAAAAAATTTGCTACATCAAAATCTTGTTGAAATAATAATAGTTCCTTTTTAGTTGAAAAAAAGAGTAAACGTAACAGAAAAACAATTCCATAAGGGATGGTGAGAACGAAAAAAAAAAAACATGAAAAGTAAAGGACGTAAAAGAGGGGCATGACACAGTTAGTAAATAAATAAAAGATAAGAAAAAAAAAAACGACATAATTATACGAGGAGTAATAAAAGTATTTGGCAATCAGTTGATGAAATTAGAAATTGGTAAATGAATATATGTCGTAAGATAACAAAAAATTAAAGACTATATATCATGACGTCCTTCATATCAGTGTTAAATATATATTGATAACACTTAGTCATCAGACAAAGCCCATTTGTTGACGGCCAACGGGAAAGAACCGGACCAGTCGTAGATTTCCTTCTTCATAGCGGTCAATTCTGGAGAACCTTGGACAACGGTGGCCTTGAAGTCCTTCAATCTGTTGGCACCAGCTGGCAAGGATTGTTGGACGCTCTTGGCGTATTGGACAGCCTTGTCAATGTATTGGGCAACCTTCTTGAAGTCTTCTTCACCAAAACCTCTACTGGTCATGGCTGGGGCACCGATTCTAACACCACCTGGAACCAAAGCAGATTTGTCACCTGGAATGGAGTTCTTGTTCAAAGCAATGTTCATGTTTTCACAAACGGTTTCGATTCTGGCACCGTCGATACCCTTGTCTCTCAAGGAAACCAAAACCATGTGGGAGTCGGTACCATCACTGACCAACTTGTAACCCAACTTCTTAAATTCGGATTCAAGGGCCTTAGCATTCTTCAAAACTTGTTCTTGGTAAGCCTTGAATTCTGGGGTAGCGGCTTGCTTAAGAGCGGTGGCCAAGGCAGCAATGGTGTGGTTGTGTGGACCACCTTGGTGACCTGGGAAAACGGAGAAGTTGATTGGGTTTTCCAAGTCGTAAAAGACTTCCTTACCGGTCTTTGGGTTGATGGATCTAACCCCTCTTCTAAAGAAGATCATGGCACCTCTTGGACCACGCAAAGACTTGTGGGTGGTGGTGGTGACGATATCGGCGTATTCGAATGGAGATGGAATGACACCAGAAGCAATCAACCCAGAAATGTGGGCCATGTCAACGACCAAATAAGCACCAACCTTGTCGGCAATTTGTCTCATTCTCTTGTAGTCGATCAATCTACAGTAAGCAGAAGTACCGGCAACGAGAACCTTTGGTCTGTACAAAACAGCGGTTTTTTCCAACATGTCGTAGTCAATGATACCGGTTTCCAAATCAACTCTGTATGGCATGGTTTCGAAATAAGTGGAAACGGCAGAGATCTTTCTGGTGTCGGTTTGGTAACCGTGGGACAAGTGACCACCGTGAGGCAAGTCAAGACCCATCAATCTTTCGTGAGGCTTCATGATGGCTTGGTAGACTTGCAAGTTGGCTGGAGAACCAGACAAGGTTTGGACATTGACCCCCCATTTCTCTGGGGTGACCCCAAAGGCCTTGAGAGCTCTTTCTTGACACAAGATTTCCATCTTGTCAATGTTTTCATTACCACCATAGTATCTGGCCCCTGGGTAACCTTCGGAGTACTTGTTACTCATTGGAGTACCCAAGGCTTCAAAGACAGAAGTGGAAGTGAAGTTTTCCGAAGCAATCAACACAATGGAGTGCTTTTGTCTTTCGGTTTCATCCTTGATGATTTGAGCAACTTCTGGGTCGGTTTCTTCAAGATGACCTTCAACTAAGCCTCTGTGGGAAGCTGGCAAAGAGTAAGTGGACATTGTTTTGCTGGAAAAATTGGTGGTTGATAAGAGTATGGAAACTGATTCCTCGAGGAAGAATTGGTTTAAATGCTAGAGAAACACTGAGGGATGCTTAAAGGGAACCAGAGAAAAAAAAATTGGCAGCAGCACCGAGTCAGCAAGGAAAGAGTCATTTTTTGTACTAAAAAAATCGTTTGCTACGCGCGCCGCTGAAAATTTTTTTTGACTTCTTTTATTTGCGCCAGCTGAACTTAGTCGACAAGTTACCAATCATTGCATAGATAATGTTATTGATGTCTATTATTAATAATTAGGAAGGGGTAGTTGTAAAGAACTGAAAAATAAAATAAAAAATAGAAAAAAAAAATAATAATAATAGAAATAAATTATATAAGAAATCGAACTAGACCACAACGTAATAATACTATAATATAAATGGGAAACAAAAATTGCACACGCATACACATATGCCAACAAACCGAATAAATAAATGTACAAAATATTATATAGAAGAATAAATCATCCCGCCTTGTGTTTTAAGAAATCTGCAAAACTCATCTTCTTCACCTTCTTCGACTCATTCATGTGCTTCTCCTTTTTCTTCGCTTCCGAGTTTGCAGCCTGAAGCACGTCATTTTTCTTCTCGTGCGCTCCAACATTTTTCAAGTTCATAGTTTTCTCTAGTAAATGAAGGTCCAAACTTGTCGCAGTAACTCCCACCAGATCAATCTTTATACTGGTGGTCTTCACCGGCACAGGGATCGACAAGCAATTCGCAATGATTGCCTTGGCCAATTGAGCTCGACTGTTCAATACTGCATAATCAAGAGTGCGGGTGAGTAGTAACTTCTTCTTTGGATGCTCAAAGATTTCTTTCCGTCGAGCATGCGTAAATGGATCATTCAGATCTTTGCTTGCTTTTTCCTCCTCAACAACATTCTGAGGATCCTCCCTGGAATTATTATCAATCTGATCAGGTAAATTGATCGAGTGTTTCTTGATTTGATCAGCAATAACTTCGTCACGGTGGATAAGACGAGATTTAATCAAAGACCTAGTGTTCGAATCACCATCGCCATTCTTTGCGTCTTTTGAAAGTCTAGAACCTTTTCTGGACGATCTGAAGAAATAGCTTCCCATTTTCTTAATTTTCAACAACTTGCACTTGTTGTTGTTGACGTTATTACTGACAGAATAACAACCGCACTTGTACTGTCCCAAAACAAATTCCACCTGGTTGATCAATTGCACTTTCTCGGCATTGGTCAAAATATTGTTGAAGTTGGATTTCACCACGTCACTATACTTATCAATATCAACATGTTCTTTGCAGTATAACTTGGCAAAAAGTTTGTTGAAATCAAATTCCCACCCCACCGTCAATTCACTATTCTTATTAACTGGTTTGATGGCCTGTAAGTAAAACTTCACCATGGAGTTATTGACAATAACGGGAATGATCTGACAATTTGGATTACACGACTTTCGAACGAATCGTGAAACGCTACCAGAAGTTTTGCAGTTCAAATACAATGGGGCAAGTATTTCTGAAGGATCACCAGCAGTAGCTTTTGCTTGCAAATAATTCTCTAAACCAACTGCCAAATTAGATAAATTATCTTTATTGTAAATTGAATTTTCAACATCCTGGCCATCAGACTCATCACTATTATCGTTTTCCTCCTCCTTATCTTCTTCTTTAACAGAATTATTATTTTCATATCTCCCGAAATAATTAACAAAGAAATAATAGTTCTTTGGAACACCCCAATGCTTGTACTGATTTATAGGATTGTTAAAAAAATTCACTTGATAATCAACTTCTCCTAGAAACTCATCAATTAATTCCCCCTTTTCACAGTTATTTCTTGAAAACACCCCCAAGTTAGATAACCCGCTGAATTTATAATGCGATGAAGGCACACTATTATTTTCCCCAATCAAAATGTTCTTGGCATAAGTTGTGGATTTACCTGATCGCAACTTATTATACTCTTCAATAGATAATTTTTTCAAGTTCATTTTATATTTGCGATTCCTGGCATAGTGTTTTTCAGCATTTAACAATAATTGGGGCAAATTGTTGGCGCAATAGTTTTCAATTTCCTTATTTTTATACTCCAAATCCTTTAAATTATAGTACACCGCATAATAATATTCATCTTTTGCCGATTCAATTCTAGTGATCAACTCTTCATTGGTATTATCGTCAAAATCTTCCTTCTTGCGTTTTCTACTAGTTTTTTCCTTTCTTTGACTATCTCGATCGTTAGTAGTTCTATCTTGTTTGTCATCAGAGCTTTCTTTGGAATTATGCTCGGTGGAAAAACGCCTATCTTTATTTGTCAATTTCTTTTTTCTTTTTGGTTCATCAGACCGATCAGCAGTATTACTTGAATCACTTTCGTATCTTCTTTTGGAAACACTATCAACGTAAGCACTTGATGGTCTAGTTGTTGCAGGACTAGATCCAAGATTCACTAACTGGATCTCTCTCATTTTCTTAACATCGATTGACTTAGCTTTGAAACTTTTTGAATCACAAAGTTCACAATAATAAATATCAGGAACGTCATTAGTGTTGATATTGAAACACAGAGCATGTTGCCATCTAAAACATCGATCACATTGGATGGTGAAACCGTCATCTTCGTTGACTTTACAAATGCAATCGATGATACCGGCATCTGGATCAACCGCATACGATGGGACAGTTTCTTTCTTTTTTGGCTTTTGTTTGATATGCAGTTTTTCTTTGTCTTTTGTCTTTGGTGAGGATTTTGATTTAGTGGGAGTGGGGTGTGTTATTGACTTTTCCTGGTCTCCTAGCTCATTATTCTGGACCTCATCTTCTTGTTTCTGTTTCTGCTTTTGTTTTTGTTTTCTTTTTTTATCGTCTTTTGCCTCTCCTTTTTCTTTATCGGAGTGTTTGAGTATTTGTTCTTTCTCTGCTGTTTCTTGGTCCAGTTTTCTTTCCGTTTCCATATTTTGTTTGGTTTCTTCTACGGTCTCTTCTATTTTTTGTCGTACTGTTTCCTCTTGATTTTCTGACAGTGATATTTGTTGTTGTTGATGATTTTCAGACTTTTCCTCTGATTTGGTAGAATCTAGGGTAGATATTTGCGGTTGAGGTGGCATCACTGGTTTGTTTTCTAGTTCAGGTTTTGGTTGTTTTTGCTCCAATTCAACGATTTTCTGTGATGGTATTTGTGATAGTATTGATGGCACAGGTTTTTGTTGATTTACTGACGTTGGAGGCGGTACCTTGTTAGGTTCCGAGTTCATGAAACCACTATGTAGTGGCAATGGAGTGGAAGCAGCGGCAGCCAACGCAGCAGCAGCGACTATTGCCTTCATGGTATGTTCCTTCTTGGAGTCTTTGGAAACAGAAAGCGCAGCGACTGCGGGGCCAGGATTTGAACTTGGTGACATAGCGGTAGGTTTCAACGAAGGAGACACTGATGATGGGGGAATAGGGGAAGGAAGCGAAGGTTTTTCTGTTGTTGTCATTTGGATAGGTTTACTGGCGATACCTGGCTTTACTTGCAAAGGTGGTAGTGATGGTGGGGGAGGAGGAGGTGGTGGTGGATGATGATGCTGGTTGTTATGATCGGTGACCGGGGTGGCAGAGGCCTTGCTGAACTGAAGAAGTGCCGAGGCATCCTCCAAGATATGGTCGTCTTCTGAAGCCATTATATGGGGACGACAGAGAAGGGATAGCTGGTGTAGATAGAGAAATTAGTGGTACTCCGTGGATATATATTATTGTATTCTACTCACCTATATTTTGATTCCCTTAGGAAAGAAAGACAGAGGCAGCAGCGATGGCGTCCGGGCAACGGGGGGGTTGGAGGTGTGCTACACCCAAAGAAAAAGAAATGCGAGAGAGCTCGCGAGCTATACGAGGAGAACCGCCGCTATTTCGTCGATTTGTTTCGTTTAGTTTATGGCGTTGTTTCGTTTACTTTATGTTCTGTTATGTTGTGTTATGTTATGTTATGGGGTTTATCTTGCTTGAGGTATCCGCAATTATGGGCCAGGAGCAATATTCATTCGGTTACAGTCCACACTAGCGTACGTTACACCGTTATACTGTTGACAACATATAAATAACTCTGACAACTATGGAGTTGCAATGTCTCAAATGACAAACGTCCTAGCAGGAGATGCCACCCCAAATGACCATTTCTGACAGAGTCATAATCAACCAAAGCATCTGCTCTTCTTTTTTTTCGATTTTTGTGTTCATTTTCAAATTATCTTGGAATTTTTGTGATTGTGTTGTAATTCTTTACAGTTTCATTCATTATTGGAATAAATCAAATTTACAGTGGAAAACGAAAAAATTCTACAATATTAAAAAAAAATAGATAGCAAGAGAAAGAAAAAAAAGATGTTTGCAACATGGTTTTACCCAAATGCCCATTAGCCAACGGCCGTGCATAGTGTTCAGGAATATGATGCAATAGACAACGAGACGGCCGAACTCAATTACCACCCAAGCTGGGACAAGCCCTTTAGAGACTTTAGATGGTAAGAGTTCAAGACCTGGCCTATCATTCTGTAATCTGTCGGCTGAGCACCCCTATATCAACAGAAAAAAAGCGGTGTGCTTGTCGCTCAACCTCAAAATGAAGGACCAACAAGCAGCACCAAGATTCAATTGCCTCACGAGAGCCGATCTGCTACAAAGAACGGCTACAGTATCGTGCTGGGTAACGCTAGCAGAGCCAACGTTTAACCCAGTTTCCACCGAGTATTCATTTGCAACACAGATAACTTGATGAAGAAAAGAAAAAAAGCCAAAGACAACATTAGAGTGAAAGAAAAAATTTCCGCCGCCTTAAATAATTATTCACGGCGGCCGGGTGACAGCGATCTCCTCCATCCATCGCATCGCCCGCATTCGGCAACCATAAAAAAAAAAAAAAAAAAAAGTTGAGAGAGATGAAGTGCGGTGCGGTGCTGACTGTTTCCTGTTGCTCGTGTGATACCCTTATCATCATCAATAAATCATTGTGTAAATACTGTTGAATAGGCTGCCCTATACAACCACACTATATACTACTATACGCCTCTTAATATATACAATATATACAATATCCACTATAATACTACTCCATATATTGGTAGAAATACTCATCACTGTATGGCAATGCGCCCCTCAGCACCCCCCAAAAAAAAAAAATTGAGTAAAAAAAAAAAAAAAAAAAAAAAATTTTATTACTGTGGTTTTCTTTCTTGACAACCACCAATTCCTGTTGATCAAACATCATACACAGATTATTGCTATTCCTTTGGTTGTGTTTTATTTTTGTTTTGCTTTATCAATTGTACTAGTTTTCTTCTTTTTCCTTTTCAGTATCCAATTCTAATACTGTCTTGTTCTTTTTCATTTATTTTACCCCCTTGTCGCCATTCTTCAGTGATATCAAACCATTTGAGCATCCTCTTTTTTGATGATCTCTAGTTGCCCATCATATACAAAAAACCAAAGAACAACAAAATAATTATGATTACCGTCACCTCAAAACAACGAAAAGATCCTCCTTCCTCCCTTCTCATGAATAAAAACCAGAATTTCAATACCTCCAACCAAAAAAAGAAGAGACCCCTTAGCGACAGCAACGATGAAAAATCAAAGAAAAAAGTTAGAATAGTTGAAAACAAGCATAATACTGAGAAGTCTACTTCTCCAGTATTAGATGATAAAAATGGGAATCCAGAAGTATCAAGGAAAGTGTATCAAACTTATTTGAAAAACGCATTCGATGCGTTGGATAAGGTATGTCTTTCATTCTTTTTTTTTCCTATCCCCCTTCTCATCATTGTTACAAACTAACTAACGCTTTTCTCTTTTTCTAGAATGACGCTTCCTTTATTCAAAATATGACCAATAAGTTATCGCTCCCGCGTACGTCTCCTGAATCGCTCTCCTATGCCACCATGGGGTTGGTATTGGATCTTCTAAGTAACAGGGTCTCCCAGCTTGACTCTCCTCATTGTAACTCTCTTATTCTTGCTATTCTTCGGACCCCAAACTGGTCGAAACAAGAGGAAAGTTTTCTCACTAGTTATGTCACTTTTCTCTCGGTCTTAACTTCAGGGATCCCAAAATGGCATAAAGAAATTGTAAATGTTTTAATCTCTGATTTCAGCCGGATGGCCCCTCTGCCAAAGACCGCTACAGACCTTGGCAACAATGCCAAACCTCATCATGAATACTTGCAGTATTTATTACGCATCATTCCTACCAGTTTGAATGTGGTACTCAAATCTTTGGTAAGAAGTTTTCCTGGTAAATATTGTACAAAAAATGACGCAGTCAATTATGTGTCCAATTTGCTAGCAGTGATGGCCTACGCCCCAGAAATTAGATTCCAATTGTTGACCGCTATTTTTGAATACTGTGTGAAATTAGATGTCGAGTTGAAGAATAATTTGGATGAAGTTGATGAGGATGTCGAAGAGGAAGACATTGACGATAATGATGACGAGGAAGAAGAAGAAGAAGATGATGATGATGATGACGAAGATGACGAAGAGGAAGACGATGATGATGATGAAGAACATGAAGAGTATAATGCCGATTTAACCATCAATATCAATGAACTTTCCGAAAAACTTGATCGAATCATGGAAAAATTGCTCATTGGCTTGCAATCACTATTTACCGTGGAAAATCTCAACTCTGGTGATGGGATCACCGTTTATAGATCTCTCATCTCGATCTTTAAATCCTATATTTTATCGACCAGTAACACCAAATCTGTGCAATTCATTCTTTTCCATTTTTCTCAACAGCAACCGGAACTAATCGACGCATTTTTGGTATCTCTTATCGATATCACTTTTGATTTCAGTGAAAGTCTTGAACAAAGAATCAAGGCAGTTCAATATTTATCATCTTACCTATCCAGAGCCAAACAGGTGTCGAAAAACCAGTTAATCTTTGTGGTGAGTTATTTGGTCAACTGGCTCGAGAAGTACGTTGACGAACGTGAATGTGAAGTCGGCAATGGTAGTGGCGGGATGGAAAGATTCAAGATGTTTTATGCGATATTGCAATGTTTGTTGTACATTTTCTGCTTTAGACACGAACAATTGCGTAAATCGGTTGCTGAATGGGAATGCAACATCAACAAGTTTTTCCAAAAAATGATCCTCACGAAATTCAACCCACTCAAGTTTTGTAATGAAACCGTCGCCCTCATGTTTGCCAAAATTGCCCATCAAGAAGACGTGGCTTATTGTTTTAGTATTATTGAACATAACCGCCGAGACCAATTCAACAGTTACTCCAAGACCCCTGGCAAGCACGATCAAAAATCGCCATCATCATCATCATCATCATCATCTAAGAAGGCATCGATTATCAATGATTCCCGGATTTTGTTTTTCAGCAAACAAGAATTCCTTGATTTGGTGGCGTACTTCCCATTTGACCCGCTCATTTTGAAACGTTCCAAAGCGTTAATTCAGGGAAACTACATTGAATGGTCGGATATTCAAAGCGATGATCAGGACAGTGATAGTAACAGTGATGATTATGACGATGGATCGACGTATGCTAGAGAATTTGTGCGCAAGAATAGCAGTGTCGTGGCCGATGCCGATGTACGAGACCAAATTCGCAAACAATTAAAGCTGGTGAGGAGTACGGGTGCAGACGATGTATTTGACGATACTGAGTTGGAATGATTTTGAAAAAGTTTACTCTGACTTTATTATAGTATACGATTGCATGATTTTTTTTTCTATTGTTTTATACCTTTTTTTTTTAAGCTCAGTAATTTTTTCGGTGTCATTTGTCTTGGAACTTTCATATATAATATATTCTATTGCAATTACAAATTGAAATTGTAGTGTACTTTTAAAAAAAAAATTATGGTTTGGGAGAGATTCCGGCATATGAAGAAAGTGATGAAACATTATCAGAACAGAGCACACAGGGGAGGTTGGAGTAAATGTTTCTAAATTGCTACATGTTGAAAAAAAAATCTCGGTAAATAAGAAGCAAAGCATCGTTTGAAATTGTTTTTGACCATCAATTACATGATGATTCCCAAAAAGATCATTTGGAATATAGTGTTTTGAAGAAACAGTCAATACAAGTATGTTAGTAGCTACTATATAAGCCACATTCACAGTAATTTTTTTAAGTTCCAATTTCTTTGGGGTATAAACTAGCGCAATATTAATGGATACACACATCAATAACCAAATCCCTATGGGAAAATTCTCGAAATACATTTCATTCCGCATATTTGAGGGTATTTCCATTTCCATATACACTATGATATCTAGCTGTGTGCGTTTCAAGAGCTGCTAATTCTGTGGGGGCTTATAGTATATGAGACATGATTCTCTACAACTTCTTTAAAAGAAATTGATGGTTTTCTTGGCACGTAAACTGGAAGGTCGTAGACTCTATTCAGATAAGGATAACACGGATCAGCAATAACGGCAATTTTGTCAAACAAAGTAGAGTCAATGCATTCCATTAATGCTAGTTGATCATCACCAACAATAGAATGAAAACCCGTTCAAGTTTTTCATGTTACAAATAAACTAAAATCATGTATGTTTTTGGTGATATTCATTCTCGCTTACTTATCCAACAATCGGACACAGTAATGGGAAGAGATCGGTTCATCACAAATATATTCAACTTTCATGCATTAAACTTCAGAAAACTTTAGGATAACACTAGTATAATTATCTTCCAAAAAATAACACGATTTGCAGTAGCAAAATGGTACTTTAATATTGAAGATGTGGATAAAACCTTACACAATTATATAAACTTTTCTTCATTACAAATACAAAACCATGCCATAGGATTATATACCCAGCTATGGGAAACCCACAAACGAAATCTTTAATACCTCCTGATAATATTGATTTTGGTGAGAATGTGCTGCTGTTACTCTACAATAGATGATATCTTGTCTAACATCAACCATAATAATAACAAATAAATACCGTCCCAATGGTACGCGCATGATGATCATAAATACCATTAAAATGGTATATGCATATCAAGTAATAAATACCCTGGCAGTGGTATACGCTTTCAATAATATTTCCAAAGTGAAAGAACAATATTTAATTCATACCTTTGTTCTAAAATACTACCCTCAATTAATATTCACTACCAGTTATAATATACAGAAGGTGTTTTCTACGGATAATTGAGCATCTATAAGGTGATAACGCAATGATGTAAAATAAAGAATTCTTTCCAAAATGGCGACGCAAATCAACTCTTTATCGTCACCAAAGATAGTTAGTAAACTATGTAGAAGATATACTAATTAATTTGACCGATCTAAACTAATCTTTGTCATCATAATGAGCGTATCTGCCAGTTTCAAGTTCTTTTGGAATTAGTTCCATGACCGCTTTGAACTTTATATCCCACTTTCTGGGTTCAAACATTTCTCTTTCAAAAATCTTTATAACCGACTGGTTATCTTGAAATAATTTGATTTTTCTAATTTCCTTCTCACCCAGAATGATCAAAAATTAATTATTAATATTCTTCAATTTCTTTGTGGTGAACACAGCATCGTATAACGCTTCCATTTCACTATGTGCTGATGATCCGCACACTATATCAGTCATTCGGGAGCACCAAAAAAAGTAAAACTCCATGAAAAGTTATCGCAAAGCCATATGTTGATTTTCTAGTTCTAGGCTCATTCAGACTAGAGGCGTCAGCCCAAACTTGCAATTCATTGTCAACATCCCTATTTGGTTCAATCGTTAAAAAAAACTCTCATTAGAACTCCAAATATAGTTCAAGCATTTCTGATATTTCTTAAAACACTTTACTCGTCAGGCAAGTGGCCAAGCGACTGAGCATCGAAGCAGCAAACGAAATATCCGGACGAAAACTATGAGTCAAATACAGAAACAAACCAGAAAGTTGATGAAAGGATTGAACGTTCTCAAGTTCTGTCTTTGGAGACATCATCGGTAGTGAGATATACCGAATTGAATGGTATAGGACTATAATCCAGTTGATAATCCTTCAATATGAAATGTTTGAGTGGTTTTGAGCGATAAATATTAATGCCTTTCTCAGTAAAGTCAAGATTGAGACCCAAAAATCAAATCCGGCTTTCCCATAATCTTTCCCAATTCATGAAGAATTTCTTCACACTCGAGCTTATTAGGTCCAAGAATAAGAACTTCATTCACATATGTCATTAAAATGATTCCACTTTCTTTCTGAAAATACACCGACTCACCATAGTCACTCCTCTCAAATTTCAATTCATTGGTGACGATATCTTTGAAATGGCAGTACTAAATCCTTGGGGATTGGCGTAAACTATATACCGCTTTTTTATAGACGTCTGTTTGATCACCAAATTGTATCGCTCTATAAAGCTATTCAAATCACTAGAGTACGCAGGTGGACGACGATGGATGATGGAAGTCTTGATGCAAAATGCCTTCATATCATGACTCTTAAATTCTTTACCATTGTCTGTGACCACTTGCGTATAGCCATCCTTCAATATCTCTTGAAGTGCTGCTGTTGCTTCACCTTTGGATTCCTATATCAATATCTCTAACTTAATATAACGGCTAAATTCATCAACCGTTGTCAACACAGGAGTTTTATCCAAATACGTAACATCAACATGTAACGCGGCTCTTGGTTTAGTTGCTGTTCTACTCAAAACCTACCTTTCTTATTCTTCATCAGACTCTAGCTCTCAAACAAGTCAAGTCAAACAATTGTCACGCTTAGTATTCCAACAAACTTGATTCTTTGTCAATCCATAATGCTTAGAATACTTTCTAAGCAACCTCGAGCTAATATGCCCAAACCTTGTATGGCAATCAGATGTTTCATTCACTGTCAAATTGTGATTAACAAACACTAGACTCCCACAAAGTTCAAGTTCCTGGGGTTTTGTTCCATACTTTAACCATACTCTAGAATGATTTTGTTGAAATGTGAATCCTTTAGTAGTCAAGTCTGCAAGACTAATTATAGTTTTTTTTTTTCATTCGTTTCAGATTCTGGGATCAAATACATCGGTATATCCAACTTCTCTTTATTGATTGTCAATGTTATTGTTCCCAAACCAACAGCTGTAATAGGATGTGCTGAGATACCAGAAATGATTGTATCAGTTTTTTTTATGTTGTTTAACAATTGACCTTCGGTAGTAACTGAGGCTTGCGCACCATTATCCAATAACATATATGTTGGCTTATAAGCTTTGGATTATAATCCGTAATATCCAGAATAATGTTATTGATCAAGAGAAACTTCAGCTTCTTTTTCTCTTCTTTGTAATTATCCTCATCGTCATCTCTATTCCGCTTATTACCTCTCTTTCCTTTCCTCTACATATTTCTGAGTGCATAACATTGTGCCTTATAATGACCTTGTTTTCCACAGTTAAAACAATACTGTTTTCCTTTCCTTTTTTTCTGTTGAGCTTTCACATGTTGGGTAATCTTTGCTGGGTCATAAGATTCGATGCAAAAAGTTGCTGAATTTTTATGGTGGACTCCCAACTCAATTAAATTTTCAACAGTCGTTGCACCTTGAAGAATTCTATATAACTCCCTGCTCTCAAGAGTATTATAAGGATTCTTTCCAAATTTTGAAATAATTTGGTCAAGCATGTCCCTATCAGAAGGAATATTTTTCCCTGCATAGGCACAGAGTTGTTTAATATCATCAATCACTGCCCCAAACTGGTCGAAATTAGTATGAACAGTTACGTGTAACAGATTAAATACATCTTGTGCCAATATTCTTGGATTCTTCGGTTCATGGGTTCTAATGTAGAACTTTAACAATTTCTTGCAAGATCAAGTATCACGCATCGCATCATTTTTGGAGACTTGTCTAAGAATCCACCTAAATTCAGATTCATCATTAACTCTCTTGGTGGTTGGTTGAATATCCTCAATCAAATCATCAACTTCAGTTAAGTATAACAACCCTCTGGATTCAAGTAACTTTTACAATTTCTCATAAAAATGAATGAATTTAATACCAGTCAGGCCGTCTTGTAGTGGTACTTGAATGAATGAATTGTATATTAGCGAGTCACAGAGGTTCTAAATAACATACAAGCCGGGCATTTCATGCCGGTCTTTCTAATAGGTAAGTAAAATACTATAACTTTCTCACAACCTCACACTCCTTGCTTTAAGAATTAATCACATCACCAGTAAAAAACTCAACAATCAAGATTATTAAGGAAAAAAGGTGCAATGTGAAAATATGAGATGAAGTCACTAGTAAATTCCTGAGGGAAACACTAGCGTACTATATCATAGGCTATCTTATAGGCCATTATTGTCTAGTAGGTACACCTGATATCATTCGTCAATGTTCAATTAAATACCACCACAGTGGTGGTGGTGTGTCCTGACAGTTCTGACATTCCAAAAACCCAGGAATTGACATAACAATGCAAGAGCAGTTAAGTGGTCTTTTCTGAGATAATCAGTTGGCATTTATCGCAATGATCTATCAGTAGATCATGTTATTATTTAACGCAGGATTCTTATTCACCAACTTAGTGAACTCACTAATAAAACATTTTTGGTAATGAGCCACCTTCACCTAAAGTTGTTTGTCTCCTGATAACGGTCACTCGTATTGCCGGTTTGGAAGGTTCCTTAAATATATATATTCATATATGATGATGGCGTTCTTCTGCAGAACAACAAGTTTATGTTCAGTATAACGTTATACCAGAAACCAGAAAGAGAGATTGAATTTCGTATAGCCACACGAGCCCTGGCTGATGCCATCTGGTCACGTGTAATGGTAACAAAAGAAAAATTCTGCTGCTAATAACAAAATAGGGATTCACTACTAATCATCGCCTACAATTGAGTAACTATAACCACTATTTATCAAATATTAAATTAATAATGGCTGCTCCCATACTGGCGCCTTCGGGATATAGACAGTCAACGTGGCTCGTGGGGCTTGCGGCGCTTGCTGCGGTAATTACATTGTGGGTGATTTCCAGCTTTCTTATCAATGAGATCTTTGAATCCGAGATCTATGCCAAACCGTTCTTCATTACATATATCAACACATCGATTTTCATCTTTTATCTAATGCCATTTGTGTTTACATACTTAAGGTGCCGGGTCAATGGCTCCAAAGTAGACATGTATGATATCTTAAAAAATGAGCTCAATGCCAATTCCCAGGCCGAGTCTTCTTTATCATCATTGCAAAGAACCGGATCTAGGAAATCAAGAACCGTGGTAGATTTGGAATCGCAAATCGAAACCACCGAGTTGATATCCAACAACAATGATAGTTCCTCCGATAATGGCTCGTTTAACATTGATAATAATCACCCGATCATCATCGATAATGACCCACTTAGTTTACAAGAAACCATCAAATTAAGTTTCCAATTCTGTTTATTATGGTATGCCGCCAATCTTGTTACCAATGCCAGTCTCCGATATACCAGCGTATCTTCACAGACCATCTTATCCTCGACATCGTCGTTTTTCACCCTTTTTTTCGGCGTGGTGTTCCGGATCGATACCATCAACAAAATTAAACTCATCTCACTTATTTTTTCATTCGTTGGTATAGTAATCATCACCAGAATCGACTCGCACCTGAGTCCCCATAAAGTTAGTTTGAAAGATGACAATTACGGGTTTGCGATGTTTTTGGGTAACCTCCTTGCATTGGCCGGAGCCTGTTTTTACGGAGCCTACACTGTGCTTCTCAAACTTAAAGTCCGCTCACAAGATCGTCTAAATACCAAATTATTCTTTGGGTTTGTGGGGATCTTCAACATTGTATTATTGTGGCCCACTCTTTTTGTATGGCATTTCACGGGGATCGAATCGTTCGAGCTTCCAAGTTCGAGCTTTGTTTGGAAAATTATCCTCATCAATTGTCTCATAACATTTATCAGTGATTATTGTTGGGCGATCGCCGTGTTACTTACCAGCCCATTAACCGTGACGGTTGGACTTAGTTTGACGATTCCTTTGGCATTACTAGGGGACGCAGTATACAAGGGGAAAACTATTTCCATTGGGTATTTATTAGGGGCGGCAATCATTAGCGTATCCTTCTTTATGATTAATAAAGATCAAGAAGATGTGGTTGAGGAAGATGGTATACAGTAATTAAAAAAACAAACAAACCAATATTTTTGAGCTATTTTTTTTTTTTTTTGCTGTCATATCATATCATGTGTATATCAAACTGGGGACATGTGGTATAGAATGTGCTTTTTTGTTTGGTGATTGTTTAGTTTTCGTTTTTTCTTTGTTATTCAGTTTTTTGTCTGTTGTTTTTTTATGTTTCCTGGTCAGTACTATGATAAATTTTGTTTCTTTTCTCAATTTCAATTCACAAATAAAGATATATCAAAAAAAAAAAAAAAGCCATTACGGCTTTGGGACGTGCTTTTCTTTATAACTTTTCATTTTTGCATCTTAAATATTGCTCAAATTGCATTCCAGTATCTACAATCTTTGTAAGTCTGATTATAACATGAATTCGGGGGATATAATAAAGAGCAAAATACCAAAAACTATAGAAATAGTAGTGAATAAAGTTTTCTTTTCTTTTTTTCATTTTTTTTTTTCATTCGGATCAACCGAAAGATAACAATAAAAATATAGAGCAAAACCAAAGAAAAAGACCCAGATACATATAATGAATCAAAGAACTCTTGACATGGCAAAAGGATATCCACCATCTTTTTTAAGATAAATCGAAGTAAGCAATGAAAATGCATAGTACAATCCTATGACAGCAATAATCACCAACACCGAATGAGCGGTTTCACTAAGATGGAAATGGTTTTGTGGAACATCATCTTTCTCTTCTGAATCTTCCTTTTCCTCTGTGTCATTTTCTTTTTCTTCTTTATTAGATTCATCTTTTTCTGTGACAGTAACAACTTTCTCGCTTTGATGTTCTTCCTCTATTGGGGCGTATTTAGGCAAGATATCGGTCAACAATACCACCCAAAACCCAATGAAAAGATAAACTCCACAAACGATAAATGATTCAATACCAATTTGGTATTGTGATCCCCCAGCAAAATAGAACGGTCCTTTTTCATTACGGGCCAATAATGGTACTCCTCTAACAACAGTAAACATGTACCCGCTACAAAACAAACAAATCAACAATACTGAAAGTCCCATCCACACTCTTGGTTTAGAGGCTTTTTGTAGTAAAGTATTATCTTGATCGTTGATTTTTTTCTTGATGATCACAATAATAGAAATCGCGATGATGGCCATCCCAACGGTAGTTTCATCGAGCTCAAAACCATCATTACCACCATTACTGATCTTGAAAGATATTTGAAGCGCCGCAGAAATGTAATTAGAAAATTCTTGTGGCGAAGACCCCTCGGAAACCGAGTACTGATAATGATCCGATGATTTAAGTAAGAAATTACTAGGGTCGGCAAGTTCATCAGGGCCAAGGTTCTTTTCGGTAGTGAGGTATCGATACAACACATCGTAACTTGGGACCACCCAAATATGTGGCACTCTATCGATTTTCAAACTTTTGAAAAATTCCCCGGTTACCGAGTAATCAAGCTCGATAAAGAACAAATCACGGTTCAGTAATTGGTCAGCGGAGTTATCAAGAGTTTTATCAGGATAAGATTCCATGAAAGTCTTTGCGGTTTTTTGAAATATCGGAAGAAAGTCTTTGCATGCTTTACAACCGATTTGTGGACTATTAGCAGTAAGAAATACCACAATATTGGCTTCTCTAACTGCAGGATTCACAATAAGTTTGATGTTTTTATCGGTAAGTTTCACAACCCCGGTCTTTGGGTCTCTAAGTGGAACCAAGGCATCTTTGGATAAAACGCTCTTGAACTTCTTGCCATTTGGAACGGGGTTTTTAACGGCAAGACATATACCAACGAAAAATAAAATGAGTTTGATGAATTGGAATAATTTCATCGTGTAATGGTGTCTATTATAAAATATTCAGCACGGAGAGTACACACGACAACAACAATAACGAGAGCTATGGAAAGTCCTATGACCACCACTAATAACAAGAGCCCTAATAACAATAAAAAGAGGAAAAATTCTCTTTTGAATAGAAAGTAGACCAATTTATGCCAGCAACTCCTCACAACACAGCTGGAATCTGTTCATGTTTAGCAGTGCTGTCTATTTTTCATTCTGTGCCACAGCGGGGCTGCTTAACACTCATAGCCTGCAATATGCTCTACCTATATGGCGATACAAATCAACAATAAAACACTATCCACAGAAAAATATGTATATATTAACAGAGTACAAGAGAGAATTACGAAAAAAAAAAAAAGAATAGGATAGAATAGGGAGAAAAATAAAAATATAATAATAGTTATGTGTTAGAAGAATAGGGTGACTCAATTAATGACCAGACCATTCAATAGAATTCAAGTCAATACCTTCCTGTTTCATTTCCCAAAGCGGACTCAATTCTCTAAGGAAGTTGACTCTTTTATGGATAGCATTGATAACGTAATCGATTTCTTCTTCGGTAGTAAATCTTCCAATCCCAAATCTAATAGATGAATGGGCCAAGGCATCATCGGCACCCAAGGCGTGCAACACATAAGAAGGTTCCAAAGAGGCAGAAGTACAAGCCGAACCAGAACTTAAAGCAATATCATTAAGGGCCATCAAAAGAGATTCACCTTCAATGTACGCAAAGGAAATGTTGACACACCCGTTGAATCTATGGTCTGCAGAACCATTAAGAATGGTATCTTCAATTGATAACAATCCGGTCTTTAATTTGTTAGCAAGATATTCAATGTGATTCTTATCGAAATCATACTCCTGTATTAACAATCTTGCGGCTTCCCCAAACCCTGCGACCAAAGGTGGTGCCAAAGTTCCGGATCTAAGCCCTCTTTCTTGTCCACCACCGGTGATGATTGGATCCATTCTGACTCTTGGTCTTCTTCTAATATAAAGGGCCCCGCAACCTTTTGGACCATAGATCTTATGGGATGAAATACTCATCATGTCAATGTTCAATTTGTTGACATCCAATGGGATTTTCCCGTAAGCTTGGGCACAATCGGTATGGAAAAACACTTTATTTTTTTTACAAATACGACCAATTTCTTCAAGTGGTTGGATCACCCCGATTTCATTATTCACACCCATGATCGACACCAAACATGTATCTTTTCTAATGGCTTTTTCAAGTTGTTCCAAATCAATCAACCCATCTTCCCCAACTGGCAAATAAGTCACATCGAACCCTTCATCTTGCAAATGTCTAGCAGAGTTCAACACACATTTATGTTCGGTTTGCGCGGTGATGATGTGCTTTTTCGTGGACTTGTAAAAACGAGGCACTCCCTTAATTGCCATATTATTGGATTCGGTAGCTCCTGAAGTGAAGACAATTTCTTTCGGATCGGCACCAATGACATCAGCAACGTATTTTCTGGCCTTTTCCACTTCTTTCTCGGTTTCCCACCCGTAAGCATGAGTGCTGGAATGAGGATTCCCATATAGCCCAGTATAAAATTGCAACATTTTATCAAGGACCCGAGGATCGGTTGGGGTGGTAGCTTGCATATCCAAATAAATCGGTCTGGTACCATAAGTGGTATCTTTGGCAAAACCCCCTTTAAGAATAGCAGCCCCAGTTGGAGGAACAATGTTCGCTGTCGAAGTACTTGCACCAAGATCAACTATTGGCTGCTTATCCGCAGCTGCGGGGGCGGCCAACCATGGTTTATGAGAGCTGGACAATAATCTTTTGAAAGATAAGCGACAATTCTGTCTGAGTACAGTATTTCTCAACATCCTGATGAACTGGTATTTACTATAATGATCAATCAATAACCTGGCAATACCAATGATAGAACCACACCGATACGATTGATAAAGATTATTAATGTGAGTTGAAAACTGCCGAAATTATTTCGCAGAAGGGCTGGAGGAAAGGCATCACCCGGTATTTCTAGAAGGTGCAAAGGCAGGGTGATCACCGGAAATATTCCTAATGCGGCAATGCTATACCAAATACTTATTGATAAACATCTTTGTCTTCCAATAATAATAATAATAATAATAAATGGTTTACTGGTTCCTTCCAGGTATATATATATATATATATATATTATACATCCAACTACAATCTTATACAATAATGAAATTAAAGCTTCTATGCAAAAATAATACAAAACAAATTAATAAATAAATACACAAATTCAATTCTGGTTGGCAATATGCTTGTTGATATCAATCTCCACCAATGGAGCATTCCCTCTTTGACTCACTGTGGTGTCAGTTTCTTCCTTCAATTGAATTCTCTTCAATCTGGCCATTGGACCCCAGCCACTCACCGGTGGAGCCAATTGGAATGGTCTAAGGAAATTCACCACTTGTTTGAAGTTGTCCCCGAGAGAGAAAATCTCGTGTACAAGATCTTCGGTACAAATAAGCCCAAACTCTCCTAGTCTATCTTCGATAACGGAATTATCGTCCAATAATACTTCTTTTTTCTTACCATCAACTTCGGTGACGATGGTGGCACGTTTTTGCATCAACTCACGCACGGTAATAAGGTCAGGGGATCCAATGACAATGTATGGGGAAATGATCTTGAGTAATGGAAGTACAGTTGGAGTCAATTTTATAAAAGTCCCGAGATTAGAGTGGGTCAATCTAAGGGCCTGGAGAACTTTGTTGGCCTTCGATGGGATCTTGGAGTTGTTCGATGATCTTACTCTAACCACAAGCAATAATTTTGGTTTTTCATCCCATGATTCAGTTTGAATGGTCGAATCTTCAATGTCATCGATAGAAGTCTTGGATTTCGAAATTAATTTGATTCTTTGGTTGGTGTCTTTTTCAACTTTTGAAACTCTGGTGATTCTCTTGGCTTCTTTGCTGGTGCTCATTTTCTTGGCTAAAAGAGTTTCAACTCTAAGGAATCTATTTTTCTTTTCTTTGGATCTTCTAAGTTGTTCTTCTTTTCTCTTTCTGGCGGCCTCTTGTTTTTCCAACCTTATTCTGTCGGCGTTCTTTCTCTTTTTCAAGAGAATTTCCGGGTTCGAATTGAGCTTTTGTGGTTCGGACATGGTCTCTGATGATTTTTAATATTACTTAAAATATTATTTCAATAATGAAAGATAAGTGAAAAATTATCAATACAAGTTATTATCAAATTTTCAAAAAAATAAAATTAAAAAAGGAAAAAAAATTTTTTTTTTTTTTTTTTGTTAGGCGGGCGATGAGATCACGGGGACAGAAAAAAGTCTGTGTCACGTGGAGAAATGTGTGATTTTGAATTGACACTTTTCTTTAATTTTATTCCCTTTTATTTATCATTTCAGGACCCTCTTTATCGTCGGTAAATAAGTAAAATAACACAAAAGAAATACCCATATGGCTCCTGTCAGTCATTTGCTATCTCAGTTGAGATACTTGACACTCCCCGGCTCTCATGTGGACTCGCTTTCTATAAAGTATGATGATGGTGATAACGTTCCTTGGGATGATGCTAATGGGTTGAATTTGGCACTTCTTGTGGTACTTTCTTCATCTTTGGGGGCTTTAATCATTGCATTGTTGGTGATTGGAGTATACTTTATTTGCTTATACGTAGCCAATGGTGGTGATAGTTTCTCAGCAACCACATTCCAAATTCCGGGAACATCAGCAGCTGATGAAGAAACATTTAGAGAAGAAGAACAACGATACATTCCATTGCTTCCTAAAAGTGACCAAAAACTCTATTTCCGCTCCAAAGCTTTTGAAGAGCAGTATCCTCCAAATATCTCCAAGATGGGCAAAGAAATTACCCTTGAACAACAACAAGCAATCGATGATCGAGGCCTTGATGCCTTTCAATTTGAACAAGACCACGAGCTTTTAAATCCTAGATTTATCGTGGAAGATAAAACGGAAGTTGTGTTTAGTTCCAACCAGCCAGGGTGTGCGGTGTTGAATCTTCCACTCCCCGTGAAGTCGCGTGAGCGTGATACCATTTATTTTGAAGTGAAACTTTTTGAACTTCCAGGATATGATCCTTCTAAAATCGATACTACGTCCACTGAGGATAAAGGACTTGTTGATAGAAGTCATATGGACGCGTCATTGGAACCGATTTTTGATATTGGGTTGGTCACTAGACCGTATGCGAATTTCAGATTGCCTGGGTATAACAAGTACTCGGTATCTTATGAAAATAATGGTAAGACAAGGATCAATAGACCATTTGATAATGCTCCGTGTATCTTGCCCAAACTTACCGAAGGGGATGTTGTTGGTGTAGGGTTCCGTCCATCTAGTGGGTCGGTATTTTTCACAAGAAATGGGAAAAAGTTATATGACGTGATTCATGGGATGAAATTGAATTTGTATCCAGCAATTGGTGCCATTAATTGTGCTAATTGTAAATTTCAGGTGAATCTCGGACAATTAGGATTCGTATTTATCGAAGCTAATGTCAAGAAATGGGGGCTTGCTAAGAATTTCGGGACTTTAGGGGCCCCACCAGCGTATGGTGTCGATAATGAATCCACAACATTGTTGGCTAAGGGTGAACCGATCCCCCCAAGTTACCCATCACAAGAGGATTTCTTTGGTGGATTTTTCAAAGTTGGTACTACCAAACAATTCACAGATGCCAATGAAAAAACCCCACTTCTAGCCGATGACCATCAGAACCCATCATATCAAGGAGTCAGCAATGTCGTTCCGACTTCTCGTCCACCGAGCTATTCTTCAGGGGATGGTTCTTTCTCAGAATTGAAAGGATCATTGATTCGCGAAGAAGAAGAAATCAACCAAGATACCCCAGATTCCCACGTCGATTTACGTCAAAGACTTTATGAACAGCGATCTACCGCGTACGGCCACGAAGACGATACTACTAGTTTTATTGATCAAACAAACCATCTTGCCCTGATCAATTACCATGCCAACGAAGGGACTTCGGCGCAATTATTCAACAAAAGTAATTCAAGGAAAGTCGTTTCGTCACCATCATCGTCATCATCTTCATCATCATCTTCATCATCATCACCATCACCATCGATATTTTTCTCCACCAATAAATCTGCGGTACCTACAACCGACGCTTCGGAGGCATTTTCTGGTAATAATAATAACAACTCAACCCAAGATATCACCATCAATACCGTTTTATTATCATCAACTACATCAAAAAATAGTAATCGTGGCGCAAACGACGAAAATGGCACCGGAGAGGAAGAAGAAGACGCAAATGCCTCAGAAGGGGCAGAAGTAGTAGACGGCAATGAAGCCCAGATAATAATTAATTCTGCTGAAAGGTCGCCAACTAGTTCAGGAGGGAAAAGAAAGAAAAAGAAGAAGGGGAAAAAGGGGAAAAAGAGGAGCAAAGGAAAGAAAAGTGGTACATCATTCTAGTGTGTGATTATATTATTATTATTATTATTATTATTATTATGTTTTTATTATTATTGTTAGCTTTAAAAAAGTTCATCAAATCGTTATCGTTCATTTTTTTATTTAATTCATTTTAAATTTTTTTTTTTTTTTTCTTTGGGGGATCTCTTTTATATAGTTTTTCAATTTAAGCTTGTTCATTGATATATATCTAACGACTGTCTGTATAAAACCAAAGATGTGTTAATGAAAACAGTATCCGATCAGGTGAGCACACAATCATACACAACAATAATGTTTTGTTGTAAACTGCAACTGATTAAGTACGTATATCAAGAAGATCCAGGCGCGTAGGCATATATTTACTCGCCAGTTATATGTTTTACTGGGTAGTATATTATCATCGATCTATCATTTTCTCTGAATGTGTTTGAAGCACTAAATTTGGGATACAGGTCATTTTCAACGATCATTGACTATTTGATGTTGAGCATGAAGCCGCCATAAAGTCACTGTTCGGCCAAGAGGTAAAGATGCTACGCCTCGATCATTTATTATTAAAGATGTGACCTTCCCACACTAGAAATAGATATAATGATCTAAATCATTATATATCCTAAATCATTTCTTCGTGATTACTTCATAGATTAAAAACCTGGATATACTGTCCTGCTGTTAAAGCAACGAATCATACAAATTGGAAAACCATGCTATCTTCGGAATTCAGACGAAAATTTCATTTCTGCCATTTTGGCTGCCTGAATGAATGATTTTCCTATCGAAGAATAATCCCCAGATCTTGAATTGAGAGAAGATTTCCCTATTTATTAAAAACTACTCCAATTTTCCATCTAATATATTATTGAAGATCAAATTTATCTCACAGAGAAAAAAATACTTTCATTTGATGTGTACAAACCTTCTCCTGATTTCAAAGTGGTGGGATGGAAGTGCTGTCAGTGCGGCGTCCCTTTAAGTTACTATACCAGAAAACTATTCAATTATTTACCTCCCAGCTGTCGGATTTGTGGTCATTATGAATGTGGGTTTTGTGCTGACGTTGTTCAGAAAAATCGATGATTTTCATAAACACTACATAAACTACTACAAAAAAAAAAAAAGCATAGCTTTTTGTAATTTGCTCTATTTTTATTCAACAAGAACTATTCATTTGACAATATCTGCATATTATCAACCATCGGAAGTGGATGGACTTTTCATTTCATTATATATACCTCATACCCTATTCAACAATTGGAAAATAGTTTCATACCGAGCTTCCACTACTTTGAACACTTCCTTAGTGAAATTACCATCAATATTCAATTTCTTAAGCTGCTCATCCTCAGTGATCATCGTGGAGGCCAACCCATTCAACATTGTTTTATTTTTCACACTAATTTGCTTCAATCTATTATCATTATGAGAATCCTGGATCGATTTTTGCAATTCACTCAAATGATCAATGACATGGGTGCTCATGCCTTGATACTGCGGATGGTTCTTATTGAACAACCTTGGGAAATGCTGCTTATACGCTTTGAATGATTTATTGAACGATTTGTACAATCTAATGGTGGTGATGTATTTATGTGCCACTTCCCAATTAACAACATCAACATAAGCGGCAGTAATCTTCCCAAACTCACCAATTATTGTGGCGAAAATCGTACTAATCGCTGCCAATTGTTGATCGATAATTTCTTTCTTATCATTGGATAATAAAGATCTGACTAATTTCCAGAAATTATAATATAAGTCTATTTCTAATCTTTCAACCTCTGTAAACTGTTTATCTAATAATTCTTGTGAAGTTTCCACAAGGATTTTCTCAAAACTGTCAAATAATTTCGAATTACCTTTACCATCAAAGTCAATTGGCGATTTCAATAACAAATGACGTAGATTTTTAAGTTTAAGGTATTGATCCCCAGTTCTTGGTCCAACACTAAGTTTGGTGTCCAATGATCTAAGTATATGGCCAATTCCAGCATTCCATTCCGTGGTGAAGTCTCTATTGTCAGAATACGACCATTGATAATCAGTTGGAGAAGAGTTGTTACAGATTTCTCCAGTGGTATTGAAACTCAATATTGAATCATGAACATGATCATGGTCATTTGTTGATGCCTTCTTGCCTTGGATAATATTATTGTTGGTGTTCAATTTGATCAAATTCGAATAATCGTAGTTTGATTTCTTTTGGTCAGCAAACTTGGTTCTCCCACTGGTAAGTTCTTCAATTTCCATCAATTCTGCAAAGCTATAAAACTTTTCATAACTTGCTGCCAATTTCTTCATGAATTCAAAATATTTCTCGATTTTCGTAAACGATTCATTAGTATAGCAATTATTCAAGAAATGAATCAAATAATCATGCTGGGAGTCATCGTAAAACTTCAAGTTTTTTAAAATCACCAGGTTTATGTACTTGTCCATATCTGGGAATGTTGACGCCATTCTGGTGGACAAGTAATGGTTTAGAGTATCAATTTGCACATTCTTAATACTCAAGGAATTAAAAGTCTCGGCGGTCAAGGTAGCAAGGTTCAAATAATTATAAAGTTTCATTAACCAGAGCTTGACGATAAAATCTTCAGGAGAAAACGAAAGCACGTATCTAAGAATAATCACTTGTCTGATCACCGATTGCTTAGAGAAATTGGCCGACAACTCCACTTGTAAATTCATGATCAATAATTCGTTACCAATGAAATAATCAGTCTTTAACAAGTCCTTGTTGTGCACCAAATAATTGTCATAGCAATAATTGAAGATTTTAATATTTTCGGCAATGTATTCTTTGGAACCGGTTCCCGAAAGTAAATGAGGTTCGTTTTGCAAAAACTTGAATTTCTGAAGATTCACTAACATTGTGACTTCTTGAATTGTGGATTTGGTCTTTTGGGACAACTTAGTATCTAATCCTAAATCTTTATAGTATTTACCAAGTAAAAGATCGTTAATGAACCATTGGGTATCAAAGGCCGGATTTTTAACATACTTGATCAAATCAGAATACGCGCATTTTTTATTACCATAATATTCATAATACTGGGCCACTGATTTCTTTATTAACTCATCGTCTTTGAACAAGAACCCGCAATTAATATATGTTAAAAGAACGTTTCTTGAAGTTTTCAATTCCGATGGAAGGTTCTCCATTGATTTCAACACTTCTTGGTTACCAAGCTTGGAAGCTGCTAATAGCCAGTAATTCCAGAAATTGAAATCGTTGAATTTTTGGTCAAAGAGGACATGATTGGTGAAATCGTGGATTTTTTGATAATTATTGGTTTGATGAAGGAGTTCAAGATAAATCAATACTAAGGTGATATCGATTTCGTTGAATTTTTTCGTATCGATCAATTTTGCAATCACTTCGATGGCTTGATCGACCTGGTTGCAAGCAATCAACAATTTCACTTTGATGAAGATTTCTTGATCGGATTTCAATGGTTCGACAGTATTCAAAAGCTTCAACCCTAATTGAGGGAACAAATTTTTTTCCATGACGTTGTGATTGTTGATAGTAGCCAAATAGAAATTGTAAGCCGCAGCCAATGAGGCGTGGTGTTTTTCATCATTGCTAGTGACTTTTTGCAAATGGAACGATGCTTTTTGTAACGATGGGATATTCAAGTTAGTCAAAGAGTAATGGAACCAGTAATTGATAAGACTGGTGTTGAAAGGTTGTTTTTTCAACAACAATTCGAAGATTTTTGAAACGTCATTTGCGTGGTTCGATTGGTTGAAAATGTCAAGAAGTAACGTCAACACTTGGGTGTCTGCCAATTGGTTGTAATTTGCGGGATTGGTGACAAGGTCCAATGATTTGTCGTAAGCTTCTTGGTAATTATGGTCGATTTTCAATTTGTAGTAACATTCGAGAAGTTGGTAATGAATCGACGAAGGGTTTTTCTTAAGGAGTTTATTAACGGTTTCCTTAGCGACTTTGGGATTTTCCGAGTCCAAAGCGTGGAAGAACGACGATATTTTTGTAGTTGACATGATTTATATGTAATAATAGCATGTTTTGGTTGTAAAATCACTATGAGTTCATTTTTTTTTTATTTAGCACCAACCACCGGAACAAGTCGTACCGGTGAGAAAAATCGTTCATACCGACTGGGGGTATACCGTCACAACGGGATTTATTTATTTATACCATACTATTCCGCGTTGATTATTCATATATGATTTGCAAGCCTACTAGAAATAGAACTCGTAATGCAAATATTAATAATTTCCCGCATGAAATGATCTAGCACTTTCATTTCATTGATGGTAATACTGGGTTTAAAGTGGTAAAAGTGAGTTTTCCATCTAACATATCTATAGACAGCTTGCATGGTGAGAGAGAAAAGCAGGCAACATGAGAAAGAGAACCCAGCTCATGGTGATGATGTTCAAAAAAAAAAAAAGCAATGAATGACTGATCGCCATTGTGCACAGTTATTACACTAGTCTGTATTTTAGAGCTCTTGAAAGAACTAGGTAAACCGGAACTCTCTGAGAAAATAGCACACTACTCAAAATCATGCTGTGAATATATGTAATATGTGGTATTGTGAAAGCAAGTGCTACCTACCTACTCAGATGATCACATGGCTTTGTTAGCTTAACTGTGGGGAGGATAGCATTAATTTGCCATAATATATATACTTTTTCTGATAACAACAAATATCACTTCATTGATCTTTTTTTTTTGATACCAACGATGAATTATTGGATGAGTTGGAGGAGAAATTTGGTTCAATGGAAACAAATGAACAACTTTGTGACATCCAGAAAGGAAATGGTAGTCCTTCTTCATGGACAACCCATTGGAATTGAAAAAGTTCTCTTGTTTTGAAAATGTCATTGAAACATTTAATGGGTCTATCATACACAAAACTAATTTCACTGTAAACGACGCAGATAATCAAAAAATTCAAGATATGGTTGAGAACTTTCACAGCTGGACTTTCTATTACTTTGTGGTTGAAGCTACAAGACAGAAAAAAAAAAACAATCATCAGAATTAATCAACGAGAACTTTGACAATCTAGAAGTAGCTGATGCTCTAAGGCCAGAAACTATGAAAAGAATCTTAAATGCTCTTCGCACAAAGGCAATATTATTAATCAATCAGCCAATGTTGCTACAAGATGCGCACTGTTTTTCAGGAAAAGAGAAGATAACTGAAAGCAGTAGTGGTCAGATAAGACGTTCGAAAGGTTCGAAAGGTTCCGTATTTCATGTATCAACTTACAGAAAAAATATCATCTACAAATCCCTTCGTTACTGCTTTATTGAAGGGCGTAATGATTTGAACCCGATGATAGAAACATGGATACGTGAGCTTGTTGGTGTAATTGCACAAGCCAGCTCTGAATACCTATTGATTCCCAGGAAATCAAGGGGCTTGGAGAAATTGTATTAGCACATCATCCAAGAATAGACTTTTCTGTTCGTGAAATAGATAAAGTAAAGTATTTTACAAATATTGTTGATATCACTGTTAGAAGCCAACACGAAATAGAATTTCCTATTGAATTGAAACTTCCGTCATTAGCACAACATCTTCAGAGAATTAAAGAAGGTTATTTTTGCACAGGGGAAAAGACCAGTAAGGAATTCTTCACAAACATAAAACATTTAGCCAACTTATTATCACAAGTCGTATACCAGGCAATATCGGGACACTATATAGGCGGAGTGTCAACAGACACTCAAAGCTTCCTGCTATTTTGTTTTGATCTTTCAGAGCTTCAGAAAAACCAAGAGCTCCAGGGGAAATTGCGAAAATATGAGCAATCCAAGGACAAGCAGGAAACTGAGCGTTTAGCTCGTAAAATCGAGATTTTCATTGATAATTATTTGGAACGATTTATTACGAATCAAGCCTTCAAAACTCCAGACACAATTAATATTACCCAAATTGACATGAAAACATTATGTCTAACAAATGACTCAATGTCAGAAAATGATTTTTCTATCACCTTGAAATTGTTGGTGTTCATTTATAAGGTGATGGTGATGAACATTGAGCATCAAACATTGATAAGATTCTTTCATGACAAACTTCTTCAGAAGCTTCTATTGGGCACTAGAGAGAAATTGGAGATAATCAAGAATGGCCAGAAAGTAATAGTCCTATTTTATAAATTTATTTTCAAAGAAGATCAACGAGCACGAAAATTGTTCCAGACGGTATGTCCAGACCTAGAATTCTTGGAAAAGCAAAAAAGAGATTTCAGCAAGGCATGTAAGGTGTTTCATTCCAAAAACTCTTGGAAATATGAGAAATGCTTAAAATTTAAGGAAATCTACCACGCAGTTACAATCACTATGAAGTTTTGTTAACCTTCTTTGTGGCTATAAGAAAACTTGTTTGCATGCACCACAACAAAGTTTTCCACGGAGACATCAAGAGAGGCAATGTCAAAATGATTGGTTATTGGGAGTACGAAAAGAAAATATTTGATTTTTTCTTCTTGGATTTTGGTATTTCAATTGCCAAAATAAATATAAATAGTGAAGATGGTAGCAATGATCTGTCTGATAACCTATTCTTCAACACACTTATTCTGAATCCTGAGAAAAATATTTCCAGTATCGTGAGAAATGATATAAGCCTGATAGTACAGGTATTTGATCAATTCAATGGAAAAGCAAAAGAAGCACTATTTCAGCGAAGAGTCGGAGCTAGCTCAAAAAAAAGAAAAAAGAAAAACTTTTACTGAATTGAAAACACTTTTTTCTTCGATTTTAACAATACTTCATCATCCAATTACTGCTGTATCAAGTTTCAATGATTTGGCTGACACGGTGATTCGCGCCCGTCTAGATCTCCCTAGTACTGATATTCGTTCTCATTATTGTGAATCTATCAAGAAGATTTCAAATTCCTCTTGATGCTGCACCAGCCTACTATTCTTTTTTTCACATCTTGTTCCATTATGTATCTGTGCTATGATCCTCCAAATGATATATTGAATATTCGACATTGCTGTAGATTTTATCCAGCATGAACTTTTAATGAAGACAGACACCTACTTGGCATTCTCACCACTAAATATTTACACTAAATACACTAACTTGGTGGTTCAGGTGATATTCCATTACATCCAACAGGTATATATATATATATATATATAACATAACGTATATAGATGAAATATTCATAACGTACGTTAGAGGAGTAAATGAAGCTTGAGCTTCACCGGGGCTCGTGATAACCGTTTTTTGGTCTCACAGAAAATTTCTTTCTTGGATCGATTATTATCAAGTTACGATTCTTTTGATAATTTCTATTATGAACAGTTTGCGAAGATTGTTGGGAAAATTCATCAAAATGGACAAAAACGACTACCATGCCTGGGATAAACAGAAATTGATCGAAAGAATCCAGCAATTGGAATCGTCGATAACTGCAAAACAGCAGCAGACAAAACAACCAAAAAAGGAATTTGACTTCTCTAAACATCATACCCGATTCATTGCCCTTAAATTCTCATATCTCGGATGGAACTATAACGGATTGGCCTACCAAACCCACGAGACCGAATTACCCACCGTGGAAGAAACCGTTCTTAAGGCATTAGAGAAGTGTAAACTCATTCCATCGATGAACCCCAATGATTTCAAGTTTAGTCGATGTGGAAGAACCGACAAAGGGGTCAGCGCCATGAACCAGGTTATTTCTTTAAATGTCCGTTCGAATTTGTCATCAGAAGAACAAAAGGACCCGGCAAACGATTTCAAAGAACTCAATTATATCCAAACGTTGAATAAATTGGTGCCTCATGACATCCGGTTTAAAGCGGTGTGCTTACGGCCTCCAAAGGACTTTGACGCAAGATTCAGTTGTCAGTATCGTCATTATCGATATTTCTTCCACAAGGATGATTTGGATATTGAGTTAATGAGACTAGCAGCAAAGAAATACGAAGGTGAGCACGACTTCCGGAATTTCTGTAAGATCGATGGGAGTAAACAGATCCATAACCATGTTAGAACAATGCTATCATCGGATATCGTGGCCTACAATGAAGAGTTTTACTATTTTGATTTACAAGGACGGGCATTTTTATGGCATCAAGTAAGATGTATGGTGGCTATTTTGTTTTTGGTGGGGTCGAAGTTGGAAAAGCCCGAAATCATTGATTGGTTGTTTGATGTGACTAATAATCCTCGAAGACCAGTGTATGATATGGCCAATGATCTTCCATTGGTATTGTACGATTGTAAATATAAAAATGATGTTGAATGGACCACCATGCAGACCCAAGATAGGTTTGCGTATGCACAATGGTTAGAATCAAACTTGAAACACAATATCTCCAGTGTTTTCTACGATTATTTCCTATCGGTACCTGCAGTGGCCGATTCACGAACCGTGGTGAACGTTGGAGATGGGAAAAGAAAACCTGTTGGGAAGTACATTGAGTTGAAGAACCGTCAGAAGTTGGAGACCGTCGAGGCCCAAAATGCAAAATTCAAGAAGAGAAAACTCAAATGAGGAGAAACAAATTTGTGAATGTGTATATTAGAAAACATGATAGATATATTGTATAATATTATATTGTTGTATTGTATTGTAGAAATGGGGCGATGTTGTTGTCAACTGTCACGTTGTTGTGTGAAGCATTGGAAAAAAAAAAAAAAAAAAAAAAGGCCACAAACATAATCATAAAAAGTATCATCCTATTCGAATAGAAGATTCATATTCAGAGGAGGAGTCATTATAGAAACCCCATCATCATACTATGACGATAGAGGAAGAGGATCTCGGTGATCTCAGCTACACCATACCAAGCTCCCCAGATGACATTTCTGCAAGACTCGAGAATGACGTCCGATATTTACAAGTCCCCGATAAAGTCCATTACTCGCCATTACAGATCACCATATACCGGATCACATCTGCCATCAGCTCTTTCATCTTTCTATCGATCCTAATGTCGCTAGCAATTTTGAGGTCGTCGATTAAAAAACTCACCCGGGGCCTGACAAATAAAAATTCCCCCAACATGCGGTCACCTCATAAACCAGTGGCTCCATTATCAAAAGCCGAGAAGAAATTAGTGCCTCGACTAGAATACTATTTCGAGATCCACGGACTAAATCTCTTGGTATATAAGATCACTACAGATGATGGGTTTATTTTGACATTACAACGAGTCATTGATCCTCACGAACCTGAAGAAATCACTAAAAAAAGGAAACCGGTCCTTTTGTTACATGGGCTCTTGCAATCCTCGGGAGCCTATGCCACTTCGGGTCCCGATAATTCGTTATCATTTTTTTTGCATCGACAAGGATACGATGTGTGGCTAGGAAATAACCGATGTGGGTTTGAACCACAGCACGCGTATCTTGATGAAAGTGACCCCAACATGTGGAATTGGAATATTTATAATATGGCAAGATACGATCTCCCGGTGATGATCGACCAAATCATTCTGCGAACCCACAAACATAATAAAGTGACCCTCATTGCTCATTCGCAAGGGACCACCCAGACGTTTTTGACATTGTTGGCGAAGAACGCCATTGCTTATAATCATAACTTGAACGATAAGTTACGATGTTTTATTGCCCTCTCCCCGGCGGTATTTGGAGGGGAATTGTTAAGAACCAAAAATTTCATCAAGTTCATGAACATGTTACCGAAAAGTATGTTCAATTACGTGTTTGGGATCCATTCATTCATGCCGATTATGATGCATATGAGGACGGTATTGGTACGAACCAGGGTATTTGGGTTTTTAAGTTACTCGATGTTCAATTTTCTCTTTGATTGGGACGATTCTTTATGGGATAAACGGCTTCGTACAAGACATTTTGTGTTTTCTCCCGTGTATATCAGTTCGAGGTTGATGTTATGGTGGTTGAACAACGAAGATGGGTTTATCAAAAATTCCACCACGATTTTCAATTTCAAAGAGAAGTGGTTCGATACCCATACTCCCCCAATATATTTGTTTGTTCCTGGGAAGGATAAGTTAGTAGATGGGGAGATGTTGATTGATCATTTCGATCGGTACGAGACCGATTTAACAGAGTTTAGATATAAGAGAATTGAACATTATTCTCATTTAGATGTATTATGGGCCACCGATGTGATAGAAACTATCGGCCAACCAATCGTGGAGTTTTTAAAGGAGTTAGATGAAATAGATATGAATTAGATGATATTAGATATCGTTAGATATCGTTAGGACATGTTTTATTAGATTTGTTTTCTGTATTATTATTATTATTATTATTATTATTATTATTATTATTATTTTTATGGTTTTCATTATTATTATTATTATTATTATTATTATTATTATTATTATTATTATTATTATTATTATTATTATTATTATTTTTATGGTTTTCATTATTTTCACGATTATTACCTACAAATGTTATAAACACAATTATCAATACCCATTTTATTTACCACCAGTAAATGATTTTTTTTCTGAGTTAATCAGACTCATATATACAAAACACTCACTACCTCTCCGTTCGATTTATCCATCCTGTTTAGAAATTTAAAATGACTTTGGTCTTCTTTGGAAGTTCAACGCCTGGGTTTCTGGGATCTTTCTCTTCTTGGCTTCGGTGAACAACACATGTTGCTTGACGATTGGATCGTATCTCATTTGTGTTACAAGGGGAGACGATCTTGGTCTAACCACGTACCTGCTGAACCCAGTCTTAGCAGCAGAAATCAACTTGATCACCGTGGTTCTGGTCTTAGTTTCTGTTGGACATTAAGGTTAGTTATTTAATTACCTTGGACAAAAAAAAAAAAAACGAAACAAAAATGACAATAACGATAATGTGTTATGTGTCACCATATGATATTATATATATATCCTCAAACGTACTAGCCATGTTTTATTATATTATATTATTATTATTATTATCAATTATGTTCCTTCTCACATCATCGGATTCTCGAATTGCAATAATTTCAAACGTTGAAAGAAGAAAAAAAAAAAAAAAAAATTCCACTTTCAGAGTGCGCGGAGACCAGAAAAACGCGGGTGAAAACAACGATAATCATCAACAAACATCATTAAATCACCGTGATATCATATTATATTATCTTATATAATGCCATTCGATACCGGTTGTGGGATTATTAGTGATGAAGAAGATGATTTTATCAATCAGGAACATAAACTGAATAAATTGCGCGAGATCTCGCGGATCGATGATGAAGTTGGTAAAAGACAAAAAGAGATTGATCAATTACTTGCCCAGCGACAACAACAAAAACAAGCGTTGATTTCCAATGAAAAACAAACAGAATTAGACGATCAGAGGGCCATCAAGAAACAACAACAGCAACAACAACAAAAACGAATAAAATCGGCTTCCATGGCCTCTTCTGCCCTGACAAAGCGACATATCCTCTCAAATAATAACAACAATAACTCATTTGCACAAAAACTTGCCAATGTGTATAAATCAGAGAAGGCAACTCAGTTGGAAAGAAAACAGTTCCTCCAAGAAAGAAAATACGCTTTTGGTTTGGATAATGATGAATCCATCATGGTAACCCCGATAGATGTCGATGGTGAGAAAGAGGAATACTCGGGGCAACAGCTTAGTAAACGATATATCGACGCCACGACGATATCAAAGATCTTCAAAGATAAAAAAGTGTTGAGGGTCGACAAGTTGTTTGCTAAAGTGTGTCCTCCTGATTTTTCGGAACCAGAGTATCCTAATTGGGTGGTGATTGGGGTGATAACTGCAAAAGAAGATCCTAAGAAAATTTCCACCGACCACTCTCGACAAAAGAAAACCACCACCAGTGACCTGGGAGGAAAATACATGAAACTTACTATCTCCAACTACGTCCTCAGTGTTTCTTTAATGCTATTCGGTCCGGCGTTCGACAAGTATTGGAAATTACAAGCCGGGGACGTCGTGGGGATTTTAAATCCAAAAGTCTCTCCTTGGAAATTCGCCAGTGATGGACAATACAAATCATTCAACCTAGTATTATCCACCGATTATGATTCGATTGTGGAAATCGGCCGGTCGAAAAATTTCGGCCATTGTAAAGCGTTCAAAAAAAACTCATCTACCAGAACTTGTGGCGTTCCCGTCGATAAATCGAAATCCGAGTACTGTGAATACCATCAAAACCTATCATTGAAACGGATCACCGCCAATCGATTAGAACTTGGCGGGTTATCCACCAGTGGTGGCCCCAATAAGCTGCGAAACATGGTGGAGAACAAAACGGTGTTGATGAATACAAATTATAAGACCAACGATGCTCGAAGTTTTGGATTACAAATTTATGATAATCCCAATGCCTCGCGGTTCCACTCGCAGGACGATTTAAATGTCGGGAACGTGTATTTTTCCAATATCAATGCGAAAAAAGCGTTTTTCGACGATGAATACGTGAACCCGGAGGCGGTGGCCAATGTCGATTCCAAACGCAAGAAATTGGCCAATAAGAAGAAGGAATCGGAGCTACGACAACGGCTTCTGGGGATTAAAGGGGGGAAATCTCTAAAAAACGATATCGTTTATGATGAAGCTGGGAATCTTGAAGCAATGAAGCAAAATGCCGCCAAAGTGTTCGAGACGGCATTTACTCCAGATACCATCAATCAATTAGGGTTTGACCCCACCAAGAAAATGTTCGGCGCTTCAAAACTTCAAGGCGACGATGTTCTGGACCGACGAGGCCGGGCCAAGCATAAGATTGAATCGCTCGATGCGATTCGTAAAAAACGCAAAAGAATCCACCTTTCGCCATCTAGAGAATCCAAGGAAAAGCGGACTAAGGATTGGAATCGTAATGTGAAATCATTGAAACATTATCGGAAAGAAGTGCAAGAGAAACAGGATTTCCAAAATTATTTATCCGAAGAATTGTCTTCTGCCCCATCATCGGCGTTTTCTAGTCCTGCGAAAGTAAAGAAGCAAGTAGACGTTGGGAACATAAAAAACCAACAATTAGATGACGAAAAGATAACCCAGCAACTAGAGACTGGTAAGAAGAATTTGGTTGGCAAATTGATGGAATCCAGTAAACCAGAAGAAGTTAATTTACAGTCCACTAAAAAAACCATGGTTGGAAAATTTATGGCCATGAGAAATCGACCTGAAAAACAGAATGAGGAGCGTAGTAGCAGTACTAGTAGTAGCGATAGTGAATTAGAGATTGATTTTGGTGGTAATGAGGAGAAGTATTATTCCGCCATTGGGAGCAGGTAGATGAAAATTAATAAGAATTATTCAGTTATGAAGTAGATAGATGAAAAAAAAAAGAGTCTAGAAAGTGATGAATTAGATAATGCATTGTTAAAAGTTATGGCTTGAAATTCTAATTTGGAATTGTAAATTGATTTGCACAGATCGTGTGATGAAATCTTAAATTAAACTAATATTGTTGATAATATATCAAGAAATAAATATTTTTAAGAAACAGTGATTCTCATTCAAAAAAACTACAATTTGAACTTCTTTGTTGAACTGTGGCAACACAAAACAATTTTTCATGAGTTTATAGCATGACAGTATCTTACAACATAACGGTTATGAAAATATATGTATTTAAAAAAAGAAAAAAGTTTCAAAATATTTGCCCAAACTAGAACACACAAGATGAGTTAAATTATATAACAGAGTCAAAAAATAAAAAAGGAAAGAAAAAAAAAATCAACTGTTATTTTTCTTGTTTTCTTTTCAAGTTGGTTTTCATTATTTTTTTTTTTTTTTTGCTCTTCATTTTTGTAAAATAATGAGGATGAAAAAAAAATTCAAAAGATCAAAATATAATCACCGGAAATCTCTCCACTAATGAAGTTCCAACTAAACATGCTTTAACACCTACCCTTTCAACACTAAACATTAACAATAATAATAAAAAAAAGGATCCTAATAATACACACACACGGGTAAAACCTACTTACTCATCATAATCATCATACCCTCCACCACCGCCAGGAGTTGGTGCGGCTCGATCATAAGTAGATGGAGTTTCAGCAGTCCAGTCCCCGCCAGGGGTTGGAGCACTCATTCCAGGAGTATGGCTGGTTACACCAGGAGTTGGGGCACTATTTTCGTGACCGTGTTGGTTCCAAGATGAGGCATTTCCATAAGACGTGGCCCCACCATAAGAAGTAGCTCCACCATAGGAAGTGGCCCCACCGTAAGAGGTAGCTCCACCATAAGAGGTACGGTTCCCGTAGGCAGTACCCCCACCATAAGCAGTACCTCCGCCATAAGTAGTACCACCACCATAGGCGGTTCCTCCACCATAAGCAGTACGATTACCACTGTCACCGGCACTAGTTCTTGAACTCCAGGCAGGAGTACGGGCGCCTGCTGCAGGAGTACGTCCTCCATAAGCAGTACCTCCACCATAAGCAGTACGATTACCACCACCACTACCACCGTAGGCGGTTCTATTGCCAGCAGAATTACCACCATAAGCAGTACCACCCCCGTACCAAGTTCCGCTGGATTGGCCAGCCCACGAACTTTTATTACCACCACCACTACCATTACCGTACGCCGTGCCGCTTCCATTGTTAATAGCATTTGAGTAACTGGAAACACCATTATTGCCAAACGCTCCACCAGATCTCATGGTGCTCATGCTCCAAGTTTCGTATGGTTCGACTTGGCCATTCTTTTGATGGAAACTAAGTTTTCTCTTGTCTATGGAAATAATCTTGTTTTTGGTATGGAGTTCCACTCTGGCAATGTCCCCATTAGCATCCTTAATGATCCCTTGATATGTCTTGTATGGGCCAGAATTGATGGTGACCTTCATATTGATAGACTTATCTCTTCCCACGGTTTGGGCCACTGGGGCAGCTTGCCTATTCTTATCCACTTGAAGCTTTGGGTTCATTTTACTAATATCAGGGGCCTTGAAAACCGTGGATAAACTACCCTTGGAGGAAATCGTGGTAACGTTTACCGAATTGGTGACGAAAATCCCGGTGTTTTCGACGATGGTTCGTGATTTCAAAAATAATACCGCCTTGAAAATATGCAAAATTGTACCTTGCCTTCTTTCCCCAGCACGTTCTTTGACAGTATCACCCACCTTAATTTCCAACCCATTGGCATCTGTGGACATGGTTTGATCTCTCAACAAGTTAATCTTGTTAGATATTGACGATGGGGTGGCAGCAACCACTCTACCATCTTGACATAACACCAGGAAAACTTGTTTGTCAGCCTTGATGATAATCCCAAAGTTCTGCAAATTTAATTGCACCAAATCATGGAGCTCATATTGCCCACCGGCGTTGTTCCCGGTACTATCTGTAGATTTAATTAAATAGTTAGAAAACACCGTGATATCCTTTTGGGTTTGGTCAGACACTAACGTGACTTGATGGTTATTGACGTCTAACACCAACCCTGTCTCATCAAGATGTTTACCATGAATGACTCTAACGTGATCACCACTTTCGAAAATCTTTCTGATGTTGGAAGCAGGGATTTCGGTAATTCTGTCTTTCAAGCCAGAATCGCTAGAATCAATTTTGATACTAATGACATCTTTCCGTTCTGCCGACGAAACAAACCCTTTGATACCTTTTTGTTCACCTTTGACCACCTCAATTCTATCACCTGGTTGGAAAGTAGTGGAAGATTGGTTAGATTGTTTCAAAGATTGGGCAATGGTTGATAAATCAATCCCTTCGTCATTGACGTTAAACTTTGACAATTCCGACAATGAAGGGTTGACTTCGTTAGTTTGTAAGTACTGGATCTTAAAATCTTTGTATAAGAACCCATCTTTATAACGCTCGGTTTTATACCTGAATACGTTATGACCTTCTTTAGTGATTGGGTGTTTAAGATCGTATTTTTTGGCTTCCATTTCGTTGAATAATCTTGCAGGAGGTCTGTATTTATTAGACTGTCTTTTACGTTTCCCAGATTCGTCAAATTCATCGTATCTACCATAATCCAATCTAGGCACCACTTTACACAACACTTCCAACCCGTTTTCACTGATATCTTCGACAATCGCCAAATCATTTTTGTAAAGCCCTCTTTTAATTCTGACGTAAATCCCTGGCACCATTTCGACATCGGTGGATCTGGTTGGTCTTAACAAATCAGGGTACTCGGCCACCGGCACAAGTAAGAACCCTCTGGAAGTGTACACATTGACCAACCCTTTAACTGCTTGGTTGACCGCTTCAATCTTTCTGGCTTCGATATAAATATACCCGGTGAAATTGTCTCTTTGGAACGCCGAATAAATCTCCAATGGGTTCTTGGTCATTTCCAAACTAATTTTTTTTTTCATGATTTGTCTAATCAAACTGGTTTCTTTGCCAGGAGTGACACGGACTGCCCAAATATTAGGGTCATTGACCGAAGGCATCAAAAGCTTTTGAGACACCATGACACGGTCCCCACGGTATCTTTGGGAGGACTTCCCATATCTTTCCTTATAATCCCTAGCAAGCGCCTCCATGTCCTCGCTTCTTTCCTTCTCACGGGCCCGGTCGACTTTACGATGGACAATGTCCTTTGTTGGTCCGGATTCTGCCTCGTCATCGTGGTCACCAGCGATAAACTCTTCTCTGAAATTCGCAGCTTCCTCATCATCTTCGTCTTCGTCTTCATCTTCACTGACTTCGGCAATATCATCAATGAATCGATTACGACGCGCCTTTTTATGCGACCTGATATCTTCGTCGTCGTCATCGTCGTAATCGTCGTCTTCTTCGTCATCATCATCGCTGTATTTGGCCTTGACAATATCGTCGACCCCACGGACATCGTCGTCCTCGTCCTCCTTGATGTCGATTCTTCTGTCTTCTTCGCCGTCACTGCTCATGATTATGTGTCTCTGGTGATATCTACTGGATTGTCACAGACAACAACATGGTGGTTTTATCAGGAAGTAAACCGCTGGCAATGCTGGAATTTCCATCGCGAGTTTTTTTTTGCCTCCGTTTTCAGTCAGCTGGGGAAAAAAAAAAATGGTTGCGCAGCCTTGGCGGGGGAGACCACACCGACACAGAAAATTTGAAAGAAAAAAACTTTTCAGTGAAGAAGACGAAGACGAGGAGTAGGTAGACAGATATTATTATTCTTATTCTTATTATTATTATATAACAATGGCTACTGGATCGTACGTTATTATTTGAGATACTTCTCACCATGGCTCATTTTTCAACTAACACGAAAAACTAGCTGGGCTGATGAGGAAGACGAACTTCCACCAACCAGAATCATCGACAACAAGGACGGCACCAAGTTGGTGATCTCCTACAAGTTCAACGAAGATAACAAGAAGGTTCAAATAACCCAGAAGATCAAACATACCATGATAAGAGAACACGTTCATCCTGCCGTGGCTGCCAGAAGAAAGTGGAAGAAGTACGGGGCCGAGAAAGATAAGCCTGAAGGACCAGATCTTAGTACCACCCAGATCGGTGACCCTGTGCAATTGAAATTATCGTTCAACATGAAACAGGCAGAACTCGAAGAAGAAGAAAAACAGAAGGCCGAACAGAAGCTGACCACCATCAACGTGTTCAAGTGCAGATACTGTGGTGGGGAGCATTTCACAGCTAGATGTCCATACAAAGAAACCCTTGGATCAATGTCACAAAGCACCGCTTCGAACCCACCACCAGAAGATGAATCGTCAGGTAATGCGGGCGGTAGCGGCGGCAGCGGATATGTTCCACCACATCTTAGAAACCGTAAGCCTGGCGAGGCTAGTAGTGGTGGTAAGTTTGAAAGAGATGATTCTACTACTTTGAGAGTCACCCAATTGAACGAAATTGTCGACGAAGACATGATCAGACACGAATTGTTTGGCAACTTCCGTTCTATACAGAGAGTCAACTTGGTCAGAAACAGAGAAACCGGGAAATCTAAAGGTTTGGCATATGTGGCATTCGCTACAATTTCCGATGCCGAACGTGCTTTGGAAATGTACAACGGTAAGGGTTACCACAACTTGATTTTACAATTGGAATGGTCTAAGCCAAAGAAATGAATGGTGTTGTTTCTTTAAGGTGGTTTCAATGTTTATTTTTAATATATGTAATTTTGTTCTTACTTGTTGTAGTAATTGCGATTGTGGCTTGATGATAATTATGGTTTGTCGATGATGATAATAATATTTTTGGGTGCTTAATGAATAGAGAGTATTATTTGATGACACTTTTTTTTCAATTATATTCTTGGAAACTCGATCATACGTTTGGGAATTTTGTTATTCAATTATATTTTGTATATTATATAATTTATATCTTATTTACTTTACATCTTTTACACTTTAAATTCTAACATATTCTAAAAGAAAAACCTCACATTAACATCGATTGGATGTGACGATGATAATTGGGGCTTTTGAGAGTATTTTCCCAGCAACGTTCCTCTCATGTTGTTCAACAACGAAAGATAACTTTGTTCCGGTTGTTGTGTCAACACTTTCATAAACGCATACGACATGGCCCCGGTGGCTTGTCCATTGATCTTTGCATCAGTAGAGGTTTGATTATCCTTACACCCAGAAATCGACACCACATCGGCTGGAGAAGTCTTTGATTGGACAATTCTGTCACGTTCTGGTTTCGATTTCAATCTCGATAACCCTTGGACAAGACTTAATCCTGTCAGAATTAAGCTGGAGATGTCACCGTTAAGCACCGTTCCAATGACTTGGGAAGATTCAAGACCCGACGCCGACAAGATGTTGGATTCTTTAATCACCCCTTTGGTAGAATAAACAAATGGTAAATCCAACGCGGTCCCGGAGTGGCATGAGTCGAATAATGCTGTCAATCGACACCCAGCAGGGAGGCTTTTCACCATGATATCATGCATCACGTCATCGACGATTTGCCCATTGGTGGTGAAATCAATAGGATAAATGGTGTTATCGAACCCATCTTCCTCATCGCCGTCCAAATCTTCGGTCACCCCACCATGCCCCGAGAAATGAAAGAACAAAGAATCGTGGGGTCTGGCATCTTTGACCAACCACTGCATGGCTCGAAGAATGTTGGCTTTGGTGGGTCTTCTAGCAGCTGATGATTGATCGTCGGTAAGAATCACAATGTTTTCTTCGGGGTACCCGAATTGTGAGATAATGAATTTCCTGATATTGTTGGCGTCATTGATACACCCTTGTAATCTGACCCGAGCACCTTGGTCAAGGTAGTTGCAACCAATGATTAAGGCCTTACGTTTGCCAGAACATTGGGAGTATTGGAAAGTCGAGCCGTTACCGAAAGTCTGGGTCCCTGAAGGAACGTCTCTAGGAGTTTGGGCTGGAGAGGCGACGTTGTATTGCGGAGGATTTGGAGAATAGTTTTGAGGAGGGGCAGAGTATTGGTTATTTGAATAATATTGATGATTTGGAGGGTGATGGTGGTTATATTGTTGACTATTTGAAAGGTACTGTTGATCAGGAGGAAATTGGGGATTATGAGGAGGGTACTGTTGGCTACTTGCAGGGGGTTGGTGACGATATTGGTGGGTAGGTGGGTATGGCGGAGGACTGAATTCTCGTTCCATTTGGTAAGGAGGACAGTCTTGTCTATTATATTGTGGAGGGGGAGGAGGAGGACCATTGTTGTAAGGGTCGGAGGATCCGCCAAACAGTAATCCCATTGGCTGTTGTTGTTGATATCCTTGGTCATAGTACGGTTGACCTGGAGGGCCGCCTGGAGGACGCTGGTAGTTGTTGTGCTGGTTTGGGTACATTGGGGTATGTGGTGGTGGTGGTGGGAGATATATTAGGAAGCGGAATAAGTGGTGGGGGCCGAAGTGGCTGCTTATATACTCTTTTGGTGGTCGACGATTCGGTGGATGGGGGGTGGGTGGGGGCGTCGACGCTAAAACGGTTCGGCTACCGGAGGTTGCATTGTGGTGTGTTCCACATTATTATTATTATTATTATTATTATTATTATTATATATCATATATTACATAGTATATTATCATATAATCTATATATTTTAATACACCCTACTTTGTATTATTATTTCCTGTGGCGACCTTCAGTGGTTGAAGTTAGTTAGTGGCTCTTCGATCACTACCATATACACGGATACTGCTCTGCTTAGATTCTCTTGAGATCTCTTCATTTGCCATGAAGGGAAGAATATATTACGTGAGGGTAGAAAGATCTCTGAACCTTAACCCTTCTCTGAGAAGAAAACTACCTAACAAATAAGCCAGCTTTTTTGTAATGGGAAATCCCTCTACTATAGTGTCGAAATAATGATGCTTCGGGCACAGCCACCTACACCAAGCCATAAGTATACTAGAAAACTCCAAAAGCTATAACAAGGCAAGCCCGAAAGAGTTTGGAAAGATAATCAACTATATCATAAGATATCATTCCTTATTAGCTTCAAATTCCTCTTCATTTTGCTCTATATATATGATGATCATGATGACAATCCCACATTGGCAAAAATACTGATTGTTCAGATCAACATGATATGTTTTCCTAATTGTACTTCATGGCAACAGTATCAAATTTTCCAAATATATTGCAACTTCTTCTGGGAAAGAAAGTCCTTTTGTGAAGTGCTGGAAAGAAAAAATTACATTAGAACTAGACTGACAGTTCATGGTGACACAATTGATCTTAACAGGATTCTGCCGGAGGCTATTTATATTGTAATTGACAAAGGTCAACAATAACAATCTATCGCGATTGAATAACGGTGTCTGTGGCTCAAAGGTTTTCTCAATATTGGACCACATGGTGTCCTTTTCTTCTAAGTATGATGCTATCCTCCATAATATATTGACCACTCGCTCAAGACAAACCCTTTAATCAGCCAGCTATTTGGAAATCATTCAATTATTTTTGTCCTACAAAATGAGCTCCATAGATGATTTTTCTAATTTCTATTATACAAATAAACCAGTCATCAATGCTATATGCTTATCGTAGAAACGACTGCTAATCCATTAGAATTCAGACATTATTGATAATTTGCTTTGACAATATTTTTACACTCTTTCTAAAACCATCATAATCCAATGAATAACATCTAGTGTAGAGCCTATTTAACCAGGAAAAAAAAAAAGGCAAATTCATGGAATTTCCCCTTATCGTACTGACCGTAATTAACAGCTTGCATCCAATGGAATATAACTATGAAAATCTTAGGCACGACTGACATCGGTTAGCAAGTGATTTGGATCAATACGGTCTTGTGAATGATATATCGCATTATTGGAATGCAAATACTTCTTGCTAATAGTACAACCAATAGGATAATTGCCATTGGTGTCATCACCATGTTTGCAACCATTCATGTATCCAACAAGTATGCCAATTGAGGAGACATTCAAACCTTACTGAAACTAACAGTTAGCTAACATTGTTGGTGAGTATATTCAAATAACGTAAAATAAATATTCAATTGTGAAAGCTTTAGAAGAAAATTCATAAGAAAGAAGAAGAAAGCCAAAAATATATTTATAAAAATAAAAGTATCTAGGAAAGACATCAATAACAAAGACATCGACAACAATAACAGAGAGTAAAATAAAATAATAGTAATAATAAACAACCATCAATAAAAACAGATATCAATAAAAAAGAAACAGAGAAAGAGCAAATATAATGACCAAAACCATCATTCAAGATGTCTTTTTTCTTCAACGGCCACTGCCACCTGTTCAACACTCTCATCATCAACCACCTTTTCGGCCATTTTTTCCTCTTTCAATTGTAAGAATCTGATAGCTGCTGCAACGATAACACTGACACAAAGAGTGGCGATCATCGCGTAACAACTGTGCTTCCACTTTGGAACATAAGTGGCCTTGAAGAACAAGATCGACCACCAAGCGTTGACGGCATTGGAAAACATGTTCATACTGGCCAAAGTAATCGCTGCTTCTTCCAAATCATTATGACACACCACGTTGGCCCAAGCAAAATACACGGCCTGGCCAGCAAACGATACCCCAGAAAAGTATTGGGCCACAAACACCGCGGCAGTGTTCAATGGAGCTGCAAGAGTCAAGATCACGGAAATGATCATGAAGACAAAGATCAACAATGCAATGTGCCAGTGGTATCTAGCACCGGTTAAATCAACATAAAGTGAACTGGCAAACGTGGCGACAATCCCCACGGCGTATATCCCCATAGGATAGTTGTTTCTATCAGAAATGCTATATCCAGCCCATTTTAACCATAATGCGAAAAGACTGTTGATACCAAAAGATTCGTTTTCCCCGGCAAACATCCAAAGGATAGAGAATAACCACCAATGCCATCTACCAACCACCCGCTTGACCACCGACAAATCGAACTTGGTTTCGGCCCGTGGTGGTAATCTATCGATCGCCAATTGCTTTTCTTCCTCGCTGAGGAAGAACACGGAACAATTGCTTGGATAATCAGGGAAGAAGAAGAAACCGTAAACCACAATAGGCATGGTGATGATGAAATCAATGATGAACAACCATTGCCAACCAGCAAGACCATTTCTGCCATCCAAGTTGGTGTGGATTGCCGATTGCATAAACCCTGAAAAGATCGACCCGATCAACCCAGAAGAGGTGAACACCGCAGAACGTTTAGTCAATTCGGTCTCTTTATACCAGTTACCAAGAATAAGATGGGTACCACTGAATGTAGACGATTCAAAAATAGCTTGGAAGAATCTGATGACACAAAGTTGACGGTAACTGGTGACCTTGTACATACCAAGGACGAGTAAACCCCAGGCAATCATACAGAAACACATCCAGTACCGAGGCTTAAGCTTCAAAAGGGCAATGTTATTTGGGAGCATCCCGATGGTGTAACCGACAGTGAAACAGGTGTTGACGATATTATAATCGTCACCCTTCATTCCGACGGCCTCGGCCATACCAGAGACATAAGCGTTGGCAAAGTTGGTTCTATCAAGGTAGTTGGACCAGTAGCAAAGACAAGTGAAAGAAAGCACGAGAACATCGATCTTGAACAATAACTTGGCTTCTTTTGGGTCAGATGGAGGTTTCCCCCACAAAGCGTCTCTCACAGCGTAGAATGGCTTGAGGATCATGATGATGGTGTTATATATATATATGTAATGGTGATAATGATAATATTTCAAATGGGAGATAAAAGACTGTGATGATCGGAGGGATGGTCGGGGGTATTTATAATGGACTTCATTGATAATGGTCAACGGTTATCTGTTGTGATCTGTCAAAAAGATAAAGTTATGTAAGCGATAACCAGAGATAATAGATAACCAGAGATAATAGATAACGGAAGATAAAAGAGGTGATAAATGATAGCTCAACGCGGAAACCCAAGTCCTCGCAGCTTTTTTGGGGGTTTATCTGGATAGTTAGGTCAAAACGAGGAACTGGGTGTTGTGTGATGGACGATGCAACCCACACGATAGAACACTGGCGAACAGAGATGATTAATGTTTGTATATTATATGTATATTGTATTAAATTATATATTTATATATATTACAAGCAACATAATCAATCTCTCATCGTCTTATTTTTGTCCTACTTACCTCGAAGGATGAAAAAAAAAAAGAAAAAAAGAAAAGTCGGAAAAAAAAAAATCGTTGATCGTCGCGGGATCCCATATCCTCGGAGATTCTGCTGATAAAAGATAACGACACCCTATATCATTATATATAAGAAGATCTCTCCACGCAAATAAATTGGGTTTACAAGATGTAATTTACTGTTTATATATATTCATCCATCGACAAATATTCAACACACACAACAACAACCACCACCACCATGTCATATAAAGAGATCTCTGCCAAAAAGAGAGCCGAAAGAGATACCCATTTGATCTCCGAATGGTTGATCCCTGAAGATAAATTGCCAAAAGAAAACGACGTTCTCGAATTCCCAGTGAAAAGCGGTTACTTGTCCGCTCTGGAAATCGAAATCACCGAGAGCGATGCCCCAACCATTTTTGAAAACATCAAAAGCCATAAATGGTCATCTTACGACGTCACCAAAGCTTTCTGCCACAGATCCCAAATCGCCCACCAATTGACTAACTGTCTTTCGGAAATCTTCTACGCCGAAGGGTTGCAGCAAGCTAAAGCTCTTGATGAGTATTACGCTACTACTGGCAAATTGAAAGGTCGCTTCCACGGGGTGCCAATCTCCTTGAAAGATAACATCAACGTCATTGGTCAAGCCTCGTCCATTGGTTACGTTGATTGGTGTTTCAAGCCAGAAGGCGGGTTCACCACCGATTCTGCCATTGCTGAATTGCTTAGAAAAGAAGGGGCGGTGTTTTATTGTAAAACCAACGTTCCAGTGGCCATGATGATGCCAGAATCCACCAACCACGTTTACGGAACCACCACCAACCCTCTTAATCGTTTGCTCAGTGCCGGTGGTTCTTCGGGTGGGGCTGCTGCCCACGCTGCTTTGAAAGGGTCTATCATTGATATCGGTTCGGATATTGGTGGGTCGATCCGTATTCCAGCGTCTTTCAACTCGCTTTATGCCTTGAGACCAACTTCTGGAAGATACCCAACTTACGGCACCAGATCGGGGTTGCCAGGGCTTGAATCGGTCAACTCGGTTAATGGACCATTGTGTACCAGCTTGGCGTCGATGGAATGGTACTTGTCGAATTTGGTCGATGCTGATCCATCCACCGTTGATCCAAAAGTCTGTTACAGCCCATGGAAGAAAGTGACATTGCCAGAAAAGTTGACGTTTGCTATTCTTAAAGACGACGGCCACGTTAAACCAACACCGCCAATCCAAAGAGGGATCGACATGGTGCAAAAGCTTGTGGAAGAAGCCGGCCATGAAGTGATCGAATGGGATCCATCAGAACACGTCGCCCTTGCCCAAACTATCACCAAGTTCTTCCTTGCCGATGGTGGTAAACACGTTCTTGAAGTTACAGAAGCCACCGGAGAACCTCTTTTCCCATCGATGGCTATGTACGGTTCTGCCCCAAGCATGCTGGTTTCCGAGCTCTGGGACTTGCACGCCGAAAGAAGCGGGAATTGCAAGAAGTTATTGCAAAGATGGATGGACACCCAATTGCGTACCAAGGACGGTAAAGTGATCGACGCGATCTTGTTGCCAGCCTCCCCACACCCAGGGTGTCCACACGGTAAGTTTGGTGGTTGGGTCGGGTACACTTCGGTGTTCAACGCCACAGACTACAGTGTTGGGGTGATGCCGGTGCTGAGATGTGATAAGGCGGTGGATTTGGCCGAAAAGGATTACGTTCCTCGTAATGCTATCGATAAAGAGATCTACGAGAGTTACGATCCAGAAGTGTCGCATGGAGGAAGTGTGAGTATCCAAGTTGCTTGTAGAAAGAACGAGGATGAAAAGGTGGTGGAATTGATCAAGAGATTGTCGAAGTTGGTGAAATATAGTGGTTAGGTCATTCCCAATGTGGACATTTTGCAGATCTCATAATAATAATAATAATAATAATAATTAATATACGGCATGTTTTTAGATTTGAGTCATGAGTCGTAGAGAGAAGTGAGAGAATGGCCAATGTTGTATAATATCATAATATAATATCATAATAAAGTATAATACAACACAATATAATAAAATATATAATGAAACATAATAAAACACAACACAATAAAATAAAATATATATAATGAAACATAATAAAATACAATATAATATAATAAAGAAGAACCAGAAATGGGAAATTCCGTTGGCTGACAACCACCGTGGAATGCCAAAGTTCATCATCCATCACGCTAAAAAAAAAAAAAAATGGCGCCGTCCTAAAAAATTTTTTTTTCTGCTTATCTTTTTATATCCGTGGTAATCCCGTAAAATATCTGATAATACTACCTTTGTATCTCATATTATTATTATCATATTGTTTGATACTATATCATACTACTATCACTATCTCCATTAGCATAGACAAATATCTTGTTGTTTACTGCATCGATTCTCGTTAATCATCAATCACAGAAGTCTTCCATTGCTAGCTATCTCTGGGGTTCTAAAGGAAACACCCTTTTATCAATTTCCGAAATACCTCCCACTCCAAAATTTCTTCGTTAGCTCTCTTCAAACACTCCAACTTGAGAAGTTCCATCAACTTCTTCTACTTCAACGTCCCAGAAAGTAAGGTTCCCTAACATCCCTTACTCCCTCCCCCCAAGTCATAGCATAACCAACTTTTTGTTTTCTTTTATCTTTCCTCTATCTTCTTTTGTTCTTTTTATTGTTAGAAACAAAAAGTGCCACTGTCTAATCTCTTCTCTTCCAACCTTCTGGCGCTTTTTTTTCATTTACAGTTGTTGATAGCTTACTACTGTGAATTTTTTTTTCTATCTGTTGTACAATTAATTACTTAGATTACACTTGAAAACCAATCCCCAACCAGAAACTCTCACCATCACTAATTTAAGCCATGGCCACTTCAAGATACGACGACGATTTCATTCCTGGTACCGTCAACATCCTTGCCAATGACTCGGACAACGAGTCCAAGAACTTTTCCGAAGGCACCAAACTCAAGACCAAAAATGGTATTATTTTGATGCCCCAACCTTCAGACTCCCCAAACGATCCTCTTAACTGGTCAATTTGGCGTAAATACTCGCACTTTGCCGTGGTGATCTTCATCACCGCCTTCACTGCCGCGTCGTCTAATGACGCCGGGGCCACCCAAGACTCGTTGAACGAGATTTATGGTATCTCGTACGATAAGATGAATACCGGGGCCGGGGTGTTGTTCGCCTCGATCAGTGTCACGTCGTTGGTGTTGGCTCCTACCACCTCCATTTGGGGTAGAAAAATATCGTACTTGATATGTACCATCATGGGGTTGATTGGCTCGATCTGGTTTGGGTATTCCAAGACCACTAGCGACACGATTTGGTCACAATTGTTTGTCGGGGCCAGCGAGGCATGTGCTGAAGCCCAAGTTCAATTGTCGATCTCCGATATTTTCTTCCAGCATCAATTGGGTTCTAGGTTAACTTTATATATCTTGGCCACTTCCGTGGGGACATATTTGGGCCCATTAATTGCCGGGTTCATTTCTGCGGTCAGTGATTATTCTTTCCGGTGGGTCGGCTGGACCGCGGCGATCATTTACGGAGTGTTGATTGTGATTCTCGTATTTGGGTTCGAGGAAACTTATTTTGATCGGGCAAAGTTCTTGGGAACCATTTCCAACAACAACACCGCTGCGAACTCTCCAAAAGTTAACGAATACGACGAGAAAAAAAAAGAAGACAACGATGCAACTGTCAATGCCACATTGACCACCTATTTGACCAATGAATCGGACAATGGCGCCGCAGTGATCGATGCCGGGCTCAATGATCCTCCTAAACTGTATTGGCAAACCATGCAAATGATCACTTTTGCCAGTAATGTCAAAGGTACCGGGATTGCCCAATACTTCAAACAATTGAAAATGATTTTCAGAGTGTTTTTGTTTCCTCCAGTGATCTTATCTGGTCTTATGTGGGGTGCTCAAGATGCGTTCCTCACCTTTTATTTGACCACCGAGGATGATCTATATTACGACGCTCCGTACAATTATTCTGATGCCGGGGTGGCCATCATGAACATCCCTTGTTTGATTGGGGCCGCTATTGGGTGTTACTATGCCGGGTCGCTTTCTGATTGGTTTGTCCTTCAACTTGCTAAACGTAACAACGGGATTCTCGAAGCAGAGTTCCGTCTTTGGTTCATTTTCCTTGCGGCAATCATTTCTCCATTAGGATTGTTGATCTTTGGCATTGGTACTGGTAAAGGCTGGTCGTGGCATTCGACCTACGTGGGGCTTGGATTCATTGGATTTGGTTGGGGTTGTGCGGGAGATATTTCCATGAGTTATTTGATGGACGCATACCCGGAGATGGTGATCGAAGGGATGGTGGGTGTGTCAATGATCAACAACCTTATTGGGTGTATCTTCACATTTGCTTGTTCTCCATGGATCAGCTCCATTGGCACCACCAAGACCTACATCGTTCTTGCGGTACTTGATTTTGTGATCATGATGCTCTGTTTGCCAATGATTGTTTATGGCAAACGGTGTAGAGCATGGACCAAGGATTGGTATTTGGAATTTCTCCGTCTCAGAGATGAGATTTGAATAATATATATATACTATGACTATCAAATGTCATTATTATTACTTATTATTGTAAGCCATTTATTATATGTAATGTTGTAGAATGAACTACTAGGCGCACGGCAAGGCCCATTAAATAAAGAAGAAAAAAAAGATGAGATGATCAGGTATGTCACAATATATATATATCTATATATGCTGATGTATAGACAGAGGAAATATAACAAAACAATTATAATGAAGAATAATATATCAGTACACCTACGACACTACAGTCTACGAACCCACATCAAATACATCCAGAATGAGGTTTCCAAAGACATTTCTCAGTCGTTGAACTTGTTAAGTCCCGAGCCTCCATCAAAGGACAATCCTCCAGAGCAGCAACAATTGTTGGCCACCCGAAAGCAGATCTCTCGGATCATTGGGAAGAATGCCAAAGAAATCAAAAATCAACAGTCAAAATTCATCAACACCCATTTCGGGAATATCGCCAACAGTTTGCACTCGGTGACCTCCACCACCGCCTCCCCACGGTACCAGTACCATGACTTGCCTGGGGTCCAGTTGAACTCAGTGATCAAACGAACCAATTCCCAAGCAGAGTTGGTGAAAGTGTTTGAGATGTTGTACGACCATGGTAAAGTTACCAGGACCGCATTGATCAATATCCTTTTGAATAAATCCTTGGTGGATCAAGTGTCGATAAACACGGTATTGACTAAGATCATGACGTCAGGAAATGGCAAAAACGACGTATTTAAACACTGGAATAAAGCGGATTTCATCAGTTTGCAAGTGGCCCTCACTCAAAAATTCTTTTCATTGAAGAAGATGCACCATGTGAACAGCTTGGTCAAACTAAACTTCGATGCCAATTGGTTGGACTTCTTGGTGAATCAAAAAAGAATGAATAATAATAATAATAATAATAATAATAATAATAATAATAATAATAATAATAATAATAATAATAATAATAATAATAATAATAATAATAATAATAATAATAATAATAATAATAATAATAATAATAACAATAATAAAGAAGTGCTTCCTTCACTGATTGAGAGGTCCATTTGGAGAATCTTTTTCATGTTTGTTAGAGATTACGAGACATTACAGAGAGTGCTTGACAAATTGGAAACTAGTTCATTATACTTGATCCTTGAAGCAGTACCCAAGCACCATTTGCCAGAACAGAAACCATTAATTGATGCAGTGATCTCGAGGATTGTTGCTGCTGAAGATCTTTCGAATCATCAAGTATTTTTCAATAAGTTCCTCCAACACGATTGGATCATGGCCACGAACTACTTTCATGACATCAAGCGGATCTCCATCATTTCCAAACTTTATCAGAACCATATTTTGGACAGTACTGTCAAGTCGCAGCGGAGTCAAGACCAAACTGCACCGAAAGTTTTCAGTCTTTCCAGTCCGTTATCCCTGTTATTATTCTCCACCGTTGATCAAGAAAAGCGATTACAGAACGCAAGATTGATAGAAGGGGCGGAAGAGTTTGTCGAACACGGTACTCCCGAAAAAATGGAGTTGCTGAAACAAAATAAAGTATTGGTGATGGAGATAATGGGGTTTCTTAGTGGACTAAAACAGGATGAAATGATAAACAACGGCCATTGGCAGGAGATTTCCGAGCTAGAACAGGCGGTGGTAGAAATCACGAAGGAAGATTTGCCAGGAGAGGACCCTAGGAATTGGTATAGTTCTTTCCAGGAGATCTTGAAGATCGTCTGATTATATTTATTATATTAAGGACTATATATGTATTGTATTAATGATTATATATGTGCTACATTGATGATTATGTATTTATGATTATAAGTAGAGCGAGTACACCACCACTACGGGTCTTTGAGCGAAAATTTTGAAAAAAAAAAAAAAAAAAAAATAAGCACTGATGAGCTTTTCATTCAAACAATATCAATTATAAGTTCAAGATATATATATAACCAATGTTGCGGCAATCCCTTCGATTTAAGCGAGCCGTAAGGCATGCCTCGCATCTCCCCAACACCGCTAACCGAAGCAACACAATCAATTTCAAGACTCTTCCCACCGCTACCACCACAAGACCCCCGCTCAGAAAAGAGAAACCCACCATCAACGAAGTAGGAATCCAGTATCTTTCGCGGCATTTGAAACATCAAATATACCCTTCTGACACTAATACCAAAACTTCAAAACCTTTGTCAGTGTACGACAAGATCAAAATCAACTTATCCCAGCAATACTTGGACAAATTCAACCTTCTAAATAAGAAAACCAACATAACCGACCCCATCACTTTAGACCTCCCGAAACTTCATGGGAAAACATTGAATGAACATTTCATACGACTAGCCCTTAATGATGTCTCGCCATATTTAAACTTTGCGGGAATGCTCTCATCGATTGACTTGCCTGCCAGACCAAAAAATTGGCTATTGAAACCTGGATGGTACCGTTACGACCCCAATTCGCCAGAACCGGTCAAAGTCGACTACCCATTGGAAGATGCGTTGGTATTTGACGTGGAAACAATGTATAAAGTTAGTCCGTATCCAGTACTTGCTACCTGTGCATCCCCAGTGGCCTGGTACGGCTGGGTATCACCGTATCTCACCGGTGATGACCCCCATGATAATCATCTTATCCCCATGAACACGATCGACAGAGTGAGGTTGATAATTGGTCACAACGTTGCTTACGACAGAGCGAGAATCAAAGAGGAGTATAGTTTTAAGAAAACTGAGGCTTTCTACTTGGATACCCTATCATTGCACGCCGCGGTCACCGGGATTTGCTCACGCCAGCGGCCAGTATGGCTGAAATACAAAGAGAATTCCCGGATCGAAAAGGGAATGACCAAAGAGATTGGCAAGTTGTTGGACGAGAAAAACTTCATCGATCATCTTGTCAATGATCAATTATCAATGTTGGGGAATGAGAAGTTGTTGGAGAAATACGATAGCGATTATGAATTACTGGATAACCCTTGGGCATCATTGACCAGTACCAATTCATTGGCCGACGTTGCAAAATTACATTGTGGGATCACCATGAGTAAAGTTGATCGTGACTATTTCAAGACGGAGGATAAACAAGAGATTATTGATAATTTCCAGAAATTGATGAATTATTGTGCCACTGATGTGGCGACCACCCAAGAAGTTTTCAAAGCGGTATACCCATTATTCACTAAGCTTTGCCCTCATCCAGTATCCTTTAGCTCTTTAAGACACATAAACACGGTTTTTTTGCCCACCACTTACAAAACGTGGGAAAATTATATTCACAGTGCCGAATCATTATATCAAAATAATAAGGTCCAAATCGAACAGGATTTAGCGGTTTTAGCGTTGAAACTCGTGGAGAAATTTAAACAGTCCCCAGAAGAAGTATTAAATGATCCATGGTATTCTCAATTGAATTGGGAAATCAAACCAATCAAGATGACCAAGTCAGGGGTGCCTTTCAAACGTCAAAAATTGCCAGGATTCCCAGAATGGTACAAGAGTCTTTTCCCCAGCGCCACCGGACCAATAAAGTTAACGATCCGTACCAGACTCGTGCCAATCTTGTTGAAGTTGAAATGGGAAGGATTACCCTTGATGTGGACCGAGACTAAAGGATGGTGTTTTAGAGTGGAATCAAACAAATTCACTTTGATAAATGAGTTGACAAGGAAAAACTACACGAGAATCGACGATTTCACCGAAGACCCAAATTTCGAAGCGTTAACCAAGGACTACCAATATGTATACTTCAAGATCCCTCATCCTAATGGACCAAGTAATCGAACCACCAGTTTGACCTCCAAGAGTTTTTTGAAACATTACGAAAAGCAAGTGTTGACCTCGGAGTACGAAATTGCCCAAAAAGTTTTGGAATTGAACGCCTCTGCCAGTTATTGGATCTCCTCCAGAGAAAGAATCATGAGTCAGTTTGTGGTGTATGATGAAGGTAGTACTAGAGAATCACTGCCAGATTTCAATTTACCAATGTTGTCCAAAGGAGAAGGTGACGATCCTATTGGGATTATCATTCCACAAATTTTGCCAATGGGGACGATTACAAGAAGAGCGGTAGAAAAAACTTGGTTGACGGCATCTAATGTGAAAAAGAACCGGATTGGGTCTGAGTTGAAAACGAAAATCCAGGCGCCTGCTGGATACTCTTTTGTCGGGGCCGATGTTGATAGTGAAGAACTTTGGATTGCCAGTTTGTTAAGTGACTCGGTATTCAAAATCCATGGGGGTAGTGCCATTGGATGGATGACGTTGGAAGGTAACAAGTTGGAAAAAACCGATTTACATTCAAAAACCGCGGAAATCTTGGGGATTTCTAGAAATGAGGCCAAGATTTTCAATTATAGTAGAATTTACGGAGCAGGTTTAAAACATACCTCGACGTTATTGAAGCAATTCAACCCTAGCTTGAATGAAAAACAAGTGATAACCATTTGCAACAATTTATTCGATAGCACTAAGGGAAAGACTTATAGATTAAGCCCAAAAGAAAAGAAAACCTTAACAAAATACGGTATCAATTTAAGCAAGATTTGGTACGGGGGTTCCGAATCGGTGTTGTTCAATCGGTTGGAAAATTTAGCAGAAACCAAAACCCCTAAGACCCCCGTGTTGAAAGCAGGGATCACTGAGGCGTTGAAAAAAGAGAACTTAAATGCAAACAGTTTTTTACCATCGCGAATCAATTGGGCCATCCAGTCTTCCGGGGTTGACTATCTCCATTTATTGATCACCTCGATGGAGTATTTGATTAAACGGTACGCGGTCGAGGCGCGGTTGTGTATTACGGTACACGATGAAATCCGATACATGGTGAAGGACGAAGACAAGTACAAGGCGGCATTATTGTTGCAGATCGCCAATGTTTGGACAAGAGGAATCTTTTGTGAGCAATTGGGGATCAGTGACATTCCCCAGTCGTGCGCGTTTTTCTCCCAGGTGGATATCGACAAGATTTTGAGAAAAGAGGTGGATACTCCGTGTGAGACCCCTTCGAACCAAGGAGTGGTGGTCCCTGACGGGGAGACTTTGGATATCAATGGACTTCTTGCAAAGTTGGGACAGGATCCAAATACTAAAAAAGTTGATTGGTTGGACGAAGGGTCGACCATCAATTTGAATAAATTCAAAGTGGATAAAGTATTGGAGAAATTAAAGGATACTCTGGTTAGCGTTTCCGGAAATAGCAGTGGTAATTTGTTGAGTAATGAGCAAGAGAAGATGTTTATCAATTTACAAATTGAACAGGATACCAGTAAAGTGAAAACATATATGAGAAAGTTGACGGCACCACAAATCCAGCGTCGGTAGGGCTTTTTTTTTTTTTTTTTTTTTTGCAAGCTCATTGATCATGGAGGCTCATTGTCAATATTCTTCCTGTTTTGAACTGTCCTTTTTACAATTCAAGTTATTGTCTACAATTTTTTTTTTTTTTCAATTTTCATTCACTGTCTAGACTGCTTTCCAAGTTTAAATTAACGACCCCTTCATTAATGCTTTTTTTTTTGTTTCTATTTTTATTTTTAAGGAATTCTTTGTGTGTTTTATTAGGTCATTTGGGTATTTTTTAATAAAATGTCTTTTTAGAGTATAACGATGGGTTGTAACAGTACCAGAAATGTTATTGATTTATTTGGTTGGTGGGTAAATCAAGCATCACAAGAATTTTTGAGATCTACCTACTACTAATGCATTTTATCGATCTATCATATTATGAGGGTTACGGAGGGATTTTTTTGAACTGATAATATCGTCCAGGTCACGAAGGCTCTACAACTTTGGTTACGAATTTATAAAACGATTACTTGTACTGTCAATATGAAAGTCAAATTAAGGCTTGGCAACCAGCTGGTTTTCGTTTTTAATATATTGTACTCCACCTTTACGCTTTTCTCAAACACCTTATATGGTTATAACTACTAGTTATCACAAAGTCACAATGTTCTTTGGTAATTTTCAAATAGCACGTCAGTATCAGATTTGCATAAACCACCTATTAACCAATGGCAATTTACACCATTCTATGGTTTTAACATAAATGTTGTAATATTCTATTTACATGACCCTCATGGACTAGAAAAAGTTTCCATCAATGAGAAAACACATGTATGATTCGGGTTGTGCATCCCAAAACGTCCTGATTAGATCACTGGTGGGTTCTTTATGGGAATGAAATAAACCCCAATGGAAATCAAGCTAAATGCCATCAAGAACCCTCGCAAACTCATTGGGAAATAAAGTGCCATGAGAAAAAGCAAAATGAAGAGCGTCCCATTAATGAAACAAATGAGCCTGTATAATCGTTTATATTTTGCAAGTAATGACTGGAAAATGGCCCCTGCTCGTCTTATTGGGGTCCTTTTGCTAGTATCTGCATGCTCATTGAAAAGCTCCTTCAACTCAGAAAAGTATTTATCGAATTTATCAACCTCAGGCAATTGAGGGGTATTGTCGTTGTTCAACACCTTGTTTTCCAAACTTTTGAGCCGGTTCTCAAGGTCCAGTTTCGGATCTTCAAAAGTAGTACTCATGCTTAATTGATGTTTAATAGTTGCTAACTCGTATTTCATCTCTTGCATCTGTTTGAACATATCCATCTGGAAGTTCAAGATATCCTTGCGAAGCAGGAGATAGCTGCTATCATGGTTGGAATTGTCCATATCTTCAATGTTAATGTAGTAATTATACAGCAGCGGGAATGAACTAGGGGGTTAGTTTGGTTCTTTTTTTTTTTTTTGTGGGAGGTGGCTCGCTTGCATGTTATTTAGAACCTCTGTGACTCGTTAATATACAATTTGATTTGATTTGATTTGATTTGATTTGATTTGGTGGTTACTAAATTTCTTGCCCAACTAGCTCTATATGATATCGTTATAGCCACACAGCCTTTTTGAACTATTTGAAAGTCATTAAAACGTATTTGAAAAATCACAGAACTTTTTTTTTTTTTTTTTTTGCCTGGAAGCAGTAATTGGAATAATTTGAATTTCCATATCCCGAAAAGTTAATAGGACTATCTACAACATCATAGATCCAACTTATATTAAAGGTAAATAAAAAAAAAAGAGCAATTCATAATCATCAGCATCGATCAGCATATATAAATATAGTAAAAACAAAAATTATCATAATAATTCCATCTTCAATAGCCTCATACTGGGTCACCTAGCCTGATTCCCAATTCCAGCAAAGTATTAGGAATATCGCTCAATGACTCACCTCTCAAATTAGGAACAGCATCCAATGGCATGTTTGCATAATTAATCATATGGTTGCGAATTCTGGGATACATATTATTCACCTTCAAGGTGCTCTCAATTTGAATCTTATTTATACCAAAATATGCGAGCATCTTGGATCTTAGTGTTCCAATCAATATTACGCTCCACAGGACCACATTTCTCTAAGATGATAAAAATCACAGATTTGGATAATAAATTCTCTATCCTCGCCATACATTAAGTATTTGACGGTTGTGATTGGAATATTTGGCCTTTGACCTTCCATGTTGCAAGGATAACTCACATCAGAGATTCTGGCAGAGAAATGTCCAATGCATAATGGTTCCAAAGTTCCGCGATTGCCTCGTCGTCGAGTTGCAAAAATGCTTCGACATTCAACGCTTGTCTAATTTCTGATTTTTGACCAGCAGTGTTTCTATAGAAGCGGACAGGACCATCATTATCATCAAATGTTGAAATATCTCTGTTGTAACTCATAATCTTCCATTTTTCGTTATCAATAACGTGCTTCACGTCACATCCTAAATGATTTAAAAGTCTTCATTTCTTTATGTTAATAGTACCGAGATCACTAATTCCGTAAAATCTTAATAATGCATTAATTCTTTCTATATTAGTGGTATCCAAAAGAGAGCTAATGGTAGGAAATTGCTCTTGAATTTGTAGACTATAGTGGTGGTTGTTTTTGGTATATTTGATCCTTCCGGTAAGCAGCAAGTTGGCATTGAAGGTAACTTAAATGTTATTATTTAATGATAGAAATTTTGATGATTGCTTTCTATATGAGGAGAAAAACTGGAACACAAACGCGCCCATGTTGGATATTTCTTTTCTCTCCAATGCAGGAAGCACTTACTATTTGGAATAATAAGTTAGCTCATTCATGTCCGACCCTGTATATTCTCAAACTGCCAGCCTTGGTTCGTTCTAAGCAACTACTATTTTCCCCCATAGTATTTCTAATCGCTCATCAACCAGAAATAAGATATATCATCTCATCGCCCTTCACCACCATTCCAATTTCTGCTAATTTCCCTTTCTAAAGATAACCAACCGATAACCAGTGTGATGTGCCAGCCGGAAGTTGGTCGGAAGTTGGTCGGAAGGGTCTCAAGTGACCAGCTTCCGGTAGCGGCGCACACGAAAAAGCTTGATAATTTCGACCGGAAAAATTCACATTTGAGTAGTCTCTTTTACGATGACTGTTCTAATCTCTGGCCATCAACATCTCTCGACCATTTTTCCAAGCAATGCCACTCTCTGATAATAAATACACGGTATCGATCTTGGGCTGTGGTACCATGGGTACTGCTGTTCTTAACTCGATTTTGTCGAATGAAGATACTTCGATTATTCCAACCAAGATCATCACTTTGACCAAGAGCGCCAGATCCAAAGAAGCATTGAAAGAGAAATTCGGCAACAAGATCCACACTGATATTGACACCAAGGAAGCCATTTTGCAATCGGAAGTGGTGGTTTTGGGATTAAAACCATTCTTATGTGAAAGTGTCCTTGAAACCCTTAAAGATGAGATCAAAGGGAAGTTGATCATCTCGCTCGCTGCTGGCTGGACCATCGAACAACTCAGCAGTTATTCCAGTAAAGTTGCCAGAGTGATGACTAATACTCCAGCAAAATTTGGGTATGGGATGGCAGCGATTGCCGTGAGCGATGAAGTATCGGCCAATCAGCACAACGAGCTCGATACCGTCAACAAGTTGATTGGCAATGTGGGTAAATCTATTGTGATTCCTGAATCTAAAATGGACTCAGCCACCTCATTGATTGGCTCCGGTCCAGCATTTGTCTTGTTAATGATCGAATCGATGATTGACAGTGGGATCAAGATGGGATTCAGCTACGAAGAGAGTAGAAAAAGTGTTTTGCAAGTGATTGAAGGGACTTGCAAGATGACAGAAGCCACCGGGTTACACCCAGCAGTGTTAAAGACCCAAGTCTGTACTCCTGGAGGCACCACCATCAATGGATTGGCCAAGATGGAGGAAAAAGGTGTCCGCAGTGGGATTGTCCAAGGTATTGAGGAAGCTAAAAACGTTGCCGCTTCTCTTGGTAAGAAAAAATGATTTGGGATTTTCTAGATAGTAATATAGGGCTTGTGTAAAGTTTTTTTTCCTTCATTGTTATTATCACTCTTCTTGTGATTTTGTACGGTTTATTAAGGGGATTTGTTTATGCTGCTTATATTCTTTAGCACGTGCTTTATCACGAGAAATTCTGGTGATGTTTTTTTTTTATATCTCTTTTCCTTCTGTGAAGCAGAATGTTATTATAACATTAACAATTGATGATAAATATTAAACCACATCATACATATACGCCACTTATACACAATAAATGGACCTTGAAAATACCCTCCACAAGTTAGTATGCTGCCAGATCATCTATAATGAGCTCTCCAAATTAAAAAATTCCGATGATGGCAAAGATTCCATAGAATTGCCATTCATCACCGCGACTTTGAAAAGTAATCCATTAATTGGAGACTCTCTCCGGCAATTTTATTCAGTTTCGGAATCAGAAAGACCTAATAAAGACAAAACCACCACGACTTTGGCCGCTCTCAAGATTGATGATCATTACGTGCTCAATATTTTGATTTCCAACATTCAGTTGCTATATTTCAAGCAGATCAAAAGCCAAGACATGAATGATAATAGTAACTTGCACAATAATCAGTTATTTTCCATCAGCAAATCATCAAATGATAAGAACGATCTCGCTAGCATTAGGATCCAGTTGACCCAGCCGATCGATCTGAAGCTTGGGTTCGTCAGAAATTTGATTTATCAGTTCAGTAATATCGTCAAGAAGATGTTGTTGTACGATATCAAAAACCTTGAAAAAAGCTACAAGAACTTCTCGGAGGACATCAAATTGATTGAAAGTGGAAAATTCACCGAAGAAATGCTACTTAAAGATGATCAAGATTTCCGATTAAAAAGAGGGCACAGATCACATACTGCTACTAATAGTAATAATAATACATCTACCACAGGCGTACCTGAGAATAATAAGAGTAATAACAACAACAGCAACAACAACAACAACAACAACAACAATAATAATAATAATAACAATAACAACAACAACAACAACAACAACAACAACAACAATAACAACAACAATAATAATAATAATAATAATAATAATAATAACAACAACAACAACAACAACAACAACAACAACAACAACAACAACAACAACAACAACAACAACAATAATAATAATAATAATAATATTCCTAGGAATATTAAACCTGAACCGGTAAAGGTTGCCGATGAACAATCAATAGCTCCAAAGAAAATGGGACCAGAACCTGAAAACCAGAACCTCAAAAACTTGTCAAAAGATGAAAAATTTCAAACAGCTAAAAACATATTGCTACACAAACACAACATTAAAAGCGGGGATGATATTAATGAACAAATCAAACAGCTACAAGAAAAGGTTAAAAGAGAAGTATCTCAAGAATCGTTGACAAAAAACCACCAGGAACAACCTAGCAAGGAAACAATTAACAAAGTACTAACTATGGATTCAACTCTTGATCGCCCCACTTCCACCACGCCTGGGGTGGCTCCATTTCTGGGTTCTACCTCCAAAAATATCAAATCGACAACTACTCCACCAGCACAACCAAAGTTAAATATCCCATTGATTAATACTGGTTTTAAAAAAAGCATTCAAAGTATTAACCCTGCCAACAGCGCACTTCTTGAAACTTTGAAGAACAGACTCCTCAATAACAATAACAAAACCAGTATGGACCTTAATAGGGAACGAGACCTTGCTTTGACTAAAGAAATTCTTGAATCACGAAGATCAATAATGCAAAATAATGCCAACAGCAACAAAGTGGTAAATCCTGCTCCCCAGACCGTTTCTCAAGTTAATGAGGCAAAGTCTCCTGAACCTATTCCAGAAACTTCAGTAAATGAGAGCAAAGCCCAAGAGAAGATTTTAATTGGAGCTGATGATGTTGCTCATGAGAAGAAGGATTTGCAAACCACTAGACCAGATGTAAAGAATGATTTGGAGAAGAAGGATGGAAATCTACAGGCGGAAAATGGTCAAGGAGAGTTAGCAAGTGAAGGAAAACCAGAGAATGAAAAGAATAATGAAGAAAAGTCTGTCGAAATTTCGAAAAGCCCTGTCATGGAAGCTGCTGGAGATAATGCTGAAATTTCCAACCAGAAGAAAGTACTGAGTGATGAAAGTAATAAAGATATAAAGCATAAGGAGAAGAATCTTCTTGAGGTATTAGAGAAGAATTCGCATAAATCAGAGGGTAAAAATGCTGATAATGTGGTCGAACCAGAAATAAATGTTCAAAAAAAGGAAGGTGGTGAAGACAAGAAGGTTAAAGAGGAAGAAGATGATGATCTATCTAGAAGAAGAACCAGAAGTAAACCAGATCAAAGTTTGGAAGAGAAAAATTCCTCGAATGATAAACTCAATGATGACCAGGAAGTAGAACAGGAATCTTCTGAACTTGAAAATGAAACAGACGGAGAATCAGAAAAAAAAATCGAACATAAAAAGGACCAAGAAAATAATGATGAGGATAAGGATGGGAAAGTGAAATTAGAAAACGAAAATGAAAATGAAAAAGGACAAGAAGAAGTTATAGTTAAAGACGAGGAGGAAGATAAGACGGTAACTTCAGAGGAGGAAGGTAGAAATTCAAGAGAAGGGATATCTACTGGAGATAAGCGAAAATGGCGTAGCTCGTCGGGATCGCGCACACGCCAAGCCAAGAAGATTAAAACTACCAAAGATTCACCTGCTGCAACAGGATCGGCACCCCAGACAATTAACAAGAAATTCGTGGCGGTGTCTCTACAACTTCTTGCCAATATTTCTTCGTTCAAATTTTCATCACCGTTCCTAGTTCCTGTCAATGAAAACGATGCGCCAAATTATTATTCTGTGATTTATGAACCAAGCGATATCAAAACTATTAAGGCCAGGATTAAGAGTGGAGAAATCACCACTCATTTGCAACTTGAGCGGGCGTTGATGTTGATGTTTGCGAACTCAGTAATGTATAACAGAAGTAACACCGAGATGAATAGATGGGCTTGCGAAATGCAAGAAGAGACGTCAAAAGTCATTAACCTATTTACCGAGGCAGAAAGGGATGCTCAGAGCTGAGGTAATAGCATAAGACATATTTCAATAACAGAATAAGTTCCAGTGATTCATGTGATATTTTTGGAATATTTTTTTTTTTTCATGATTTATGATTTCTGTAAGTTCAAAAATAATAACGTCCACATTTTTTAAAGTGGGAGTGCGCGGCGTACTTTTTTGTTTCCAGATACCAATCCGTGTATCCAATATCTTGAATACGTTATAGTTTTTTTTTTCCATTTGCGATAAGAGTACGCCTATCTTAATAACGCCTTGGTAGTCCCCATATCCTGCACTTTGTAACAACGTCGCGTGCGCATTTTAGGGCAACGCACCAAAAATGGAAAAAGCATTCCGCATATCAAATGGAGGATACAAATCGCCGTTTTGGATGTGTGGCTAATGTCAAGGCCGAACAAATGGGTGGAAACTGAATAAAAGGGACAATAGATAATGATGTTTGTGATTATTCTCCTGGTTTTTTGCAAAATACTGGGAATCGATATACCTACATTATTGGAAAAAGCACATATTATTTGCAACACAACAGAATCCAAATGTACCATAGTGCTCTAATACCAAGATGAATCCAAGTTTCAAGATATCGGACTTTCCTTCAGTAACAGAGAAGTTTATAATAGTAGAGGATACCGGAGATGATGATGATGATAATAATAATAATAATAATAATAATAATAATAATAATAATAATAATAATAATAATAATCGGTTCAGCATCGCCAGCTCGAGAATTGATGAATATAGTTATATGATTCAACAACCACAGATGACCAAAAGAAGAACTTTTGACAACCGTTCGATCCTGTCTGAGAAAGAATTTTTCAGTAACAGTATTAATGAGAAGTACAATTACAATAATAGATTCAACTCTCCAGCAGAGACATTTGTTGGAAGTATAGAACTGAAAAAATTTGAAAGCATGAGTCAGTCGTCATCTTCCTCCAGATCAACGTTATACAACAGCACAATTTCTCAGCCGATTTTCTATTCTAGTGATTATGATTTAGATCCTCTATCATCCAACTCTGCCATTGTGGATGAATATGAAGCAAATCAACTTATTCAAGGCCTAAGGCCTCACAATGTGGCATTCATTACTTTATGCTCGGTTTTTGGAACTGGTTTTTTCTTGACATCGTCAACAATTTTGGAAAATTCCGGCCCTTTATCATTATTCCTTGGCTTTTTATTCACTGGTATATTGGCATTTCAAGTACTTACTGCGTTGTCTGATATGTCGTCTTATATCCCGCTACCAGATAATTTAAGTGGGTTCGCAAATAGATTTGTTGATCCTGCCCTTGGTTTTTCTACTGGTTATGCTTTCCTTTTGACATTCCTACTATTTGTCCCCAATCAAATTTCTGCTGCCACTTCAACAATGTCATACTGGATCGATCCAGAAACCATCACTCCGGCAGTTTGGATCTTAGTGTTCATCCTCGCGGTCGCCATGGTCAATTATTGCAAAATCACCAAGTATGCCTATCTTGTGGACTCATTCATCGTGATAAAGCTAACCATATATTTCATTCTTGCAGCCACCCTTGCTTGTTTGATTTTCGGCGGTGGTCCAAAACATGATAGATTAGGCTTCAGATATTGGAAAGATCCTGGACCTATGGCGACTTATGGGGAAATGAAAGGCCTGGGCGGCAGAGTCGTTGGGTTATTGGTTTCAACAATTAAAAGCTCATGGAGCTATGTGGGGATTGAAAGTTTTTCTGTGGCAGCTATTGAAACCATCAATCCAAGACTGACGATTCCAAAAGCCAAAAACATCTTGTTCAAATTATTGTTCCCGACTTACCTCATCATGGCGTTTTTGATTGGTCTATGTGTCGCTTATAATGATCCAAATCTCATATTATCTCAAAAATTAGGCTCTGATGACCCCAAATCAAGCGTTATATCCATTGCGTTGTATAACGCCTCAATAGGGGTCATGGGGAACTTTGTCAATGCTTCCTTATTGATCTTTATCTTTTCTGCTGCAAACACTGGGTTTTACTTAAGTACTCGGATCCTATATGGATTATCAGCAAGTGAGATAGCCCCAAAATGTTTTATCAAGACAACCAAAAGTGGGGTCCCAATTTATTCCTTTCTTTTTGTGCTCGCGTTCAGTTTCATTTCCTTCATTAGCGTCAGGCAAGAAAGTGTGCAAACTTACCATTATTTTGTCGATGCCACTTCGGTATTTAGTTTGATTAACTGGGCTTGTATTTTGTTGACCCACATTCGATTCCTCGGAGCGTTCAAAAGGCAAAATCTCATCCATGAATTCAAAACTTACGTTCCAAGATCCACTACATCCATAATCCCATCCAGCATCGCACTTTCAGGGGTTTTATTCATTATTTTCGGTAATAATATAACGGTTTACATTGATAGTGCCGAAACTCGTTCGTTCAATGTAGGCGAATTTATTGCCGGAATGATTGCTATTCCAATATTCATTGGTTTATATTTGGGATTTAAGATCTATTATCAGACCTCTTTTGTCGACCTTGGGGAGGCGGATTTGTATTTCTACAGAGATATAGTCGATGCTAAAGAAAGGGTTTATCTTCAACAAAAAATGAACAATGACCAGCAGTATTCTAGCATGAATTTTTTCCAAAGGCTTCGCAACAAGATTTGCATTTATTCTGTTCAATAAGTGCTTATTGCAATTAATAATAATGTAACTGTTTTAGCTTATTGCTCTTTTTTTTAGATTTGTTTTCTTCTCTTGTTTGGCTCCTTTGTTTCATTTTAGCTTTTTCCTTTCATATTCTGAATATTTTCAATTCTTCTGGCCTGGCGCCTAATATATAAAATCATATTTTAATTTTTTCCATTGCCTTGAGTTTTATGTCAACATAACGAATTTTCTTCTGTTTTTCACTTTATCTTGAAAAACATCACATCAATTCCACAATGTGTTAGACTTGAAGCTGGGATATTGATGTACCAAATCACGCAGATTACTTGAAAAAAATGAGTAATCAAGGACACACTTATTTCTTTAGTTTCCTAGGAGATCTACACAAAACCCAAAATGTGGAAGAGAAAAAGAAATTGAAGAGATGATGCAAAAATTGTGGTTTTATTTATGGCAAGTGGGCGTAAGCCCGAGACAAAAGAAAAGGATTCAGCAGATATGAAGAATCTCAGAGGACCAGTATTACAAGGATCACCCGATGAAAATGACATGATAAATAAGAGCGACTCAGAGTCACAATATTGAAAGCCTCAAAACTAGCTAATTTTTTTTTTTCTATTTAATATCTCTATGTGATAGTTGTCATTGATTTTTATTTATCATAGGATTTTGTTTTACATTAATGCCGAAACATCTTTTTTTTTGCAGCCAAAAAAGAAAACATGTTTGACATAGCATATTTATACGATATATATATTTTCATCATTCTACTATTGATCATAAAATTGCAGATAAGAAAGAGAATTAACTAATTGTTATTGTAGATGTATCAATCGGACTCTCTGTAGTGATAAGAAGGTTAGAAAAATCAGCTGATTGTTTCCGGGTGACCCCAAAAAAGACCCAGGGTGTGGGTGTATGCATATTTTCTGAGGTTACGAGCCCCTTACCGTCCGACCAATAAAATTATCACAATTACACAGGCAGTAAAAAAAAATAGCGAAAAATTGGCAGAAGTAACAGTTCCAACACCTAGCCCATCTAACAGCAAACCATAACACATCAAGGGAACATCAAAAAATGGCTTCTTTAGCTTTGAGATCTATTGCCAGAAACAGCTTGGTATCAAGAGCTTTGGGTATGTTCATTTGATACTTGATATCTGTATACTAATAAATGGTGGTGTCATGGTGAAAGGAAATATTACTATATTGTTGCGATAAATGTTATTGTATTATCGATCACAGCTATCGTATTATTAATGAGCTATATGAAATAGATAATTTTTGGGGTACGGTTCTGAAAAATGGATATCATTCAATAAAATAGGAATGATTGGGGCGATAATGATATAGATGATAACAGTGATTTCCATCCATGCGCTGACAAATTACCAGTTTATTAGATTGTCATTTGTTAATTGTTTTTTTTCTTGTTATCATTGGTGACCTGTTTTACTAACAGCTAAATAGGCTCCCAAGCCAGACTCTTGTCATCCTCCACTTTGACTAAGAAGTCCAACTACAACACCCCAGATTTTGGTGACTACATCAAGCCAAATGGTGCCAACGAAAAGAGCCGTGCTTTCACCTACTTCATGGTCGGTTCCTTCGGTTTATTGTCCACCGCTGGTGCCAAGTCTACCGTCGAAGCTTTCTTGCAAACCATGAGTGCTTCTGCTGATGTTTTGGCCATGGCCAAGGTTGAAGTCAAGTTGGCTGCCATCCCAGAAGGTAAGAACGTCATTGTCAAATGGCAAGGTAAACCAGTTTTCATCCGTCACAGAACCTCCGAAGAAATTGCTGAAGCCAATGCCGTTGATATCAGCTCCTTGAGAGACCCACAACAAGATGCCGACCGTGCTAAGAACCCTGAATGGTTGGTCATGTTGGGTATCTGTACTCACTTGGGTTGTGTCCCAATTGGTGAATCTGGTGATTTCGGTGGTTGGTTCTGTCCATGTCACGGTTCCCATTACGATATCTCTGGTAGAATTAGAAAGGGTCCAGCCCCTCTTAACTTGGAAGTTCCAGAATATGAATTTGCCGACCCAGAAACCTTGATCGTTGGTTAATTAATAAAAAAAAACTAAACAAGAATTCATGACAAAAACTATCAAAATCTCACAAAGAGCATCCAAAAAAAAAATGAAAAAAAAAATATCTTGATCTGAAATTTCAATACTATTTTTAACCTCCCTCTTATCATTGACACCACTTTTCTGATGGAAAGAAAAAAAAACTCTCATCACTATAAACATCACCACCTACATTCCAAGTAATTATTACGTACTTATTATAATTCATAATGAGCATTTATCATATATTAAATAACTTTTTTAAAATTTGTATATCACATCAATGTAGTTCGCCCGCCAATTTGGTTACTAGCCAGTCCATCAGGCATATTACCATCTCTATCAGCGATAAATTGACTATAAATGTTTTTCAACTTCATTCTTTCCGATGCCGAAATACTTGGACTAGTCTCCTTGATTGCAGTTTGAAAATCCTCTTCCGTTATATAAACAATGAAGTCTTGGTCCCCCTGTTGGTCACTTTCAGTTGATGATGGCTTCTCATCCTTGGCAATTATTGTCTCGATCGTTTTAAACAATTTTGTTCTTTCAATTAACGTTAAATCCTTAATTTTGTCTTGGCTCAATTCCAATTGGAAAAAATCGAAAGCCATCTTTGAGTCTTTAGATCCACTGGCGCTTTTCTCCTTTTTGATCTCATCATTCTTTAATTTTCGATGAACCGCGTTCAAATAGGCATTGTAACACAACGCTTGTAAATCAGCCCCAGAAAATCCCTCAGTAATTCTTGCAATATCATTCAAATCTATACCTGAACCATCCAAATTCATCTTGCTGGTCACAGTATCAATAATGTCCCACCGGTTTTCAAAATCCGGAATATCACAAATCACACTCTTGTCCAATCTTCCTGGTCTTAATAATGCAGAATCAATCAAATCAGGTCTACTAGTAGCAGCCAAAACATACACCCCATCCAACCCTTCAGCCCCATCCATCTGGGTTAAAATCTGGTTCACCACTCTATCGGTGACACCCGTTGAGTCGTGACCTCTTTTTGGTGCAATGGAATCAAATTCATCAAAAAATAAAATGCATGGTTTAGCAGCCTGAGCTCTTTCAAACAACTCGCGAACAGATTGTTCTGAAGCCCCAATATACTTATTCAAGATTTCTGGTCCCTTGACGGAAATGAAGTTCAATCCGCACTGGGAAGATACCGCGGACGCCAATAAAGTTTTCCCACAACCTGGATACCCATATAGTAATATTCCTGATCTTAATCTAAGAGGACAGTTTGCAAAAATCGGCGCGTATTTAGTGGGCCATTCAAGAGTTTCTAATAAAATCTCTTTGGCATCCTTCAATCCTCCAATATCCTCCCACTTCACTTTGGACTGCTGTAACTTGATGTTTCTTAATCCTGTTGAGGTAAAACCTTCCAATGATTTCTTGAAATGCTCCGGCAAAATAACAAACTCTTTGTTTTCAGAAGAGCATTTTTCAGAACTCAAGTAATCGAACAAGACTTCATGATATGCTCTATCTATTAGCGTCTTCAAATCATTGGGAAGATATCCTTCGGTATCGTTCAAAAGATCATTTAGTTCGACTCCTGTTTGGTCTTCAAATTTCAATTTTTTCGCTTCCAAATAATGATTTATAATTGCTGATCTTTGTTGCTTGTCTGGTGGACTAACTTTGAAATACTCGTTGAGAAGTAAGGGATTGGATAATAAAACCTTATTTAAAGTATCCTTGGAATTCGCGGTTAAAATCAATTTTATGTCGTAAGAACGGTTTTCACCGTTCATAAGTTGAAAATAATTATTAATGAAATATTCTGTGAAGTTGATAGTTAATGAATTGTTTCCTTCTCCCATCCCCCCTTGTTCCGATTCTTTATAGCAAATCAAGTCAATATTTTCCAAAATCAAAATCACCTTTTCAAAGCTGACCAATTTCAAAAAGATTTTATTGAATGTTTTTTTCAAAGCTTCAAAACTATTAATTTCGTTCAAATACTCCTCAAGATTAATCAAGATTATCTTATGTGTAGTTTGAAGATGAAGTTCTTTGATCAATGAGGATATTAGTAAAGATTTTCCAGAACCCGAGGCACCATGAATCAAGACCCCGTTAATATCTTTTCTGATGGTTGCTAATATTTTCGATTTCAAGTCATCATATCCGATCAATGATGTTGCATCGCCATCATCATTTAATGAAATAGTGGTACTTTCAATGCCATTATTGACAACCTTTTCCATTTCCGATTCAACTTTGAGAATAGGTATCCCGATTTTCAATTCAACTTCATCAATAGAATTTGTAACAAACCAACCTTCTGCAAGTTCGAACTCTAAAGAGCCTCCAAAGGGAAGAACGTTCTTTATTAATGGTACTTGGGAATTCGTTGCTATTGAATTGTTATTGAAATATTCACAATCAGTTAAATATTCTTTTATCTTGATCAATTTCAGCTGGTCATCTTTCTTTTGGCCCTTCCTACCAGTTATATCTAGAACTTTTGTTTTTTGCTTCTCAGGGGTTTTAGTTATGAATGGATGGATCAATATTGATCTTGGTTTTTGAGATAGCGGTCTCAAAGCTGATTGAATCACCAATAAGTTTCCGTTAGAGTTTTGAATGCCAAGAGTTTGTGCAAGGATTTTTGATATTCCAACATAATTTGTTGGGGCATCTGGATGGTTAATGAGCCTTGCAACTGTACTCTTGTATTTATTTATCGGGGATTCCGAGTGTTTTTTGGAATTGACTGCTTTCTTGCTTTGCTCTGGAGATTTTGAATCTTCTTCTACTGTTTCATTTACCGCAATCAATGATACATTCACATACTCGATATTTTTGAAAGGTTCCTTGAGCTCATTGAAATTAACAAAAACTTCAAATATATTGTCATTATTACTGACAATTCCATCGAACAGGTTATGAGGTACACAGATATTCCTGAACAACATTTTTGATAACGATTCCTGGCTCTTCTTGATACTTTCCATTGATTTCATTGCTCTTGATCCTGTTGAATTTGATATCTTTCTAACCTTAGGAGCGATTATTACTTCGCAATTCGGAGATATCTTTGCGAAATTCCCGTTATCAGGAACAGGTTCGATCTTCACCACTTTCAAAGAAGCGATAATTGTAGATGATGGGTAAACCACCAACGTCTGGTCGAGTTTCACCGCTCTAGTTTGATTCAATAACCGACTTTCAAGAAACTGAGCATGAATCTCCACCAATTCCCAATCTGATGAAGAAACCGGTTCCAAGTGTATTTTAAGGGCCTCGGGGGCGTTGAACTGCATTTTCAACATCACTTTGGTGTTTTCTTTCAATCCAATTGAACTAGCAAATACTGGATCAATCTCCATATTCAGACCTTGTGAACTGGTGCTGGTCATCCCTGACCACCCAGCATAGGCATACTGCAACGGCAGCAGTCTCTTTGGTTTCCATGATATCTCAATGACTACACCTTGAACATTGATGTTGGCACTGTACAAAAGCGATACCACATCTGCTGGAAGGTTGACGAGATTAGATCTCAACGAAGTTAGCACAACTTTTGCTTCTATAGACTCCATTATTATAGTTTTCCATGAAAAAGTAGACCCCACAATTGATTTGTATTTTTCATTTTTTAATGAATCACCTATCTATATCAGGCATGTGTAATTTATCGCTTCCACTTACCCGCCCGAGAGCATATCAAGGAATTACATCCGCTGCGCTGGATCATTTCACTGATAATAGCAGAGTTCTTCTATTGATTGACGATTCCAGCATTTCTTTCCTCCAAGAACTTAAATGAACTTTTGAAAAAGATTTCATATAGTCTTGATTGTTTTTTTAAGATTTAAATTTCGATGAAGATAGAATAATGATACTTATAATTCAAAGATTTTATGAGAAATTTTTTGGGTTTAGTGAAACAGAAAGCTGATAGGATCCATGATGATGGGACTATTGATGATGAAGTTATTGTAGAAAATTTTGAAGTGAAAAATTGCTTAATAGTACCTACTATTTTAGTGGTACCTGTAACTTTATAACAATGTTGGATGGATTCTTTGTCATTTACTCCAGTTTCAGATTGCTTCACATTAGCATTGTTCACTTAGTAGCTGAGCCTTCGATAAAGAATGATGTGTTATAGTAAATACATTTGAGCTAATATAAATATTTTTGATCCCACTTTTCACTCAACTTGTATTCTCAATATATGAAGCCATTTCCAATTATTGGTTAATTTTGTCAGTTATGTCCAATCCTGCGTGCGTAGAGAGATTGATTTTTATCAATAATTACCGCCACATTGGTGTATAAAGTATCAAAGACTGAGGCATTCTTTGTTTACACTCTTATTTCTCTCAACCATATTTGTTTTTTCTTGCCTATTGATATTATAGAGTATACATATGCAGTGTCACAAGCGAAAAAAACTCAATAGCTACGATGCTTCCACCAATCTTGGTGATAAAATATTCATTTGAAGCTTACCTTCAAAAATCATTGTCCGTATTGTTGCATTATGTCAAGCAGACACTCTACAAGCATTATTGCACTTGTGAGATCAACTAGATATAGGCTCTCATTCTGTTTTGGTGGTTCTGATAGATACAGCCTTATTCCGCTCAGTATCGATAAAAAATATCAATGAACTATCAGAATCGCTATTCAATGTAACCCGATCCTCAGGATTACTAGAAACTAGAGGAGCTTGAATTGTTATGGTTTTGAAACCTTATCCTGCTAATAATTTCACTAGCTCTCGATACCTTTATTTATCACTCAGTGCTACTTGGAAGATGTTTATTATTTTCACAATTTCGTAAACTTTGAGTATTTGAGCTTAGAGAAGTGTAAGTTGAAACTAAGTTGAAACTGTTATGAGGCTACGAAGGTTATTAGAATTTAAAATCACCATCGGCAGTAGAAAACAGAATTACAAATTTCACTACTGATTTAAGTAACCATTTGAAATTGGAGACACTCAACTTGAGCAGCAACGCTCTTCGAACACTTGACAATATTCACTCAACACCCCACTTACTCGTACCAGAAATCCAAGATAATCTTCTTGAAGACATTGACAGGCCGTTGTTCTTCCCAAAGTTGAAAAATTTAAATATTTCTTCTAACCCAATCAGAGTTTTGGATGAAAATATCGCACTGTTACTGTCTTTAGGACTATTGGAAGCTAAATATTGTGAAATTGAACTTATATCGATCGATTTATCCAGATTTAAAAATTTACAAAGAAACTGTTTGATCGAACTTGAGTAATAATAAAATCACTGGATTTATCTTCTTAGAATTTTTTATAACTTTAAAATCCGTGAAACTTTCTAATAATAAAATTACTTCAACCAACATGAGCTTTGCCTACCTGAATAAACTAGAGAAATTAAAAATAAGTTTAACCAATAAAAATCTCATATCGTTTAGAAATATCAACGATATTCCTAATCTTGTTAGGCTAAATCTATATGGCAACGTATTTCAAAAAACCGATCTCCCCCTGAATATATCACTGGCTGACAAAAAATAGACAAAAAATAAAAAATGGTTATCTCAATACAAAAGATTTCCGCCCCAGTTGTAACCCATTTTTCACATTCATTCTGGAATTAATACCATATTAATATAAATTCTAAGCTGAAATAATGGGGAGCTGCCTAAATCGTTCATTTATCATCAAGGACAGAGTTGACGTTCCAACACAACGGGTGCAATTCATCGATGCTCTCAGGCGGGTAAGGAGAGAAAAGCAGTACATGTTTTGGTTATATGGTCCGGTGAAATACTAAAAAACAAGTGTTCTATCCTCTATTTAACCAAACAACATTTCACAAGTAGAGCAACATTCATAAGATGGCAATTCAATTTATAATAATAATGAATAGGCAGGGTAAAGCCCGAGTATCGCGATGGTTTTCAAGTTATTCCGATAGTGAGAAACTAAAGTTAAAATCACAGGTTCACAAATTAGTCTCTTCAAGAGATCACAAACATCAATCAAACTTTGTAGAGTTCAATGACAATAGCAAATTGGTCTACAAAAGATTTGCGGGTTTATTCATAGTATTTAGTGTCGATCTAAGTGATAACGATTTAATTTATTTGGAATCTATTCAGCTATTTGTGGAAGTGCTTGATCTATATTTTGGTAACGTGTGCGAATTGGACATAGTATTTAATTTCTACAAAGTTTATTCAATAGTGGATGAGATGTATCTGGGAGGTGAGATAGAAGAGACATCACGGAATGTGATATTAGAAAGGGTGAGGTGTTGCGAGAAGTTTGATTAATAGAATCAACCCCATGCAGAAAGATTATTTGGCCTATTTATCGATCTTGCTGCCCTTTTGTATTATAAATTCTCATTGGAAATACTCAACAGGATTGGTATTGTCAACTTCAATGAATTTCTTGACGAGTCCCAAAACATCAGTTTTAACTTCTTCAATAGTTTTATTATCAACATAAACGATTTCAAAATCTGCCTTTGAATTAGAGCTTTGTAACCTCTGTTTCTCTTCTTTATTAAAGAAAGTCTCGAAATTTTTCTTGACTTCCTGTTGAAACTCCGTTATTTCATATCTTTCTTCGCCATAATTCTCTCTATTTTTCAATTTGTTCACATTTTCATTGTCCTTAAACGTTAAAAATAGGACCAAATCAGGTTTTGGTAAACCAATATCAGGACTTTTGCACCAGTCAAAATCCAAGCCATTGGCGGTGGAATAAGCTATACCTGAATAATAGTATCGATCCATTATTAGATTTACCCCTTGTAACAACTTTTCCAATAACTGCGATTTTAATTCCCACCTATTAGCTGAGAACAATAGATGAATGGATTCTTTTGGAAGATTGAAATTTTTGTCAACTAAGAATTGATTAATCAATTTCCCGATCTCAGTGGTTCTATCTTATTTTCCTTCCAGTTAATAAAAACGATCTCCTCTAAAAAAATTCACAGATCCCATTGGTAACACATACCTGGAAACTTGATCAATTCCACTTTTTTACCAGCATTCTCAAACTCATTAACAATCAAATCAGCTTGGGTAGATTTCCCAGTACGATCTAGACCCTCTATCAATATTAGCGAACCCCTTTTACTCATGGTATTTTGGTATTTTGGTATTTTGTTGGTGTTGATTGAAAAAGCCTGAGAACGTCAACTAGACCAAAAGAGAAGGAAATGAAAAAATAAAAAAAAAAAATAAAAAAAAATGACGCGTATACGCGCATATAAGCTAAGCAAAAGCAGTAAGTGCCACAAAACCAAACTACAATTTTGCTTATCCAAGCAGAAATGAATTTCTACATCTCAGTAAAACATGGTTTTTATTTATATAAACGTTTAAACCTTTATTTTGCAAATCCTATAAAAATAGAAAAAAAAAATCAAACCATAAAATTGTCCTCGTACAGTTTAAGTAGTCTTTTGAAATATTTCTTAGACTTTCTTTGACCACCATAAATCAATCTAATATAAAGCTTATTCAACTTTAAAAAAACATACTTGTCTCCAAACCATAATACAACCAAGTTGATTACCGAAAAGACAAAAATCAATAATTTGAATGAAAATGGTAAGTATGTCAATTGCATCAAATCACCAAGCCACGATTCTGGACCAGCTGCCATTAATAAACATGATAACCCAATGGAAATCAAAATATCGACAACAAACGGAATATTTCTTATCGATGACTCTCTATATGGAGGACCCTGTGTTAAAATGATGGCAATTAAAATATACTGGAAATTGGAGAAGAAAAATAAAACAGTATTGTCTGAAGATTGAACTGCATCATCACCGGCAGGAATAGGTTTGATGTACCATGGTTTAGACTGGACATACAACCAAATCGAAATTTGAAATAGCATTAATGTTGCAATATTTCCAATCATTGGAATCAAAACTTTAGAGGAGACTAAATTTGCACTAGGCTTCTTTTTGGCAATATAATCATACGGCTTCGACCAAGACATAAATATGGCAATTGGCAAAATCAAAAACAAATCAATCCATAAAAACTGGAAATCACCCAAGTTAGAGCCCTTCTTATAAAGCACTGACACAGAGATGAATTGAATGGCCGAATACAAACTCATATACTTGAAGCAGCTGAAACTTGTAACCAACGAAGCTCTACCTTCCTTAATAACATTCAAGACACATGAAATCTGGAAATTGGTGGAAGTAAATGGGGCAGCAACGGAAGCTTCTGCTTCGGACAACGAAATACCAATATTGGCCGCCTTTAAAGCACCACAGTCGTTAGCACCATCACCACAGAACCCAACCGTGTAATCTAATTTTTGCAACTGCTCCACTAATTCGTGTTTCTCATCTGGAGACATTCTCGCATAAATATTGGCGCTCAACAATAATTTTTCAATATATTCTTGGCTAAATCTTGCAGGACTCTCGTCTGACTCCTCGTTTTTCAAAATATAACGGAAAATATCCCCTGTAACTGCTAATTTATAATCGAAATATTCCAATGGCAGATCTCTCTTGACAATTGGGCTTAAAGTTTGGGAGTCCAAAATCAATTCGGGATCATTAACATCTTCCCACATAATGTTAATTCCATTATCTTTATTACTTTCATCATTCTCCATCTCATTTTCTTCATCAACAAACCTAGGTATAAAAATTTTAGTCTTTGGGTCAGATATTAAAGAACTTTCTTTGGCAACACTAATAGCAGTCAAAATATTATCACCAGTACACATAATGGTTCTAATATTAGCTTGACAATTAAGCACTTCAAGGGTTGGTTTAGTTAGTTCCTTCAATCTATTTTCAAAAATAATAAAACCTAAAAAGTCCAAATTCGATTCGATTTCTGGTCTACTCATTTTGTTGATTTGCTTCATGGATGATGATAAACTTTTAGTTGCAACGGCTATAACTCTGTAACCATCATGCGTGTAACGATACAATAATTCTTCATAATTTTCTGGCAACGATTCTGGGTTGCAAAGTGCAGATATAACTTCCGGAGCACCTTTAGTGAAAACTTGATATCCTGGACAATTCTCACTTAAAGTTTTACTGATAACTGACATTCTTCTTAAAGAAGGGATGAACTCATAATTCTTCACAATAGCAATATAATTATCAATCTTGCCGCCATCAATAACACTTTCTGTTGATGGTCTAGAAACCAATGGGTAAATATTTTTACGATCACCACCGTTAGAATATTCAAAATCTTCCTCTAGTATCCATTTGGTAAACTCAAACATTTTGAAATCCAAGGGGTCCCCAATACATTCACCATCAACAACTCTAAGGGAATGACAACTGCATAAGGACATCAAGAAATTGTGCAAAATTTTTGAATTTTCGGCCATTGATGTTTTGGTCCGAGAACCCTTTGTGTCATCGTATCTCTTTGAAAAATCTGCCATATCATTATAACCTTGCAAAACAGTGTTCAAATCTCTGGTCATTGGCCCAAATTCACTGATATTTCTCTCAGATGCCTTTTGAGCTATATGCACCCCTAAAATATCCAAGCCATCTTCCGTTAATGTCCCCGTTTTATCAAAGCAGAATACATCAACTTTACCAGCAATATTAACTTTTGAAGGACTAATACAGAAGATCCTAGAATTTTTCAATCTATTGATTGCAAAATTTGTACCAATAGTCAAGGTAGCAGGTAATGCTGGAGGAACCACAATGGTTATAATATCGAACGCTCTCAAGACAATAACACTAGTTTCCAAGTTTAAGCTAAGGAAATTATGAATGGAATATAAGAACCCAAAGAAAGCCACCATTGCCATAAATCCGATGTACTTAAATGAATCTCTATAGAACTTGAATCCAACAGGCTTTGGGAAGAGCATAGATCTAAGTAATTGACCTTTGGTAGTAGAAAAGCCAATCTTAATAACCACAGCCAATGCAGGCTCATTTTTCATACTAGAATTTATTGTCTGATTATCACCCACATCATCATCATCTCCATCATGTTTATCGGCATCTTGAGATCTTCTGACTCTAATTATTTTTGTGCCGCTAAAAAGATAAGATTTTGACAATGAGCCTCCCACTTGATTTTTGGTGACAAAAGCAGAATCTAAATTGACAAGGTGCTTCTTGAGAGTTTCATCGCTAACAGGGACTTTAGAAACTGGGACAGATTCGCCTGTGAGCATAGATTCATTTATAATACAATCACCTGAGATCAATACCGAGTCACATGGAATACTGGATAAATTAGGATCACTTAATTCGTATAAATCTCCAGGAACAAGCTCTTCAAGGGGTACTTCTTTCCAAAAACCATTTCTTTTGATTCTGACGTATGGATAGTTATTCAATTTCGATATTTCTTTTAGTTTTCTCATAGTCTCTCTGGTTTCTATTAATGATTGAACCACTGAAACAATAGAAATAAAGAAAATACAGAAGGCATAATAATAGTAGTCATCTAAGAGCCATAAAACAATGGAAAAGATTTGAAAGATGTAAAAAGGGTGCAAGATTTCTTTAACCAACAATTCACTAATGGAGCTTTCTTTCAAATCAAGTGAGTTGGAACCAAAAATCAATTTCCTATCCTCAGTCTCATATTCACTCAAACCATGACGGATTTTTGACGTTGAGCTCCAATGTGATTTATCAACCCAGTTAGTATTGGTGGTATAAATATCTTCCAAAGGGTTGTAAATTAACTTCAAATATCTGTAAGAAAAGGTAAGTAACACTGGAACTTTGGCGTTTGGATCAAAATCCATAGCGCTGCTTGCGTCTGGGTCCACCAATTCATCTTCAAAATCACCATCATGTTTCCTCTTTTTAAAATTGAAAACTATATCCAAATTTCTATTGAACCACTGCTTTTCAATATCAATGATATCCAACTCTCCATGTTCATTTTCAACCACAACCCAGTCACAATTCCCGAGGTTCTCTCTTCTACCATAAAGATTAATTCTAAATCTTGGCATCCATCTGAGGATTAAAAAACTTATTCCGAGCGTCAAGATATTCAAAAAGTAAAAGCATCCCAATCTAATTTTCGATGTTCTGTATCCAGCAATACCAATGACCAAATCTTCTTCTGCGATGTAAAATCTTTGGAAATGCACTTTTGAGTCAGGGAAAAAGACCTTGTCTGATACTGATCTAGGAGTCAATTCATCATTCTCGTGAGATATTGACAGAAAAGTAGTATGAGAGACATCGCTTAGTAATCTTGTTCGATAATTGGCTTCGGCAGAAAATGATTCATGTTCACTGATTTCTAAAGCCGCGGTATTTTGACTGCCGCTATTTTGGTCATCAGCCACTAATTCTTCGGATAACTGAGTGGTATTCTCTTCGTCCAAATTATTATATGATGGGCCAATATTCCAATCAGTATCATAATCGACAAGAGGGTCATCCAAAGTCGAAGAAACACCTTGAGCGTTTTCAATTTCATCAGAGGTGAAAAACTTGAAATTAGGTCTATTTCCCGACTCTATGGAATTATTTCTGGACCTAACCGATACACTTGACCCCATTCTATCGTTCACTAATGAGTTTCTGTTTAACTGACTTCCCCCTTCGTTTCTAGAGTCAGAAATAGCATCATGAGATTTTGAAACTCGCTGTGACTCCAAAAGATTTTCTGTTTGATCATCTTGATTCTCCTCTGTATCCTCTTCATTATCTTCGAAATTATGAGAGTGATGGAATGTGGCAATGGATGAAGGAATAATCTCGGACCCCACACCAGAGAAAATTTCTGTATCATTTTCGTCTAAATAGAGATTTTTCGAACCAATTGATGAGGTTGAATTTCTCCTGGTCACCGAATTGGAGCGGGTCCTCGTGAGCTTCAAAGACTTATCATGACTTCTTGGCATATTTGTTAAATAATTAGTCAACAATACATGAATCCTTTCGGAGTGATGATCATTTATCAAAAGATGTTGTTGCTGAGGGGCCTCGGGGCAAAAAAAGATTAAAAAAAATATCGCATAATCAAAGACATATACCATTGATTTGGGTCTGCTAAAATCTATGGGAAGTATTCACGCGAATTGACAGAAATTTTTAAGTAGTTTCAAGAATATAAGACTAAAATATATATGCTATCCATATATTGCAGATATTTCATTAACATTGAAGTTATTTTGTGTATGTTTGATGATGCTTGAACTCAACATCCATACATCAATTCAATAATACTCACAGCAATTTCAATTTCGCGTCACGGCTGTTACCAATGGGTATTGTGACATGCCCAAACAGAAATGTCCTTTATTTCATATGGGTGTCATCCAAGACAAATTGTGAAGAAATACCACATCCCTAAACTCTCTAATGCTATTATTATTTTCATTCATGGTGGTGCGTGGAGGGATCCCAACAATACCTGTAATGACACCGATGAGATGGTGAATCAGTTAAAGTCATTTGGTGATTGTCCAGGAGAAGAGAATGCCGTTGAAAATTTTTACTCGATAGATTACAGATTATCTCCTGAATGGAAGTTTCCGTCGTATATCATTGATGTGCTTTTTGCAGTGATAAAAATTAAGCGACACTTGGAGTCAAAAGCTGGTGACCTCAATAAGTTCAAGTTCTATTTGGCTGGACATAGCGTTGGTGCACTTTTGACTCTTCAATTCTTAGATTTTGCTGAAGTCTTAAAGAAATGGTGGAATTGCTCTTCTGAACCTTCATCAGTTTTGGATTCAATACTTGAAACAATTGACGGGGTGGAAAAAAAGTTTCAACTCTCAGATTTGGTGGAATACTTTACCAAAAATCTTGCAGCGCCTATTTCTAGTCCACAAGCCATAATGTTGGATGGTATCTATAATCTTGAAGATTTGGTTTGTGAATATTCCAGTGCATATGAGGCATTTGTCCTTGAAGCCCATGAAAGTAGAATGGAATATTTAGAGTCTACACATTTCAGTTTCATGGATCCTTCCTCTAGGGATTTTACCTCTCATAAGATTCTTGTGATACAGTCAACCAAAGATGAACTTTTATCTCCTCGGCAGACAGAAAATTTACTAAAGGCCTTTGACGCCGATAATATTGGATATGAATACATCATTGATGACTTTGGGGCTCATAACAACGTCTATGTTAATAAGGATGTTACAAAAATCATTTACAATTTTATCAAAAATCAATAATATATGTATAATATCTCACTACTTTGAAGATTTCTTTGTAAGAGGCTTGATAACTTGGCCGGATTTTGTAATAACGCTTGGCATTGTCATTCTTTGGAAAGTACCTCTAGTGGTCCATTCTTGACCAATCGGCATTCTAAGACTTCTTTCATACTGTTCTTTATTTTCGTAAGGGAATGGAACACCATCAGATTGATATTTCATGTTCTTTTTATTCACTTTCTCATTGAAAATAACGTTCTTCAAGTTTTTATCAGTTCTCTGATCAGCGGATTTAATTCCCTTCACCTTCTTCATCTTGACATCCTTTTTTTGCTTTTTGCGCTGTTTTTCATTTCCACCAATCCAAGAGTTAAAACCCGGTTGTTCGGCATTCACCCACTGGTCATCCTCTTCATCTATTACACGTTTCTTCTCGCCTTCAAATTCCTTGACTACGTTATCACCAGCAAAAGCTTCCTTAATAATGTCTTTCTGTTTGAAAGTTTCAACTTCCTGTCCTTCATCTTCACTTCCATCATCGAAACCCTTATTCCCGATGTGCAAAGTGGCAGCGGTGTCAATTAATTCTAATTGAGAAGCAACACTTCTTGATTTGTTTTTTGATTTCTGAAGCTTATGAGCTTGTTTCTCGGCCTTTGTACTAGTTTGATCCACTACCTTGACTTTGCTCGATTTTTTCACTGCTTTAGTAATATTTTCACCTAGCCATGGATTAGCTTCTTCAGCATCCTCTTCTGGAGCTTCAGTTATTATTTCTGGATCATAATTGCCTTTATTATTGTTATCATCAGTACTCTTTTTTTGATTCTTTTTCTTCTTACCTCCTTTACTCTTTGATTTAAACTTATTTTCTAAGCTATTTTCAAGGTTGTGACTTTCGTCAATTTTTTGTTCTTCAACAGTTTTTTTGTTTTGTTCTTGTAACTCCTTACTTGCCTTTGTTGCATCAGGAGTGAAAATTTTTCTACCTTTGTTTAAAATCACTTTAGCACTTTTCGTTGACGCATCATCGAAATCTTCTATATCCAAACCTTGTTCCATGTTCCTCAATTTCTCTATATCTTCTCTGTTTTTTTCCTTTTCTCTGGCTTCTGCCTTTTTCATGAATGACATATTCATAAATCCGGATTTACCGACACTAGCCTTTTTTTCAACCAATTCTTCCTCATCTTCTGAACTAGCATTCTCAAGATCTTCAAGCTCAACATCATCATCATCAGAATCTTCATTACGCCCAAGAACTTTTTCACGCAACCTTTGCCCTTGTTGCAACATGGCTTCCATTTCTGCTCTGGTTTCTTTATCTTTAGTCATCCCATGCTTCAACATATCCTTAGCCCATTTACTGGAACTATTTTTGAACTTCAAAGTCATTCTTGCTTCAGCTCTGGATTCATCTTGAGCATTAGCATCCTCATCGTCCATAAATTCATTCAATAGTTCTTTATTCTTGAGCATTTCCTTCTTTTTTATTCTTCTGTAACTTTTAGACTTGATCTTCTTAATTCTCTTGGACTTCCTTTCTTCACGGAAAAGTAAGTCTCTCATCAACCTCAACTCATTTTGTCTCTTAATCATATCTTCTTTTGACATCTTTGCCACCTGGACTTGCTCGAAAAGTGCTTCTTTTTTAGTATCTGTCAACAAAGACTCCTCCAAGACACCATTGACCATTGATTCCAATTCAGTCATTGGCTTATCTGACATAGTAAATACAGACACTTTTTTATTTTCAACAGTATTACCAATCAATGGAAATTTCACGACTTCAGCTCTCTTGATTCTTTCAACATCATCCTTCCACTTGTCGACTTCCTTTTTGGAAATTTCATATGCAGCACTTCTTTCATTTCTTTCCTGAATTCTCTTTGGCAATGGAATAGCGAGCGGTTTAACTTGATCCGCATCCTTTAATAATGTAGCCTTGCCATTGGCAGATTCCATCATCTCAGTTAATGACAATTTGGCACCATTTGTTGGGACACCAAATTCATTTTCTTTCACGTTTAATGTTATCAATTTCTTTTTTTGTTTCTCAGATTTCTTCTTTGATTTTTTCAATTTATCCATGACTGTATTCAATTCACCTTCATCTGAAGAGTCTGCAAATATATCTTCTTCACTCTCTGAGTTACTCTCATCTGATGAATCTTCTTCCTCACTTTCTTCCTCTTCATCATCACTTGAACTGAGTTCATCTAATTCTTCTTGTTTGGCATCTAATTTAATAGAACTCTTGGATTCAGTGTCACTTTTATCATCTTCCATATCCCAAATTTCACTGAGGGGTCTCAACTCTTCTTCGTCAAAACTAAATTCCCCACTGTTATCGGAAGCATATTCTGAATCAAATTCGTCGGAGTCAATACTCTCATCGCTAAAATCATTCAACGCATCTGAATCATCATCTGAAGCAATTTCCCCAGTTTTTGGATTAAGGAGAACCAATGCCCCATTCTTGAATGTGGATTTTAGGGCCATGATGCTCTATTTGTAGATGTTCTTGTCGAGTATATGAGCAAAGCTGATAGCTATAAGCGATAAAATTTATTATAGAAGAGAGTTGAGAAAAAAAAAAAATTTTTTCCAAATCATCGCGTGTCTGATCCTCACATAATTATGCATGGTTTGGTACCAAATTGATGGGAGGAACACGACTGTGATAAGTCATATGGTAGAAATTTGATAATTCAACACTGCTAGTCGAGCAATTTTAATCAAAATTGGCAAATAGCTTTCTCTTTAACACTCATTATTTTTTTGCAATACGAAATATACATTTTGAAACGCTTCACTGATGGCAATGTTGTATCTTGCAATGATAAATCAAGTTTAACGTTCCAATTCTCTAGGTCTTGTGTAATAATATCAGTTGCGCCACTCATATTTAATTTGAATTGATCTCTCCAAAAATCTGAAAATTTCTTTTAGTATTCATCTTCGTTTAAAAAAATAAAAAACATTATATCAGAATGAATCTCAGAGGAACAAGATTTGAGATATACAAATAATAAATATGAGACAGTCAAAATGCGCTTCATTTAAAAACCACCCAAAGTTGCCGTAATATGTTATAGATACTATAAAATATTTAAGGAGGTTTTCAAATTAGATACTTGAATCAGATAAAGTAACCTTGCTTTAAGGATTAACCACATCACCAGTAAAAAACTCGGTAATCAAGATTATTAAGGAAAAAAGGTGTAATGTGGAATGATATGAAGTCACTAGTGAATTACCCATCACTAGGAGCTTCATGAAATGAGACGGAAGGGGCGTCTTTGTTAATGGGTTTTAGTACTATATCTCAAGTACTAAGTATTTTCAGAGTAGTGACCATCAAAATTCTGGGGAGAATAATAAAAACCAATAAAATAATAATAAAATAATAAAAACCAAGTAAAGCAAAACAATCAAACAGAGTAAACCAATTGAATTAAATCAAATAAACCAAAGAAATCACATAAACCATTGTAAAATCAAAAAATCAAAAAAGAACCAGTACCATGGGTCTATCTCAAGTGTCACCACACACTTTTTAAGTCTAGACTCCTATCCTGATTCTATAAATCAATGTACCAACTGAACACTTTAACTCATATTCCATTTCTTTGCCTCAATTATTAGCGAGAGATAATAATGTGAAGCCTTTGTGGAATGTTATCAAAATCAAAATCAAATATACCAGTGCTATGGTTTTATCTCTGATGAAGCCTTACCCGGCCCTTGATAGAGAATATTTTACAAAAAAATATAAAACTGCTCGCATATCGTATAGGTCCCATAGTGTAGTGGTTACCACGTCAGGTTCTGATCCTGAAGACCCCAGTTCGAACCCGGGTGGGACCTTTTTTGCAATTGATTTTGACCGTCTGATCGACTTGCTCAATAGCGATCAATTACATAAGCAACAATACAGTGATTTCTTTTTGTATTTTTTGCCACTGGTATGAACGTTTCCAGTGGTTGGTACGAATAAAAAAGAAATCACTATCACGAATGTTTAATTGTCTTTGTCTCCGCATATATATTTACTCAATATATTAGTAGCTATAGCTAGTGCAAAATTAGAGCCATAATATGTATAGCCGCAATTATGTCTCGGTAACTCTGCTGCTCAGACAGCGAGCTGCGGTTTACCTAGTGTTTATGAACATTTGGGGGTCTTACTATTAAATCATAGCTATTTAATAATTATTTAGCCTACGATTGAGAAAGGCTATAAAGATTTGCTTGCACAGTATGTAGTTATTTCCAATGTCTCAAGTTTTTATCCGCACAATTAGTATGATAATTGTGCAGAAATATCACATATCCAAAGAAACAGGAAATACAGAGACTAAAAAACTGTGCAATAGCCATCAGGGGCCATAGAGCACACATCCGAAATTATCTTTTTATTTTCTTGAGCGTTCCTATATTTTCCATATTTTCCGAGTGTTTGCTTACGTCTGATTTTATTTGAATAAATAAATTAATAGGCTGAGACTAATGCAGCCATCCCTTTAAGATTTCTTACCTTATTCAGATTGCAAAGAAACTATTTTTTTGATGTAATATTTAATATGAAGGAATGGGCATGTATGTAGAAGAGCTGCAGACATGCAGCTTCCTAAATAGGATGTCAAAGGCATTTAAGGATACACAGTACTGGTAGATCTCGCTAAAGTATCTAAATAACCACAAAAAAAAACAAAACAAAATAAGATAAATGTCACTACCCCATTCTACTATCACTAAAAATAAAACCACATTTCAAACTTTTGTACGCCAAAAAAGTGTTATGTCGTGCTTCAGTTTCAGCTGGCTTGAGAATGTTTTTTGAGATTTTAGCAAACATAAAAACGAGTAAACGATTGTGATTATATTCAAAAGAATGATAATAAATATATCAATGTATTTCAGTGAAGGTTTTTTCTATCTGGTTAGAATTCCTACTGATATAGCTATGTGAATGTAATACGGTCCAATATTATGAATTGTCTAATAATAATAATAACAGAAAAAGAAATGTTAAAATGGTCTCAGTTCATTACTGAAAAATGATGGAATTTTTGATCTACAGACCAGGGTGGTCGACTTATCAAGGGCGTCCTGTCACTTACTACTTTAGGAATGAAATGGGATATCGCTTCCACAAGAAGTAATATAAAAAGAGCTATGGTTTATCCAGATTTTAAATCAAAAACTTTCTTTCTATATTAAATATTAAATATCTAACAAATATTTCAAATTGTTTCATCTTTATTTTTTCAAATATCAAGTTCCGAAATGAAATTTTCTACCATTGTTTGCGTTTCCGCATTAAGTTCCATTGCAGCTGCTGCCCCATGGCACTGGGATAAGCTTAGTCCAAACCAGCCAATCTACAAGAGAGATGCTGCTCCAGAAGCAGACGCTAATGCTGAAGCCGAAGCATGGCACTGGGATAAGCTTGGCCCAAACCAGCCAATCTACAAGAGAGATGCTGCTCCAGAAGCAGACGCTAATGCTGAGGCCGAAGCATGGCACTGGGATAAGCTTGGCCCAAACCAGCCAATTTACAAGAGAGATGCTGCTCCAGAAGCAGACGCTAATGCTGAAGCCGAAGCATGGCACTGGGACAAGCTTGGCCCAAACCAGCCAATTTACAAGAGAGAAGCCGATGCTGAAGCCGAAGCATGGCACTGGGATAAGCTTGGCCCAAACCAGCCAATCTACAAGAGAGATGCTGCTCCAGAAGCAGACGCTAATGCTGAGGCCGAAGCATGGCACTGGGATAAGCTTGGCCCAAACCAGCCAATTTACAAGAGAGATGCTGCTCCAGAAGCAGACGCTAATGCTGAAGCCGAAGCATGGCACTGGGACAAGCTTGGCCCAAACCAGCCAATTTACAAGAGAGAAGCCGATGCTGAAGCCGAAGCATGGCACTGGGATAAGCTTGGCCCAAACCAGCCAATTTACAAGAGACAAGCAGATGCTGAAGCCGATGCTGAAGCCGATGCTGAACCATGGCATTGGGATAAACTTGGACCAAATCAGCCAATTTACAAGAGAGAAGCCGAAGCTGAACCATGGCACTGGAGTAGCATTATTCCAAACCAAACAATCTACAAGAGAGAAGCTGAAGCTGCTCCAGAAGCCGAAGCCTAAAGAATTTGAAAAAAGTAGGATCATGGGTCTAAAAATCCTTGGGAGTTTCCATTTTTTCTTACCACTGGCCTTCTTCTCTCTTTTCCCCCTTTCTTTTTCTTAGTTATTTTTTCCCCATAATTTTTGAGTGTATTTGTGGTTTCCAACCTATCATAGAATAGAAGCCAAAACAAACCTTTAGCTGTGATTTCTTATCAATTATTTATCTTTTCGTATTTTCTCCTCCTATGTTTTTTTTTCTGACTTTTCTGATTTTTTTTTATTATTATTTATCTTTTTTTTTCCCTGTGTCAAATTCAGTGTACTTCAAAATTTCACATTGTTAAATTTGTAGATTAACAGATATGGAAAAGAGATAAAGAATTAAAATAAGGAATGAGAAATACTAATCTTCAATCTTTGTGAAAGATCTTAAAACAAGCAAAGAGATTAGCATACGTTTAGCTCATGTTATATTTGAAAATATTATGACCACAAATTTTTTCCAAGGGTTTTTATCCTTCGAAAAATCTCACCAGTTCAAAACATAGTAAACAAATACTCACAGTTTACATGTTCCACTATTTGATAATTCTCACTCTAAATGATATAACAAAATAATAATACATAAATAAGCATACACAAGAAGTAAACAAAAATAATTAAGAATATAATATATCAGGACTACTTCTAAGAGTTCATTTGAAACCTATATTATATCTCTAGACCCACTTCTATATGATCACTCTGATAATTCTAAAAAAAGATACTTCTTCTCTTTCACAAAACATGTTTTCTTTTGATAAAAACAATAAGCTTTTATCAATTCAAATATTTTAAGGTGTATTTTAGGGTCTTCTATGATCCCTTTTGATTCACCCTGAAATTTCCATTGAATAAACTTTGGGTGTCAAATTTCTTCTTCTTATATGGTGGCACACTATCTCCACTATCACTGTTATTGTCATCCTCATTTTTGATGCTGATATTATTTCTAACATTTCCAAAGTTGTCGTGCCCGCCAAAACCACCATTATCATTAGTTGCACCGTTATCCTCACTGACATTCATCGCCAAAGTATTTAGGGTTTCGAGATCTGCAAAGATTTGGTTTGTGGTGGAGTTGAACTTCTTTGTACCAAAGTTATTATTCAAGAAATCATTTGCCATGAATTGATGCATATCATTAACAGACCCATTTTCTTCATTCCAATTACTAATATTGTTAATCATATCATTAGCTCGATCGGTGAAGGGAATTTGAAGCCCACTACCACTTAAAAGATTGCTCATTCCAAGTGGGGTTTGAAGCTGACCAAAAGAAAATCCATTCACGGCATTGACGTTGTTGCTGGAGCCAGGATCAATGAAATGATTACCGTAGCTATTAGGAGAATTGAAGAACGTTGTCGTTGTAGTTTCACTGTTATCATTATTACCGTCCCAATGATTAGCGGGATAATTAGTGGACCCGGTATTGTTGAAGAGTCCCGCTGATGGTACGGTGCTTCCATTTTGTGTGTGCCCAATACCGAAAATATCTCCGTAAGCGAAACCACTGTAATTTGATGTATTGCCGCCATCTTTGGAGGCACCTAATTCCGCTACGAGTGTCTTTTGCAGTTTTGCTACCTCATTAACTTGTTTTATTTTTTTTTGATTCTCTTTATTGGCTTTCTGCCTCTGTCTCTGTGTATTCTTTTTCCCCTCAGGAGTTTCACCAATAGCAATTAACAAGTGACTCAAACTTTTCGGTACTGTGGATTTCTCAAGTGCCCCTCTTTTCCGTTTATTTTCCTCTTTCTCCTTCTGTAGCTGCTGCTTGAACTTTGAAGTTAATGTTTTGCTTGATAAACCATGATAGTCTGGAATGATGTCATAATGTGTCACTGGCCTTCGTACCACCGCTGGTGGCATCACCTCTGATTCAATCTTCACTGAAGCCGAGTCATTTTTACTTTCATTATTTTCTTCATTCGGCTTCCCATTTTCTTTAATGTTACCATTCGACAACTGATGATTCTGATTCCAAGTTTTCATAGTCTCATTTCCAACTCTTTTCTTTATAGTATTTGAGTCATAGGTATTGGTTTTTTTATTATTATACATCAACTCTGTAGAATCAGCCCCACACCGCTCAACCAAGCTTCTACATGTAGATCTCGATAATTCATCAAACGTATCACGAAAAACAATTGCATATTTCGACCGTTCAGCCATGACAAACAAGCAGATACTGCATGCTTTCAAATCATCTAAACTGGTAAACACTTCAGGCGTCATGACTAGTCTAGTGTGCTTCGCTTTGTCTCCTAGCAAGCGCCTTCTTTTGTCTTCAATATTACGGGTCAACCATAAGCAATAAATCAACGTCACTCCTGCGACAAAAACATTATTGATAGCAAGGATTGAGTGCCCATAAACGGTTTTTTGATGAAATACTTTGAAAAGTTGACAAATTTGCCCAGCTGCCGCTTGACATTCTTTGAGAAGTCTATCTTCCGGTTGCATTAATTCCAAATATGGTTGAATCAATACCCTCACTGTTCTGAAATAATATAGCGCAAGAGTAGCTTGCTCCACTTGGTTCATAATCACAGTACATTCTTTTCTCCAGTTCTGTAACTGATCAAAATAATATTCCACCAATGGTAGTTCTGAGACCGTGGAAACTTGGGAATTTGAGCCAACAATATTGAGAGATTCCATAGCTTTCGCCTCAATACGCTTCAATTTGATAGCTTGATTAATGTACAAAACGGCCTCTGTACCATTGGATAGTCCAGGACTGGAATTCTCTGTAAAATCTTTCACAAAATTAGTTTTCGCCGGATCATCCTCAAATAGCGGAATATCTGGATCAATACTTTTTTCTGGGAAATTGAATGGCTTCCCTACTGATACCGAAATTAATCTGTCAAGCAAATAAACACACCAAAAGCATTTCATTTTCTTAAGTCGCTCGTCATCTTCCCGACAACTCAAGTATGAAGAATACTTATGAAGATCGAGCTTTACTGCCAATTTCATGGCATCGCCAATTAAACGATATATCTCCGCAGCATCACGATCGCATCTAATTAAACACAAGATTACTAGCAAATAAATTTCAATCTGTTGGTAGGGGTCAGTGACTTTGCACTTGGATAAACTTCGAAGAGCAGTGGAAAATAGCCGGAGCGGCGCTAAATGTTTGTAGTCTCCGGTAGTTTTCAAAATGAATGAGTTTAAACTATAAATCAACCACATTCGACAACACGAGAAATAAAAATAGTTCAGATCGTTCATAAAACCAGCTAATTTTTGGCCTTGATAGGCATTATAAAAATCCATAACTTCTTTTTCATTAAGAAAGGGAAATTTAATCTGAAACCTGATAAAGTGCGTATCAATTAGTGTTCTTGAGAGTTGATCATCGACAACGTATTCTGGATCGTACTTGAGGATTTCTTTGAAATCATATTTCCCGAGGATGGTTTCGCTCAAATCAATAGGCCCTGCCAACGAGATTGAGAGACCATTGCTTGGTGGCAAATCAGGCATGATTTTATGAGTATTATTTGCCGAAGAGGGATTCAATGGTTTAACCACAGGAGGGGGAGTTTGAGAATCAAATGGCCTTGAAGGGTTGATGATTTTCCCGTGGGCGTCAAACTCGGGAATTTGACGCATCGGATCATTCATTAATGAAAAAGTAGGGATTTCCAAAGAGTTGACAATATCATCTGCTATTCCCGGGTCAAAAGTATTAGTTCGCTGTAGCGATAATGATGAACTACTAGTGGGTTCAGTCATAGTCTCAGTCTTAATAGTATTAGTAATGAACGCATCATCATTGGTCATAGTTTGCAGACTGGTTTCGTGATTTTCAATATATGGGGTCATTTTTTTGTATTTTGATAGCGCTCCACTTTTAAAATTTCCTGACAGATCATCAATCATACTCTCAAGGTACTGGATTCTTCTCTCCAAAACTATAGTATATTCATCTTTTATCGGAGCATCGACCGAATATTTTTCGGGCTGGACGCACTTGACCCCAGCTTTGAGACACGTTGTACAGCTGGGAAGTCTATGATCACATTTCTGTCTACCTAAGTGTTAGTTTCTTTTTCGCTGATAAGCTCCAATTTTCAAGAATTGAATTGAATCACACATACTTCCGTTTTTGACAAAGCAAACAGGATCTCAGTCTGCTCTTCTTATCTCCGGATGCTTTGGACACCATCAGCTCCAGAGCCAGCAGTCCCTTTGACTTCTTTGCCATGTTTATGTACCTATTTGTTGTTTTGGATTATGAAACTGTTGGTCCTCCTCACAATCGCTGTCTGATCGTAGATGTTTCTTTGTAATATAAATGCAACGGGGAGGAAGGAAAAAAAAAAACGTTCGGCCGGTTAGGTGCCCCACAATCACCTACCCACTCGTATAAGGGTTATCGTGAGCATAATAATAGTGTGATAATGTCAAGGAAATATTCATGAAGGGGAATAGTCGATGCTGTTAATGTGTTCTGGAAGTTATGTGATCTTTTTTTCCTGCTCAAATTGACCGTTGTTTCGAAAGTGAGCTTGTGATTCCCAGAAAAGTGTCTACTATTGATGATTCCATTTCTCTTTCCGAATATCATATGCCATGCTAGTCTAAAATGCTTTCAAATAGTAGTAGAGAGCATATAGCATAAGAAGAAACACAAACTAGAGAATTTTGACCAATCCAGAAAATAGTAATCACACAAATCTTTTGGGGTCTTCAGGAGTCTCAGATAGATAAAGTTTCCCCCCATCTCGGAATCCGGGATCGCGGCCACCATGCACCCCAGATTATTTATCATCTTGAGTATATGAATACACCACAGAGAGTCAGCAAAGCTCACACAAGCAAGGGCCTACGCAGTCAGATAGCATCATCATAAATATAGATTAGAAAAGTAAAAAAGAAGAAAAGAAAAGCGTACCAATATTAGCAAAAACAGTGAATAAGGAAATTAGAAATATTTATGATGGTTTCATAAAGGATCGTGACACAGCTTTGACAACATTAAAAACAACGAAAACAACAAAAATAAAGTGAAAATTAACTGAACATAGAATGAATAAGGAATTAAGAAGTAGGACTGAAACTGAAATATTGAATAATAAGTTCTAATTGAAAATGAAACAGCCAAAAAAAAAACCTGGAGGAAAAAAACAAACCAAATAAACATAAAACCAATAATTAAAGATAGATATAGAAAATCAAAATGTCAATAGACGAAAAGTGATAGTAAGGAAGATGGAAATAGTAGAACCAAGACCTTGAAGTTTCATAGATTTATAAAGGGAAAGAAAAGGAAGAAAAAGAAAAAATCGTATCAAAAAATAAACATCAAAAAAAAAAAAAATTAAGCCGGTAATATCACACAGTCATACCATCATTACATGATAGGATTTCAATTCCATTCACAACGCACAACTCTTTCAATTTCTTGTTCAAATTGCTCAATTTCTCGATCTCATTTCCAGTAATATCGAGAACCACAAATTTAGACATTTTAGCCCCACCAGCCTTACCATGCCCTTTGCGATGGTTACTGTTTTGTTCATGTTGTTTTTGAAGATCTTCCAATGGTAGTCTGGCAACAAGATCATCAAAAGCGGTCTTGATTAAGAGACGACGCTTTTTCTCAGACAGAGTATGGTTAAAACGCTTTTCTTGTTCTGAAAGGAGGCGTTTGCGAGGACGGCGTTTAGGCGGAGGTGCGGATTTGATGACGGGGGAAGGTTTAAGAGATTGTACAAGCGGGGTTGCGGAAGATGAGCAGTCTGGTTTGGAATTTCTATCAGATGGAGGTTGCTTTGGGCTATTTGAACCAAGATGAGGAGTGTAAGAAGAGTCAATTGGGGTAGCACTAGAAACGTAGATGTGGTCCAGATTTTTGCTGGTTGAAGGAAGAATGGAAGAAGTAGCAGTGCTTACTTCTTCAACTTCATTGGAAGAAAAATCTTCTGGATAACCGAGGCTATTGATTAAACGATCGAGTTCGTTTTGATCATCTGTATCAACAAGGAAATCATCTAAGAAGCCTTGTAACGCATTAGTTTCATTTTCAGAGAGAATTTCCTGACGCAGAGCATTTGAATGTTGGTGATTACTATTGATAAGATTTCTGTTGCTATTGGCTCTATTGTTGGTGCTTCTGTTGATACTATTTGTGGCACTGTTACTATTTTCGGTAAGATTGGCAAGCTGACCATGATATTCCAAGTGGTTATCCTTTCCAAAGAGAGAGCTAGTATTGTGAGCACTCATCTCTCTCAATAACTGACCCGATGATCTTGATTTTTGGAGCATCAAGTTTTGTTGTTGCATTTGGCGTAGCTGTTCAAGCTGTAGCTCTACGTACTGAGCTTGAATTTGGGTAAGGGCGTCGTATGCACTTTCAAAATCAGTAAGATCAGTGTCATCTAAGGCGTGGATGTTGGCGACGTCTATACTGGGCGGAAGCGATACGTTGGTGCTTAGAGACGAGCCGGTAGTCGATGGTGGTGCTGTGGGAGAAAAGGCAAAAACAGGAGAAGAAGCAATCTTATAATCTGGGATAGATCTCAACTTTGATTGATAACGGTCTGGATATTCCAGAGATGGTGATCTGCTATTGGGAGGGCTGCTCAATTGAGGTTGTTGAGGTTGGTACATGTCTTTGCAATGATAATAATGATGTTGAGAGGCATCACCAGAGTCAAAAATTGTTATATATGAGATGATGTGATGCGAAGCGATGAGATGAGATGAGATATGCGATGCGATGAGATAAAAAAAATATAAACTGAAACAAGTCAAATAATTATGAGGCGATGATGTAACAGTGGTTCCATAAATAGAGTAACAGCAGGCGAAGCTTTCATATGTTTGTACCAAAACGTTTGACTGATCTGATTACGGCTTGTGAAAACACAGCGATCGTTTACTTTTTTGGGGGGAAGGGGACGAACATCCCAGCCGTCAACTTTCACATGCGCAATTCCTTGCCCAGAAAACACATCATCACGTGCTGAGAAGACACAGGATGCCCAACATGGCGATAAGCCAAATTGGCACTATAATGTAATATAATATATATCGTTATTGAGGTCTTACCAAGATATATGGGGATAGGTCTCGGTTATCCACAATCAATAAACCAAACTGCCTTGTCTGTGTCCGATTTCCAAGGTCCCGCTCTTCACACAGTGTATATGACACTCATTACGTCCAATAACGAAAAGTGAGCATACCCAAAGGGATATCTCAAGGCAAAAAATCAATGCCCTGGTAATCCTCCAGAATAAAGCGTCACCATTCACTCAATCACCTGAGGTATTTGACATTTTGGCAACCCAGTCTCTTCGTAAATGATTTTTTACCCTGCCGTAGAACTTTGATCGTTAACATGAAGCCTCATTCCTGTTATAGGTCACTAATCGACCAACAACCACTGTAAGACCAGCTTATTTATCGTTGATCCTTGTGCTGACCAGTGTACAATTATCCTCCATATATAAGGAAGGTAGGGTCTGGTAACAGTTATTATTGATGTACAAGACCATGCTTCGTCATCTTCGTAAATATTGATTCTTCTCAGCTATATAAAAAGCACTGCCAAATAAAAAAAATAACTCAAAATAGAAAATCAAATCACATATCAGGATTATCAGTAGAAAAAGTAACATTTTTATACTTCTTCATCTCTTCAAGCTCATCAGCGAAAACCCCATTCTTTCTTTCATAAGTATATTCCCCCAAAGCAAGTACACAAGGTATTGACTCTTTAAATTCTTCTTCACGATGTGCCAATTTAACCAATGCCTTCCCAAATCTATTCGGATCCCCACTAGCTTGGTTAATATGACTAAAAAACATATCAACCATCTTTCTTGACTCATCGTAGTCTTTAATTGTGCTTCGATCTTTGAAAACCCCTTGTTCGGAATAGTTTTTCACTATTGGAGTTCTAAATGGCCCAGGCTCAACCACTATAACCCTGATTCCAAATTCCTTAACTTCTGAATCAATTGAAGCACTGAGCTTCTTGATAGCAGCCTTAGTAGATCCATAAATCCCGCTAATTGGGTCAGACCCAAAAGCAGCAACGCTACCGACATTGATGATAAGCCCTGATTTTTGGGAACGCAAATAAGGCAAAAACCCTTGGAGAACTTTAATCGGAGCAAAAACATTGACTTGATATTGGTTTTCAATAGTTGGATAGTCGATTTCTTCAAAAATTCCAATTTCACCATATCCTGCATTATTAACCACAACATCGATTGGCCCATGCTTTTTGAAGACATCGGAGATTATCGAATTTATCACTTGGGGCGAATCACTTGAGTTAAACGTAAGAGGAATGGCCCCCTGGGAGACAATTTCCGCCAATCTAGATGATTCACGGGAGGTCCCAATAACCTTGTCACCTTTAGCAAGGGCAGTTTTTGCTAGTGCTAACCCTAGCCCAGAAGAAGCGCCGGTAATAAACCAGGTTAGTGTCATGGTTGAGAAAGTATTTTTGATGTTAAAATTATGAATAAATATATATTGGCAATTCAAAAGGTTCTAATATAAACCAATAACCAAATAGAGAGAGCAAGGGAGATCACCGTTTTATACTTCATTTCCCCTTGCTGCTGCTCCCACCATCGTGGGATGGAAAAAGAACAGTAAACTTTAGAGATTATTATTAATCATTATTAAGGTTCATTTCGCCCGAAAGCAACGCATGGGACCCAGCAATGTACCATTCCAATAGTTTTGCCCCATTCAACTTGGACTTTATGAGTAATGATTAACCAGTGAATCTGAATTAGGAACTAACACTCAACTATCGTTTTCTAAATATACGCTCCACTAAAATGATTCTAAAACCATTGTGAGCCTTCAAGACCAGGGGGAAACTGAAATAAATATTTTCTCCTCCAGTTTAATAGGAAGAGTAGCTCTGCAGTTCTCTACCCTCTGAGCTCTGAAGTAATTGAAAAAGGGAAACAATAAATGAATGCTAGTCACTATTTTCAATCAAAAAAGAGATTAGCAGTAAAAGTTAATAATATATATACAAAGGAATAGAGAAGGTCTGGCCCAACACTGTGTAACTGTATACCAACTGCTCGGGCTTCATCGCGTGACAAACTCCAAACAAAAACAAAAGCAATCGACAAGGGTGCTCGCGTTGAAGGGTTATTTATATCAACTTTCGCCAGCCTTTTTCCCAAATATATTTCCTGGAAACAACAGACAAAAGAAAGGCAATTGGGAGTTGGATGCTATTTGTCGTTATTTCCTTATGAAATTCTTCGAAGATCTTGCTGCTTTCTCACCTCATCTCATCTCATCTTACATTACACTAAAAATTCTTCTGAAAATTTGAGGACCAATTTTTCATAGTTGAAATGATATTAATATAGTGCGAATTTTTAAGAAGAAATGCCCGATAATTTGATATACAACCATTCAAATCTACTTGAAATTGGTAGATTTTCCCGATATATCCTCACGTATAGGCTCTCAAAACTGGAGACCAACAATAATGATGATGGGCAACAACTAAGAATTCAAGTGAAAAATGTGGAGCTACCCATGAAGAAATTGTTATATTTACTTGGTCCATATTCTTTGTACGTGCAACTTCTCCCATGGAATTTTAATGAATCACTAGAACATAATCCGGACCCTCTGGACCAGAATTTGGTACAAATATCGGCCAATATTCATCCGTCCAAAAGTTTTCACGGAGTTTTGGAGCTTAATGAAAATTCTTTGGTTAATGATGCCGAATCTCAGGAATTCAATGTTTACCGCTGGAGACTAGATGTGATGTCGCAAGCGATTTTGTCAGATTCTGTGGTAACCCATTTTGATGTTTCTATCACTTCCCATGCCGATGGAAACCACGACGCGTCTTCCCTGATAACGTCGTTGTCTACAGGAGTCCTGACTCCAGAATCAAGAATCATGGATCCATTACTTGATGTTGAAGTACAGTCATCAGCTGATATTTGGAATAAACCTCCCCCAAACCCACTGGTACCAGCTCATTTAGTAATATTGACACATGGGGTGTACTCAAATATTGATTGTGATCTTTTATACATTAAGGAAAAGCTCGAGCTCAACAGCAAAGGCGAAAATATCATGATTCGCGGGTACCATGGTAACGTGGGCCATACTGAACGAGGAATTAAATGGCTAGGGATTAATTTGGCAAATTACATTGATTATCTTTTGAATAATGGTGATTACAAGATTGACAGGATCTCATTTTTGGGACATCTGTTAGGTGGAGTGGTTCAGTCATTTGCCATTTATTATCTTTTAAATTATGAAGGTTACAAGACAGGAATTATTAATTATGCAAGGGACGATATCCCAGGCTCGTTACCAAAACCAAACAGAGTTCTTCTCAAGTCGATACGACCGGTGAATTTCATGACTCTTGCAGCGCCTTTGCTTGGTACTCAAGCTGAATTTGATAATTTAATAAACCTAGGACTTGAGGTAGGATCTCTTGGGAAAACCGGCAAGGATCTCCTGCTTCGTAACCGTTATTTCTCAAAGTTTAATCTCAAAGTAGAAGACGCCCAACAAAACAAGCTCCATGTGTTGTTGAAACCATTATTGGAGACAATATCGATTGATCTCAAGTTCCACTTCTATTTAAAGGCATTTGAGCATAGAGTAGTTTTTGCAAATGTCTTGAACGATGGAATTGTACCATTGAAGACGAGTGCGTTGATGTATTTGGATTACCAAAGTTTGCGGGTGGCAGAGCTATTGAAGAAAGCTGCTAAAGATCGACAGAAACTCAATGGTCAATCAGAGATTGATTCGGAAGTAATATTAAATGGGAAAGACCCAGCCAAAACTTCATCTTTCTGGAGAGGCAAATGGAATCACAGAAATAAAAACGGTTCTGCTGTCGGCGAGATCCCTGAAGACTTAGATAATAGTGATTCGGTTTTCAATATAGAGGATGAGACTAAGATTCTGGAAGGCATGAAGAAAACTTTTAACAACACAGAGACGGGATCTAGTGAGCCCGCAACAACACTGGCGAGAACTCCGTTACCTCTAAAATCGGGCTCCAAGAAAGTTGAGAAGAGGAATAGTTCTTCAACATTATTGAGAAGCGTTACAGCCTTATCAAAATTACAGGTAAAGAAAGAGGATAAAATGCACAAATTTCAAACTTTAGATTCTAAAGGGACCTTGAAGTCCTTTCAAAGTGATGATACTAAGGACACCCGGTCCACCAAAACCTACCGTCCTCCAAAGTCTTCATCAGTATTATCAGCAATTAATGTGTTGAAAGCTCCTGCCCCGCAAAAGGAATTCTTTATGAATTTCAAGCCGTTGGAACAGAAAGAAGTAAAGGCAATGATTGAAGATTTATCAAAGGACCTTAATGCCACGGAATCTCCACAAACAGAACCAGATGAGACAGTTAATTTGACTCCCGAAGTTCTTGATAGTGGAATTATAATACATGATCGTACCTACTCTTTTGATGAGCTCCCGCCACCTCATTACAATAAAATAAGTGCTCCTCGTCGTCTCCGTCTTCGAGCGGATACTCGTTCCAAGAAACCTGCTGGGAACACTCACCGTCTCACAGGTTCCTATATTATTCTGGATGTTCTTCAAACCAATGGCAAAGATATTCCTTTTTTTTATCACTCTCGGAAAACTAATGCGATTGTCAGAAAGCATTTCAAGAGCAGTCAATTAGCAGAAAAATTGGCAAGATGTTATCATTTCGATAAGTCCTGGAGAAAAGTGCTCGTATGCTTGAAACCAGACGCTCATAATAATATCGTGGTGAGAAGACAGTTTGTTAATAGCTACGGATGGAATGTAATACACTATTTGGCCAGTATATTTGAATACGGTGCCAAACATGGAGAAAAAACTGAGAAGTATCTTGATGCTGTTCTGAACATCGAAAAGCTTGAAAACGTTCATTACGATGCCAGCATCTCTTTATTGCCTATAGCCGGCTCATTGAAACGGCTAAAACTCACGGACACTGCTTCAGAAAGGCTCAATGAAGAAGAAATGCTGGATAGAGGACTAAGTGATGTTGAGGAGGGCTGACTTTCTTTCTTATAAATTATATAGATTAAACAAACATTAGAGATATATCACGAATGGTTCACAACCGACTTTTTTTCCTTCCTCACTGGCAATGTCAGTTTGTGTTTATTTTTTAGACTCAAGATTGTTTCGAGGTTACAGAAACACAATTAGGACTGATGAAATGTTAAACTTTAAATAAATGCTAAATAATATACAAATATACAATATACAAAGCCAGACCAAACATGGTGCCATTATAGATTAGAATAATTGGAAAATAAATGACGATTGGGTTTTTCCCCCTTATAAGCAACATGCGGTGGTATCAGCTATTAAACATCCTTCATTTCAACATCTTCATCTTCAGCGATAACATTGGAAGCTTCTACACTAGGAATGGATGCAGAAACAGGAGCAGTTTGAGAAGAAGATTCTGTAGCGTCAGATTTTATTGGCATAATATCAGTTGGCTGTGGTGCTACAGCTGACATAATGGCAGGTGTTGAAACCAGAACGTCGTCTAATTGGGGATTTGGAGCATCAGCAGCAGTTTTAGTTTCAACACTTTGAGTTGAAACGTCTTGTGGTGCTAATACTTCGACCGCTGGTTCTTCCTTGATTGCAGCATCATTAAGAGATGTACTAATTGAGGGCTCCTCATCGATTTCAATGACCTCTGGTTTCACCTCTTCATTCATTGGAGCGGGTGTTTCAATTCTTTTATTCAATCTTTCCTGTCTTTCCTGCTCTTTTTGCTCCTTTAACTTAATTCTTTTAGCAGCTCTCATTGCCGCAGCTTCTTTCAACCTTCTTTCATATTCTGCCTGTTTTTCGACCTCCTCAAGTCTTTTACGCTCTTCTTTCTCTTGTAGTCTGCTAGATCTCTTTCGATTCATCAATAGACTCTGCATCTGTTTTTCCTTCAACCGGTGTTGGTAATTCTTCTTCCATTTCAACTCTTGCCCAGCAAATTCATCAAGCATACCAAATAGCAATTGACCTAATTTCTTGAGTTGTGGCTTCTTTCTGTATTCAATAATTAAATCATACATCTCATAAAAGTTGTTGGTAAGACATTCCCACTCCAAAGATGGATCAATATCATCTAATACTTCTAAAGGATCAAAAACTTCCAATTTTTTCCCAGAAGTAGGAATGTGAACTGTTTTGCTGTAGATCAACTTCTGGAGGTACAATCTGTTATCATCAAGAAGATAGTAGGAACTTTCTATTACCGGAAACTTGGACTGAGAAACATGTGTGAAAATAGGATCTAGTCTTAACTCAATTGGCTTTTCGAATTTTTCGAGATATTTTGCAAACAGATTGGTTACACAAACCTTATCAATTAAAATATAGAAAATTTCCACTTTGGCTCCCAAGGGTAATAGATCAAAAAACCTTATCAATGGTTTTGAAGGAGTCTCTTTCACCTTTGGGAGTTTTTCTACTGGATACCCATATTCGTCATATTCGTCATATTCTTCTTCCTCTTCTTCCTCTTCGTCCTCATCATTATTCTCTTCTATTTCCTCTTCATAATCTTCAGCTCCCTGTTCCTCATCTATATAATCAGAGACATGAACATCATATTTATTCAAAATCTCATCCAATTGGTCCCCTAAAAATGACATCAACAGCTGATCGAATTCCTCCGGGGCGCGTATCTTCATACCAGCTTTTAATAAACTATTGATTAAATTTACCTTTAGCCTATTGATGAACGTGCTAGGAAAAGTGACTCCCGCCAACTCTTCTTCCCAAATATATACATGAAATGGGTCTGCGCTCATCTTAATGGCACCACGAAAGACACTGAGCCAATTATAGACAAAGGCATATTCAAACAGCGATCTAAGTGGCTTGATTTGTGAAAGATATGGTTCACCCTCAGTTGGTAGCTTCAGGGGAAGCTTGGAAAGTTGCGCGACAATTTCTGCATTGATATGCTTGAGAGATTCCGCTGGATGATCGCTAGAAGAGCCAACTTTGTTAGACATATTTCCGTTCCACAGGCAATATTCTTCTTTTGTATAATTTCGTTCTTTAGCTTTATTTACCCTAGTTGTGTCAAGCAGTTGTGGGAAATTTTGCAAAATCAATTTTTTGTACGCGACGCGAAAATAGAAAATAAACAGACTGCTAAACGCACATACTATTTTGATCTCTACAAAGCTATTATTCAGTAGTTATCGTCAAATCGTGAAATTAAATAATATGAGTTTTTTTTATGTTTTTCAGACACAAAATCAATTATCTAGGGGATGCATCATCCCCGAAAGACTCAGTAATAGGAGATAAAAAGTCGTTGAGGAGATTGGTGGAAATTGGCATTGGCAACACAGTTTCTTTAGGTTTGTTGTGATCTGTTTCTGTAATTATTTCACGTGAAGTATCGTTGTTATTGACACTATTGTTGAACAATGTAATGGTTTTCCCATTCGCTGGAACCACAAATTTATTATTCTGAGACTCCGGAAGAACGAATTGCCCAGGCTTTGGTTTCTTGGAATAACTATTTGACCTGTACATTCTGTTTCTGATTTTTTCTTTCTCAGGCTCTGGATTAATTATTTCCTTACGCTGAGAGTCGTAGATATGATAAGACGCCTCCGGGTCAAACTCAAAATCTTCTGGTACAATATTAACTTCGTCCAAATAATCATCCTCAAAGTAATCATTAAGTGTATCATCTTCATAGAATGTTTTATTATCACCATGTACATGGTTTGCAGCTGAGCCATCAAGCCACATATACTGTCCCTGGTTAGATTCCTGATGCCCAGAAGGATTTGTGACTGGTTGTGAGGTGATTTTATTGGATATCGAAATCGGCTGTGGCAAAATTTTGGAAGGAGCATTGGGTTTGATTTCAATTTTCCTTTCACTTATTTCTTGCTCCACAGCGCTCAACACCGAAGGGGATTGTATCCCTGTTTGAGAACTAAAGAGTTTCTGCTTTTCAGAATTCTTTCCTGAATGATTTGGTAGCTTTTTGTTTTCTGAGGTTTCTGCCTGGAAATTTTTAGGGGTGTTGTTACATTCCTTAGTAGTTTCAGATATTTTAGGCTGAAACATAGTCATGTTCAACAACTGCCGTGATAAGTCTTCATCAGATTGTACTTTTTTTTCAGCCTCGATGGCTGGTGCTTTAATAGGAAGAGCTGTTGCTATTGAGTGATAGTTATTTTCTTCCTGGTTCTTTTTAACCGGATGTGAACTAGTTTCGATACTGCTTTCTTCGGATATATCTCCAATGACTTCTTTTGCAACAATAACACTATCCTTCATTTCGATAGGAGTAAGCTGTTCAAGGTAATCATCACTAGTTATGCTTTGCCTTTCATCCAATTCTTGATTCATTTTATTTTCGACTACATCATGGCCAGAAGTTGAAGAATTTTTATGATCAGCATCACCAAAATCACCGTAATCATCATAGTCCCCATTAGCTTCATTTATCAAGTCATCAAAATTACCCGCAAATTCATCATCATCGTCGGAGAATAGTTGCCTATTGAATAAATGCTCCGTATCATCAACTTCTTCCTCATCGTAAAAATTCATATCATCATTGAAATATTCTTCACCATATGCATCTGTGCTGAAATCATCGACGAATAATCCACTGCCAACGGCAGGGGATTCCTTATCTTTTTGCGACTTGGATTTCTCTGAAATACTTTTGTAATACTTGATAGACACATTACGTCCATTGATGAGATCTTTTTCAAAAGAGAATGCAGAGGCATCTGATTTATTGGAGTTGGTTTCAAAATCACTGTATTCCCTTTCCTCATTTATGGTCGTTGCAGCGGGTTCTCTGACAGATACAAGCTTCTTGATTTTTTTATCACCATTTTTCAATTTCTTCAATATAGAAGCTCTCTTATCAGTATTAATTTGAATTACCGAAGATCTTGAATGATCAATTGACGATCTATCAACTGAGGATCTATCAAGTGAAGATTTGTTTTTCTCCCCGCTTTTTCGTTTATAATTCTTCACTTTTTCAATGACGTTCTTCAAAGAGTCTCTTTTAGGGCTCTTGCTTGAATCTTCTGAATTTCGATTACTCTTGTTTGAATTCTCAAGTTTTTCAGTATCTTTTGGACGAGCGTCTAAAACCAGCCCCGCTTCATCGAAATTAGAGAAAGAAGACAATTGAGAGTGCAATCCATCGGAGAATGGCACATCGATGATCGATTCTTCCTGACTTTCTTCATTTGTTCCTAAAAGTTTTTGCAAGCTTCTATTTCTCAGTTCCGCATATAATGCTGAGCCATTTGATGGTTCATAATTTGTAATTTTTTTCAGAAAGTTCTCAAATTCTGGCAGTAGAGTGTTATGCGGAACCTTCAATTTTCGTTCCCATTGCTCTTTAGATAAAAAGGGGCTTTTCCTAGCAGGTATATCATTAAATGGTACATTAGTCTTAATGGATAAAGGGAGCTTTTGAGGTTGGTTAGAGTAATCATTTTGTTGGTAAGAATCACCCGATTTTCTGGCTTCTGGATCATAATTATTGAAATGGAACTCATCGCCGGAATTATTATAGAAGGAGTTGTTATTATTGTTATTGCCATAGTTTTGATAGGAATTATTATTGCCATCCCAATTGTGTTTCACCGTACCCTTAATTGACATACTGTTAGGATACTCATTAGCCATCGAGTCCTTCAAATTGCTGTTACTACCCTTTGAAAACAAATTCTTGGGATATTTCAAGATACTTTTCTTTTGCAGGCTATTATTCACTTCCTCTAGTGGGAAAACATACTGTTTGGAAGATGTCTTTGGGGAAGGAGGATTGGAGCTAAAAGAATAGAACTCGTCATGGGAGATTTTTGGGGAATGCAAAAATGTATTCCGCATACCATCAGCATTTCGTACAAGCGGGGATAATGGAGGAGGAACTTTAGGGGAATTGAGCGGCGAATTGAATGAAAAACTCCCATGATGAACATTAGGATTATTGGTGGAAATCACTTCAAAACTCAGCTTTTTCTTCAAAGTTTGGTGTCCACTGGTGTCGTTGCTATATGATCCGGAGACCGGACGTGAGGGTTCCTTCTTCTCCTTGTCATCTTTACCAAATGATCCAATACGCTTGTGAGACTTAATAAACGACCTCATTCACCACACGGAACCACAGCTTATATTATGTTGATGCTTCTTATAATTTGTTATTCAGTTGATGTTGTATTCAGATCAACTAACGAGAAAAAAAAAAAAAAAAAAGTAAAATCAAGGATCCGTCCTATTGGTGCTTGGAACCAAAACAGCTATGGGAGTGATTTCTACTTTCCAAGGTTAAGAAGTACCCTGAACTAAATAATGACTTTATTAAAAACTGAAAAACTAAAATAAATACTTGGCTGATGATTCCTAGGAAGTAACATTCAGGTGGCAGCCAAAGAAGCAGCAATGAGGAAACAATAAAAATTGAAAATCTAGTAAGTAAAACCATATATATACATACATATATATATATATGTATGAAGCAATTAAATATTCATGTATGAATACAGATAAGCGGTATTTTCATTAAGAAGAGGTTTTCTCTTCCCTGAAAATACTGATGCTGGGTTATTGCTATTTGTGTTCTGATTAAGGCGTAACGAGCGGATCGAGCTGGTGTAGTTTGAATGGTCATATGAGATGTAAGAATCAGTAGTATTCGTCAGAATTTGACGATTTGGATTGATCATGTTATTATTAAACTCCCCCTTTTCCATCTTTATTTGCTTTATAGCGTCTTGCAACGTCATTGATTTTTGATGACAAAGATCTTCAATATTTTTGTACCCTTGTTTATGAATATGATCTCCATATAATGAATTGACCGCCGACAATAAAGTTGAGCCACCACTAACGCCAGTACTTTCACTCACCGACTCCCATGCATCACTATTGGAAGGCTTATCATTTGGGAAGATTGGATTATGCACCAAATCGCTATCACTATAATAAAGAACCGAGGAATCACTGATAGAAGCAACTCTTTTCTGATTGTCTTGCATATCTTCAATTAATCTATCCTGAATCTCACCCTGAGCCGCAATATTCTGTTGGAATTGAATATCAGAGGCAATGCTTGTAGCAAAAGAAAAATACCTCTTGTCATCTTGATTATTTTCAACTGGTGGGAGTGAACTTATTGTTGTTGTGGAGTTAATCACTCTCAATTCTCTACTCTCTGAGCCAACCCTGCTATCATGGCCAGTATTATCATTGCTCGCTCCGTTTCTGAAGTTGCTAAAACTATAGTTACTCGGGTTTCTGAAAGTGCTCTTAGAACTGTTAATTTCGTAATAATGTAGGAGATCCAAACTTTTGTTAGTAGGCTCTTCGGACGCAAAACTTGGAGAATATTTCGGAGCATAATCACTATTAACAGATTCACTATATTCGTTCGCGTAGTCCCCAATCAAGCTTTCGTAATCGTAGCCATGGCTTGGAGGTTGGGGCTTTTCGAAAGCTTCAAACCTATGTGAAACCTCGTTGGCGTTACCGTAACTATTGGTGGTTAACTTCTCGTAATTTCTGATAGAAGCTGAAGTTTGAGTCTCACTTTCATCATAAACAGCTTCTTGTAGTGTCTCATCAACAAGTGAGTACTCATTATTGATAACTAGTTCAGAATCAAGCTCGGAGTAAACACTTTCAGAGTCCTCTGTCTCTGATAAAATCTTCAAGTTTTCTTTCTCGATAATACCTTCTATAATTTTCTCATATTTTTCTCCAGTTTCTGCCTTGTTCGTAAAAGTATCATAGCCCCCAGAAAATGTCACGTCTTTCTCATTGCCTTCCAATGTAGATATTGATTCCACACTGGAGTTTTTGTGAGAGGTAAGCGAAAAAGTGTCATTGATTGGAGAATAAACCATACGAGGATCTTCACTGTCAGAAGAGCCACTTAGGAAGGTGTGAATAGAACTGGTACTGCTCAAGTCTCTCTGGGTCTTTTGAGATGAAGATTCTTGCACTCCAGTAATTCTCGTCAGCAGTCTGTGTGGAACTGGAGGAGCAGCATCAAAAACACTAGTGTCAGATTTTTTAATCGGAATTGGTGGTTGTGGACGTCTAATAACTGTATTTTCTTTTGCGAGTTTTGAATATTCACTAAATGACGAATCAGATCTTTTGCTAATAGGCAGAGCTTTCATACCAAGAGATTCAGATTCAGCAGCAAAAACAATATAACCCTTATCATCTCTCACTGTGAATCCTTGGTTTTGATTAATGTTAGGGCCACTGACAACTGAAGCTAAAGGCTCATGACTGGTTTCTATTGGTGGGATTGGTAAAGCACTAATTCTTTTTTCTTCCTTAACCATAGGTAAATGGGCCAGACTAGAATTTGCGGACTCTGAACTTAAAAGATTTCTTCTAATCAAATTTTGATACCTGCTTTCATTGATTTGGTTTTTGAAGCTGGTGCCACTTTTTTCGGGAGTCTCGGTATCGTGGGCAGCATTGGAGTTCCAAGAATCTTTTCGTGATCGATTACTTGAAGTATAATTGTAAATATTACTGATAGGCGTCTTATATGACGAGTCAGACTTAAACAGCGAGCCAGTAGAAGATTCAGCAGAAGAGCCACCATCTGATTGAGAAGCAACCTCAAGATCTTTAGAAAGTATTTCTTGTTCCAAAACAACTTCGACCATAGAATTATCAGTCTCGTTGGCTGTAATGTTTGAGAAATCTGCCAAAAGTCGTTTCTCACCTATGGTGGTATCCAAAGTTTTGTCTTTTTGGACATCAATAGAGGCCTTTTCCATCTCAATTTTAGGCACGCTAACATTTTCTGAAGAGTTATTGAGCCATTTGTCGTTACCATTGACACTCTCTGTATCTTCCACAATAGCTTTCTTGTTATCATTTTGAGGTTTTGATTTTTTCGGGCTTGATGAATTCTTCTTTTTCTTCCCAAACTTGAACCAAAATTTGTGCTTTTTCTTGCCACTTCCTTTACGTTCCTCTTCGGCTTCGGTAATGCTTTTCGTGTCACTGTCCACATTAACATTCCCAAATTCATTCAATTCGTTAAAATCAAGAAGTGCATTGGTGGTGATAGTATTATGTTTAACTTGATAATCATTAGAACTGACAATAGAAATATTAGACTTTGTACGACTGTGCATAGGAGGCGGCATTGACTTGGTTTTGGAATGTTTAGGATTTTGCGATGACATAATTGAGGGCGTCTGAAGGGAGATATTTGACCCAGAATTGGATTGGTAACTAGATCCGCCACCAAAAGTGAACCGCTTGCTCATTCCATAGTCATCTATATTTGGCGAGCTACTCGATGAAGAAATACTGGATGACAACTCTCTTTTTGGTGCTGGAGGAAGTATATGCTGAGGTAGGCTATTTTGAGGCGCTAATATAGGAGCCTCCAGAGCTCCAGAAAGCGGTCTGTGTAAATCAGGGACATTGCGAAAGTGACTTATAGATTCCCTGGACCCATTCCTGGAATTAGCTTTCCCACTGATCAAAGGGGGTCTGAGTAAGGTAGCAGGAATAGGAATCTCATAATGATTGTATTGAGTACGGGGTCTTATGTGAACTCTTTGATTGTACTTCTCCGGAGATGATGATCTAGCTCTAGGCCTGTTGCCCGCAAGGTAATCTGGATTCGAAAGATCAAAGGCAGAATGGGTGCTCAATTTATGGGCACTGGAGATGTTTTGGACGCTGAATCTATTATTTCTTAGGTTTTGAAATCTTTCTCTTGTGTCATTTCTGTAATAGTCTGAGGAAGTAACGGAGGAGGTGGTGAAATCACTCCCTGCTAGAAGTGATTCCCTGCTCTTTAATCGATCATGGGGGTACATTTCGGCAATAAAATCAATTGCTCCACTACTTTGGCAAAAACGTAAAATCTGTTCTGTCAAAAGTATACACCTGTATCCTAGAGATATAAAAATCTGGGCGAGAATGGATAACGACTAAATATCTGAGTAAAGAAAAGTAGTGGAAGCAGCATTATGTGGGTATTTGTTTATGTTTTTCCTAATTGGGAGGTACCAATTCATAGGGTCTCAAAGATTTGTGGGTCAACTTTTACATTGCGTTCATGGTGATTATTGTGTATTATTAGTATATATTATTATTATTAATTACAATGTTCGAGTGGCCCTAGCCTAGACAAACTTGTAAATATGTCATCAACACCTTAGGAATAAGCATTATGGAAGCTGCAGAGGTAGTAGATGTACTTCTAGGATGACTGGCATTGTAAGAGTCTAACCATAAGGTTAACCAATCCCGACTCTTCTCCAAATGACATTTGACAATATCCTCACTGAGTCTGATGTGTCCTCGGAGCTTCCTGGTTGCGAGTTGAGCAGCCTTTTTAATGACAAATGCTTTATTGTTTCCGTAGCCATTACCTTCATCAAAAAATTCATCTAGGACAATAATTCCTGAGTTCCATGGATCTGTATTATCTAGATCTCTGAGATAAGCTTGAGGAGTCAAAAACTGAGAGCCATGTTTTGAGCTCCACATGTTTTTGGACTCTCCTTTAGAAACACAATCCTTCAAGGTATAAATTTTGTTAACAACCTGCCAAAGATTTCCTTTTTTGAATACCCTGTGCTTTTCATAATCATCTAGCACATTAATTGGGAAAACTTCAAACTTCGTCATATAGTAATTTCTAACAAAATTGAAAAACCAAAAAGTCTTGATATGAACTCCGCCATACAATAACAAACCCCACAATATTTTGTCATAATCATGAATTATTGATACATCGTCAGCAGGTTTCATCACAGCAGCAAGTATTTCCCTTCTGATCATCTCCTCTAGCTCATTCTTGTCCAATCTAAGACCAAAACTAGTACTTGTGATATTCAAATCACTGCTTATCTCAAAAGTTATGTTAGACGCTTTCAAAAGAGACAAATAACTTGATAAGCTTGCTAAAGTAATGAAAAGTGTAGGATTTCCAGAACAGCATGGGTTGTTTGGTTCACAAAAAGATACTATTGTACAAATGAGTCCTTCAATATCTTCCTGTGAAATCATATCAATAGGCATTTTGGCAACGCATTTCCCACAAAGATTTGAAATTGCAATCATTGTATCCAAAGATAAAAAATTATTCATTTTGGATATTTCTGGGCTTGAAAGTGTGAATCCCCTCATTTCATCTAGTAAACTGATCAACCATTTAAAACCTGAATATGCAGACCGGTAGTCCCCATTAAGGTATTTCAAAAAGCATTTAATGGCCTTGGTCTTGATTAAAACACCACACAATTTAGCAAACCTAGTTTTAGAGTGGCGGTTTATTTTGCAAAGAGTCTTGATGATATATTTCACTTCAATACCATCGTCAAGCTCAGGATATTGCGTCACTTCTTCTACTATCAAGAGCTGGATTAGCCTCTCTACCTTTAATAAAGGTTTAAAGGCACTCTCGTTAACAAACCAACAAATATTTTGAAATATGGAGGTCAAAATATCAATGCTTCCCAATCCAAGTGTGCTATCTTGCTCAAATATTTTTTCACTGTTTAAAATCTTCTCAATTTCCAAATTGGAGTTATTTACTCGATAAAAGTTACTAAGGTGCGTTCTATCATCAAGTGTCCCACCAGATTTCAAATAGTCCTCTATGTTTTCCTGTAAAGAGTACACTTTTTTTTCGTGTTCAGAATCATCCCGATGATGCTTTAGTTCAGCATAGCATCTTTTATCATGTGCTCTACACATAGTGAGAAACTTTTCTTCATTATTCACCCTCACTTCCATATCTTTTGATAGTCTTTTAGTTAGACAGTATGCCTCACAGAAGAGCTTCTTCCCTAAATAAAATTTTGAAGACCTCTCTAATATCAATCCTGTATAATACAAAGCTTTTGGTCTTTCAAAAAATGGCGCAATTTCAATTGATAATGCGCACTGCTTGAGACCCTGCTCAACCCGATTTAACCTGATCAATGCTGATCCCAATGCTAACAAATCCGTGAAATCATCACTAAAATATAGAATATTCTCATTAATTGATTCCAAAATTCTATAATATTCACCTAAAATAGTAATTAATCGTTAGAATAGATGCACCAAGATCTGCTAAAATAATCAGTATATTACCTACCATTTTCGCACCATTGAATCCTTTTATTATTGCAAAGTTGCAAGCCAGTTTCAGTACTTAATAGCATATTGAGTAAATGAAAAAAGCAAAAATTATGTTATAATAAGTAGTTGGTATCCTTATGTCGCAAAGCACTTTAATATTATATCTATTAGCCTTATTTTTTTTCGTTATTTTGTGTTTATCCATGCATGTTGGGGTATTTACACAAAAACCAACAATTACATAATTGATTACATAAACCATATCAAAAATTTTGATGTGATTAAGGATGGGTGATGAGTTTCACCGATGGTAGAAATTGACATTTGATACGGATAACCTGAAGCAGGAGAAATGTCAAATGAGGATGATCACTGTCCTGAGAAAATATTGCCGAGCTCTTCAATGCCCCATGCTCCTGAGAAAGATATTCCACATTCATTGAACGACATTGGGGATGTATGTTAGATTTGATGGTGTGTGTTTCAGATTTCGATTGATTTTTGACGTACTAATTTATTTTGAATCTAGACCCAGGTTATTAATAACTTACCTATATCAAACTCGGAGATAGATATGATTGAAACAAATGACATTTACAGTTCTGATGTTCAACTACCTACCAGTCAGGATTATGAGAACGTCACGGCAGATAAAACTGCCCTTGATGAACAGCAGCAAAATCAGCATAAGATCAACCAAACTGATGAAAAAGATGATGAAGTTCATAACGTTCATGGTACAAAAAGTACTAATGATGAATATCAAGGCGAAAATGGTGTACCGCACACTCTGCCGTTGCTCAGTCTTTCAAGGACATCTTTCAGAAGATTTAATGTATCGGCGGAGAACGAGGAGGCGAAAGCGGAAATTATGAATAATATTGACCATGGTGGTGATAATTCCTGGCTAGATAATGCAAAGGATCCTTTTGGCTCCACACAATCGCAAGATGAACTTAAAAACAATACAGATATAATATTGGATGCTCAGCTGGAGAACAGTGAAGCGGATGACACGAATGATATTGAACAAAAAGCTCACGAAGTTTTTGAAAAGCTCAGGGAGCAAGCAAACCAAGCCCTGTTAGTTTCAACACAAAATAGCGTTTTAAATGGCTGTGATGAGGATGTCACAAACTCCACCCATCGCTTTGATATCACTGATGATACTCAAAGAATTGATCCAGAAACACAAGCTTCATATATAAAATTTACATTGGAGCACACACAACAACATAGATTGTCTTTGAATAAATTAAAGAACATTCTTAAGACACCATCAGATAATGAAAAGCTACGTGTTGCGCAGAAGTCGACGCAAATAATTTTCGACGATACCCAAAATCTAAACGATGCTGAAACTCAAAAAATTAACTCCTCTCCGATTAATTTGAACAATGCTGAAACACAAAAGATTGTATCCTCTCCTATTGATTCAAATGATACTGAGGCCCAGAAATTCATTTATGCTACAGGTAGCTCAACCAGTTGTGAATCACAGAAACCCAATCTTTTTCTAGTCAACCCAGGTGAGGCTGAAACACAGAAAATTGGTTCTTCTCTTCCTAAATTAGATAATTCTGGGCTTCAAGAATCCAAAACCAATTCAAATAATGCTGAAACCCAAAAGATTTACTCATCTCCCACAAATTTAAATGATAATGAAACTCAAAAGATTTATTCATCTCCCACAAATTTAAATGCCGATACTCAGAAGATTGAGTCCCTCAAGGATCCTTGGGATCATGACAATGAGGTGCAAGTAAATAATAATAATGTGATCCCAACACAAAGTTCTGAAGGGAATAATGAGCCAGATATCCAAATACCGGCGACAATTGAGGGCACGAATGATGTTTATGAGCCACAATTCTTTTCTCAAAACACAAGCACTGAAAAAAATCAAGTCATTACAGATGACGCTGCTTCCCAAGGCTCGTATGAAAAAGCAGATGAAACAGTTAATCAACTCCCTTTGAATATAGATGAAAAAGAACAAGCAAAAATAAATTCAAGAATTGGTGACGGCGACGGTGATCCGCAAAGTGGTGAATTGAAGTTTGAAAATGGATTAGAAGTTAAAGCAACTCAACGAAGTCAGCCCCAAGAGATTATTGGAGCTGATGTGAGCTCAATTCCTACCAAAGAAGCTGATACCCAAAAAATTTTAGACGAGAACATAATGAGCAGTGAAGATTATTATGAGCCTAAGAAAACTCAACACGATTTCGGCCATTCACAATCCATTGTTATTGAAGAGTCTTCTCCTGCTATTCGTGCTACTGATGTTATTACCTTTGATACTCCAACTCGAAGCTCATTCCAAATTACACTAGGCGAAAATGACGAAAAAAAAAGTCCTCTGCAAGACAGTAACCCAAAGTATCCTATAACTCACGATCAGCAGCTCATCGATAGGAGGTCAGAAGATATACAAGCCGCCAAAGAACATGAAGGAGGTAATCCCAAGAGAACCGATAATGTCTTGGGTACACCACGACACATTAAGGGTGATGCAAATGAGAGATTTACTTCCAGTCAGCAAACTGATAACAGTATCGATATAAATACCTTAAAGATTGAAGATAATTCACCTGGAATGACTGACGATGATCAAGAGGATACTATCATCAGAGGTGGATCAAGAAAGCGTAAGATTAGGGCTAGTGGAAGAGGCGACATTATTACAAGAGAACCAAGAAAAAGAATGATTGTTGACGATAGCGAAGACGATGAAAGTGAACATGATAAGGAAAATGAGAAGGAAAAGCTGCAAAGCATGATATTTCCGAACAAACTCGAAGTAAACCAAGGTATTACTAATAAAAGTGAGAATAAAGAGAGCAAACGAACAATATTACGTGAAGAAAATGAGGCCAATTATACTGAAGACAGCGAGGCAGGGCTATCAAGGGAAACAGCGTCAGTTTGGGCAACCTATGATTTTCACTATTATCCTGCTAAAGTAATCAGAAATAATAATTATAAGTGCGAAGTTCAGTTTTATGATGATGATATTATTATCAAAAAGGAAGATATTTGCTCCCCTTTAGATATCAAGATTGGAGATACTGTGAAAATCCATGCTGGGAATGACACCCATATTGTTACTGGTTTAGGCCAAACTTCTGAGGTAGAGGCTACATTATCATGCGTTAGAGGTTTCAATTGTGTTTATCTTAGAAAACTTGTTCGAAATTTACCAAGTGATAAGCATCCCGAAATTTGCGTGGATCTATGGGAGATTTACATGACCGATGAAAATTGGTTGACAAGGCTTGATTCCCCGATAGCTAAAAACTATCTCGTGAAGCCATTAAAAAGTGGAACGGTCATACGTCCCTCAGTGGAACCATCTGATCTTAGTAGATCTAAAGTCAAAACTTTTAAATCACAAAGAGTGGACCATAATATTTCAAAATCTGAGCAATTTTACAGTTATGTATCATCGGCTGAGACCTCGCCAGTGAAAACAGTAATAAAAAGCAGAATTTTTGAAAACACTGCGTTCTGCCTTACCGGTGACTTGGAAGCAGATAGAGTTAGGTTAACGCAATTGATTATGGAAAATGGCGGAGTGGTCCTCAAGGATGGATTCTCGGCAATGCTATCAGTAAACCGTGATGTGAATGGGAATATCGAGAAAATAGAAGTTGTGAATCAATATAAGAATATTAAGTTTGCCGCTGTTATTGCAAGGTCCTATAGCAGAAGTGTGAAGTACCTACAAATCCTTGCCCTTGGTTGGCCAGCTCTTTCTAAACATTTCATATTTCAGTGTGTGGAGAAGTCACGATGGTTAGATGATTGGTATGGATATCAATTGATTGCGGGAGAATCAAAGTATTTGGATACCCAGCAAAGTCTCCGAACTCAAATGTTTGAGCAGAATTACTTAGATCCAGATATCAATGGAATTCAACATCAATTAGATAACAAACGCAATATTCTTCGTGATTATACAGTTTTAATGGTTTCAATAAAACCCCTGGTTTGTGAACTTTTTTTCTTTTTGCTAGGGGCTGAAGTAATAACGCTGGTTGGGTATAATGAAGCTTTGTTAAAAATGGTGCGAAAATTGAAGAAAAAGAAAGCGCAGAGATCTCACAAATTTTTGTTTTATGATTATATCACGGTTTCCAAAATGGAAGAAAAGTTGCAAAGCTTAAAAAATAAAGCAGTCTCATCAAATATCGAGACTTTTAAAACTAAAAAAAGAAGTTCTCGCAAAAGGGCAAAAACAGAACAAGGAACCTCTTCGACCAGTAAACTGAAGAAATCGATCTTTTCCAGAAGGGATAAAGAAGATGAGGAAAAACCAACGGAGGTGACTTTGGGACTAGTAGATTGGGAATGGGTTGTTCAATGTTTGATTAGCTCTTGCAAGTGGGAGCCAGTAAAGGAGTTTGTATTATATTGAATTTTTTCTTTCTCTTGATATTCTTTTACAGAAAATTGGAAAAAAAAAAAAAATAAAACGTCCTGTGTACTATATTTAATCAGATATTAAATGTCTCGTTATTATCTATTATGATGATTTCCCTTTGCTAGTAGTTTTGGCCTTTGGTTTCGCTTCAACATTCTTTGTTTTACGCTTCTTTGATCCACTTTTTGCTTTAATTTCCCTCTCGCCATTACTTAAGAGAGTGAGGGAGTATGATACACCTGTCAGAAACGCCCAGCTTCTGGCACAGTCTTGGTCTAAAATGATACCATTCGTTGACAATATTTCCGTCACAGAATCCAATGAAATTGGTTCATAAACTAGAATTTTCTCATAAAGCTCTTCATTTTTGGTCACAATATCACTGATGTGATTAAACACTGATGCCTGAACAATTTCTGATGGAAACTCAAGCAATGCTTCAAAAAATTCATTGATATTTTTGTGTTTGGTTTCCTTATCCTTTGGGGTCATATCTACTTCGATTAGATATGATGGATCTGAATCTGTTAAAAGCTGATAGATCGTTGAAAGAGTTTCAATCATCGCCTGTTTGGTCCGGTTACCTTGGAAACCCCACTTTTCCAAAAGAATCTTTTGACTAACACTTGTCATGTTTTTGAATATTTCAAGGAATTCGACATTGGATGGTGGAAAAATATCAGTGGATATGGAAGCTTCCTGACTGGCCAAACCACTAGGAACGTCAAAATCATTTTGACTTGAAGGAACTTGCAATTCTGAAACATCTCCAAAGGAGCTCATAATTTCGTTTGTTTGAAGTAAATTTGCGGGTGTTTTTATCTTTGGAACTTCCTTAGTAATTTCAATAATACTAATTTCATCGTCATCTTCAGATTCTGAGTCTGGGATCACATCTGGTGTTTTTTTCCTTTTTTGATGGGTGACCTTGGCTTCAATTTTGCCAAAAGGAATTTGAAATACATCATTCAAGACACCTTTAAATTCGTATCTTGTTGTTCTGTATTGTTTTTGAGTCTGTGGTAAATGGGATCGCGCCGTTGAGTAAATGCTAGAATTGGAGGATTTAATTTCAATCGATTCAGGAATGGGTGTTCCCAACGATGCTCTATTAAATCCGTAGTTCTGTGATTGTGTCGATATATCTCGTAGATTTTGTGGCCCTAGACTATCAATATGAATATTTGCTAGCTGGTTCACACTTTCAGTGTTCACTTGAGTTATCTTGATATCATCATCATCATCTTCTTCTTCTTCTTTTTCTTCTTCATTATCTTCTTCGTCTTTTTCTTCTTCTACTTGTTGGCCACCCAGGCTCTCAAAAAGATCAATAATCTTCTTCGAGTAGTAATTGCCAAATTGATGCTCATCAATGATATCTTCCGAAACTCCATCAATTTCGAATTTACCATCGACAATTTGGATATCACTTTCTTTTTCGTTATCAACGTAGCTAGCTTCCTGCACTTCTGAATCAACCGAATTAACTTCCTCAATAAGATCTTTATTAATAAATTCCCTCATAGGGCTAGAAAATTCACTATTGTGATTAGATTTTCTGGAAGGATCTGTGGAAACAAAAGATTCTACAATTGTTGAATGCTTTCCGATAGAAGAAGCTTGAATGTTTTCCATAACACTGGCCTTAACATCGATTTTTGGGTCTTTTAGTACTAATTTCCTTTTTAGAACTGAAAGTTTTGATGGAGATATTTTTATTGGCGAGGCAGTCGGCGTAGAAGAAGGAACCTCAATGACTCGATTGATTTGAGGTGTCATCTGTGATATTTGTTGTACTCTTTTTTGTTGTGGCTGAGAAGGTGCCTCCATAATATCTGACAGCTTATTGTTGATAAATATGCTTGGATTAAAACTGAGTTTATCATATTTATCACTTTTTTGTGTTAGATCTACGACCTCTTCTTCTTTTGGTTGATCTATTATTTGAGACAATGTGAGAACGTCATTTACCTGGAATTCGCTGGTCTCTGAGAAGCTGGAAGGATTTGAATTAGCTAACCCTTTTTTTTCATTGATATCGTCTAAATCATACAACCATTTCAAATCCTCATCAGTGAGCCTTGTTTGTGGTACCGTACTAGCCATATTCCATAGAGACCCCGTCTGTAAGTTGTCTTGCAGATTGTCTTGATATTGACTGTCGTATTGCTCCTCATATGTTTTATTGATCTTTGATAGCGTAAGCTTGGATTTCTTGGACAAATTGGGAAAATTCACCCTGATAATCTTCATCAAATTGAACCATTCATCTTTTGTGTAGACCATCTTGTTTTCGTAAACACTTTCAACTTCACTACTGCTTTGCAGAGTCTTTGATTCAAGAAGTTCGATCTTATCTAGAATGTCATTCACTTTTCTCTTTTTTCCTGATAGGATCTTTAATATTGATGATTGTTTCAGTAGTTCGATACTTGATTTGGATGAGTGTCTCATGGCCATACGGCCAGTTATTGAACTTTCTTCTGAGGATCCTTTTTTTTTTTTACCGACCTGTTTGGTTGATCTTTGACCTGTATTTTCACTGTTATTTTTCTGCCTTTTGTAAGTTTTATCTGCTCTTTTGATTATTGTTATATTATCTTCGGCCAAAGTCGATGGGAAGTCAAGATCATCGTTTGTATTTAGTGAAAACTGCTGAAGATTCGCCGCCATGGAACTGGCCTGTTTCTCTCTGCGATCCTGATCTTCCCACATATCCATGTTTGCCTGGGCTTGTGTGCTTAGAAACATAGGAAATTCTGCTTCATCACCCGAAGATATACCCATGATTTCTTTATCTTCAATTAATCCCAAAACAACTGCTTATACCATAAATCTGTGTCTTTGTTGATACCATTCTGTTTATTGATGGATGCGCGATGAGATTTAAAAAAAAAAAAAAAATGAGATCATAATCACGTGACAGACGCGCCAAAAAATGCAAAAAAAAAATAGACGCGTCAGGAAATTTCCCCAATTTCTTTCTTGATAATTTGTAACACACTTTTGGCACTTTACATGTCCTTCTACGCAAAGTTTTCTTGATAATTGATTATAAACAATAAAGATCGTGTTTAGAATCAATTTTTCATAATGACGGGACCAATGTTGACATCTCGTAGCATGAAACTACCACAAGTAGAGAGTTGCCCTGAGAAGTCATCGACTGTTTTAACACCAACAAAGAAGACCCTCACAAAAAATAGTGTATCAACTGATAGCGCTAGCAGTCAAGAATCATTAGCCACACCACCTGCTTCGTCTCCGCTAGATACTACCAGTTCTTGCAGCCGCGAAGCAAGAAATAAGGATGACGAGGACGATGAGGACGATGAAATCCTAGAAGTTACTCTTAGTGATATCGAAAGTGAGAAGACCAAAGCACATAATAATAAACTAGAAGCTTTCGAAGACGAAAATATCGAGAGAAGAAATCAGCACATCGCAAATGAGCAAGATGAAGAACTCGCTGGTGATAAGCTCTCGGCAACCCAACAGACGCCCGATGATGGTGGTGACGATCATGATGATGAAGCACCAAACAAGTTGACAAAGAAAGAAAAAGTAAAGCTAGAGAATAGACTCAAAAGAGAAACCGAGTCCAAGGTCAGAGAAGAGAAGAAAAAGAAAGAACAAGAAGAAAAGGAACAAAGAAAAAGAGAGCGTGAAGCAAAAGCCGAATTAAAGAAAAGGCAAAAGGAAGAGAGAGATGCTGAAAAGAAAAGGGAAAAGGAGGCTAGGGATGCTGAAAGAAAGAGAAAGTTGGGAGAAAAAGAAGCTGAGAAAAAAAGAAAATCGGAGGAGAGAGAACTTGAAAAGAAAAGAAAATTGGAAGAAAAAGAAGCTGAAAAGGAAGCCAAAAGAGTTAAAATTGCTGAAAAAGAATCGAAAAAAAAGGGGAATACACCTGGTCAAACCAAACTTTCGAGCTTCTTTATGGTAAAAAAGAAACTTCCAAGAGATGAGTCAACTAATGATGCAGGCGTTATCTCACAGGTTGATGGTAATGATTACCAGAATTTTTTCTTTAATTTCTTTGTTAAAGAGAATGCTTCACTTGCTTGCTCAGGGCATCTTGAAAAAGATGAGTTACTAAAATCAAAAGACGTGTTTGATTCATATTTCAGCGGCAATGAAAGTGCATCAGACTCTGTTAGTGACTGGTTAAAGAATGATAGCTGTTGTCGAGGATTTGAACCTAAGACTACCGCCGAGCAAGTTGTGGATGCTATCAATGAATCAATGAGTGAGGGACAAATTATTGGGATGCTTGTACTGATCCCTTTGAAATACTTAAAATTTTATGAAACTATCAAGCCAGCTTATTTGGGCACATGGTCAAAAATAAATAAAACCCTGGCCAGTGATCCGTTTTTCAAGTTTGATAATATTGATTATGACTATGATAGTGATTTTGAACTAGGCGAGGAAGAAGAAGATGGTGAAGAAGTTGATAGTGATGGTGAGGAGGAGGACGAAGTTGGAAATGAGGAAGATGAAGAATTTGCAGGATTTGTGGATGACGACAGTGCGCAGACACAGAAGAGGGTTCAGTTTAAAGGACAATTGTCGCCATCTGTGGTTATCAATAACGGCTATGAATTTCCAGAAATGCAGGCAAGTATATTATTGAAAGAAGTAAACCTGGGTATTGATCCATTCAAAAATTACTGGGGCAAGAGTCCTACTAGTGTGGTGGAAGTTCCTACCAATTCCCGGGTTCCAGTCAAGAGCGTTACTATTTCTACATCAAGCGCCACGAAAATCAACACTCTTACAGTGAAGAGAAAGCCCATCGTGGACAATCCTGATGATATAAGGGGTATTGTGAAGTTCATTCTCTCCAACAAAGAGATGAAGAATTGGACCGTGCCTACGATGGTAGATATGGTTCACCAGCAGTTTACCAAATATAGCAAGGCAAAGATAAAAGGTACTATCCAGAAAGTTTCCTCCAAAAAGCTGAATTCAGGATGGGTCATCAACGAAGAGTTTATGAAACTTGTATAGGTATAGACAGTTTGGATGGTATTATGATTGTTATTTTTTATTTTTTTATTCCTTTTGTGTGTGAAAGGCTTGGGTGTGGTTACGAATATACATATTTTGCTAATTATCAAGGTGATTTGAAATCAAAAAAAAGTAGCCCTGCCTATAATAAGATGGTGTGCAGGCGATAATAAAAAGAAGCACGCATGACACGGTAAGTGAGATAGATAACCTATAAAAACCTGCACTATCTGGAGATACAACAAAGGGCCACAGAGAGCAATGGTTATCATCGGTCACCAAAACCAACTCGGCGTACGTCATAGACGGGGGTGACAGCGCCGGCACGTTGACCCACTATCGGGGGTGTTCCACACAACTGGAAAAAAACAGCGGTTCATTTTTTGGCACCGTCGTTTCGTAACCCCTATCCCTATATTACTGGGTGTTTTCGCAAAACAAGGTATCCCCTGTGCCAAAAATATAACAACGATTCCACATCAACCAACAGCAATCACTGAAAACAATACACAATGTCAAACAGCAATGTCGAACAGGCAGATAATGCCTCCTCCATCAGCGTCAAGCGTTCTCAAGTCCCTCCTGCCCCAAAAATGGTTGTCGCGAAGGATTTTGCCCGTGTTTATGAGACACCTGCCGAAGGTACTTACCAAAGGATCATGTCTGCTTTTGGTGGGTTCTTTGGTTGTTTAGGTACCATTCCTTGCTCTTGTTGCACCAACCCATACAAAAACGTTGATGCTGGGGAAGTTGGTCTTGTCACTCGTTTTGGTGCCCTCGCCCGTACCGTTGAACCAGGGTCCACTTATGTAAACACCTGGGTCGAAAAAATCTCTAAAGTTAGTATTAGGGCACAAACCATTCAAATCCCAAGCCAGGATTGTTTGACTAAGGACAATGTCGGTGTTGAAATCTCCTCGGTGTTGTACTTTTCTATTGTCGACCCTCAATTGGCCACTTTTGGTATCGAAGATGTCAACGCTTCATTGGTTAATCGTACCCAAACCACTCTTAGAGATGTCATTGGTGCCCGTATTTTGCAGGACGTCATTGAAAAGCGTGAAGAAATCGCTGCCGCAATTTCAGAAAATATCAGTCATGTTGCCGAGGCTTGGGGTGTTCATGTGGAAAGTATCTTGATCAAGGATATCCACTTGCCACCTGGGGTCAGTGCTTCTTTGAGCCGTGCTGCCGAAGCCACCAGAATTGGGGAATCCAAGATCATCAGCGCCAAAGCCGAAGTTGAATCCGCCAAATTAATGAGAAAGGCCGCTGACATTTTGGCCAGTGATGCCGCCATGCAAATGAGATATCTCGATGCTATGCAAAGTATGGCTAAGAGCTCCAATAGTAAGGTCATTTTCATGCCTTCTAGTACCGCTGCCGGTGCAAATATGATTGAGGCTAGCCCTAGTAACGGTGCTCATTTTGGTTCTACGAAAGAGGATCTTGACAGAGCCGTTAAAACAATCGCTTTGGACGAATCCTTAAAAAACTGATGGGAATTTGATTTTTTAATTTGATTGTTTAATTTTATTCCTTAATTTGATTTTAGCCACTCTTTTTTCTTTCCTTCTGGTTGATGGTTGCTTTTTTGTGCAATACCTACTAGCATTTCTCTGCTTGGTAATTTATTTCACACCCCTATTATTTACCAGGGATGTATTCCCCCATTTTTTCATTTTTTTTTTCTCGTTCTAAATTTTGCTTTCCACTGTAATCTTTATTTTATTTTATAATTTTTATTAATGTCTTTATATTTAACTGCTTAATTCAAACTCGTTAGAAATCTTAGCTTGTAATAATATCAGGACTTGGAAATTCAACGTATTGCTAGCTCTAATGATTGTAAAATAAATGAAACATTGCGTCAGAATACTTCAATTGACAATTTACATTGGGAAATCATTTCAGCTAGAAGTTAATACGATTGATTAACCGTTGTTGAAGTGGTTTACTGATCAAAGATTAAAGAATCTGATGCAGAAGTCGGAAGCCAATGAAATTGAGCATCCTCTGACGTTAATTAACCAGAGACAAAAAAAAAAAAAATTAGCAGAAAGCAAAAGCACCCCGAAAAAAAGGACTCAGAGTAATAAATAAATTTCAGACTATATAGCTGAAAATAGCCACCATGATTTAATTTGAAATGAAAAGATGCTAAGCCAAAGATTGGCAATGTGAAATATAAATATTTAGGAAAAATAGTAGCAGCCAGCGGCAAAGTTTCAAATGTGGAAGTGAAATAAATATCTTGTGAAATCATTATTCAACGAAATGGAAGTAATGCAAATAATATAAAATAGTTTAATAGTTGAATCTTGTACGAGTTAGCGTTATTTAGCTTGGTTTGGCGGATCTCATAAAATAAATCAAAGCAAAAAATGAATTGAATTTGTGAGACTATAATTAAAAATAGTAGAGACACTGAATGTGTGTGAATCTCATGGCTATTTTCTGTTCCGTTTTTTAACATTAATATTCAATTTTAAAGTCAAAGAGCTTTTTGGTTTTTCTTTATTCTTTTCTGGCAGATCAACGTCTTTGGTTTTAACTTTCTTTGATAAAGGAATTCTGATGCTTTTCGATTTAGTTGGAATATTATTGTCCCCCTTAGTTTGGGATTTATTGGATGGAAACTTAGTTGGACGGTACTTATAATTTGGATGAACCTCTTTATGAACATCATTTTCAATTTTGCCAAAAGTGGCGAATTTGGCCTTGATTTTTGAATCCTCGGTCAACCAGCATAATGCAATAGTATGGCACATCATGGCATGGTTCAATCTCGTTGCTTTAAGTGCATTCAAGCTGGAATTTGACTTGGATGCCTGAGAAGTGAATTTCTGAAGGTATTGATGGCGTGATACTTGGTTGGCGTGATAAAAACTAATGAATGACTTCAAAGAAGTTGAATGTGTTAATTGGGTTTGGGAAGCGAAAAATTTGTGCAAAGAGGAGGCAATTGAAGAAGTTATAAGTATGCTGGCTGAAGAGGAAGAAGAGGAAGAAGAGGATGAGGAGGATGCGGATGTGGGTGTTTTTGTGCTCTCGCTCGCTTTTTGTATAAGAGTAATGAGGTCAAGCTCAATAAGGTCTAATATTGCAGAACTATCCACAATGAGATGATCCGCCCCCCTATTGAAGCATGACTTGAGAAAACTGAGGAAGTAATGATTAATTAACTCATCAACTTTGCTAAACAATTCGATCACAATAGCACAGCGGAGCATTGCAGCACGATAAAGCATGAAACAATTCAATGGGCGCTTAATATGGAACTTGTCGCCTTTTCTGGAAACCGATGACTCTTTCACTAAAAGGGTTTTATAGATCTCATATTCTTTAAGGTTTTGAAGATAGGATAAAAAGAAATGTGGATCTTCAAGAAGATATTCGAGGAGCTCATCTGCCTGAGAATTGTTTATATGATTTGGCTCAGATGATATATGTTCAACACCACAAGAGCTTCGAACTTGAATATTCACACCATCTGAAGTTTCAAGAATTGGGAATCGATATAGAATTCTTTTATAATCCTGCTCATCAATTGGATTATTTGCTAAGGTTTTTTTAGAAGCTGTGAATCTTCGAGAAGTTCTAGAAGTTTTTGAATTATCACCATCTTTAACCTTCTGAAATTTTCCAAGTTCCACCAAGTAACATAGAATCGTCAATCTTTTCAAAATATGGTATTTTCTTCTGTCTCCATTATTAATAACAGAATATATATCTTCAGTTTGATAAAGAGTTGCGAGGCACTTTTCAATTTCTTCTAGATTAAGGTTTCTCTCTGTGGCCAACTCCAATATGGAAGTATATCTCTCAGCATTAATCCTTGATTGTTTAAAGAAATCAATGAATTTGCAGTTTTTCGGAGAGAACTTTGGGGATTTTGGAGTTTTCACTGGAGGAAGGGTATGCTCTCTAGATTCGGAAAAACTATTGACCTCATTGGAGAAAACTGTGTTCAAGGAATCGACAGAGGAAATAGAGGGCCCTCGAGAATGATTAAATGGTGATTCTGATTTAGTCATATTGTCATTATCAATTGATACTTCTTTATTCAGGAGAATTTCACTATCAGTGTCGCAATCTCCAATGTTTTGCAGTCCCAGTCCTCCCAAACCACAATTATCTAAAACTTTCACCTCATCATCTCCACTATCTTCACCTCTTTCAGCAATCTTTGTTGGGATTTTTTTACGTAGTAATGGCGCAGATACTGATTTTCTAATCTTCTGAAAATGTCTTAAATGTGAATCAGAATCATTTTCGAAAATGTCTTCAAGGTTAGAAAAACTGGATCTTTCATGAAATGCTTCATCAATTTCAATGGCACTCAAATTAAGAATATCATCATCATAAAAAGTTTCTTCTGGCCTATGATCTATAGAAGATACCTCAGCTTTGGAAACTGGATCTGGGGAATTGAGATTCTTGTTCAACAATGGCATAGAAATAGTGCGTTTTGCGTGTTTTCTAGATCCACCGAGGTTTCTCCCCAAATTAACATGTTCCAACATCAGAGGGCCATTAATAAAAGAAATAAATGATTCATTTCTACCGAGCTTTTCACTATCGCCAAACTCATCAAGAAAACCAAGGTCATTACAATTAGCAGTGCTTGGGGTGAGGAAGCTGTAGGCATCTGTACTAAGTAAGGAAGAAGAACTGGGAGAGCCAAGGTAAGTTGAGGACAAACTGAAACCATCGTCAGTTTCAATCAAGGATGGATTAGAGCTGTCCTTGTGCTGCTTTGGGGTCAAAATATTACTCTGATCGGCCATTAAGACTGGTTTTTGGGGCTACTGGAAAGCGAGAAAAGGGAAGAAAACCCAAGTTAAAAAGGAAACAGAATTTAACAAGATGAAAAAAAAGAAAAGAAAAGAAAAGAACTGGCATTATATAGGGAAGGCAGAAGATAGGGTTTTGGAAAAGAAGGTAACCGACCTACCGCAAGTCGCGCCCAGGCAACGATACGCGGAAAAGCCGAGAAAGGACAGTTTTGCCCCCCGCTGGCAATTTACAGAAAAAGAGTGACCGCAAAGTTGTCGTCAGAAAATGGCGGTGATGATGGGGTTTTGGGAAGCCAAGGCATGTCATGGTGCGGTTAGTCATACACACATCCCAACACCACATTTTGTTGCAATTTGACAGAACACCCAGAAACCAGGAAATACATGCACGTGATAATATTTTTACATATCCGGGTAAACTATGGTTATTCATTTCCTGCAACAGTAGTAACAATAACCATTGATGTAACTCTAATAAACAACCAGTATTATCACAATAACGGCCCCACGAGATTGCAAAAATGAATCTATCAAATATTGTTCATAATAGTAGGCGTCTGGACAACACATACTGTCTTCCTGCACCACTTACAAGCTTCCAATCAGATATCAATGAGCTTTTGGTCAGACTCCATTCAAAACATTTACTTGACCAATATGGACTAGAAGTTACTGAAGGGAAAAAAGAAAACAAGGAAAATACCCCCCAGCAACTGCCAAACATTCAAAAATTAAATGATTCGGAGCTTCTCAGCATGCTATATACGAATCTCAACTTGGCATCCAACAATCCTTACCTTTTGGTGAATCATTATATTCCGAAGAATATGTTACTTATGAATACCAAGGACTCGTTGACGAATGTTTCCGGGAAATTCCGTCTTCTTGACCAAATAATCTCGAAATATGAAACAATGAACACCAAAACTACCAAAAAGTATAATGTCCTTGTGCTTTCTAACAATTCTAAGGAATTTGACTTTATTGAAAGTCTTCTCATTGGCCGTTTTGTCAACTACAAGCGTTATTCTGGCCCAAAGCTTTTTGAAGCCAAATCTGAAGAAACAGTTACTCCATTCAATGAATCACCTGCAAAAATAACCCCGTCATCTAATTTGGGTACAGGAAAGCGTCAAATCAGCAGCAAGGATGATCCGTATCTTACAAAGCGTTTGAGGAGAAAACACAGGAGGATTATGAAATACGTTAAGAGTAACAACCGCGAATACTGTCTAACGTTACATCTCATAACTGTTTCACAATTAAAATTTCAATTTTTTAGTAGTGAAGACCCTGGCACGAATTTTGACTTTCTTGACCTCAATAATTCAATCGCTTTTGATTATATCATATCATTTAATAATTATCTCAATTTAGACCATTATCACTTAAAGAAGATGAGAGCCGGCTATATTGATGCAAAGACAAGCAAATATCAGGCATATAGCGAACCATTACCCATATTATATATGTTGGCCTCTGGGTCGATTGAGCACGCCACAATTATCACGTTGAACTGGCTTTTAAAAAACGGGGTGATTAAAAATATCTACAAGAAAAAATATATTGATGAAAGGACAACAAAGTACGATCTAGACACCCAGGATAAGCAGTTGCTACTCTTGGTGTTAAGTCTCTATCTTATTAATAGGGTCAATTTTAACCAGCCCTCTAGCATGGAAATATCTTCTGATTCATGGTTTACTTTATCCGAATGGTTATCGGATCCATCGTCAGGAGCACAATTATCGAAACTTGTCATACCTCCCCTTAATTTTCCTGGTAATTTTGATGATTTTATGAATCGTTTCAAGTCTAATTATCTTGAATCAAATTCTACAGGGAAAATAGCCAGTCCAATATCAGATTCTCTACGGAAGGCCATCGAGTCCTTCAATTTGAAGAGCTATAATTTTAAACTCAGCTCCGATTTGAAAATTACTCTGGAGCTCATTGGTCGCAACCAACAAATTTTCAGTTCTTACCCTCAACTTAATGAGCAATTCGGTGAAACTACTAAAGAAAATTTGATAGCAGAGAAGCAGTTTGGCGACTCAACTTTGGTGGACCTTGAACAGAGTGGCCAACCTGCAAAACGCTTGAAGGTTGAAAGCAATAGATCATCATCCAAGTATGTGCCTATAGCTTCCGTTTCTGCTCTTCTATCTTTTGACACTTCGATTCCTGAATCTGCGCTCAAAAATCTTGAGTGTTTGGCAACAGAGAGCGCCAAGTTTGATGCAAGTACCCGCCTCCACTTTTATCCAGCTCTTGATAAGTTTCCAGTAGACTTTGAAACCTACAACCGGAATATTACCTCTATTATAAAAAATCGCTCCGATAGTTTGACCGATTTATTAAAGACTTTTTCTGCGAAAACTTTATTTGAAAATGAAATTGGCCAATTTTTGCAAGTGAGAATTGAAAAGAACAATTGGGTTAGCAAAGCAGTTTTCACTAAACAGTTAGAGTTGAGAAAAGAAATCACCAAGGAAGAAAAATATCACGAGAGGCTATTATCTGAATACCAAAAATTTAAGTCTGCTGAGAAGTTTGCAATTTTTAAAAATCAGGAATTCGTCAAGGCCATGAAGGGAGAGGTTAGGGATATCAGTAAAATTTACGAGATTATGGGAAGTGAAAAACTTGATGGTAAAGAATCCGAATTATTATTACAAATTGACAAGGAGATTGAAGACCTGAAAAAGGAAAAAACCCATGTTGAGAATTTTAATGCAAAAGGCAAAGAGGAAGAAATGGAAAAGGAAAAAGAACCTAAGGAAGGAGATAATAAATCTGAAATTACTTCGAAGATCGAGCAAACGATTTCTAGCAAAGTTCAGAATCCTGAAGAAGGCCAAGAAACCCAATGGATTCGCTACTTTCCTACTATCTCTACAGGCATAAGCTATTCTGTTTTAGAGGAACAATCAAGGCTAATTGATCAACTCTCTTTTGAAATTACTAATTTTGAATCACAGTCCGTTGAAGCTAACTCGAAGATTGATAAGGCCAGAGCAGAATACCAAAATAAGTCTACATCGGTTTCCTATCAATTGGAAACTTTGGGAAAGTTGAAAGCTCGTATCAGCACCATTGAGGAGATTTTGAAAAGAAAGGATACTATTAAAGAAATGAAGACTAGGGCGTTGGAGTTCAGCATTGGAGATGATAAAGATATTGTACCTAATTTCAACAGCAATGAGATACCTGCGAGCAATGGATTGAAGAAAACCGACGACAATCATAATATGGTATTGATTAATGAAGACAAGTTTAACGCCATCAAGTATAAAAACCTTGTTCGCCAAAAGAATTTTATGGAAAACTACCTGACTATAATGCGCCAACAGTCCAAAAATAGTCGCAATATAACGCCTGTATCCTCTAATAATAGTACAAGTAATAAGGACTCTTCTGGAGGTGTGTCTGGAAGAAGGCGAAATGGAAAAAGAAGGGGTCGTGGTTAAAATATAGAATTGAATGTATATTAGTTTTTCCCTTTCTTTCTTTCTTTCTTCTTTGGTGTCATGTAGACAAGAAAAATCAAAGCAAAATATTCATGTTACAATAATATTTATCTATGTGTAATTGGGGAACATCTTTGGAAATGCGGTGGATCAATTTTACCTAGATCAGGCTCACTTTATATATTCGAGTGGTAGCAAGCAGACTATAGATAAATAAAAGGATATAAGGAGCTGTCTATCTATGGTAGTCATGGCTTCATATATGAGAGTCAGAGATTTCTTTTATTGTAACATTACAGAATATAAGAACAGTTTATATTAAGGTCTTTACACTGACTACCATTGGCAAGAGGCTTGTGCTTATTTTCTTGTCACGCGATGAAAATTGATCATTAGCCATTCAGCCTTGGGTTGCAAGTATATATTTTGCAAATATCTTAATATTATTGTGTCATTCTGTTTATTTATTGATACTGAGGTTTTGTCTAACATATTCCTATATTATTTATTCAACAACTATGATCCTGAAGAAACTCCAAGGACGCGACTTGAAATTTCACCTTGACAGCTATTTATCTAATACGGGTAAGCGCAACTTACTTACATGAAGAGGAGGAAAAAAAATAGGGAACGATGTTTTGAAAGTTCCTTGTTAAGTGATCGTCATATTAAGTCATCGTTCGAGATTGGCTGGGTATAAATGAAAACCTGCTTCCAATTATTGGGTTGATATCAGCAGTGATTACTATTTAAAAATTATCTCATTAAATAATTTATTCTTAGTACAGTTTTACTATTATCATCATCAACATATAAACAATGGCTGACTTATCAAAACTTGACCAATTCTATGGGCAGTTGAAGACTCTCATGAAAGAGAACTCATCTCTCAAGTCTAAGCTATCTGATCAGGAAACTCAATACAAAAGAACAATATCAAACCTTGAGTTTTCGCATCTTTCCAAGCTCCAAACGCTTGAGTCTGACCATAGAACAATAGTGGACCAGATGGAGCGAGACTATCAAGAAAAACTAGTGGAATTTGAATCCGATTATTTGGAAAGAATTCGTGCTATTGATGAATCTAAAATGGAGCTTCAATTCAAGCAGTTTGCTACAGAAAAGCAGGTGGTGGAGCTTGAAATCAAGTTGCGAGCGGCTGAAAATAGTGCAGGACTAGATATTGATGAGGTGACATCTAAAGCTGAGGAATTGAAGACAAAGATGAAAGAATATGCTGCATTATCTTTTGAGAGGTTTGAAAAATTTTTAGGAGATCTAGAAGAGCTCGGTAACGATAAAAAAGTACCAAAAGTCAATTCCGAAACCCCACAAAAGTCAGCTAACCCTCCAAGAATATCTGGTATAAATATCCCATTGATTAATCGTGGTTCCAATAACTCATTTGAGATCCCTAACAACAAAAACATATCACAGTCTCCCCCTAGACCTGTAGCAAAACTTACTATTCCGATATTCAGAAGCAGTCCAGCTAAAGATGCTGATGGTGATGAAGAACTTGAAGATGATGGGGTACAAGTAGTTTCTCATTCCCAAACTAAAAGAGAAGAAAATGTGACTATTGTTCTTACTGATGGAGAAGAAGACGATAATGAGGGAAAAAAAGAAGAAAAGGGTACCCCTAATCCAAAAATGGATCAACAGCAATATTCTCAAAAAAATGGTTTTGCAAAGTCTTCATTAGAAGAAAAGAATATTGATGTTGAAGCCACTATGGATGTAAATGATGGAACTGAATCCCATAATATTGATGAAAACATTACTGAAGCATTGGTGCAAGATGAGATGGAAAATGTTCCTGAACGTGCTGTTGAAAATAGCACTGATAATAGTAGTGAATCTCCTGTTACTGAGAACAGAAATGAATCATTGGTTGATGGAGATAGTGAACCACAATATCAACCTTATAATACCGAAGCTGTGGAGGCAACTGATAAAATGGAAATTGGGGAAAACAATAAAGATATCGAACCAAATGAGCAAGCTCAGATTGATGGGGATGGTGATGTTGAAATTAAAGACAACACTAGTGGTGAACAACAGCAAGTTGCTGCAAGCCAAGACCTTAACCAGAAAGAAGAAGAAAAAGAAAAAGAAGATTACGAAAGAGGTAGTGCCAAAGCGAGCCAAGATTTAAGCAAATCAGATATTGCCATCGATGATCAAGTCATCAGATCTTCTGTTTCTCAAGAAAAAGAGCACGAGAGTCAAATACCTAGCAATCAACAAGGTCTAATATTGAGAAGTGCTGTCAATACCCCATTATCTAGTCCAGCTAAAGCCAACCTGGGGAACGAGGAAGATGTGAACATGACAACAACCAACGGAAATGATACTGGTGCTCAGAATGGTGGAATCCAAAAGAGTGAAACAGAATTCAAAGATACTATCGATGAATCCGTAGCTTCCGAAAGCTTCAATCAAACCTCAACCCCAGCGCGGATTGGTAAAGAACTTTCACGAATTGATGATACCGATATAACCGCTGACTCGATTAAGAAAAGACGTAAAAAGAATCCCAAGAAAAATCTTGGTGCTAGCAATTCTGTCACCGTCAAAATTATTAATCACCACACTAACCTGAGAAATTTCTACAAAGTGAAGAACACTGTTACTTTCTACAAAATCATGCGCATCATTGGAAAGAAATTTGGCTATCCAATTGAGAAGGTTAGGTTCTATCGAACTGATGGGGAGATAATAATCCCAACTTTAACGCCACTTAGAATGGGTTGGGAAGGAGAAGGAGAAATTGTTGTGAAATTCCTTGAAAATGACCTTGATGAAATGGAGGGGCGGTTCATGGGCGCACTGGACTACCCGGAATAATTTTCTCACATTTTCAATTATTTTTTTTGTAGTTTCTATATTTGGATTAAATGTTCGCTGGTGTGATTAAAAGCATCTCAAAAATTCAAATTTCATCAGCACTGGAGTGCTCATTTAGGAATATATTTCTACAAGTATCTATCTGCCTGTCTAGTGGTCCTTGAATTATGAGTTTCTTCCCTTTGTGCTATCGCACAGAATACTATTATAGCTACACTACTTCACTAGTTTTGTCACGTCAACAAGCTATTATTGTTACTGTTACTATACCATATGAATGACGTTATCTTTCTTTTATTATTTATTCTTAAGATATTTGCTCTTTTCTTATTGCTATTTATTTAGATTAATAACTAGTTATTATATTAGAGCCATTATTTTAGTTGTGAGTTTGATCAATTAATAGAATCTAAGCACTGTAATAATGGGACAATATACTTAAACTGTATCTAATGCGAGGTTTTCGAAAATGAAAGTATTGATATAAATTAACTCTTAATCCTTCTTATTTTACGCTAACCGCACCGCCATGCTTTTCTTTTCTTTTTTTCCCCTTGACTTATACAGGAAGAGTAAAAAAAAGATGGATGACGTTTCCAAGATCGGATAATGAATAATTACAGTAACAAGAATATTAAGTAAATTATAAGTGGAAATGGGTGCAGGATCTTCAAAGATTGTTGATGACCTTATGGAAGGTACCAACTGTACGCGTTTTATGTTTTAATATATGCGTATATACATTCCATTTTGTTTTTTGGAATTTGGTATATACGATGATCTTGAAATCTGGAATTGTGATCTATGATAGGATTGATTAAAGATTACTAACATCTTCCTTTTATTAGTTGACAGAGAGGATATTGACCGTCTCAGAAAGAGGTTTATGAAGCTTGACAAGGACAAGTCTGGTACAATAGAAAAAGAAGAATTTCTTTCCATACCCGGAGTTGCCTCGAATCCACTTGCCCCAAGATTGATGGAAGTGTTTGATGAAGATGGTGGAGGAGATATTGATTTCCAAGAGTTTGTTGGCGCCCTTAGTGTATTTAGTGGTAAGTCCACCAAGGATGAAAAGTTGAAGTTTGCATTCAAAGTATATGATATTGATAGAGATGGTTATATTTCTAATGGGGAGTTGTTTATTGTGCTAAAGATGATGGTTGGCAAAAACTTAGAAGATGAACAATTACAACAGATTGTTGATAAAACCATTATGGAAGCCGACCTTGATGGCGATGGGAAGTTATCATTTGATGAATTTAATAAGGCTGTGAGTGACACTGATGTTGCTAGAGCTTTGACTTTAGCTTCGTTTTAGTACAGAACTGGCTCTACTTTCTGTTCCTCTTCATTCGTTGTTTTCTTTTTTCATGATGTTGTTTCATCATCGTTATTGTTTTTCTTATTATTATTATATTATGTGTTTATTATCATTATTACTATAATTTGGTTTATATATGTAGTGAATAGCTTATCAGCTGTGTGCTGAAGTTTGATCACTTTCATCGGCCTCTGAGGTTTCTTTTGAGAATATTCAGTTTTCGTCTCTCGACATACTTACTTTCCCTGAAGAGACTAACATCTGTAAAACCGTTAAAGAGTATATAATTCATCAACTCACTTGTATAAACATTTCAGCTGTCATCAAACAAAGTAGGTTTCAACCCAAGTCGATCTAGCTATCCTATTAATATTTATATGCCACTTCACTCTGTTTTGTTAAGAACGCCGCCTAAGGTCACTCCGTACATTACTGTATCTTTCCAATAACATTCTCAGTACCCTAACCACCTAAAAGAATTTATATGCAGCACAATACCTGTCAATATGGGGGAAAGAATCTGGCCAACACGAATTACCAGAGACCTTTGACGATATGTTGCTATAAATAAAACACAACCTGCATGAACTCTAGACCTCTAACGGATGACGGGCATGAGGAAGAATTACCATCGTAGACGATCCCAGGTACCAGATCTCCAGAGAATTGAAAAAAGTATCTAGGGTTCTTTTTAGTGTGTTTTTTAGCGATGCAAGTCTTTGGATTTTCGCGTTGTTTTTCATGTTTGATTCCTGATGGGCGGTTGTACTTGATTTTAGCTGTGCTATTAATAAAACCTGCATGGATTGGGAAATCCTCAACATGAACTTCACCAGCATTCATTGCCAGAGATTCTGGTTTTCTCGACCGTATAATAGACAAATTCCTGCTGTTATAAGAATGATAACTCTTTTGGAAACTCTTCAGCTTTATTTTTTTGTATGAAGGATGTAATGGAATTATAATAAACCGGTGTTCCCGCCCACCAAATGCCGATGTTTGGACGTTAGTCTTTTTTTTTTTCCTGCTTCAACATGCAATCCCCAAGCATGGTATGAGGAACCAAAGAAGATATCCTCAGATGAGCTGAGCAGAACGAAGAGCCATACAACTAGCAAACTATTTTATAACCTCAGAATATTTTAAAGCTGATAATTAGCCTCTTATATATCTGAAAAAAAAAAAAAAGAATAAAAAAAAAACAAAAAAAAACCACATATAGAAAAAGTGACCTGGCCATTTCCACAACCAAAATTCTTAGATAAAAATCCCATCATATCCTTTGCCACTCTTTTCTCATATATAATATAATATTATACCATTATATATCCAAATAAAATGGCTTCTGGATCTTCGAAGAAGAAAATGGGAATAGCTTACCTTCTAAATGACCACCAACATAGAGAAATTGAGTATGAAGGTATTAACCAATGCCATTTCGGCAATAATGCAACAATCCCAGAACCAAAAGCACAGAATGATTGGCTGGAAGATCCACAATATTTGAACCACATAGCTTCACCTCAGTGGCCTTACACTTCCCCTCCACTACTGAGCCCAAACAGTTTTCATCGCTCTTCGTATAGCTCTCCAATTTTTCCCAATCTAACTCCATTGAATTCATACCAGCCACAGCTTAATCCTTATCACCAGCAACCACCCACCTCATCACAATCATCTCCTAGTCGATCACCACTAGCACGAATGTCCGACAATAGTGACTTCTTCCAAGGAATGTCGCCATTACTACTGCTGGCCCATCAGCTTTATGAGAAGCCACGGTCCAAATCTCTCCAAAACACCCCACAGACATACCAGCAAACCAATAAAAAGCCATCACAAGACGCAAAGGAGGAGAAGAAACGAAGACTTCAAAAAGCGTTGGCTGATTTGAATAATGGTACCTATAAAAACATCCATTCTGCGGCCAGTGCCCATGATGTAAATTACAATTCATTGAAAAATGCTTTCTACAAAATCAACGGGAGAGACGAAAATAGTCAAAGACTAACTACCAGTGAAAGGGAGCGAAGAATATCGAGGGCTATCAATGGATTTAGAGATGGTAAGTACTCCAACTTGACAGAAGCATCCAAGATGGAAAAGGTGTGTGCTGAGACCGTAAGAAATAGATATCATGGCAGAACCCAAAGCTTCAGTGACGCCAAGAAAACCCGGTAAGATTCATATATTATAAGCCAATCTTTCTTTCTTTCTTTAGTTGTTTAATTATTGTTAGCTCATGCTCCTGATTTATCAAGTCATCTCCTTCGCTTTTCAAAACTTAGTTTTTATAATACCATCTTTATCGAGTAGCGGAAGACAAAATTTATAGTATTGCTGATTTCATAATATAGAGTTTCATTTTATTTGTTTTGTTGGTATCTTTTTAAACTTTCATAAGCATATATACGGGCCCAACACTACAATAAGGTCTCTCGACATGATTATATTTCAATATACACGATAGGAAAACACAAGGGGTGATTACTTCTCGATTAGCAAGCGAACAACATCTTGGGTTAATCATTTCTTATTATAATATCTGTATAACATAGCCGTATATAATAGGTAGGAAGTGACGTTATGAATCTTCTCACCGCACGCAGATTCAAGGTGCACCGTCTGGGTGGGAACATGGCCGTTTGCGGAAAAAGGTAAACAAACCCTCTCGGGGAATTTAGAGTTGGCGAATCGTCGGCCGAGGAGGGGGCCATTAAGGATATTGAGGAGGCTGCACTTGGTGAACGTTAAACGGGGTCTCAACTTGTCTGCCAGTGCAAATTTCATAGTATTATTGCTCTATATAGTCATTTGGTTTCGCTAGATGACCACCACCAACTTGAAGATCGCTAATGGTTGCCACTTCACTCAATCCAGGGTCAGCATCCATCCTGGCACTCCCCCATCCATAGAACTCTTCTGCTTGAGAATATCTGCGGTGGTTGGTTTATTGTATACGCAAAACCACTATTCACCGTCTCCAAAAGAGAAATACATAACAAGAGAAGTAGAAACGATCAAATAGTAACAATAGAGGAATAAAGTCACATACAAAGACAGAAAGTATCTATCCCTCAAGCGCATCGGATCACACCTTTTGGCGCTGGTGCCTCAACAAAGATCTCTTTGCTATTTGTGTACACCCATCGCCCCCATCGCATGAGAACCACGTCTTGGAAGCTTTTCTACACATTTTCAGTTACATACTTTGCTGTTTATGCTCTTTGTGGAACTTTTTTTCCTTGATGTACAAAGAATAACTCGATTTTGCTCTCATTTTCTATTCTTATATAGCGGACAATCCACCCACTGACCTCCACTTGTTTTCCCCATTTTGCAAACACCATACAGAAAATATTTATCACTTTCCATTAATTAGATCCCCAAATATGAAGTCCAATTACTCTCCTACCATATTTGCGTCATTACAACAACCACAAAATCAGCTTTTCAAAGATTTCCCACAAAAACCAGAATGTATGGAAGAAAATAAGGATAGGTTCGGCACAATGCTAGGCCATCTTCGCCAATATACTGAGATTGACGATGAAGAAAAGAAAATATTGAATACAAAGATAGATGGATTAAAAGATCAGTTGACTCATTATAAACACCAGAAAACCGATGCCATGGGATCGGGACCTTTAACAATTGCAGAAAAGAAAAGGATGGTTATTTTGCAAAACGAACTGAAAACTTTGAAATATCAAATTAAAACTTTGGAGAAAGAGAAAGAACCCCTCATTAAAGAATCTGAACTGTTCAAAAAAGAAATTAGAAATTTGAAGAAAGATAAATTCGACAAGATTAGTGAAGTGACAAACCTAAAAGTAGAGATTTCCCAACTTGAAAATTTGATCAAAAGTAAATATGAGGCAAAGTTGTCGAATTATAAGAAATTGCATCAAAATTTGAAAATTGAGAATGAATCATTAGCGAATAGATTCAAAGTTTCTGAAAAAAAGATACAAGAGCTTGAAAATATCAATGAACAATTAACTGATTCCCGTGGGGAAATAATCCAGGAAAACAATTTTCTCAAAAAAAGCTTGATAGATAATTTGGAAAAATTAAAAGAGTTGGCATTGGAAAATGACAGGCTCAAAAATACCAGTCGCTCGCATAATCTTTCATCTTCCCCAAAAATGAAAGCGGCAACTTCTCCAAAGTTAAAAACAGCGCCGTCGCCAAAATTGAAATCAGGGATTTCTCCTAGACCTGAAAGAATTCCCGAATCAAGAGTACATCATGCTCGTCTTGCAACTGAGAAACCAGTCATCTCCCACCAACCTATCAGACTTTATCAGCGGAGCAATCATAATAATGGAGTTTCCTTTACAGACACTATGAGAAGAGATCTTCCACAAAATCCAGCTGTTCAAGATAGTGAGTCCCCAACTCTGATAGAACCGGAGAATGAGCCTTGCAAACCAACTAAGCTACTCACCGTGCGGATTGTGGGACGTCGATCAATGCTCAAACAATGTGGATTCCAATTTCAAGTAACAGAGGAGGACTTGGAAGATACTAGCTTTCTTTTTGAGAAATGTTGCACTAAGTATTGCCAGAAGTACGGTTTAAATATTAATGGGATGGAATTCACCAATTATAAAGGTGACAAGTTGAGCTGTTCTGTTGGATATCCATTGGAAAATGGAGATATCATTTATGTTAATTACAAATGAGTAATATTGATTTGCTTTGTGGTTTAAATTTTGTTTAAAATTAATTTTTTTTTTTTCATTTTATTTTATTTTATTTCATTTTGTTGGTTTTCATTAAAGTTTTTGCATTAATTTGGTTATAAGTTTTCTTTTCATTCGACCTCCATAGATTTCTTTCTTTTGTTTTCTCTTTCATTATTTTCATAGATTCATGATTAATTCATTGTATGTTACGCTATAAACTGCGGAAATTATCTCAATTCTCTAGTCATGTGGATTTCTTCATATTGTCTAGAGTATTTTTGAAATATCATTACATTCAGACAAAGAAAAAAAGTTACAACAATGTAATCTGATGTTTTAAATGACAAGCTTTCTGACAAAAAATAATTAGATTATCATCTGATATCCTTCATTAAATTAATTCTGTACACAAAGATTTGTTGTAGTGGTGTGATTATTGATTCTTCAGTGGTTCTAACTTATGCCGTGTGATCATATCCACCAGCGCCTCTGGCCACCATTAATTTGCAGCCTTCCCTTCACTAAACCAAGCAGTTTATAATTTTCTTATTAAAAGGAGTCTTTAACATTAAAATCATAATATTATACCAATTTTTTTGAAAAGATAAATGTATATAAAATTCTATTGAACTGAAATAAGGGAATTTGAAAGCGTAGAAAGTGACAAGAAACTGAAAGGTATTGCATTAGGTAGAAAATTGTTCTTCAAGAACAATTGTGAAATCCATTGGAAGCTGGAGCTTCGTTGGATATTTAGAAAATTTGTTTGCGATTCTTCGTCTATTTTTGAATTTGATGTTCAATTCGGCAGCACCATCTGATTCATCTTCGTAAACAGTATCAGGAGAACCGGGGCTAAATGAGGAATCATTCACTGAGCTTGGAGTGGACATGACAGAACGGTCACTGGCACTTGGATCTGACTCAGGAGAATGTGGAGGTTCCATGATTGAGCCAAGAGACGATAATCTTGGGGATCCCTCATCGTTGTAAACAGAGGATGTTGTTGGGGACAAGATATCACTATTGTGTGCAGTGTTTTGTTTTGATAGCTTTAAGGCAATTGGAGCACCAAGAACATTTTTCTCATCAAAAGCCAGAATGTTTTCGATAAACGACCGGAAGTCATATCCTGATCTTGATACGTGGACAGGTAAAGAGCTTTCAAGAGACTTGGAATATTCCTTGTCGAATTTTTCGGAGGTGCAGATCACTGATCTGAATTCTTTCTTGGTAATAAATTCATTATGAACGGAAAATTTATCAAACATTTGGGAAAGTTCATTAGCATCAAATTTTTTAACAACAGTTTTGTTATCAAGGAAACAAGAAAAGTTTTTGGTGGTTTCTTGCAACATGTTGACTTCAAATAAAAGCTCATTATAATCAAGAAACTCTGCAGGCCAGGGAGTTTTTTGTTCATCTGCAAATAATTCAACAGTATCGAAAGGATTGATTGGCTTATTAGAAGCTTCAGAGAATTTCATGCTCTTCAAAGCATTCAAAGCATCATCATAATCTATTTGATATTTGATACACTGTTGATTCAATAAGCTCATATTCTTCAACAATGAAACCAATTGGTCGACTTTCACATTAAAACCTTGAATCGTTGGGATTTTTTCTTCATTTGACATAGAATAATTGGTCAAAAACTTTCCAATCTCATCTTTGGTCAGCAAATAGCGGCCGTTTATAACCTTCAATGTATCCAAATAGTTATTCTTGATATAACTTTTCAAAGTTGAAAGTTTCAAAATTATCTGTTGTAAGTATCTAGCTTCCTCTGCACATAGATCCCTCCAGATTTTATCAAGGTCATCCAAACCCAATCCAATTTTTGTCTTGTATGAATATTCGGAATTGAGAGACTTGAGTAAGAAATTGATCTTATTAAAAATCAAAGAAATATTATTCTTTTCCAACTTGAAGGATCTCTTTGTCTTTTGAAAAGTTTCCTCCAAATATTTTCTTTCATATTCCAATTCATCCAAATCATAAAGCTCATTATAGCTAACCAAGTTGGTCCACTTGTAGATTTGGGTTCTGACATTTGACGCAAATATCTTGCTTCTTTTTTCGTACTCTTCTTTCAAAGCAAACACTTCAGATAGAACCATCATGGCAGCTCTAAATGTTTCCGATTCCTGGTCACTAGGGTCGGCGACATTTTTAGCAATCCTCATTCTGCTTCTTTCTGGTACGGAAATGCTATCATCACTACCAGAATTAACAGAAAACAAAGACACTTTCTTTGTGAGGCCTTGGTATGAGCTATTAGTGGATTTATCTTCTTGTGAGGACAAAGAAAAATCAATAGACACCTTGGAAGCATTATGGTGGCTTGATTCAAAAAGGTCGATTTGGGAGTCCAAGGAATTAAACCATTTCTCTTTATGATCCACAGCCAGATTAGACAAGAATTCATTTCTTTGGAATGGATTCATAATATTCAACTTCGATATGGATGGGGCCCTACTGACCGATGAAGACCTACTTAAATCAAAGTCCGATCGTGAGTCAAACGATCTTGCAATTTCTTTAGTTCTGGAATGATAAAATATGCTATTGTCTCTTAGCAAAGGAGACACTCTTCTAGTGTTTTCAATAATTGGTGATTCTTCCATTGAGAATGGTGAAGCAGCAGAGGAAGGTGCTGGTGAGTTTTGAGATACTGGCAGTACTCTTGAATTGGAGTCACTGGTTTTAGATTGTGAGAGACTTTTTTTGTGAAATGGATTTTCGATGGCGGTGTTAGAAGCCTTCTTGACTGGAGTACTTCGAAGCTGATTATTATTCTCAGCTTTATTTACCAGTTTTTGGTGCTTCTTTGGAGTGCTTTGGATGTGGCAGTCATTCTCCACTTTCTTTGGCAGGTGATGGTCTTTCTTTGGTGTGTTTTGGATATGATTGTAATTCTCAGTCTCACGTAACAGCTCTTGAGGTTTCTTTGGTGTACAAGTAGCAAGACTCTGAATCACCATTTTTGGCGAAGATTTGATTGAAGCAGATCTGGAAATGCCACTATCTTCAAACATGATCTGTTTATCATTAAATTTTTCATACCATCCAAGAATATAAGTCACAACCGACTTCTCATCTGGTCTGGTACATAAAAGATCTTCACAGTCAATCAATTGGGGGATGCCGATTTTCGCAGCCAAGGCAATGGCTTTTCTTGTATTCACCTCTTTTTTGGTTAAATCCAAAGTATAAAAATCGAGTAAATCAGGTCGGAGGCTACTTAATAAGGCACATAAAGCAACACCATTATTCCAAGAGGTGCTAAAGTCGGTGATGGTGACTAATCCATCAAATTCTTGGACTTGCTCAGCACACCAAGCTAATAGTATTTTCTTTATGGTAGAGAAATCTTGAGCGTTTTCTAGTTCAATCAAGGTATTCAAAATAAGCCCCCAAATCAAGCCAAGGATCATCTTTAAATTTCCTTCGTAAATATCTTCAGCACCAATACTGTGTAAACGAATCCCCGATGACTTGAGGTATTCCAAGGCACAACTAATGTTATCAACATAATGAATTCTAAATTTTGGCCTTGCGTTGAAGTGCTTTTTATATTTTCCTTTGGAGATTTCTCTAACCAAATAGTTCAATTTAACCCCATCACTCAAATCTTTGGCCAAATTACGCACTCGAAGGCGTTGAACTTCTTTGCTGCCAGAATTTTCGAATTGAATATTGATCCATCTAGCAAAAGCTTTATGTTGGATCTTAACCCACAGCAGTTTTTCCTTGGAGTTCATATCAAGGGGTAATTATCTCTTTCTATTATTCTTGTTCTCTAGGAATATGATCAGAGAGAAATAAAAAAAATTCGACACTAATAAAAATAAGGGATGATGTGGATATATAAGCCAAAACTAAAATAAAATTCGGTGTAGAGAGATAGGGAGCACATATGGTGGATTAATTAGTTAATTTTGCTTCATGCAGCCCTTGTGTCGCAGCTTCTGCAGGAAGTACCCAAATCCGTTTCAGGATATCCCGAAACACAAGACTCTTGCGGCAATATTTGTAACAATATTTGTAACAATATTTGTTTCAATATTAGTAGTTTTGGCCTTCAAACTTGAATTCTATCATCATATTGTTGTTTTTATGCCGTCTCAAACATCAAATAAGTCCCAAATTCGAGTAACTTTTCCAATTCAGATTGTATTGATCGCGGCTTCTCAATCATGATCACACAAATTTTTCTCAATAAAACCAAAACCATTTCCGATACTTGAATAAAATCATTTGTTTTTTAGATATGTACATGATATATTTCATAGCGCTTTAGCAGATTGATTAGTTTTTCTAAAATCGCTAGTTCCAGCTTGCAGTTTTCCAAGTTTCAGTTTCGGGATATCTATCTCGGCACTAGAGGGATGCGGAAAAAGGGAAAAAGAAAGAAAAAAGGTAATAGAAGGAGAGTTTCAATCAATAATATGAGTACCATATGCGAAGTAGCATAATCTTTGGGGGAATTAAGGACCTCTTGGGGCATATTTTGATCAAAACATTTTCCGGGTGCGTCATTGGGAACAAAAACACGGAAGGACCTATCCAATTACTCCAGTAGAAACATCAGCTGTCTATCTTCATCATTAATTAGTCATCAGCAACTTTATTTAATCATTAATAGAAGAAGTAAACTGTTAATGGGGAAAGAGGTTCGATTACGGTTGAATATCATCTTCATCGCAGCTTTATCTCATCTATATTTCCTATTTCATAGATCTTGCAAGTTTGTGTGCACTACCGTATCGGTATTTCCTTACCGGATAGACTAGTGGTTACTGTAAAAAATTGTTATTTATTAAATAGATAAAAATCATCAATGATGACAATATATTGTAATAATTTTCCTCATCGAATCATGCGGTTTGATAACTTGGTTGTTATACTCAACTGACTTTTAAAATTGGCAATAATAAAAATAAAATTTAATACTAATCCTGAGGCTATTTTTTGTTATCAAGAATTCAACCATTGGTTACTTTTAAGCATCACCTTGCTATTTAGATAATATGAAAATGGAAGATTGAACAAAATAGTAGATACTAATATGTTTCTGGAGATCTAAAATACTTCACTTTGTTGGTCCTGACACCAACCTTGGTATACAACAATTGTGCTCTATGATTATCAAAATCTGTTGACCAATAAACTACTGGGGCACCTAATTCATCTGCTTTTTTATAAACATACTCGATCAATTGCTTTCCAACATTCTTCAACCTTTGTTTCTCATCCACGTAAAGATCATTAAGATAAATCATATCTTCTGTTGACCAGGTCGCCAAATGTTGAAGGTAATTCGCTAGGCCAATTGGTTTTTTAGTTTCTGGATGGATTGCCAAAGCTGACCACATAGGAATAGCTGGATCTAGCAATCTTCTAAAAGTGAATTCTTTAGTTTCTTCTGGTAAAGATGCTTTATAAAAAACCAAGTAAAGATTGAATAGCCTGAGCCATTCATCGTGATCTGATTCAGCAACTGGGCGTATTTCAATCTGCATCGTGAGGATTTTGATATTCTTCAATAACTTTGAATCTTATTCACAATTTTTTTTTCCCAAATATGTGTCAACAATAATTCAAGGAATCCAATAATTCTTATATATTGTCATAAATATCGTTTCTTTGATTTCAAATCAGTTGTTTGAGTCATGACTACGGCAGTACGCATATGTCACCCTACTTTATTATTATGATTCACAACTGGAGTAGCGAGTAACATGTTATCTTATCGCATTTGAAATAGTAGTACATTCAACAACCAGTTCATCTCTACTAAGTCAGAACAACAGCCTATCTACACAAGAATAACATGTCTAGTTTATGAGATCTCATTGAATAATTTGATGCACCAAATACATGTAAATCTTTAGCCCCACTGTTAGTCAGCTTTCCATTGAACAATATTTTCTTACCAACAACACATTATTTTTTCTTTTCACAAGGACTGAAAGAGACTTCATTTCTATAATGTGAACTATAGACGAGATTTCTTGAAAAAAACAGCGGAATACCTTTTTTTTGGACTAAATGAGACAGGTAAGTTCAAAATGCCACCTTAATAGTGTTGATTGCGTGGTTGTGGTTTGTACTCAAGATGATTATATTTTGATGAATATATCTTGTTTTGTCAATTTATCAGTTACCTAAAATACATATTTCAGTACTGTAATGATAAGATGATCACCCAATATCAATTAAAATGAGTTCTACTTAGCGGTTATGGCGGAAGGTATCGCACCCTTGTTGTTAATGTGCATGCACACACCGTGCGCGGTAAATGTTATATCTTAATGGGGTCTTACACCCTCTTTACTTCAACAAAAGAAAAAAAAATAACCTTCAAAGAAGAGAACTTGGGTATTGTAGTCCTCTCATAATATTAAAGAAACATACAAAACCAACGAGATGTCAGCTGTTAATGATTTTGACATGGAGGAGCCTTTAACCTCTACTACCCGTCCAGGTATGTGTCAGACTTTTTCATATTAATTCTCTATCAAGTACTTTTCATACTAACAGAATGGCTAAACTAGATACACAAGCCATCATCACCGTGAGAATTATCAAGTCTTTCCCTTACAGAAATGTCAAAAATTACGTAATTCATGGTATTGATCTCACCACTACCACCGTCAATTCTTTAAAAGAACAAGTTATTGAAATGATTCAAAAAACTGGGGCTTATAGACCATATAGAAATGTTAACTATGACACTTTGAAGATTTATACCAAAGCCCATGGTTCCAAGACTATGAATCTTGTGATAAATATGAACGATGATGAAGACACATTACTTATTGATGGCGATAAGCTCTTAAAAGACTGTGGCATTGAAAATGAGACTGAATTATCTTTGTTTAATATGGATGATTATTTGAAATTTAAGGAAAATCCTGAAGAAAAATGGTAATGGAAAAACATAAAGGAAAATATTGATTCCTCGATTATTTTGTTTCCGTTATTTCTTGAGTTGTACTATATTTCAATTTTCTATCTTATCCTAATGCATGATTTGACGACAAGTGGTATCGTTTTGTAAAGTACTCTACAAGAGATAAAATTCCTGTTAAATAAATAATCAATATTTTTGGTATTGAATGTTTCAAGAAAAATACACAACTAGCGTTATATAGGTTAAGAAAAGGCATTTTAAATCATGGAAAATGCAAACAAAAATCCACCTTCATTCAGCTGTGGTTGGATCCCACCCAGAGAGAGATACAAAATCTCTTCGTCATGGGTCAAAAGCTTTACATCTGCATCGCTTAATTTGAAATTGGTGCTTTCGAAATTTTCCCGGATTCTAGCCTCACTAGTGGATTTGTCTATTGGGATAAATCCTTTTTGCAAAGACCAATTGACTAAAATTTGTGCAGGAGATTTGCCATACCCTTGGCTACTAGCAACAAATTTGGGTCTTCTAGCTTTTTTCCCCTTGTTAAAGGAGAATAAGCTTCCATTTTAATTCCTTCAGACTCGCAATAACCAACGACATCCTTATGAGTCAATCATGGATGTAATTCAACTGGGTTAATAGCTGGTTTGATATTAATTCCACTTGCAGACAATTCTTTGAGATGTCTTACCGCATAGTTCGAAACCCCAATAGATCTCATGATTGTTGGATTTGACATTTTATACTGCTCCAAAGCACGGTATGCCCCAACTCGATCGGCAGGACTATCAGCAATTGGGGCATGAATCAAAAGCAAATCAATGTATCCAAGCAAAGGCTTAATAATTTCCAAACGCTTAGTAATATTTATGCTTGCCTTTTCATAACTCATACTAGTCATGGCAACTTTAGTCGTATAAAAAACATCAGATCTTTTGTTGTTAACTGGATCTTCATCAAGCCATTTCTTGATACCTCTGGCAGATTCGAGTTCATTTTCGTAATACTCGGCGCTATGGATATGACGATAACCTATCTTTATAGCATTATACACCAGATTAACAGTTTCTTCAGGATCAACTAGAAATATTCCAAAACCAACTCGAGAAATGTAATTACCATCGTTGAGTTTCACAGGTGCCATAGAAAGAGACATTTTTTTTTCCTTTAAGTGACTTTTTTTTTTTATTATTATTATTATTATTATCATTTTTCTACTTCTTCCTCTTCTTCTTCTAAGGGAATATTAATAATATTCAGAAAAGAAAAAATTACATTCTTACACTCTGTGGTAGTGTTGCTATGTAAGAAAAAGAAAAAGAATAGTTTACAGGCTAGCCTTAATGTTGGCGACAGAGTATTCGAAATGCATTAAAAAGAAATGAAATGACCTCTAAAAAATATAATAGCTGAAACATACCATTAATATATTCATCTGCGAGCATTTCACGAGATAGTATCAAAGGCAATAGATGGGAACTTGTCACTGTTTTTTTGGTACCATGAAAGCAAATATGATGAAAGAAGAAAATACTTACAGAATTGCTTATGAAAAAAAAAACGGGCAAAATATTGGAATTGTTGGCTTGTGAATAATTTGGGTCGTTTTTTCACCACCTCAAGAATCTTTTCTATCTTCCTGGATTACTTTACTAGCTTTGATTAGAACGCTCTAACGGTAAAGCCAAGGCCCTCAAAGAAACTTTGGGGGAGTGAAAAACTAGTGTCAGTGTTTTTATCTAGATCATCAGTCAATGATATTCTATTCTTTCCCGTAAATCTTCAGAACTGTAGAACTAATCTATGTAATGCTAACAATTTCATCACTGATTATTTTATTGCAATGAAAAAACACTGATATATATTGGTAATCAAACTCTATCTTTCTATCAGAAGAAATTTAAAAAAAAATGGTAGCTTTCAAATGCCACCCCCTTATGCATTTGTCGAGTTGATCGGAGAATGAAAGGATATGTGAATTTTTAACTGCCTTCAAAATTTAAAATATTCTGGAATTAAAGCTATTTACGAACCCAAAATGAATAGGAAGCCTTAAAAGCTATGGCATTTGTTTGGTAGAAACTGATAGATATGTAGTTCTGCCATATAGCTTGTTATCTATACTGTCCCACATAAATTAACAATGCTGAATGATAACATAATTATCGACTTCGGAATTTTTTGAATCCATTTATTAATTAGTTCTCTGTTGGCCACTCGCTTATGGCACTGTGCATCTCGCTTATTGCCTTGCCTAATGGGAAATGCCTTATAAGCTAAATCATGTTGTTATCCATGATTCTTTTAGCACCTCGCTTACGGTAATTTACATCTCGCTTATCGCCTTGTGTATCGTCGCTGCCCTAAATCCTAAATTATGTGGTTTATCCTTGATTCTGTTTTATTCAAGTCTCAAAATTACATAAATTATTTCAAGAATTAACGGCAAAGCTCATCAACTAGCTTCTCTTCTACTTGAAGGGTACTGAACTAGTAGGACCCTTTTGCTGATATTTTTATGGAAGTTATGCGCCCAGCAGGCGGTTTTTCTGTAACATGCATGAACCCAATTGTGATATTATTTTCTGTTTTTTAACCTATATTCAGCTAGTTGTGCCTTATTAAAAGATGAAAAAAAATAATGCTATTGAAGTAAAAAAAATTAGAATATAAAATATCATTCGTTTCAAAATTTCAACATCATATATGGCATTTCGTTGATATCCGGAATCAAAGTTTCTGTTGCCGCTTCGCTAAAGCACAAAAGCACGTATTGCAATTTCTTTCGCTTAGATATCACAGGACAAACTTAACTTTCTGCTGATGCCTCACGTTTTTGATTTTGCAACAATTGCCAATGGCTCTGGTGACAAATTACCTATCGCCAAATCTGTACACTTAATCCTGTAAAGAACTCTTTTTATACTTCCAAAGTGTTTGAATAACAAAACAGTTGTACAAAAAGTAAAAGAAAAAATCTATGGTGATTGATTCTGTAGTATTTTTTGATACATTGTTATTGGAATATCATCTTCATCATTTTTAAAGCATCGCCCAGAATTGGAGACCGTCAATGCCACTTCTAAGGCGCTGGGCACGTGATTGGCGCGCTGTTTCTTTTTAATGTCTTAATATTGCAATATTCGTGTGTGACTAAAATAGATATTATAATTCAGCATACAAAGAGCTATTCACGACATTGACCTTTGCCTTGAGCAACACGTTGCTCTTTCTAAGTTGATATGCTGCCAAAAAAGGATGTACAAATATGCCACGTGCATTATGTCTAACTTTTTCTTAGGGGCGTGCGTGGAACACAACAAATAGAAGGCTAAAGAAATATTTCCTTCACAGTTGTGGTGATTTTTATAACGCGGATGTAGGTTAGCACTTTAAGAACGGGAAAAATATGATCATAACTTTTACTGTGGTAATAATCTCAGTCACATTTTGATTAACGTTTCGTAAATCGGCTAAATATTAAATGATCCTCGTTTTAGAAATGTATCATAGACACAGCGGCATTTCAAGTGGGACAGGTCGCAGCTCTGGAATCCTTAGATTGTGATTCAAATTTTGGGTCGTGCCAAATTTTGTGACACAGAATCCTACCACAGATGAAACAAACAAAAAAAAAGGGCGCATAGGAAAGAACCGTTGTTATCGTGGATACAGAACCGTTGTTATCGCAGATATGCAGACAAACTATAGGACTCCTTGCCAAGCGGCCATATCTCATAGTCCATTTCTAGAAAAGATGTTTGTGGCAAAATCATGAATATTCATTTAATCCATGATCTTTCTTTCTCTCTTCTTTATTTGAGCGAATCGATATTATATTTTTATTTCTTTGGCTTCTCCGTATCTTTTTTTTTCTCTGTTTTTGCTTATAGCGGTCCCATCGCCCAGAGTTCTAGGCCCTTGGTAATGTAGCTTGCAAAGCTTGCAGTAGTTTTGACGCATTGCCAATAAAAATGGGTCAAGCTAGAGATAACTCCAATCTCTTTGTAGCAACCAGCTCAAAGCGTTAGATATATAATAACACTCAACCTCTCGAAGCCAGCTAAATTTTCAACAATCTAATCGGGTATTATATATTTATGCAAATAACATAATATTCTAAAGTGCCTGTTAGTTCAATTTTGCAAGTGGAAACCGATTTTTGATCGCATCTTAAAACTGGCGATCCAAGAAGTCGGATTATTTCCCGTTTTTTTTTTTTTCTTTTTTTTCTCTTCATTTCGTACATGTCCCAGCTTTGAAACAAGCAGATTTGAACTAGTTATGGGCTTTATCAAAACTAGAATTATCTTATTTTTGTTGTTAGGAATAATACATGGGGTGTTAAGAGGGTGTTATCTTTTGGTTCATTTTGTAAGTAGTAAAAGCCATCTCCACTCTAACGGTTCCAGCTAAATATAACATCTCCCCTGGAAATTGAATTTACTTCCTTTTTAGATTAGTCGCCGATTCTTGAAAAGTTATCGGGGGGCTATTTATAACCTGATCCTACTCTTTCTTAATCTTTGATGTTCCGAATGTAACTTTAGTGTATTAGACAGCCTTCAGCTTTATAACCGCAGATGTACATGCCTCGTAACTAAAATACATCTTCAAATTTATCCTGAAATCTGAAGCTTTCGAGAAAAAAATATTAAAAAGGAAACAGCCTTTCTTTTCTTGATTTTTGGGTTATTTGCCATATCTGGGACATACCATGATCATGGTATTATTCACAGTATACATTCTTCCAATATGAAGAGAGGTATCGCTTTACCTTTTATGTATTGAGCCATTAAACTCATTTTAATGATATATTTTAACCCACTGAGCATGAAAAGCCCCCTGATTTGCTTTCTTCTACTATTTATTGTCTCACACAAGTATTGTTATTTGCGTTTTTTGAAGTTCACACCAAAAACCACAAAGCACTATGCAAAGACACTAAAAACCAAATAATGGGTCCCTAAAATGACCTGATCTCGACCAAAACATTAAATTGTAGAAAGTCTTCCAGAAATCTCAGATTATGTGACGACAGCAATGTTTCAAAATACTAAAAATAGTGCGCTCTTATTGCTATTATGTGCTGAGAGTTGCTACTGAGTGTAGCTATTGGAAAGCTAGTAATATTATTAATTGGGAAAAAACAATAAAGTAAAAACAAAGACAGTGTCACACGAAGCTCAACCCGTGTCTTTTTATGTACAAAAAGCTGTTATCCTAATTATTCATGTATATCTTATCCTGTCATATTTTTTTGACACAATTGACACATTTAGTGCTCTTGAAAAATATGATGAGCAATGTACACATAGTGCTTTGAAAAATGTAGTTAACACTCAGGCTTTCTAATATTATATTTCAATATTAATTGCAATTTCTTGTGTATATAAATTTATTATTCCGCCTTTACGGAAATTATTGAATTGAGGTCATTATTACTGTTCGCAGTCCTTCTTGATCAACTTTCAAAAGAGTACACTATTAGTCATTTTTATTCTAAAGTACTGGAAACAAATTTATACTGAGCACGAAGCATTCTTTAGACAAAAAGATTTCAAAAATACATGTGTAATAAATGATTAATTGTACATTGTACATGATCAACTAGTTTAATTGAGTTTGTGTGATGTTGAGAAGATTAAGATTGTGAATGAATAAACCCCCATGTTCCGCTCCCCACAAAAAAAAAAAAAATGAAAACATTAGAGCTGTTCGTAGGTACTTTGTTTACACTTAGGCAACAAACAAACTAGAATAAGTACAAATATCATTGAATTAAAGAGATTAGTATAGTTTCTATATATTCGTGATATCAAGGCCCTCCAGTTCCCCCTAGCCCTGGCTCGTCTAAGAGATTTTTCAAAGGACCACTATGCTCCATCAACAATTTCTCGAAAAGTTCAAGATTTAACGTCTCCTTCTTCCTTCAAACGTTGAATATTCACATATACATATTCTCAAAGTTATTTTTTGAGGCTTGTATTATTATCATTATTTGAAAAATAAAAAATTGGACTCTTGTTTTTTGCCAAAACGTGGTTTAATTAGGGGTTAATTTGTCATGGTGAAATTTGCAGATCGCAACTGTACAATAAATAGTCACGTATAAAACTTAATTGCGAGAAATAATTAAAGCAAAATCCTCTTTTTTTTTCGTCAGTGCACTATTTATCAATTTTTCTAGTGAGAAATTTATTTATTTGTTGTTATTTTTTATTTCTCACTTGAATGTCTGAGGCTTCTGTCCAGACGCTAGTGATAAAGAGAGATTACAACATGTTATACCCTGTTCTATGCATATGATCAACACAGTAGATACAATGCAAATTGTATCCGATCTTCAGGACTTTTTCAGTAATTTATTTTGTAACACTCTGTTTGAAAAATAACAATGCATTTTGTCACTAGTAATTTTTTTTTTCTCAAGATAATTATCGTTTTGCAAAATCTTTTTGAAATATTTGAGACAAATATAAATAGCTATTGTTCGCAGAGAGGCAATGAAAAAAAATTTTTCTCATAACCTTAATTAGAATAATCAATCCTTCTAATTTTTGATATTAATAGTACAGCAGCATGTTATTGTATTTTCTTGTTTATAATCAAATGATGGCCAAGTCTTTAAACTGGGCCTAATGAACCAGTTCTTGAAATCAATTACCAGGCTGGCGAAACCATCATATTAAGAAATATTGCAACGCTTGGATCCTAATCATATTTTCTAGTTCCATTTTACTTTTTTGCTTTTGCTATTGAAGACTATTTTTTATTCTTCAATACATATTACCTTAGATAGACAAGCTGGAAATGCAGTAATAATTAGCAGACATGTCAGTGAACGCTTCACGATATTCTTCAAGGCGCTCAAATAATAGGGTGATTTACATAGAAACCAATTTTGTAGTTGAGGCGGGCTAGCTGACGTTTTTTTTTCGCGAATTATTATGTTTAATTAATCTAATTACCATGCTTATGTCACCGTTTGCTTTTGAAGAATGTAAAGAAGCTCTTTGTTACCAAGCGCTTCTTGTAAGGAATGCTATTAGTTATAAAATATCATCAGGGAAGCTCAATATTGATTTACTCAATTATCATTTTACTATTATTGTTATTTTCTTTGGTTTGCTTTTGTTTTTAATCAACGAGGTGATCCAATATCATATATGGTACTATAGTCGCATTTTCAAAGAGCAATAATGCATATTTGACAAAAGCAAAATTTTAGTGTCGGATTGATACCACCCCCACAACTTCTTGCATAGTAAACCTCAAAGATAAAAAATAACATATTATACGACCTATTACCTATCTGTTTGTTTCCTTTCTATTACTTTTTTTTTTTACTCATGTTTACATGATGAAGAAACTCAATTGGGATTCATTTTTGTTAGTCACTCAAAGCACTGAACTTATTTGACATTGACAGAACCTCAAAGAGGATCTGTATAGTTAATTAAACTATCCTTGCGGACGGCTATTATACCAATTTATCTTAGAAACCTGACAGATTGCTTAGTTTGAAACTACGGTAAGGATTTTTTTTTTCTTTCTATTGTATTTTAAATCTCTCAATCATCATTAAACTATAATGAAATTAGGTGCTGATCATTAAAAATTTCTCTTAGAGATAGATCATTGGAGGGGTGGTCCTGAAAGATGCTTTTTCCAGTAATTAATTTAATAATTTGGATAGTGAAGAAAAATATCCGCAGAAATGGATTTTCCTTTTACAATGAAATCATTACTTTCAATGTTCTTATAATAGTTATTGTTTTATGGTCTTGAAGTAAAATAGGGGCATTTGAACATGAGATAACCAAATTCTCATGGAAGGATATATATCGGGATATCTCATTAAGAGATTTTTTTTTAAAAAAAAAAATGGGCCTTTCAAAAAGTGACAATATTCTGAACCAAAAATTAAGTGTGTGGTAGTATGTTTACACAATAATCAAGCACATTTATTGAAGATCTCTTCAATGTGTGTGGATGATTCTGAAATATTGATTTAAATTTTAGGATGTAAAGAAAGCAAATTGTGGTTATATTTTTAAAGATCATCGTATAATATGTGATAGAACTCTTAGTATTCACATTTTCCTGAGGTAGATCCATAAAACCCTTAATGTTTTTAGCGATTTTCAACCACTCTCTGTAACTCACGAAGCACGGTGGGTCAAGGATAGAGCTATCCTCACCATCATTTACTTCGACACCTCAATTTTGTTGATACCAAGGATGTAATGTTGCTATGTGATAATGTGTGTACGATGTTACAGGACAATTATTTTGTGCAAGTTTGACGTGGATTGACTGGGTACCTTGGCAAGTATCCATAAAAAAAGAAAAAGAAAGCATAGATGGCTGACAATTATCCGGCATTGTTATGAGGTACAAGAAAAAAGACAGGGAAAAAAGAAACTAACATACAAAAGGTGGTTGGAATATTGGATATAAAATGAGTTAGCAAGTCATAACTCTCTTAGTTTTCAGATTTATGACGTCTTTGGAGGCTATTACCATGTCATTTGTAAATATTGCTAGGAGTATCCTTTATTATCACAGTGATCCATCAGAAAATTTGTATAATAACAGGGGTCATGTCGTCAAAATTCCAATAGTAAGGATTCTACACTGACCTTCTTTGAACAACTGTCTATTCAAGGAAACAGAGTGGGTCACAATAGGTGTGATGACAGATTAAATTAGATAAATTAGTAACTGGAATTCGTGAGTATTTTAAGGTCTAAGTGAGGTTTGGGATATATTAATTGATCTTGTTGGTGGTATTAGCAATAACAAGTGCACAATAGTGCATGGAAGGATGCTGGCCGATAACTTTTTTTTTGTGTGTTCCTGGTGGTCTTTTGTTTAATGGTGATGATGAAATGAGCAATACAAACTTCCAAACGTAAGAAACTGTACATATTATATTTTACAAATAAGTGTGTTGGCCATGCCTTTGACTCTGATAGAATCGATATTTTGTGGGACACCACGAGTCTATGTCCCCCGTGGGTCACAGCAGCTGCGCGGCCCTCTCCGCCGTTGGCTATTTTAACGTTCAAGTGGTTTGGGTATTGTGCAGATAATTGCGTCTGTATACATGGATGTGCTTGTCACACTAGACATACAGTTTGGTGCATCAGTATGCTTGGCCTCCTTATCAATTGATCGGCATCGTCCCTTTATTTAAATAACTGGACATTCCCAGATTTATTGTCACTCGGTGTTATGGTTCATCAGCCTTCCCAATCTGTACTATAGCAAAATTATTTATAACCATACTCATATCCCATCATTCATTCAGTTTATCTCCTCATTCAATAGGTGGTATATATTTTTCACATATCTATCACACTGTGCCACGTAACATAACCACCTCCTCAAGTTTGAATCCATATACCAAAGAAGTCTGTTAAATATGGAACATATTCTTCAAGTCCCAGCCACCGTTTCCAGGTCAAACAAGAGTCAGATATTATACCTGAATAGTGTATGCCATCCTGCTCATAACTATTTGGCCAAAAACGATACCATCTCTTGTGATCAAATTATTAATTCCTACAAATATGTTGACCATTCAATCAAGAACCAAGAAGTCAGCTTGAGAGCCCTCCAATTCAATGATGATTGCTTGTCTTTTAACAACTACTCCAACGACTCTAACTGCCAATTCAATCATGTGGCGATCACTGCAAAGTTCTTGAGTAACGAAAGATTTGTTCGCAAACAAGTTATGAAAGATTACATCGTCAACAAGCATGAATTCAACAACAACTTCAACTATAACGATGATAATTTTCTCCACTTGGCAAGCTCAAATATTACCAACTATTCCCCAAGTGGAGATGACTCTAAGTTCAAAAACTCCAACTTGTACAATCCTGAGAGAACCCGTTACATTATGTGGAGAAAATGGAGCCAAAAATCTTTGAACTTGCCATTAGCTTCCGTCGGTACCACTAAAGAAGTTCTAAAGCCGGTGAGCAATGATTTGTATCATCAATTAGTGAGAAGTAAATGCAATCAAACTGATCACCATAATCAAAGATTTATTGTTTTCACTTTCCCTGACCAGCATCACACTTGTTTTGGGCCTTTGGTTAATAGTGCCGATTTGACAAAGTTCAACATCAATCAACAAATTAAATATTCCTACTCTTTGTCTAAGGATGAAGTTTTAAATATTATTGATGTTGAAGGTTCTGATGTTTTAACCGCCACAACATCTTACGATGACTCTATTTGCTCATCTATGAATTCAGCATTCACTGCTGCTTCTAACTCTTCGTCTGTACAGACTTCCATTATTGAACTCTCCAACAACAAATCTTCGGCCTCTCTTTATTTGAAATCACGTAAATCTTCTCTCAAGTCAAGATCTTTATCTATCAATGAGTCCACTACTTTGCAATCAGCTATTTCCATTCTCCTTTCTTATAATGAAGATCTTTCAAAAATTCATGTCTTACACTCTGCTCTTCCAAGGGAAGCTAAACAAGTGATGTTCAATACTGGTGTTGAGATTGCTAAATGCCTACCAGAACTCGATTCCGAAAGGTATTCTGATGCACTTGATAAATGTCGTCAATTGGAAGCTCAATACCATAAATCAACCCAAATTCTCAATGAAAAATGGCAAAAGACCCTCGAACGTCACGAAGAGCGCAGTGTTCAGTTGTCTTATTGGCATGAAATGGACTTGTATTCGGACGACCAATATCGCCAAATGATGGTGCAATTGGACTCTGAATTGTCAAAGCAAAAACAATCCACCAATTCTCAATGCACAAAATACAAGAAACTTCACTCCAGAAATCGTCGTGAATTGAATGCTTTGAAGTCTGGCCATAAAGTCTTACAGTGTCCTAAGATGGGTGCTTTAATACATGGTCATTTTGTCGATGATTTAGAAGAAAAAAGGTTAGAAAGATTGTTAAATTGGGAAGATGTTAGAGCCAAGTACAATCCAAGACTTGAGAAGAGTTCTGTGTTAAGAAACATTATTGCTGATGATGATTTCGAAATTTATTACAGAGGACTATACGAGTGCTACGGTTTCGATAATGAAGAGTCGTATTAGATTTTGTCGTTTATTCTTTATGTTCTGCCACTTTGAACGACTAAAAGTTATATTCTATTGTTTTTACCACTACCTGTTTGATTGCGTCTGCTCCTGATTTTGTTCAATTCTATCAAAGGTTTAGTACTATATTATTATTATGGAGAATGAAAATGACCTTTTTCATTCGTTCCTTGTCTTTTTTTTTCATGGGTTTTCATTTCTTGGGTACCAATTTATTAATGGGAGATCATTATATTGGTGTTTTTTTTATTTTTCTGGCTTATTTTTTTATCTCGCGTCTGGTGTTTATGTATTCAGGTTTTGTTATCGTTTTACTCTCGTTATTTTTGTTTTGTTGTGGGAAGTTTATTGTTTTAATATTTAATTTACTGCTGTTTCTGACGTCCCAAGCTTCAACAAGCTGTCTGTGTCAGATGTTATATTATAGCCTGTCTGGTGCCTGAACTATACTATTATTTCATTATACTATAAATCCACTGGCTGCTAACTAACCACCTTTTGTGGTTGGTGTATTACTAATTACCCTTATCCTATATTATTGCTAACTTATATTATATTTATTATTACTATTACTATGAATTCATTTTTGTAAATATTGACGCTTGAGCGACTCACATTGTTGAATGGATTACTTTTTTTCAATTGTTATTTGAAAGTTGCTTACCAGCCTTCAAATATTCAAAATATAGCGTTTTCTAGGATGTACACACAACGCGTTAGGATTATCACCACTCCCTATATATATATATATTCATACAATAATAATATAGGGATTATTTGTTTGTAGTACATATACATATCCTGGAAGAGCAATGTTGAGTATTTCTTTCCTGTATGTTGTCAGTTTCTATTTTAAAAAAGATCGCCATACTCTTGTAAGCAAAAATTAGCATTTGGCTAAGTATTTGCATGATTTTTACCCAGGATGGGATTTTTTTAGACGACTCATATTGAAAATAAGATTGAGTTGAATGGTTTCAGAACATATATTAGAAATTATATTATAAGTGTCCACTAATTAAGTATCATGTTTGGCATACGCTCATTCGAAATGGTCCATAATCGAATTTTGGAGAAACGAAGTAACCCAGCACTTGAATTCCAAAATTAAGGTGAGACGAAGAAGTTATTCAAGAATATCTTCTTGCGTATTTCTTTTCTGACTCGTTAATATACAATTCATTCATCGTATTTCTTTTCTGACTCGTTAATATACAATTCATTCATCGTATTTCTTTTTTTTTTAGATGTGAATAAACTGGGTGTGGGATGACCCATGCTATCCGGCTACGCCTGCGTTTTAGTGATTATGAAACAACCCTGAACCTGAAGCAAGCCAGGATTATCGGTCCGATCTGCAATCAATATTTTGACTTAGGAGCTAATAATATTATGGTATTTGTACTATTTGATATTAAATACGTTGCGTTCATCTGTTACGTTACTCCCAGACCGACTATAACTGGGTCATGTTTTGGTTTCACAAATTTTTGTTCTGTATTATTAAACCATCCTCCTCCTTTGCTATATATTTTTTTACTGCCTCTCTTTATTATTATCCTACTTCTTCTTTTTATCCAATTTGCATAATAAATTTGGATCTCCGAGGAAGCTAGCCCCGAGTATTAGCGTGGGCCCATAAAATTGGGTGATGAGATGACTTGCATGTGATTTTTATGTTTGTCTGTGTGGACTGGGGTCCATTTAAAGCCCATTTTTACTATACTATATATTGAAAGGGATTCAGGTAATTTATACTATATATATATATATAATGTTTTATGAAATGATGTCCAAGTAACCAAGCAAACCATATGTCAGCCTGTCAGCCTGTCAGCCCAGAGCCGTCTTTCAAGATGAGGAAATAAATACGTTGACAGATACTGAGTGAAGCACCGAGATGCCACACACTTTTAGATGGGGAAGTTTCTGTGGTTCCTTATTTCTTACTTTTATTTCTTGCTATATATAGGTACGGATATGCTTCACCAGATAATGTCCCAAATATCAGCATTATTACTATCGTCACAATTAACGTTTCAACGTTGGCGAAAAGGTGCATGGCTTTTTTTTTTCTTTTTTTTTTCTATGGTACCCAAGTGACGTTGATAACATCATGATTGCTGTTAGTGCCGTTTCAGCGTTAGGGTCTTCGCTATTTCTTAACCTGTATGGATAAGTTGACTCTCCTTAGATTTGCAAACAAGCAGGTCCAAAATTGGCACCAGTATCTGTTTCTTTTTTTTCTATTAGAGTACAACGGCACACCGATCAAGATTGTGGGCAATCGAAAGCCTATCGTCACTTTCACGCATAAGGTGGTACATTAGCTGTCTGTTTCTTGAATAATTTTTTACAAATATGCGCACTGTTTTACTGTGTAATACTTACAGTAGTAGTGGTAGTGGTGGTGGTGGTAGTGGTAGTAGTGTATATTAGCGACTCGAAGATGTTCTAATGACAAGTATTTTACTTGTACTGATAAGCTGCCGCATACGAGTCAAAAAGAACAATAGATTGGTATTTCCCCGATGAATGATCAAATGAATGATCAAATCGTTACCGGTTTCCAGATTTTATTTTGTGGTCCAAAACAATCTAGGAAGAGATTTTCTCAATTGTGATTTTTTTTGGAACACCAGATGTGTGGAGGTTAAAGAATGCAGTGAGCGACCGCTGGACAAGACTGCATCTCAAATCATGTGTGACCTTTACCATAATCGCAGACAATTGATGTAGAAGAAATACGAATAATATGTTATAAATGAAAGATGGTCACCTACATGTTCATTTAAGACTGTTGACATCAATTGTGATGTTCGATTTCAGCAAGTGGGTCATAATTAAACTAGAAAAAGGCGATACTTCTTCTGAAATAACAACACGTATAAATAAACAGAGCGAAACAAAAAAAAACTGAAGCATCTTCAAAAGTTTAAATGCTGGATAGAAGCAAATTCACTAAATGATATTCCATAAAATTCCTGCAAAACAGTTACCAGAATCAGATAATTTACACTTTTACACGACTACGTCATGAGCTGCCTGGCACGGGTAAGTGTAATCACCAAGCGAGTCAATATTGAGCCGTGATTGATGCCATGTCCTATTATTTGCATAAATTGATTCATTTGCAGCACATGATAGATTTATTGTATATTTCAGATGTTCTCTCCAGTAAACTGAGATTGATATACAAGTACGCTCTAGGGTGACACCTAGCATCTAAATTCATCCACAAGGTCCTGTCATATCTACATCAAATCATTTCCAGATATGAAATCTGTATAAAAAAAAAAAAAAAAAATAATAATAATAGAATAAGATCAATTTTAGGGAATAGCAAAAAATTATAATAGATAATATTAAAAATACCATTACAAAATCCGTGATCGATACCTGACATATGAAAAACGAAACAATAGAAATCAAAGAAACGTGGGTAAAAACCATATGGCCATTGTGATATTGTAATACTATAGAGAAGATCTCAGAAGTTTTAATAACATTCAAACGTTCTTATAGTAAGATTTCAACTAAAGTAATAAAGGATAAAGAGCAAACTATTATTATATATGAACCATATAGAGTTTATATTGTTCAGAAAAAACTTATTATCTACTTTTATGTTTTACCCTCTGTTTTCATCATTACATATTTTTGACTTTTACTGCGTCTTGACACGCTACTGTTATTCTATTTGTTATATAATAAGGGTTAAACATCCTTATTTTTTGATCTTTATATATATTACATAAACCGTTAATTTTCTTATAAATACAATACTATAAATTACAACTATTAAAATCATTACTATGTGAAACCAGATAAACGTATGTTGGTAGTGCGCCAAATCAAATCAAATCAAATTGTATATTAACGGGTTACAGAGGTTCTAAATAACAGGCAAGCCGGGAATTTTATGCTGATCTTTCTAATAGGTAAGTAAAATACTATAACTTTCTCACAACATCACACTCCTTGCTTTAAGGATTAATCACATCACCAGTAAAAAACTCAACAATCAAAAAATTAAGGAAAAAAGGCGCAATGTGAAAATATCATATGAAGTCGTTAGTGAATTACCCATCACTAGGAGCTTCATGAACTGAGATGGAGGTCTTTGTTAGAGGGTTTTGGCACTATATCTCAAATACTAAGAATTTTCGATGTAGTGCGCCTAGTAATTGAATCTGTTTTATCTTTATTGGACAAAAAAAATGCTAATGTTTTAAACTGGCCTCGCTAGCACAATCGGTAGTGCATTCGACTCTTAATAGTAAGTGTCATCGAAAGGTTGCGGGTTCGAGCCCCGCGTGGGGCTTTCAACTATATTTTGATATAAGTTTAGTAATTTTTTTCGGTTTTTTTAATTGATTCTTATATTTACAAAATATCAAATATTGTTTTTTGTTGTAGTACGAAAATCTTTTATTCTGAATTTACAAGCTGGTTTGGACAGGAGGAATATTTTTAATGGAAGAAAACTTACTTCTATTGCCGATTAATTTGATAATGAGTTCTCAGATTTTTCAATGCGCGCTGAAGATGATCGCTGAATATGATCGGAGTCAAAATAATTAGCTCAGTTTTATCAGATTTATCTAATAAGTCTTTATATTATTCATCGGGAGTTTTTGATTCCTAGAGTATCATGAATAAAATTAGGTATGATATACTAGACTCAGTGCATCCCAATCTGCTTTAGTATTTTGTACTGTATCTGTTAAGAACAGCATAATTTGGAGAATAACAAGAAAATTTTTCATGAGAGTGTTCAAGCTTGCAAGGCTTAATCCCAAACTTTTTGAATTTGAGTTTGACATGAAATTTCACCTCAATCTCGTCTGTTGCCCTTCTAGTCTTTTCTTTCGGTACGACTTCTTCCATTGAAATGCAGAAGTTTTTCCGATTTGAGGTTGACTATTTTCCTCTTCTTTAATTTTTTTTTCATTTTTTTTTCATAAATTACGGCTATATTCATTTTGAAATATCTATAGTGGCGTTACTTCTAAAAAGCTAATCGCTTGTATGAAGCATAATTGAACTCCCCGTGTATATATATATATATACAAGAGATGAAAAATCAGCAGTAAATTGGATCTTACGTGTATACTATACTTACTGTACAACAATAGTAATAGGTGCGAGATCGTAAACCTAAAATTGGTACTTTTTTTTTTCTTTCCAATAATATGACGAGTTGTGGACATATTAATATTACAGACAAAAATAAATGAACAAATACAAGAGCAGTATCTACATTAGCTGCTGCCGTATACTTGATTTCATCTGAGTTCTGCGTTTAACAAACAAGATATAGTCTGAAAGGATTTGTGGAGAATCTGAGGTAACGACATCGATGCCAGTTATAATTTTTTCTCTCTTTCATCACATGCTTTCAGTTGGTGCTGGCCTACAGATCTTGTTAAGAGCCAGAATAGATGATTCACAGATATTCACTCATAACCTAAAATTAACCGCCTATTGTGGGGGCTTTTCAATGTAACTGCGGTCAGAAAAAAAAAAACGATCTTTCCGATGATCAACGACAAGATGTTTAAGAATCCCAGAACCGAATTATTAATCCCAATAACGCTAACAGTTTTGGTGTTGTAATATAAATCTGCCTTAATTATTATTCTATTGTCTTTCGAAGTGTGATTACACAAGCAAAATTCTGCTACTATAATCCCTATTATTTTATTTTTTAAGCCGAGAAAAAAAATAAGGCTCTTTTGCGGGCTCAACAATTGTAGAGTACAGTTTTTCATTCCGGTTTGTATATGTGGTGGTATTTTAGTAAAACCACGCCGCTATTTTGATGCAATATCCTTTCCTTTTTTAAAAGATTTTTTTTCTTTCTTTCCCCCTAATTAGTTGTTTCAGATACTGCTCATGTTGATTAGTTTTGTGTCTGCTAGCCGAGATAACCATGGAAGTTCTTTTTTTTTTTTGAGTTCTTGCATATGTCATCATTATTATTGCATTGAATAATTTAATTAGATAATTTTTTGCTGATCATCTAGGAATTAATGCCCAAATGGAAAAGAATTTTCTATTTTTGCTATATTGAAGACGTTGCTTGTCTCAGAGACTTGCCTCCACCATTATTTTTGGTTATCATATTGATAGTTCTTCAACCCGCTTTTGGCTTAAGATAGTATCCATTCTATTATCGTCGATCGAGAAGATGGAAGCTACTGGGATAATATCAGTGTAATTGTTGATTGGATATTGTATGCAAATATATCAGAAATCATCAATATACTGTTGGGAACTGAAACTTCCTAATAAAATGAGCTGCTCAATAGTCAATTCGCCATCGTTAACAACATAAAAAATAAATTAACTAATTACTATCATAATTATGATGCTGATAATAATAATAATAATAATGATAACAATAACAATAATAATAATGCGAAAAACAGCAAAATCAAATTTGAAAAATCAAATGCAAAAAGACAGATATAAAGATAGATTACTGTATAATGTAAATAACAGAAATTGCAAGTCAGAGTGGTTAATATGAATTCTCTTTTCGAAGCAACTAATAGAGAATAAATATGCCACGGAATTAACCTCCATATCTTAAAACCGAAAATTTTTAAAATCAACAAACAGAATATTGACTAAACTAACATTCTAATAATTTCATTTTCCCATATCCATTCTCTATCCATTATGTATACTACTATTCGTCTAAGAGTACACAATTATATTGATTTGTGTGTTTTCCTTTTTTACCACCAGTGATTATTACACAGGTTAGTTAATTTTGTAATCAAAGAGAAAGAAAAGTGGGGGTTTAATTTGCATAAGGACAGTCAATATAACAAATGAGATAACTGAGTACTTTTCTTTTTTTTTGTATAATGAATGACCAACCACAAACATCATATACATTAGAAATGATTTATAAAACTTCACTGCTAGATAGACAGCTTTACAGCCTGGCAACCATCGGAGCAGGGCTGTAGTCAACCGATGGCTGAAAAGAACCTTTGTTGTTTGCTTTGGCGCTATTTTTTTCTTTTGCTGCACCGTGTTGTGAGAGACAAAAAGACCCACCCTTACTATCTCAGCAGTGTAACGATACGATATCTTAGTAATAGCAATAACATTCGTATACACAATGTTTTTGCACAGGCTGGTATGATATTTCCAATCAATAGTAGGCGTTATGGAATCTCTCTGAGTACAATTGCTCGAGATATTGACAGTTTAGACATACTGGGATCGACAGCATTTGACTGCAGCTTTGACAACAGCAGACTGCATTCATCAGCCACATACGGAACACAGTGTTGCAAGTGAACAGATAGAAAAAAAAAAAAAAAAACAAAAAAAAGTCAAAACCTGGCTTAAAATAACAAGAATAGTCATGCTAGTTGAGGAAAAGAGTGGTAAGGGTAAGAAGAAATACATAACCTACACACAGTAGAGATAGTAAAGAGAGTGATACTAGGTGTAATATCCTCGTGAATATTTCAATGCAGCCCCTTGAATATCTTGAAATTCATCACATTAATTAATAGATAATTAAAGTTACCTTAATTAATTAATAATTATCTGTCTGTTATTAATGGCCGATCCTTGCTGCTGTCTAACCACCTCATCTTTATTCAGATAAAAAAAGCTAAAAAATCCTAATTAACGACATTTTATATTCTTGAAAAAAAAAATATTATTAGTGACTTTAAATACCTTGGAATTTTCCCTCCTCATATTCCGAAGCCCTTCATATTATCCAAACTGAATTTTCAACGTTGCTTAGCACCAATATCAAAAATACACATATATACTTTACTATAATATTATTACTCACAACCATACATGCAATCCAATATGTCTCCACATTTCACACCTAAAGCTGCTTGGAGAATTAAGCCAACTAAGAAGCCAAACAACCAAAAACGTCAAGTGGAAAAATTCCAACAGTTGAAATTCACAAATAAACCAGACTGGAAAGTTTTAAAAAAATCAAGAAGCTCAGCAGCCAAAAAGAATCAGTTCTTATTTGTTGACTTGTCTCCAAAAGCCGATACTTCGAATAAAGAAAATAAATTACAGTCGCCATGTACTTTGAACAACGGCTATGAATTCAACCCATATCCTTCACCTACAGAGTCCAGATTTGCTGACTCTCCTCCTAAATGCGTCTTTCAGAATGGTCAAGTCGTCCTCAGTTCTTCTTTTTCTCCTATCCAAAATCATCAGGTGAACTGCTCATTCGAAGACGAAGATGAATGCCATGATGCTAAAGCAGCCTTTGCCAAAATCGTTGGTAAATCTTTAAGTTCCTTAGAATCATCAATAAACTCTCCGGTGATTAAAAAAAGATCGAAGAGCACTGACAATCTTTCATACGGTAGCAGGATCTCTAAACCAATGGTCAGAAACTCAAAGTCCTTTTCTAGTGCTTCATTTGACCTTTCCAGGTTGGTTTTGCCTTCATCAACTCCTAATAGATCTTCTTCCAAAGAAAACACAACCTTTCTGGAAACGCCTTGCACTCCATTGCCTGCCAATACTTTAGGTGCTACTGCACAGTTTGCTGCTGCCGGTGTTAACCATCCTGCTGCTCGCAACTCGTCTTTATTATCTTCAATTTCTGTTGGATCTCCAATACAGCTTGGAGATTTCAAACAATTTACAGACACTACTTTTGCAGATGTTGGTGGCCTTAAGACTCCTACAAGCTCACCTGCTGCCGCTCAACAAATTGATTTTCAACACCAGCCTCAATTTGAAAACCAGCTGTTCGAGGAAACTCCTATAACTACTTCGATGATTGCTCCAAATACTTCCTTTGAGTTCAATAACTTCTCTAATGCCATTGGCAACAGTATGATGGGGGTTCCAATGACAACCACCCCTATCACTGGGATTGGTTCGATCATGGGAAGTCCATCTAAAGTGAGATCGGAAATCTTGAATTTCAGTGACGACTTTTTCCAATTACAAATGGGTCAAATTGGCCAAAAGATTGGCGATTTGGGATTCGATTTGTTTGGATATGGGTTTTAGTGATGAACATTAAATTTACCATTGAAGTGGAGGGGTTGTTTCACTGTTATGTCTTCTTTCTTGTTTATTTTTTTGGATTTGGTTTTGGCTCTATGTTTTGTATCATCTATTTGTCTTTTCTAGTTTTGTTTATTGGATTTATCTTATGTTTATTCAGACGTTATGTTTTCTGTTAATTTATGCGGGTACTATTTTTACATTCTCTCTATTCTTATTCTGGGTTCTTTATTATATGATTCGTTTCTTGTTTATTACTGTTATAGTAAGCGATAATTCCGCTACCATGTATTCCTTTTCGTTAGCACATCTATGTAAAGAATTATTGCTAGGGGCAACCAAAGGCGTAAAAGTATCTTCCCAAATCTACTACTGCTTGCTGGATTTGTGTATCACCGTGCTAGGTCAACAACAGTATTCCTATTCTATATTTGCTATGTGATACCTTAAAATCAGGGATTTATATTAAATCGGTTTGCTGAGATCTATGAAGAAGATTATTAGATCTGCTTTTGAGGATTTGCCTGAAATTTATCACTATAGCGTTCTAAAGAAAAAAGCATGGTTGAATTAACTTTTCCTATTGTGTTGGGTCGGCTCCTTAGTTTTATTGCTTCTTTACTATAGTTCCTATTCTTTCCTCCTTAATAATCGTGATTATCCTGGTGCTCAAACAAAGCCACTAAAAATACGCCATCTGCATGTGAACACCTCAGGGTGTTGGAATTCAACTTCACATCCTGGTCAATGCAGGCGGAAATCCGTGCTAGAGCTCAACCTGTTAGCCTCTATTGTATAACCCCAGAGAGGACATTAAGTGGAAGAAAAGAACTCTTACTCACATTATTTTTATTCTTCTGTAGCATTTAAATCCCAAATTGATGGTATAGGCGACGAAGAAAATAAAATATTAAACAATAAAAAACAAACAAACAAACAAGAGCTACTGCAGCGAGGTAACAATTGTTGTTATCTTCAAAAAGCTTTTTCAGTTATTTGAGTCGGAAATGTCTGATGCTGATGGTCCTCAGTAACCCATTGGTATTTCCCACTAGTGCTGGAGATTTGCAAGTAGTTGCAAATAAGATTTAAATTCCACTAAATACCCCTGAATAGGGGAGGTTGGTTTTAGTTGTTGGCCGTTATAAGCTTTTTTTTTTCTTTACCTTTAGCTTGAAAATTTTCGTTTGTCACTAACGACAGTGTAATAACAGTGCTGACGTATGATTGTTACAGCGAGACTCATTATTCAGAGAAATGACATTAATTGTCATACATGGGAAAAAGTATGAAGATTTGAATTAGACAAATCGGATTTTGGGGGAAGTGTTCTCTTCAATTTTTGATTTTTTTTTTACAAGATACCAGGATGCTATTAGTATTAAATGTTATAAGGTCTCTTCTTACAAGCTGAGGGGATCTTATTTTGTAAAAGACAAGTACATCAGACAAGTTTCAGAACAATCGTATAATGCAACTGTTCACACGTGATACAGACTTTTTTGGCAAGCCTGATTGTATAACATTTTCGATTTGTTATACTTTTTCGGACCCCTGGTATATATTAATTAAGCAGAACAACAATCATCATCGATGTGGTTGACGCATTAATTTATTTTGGAATTCTAAAATAAATTATTTACACACTGCGAGATCATATGATCAATGTAATGACTATTTATAAAAATGAAAATGGCAGGTTACGATCCAGTTACCAATCTGTTGCCTATTTACCGGGGTTGGTCTGGGGAGGGGAGGTTTAAATCTCGAGCGGATCTTTCACCAAACAGCCACGAGGCGTTTTTTCCACCACGGAATTCTTTCACTTTAAAGAATTGTAGCCACGCAGAAACTGATGAAAATAATAATGTTACTGATAAATTAATTACTATTGTTTGGACATTGCTAATCATGCTGGATTATTGAGTGTCCAGTGTATTTTATTTCGCGAGTGTATCTTCTAATTAAACTGGGCGAGGGCGGAGTGAGCCAACCGAAAAGATGAGCAATCCATTATTCCCGCAAAATTGGAAATGTCCTGTTTGATGGAGCCTTTTTTTTTTTTTTACTGAAAGACTTCTACGATTGGACTGGGTATCAATTTGAAACATAGTAGCAATAGCTAACGGTATGAGTATCAATTTCGAGGCGAGCTAGGTGAAGTAATAATGCTAGAATCGGTTACTATAGTATTCGAAATCCAGATTATAATTAAGATAAGATACTTATCAGATAAGCTGTCAAAATATTAGCTGCTGTACCTTCAAGAGCTCGGAAGATGATAAATATTGCTATCTTTGTTCAGCGCCCTCGAGAGTCTGTATATTTGATTTGACGTGCTTTCGTGAAGGTGTCGTAATCTCAGGAACCGTGATTTCTGTGTACCTTCCCCCTTCGCCACCGAGTGTTGTACTCATCACTTAAGCATGTGTACATATGTGACATATGTCAAGCTTTTTTGTAGACATATCAAATATGTCAGACTCAAAGGTGCGTATCATTTTGAATTGCTTGACATTTAAATTGATAATAAGGAGATTATCGGTTACGTAAAAAGTGATTCGCTTGGGCTATCAAAACATTATAGATAAGACACGCTGCCAAAAAAGACAAGAATAAATAAAATAGCTAAAAAACAAGTAAAACAAATAAAGAAAAATTTTCAATTAAAATGACTGAAGATCAAAGTTGTTTTCCATTGAACTGGTTTATTTTTTCGTTTTTCAGCCAATAATAAATATTTGGTGCTCCACCGAATTCGGTAATCTACCCAAACAAACGACACACACTCAGAATTTTTTTTTTTTTTTTTTTTTCACCAAAAAAAAAAGAAAATTTTTTTCAATGCGCAACGCCTAGTTCAACAGTAGAAGGAGCTCTGGAGATAATTACATCAGATATATATTGATTAGTGGGAATAAACTTGAGAATATCAACATTAACGATAAGAGAATCTAATTAAATATTATCTTCAGAATCAACTGTCTATAAAATGTCTGAGCAGCCACAAATAAACCTTGATGAGTTCAATACCATCACTGAGGGACAAGGCACAATTTTGTTTCCTAAGAAAGAAAATGTGTTTTATAACCCTATTCAACAGTTCAACCGTGATCTCAGTGTTCTTGCCATCAGATCGTGGAGTGAAATGTATTTGAAAGATGTCAAAGTTAAGAATAGAAAGAAGCGCAAGAGTAGCGAAATTGACCAAACAAATGAAGTCAACAAAACAAACGATGATACCAAAAACAAGGAAGAAGTGACTCGTGAAAGCAACAATGAAAAATACGAAATTAGCACATTCAAGCCAAAAATTAACATCATTGAAGCTCTCTCTGCCACCGGTCTTCGTGCTATCCGTTATGCCAAAGAAATCCCAAACATTGGAACGGTATTGGCAAATGATTTACTTCCAGCAGCGGTCGAAAATATCGATCGTAACATCCTTCATAATGAGGTTGGTGTCTCAGTGAAGTCAGTATGTGGTGATGCCAATGCCACAATGCATGCCCATGCCAGTCAACATTTTCAGGTGGTGGACCTTGACCCTTACGGAACTGCTGCCCCATTCATTGACGCGGCAGTACAGTCTATAGATGATGGCGGGCTTTTGCTCGTCACTTGTACTGACTTATCAGTACTTGCGGGCCAAGGGTATCCAGAGAAGTGTTTTGCTTTATATGGGGGAACAAACCTTCGAAGTGATGCTACACACGAATCGGCATTGAGATTGGTGATCTCCATGGTTGCCTCTTCTGCTGCGAAATATAGAAAATCAGTGGAGCCTTTACTTTCCTTGTCTATTGATTTTTATGTTAGAGTATTCATCAGAATCAAGACTTCCCCAATTGAGGTGAAAAATTTGGCAAATAACACAATGACTTGTTACTTATGCAGCGGCTGTGGGGCATATACCACCCAACGTTTAGGTAGAGCAGTGCCTAAGGAAGATAAACCCCAAGTGGTGAAATACTCTTGGTCACAAGGACCTCCAGTGGATCGTCATTGTGAATACTGTTCTCGTATTCATCATGTTTGTGGACCAATGTGGGCTGGCGACTTACACAATGCTGAATTCTGTGATAAAATTTTACAATTGAACGAAGAGGTAAAAGAATCAGAAGTATACAAGACCCATGAACGTATCAAGGGAATGGTGACTTTGGCCAAGAATGAATTAGATGGATCTGCGCCATTTTATTTCTCACCATCAAGAGTATCTAGTATTATCAAGATCCCTTGTCCTTCAATTACCAATATTGTTGCAGGGATTGGTAACGCTGGTTATAAGGCTTCTTTGACACATGCTGCTCACGGGGCCATCAAGACAGATGCTCCTTGGGACGTTATTTGGAAAATATTTAAGGATCATGTTAAAGAAAAAGGTTTAGTGACAGAGGAGACATTAGCGAAAATGAACCAGAATACTGTCGGATACAAGCTTTTGACCAATGATAAAATCAAACCAGACTTGGAAGTGAAGTTTGACAAGAATTCAGTAGTGGAAGGGATCGAAAAGTTGAGAAAGGTGAAGATTGTCAGATACCAAATGAACCCAACCAAAAATTGGGGTCCAAAAGCGAAGCCACAATGAAAAAAAATAATTAAAGAAATAAAAAAATAATTGGGAAATAGCTCTGGATGTCTAATGGGTTTAATTTTCTTTTTTTCCATTCTTTTTTTTCTCTTCGAAGATATTTTGGTTGGAGGTTGGAGTTTACACATTTTATTTTTCTTTTCTTTTGTTATGATAGACAAGCCTAATTTTTCATCTTCCACTAGTGCTGTCACAAGTTTATATATGGGCTGACATCGTTAAAATAGTTCAACTATTACAAACTGTAATAATAAATTGTCCACATAATTTTTGAATTGCGTATGCCAAAACCAGAAAGAGATATGGATGTTGTAGCGACACGATGTTATTGCATGAATGGAGTCCAATTATCAGGCCATACGTTAATTAGAAAAACGTTTTGAGCTATTAAGAGGAGTCTATAGGGATATATTTTGCCATATCTCGAGATATTGATGATAATTGATTACTAAAAATGGTACTACAAAAATATCAATGATAGGGCACACAAAAATCACTTGCAAATGCTGAGAGTTTTGAATTAAAATCAACAGCCGGTGATATCTAATAGATAACGAAATATTACTTTCTAATTAAGAGTTACTAACACCCCATTACTGAGTTGACTAGCGTAAACTGTTAACAGATGCAGATAGTCATATAAGGTTACTGATGCTAATTGCAACTCATCAAATCTTGTTTTAATTTAATCGGCTGTTTTTTTATATCTCTTGACTTATGCAAAGATGCGACGATCTTCAATTGACACAAAACTGAAGATCCAGAAGCAAAAATTTAAAAGCAAAAATTTGAAAGCAACAATTTGAAAGCAACAATTTAAAAAGCTAAAAACTACCTGCCAAAGTGGTCTGTTAATTTTGTAAAGAAGTATACACTAGAATATTTCCTGGAGGAATTAGAACTTTATGTAAGCCATGAATGGTCTGATAATTTACTGCGCGTAAAATCGTTACTCGAAAGAATTCTCACGATACTCAACAATAGTGAACAGGGTATATTTATCAAACAAGACCACAGTATATTTATATAATATCTTTTTAAAATAGATATATAACAACTGTAAATTCCTTATTATGCGATGGCAAATAACCCGGACACACCAGGAGACTAAGCGCGCTCAGCAGGAGAAATTATTTTATGGTGAATTATTATAGCAGATTGACAGTTGATTAAATGTAAATGGCATCAAGAATCCACCTCATCATTCCCCGAATCCGATTATAGGAGAGCAGCGTATGGAAAGTGTCATTTGCTGCTGAACCTTTGCTTGCTATTGCTTTCTTTCTGAATACTAGCAATTTCCAGCAGGACTGCATCATTCTTGATCGATAATTACCATATATCTTCATCATATGGTTTCTCCTCACGATCATGACAAACGGTCAGCAGTATTGTTGACCAGTCGATGGTTTTTCGCTAAATCCGGAAAAGGATCACCAATTGCTAAGTTGGCAGTTACTGATCTTTTTGATGAACAGCCATACTTGTCAGACTTTGTTGGTAGACTTGCTTTTACCCATTTTGGCCATATTAAAGTGAAACCCAACCTTTTAGAATTGGCATTAGATAATTGGCCAGAGGATAAGACATATTATATGAAAGCCCCACAAGGAATGGCCACTGAATTTGGTCTTCCAGAATATGTGAGGTTGAACCACGTTCAACAGGGCCCCGATCTAAACTTATGCCCGGTACAATTTGGAGACAGTTTAGAGAATCTGTTGAAGAGCAAATATAAATGTCTCATTAAATCGGAGGATGACGAAACACATACTGCGCCATTAGTTTTCACCGCTATTGATAATCGGGGAGCTGTTATTGACAAAAGCCCGCTTATTCGTCAATACAATGATTTATTGGTCCCGTCAAACGAAACGAAAAATGTTAGCAAGTTATTGCGCAAAATATTCTCAATTAAAGTAAAGGAACCAAAAGATTTTCTTCAATATGAGTTAGATTATAAAGATGTCAATTCATTTCGAGTGTCACAAATTGGCAGACTCGATAAATTATTTCGTCTGCTTAAACCTCATGATCTACAATATATCAAGAATAACAAGGTTAGAACCCTTCTAACTGAGAACTACCAAACATTGCTTCATAATTCTGCGAATCTGGTCCCCCTTGCAACCTGTTCCAAAGATCTCCCACCCGATTATGTAAAAAAACTCCGGGGCAAAGTGATGTCGATAAAGGAGATGCAGGTTTTGCTTCAGGAGCTTCAGATTATAGCTAACAAAACCAGGTTTGATATCCAGTTTGCTGTTTATCTCCTCAGAAGATTTTTCCGCAATCCAACACCTTTGATACACCAACAAATCCTACAAGTCTTGACTTACCTTTGGAATACCAAGCACAGCTACCTTGATTACTATTCTCATTCGAAAAAGCATACAAAAGAATCAACTAAAATCACCTTTTACACACACACTGTCCCTATAGGGAAAAAAGGTGGTTACATAATTGGGTACCTTATCCTTTTCAATGGAAAAATTATTGACTCAAGAACTGACATAACTAAAAGCCACGAAGGCAGACCCATCAAACATCAATGGGTTGCTGATTCGCTTGCAATAACCAGAACTTTACAGAGAATCGATATGATGTATCCTCAAATTGACGCAATGTCGTTCAGAATAGAGCACATCACTGGATACCTGAGTAACGAAGGAGTAGTGGATGAGATATACACTCAAAGGTGTTACAGGACCCCGATGTTTAGACACCTTTCGCATTACACTTTACTGGGCCAGCCGTTGGTTATGGAGGTGATAAAAGAGGCGGACAATCCAGCAAGACTTTTGACATCAAGAGTGGGTGCAAAAACATCTGAAAGAATCTTGACTTCAAAAGCATTGAGTAGTGGTTTCAAATTCTCAAGTAGTCCAGTGTCATCTCCGTCTACTGGTAAAGGGGTCATCCAGCAAGACTTTGATAAGAAATTCACTAGTATTACCGAAACCCCACGTGCAAAATTCCTCATAAAAATAAGAAACCTCCCATCAAAGACCACAGAAGATATACAGACTGCAATAATACCAGAATTTACAATGCCGTTATTACCTAAAGCTGATAAGGGGAATATATATAAAAAAACAAGCAACACACTCACACGGTTTCTGTTTTACGTTAAAGCCGGTTATTATTATCGATGATGGTAACAAGAACCAAAAAAAAAAAAAGAAAAAAAGAAAATACAGTGAAAAGAACTCATGTCTTAGATAGGCATGTTACTTAATAGCAGTTACAAAACACATCCTCATGATATCACAAACCAAATTTCTGATATTTTCATTAAAATAAAAACTCTGTGTCACTTATGCTGGTTTACTTCTGATGAGAATGCATTGTTGACCAATGCAAACCTCTAGAAGTCGCAAGCTAACATGAAATCAATAACAATCATTCATTGATCTTCTCACATGGGGTTTCAACTATATGCAAAATATTGAGAGAGAGGGCGATAGAAAAAGAAGAAATAAAACGCAGAAGTAGAGGTAAATTCAATACAAAGTATGCAACTAAAACAAGTGAAAATAAATGTCTCATTATGATTATTGAATACCAAGAGGTCCTGAGGCCCCCTGGCGCTATTTGTAGTTAAGAAAACCTATATATGTGGTAATCTAAGACACCGAGTAATTACTCAATTAGAAATGCTTGATTTGTGACTTATCAACTTTCTTTAATTGACCAATCCCTGAACCTCGGATTGCTGCAAACAATGCATCTGCATTACCAGGTCCTCCTGCTGATGGGGAACCACCTCCTATTGGAGGCGCCTGCGCTGGGGGAGCTGGCGGTGGCGGTGGTGAGATAGAAGCCGATTGACCAGGTAGTGACATTGCCATAGTGTAACGGTTTTGTTGATGCATTGCTGGAGGCATAGGAGGAGCTTGAGGAGCACCAAACGATGGAGGCATAGGAGGAGCTACTGGTGGATTATTAGCAAAGCTTTTAGGAGGCATTGGAGGAAGTTGAGGAGGTATAACTGCCACAGGAGGGGCCATTGGTTGAGAGAATTGTTGCGAAGCCGCACCTACTGGTTTCCTTGACGGAGGTGGAGGAGGAGCTCCACCGGCTCTCCTACTTGGAGGAGGTGGTGGGGCATAATTAGACCTCATCGGAGGAAGAGGAGGGTTAATAATTCCTGGTGCAGTGTGTTGAACTCCAGAGTGTGCTGGAGGAAGCGCTGGTGGGGCCTGAGGAGTCCGTGGTGGAGCTTGAGGGGCCTGAGGAAGAGTTCGTGGTGCAGCTACAGGCGCTGGAGGAAGGGTACGTAGAGCTGGAGGAACACTCCGCACAGGAGCCGGAGGAAGTGAAGGGGCGGTGGAAGTACCTGTTCTGAAATTCGCAAGGCCTGAACCTCCTGCGGTTTGTGATGGCACACCAAATTGTGGGGAGTAGTTATTTGCAGGTATGGGCGTACGTGGTGGTAGCGAGGGATGCGATGGTTGTTGCTGCTGCTCTTGTTGAAGTTTCTGGACTGTGCCATAAATAGGAGTTTTAGGAGGCAATGGAGGGGAAGGTGTGTGCTGATGAGCTAAACCTTGGCCCATAAATGTTGGAGCAGGAGGAAGTCTGTATTTATGCTCATTAGCCACATGAGTAGATCCTGGGGTCTCTGGAGGTGTCTGTGATTCTTCAGTTCCAGCAGGTGGAGGTGGAGGGGGAGGTGCTTTCTTCTTTTTACCACTTGGGACCGGGCTACTTTCGTGGCTAGAGTCAGTAGTCGATTGAGAATTAGCTCTATTTTTCGATGCAGGTTGAGAGTATTGATATTTTCTAGGAATTGGAGGCTCCAAACCAACTAGTGATTGAGGGCCGTTGTTTCTAATGTACTGTTTAATGAACTCCCTGTTGTCCACAACCATCCATTCGCTGATGCCTTCTTCCGCCTCGAGCTTACTATATACATCTCTCCACTCTGGAGGAGGAGCATCAGAGTAATAGAGAATATTTTTTGCCCTTCTGACTTTTTGAATATTGTTTGGATCACTAGTGTCAATCAGGGCAAAACCTCTTGGACCTGCAGCATCAGGTTTGTTCTGTTCATCAATGATGGCTTTATTATTAGCTACCACCGCGTTTTTATTAGCAACTGTGTGTTTCGATCCATACTTTTCTTTACTTGTTACTCTTTTGAAGAAATGATTTGCTTCACTAACATCCTCGAATAATAATCCACAATTGAATTCTTCCAATTCAAACGAATGGAAAAACGTTCTATCTTTATTATATTGGAAGTTTACCGGTAACTCTTGATCCCAAAGTATCCCTCGCTGGCCCTGAATATCAATCAATTTAATAAAAAATGTCTTTCCTACTAAATCATCGACTAACACAACAGCACCCGACAATCCAGTGTCCTTGTAGTTTTCAGGATCAGGAAAGGCAATATAAAGTTTGGCCACAGTGGCATCGATAATTTTATTTGATCCCTTCGGGATTGCTCTTTTGATCTTTTCGTTGTCCTCCTTGCTTAATACACCCATGATCTGAGGGTTCTGGTTTGCTATATGATGTTATTGTTCAGGTTTGCGAGACGTAACTCTGGCGCTCCCTTTTTTCTTTGATGGGTGGCCACTGGAAGGTTACGCGGCGATGGTGCGTGCTCCTGATCTACACTCCAAGAATAGGCAGAGGTTTTATATCAATTCACTTTAAATTCTATTCAGATTTAAAGAACAAAAAAAAAAAATGGAAAAAAAATATAACGAGGAAATCACTATTTAGACAGATAGCAGTTTAATAGCAAAAGTTAAACAATTACAAAAAAAAAAATGGGGAATAATAATATAAGAGAAGAAAGTACGACAAAATTGCGTTTGCCTATTCAAAAGCTAAGGTTCATCAACCAGCACTTTGATTAATTTTTTAAAGAGTCTTCCTTAAGACTAACAATTCTGTTCAAAATAAATTTGTCAGAGGTACTATCTTTATCAAGAGCAAAATAACCAACTCTCATACCTTGGAATCTCACACTTTCAATACTGTCAGATTTTTCCTTGACGGTGAACTCATCGTTTTCACGAGGAACATTGTAAGGAGAGTTTTTCTTAATTTCCAAAAAGTTTGGTTCGATTATGGTGTTGGTCAAAACAACTTCAGATTCCGAATTAATGTCGTTCAAGAAGCCGCCTTCAGCAGTCAAAGGATTTTCAGACTTGAACAACGCATTCTGAATTCTAGTTTCAGCAATCTTAAGTGGTGAATTGTGTTTTGGAGAGTTTGCAAGCCAGTGAATATAGGTCTTTGGCTTGCCAAAAGAGGCAGAATATTGGGCGTAAATCTTAGTGACCTTACCGTTGGAATCTTCATCAACTCTGGTGACCTTTATTGGGTGTGGCACTTTAATTAACCCAACTGGTTGATCCATAGTTAATCTGAAAAATTCCTTGGAGTCGGTCTTCTTGAAGTCCTCTCTCTCAATAAATATGGATTTAGTAAATGGAACCTTTCTATCTTTTCCGAAATAGCTGGAGTTCTTACCATTCTTGTATGGGATTTCGATAAATTCTTCGTAATCGTCATCCAAGTTTTCTAACACCACTTCAATAGGGTCCAAAATGAAGAACAATCTCGGAGTGACGTCTTCCAAGTATTTTCTGATAGCAGATTCAAATCTAACTAGTTGAATATTAGAGTCATTTCTAGTAACCCCCAAAGTGGAGATAAACGACAAGATAGCTCCTGGTGGAATACCACGTCTTTTGATAGCTTCCAAAGTAAACAATCTTGGGTCATCCCAGCCTCTGACATATTTGTCCTCAACCAATTTGGCAATCTTTCTCTTGGACATAATAGTACCTGTGAGGTTTAATCTACCGTATTCTCTTTGAGCAGGTCTAAAGACATGCAAAGTATCACACAACCATTCATAACTTTCTCTAGATAAGTAGAATTCAGTGGTACACAAAGAGTGAGTAATATTTTCCATACTATCAACCAAACAATGAGTGAAGTCATAAGTTGGATAAATCTTCCATTTGTCTCCGGTTCTTGGGTGAGGTTTGTCAATGACTCTATAAGCAATCAAATCCCACATTTGAGGACTGTTAGAACCCAACAAGTTTTGTTTCATTCTAAGAGTGGCTTCACCAGGCTTGTATTTGCCATCTCTCATAGCTCTGAATTTTTTCAAGTTTTCTTCAACTGTTTGAGCAGCCCATGGTGATTCGTGTCTTTCACCACCAGCCTTACCATTGACAATACCTCTTTGTGCCTGAATTTCTTCAGGAGTACAGTGATCAACATAAGCTTTACCAACTTGAATCAATTTTTCAGCCAATTCATATAATTGGTCAAAATAATCTGAAGAATAAGTGATCTTCCAAGGTTCAAAACCTAACCATTCAATCATGTTTTTAATAGATGTGAAATAAACATCTTCCTCCTTAGCAGGGTTGGTATCGTCATAACGCAAATAGCATACACCATTGTTGTATTTGGCAAAGCCAAAGTTAACAAAAATTGCCTTGGAGTGTCCGATATGTAAAAATCCATTTGGTTCAGGTGGGAATCTGGTGTGCACCATACCCTTTGTGACCTTCAAGTGTTCAGCCATTAATTCCGGATAAGCTTGAGGGTTTTCACCAACTTTGTGTAATGCTCCCAAAAAACCTTCAGTGAACATAGATCTCTTTTCAGTAGCCACCGCTTGCTTTGCGGCATTACCACCAGCAGGAGCCTTCTTTTTCTTCGATTCTTTCTTCACCACGTCTCTTTCATCTTTTGGACCAATCATAACCAATATTTGTTCATCGATAATTGGCTTAAAGAAAGCAGGATTAGCCCACTTCAAACTTGGCAAGTTTCTAACTTCGTTCATCAAAGTTTGAATATGCTTGTATCTCTTAGTTTCAATTTCTTCTTTGTGAGCGGTCATGTATTCAATGATGACTTTCTTGACATCGTCTTTAGTGAGCTCGATACCAACACCTGAATTCTCGTTTAATCCTTCAACGGTAGCATTTTCCTTTTCAGTTTTAACATAGTTCAATGCGGCAGTCAATTGGACATTAGATTTGAGTCTGCCATCAACGATACCATCAGTGATCAAGGATAAGTTCACCACTGGAGAAGCAGCATCACTATTTTTAGTAGAGGAGGCCAATGAATGTAAAAGGACCAACTTAGCATTGTCTAGTGGATCTTGGGAACGAAGGGTGCCAATGACTTGATTCAAAGCATTGGAAACCTTCTTGTTTTTCACAATTTCCTTAACTTTTACCTCAGCAAAACCTATTTTAGAAAAGGCTTCAGTGAGATTATCAACGTCAGACATTTTTCTTTTAATTGTATTGTATATTATATCTAAATAATTCACAGTATCACTGAATCTCTTCAGCTAGAATTTTTTTTTTTTTCAACAACAAATTGCATGATAACAAGATATAAAATAAGTATGTTACCCGGCTTTAACATTTTACCAAATTTCTGATTACATATATTCTGTTGTATTACACAATACAAATGTAAGAAATTAATTATTTAACTAGAGGATGTAAAATATGATAGTTAATTCTTTTTTTTTTAATTTCTCTGTTATAGAATTTGAAAAGGTATCAATACTGTGGATATGAATTTCAGAATAAATAGAGGGAAGATGTGAGGCGACATACCGATTTTTTCATTCTGGCTCGCCATCTTCTCTTGAGAAGACCGCTTTTAAACTCTCTGTTTATCAAAAGTTACCTGCCAGGAAATTATAGCTTCAAAATCTCCAAGATTGCAAGAATGGAAAAGATTTGCGATGGAGATGTTTTGTGATTCATATCCCATCAAGGGGTGATAACTATGATACCAAGCAACATGCATACCGTAAACCAGAGAAAAATATCTACAAAAAGGTGCTGCCGGCGTGAGTCGAACACGCGACCAGCATTCTACGCTGGAGATGATGGGTAAATATCCTGACTCATCCGCCTTTACCGCTCGGCCACAACAGCAGGGGTGCCACACCCTATATAAAGAGCCACTTCCTGGCCGCTGGAACTCCTAGCTTGTATAACCACTATATTTTCTTATTATTCCCAGAATACCATTCGGCCAGAAAGTTTCTCCGTGTGTTTTAGGGCAGTCGGTTGCCATTTGCTCCGTCAGAACCCCCGATTTTGGGAAGACGAGGGGAGTGGCAACCTGAGGGATGCATGATCTGCATGATGAGTGACACACGTGATATTGGTGATGATGACATAAAATTGCACATGATATAGTATTATGGAATATCACAGAGACTAATTGTTTTGAAGTGTCAAAACGAGAATGTGTTTTTCCCTATCAGCTGGGATGGACGTGAGAAATATATATCAAGACTATGGGAAGATATCTAGCTTCAAATATTATGAGATTAAGGATAAAATTGGTTTCCGTTTTCTTTGCATAGCTTAATGAATTTCAATGTTACGATAAAATTACAGCTCATATTTTAATAGCCATTGAAGATTATAGATATTATAGTACATTGGTATTATACAATTATTGCCCATTTAAAAAAGTATTTAAGCCCTTCTTCTCCTTTTCCACACTCATCAATCAAGACCTTCGCACCCCTAATGAACTTCCTTGAAAACCTTGAGTCTTTAAAATTCAATTTTATAAGATAACATTTTTCTGCTTTCTTTAGATGAATATTATACAACACCGTTAAATACATTGTATCAGTCACCTCCCTGAAATTCAACAATAGGTGTGTTGGTTCTTTTTCTGCTTGTAAATATTTGTACTCGCCGTATTCCTTCTCCCAGCTATCAACAACATTATATACTCTGAAAGTAAGTTCTGAATTAGAAGGTGGTTCCTCAAAGCTTTTTCTGATCGTACTAAAATGAGTAGGAATCATCTTCTTCTTTAAACTAACCTTGTCAGGGTCATTAGCACCAACATTGACAATATGAATGTTCTGAACAAATGCACTAACATTAACACTAGATTTGACTTCTTTTTGAATATTTTGAGTAGGTCCCTCATTTGGCTGTTTCCCAAATAGATTGGCCACCCCAGTGATTTTAAATGCATGGTTGCTAAGATCACCTTGCCGCTGAGTTCTATCATAATTCACCGTATAATTTTTATCATTTTCTTGCGACCCACTTGCTGTAGTTTCTGAGTTTGCTTTTGTTTCCCCGGAAGCAAGATCTATATTGATACTGGAGATTTCTTTTACTATTGTTGCATGACCAGCGCTTTCCGAAGCCAACAATAACTCTGGCTCTGCTGAAGCAGGCTTGTCCATCCCCTTACCCAAATCATCTCGGATTTTTTTCATCTTTTCTGGCATAGTACTATTATTTTTATAACCAAGCCCTTTAAAGGAGAGGCGCCTTGTCAGTGCATCATTGATCTTATTATTCGTCGCGGCTTCATGGTTCGCCTTCTTTTCACCGCGCGTGAAACCTTTAGATAAACTGGATATTTTTATCTTGGGTGACACGACAATTTTTGCAATTTTATCCGTACTTAAACCCATTCTAGTATTCTCATGCTCTTGTATTTTGCTTTTGTCCCATTCTCGGAGAATAGTAAGGCCCAGTCTTTGTTGATGTTTAACAGATCTCAATCTATCACTGAGATGTCCATTTCTATTTTCCAAACCAGAGTTCCTGATCCTACCTTCCTCTCTACTGTCATTTTTTTTCGAAATTCTGCTTAGCTTATTCAATCTTCGTAGTCGTTCACTCATCTCCCTTATTATTTAATTGTCCAAGTCATTACTTTGTCTAATTGAAATGGAATCCGATATTTTGGCGCGTTTATTTTTCTAATGCTTTTTTTTAGTACCGGGTGTAGCACCCTTATAATATATATCTTGTATACTGGATGGACCCTTGTAAAATATGACATCTTTTACATTCAAACTCTGTTTAATTAGTAAATGTTCATTTTTATTTACAATATATTATACAGAAAATTAATATTCGTCAGCGCCATCGTCTCCATCAGATTTGATGTCACAAATTGCATCGATTGCCCATGAAATCTTCTTCTTGTACTTATTTTTCACAAAACTAGAATTCTTGACTCTTTTGCGTAAGAATAACTGAATCCCTTTGATTAACACTGGATCAGAAATCTTATCAAATCTTTGATTGAGAATCTTGTCATTGAAGGAATCAGATTTTTTTTTGTTGCCGCCTTCTGGTTCACTCTTCTTGATAACCTCTTCAAAGAAGGTAATAAAAGTGATCTCCAAGAATAGCCTTGTATCCTCATTTATAGTCAAGAAATTCACGACACGGAACAAATTCAATTGTAACGATCCAATTCCCATGAGAAAGCCAAAGAATTTGGCAGAGTTGATCAATTTTTGAAGCTTGATATCTTCTGATTCGACTTCGTTGTCAATACTGCTCTTTATTTGTGACTTGAAAACATTACCATCATCACTGTCGGAGTCCCCATCATCATCATCGCCATTCAATTCTTTAATCAAGTTCCATAAGCAAAATTGCAAAGTTTTTCTGTAGAGATGCTCACTGCATAACTTCCCAGCCAATAATGCATAAAACTTATTGAATCCAGGTTCTAGTTGTTGACAATGCAATAAAATACTTGGGATATCCTTTTGTTGCGAACGCTTAAGTTGTAACTTGTCCAATTTTGTGAATGCATCAATGTAATCGTCACTAGACATTATACTGATAAAAATGGCTCTTCTAATATCATTGTTCATACGATATGCTCTAGCCAATTCGAGCCAGTTTGGTTCACTGGAATCAATTATATCATCGATAGCTTCAGCATTAAGATTCTCAAAAATCGTTTCATCATCCACTGTGCCACTTGTCATTTGCTCACTCTTGGACTCTGGCTCTCTGCCTTTCCATGCAGAACCAGTGAGCCACCATTTACCTCTCTTGTCAATATTGTGAAGATCATCAAGGGTGACGGTCAATGGGTCATGGTTCTTATTATTGTTTATGCTTCCTAAAAACTTTTTCATTTTGATTATCAACTGATAGTTATTCTCAGTAACTTCGTTTCTTCTTTTATTCATTTTATTGTTTTTTAAGTCCTCAATAGATTCGATTAAAAATTCCATTCTTGGCGTTAATTTTTTACCCTTAGTGTTTTCATACATCATCAACACAATTTCTTTCAAGGCTGACGGATCATCCGACCTAAGCTGACTGCCAGTATTGTTAATCATTCTTAACAATAATTCTGAATTATATTCATTAAAGTTGCCAATAAGTACCTTGATGATGTCATAGATTAAGTTGCAATTAACCACCTGCAAAGTGTAGCAGAATGTTAACAAAGATAACAAATTACTTGATTCCTTCTTTTTGTTTTCCAAGTTAGACTCATAATACTTTTCATAGTTTTCCACCAAAGATTGGATAAAATGCACCAAGAATTCGGTACCTTGCAATCTATACATGGCCGCCACTAATGCAGCATGCAAAACCACAAAACTATCCAACAATTTTGTTTGCAAGTAAATACTTTCAAGAATAGTTTTTGTTAAAGTTTCATTAACCAAATGACGAGAGTTGTCAAAATAAAGACTGTTGATTTCATTGGCAATAACCAAGATATTCACTTCAGACAACTTGTTCAATTGACCCTTAATAGCTCTTTGAATCTTAAGTCTTTCTTGCTCGTCTTCACTGAGTTGAAGTTTTCTCAATGCTGGAGGGATATACTTCTTTGGTTTTTCTTCAATTGCCAGAGTTGGTGCAACATATGGATTCTCTTTGATCTTTGGTTCCTCCGGAATGTCATCATCGTCTTCGCCAGACTCATCATCATACTCTCCTTCATCTTCACCACCGTCCTCACCAGCACCGTAATCATTCATGAAATCTAACCCATCAAATAATCCACCAATAAAATCATCGTCGTCAGCCTTCGATAATTTCATATCTTTCAACCCCAATTTCTTGGCATAAAACTTCATCTCTTCTTCATCTCTCCTCAAATCATCTTGCAAAAATGCTGGGATTGATAACTTCTTCTCCTTTTTGGATTTTTCCTTTTTAGGTTCAGGCTTCTTTGTTGCACTGTTAACGCCCATTTTTGCCTTCTTCAAAGCTACAAAAACTTCTTCCGCAGTTTGTGGTTGATCTGGACCCTCAAGGTCACTCATTTCATCACTATCGCCTGAGAAGTCGGAAAAATCATCATCATAGTCCTCCTGCTTGTGATTTTTTCCTCCTAATTCTTCCATTATTTCTTTAGCTGTCTTAGTTTTGGTTTCTTTTTTAGGTTGTTCACTTTTCTTTGTGCTTTTTTTGCCTGTTTCCACATTTCCCATTTTTGCTCTTTTCAAAGCTGCAAACACTTCCTCAGCAGTTTGCGGCTGATCAGGGCCTTCAAGGTCGCTCATTTCATCACTGTCGCCTGAAAAATCAGAGAAATCTTCTTCCTCCTCTTCAACATTATCATTCTTCCCATTCAACTCTTCCATTATTTCCTTTGCAGTCTTGGCCTTGGCCTTGGTTTTTGCTTTTGGTGGTTCTGGTGCCTGTTTCTTAGGTGGTTTCGATGATTTGTTCATTTTGGCTCTTTGTAATGCTGCAAATACTTCCGATGGAGTCTGTGGTTGGTCTGGACCTTCAAGATCACTCATCTCGTCGCTATCCCCCGAGAAATCGGAAAAATCCTCATCCCCGTGTTTATCCTGGTTGAATCCATTTAATTCTTCCATGATTTCCTTAGAGGTCTTTGGCCTTTCCTTCTTCGCATTTGGAGGATTCTCATCTAAATCACTATCCTCATCGCCCATATCTTCTTCATCGAAAAAATCCAGCTTCTTGTACGCAGGCTTCACACTTTTTGTGGTGTTCAATGATTCATCAAATACTACGGATTTCTTTTTTGATGCAGAACTATCTCTGAACGATGATTTAAGTGATGTTTCCTTGTTTTTTAAACTTGATGTTAGTTTTGGCTTCGATTTTTCTTCTTCCTTAGAGGTCGACAGTACCTTACTATGATTTTGCTTTTGTTTTTTGAGTGTTCTTTTCTCTTTTCTAAGATCTCTTCGGGAAGCTTTTCTCTTGTTCAATCCATTTTTGAATTTTCTGTCAGGTAAACCACCGGCATCTGAAGATTGTTAGTTAGTCTTTGTACTTATATTTCATCAAGATATTGCCATCAGCATATCACCATCATGTAAATACATACCTTCCTTGGAACGAATTTCATCCAATAGGACACCTGGTAATCTAATACCATGCTTCTCCTTCATATTCCTAAGATAAATTCCTCTTTATTGATGTTATTCAATGTGTATTATGAAAGATCCATACAAGTAGTAAACTGTAGAGAAACAAAAAAAAAATTTTTCTTCCTCATCACATTTCCACGTGATAGTTTTTATTTATTGGGAATTACAAGGCTTACTTACTTTTTTGAAAGCGGTCTCAAAACTCATACGGAGACACTATTCTCTTAATGCTTTCCCTCTGTTTCAAACTTTATAACAAACAATCATTTTTACCCATTAGCTGATTGTTTTTTCTTCAATTTCGTGGTTGACTGTTATTTTCTATGCAAGCGATTCCCTATAAAAGCAACATTGAATGGATAGAGGCACGTGTCTCAGGCTACTCCAATACAGATATTTTTTTTTCTTGTAATAGTGACAAATTTCGTTCAACATGACTGAAAAACAAATCACCTCTTAAGAAAATAACGACTTGTCTTTGAAGATTGAGGAACAATGAGCTTCCTATTATGGCTCTCTACCCTTCCGATTATAAGCTATGTCTTGGAGCTTATTAAACATATTTTAATCAGATCCTTGAGAACAGGTAATCTACCCAACCATATTGCATTCATCATGGACGGTAATAGAAGATATGCCAAGCAGCATAAACTCCCTGTCAGCCAAGGTCATAACATGGGATCTGAATCACTAGCCTCTATATTGGAGCTTTGCTATAAATTGAATATTCAGGCAGTATCCATTTATGCATTTTCCATAGAAAATTTCAACAGATCTAAATCAGAGGTGAACTATCTTATGGATTTGATCCAAAAAAAGTTGTCACAAATACTGGAACATGGTGATTTGGTAGACAAATTTGGCATTAAGATTATCTTTTCTGGAAATAAATCGTTTCTACCAAAAGATGTTTATGATACGTTCAAAGAAACGGAAGAGCGAACAAAGAATAATGGGAATGTCATACTAAATATTTGTTTCCCATATACAGCTAGAGATGATATAACTAGGTCTATCAAGAAGATAGTAAGTGATGTGAAACAGGATAAGCTTGAAGTTGAAGAAATCAGAGAAGAGACTGTCTCTAACAATTTAGACACTAAGAGCCTACCACCTCTTGATTTCATGATGAGAACTAGTGGTGTTAGGAGATTAAGTGATTATCTATTGTGGGAGATTACTGATAATGATGCGGAATTAGAACTCCTAGACATTTACTGGCCAGAACTTAACCAATTGATTTTGACATGGTCTATATTTAAATGGTCATTTAGGAAAACCTCACTCAACGATTTCTTCAAACAAGACAAAGCTAAAATTGAGTGATGAAATCCTACACTTTTCAAAAAGCATAAATATTATATTAAAAGTCACAATTACATCCATACACTGATACAATCAGATCAAACCCAAATTCTTGGTTATATTTATCTAATAATGCATATTATTTTTTTTCCTTTTTTATTGTTCTTTAATTTGGACACAGTACATGTTTCTTTCTGTGTAAAACCTCCTCTCAATATTATTTATTTTCTAGAGATTCAATTCTTTCAATTCTTCTACTAATTTTTGATAGTATTACAAAAAAACACTGGTTATGCATGAAATCTCTGCGTCACATATTACACAAAAGCGTTGTTTTTGTGTCTTTGTCAATTACAGAGAGTATTTTTATCAGAGTATTCGCCTAGTAGCATGTATTTGTTTTGTTTCTTTTCCCTTTGTCATTTTATTCTTCAAAAAGATATTTCTTCATTATTACAAAAGTCAAACCATTGATAAGGCCTTTCTTTACATCAAACTTGGAATAGCATAGATAGCATCCATACCAAATGACCGGTTTCCAAAGACATTTTTTATTGAGTCTTTTAGCATTAGGAGCTTTAGCTGACAAAGCTCCTGCTATTGATGATAATCCAAAAAATGTTGTTGCTGTTGCCCATTTTCCGCAAGCCGGTGAATTCAAAGAGATAATTGGTTCCATGAAATTCTTCTCAACAAACGGAACTGTAAAAGTCCACTGGGATGTTACCAAGTTGCCAAAGGAGAAAGGTCCTTTCCTTTATCACATTCACGAATTCCCAGTCAATGAAAAACAAAGCTGTGAGATTGCTGGTTACCATTTCAATCCATACAAAGCTCCAGCTGAATGTGCTGTCTTTAATGATGATAGTTTATGCCAAGTTGGTGATTTGAGTGGTAAGCATGGTCGGATTGATACTACCTGTTTTGAAGGCTCCTATTATGATCCTTATCTTTCCTTGAAACCTGGTGACCCATCATATATCGTCGGTAAATCTGTTGTCCTTCATTTCAGTGATCAGAAGAAGATTGCTTGCGCAAATATTGTTGTTTCACCAGAGTCTGTTAAGGACGCTGATTTGGAGTCCAAGAGAAATGTCTTGCATAATAATGACTTAGTGGAGGCTAAAATCCCTGGATGGAAGCCAGCCAATAAAGAAGAGGCAAAGGTGATTGAAGAATCTCACAAAGAATGGCTCAAGAAGCATAAGCCTATGCAGAAATACAGCGTTGAAGATGAAGATGAATTTATAAGTGAAAATTTGGTTCTAGCTGCTGCTGTTGCTGAAACAGTGGAGGATGAACAAGATTCTGCTCCTACTGAATCGATCGAGGAAGGAGATTTCGAATTCAAGGAGCCTACTGAATCTTTGACATACACAAACGAACCTTTTGTTTCTGATGGCCCTGAAGATCACTTTGAAGAGGAAGATCACGATACAGATTTCGGCTCTCTAACCGAGACCACTGATTGGGAAAACAATGCTACTGACAACATTTTGAGCGGTTTCGGATTCTTAGTTAGTGGCCTCGCTGGCTTTCTTGGATTTTTGATCTAATGCAATCTTTAAGATTACATTTATTTTTTCATTTCTAGATTATTTATATATTCATTCAATAGAATGGTATCTGCTCATATATGTTCAAGATTAAGTAAGATTATATTTTATGCTATTGAGGATATCTTGTTTTTTAAAATATTGATGAATTGTTCTTTCAAATCACTATTTACCTCCAACTGGGTTGTTTGATTCAAGAACTTTTCCAATGCATTCTTAGAGTCTATTGAGAATTTCTGTAGGTAGTGGGCAGCAAAAATAAAGCCTTTGGTTTGTATAAAACTACTAACAATAGCTTCACAAGCATCAGCGCTAATCGGGAAATTGTGTTGCTGTACTCTAACTGTGATGTTTTGTAGTTTCTCAGCAGTTTTGGCCAACTTTGCAGCCTTCTTGAGCAAAAAGGATGAACAGTGGAGGTAGATTGAATTTTTAGTTTCTTCATTTGGTACTTGATCGATAAATACTAATAAACTTTGCAATTCTTCCAAATTAGATGAATGTGAAGCTAGAGCTTTAATAATTTTATAGTTAGCGCTTCTCAACAATAGATTTTTCAAGCCGGCCAAATACTTATAACATCTCTGATCAAGGCATGATTTCACAACATATTCTGTGAAACTTGATTCTGTTGGCAAGAATTGGTTTTTCAACAAGATGTTCAAGTAAATCTGTGCTTTCTTTAAATCATATAACTTGGTATGAACTGAAAATAATTGGCTGAGCAAGTTCATGGAGTACCCGGAGTGGAATCCTTGAGAGGCGTTTGCAAGAACATCGACGAGTTCCGAAAATGCTTTAATGACGGCCTTAGATTGTTTGATTGGCCATTGTCTGTAGACTTTTTGGATTTTCGTTGATAATTCGCTGACAAATAAACTTGAATAATATGTTGATATTGCGACTGAATGGGCGCTAGCCTGGTCTTGCAAGAGGTTTTTAGATAAGGATATCAATGCAATCACCGTGTTGTATTCCGCAGGAGAGCTTCTGATCAACTGTAAAGCATTCTGATTGATCTTATCCGATGTTATATTTAACTTCAAATCCTTGAGTAAAAACTGTTGGAACTGTTCAACGGTGACCGCAGGCCCAATCTTTTGATAGAATTCAGAAATCGCTTGTTTACTTTCTTCATTCACAAGGGTCTCCCCAACTACCACCACATCATCATCAGTCAATCTTCTTGATGTTTCAATATTTTGGAATTCTGAGCTCTCGTTAACTCCCCTCATCCAGTTAATTTTGTTGGTGGTATTACTAGTGAATCTCAAAGGTTTGATCTCGTATTTCCCAACAAATACGTTCTCAAACTTACCTTGTTCCGACCGTACCGGTACCTTGAGCCCCATAGGGAATCTTTCTGAGCTCATTGCATTGACAACCATCTCAACATCACTAATTTTAAGATAAGGGTGTACTATATCCAATGGTTTTGGTACTTTGGCATTATTGAATAGGTTTTGAGGGGAGGTTTTGTATACCAAAGGTATTTTAGAGTTTGCTATATTCTTAAGGTCTCCAAATATCTGCTTGGATTTCGACATTTTTGTTTTAAGTCTTTCCTTTAGATTATTCAGAACTTGTTTCTTGAAAAAAAGGTCAAATTCCTGGAAATTTTCAAGATTCACCAGCATCCATCAATAGTTGATCACATGACCTCTTTTTTTTTTTTCTCTCGCTCTCTCTCTCTCTAACTCTCTCTCTTAGATTGATTTACAGCCATATTCCTAACAAAACGAGATGATCTCCTCTATATTTCATTGGTTGTTGCTAGGGACTGCTTAAACAATACCAGTCAAAAAAAGGCTAAGTGCGAATAATAGACTCCTAGGTAGAGGCGGTATTGACCCACGCTAATGGTGCCTGCCCCAAGAAAAAAAAATTGTCAGCTCATCGACGGGTAAGAGCTGTCGGTATAGATTTTTCTTATAACCTGAGAGATATAACAGTAAAAAGAAAAAAAAAATCACCTTTGTACTGAATAAAAGATATATAAGATCAAGAAAATCATAGAACTAACAATATGAGTGAACTTGCGGAGAGTAATAATCATATTGTGCAGCTGTTAGATGGAGAAAAGAAAAAGAAGAAAAGAAAAAGAAAGAAGAGTAAGAATGCCAATATCCCAGTGGTAGAAGATAAATTGGAAGATCCAGAACCTTTGGCGCAGAATAAGAAAACAAAATTCGATAATGTCAATGTCAAAGCCGAAGAAGAGTTTGTTGAGCCATCTGTGGTTACGAATACGCCACTTAAAGAAGACACCACTGCTGAAGCTAAGTTGGAGAATCAAAAAGTGAGCCCAAAACCAAAGAATCAGAAAAGACCAAGAAGTATCAACAAGGAAAGAAAAGACACCAAAAATGTTAGCTACTTTACAGATGATGAGGACGAAGATGTGAATCAAGAAATCGGACCTACTGATTGGAAGTCTTTGCAAAATAGAGCCGATAAATTACTTGAGATTAGAAAGACTTTGCCAGTTTATAAAAGCAAAGATAAGCACATGGAACATCTTATCAAGAATAAGGTCACCGTTCTTATTGGTGAAACTGGTTCTGGTAAGTCTACACAAATTCCACAATTCTTGATTCCACATAATAAAAAGGCCATAGCAGTTACCCAACCAAGAAGAGTTGCTGCTATTAATTTGGCGACCAGAGTTGCTGAAGAATATGGAAGTAAAATTGGTGATAAAGTTGGTTATTCTGTCAGATTCGACAATAAATCTCACAAAAATACTAAACTAAAATATTTGACAGATGGTATGTTACTCAGAGAGTTGATGATGAAAAGTGACTTGTCCCAATATTCCACCATCATTATTGATGAAGCGCATGAAAGAACCATCCTTACAGATTTATTAATGGGTTTCTTGAAGGAATTGTTACTCAAAAGACAAGAAGATAAAGATTTCAAAATCATTATTATGTCTGCTACTTTGGATGCTGAGAAATTTTCTCATTTCTTTAATGATTGTGAGATCTTGTATGTTGAAGGTAAAATGTATCCTGTGGAGCGTTTTTACTTAGACACGAAATCCGAAGATATCATTGATACAACCATTAATACCGTCATACAAATCAATCAGGGAGAAGAAGAAGGTGATGTTCTTGTATTCTTAGCTGGTCAAGAAGAAATTGACAAAGCCTGCTCGGCATTGCAAATGTTCTCACCATTACTCCCAAAGGAGGCTCCAATAATTGTTCCCTTACCATTATACGCAGCATTACCACCAGCTCAGCAAATGAAAGTTTTCCAACCGGTGAAAAAGAACCAGAGAAAAATCATCTTGGCCACCAATATTGCTGAAACATCTCTTACTGTCCCGGGTGTTAGATATGTAATTGATAGTGGGTTAAGAAAGGTCAAGGTCTGGAGACATCAGTTAGGATTATCCACGTTGCTTACGGTTCCAATCTCTCAAGCCTCGGCCACCCAAAGATCTGGTAGAGCTGGAAGAGAAAGAAACGGTAAGGCTTTTAGACTATTCACTGAATCTGACTATCACAACTTGCCGAAGCAAACTGAACCAGAGATCATCAGAACTGATATTGCTCACTCTATCTTGATGCTCAAGAAATTGAAAGTTAAAGATATTGTAAATTGGTCGTGGATCGAACATCCGGGTCAAGACTCATTATTCTCAGCTTTGAATCAATTATATTCTCTCAAAGCACTCGATGATAATGGTGATATTACTGAGCTTGGTGAACAAATGGCGGTGTTGCCAGTGTCTCCTCACTTGAGTACGGTGTTAATCAATGCCCATAAATTGAACTGTTTGGGACCTGTAATTGATATAATTGCGTGCTTGAATGTTGAAAATTTGATTCTTAACCCTCCTTCTGATAAAAGAGATGAAATCAATGAAAAGAGAAGACAGATTTGCACCTTGGGTAACAAATATGGTGACTTACTAATGTTCAAAGAGTTACTTGATTATTTCATAGCTATAAATAGCACTGGTGATAAAAAGAAGTGGTGTAAAGAATTCTATTTCAACTTCCGGGGTTTCAAGAACGTGTTACAAATTAGAGATCAGCTCACACAGTATATGAAGTCTTTGTTTGGTGCTGATATCGAAAATAATGACGATGACAATGATTACTTTGCTCCCAGCGATGATGAAGATCTCATTAATGAAAGCGAAATGAAATCCTCAAAGAGATCTAACAATAAACCCTTGGGCATAGAATCCATATTGAAAAGTTTCCTCCAAGGGTTTGTCATGAATTCTGCCATTGGATACCCTGATAGATCTTATAGAACAGTATTCTCTGGTCAGCTCATTTCCATTCATCCATCTTCCCTTTTATTTGGGAAAAAGTGTGAAGGTATAATGTACACCGAGTTTGTTTATACCACCAAAGGTTATGCAAGAAATGTCAGCATGATTGATCCTGAATGGTTGAAGGAAATCGCCCCGCACATTCTTGGAAACAGGGAAGCTATCAATGATAATTAGAATTTCTTATTTAGCTATGTATATTATATGTAATATGTACTACTACGACTATAAATTTATAATAATAAAATATAATTGCATTCATAAATGATCGCGCACTGTACCACCATTTTGGTACTTTGGCATGAAAATTATGAGAAAAATTTCTTGTGAGAAAGTGCTAATCTTCGGAAGAGACTCAACGGAAATTAAAATAGGAAAAAATGTTAACATTAAGTAGGAATCTCCGGTTTGGTCGGAGAGACTTGTTTTATATCAGCAGAAGATTTAATTCTAGTTTTCAGATTGATGCCACCCAGCTTGAACTTGAATCAAAAGAAGAATTGATTCCCCATTTGCAGAAAAGGGGACTCATTGATTCCATCAGCAGTGATGATCTCAGAAAGTTTGCCCAAAAGACACAGTTATCTTTGTACTGTGGTGCAGACCCTACTGCAAAATCTTTGCATTTGGGTAACTTGTTGCCTTTGCTCATTCTTGTGCACTTCAACATTAGAGGACATTCAGTGGTCGGATTGGTTGGCGGTGCGACTGGTAAAGTCGGTGATCCTTCTGGTAGATCCAGTGAAAGAACGGCAATGGACTCTGAAACCAGATTGGACAATACTTCAAGAATCAAGTTTCAATTGGCAGATTTCTTGAATTCTAGTAAAGACTATGTGAAGTCTTTGGGGTTTCCGGTGCCAGATTCCTCCAAGACCGAAGTGGCTGATAATTTCGATTGGTGGAAAGGAGTTGGCTTATTGGAATTTTTGGCTAATTACGGGAAATACATCAGAGTAAACTCAATGTTGGGAAGAGAAAGCATCAAGGCAAGATTATCATCTGATGCTGGTATTGGTTTCAATGAATTTACATACCAGATCTTACAAGCCTACGATTTTTGGCATTTGTATAAAAATAACAATGTGACAGTTCAAGTAGGGGGAAATGATCAATGGGGGAATATCACTGCCGGAATTGATTTCATCTCTAGAATGAAAAGTTTCCATAGCAAGGATCTAAAGTCACTAAGCAAAGAGGAACAGGAAAAACAAAATGAATTCAAGAAACTTTTGGAAAAACCAGTATTTGGATTAACCGTTCCTTTGTTGACGACGGCATCAGGACAAAAGTTTGGGAAAAGTATGGGAAATGCTGTCTTCATTGATAAGAATGTGACCCCTTCGTTTGAGATGTACAACTATTTCATGAAGTCTCAAGATAGTGAACTTGAAAAGCTTTTGAAAATCTTTACTTTCATTCCATTGAAGCAAATTGATCAAATTCTTGAAGAGCACAGCAAAGACCCCAGCCTAAGAGTCGGTCAAAGAATCTTGGCTGATCAAATTACACGATTGATTCATGGTGAACTAGAAACCTACAATGCCTCAATAATTGCATCGATTCTTTTCCCGACACCAGAACAGCCATATCCAACAGATATCAAAACTGATCAGATTCTCAAGATTTTTGAAGATGCCAACTTGTTGAAGAAAATTTCGAAGTCAGATATCATTGACAAGAAGTTCAGTGAAGTGCTTTCAAAAGCATCAGGTTCTTCAAGAACCGAAGCCAGAAATACCGTGAAAAGTGGTGGGTTATATTTTGGTTATGATAGGGCCAGGGCTGATCCAACAGACTCTGTGCTATTGACTGAAGATTTGTTGATTGATGGTAAATTGTTATTATTGAGGGTTGGTAAAGCCAAGTACCATATTGTTGAAATTTTATGATCAAAGAACCTACTGGTCAATAGAATAGAAAAATCATGTAAATATATCAAGAAGTTAAAGACAAAAAAAATCTATTAAATGCACATAATACAGTCAGTCATCCGTAAAGTGAATAAACAAACAGGAAAGAGGAACAACAAGAGAATAACTATTCGAAGAAGATTAAGATCATAATACTCTAGTATCATGCAACAGACGTGAAAACCGACTTGGTAAGCTCAAAACAAAGAAAAACAAAAAAAGGAAAACAAAATCAGCCCAGAAAGAAAACAATATAAGTAAATCATAACACAGAACAGATACAACCCAATTGAAGCCTCTTGAAAAAAATGACAAACCAATAACTAAAAAACGACTATGAAAATCTAGGAGAAATAGAAACACAAGATAAAACAAATCGAATAAAAAGAAGAAGAAAAAGTCCCATAAAGATAACAACCAAACTGATCTCTTCCTAAGTATTTGCAATACCCTTTGCATGACGAAATAACTTCATTCCTACCCAAGAAACAATACACCATACCCAGAATATTGCAGGGCACAACAAAATCACATAAGTGTAATAGTTATCTACTGGAAATCCATAATCCATCGTTCTATTCATTGGGCCACCCAGCTGACCCTTGCGACCTGAAGTACGTTGATATAAAGGACTCCAAATATTGAATAATGACCCCATGCCAATGACAAAATAGAGAGTTGTACCGCAAAGTAATAATATTCCATAGAATCTAAAACTTGCAAGATCTTTGTCTGTAATTTCGTCCTCCTCGAGTTGAGCTATCTGTACAGTCTTGTTCTTGTTTTTACTTTTCATTCTTTCTGAATACCTGTCGGTAGCAGTGTTATTGTTGATATCACAATTCACATACGCTTGATTTCTGGAATCTGGTTCACAGTCTCGTAGAAAATGGTTATCGTTATACCCTGTGTTTGACTTTTTTTTCCCTTTATTGTTATTTCCTTGAATATAGAAATCAGCATGATTATTGCTATTCATGATACCCAATTGTAGATGGTTTGGTTGCTGAGACCGTATGTGCTGGTTATTGTTGCTATACATCAGATTCTTGGTATCCCCGACGCCCAGCCTTAGTCTGCTTGGCTTAGTCCTTACTGATCGAGGACTTTTTAGCACATTCAAAGGAGAGATACAATTAGCTTTGTTTTGTGAAGATGAACGTGATATGCCATTAATTAGTTTCTTATTCCTTATTCTAATAATCCCACCATTCTGGACCGATGTTGTCGAAGACGACGTCGACGAGATCGTCGACGAGATCGACGACGACACAGACGATGATGACAAGGTAACAGCTGGGGCTGTTCGAATTTCCATTGTATCCTCTATGACCATGGAAATGTTAGGCATTGTTAGGGCATTTCTGGCAGTCGGCTTGCCAATGTCCTTTTAATAATCAATCTTCCCACACACCACACCACAAAAAAAAAAAAAAAAAAATAAAAAAGAACATTTTTTTGGCGGTTGCCATATGCAGGGTATAATACCCTTTATCACATGATATACACGCCTCACATTATCATCTCCTCATAACCGGACAAATGTCCAATGAGACGCTGCGAGAAACTAACAAAAAAACATATTAACAAAAAAAAATTGAGTACCTAGATAGTGTTGTAACAGATCGAGAACTTGACGAATAACAATATTCAAGAACAATGTCTGTGTCCTTGTGGAGAACTGTTCGTAATGCCTACAGAGTGGGTCTTAAACGTTACGCCTGGCAAGTAGCCACCTTGGGTGATGCCAAATCTGGTGACTTTGTTGGTCAAGATGACTTTGGTAACAAGTTTTATGAAACCAAGAACCCAGAAGAAATCCATCTCAGAACCAGATGGGTTGAATATCAACAATGGGGTATGGATATGTCCCAAGTTCAACCAGGCTGGCACTGGTGGTTGGCTTATGGTACTAATACTCCTCCAAATAAGTTGAGCCCTGAGCAAATAAGTGAGAGAGCGTACCCAGTACCAAAAGTCCACAAGCTAAATTTGACAGGGACTCCGGGAGCTTATGTGCCATATAACACTGCCAAACCAAAATGTGAGGCCTGGACTCCTCAAGTTGCCAGACGTTAACCAACCACATGAGGAAATTCTCAAAAATTCATCCCCAGAGTCTCCATAATTAATCACATTCAAATGTACTTCTAGCACAAATCATCATCATCTCTTCATTCCTTCAAGTTGGAAATATAAAGCGGCTCTAGGTCTATCATTTTCAAAATTATTACTGTCATGTTTTTTGTTTTTCTTTTTCTATTATGATAATTATCAAATACAGGAGTTTGCACTTACAATTTGTGGTCTTGGGTATTTGTAGATCATTTGTATTTAAATAACAATCGCAAAAGCAGATTGGTTGTATTATCAATAATTTATTTATAGTTATATTCGTAATGTGTACTAGGCAAGCCATCTATTGTTTTCTTATTTGGCTGGTCTTTCTTTAGCAAAAGTGGCACCGACAATCAATGGGAAGACCAAGGTGGCATCAGCATAAACCTTGACGCTTGGAGCTTCAGCCTTAATCTTACCCCAAGAGACAGCTTCGTCAGGTCTGGCACCAGCATCACAACCATCAAATTCTTGACCAGTATTGATGTAAACAGCGAAATCAGCACCATTTCTCATGAGACAAGCATTAGCAATATGGTGCTTAATTAAACCACCACCCAAGATTATCATACCAGCATGAGAGGCTTCCATGGATAAGGAATTGATCTTTCTGATATCGGCGACCAAATCAACACGAAGTTGTTTTGGAGAGGCTTTAAAAGTGTGGAAGAACAACATGTCCCCGATGGAACCATCGGTCAATGATGGACAGAACACAGGGATCTTATTTTTGTGAGCCCAATAAAGAACTGAGGATTCGTCATTGATTTCCTTTCCCAATCTGTCAATAAATGTTGAAGGGGTCCAAACAAATGAATCAGAATCAAAAGGACTATCCTTAGCCTTTGCAGCAGCGGCTTCTTGTTCTTCCAACATGGTATCCAAAATAGGAACGATCCATTCCTCGAATTTACAGTAGTTGTCATTTGGAACCAACAAATTACCAATTCTGTTCATCCCTTCGGCTCTAAGTTTGGCACCTGGAAGGGCAAAGTCACCCAAATAGGTTGGGGCAAGACATTTAATAAGATCTTCTTCAATACCACCAGCACTAGAAACAAGGGCACTGACAAAGTTGTGTTGCACTAAGAATCTAATAGTTTCTCTCAAACCAGAAGAAATCAAATTAGAAGTGTATCCTAAAAAGATGGTAGTCTTTTGGTATCCATTATCGTCAAAACTGCCTTTGATTTCATGATCTTCGAGTTCTGACTTGTGCTTACCCCTCCAGGAGCGCATTTTGTTGATGATTTCACAGGCTCTTCCCAAAGCAGACCCTTGGAAACCCATGGTTTTCATGTTGGCAACAAGTTCTGAGGCGGAGATGTCATATGAAGAATCTTTAGAGTAATCGATCCCTTTACATTCCTCAAAATCCTCCGGAACCGGGACAGATTTCACAAGCACAGCACCGGCTGCCAAGTTTGGAATATCTTTATTGGTTTCAGACATGATTATTTTGTGATAAGTGACACTTTACCGGTTCCCTATAACAATCATCTTATTATCATTTGATATTTTAGGTGAAATGCAAAAATTTTCCTGCACCCGATTCTCACCGCACTCCGTACGCTCCCCCATTTTTTGATGATCTTTTGTGTGCATTATCACGTGTGGTGATGAGACTATTGTTGTTGAATCTATCTTTGCCTTTAAAAGAAAGAAAGATCCCCGAAAGTTGCAAAAAAAAACAAGTGGCTATTTAATATCTTTTGATCTCTGTTGAATTTTTCAAGAAAAAAATAATAGCGTGGTAATGTCTGTTTCCAAGATCTCCCCAACATTGAAAGTCCTTGAAGGATCCCAACTCCTTACCATTGCTGCCGGTTGTTTCTGGGGTGTCGAGCACATTTACCGTAAAAATTTCCAAGATAAAGGGATATATGATCTCAAGGTTGGCTATGCCAATGGGGATATTGCCAATTACAAGAACCCTGATTACAAAACTGTATGTACTGGTGCCACAAATTTCGCCGAAGCCCTCCAGGTATCATTTGATCCGGCCAAGATCAGCTATCGTGAGCTCGTTGCCTTCTTCTTCAGAATGCATGATGCTACCCATTTGAACCACCAGGGTCCAGACCAAGGTACTCAGTACAGAAGTGCCATTTTTGTCAATGACGAAAAGCAATTGAGCGTTGCTAAAGAAGAACTTGAGAAGGCCCAAAAAGAATGGTACCCAAACCATAAAATCGTCACCCAAATTGAGTATCTTGATAGTTTCTGGGATGCGGAAGAATACCATCAGGAATATCTAACTAATAATCCTACAGGATATGCTTGCCCAAGTCATTTCATCAGAACCACCCCAAAAGTTTAACCATGAATTCGTTTATGCTTAAAAGTGCAAGATTATTGTTTAGCTTACTAATCAGACCTTTCTTTCATCACGCTTTCCTCCAATTAGTTTTTCAGGTTTTACAAAACAAGTTGTTTTCTTTTTTGTTGTTCTATTTATATTTTCTTTCTTGAATTTTCACGGTTTTAGTTTCAGTTTTTATATTCCTGTAATGTGTTGTGCCTAAGCTATCAAATTTGATGCGTTTTGGGGGGATTCACTTACTGATTTCGGTATCCGTCATGGCCGTATCCGTGACGGATGGCTCATCTACTTTTTCTCATAAATTAAAAAAATTACAAATTTAACCTCTTTACAAAAGATTTGTGCAATGCGCTTACTTAGCAAGTTGGATCAATAGAAGAAAAAATGCCAAACATGTACGGAACTTCCAGGAACTCTTCATCTCAGAAACCAAAACTGAGCAGCAATCAGCTACTGGTCACGAGAAATGACCCTAAAGATGATATCCACAAACATCTCATTTATACCACCATGACCTATAACTCTTTCACCTTATATACGTTTGAGAATTCTCAGTTACTTGAAAAGCTATTGCCAAATGGGCGCACTATCAACTGTTTTGAAATAATCAATAGTCAACTTAGCGCCATCAATGACCCAAGTTCTTTTACTATGGGAATCATCCCAGTTTCATCGATCTCCAATTTACCTAGCTCCACGAGAAGTGCGGTACAAAATAATAGTTTAACATTATACTATATCAAATATAAGTTCAACAACTCTGATGATTTGGTCACTCTCCTCACTATCTGCTCTTCCCGCTTAAAAAAAGAATTCCCATTCATCATCCTCGACCATATCCTTGCCAATTACAAGGAATTTAGGGAAAATAAAACACAGCAAGCCCAACAAAACTCATCACTAGGGGTCATCGCTGGGAAGTCGACCACAGGCAATCCTTCCAATAACCACAATATCTTTGGGGATTATGATTTCAAGCCAGAATTTGCCAATATTATCATTACTGAAGAAAAGAAAATCCACTCGTTGCCGTCGCAACTCGTCCTTAGGTCTGCGGTATCCAACAATACTTCTGGTACTTCTCCGAGCGAAACTCTGCCATTACTTGCTAACAATCAAGGCACGTCATCTGATCTCTTTGGCATGGATTCTAAGGACGTTAATGATAATAGCAATGCAGATTTATCGAATTTGAATATTACCTTCATGACCTCAGAACTTAATGAACTCAAGCAAATTATGAATGATAATGTTGATAAATTAATGGAACGTCATGACAGATTAGGATCTTTAGTTAACAAGACTGATAAGATCAATCTTAATTCCAGAACTTTCAAACGCAGAACTTTGCAATTGAAACGTCGGTTGTGGTGGGGTAATGTCAAAATGAGAGTGATATTGGCGGGAATTATAATATTTATACTTTATATCATTGGAGGTGAAGTTGGTTGTGGACTACCATTTTATGGGAAATGTTTGAAGCATGAGAAGAACAAAAAAAATTAGTCCTTCTTTTATTAATAATTGTGGTCGACAGACAGAAAACATGAATATTTTCATTGTTATAGCGCATATATAATATATGATTGGGAATATTCCGATAATACAATCTTCAAAACGGTGATAATAAATCCAGGAAATTGAGAAAACATATTTACATTAGGAAGGAATAAGCTAGGCGGATTTTTTGGATATTTTTTTTAGAAGGAAAAAGATTAACAGGGCAAAATATACAAAATTCAACATTGTTGGATCATGCACTGTAGTATGGTGATCTTTATCGTATCTTTTATTATTATTAAGAGACCATTTATACCTGTTGCGAATAAATAGGGTTTGCACAACACATGTTGATTATCTCGACGTGCCCTGGTTAGGAGCCTTATGCAGGGAATTTGTGGAAATTCAAGAAAAAAAAAAAAAAAAAAAGGTTTACCAGCCCCAACTAAGCTTGTAGGAGATCTATAGTCATCATCGTCAACATGTTTTCTCAAAATCGCGATTCAATAATAAAGCATTCAAATAGTTCTTCGTCGCTAAATGCGCGTATACGAAAGAGAAAGTATAGTAACTTAAGCAACAATCCATTGTCGAGTTCTACAAAATATAATGATACCATAACAACGGCGTCTGATGATAACAATCACCAACAATCACACCAGAGAAATGGATTCAATATTGCATCGATATGTTCCAAAGCCTGGGGTTATTTAAAAAGTACTATTGATCCTTATCTTCAAATTAGAGGAGCTGATGATGAATACAAAAAGTTGCATCCAACAGAGCGGGCTCCTAAAAGATTTAAGAAGAATGATACAACGCTGAAAGAATCGACAAATCATTTAATGCTCACAAATACGCCAAAGAATAAAATAGTTAATGAAAATCAGCGAACCCCAGTGTTGTCGTTAGAGAACAGAGATTATGATTTCACGGGATTTGAAGCCAAGTCTGCAAAACTAAACCAAGAAATGTTTTTCAGCGATAATCTATTTAGTCTCGAAAGTGACATTAAAAGTATAATGAAGGAAAATAAGAAAGAGAAACAGCAAAATAAACTATATGGTAGTAGTTTCACCTTCAAAAGGAAATTTAACAGAAAGAAGAGCAGAGATGTTATCGCGGACTCACAGAATTATACTGATGTTAGTTCAATCAATCAATCTTTCAATCCTATACTACCAAAATCAATGACCAATATTTCAATCAATTATGAGTCGAGTCCTAATAATTCAATGTTGTTCGATGATGATTTACGTATCATCAAAGTTAGGAAAATCCCAAAAAGCTCACGTTTATCAAAGAATTCAATTTTCCAAAGGACTGATGAGGATGTGGAATCGTTAATGGTATTATCGAAATACAAGACATACTATAAAATATTGAACGAAAAGAGAAAATTACAAGAGAATCTTTATAAGCAGCGTGATTTTGTGGAAGGAAAGGAAATTATTCAGCCATTGAAAGAGAATGAATTGAAGAAGGTTGAAGAAATTTGGAAACTAGAAAGATCCCAACCTGGTGTGCAGATTGTGTCCTTGGCCAACATTGATATTTCGGTTCGTGATTTGAGCACACTCAAAGATCGCCAGTGGCTTAATGACAATATCATGGATTCTTACCTATCAATGGTGGTTGAAAGATCAAAAAAATCTACTGATTTGCCAAATATTTTCGTGTTTACTACGCACTTCTATACCACTTTATCGGGCAAAGGTTATAGTGGTGTTAAACGATGGGCAAAAAGAAAGAAGATTGATGTGACGAAGCTTGATTATGTTTTCGTTCCTATTAATGTGATGAATTCACATTGGTCATTGGCGGTGGTGAATAATAAACATAAAAAATTCCAATATTTTGACTCTTTGCCAGGATCAGGACAATCAATATTGATGGATTTACAAGATTATATGACCGAAGAATCGAAAAGATTATATCCAAATGATGAACCCATAGATTATGAGAATGTTTACGAATTTGTCGCCAAAGAAAAATTTCCCCAACAGAAAAATGGGTTCGATTGTGGAGTTTTCGCTTGTACAGGAATAAATTTCTTGAGTAAAGAAGGTGATTTAAAATTCAGTCAAAATGACATGCCAATAATTAGAAGAAAAATGGCTTATGAAATTATCACCAGCCATCTAAAAGATTGATTAATGAATGTATAATAACTGAATTTAAAAGTCTGTATTATTATTCTTACACGAATTGTAAGTGATAAACCACACGTGTAAATATATATATATATTTAAAAATAAAATTCATTCATTGTCAGTCTCATCATCTGTGTCATCATTTTTCGCTTCACTAGGTTCATTACCTACAAGCTCCTTATATTCCTTTTCTAACGAATCGATATTATGGGTTGAATCATGATTTTCTTCATCATCAGACTCAACTACATCTGGTATTTCTTCATCCTCATCCTCATCCTCGTCTTCGTCGTCTTCATCATCATTGTGAACATTATCATCATCATCGTCATTATCGTCATTTCGTTCTTGTTCTGCTTCCTCACTATCGCCTACTACATCACCTGTATCTACCTTTTGAGCCTTCTGTTTGGCCTTTTCTAGCTTTTTAGCCTCTTGGATCTTCGTATGCTGTTCTAACTCATTCCTCATCGTTTCGATAAACTCATCTAGCCCCACACTGTAAAACGCCTCTAACACATCATTGGCAGTGACAGTCACCCGATCCTTTGATCCCGCAATGTTTCTGGCATATTCTGTGATATAATTCACGTACACTGTGGCACATCTCTGAAGTACTTCAGCACTCTCCTTGGATATCAAGGTTCCTGGTGGGAACACAGATTTGGCAAGTTTTAATACCGTCGATTTCGGGAAAAGAATCTCATCTATTGATTTAATCTCACGCTCTCGGCTAGGCAATGGGTAGCTGCCGTCTGCGTTTTTTCTCCAACCTTTTGGGGGCATATTTGTTTGTTTGTTTGTATGTATTTTATTATTGTTTTTTTGGAATAAGTCTTTATTAGCAATTTCATTAACGTGAACCGCTGCAAAGACAAAAAAAAATATACAACAAAATAAAAAAAAAAAAAAGTCGTGTCTCACGTATTGTTAGGATCGTTCCTAGCTTCCGAGTCGGAAACGTGATCTCCTGGTTAGGACGTACTGGCAATAATATCACCACGTCGATTATTGTAGTTTGATCTTCTATCTTCTTATATTGCTATTATTAGTCGAATATATATTATGAATCAATTCTTATTTTAGCTAGCCGTTCAGAATGTGAGGTGGGATGGTTTTGGTTCTGTATATTCCGAGCTGAGCTTCAGTGATCGTAGAATAATATTGATGATCTTATTCTTCTTCCATTTCGTCCCACTATCCCCCACATACCATTAGGTAGAATATTATATGTTTGTATTACATGTTCTAAATATATATACTTGTTATATCTAGACTTACCAGGATTCTGAGCGAGAATAAGCCAAGTAACTTATACTAGAAGGAAATCCGCACTATCGCCGTAGTGCTCTTATCAATCCGTAGAACGGATTCTAACATGCATATATTTCGTAAGCGCTCATAATTTCGGGTCGCAATTTTATGACAAACTGTCAGCATTTAAAAAGGAACTGGACTAATTTTCAGCAATTCAAAGCCTAATATGTATCTCTCATGTGATATGCTATAATTTCTAGCTGAAAAAAGATGAAGCATTTGTTAATGCAAAAAAATATCGTCACAGACAAGATTCGAACTTGCGAAGGAAAATCCCAATGCCTAACAGCTTGACTGATTAAATCATAGCAGGGCATCGCCTTAACCACTCGGCCACAGTGACTTTGCTTAAACGTACATAAAGCGGCATATTGGTAATCTGTCACGGTTATGTTATAGGCCCGGGCACATAACCTCAAAATCTCACTTAGTGCCTATTTACTCATTTGAAGCTGAATATTTTTGTGAAATAAATGAATTTGTGAATATTTGTGGTTTATTCTCACCAATAGTAATCAAAGATTATTTTTTGGAGGCATGAACGCGTCAATTAGTAAGTTGCAAACTCGGTAGGCTACACCCATTGCAAGGAATGCAAAGGTTATAAGCGAAAATAACGATAACAATACATAAATTACCACAGTGGATTATGTGGTAGTGCTAAATGATAAATATGGAAGTCTATGAAAAGAAAATACTGTTGAAATTCCAGAGGAAAGAACTTCAGGATCTACTGTTATCAAGCCAATACTATTTCCTCTCTTTTTTTTTTTTTTGGTTTCCGTAAGCTTTGTGGCTCACTCAAATTCTGTATTGATTTTTTGATTGAATATAATGCTGTTATTTATTTTCACTTAATATCAAAAGACACTTTCTGTAAGACTCATTTGTTTTTTCTTTTGTTAATGAAATGACAGTGAATACAGAATCAATTAATTAAAAAATACAATCGATCATGCGGAAAGAACCAATGACCTTTGGGCTCTATAAGATAACAATAAAGATTCTTTGGAATCGAAAAAAAGAAAAAGGAAAAAAAAAGCATTCAACTTATTCGAAGCTCTAGTACTATAGTATTTTGATCATTGTGTTCATATTGAATGAGTAGTGCAAACACATGGGAGTACACAGTACAATACCTAAACACAGAAATTTTTTTTGGAAATTCTTATTAATTCATCGCATATTGATATTGAAAATAATCTATTATACATTAAGATCTTTTGATTACACCACCGAATGAACAATATCAATAGTGAATTACGTCTCCTATCTACAGACATCGGATATGAAAAATTCAATGCAGCATGAGATATTATACACGGTATCTCAGGAAAGAAATATCAGCAATAAAAACATATTTTTATATATAATATACATAAAGTACTTCATAATAATCCAAACTGTGAGCCTAAAATATTTCATCTCAAGGTGTTTATTTGTGGTTTCCCTCACACGTTGAGCCAGGAAAACTGACTTATCGGTGAGGTGCGTAAAGACACGGAAATGCCAGAAAAATTTTAGATATGAGTAAATCAAGGATTCTCTATCGCAGATCATTTGGGGGATATCAATAACCAGCGTGCTTAGATCTCATTGAAACATCTTCTTCACGTTTAAGGAGGTGTTTGATAAATAAATAAATAAAAAAAATAATCAACCAGTAAAGGGAAATAACAATAATAATAATACCACTAGCAAAAATCTTGTTTTTCTCTTGGGTGCATTAATGTTTCTGGCTGTATCAAAGTTTTCAACGCCTAGCATCAGTAATTCTGCAATTGGATTAATCACCAAACACTTATACTCCACTAGTATCAAGATGAAAACATACGATGAAGCCGTCAATACTTTAAATAATCTTCAAACCAACTTCGCCACAATTCAGCAGGTGAGGTTGTCAGGAAACAAGAACATGGATACCTTGTTGCAAATGTTTGAATATTCCAAAAGAATCGGCTACGACGCCGCAGAATACGACAAATTGAATCTTCTTCACGTCACCGGAACTAAAGGTAAAGGGTCCACTTGTGCATTCATTCATTCTTTAATATCTCAGTACAAGAACTGTACCGATAAAGTTACCAAAGTCGGTCTTTATACTTCTCCTCACTTGAAATCTGTCCGGGAAAGAATTTGCATTGATGGTAAGCCGATTTCCGAAGAGAAATTTGCCCAATACTTTTTTGAAGTTTATGAATTGTTGGAAAACACGAACGATGATCCAAGTGTTACTACCGAGTTAACGAAAGATCAAAGACCAGCGTACTTCAAATTTCTTACTCTTTTGTCCTTCTACGTGTTTATGAAAGAAGGGGTTGATGCTGCGGTATACGAGGTTGGTATTGGTGGCGAATTAGACTCTACAAACATCATTCACAAACCAATTGCTTGTGGGGTTTCTTCTATTGCCCTCGATCACACATTTGTTCTCGGAAATACTGTCGAAGAGATTTCCTGGAACAAATCAGGGATTTTCAAAAATGGTTCATCAGCCTTTTCCGTAGTCCAACAACCTGGTAGTGAGAAAGTGTTGAGGGAAAGAGCTGCTGAAAAAGGATCCAGTTTTGAAGTTGTTGATATTCATCCTTTGCTCAAAGACAATAATATCAAATTGGGGGTTGATGGGGATGTCCAAAAAATCAATGCTTCCTTGGCTTTGGCAATGTCGTATAAATTTTTGAAACAATTGGATATTCCAATTTACGAAGACAGACCTAATAGCGAGGTTCCTGATACTATTAAAGAAGTTACCGAATTCCCGGGAAAGATTTTAGCTGGGTTAGCTAAGGCTCATATTGATGGGAGATCTCAAACTTTACCAGACTCCGAGCTCGAGAACTTGACTTGGTACATTGATGGATCCCATACTGTGGAAAGTATCCATAGATCATCAAACTGGTGGAAAACTACAATGTTAGCAAAAAAGGAAAAAACCCCAGAAAAGTTCAATGATTCAATTAAAGTGGTATTATTCAACCAACAATCGAGAAATATCGAGGAATTGCTTACGGAGCTTTACAAGACCTTGGAAGATACTGTTGTTTTCGATCAAGCGATTTTCTCTACAAATGTAACGTGGGCTAACAACAAATATGATATCAATTTAGTTAGCATGAATGTTGATGATAAAAAAGTTGATGAATTGGAAATGCAGAAGAGATCTGCCATCACATTCGAGACTTTGCAAGCAGAAACTAATAAAGAAAAGAATACCAATGAAATCACGAAAATAAACGTGCTACATGATATTGAAACAGGGGCCAATTTGGTCAGAGACCTTGCCAAACAGAATCCAGAAAAGGATATTGATGTTTTTGTCTGTGGGTCTCTACACTTAGTAGGTGGTTTGCTTGTTGTTTTGGACGGTACTAAATGATTTATTTATTATTAAACACAAGAAGAGATGTCTTTATAAATAAATAAAACAGTCTTTCTCTTTCTCATGCTGATGTTTTATACATTATTTAATATGTGTGTAGAAGCTGCCTTAACAATTTGCATGTTGCGATGCAATGCATCGCAGGAAAATTTTTTTTTTATTTTTTTTTTATACTTTTTTTTTCTTTCAATCAATCTTTACTGAAAAGGAAGAAATAATAACTATAAACCCTAACAGTATCTGAAAATGGATAGAATCTTGGGAGGAATCTATGTGGGATCTTACCAGCCTTTAGCAGTTGGTGTAGACTTGAAAGGAAAATATAAAATCACACATATTTTATCCGTCATCAAGGGTGAATTACCAGATGGATTAAAGAAGCAGTATACCGTCAAACAAATTGAAATTGATGATGAGGAGACCACAAACATCTTGGATTTCTTGAACGAAACAAATAAGTTCATCAATGAAGCATTATATCCTAAAGTTTCTGAACCCAAAGTCGTGGAAAAGACTGACGAATCAAAGAAGAAAAGTAATGGTCATAGAGGTGCGATATTGATACATTGTTCTCAAGGGGTTTCGCGAAGTGTGGCCTTCACCATTGCTTACTTGATGTATAAGTATAAATTGTCATTGCAAAACTCCCTTTATGCAGTGCAGAGGAAGAGAAGCATTGCTCAGCCCAATATCGGTTTCATGCAACAGTTGAAGATCTACGAGGATGCCCTTCAACATAACGATTACATCATTGATAAGATCGATCTCAATGCCGAACAAGCGTATCGTGATTGGATTTTCAAGAACCTGATGGATGACGAAGAAGCCAGAAACAAGTTTTTATCAAACAACGAATCGTATGCCGCAGTTGCAGTGAATCAGAACCAGCATAATCCAAAAGAGGGGGAAAAATTGACCCAACTTCGATGCAAAAAGTGTCGTCAAGAATTAGCATTATCCACCTCTTTTATTCCTCATGAAATACCAGATGAGGGATCAAGACAGTCCAACTTTGTCACTACTTCTGGCTATTCGAATAGAATTATTGGCATTGAAAGAGCGTCAAATTTCTGCTCCCACATCTTTGTTGAGCCTTTGAATTGGATGAAGGAAGAATTACAAGGAAAAGGTGAACTATTAGGGAAACTCAACTGTCCAAACTCTAGATGTGGAACAAAAGTCGGTACCTATAGTTGGAAAGGCTCAAGATGTTCTTGTGGTAGATGGGTTGTTCCAGCTATTAGTTTACAAACTGCAAAGGTTGATGAAGTATTTATTAGTACACATTCTAATTTCGAGCAAATCAAGCGTCAAGCTACAATAATAGAATAAATAGAATACATTGATTATGAATGAAATCTACTCCATTTCCATGTCAGAGTCTTCAATCCGTGTACTATTTTCGTATTGTGTAGTATTATGCGACATCAGATTATATGGCCTAGCAAGTTCACTAGTGGATCTGTAAATGGAATGGTCAGCCATAACATGATTATTACTTGAATTCCCAACTGAGGTGTCAATTCCAGGAATACCACGCAATTCAGGATTCAATGATGAGATTCTTGTACTGGTGCTGACGTTTCTTGTTCCAGTGTTACGGATTTGGAGCAAATCGCTATTAATATCTAAATCATAGTAACTATTCACTTGATTAGCTTGGCCCTCTTCTTCATCTTGGTCTTCGTAATATTCTTCATCTGCCATAAAACCTTCATCCCCTGCAAAATCTTCATTACTTCCAATATCTTCATCCTCAACGCTGTAAACCCCACTCAAGTAATTTGGATCGCCTTCCTCGCTTTCTTCATCGTGATTGGAAATATTAGCATCCAAGTCAACTTCCAAATGAGGAAGCTGCTGCTGTTGATAGGGCGAATGAGGTTGATGATCACCATTTGTAGTATTATTTGTAGTGAAACCAGTTCCTTCATCTTGTGGTTGTGTAGTGGAATAGTTTCTTGATCGCATTTCATCATCATCCATGGCACTAGGATCTTGGAAAATCACTCTCGCATTTGCCGCGTTCGAGTTATCAGTGTTTCCAACAAGATTCTCAGCAGTTCCTGCCATCGACTCAGTGAATTCATGGTTACCATTTTCTTGCAATTCCATATTCTTCTCATCAATTAACGTTTGCATTGTTTTCCCAATCCCCAATGGTTTCAAGTAGGTGAAGCCGTAGGTCTTGATACGATCTAGCTGAACCAACCTTGAATCAAGTTCATTAAGGAAGATATCTGATGACGATAAACTGGAAATTGTAGCACCAACGCACGCCGATGAGTATGATGATAATGGTGGAGCAAAAGCAGCACCTCTGGCGCTGCCAGTATCAAATGGCCCACCAACACTCCTCATCGCACTCTGTTGCTGCTGCCTTTGCCGCTGATTTCTGGTACCGGAAGCCCCATTATTTCCAAGGATTTTTCTTCTTCGAAGATATTTTGATCCTTTATCATCATCATCGAGCCAGAGATGATGAGAATTGGCGGGCATCAAGTTGGGTAAAAACATTGTATGTCAGTTCACAGTGTTTTCTATCCAATAATGGTCTGTATTACAAGAAAAGTGGTGCCAATAATACCACTCTGCTATCAACCTGAGAAGAAGTGTTGAAGAAGCAGTCAGTTGGCTCTGTGTTTATGCTGTTTTTGTTTTTGTATATGAAGCGATGCGCATGTGACCAAAGACACCTTAAATGGGGCCAGCCAAAGACGCCCAATATGGGAACAGGAAGGCTTAAAAGACTCCATTCCCACTTCAGTTGCCGCTCCCCCAAGAAAGACCCAATATATGCTTATTCCTTTGCCCTTATTTCCCAATCCCCTGACGTTTCTTTCGGTTATGGGAGCCTATTGTACAACACGGGGGCACATAACTCGAGGATTGATTCTGCCCAATTAGGTAAAAAAGCGGAAAATCACTTATATATATATATAAACCACCACACACCATCCGTCTTGTTGATTATCACCATAATAATACAACTTTTGTTGTGATTTTACTATCACAATGTCAGACGCTTCTAAGACAATGGTATGTTTATGTCTTTCAAGACCCTGTTCCATGTGGATCTTTGTTATTAACCCAAATCATTAGGAAGATTTCAGTTACGACGACGTAACCCCAATGCCATTCAACGAACCAAAAGGCAGCTTATGTCGAATTGCTTATTCTGCAGAGTATACTACGGTAATGGGAATAATTAGAGCATTTTTATCTGTCAAAGAATATTCAGAAAGGGCATTGGCGGCAACGGCAGCGGCCATCGAGTTGAATCCTGCTCATTACACCGTTTGGTCCTATCGATACGATATCATCAAGAATATTTCAGAATCATTAGAACTGGACACAAAACGTCAACAGTATATCGATGAAGAATTGGAGTACAACGAATCAGTGGCCATAAACTATCCAAAGAACTACCAAATTTGGAACTACAGAGAATTGTTAATTAAACTACATCCCAACCCTACCCCAAAAAAAGAGTTCCCATTGCTTGAAGCAATTATTATCGAAGACAATAAGAACTACCATACCTGGGCGTATCGTACTTGGTTAGTGTCGTATTTCAACTTATTCGATGAAGAATCGGAAATCAATTTTGTCAACATCTTGTTAGCAAAAGATATTAGAAACAACTCGGCCTGGAATTTCCGTTTCTTTTTGAAATTCAATAACAATAACAGAAAACTTACGGAAGAGGAGATCGAAAAAGAGATTAGTCACGTCAAGAACTCCATATCGCATGCTCCTCAGAATTCTAGTTCCTGGAATTATTTGACAGGAATTTATGATCGCACTGGAAAAGACATTAGCGAACTCGAAGAGTTCTGTTTAGAATTCGGGTCTATTGATGATATATTGATTGAGGATCTCCGGACAAACGATGGGGAGGACAACTCAGATGATGTTGAAGTAATTGTGAAATCGGTGTATGCTGTTGAATTACTACTGAATATTTATGCCAAAGAGAAGAAGGCAAAGTCATTAAAAGCATTGGAAATCCTTACAGAGATAGATCCTATTCGAGAAAATTACTGGAGTTATAAGAGATCATTGCTTGCATAATACCCAAGACAAGAGTGGCAAATAGATATTCTGTAGCCAGTTTTTAAGGCCATGATAGTTTTTTGTGCTTGAGAAGAAGCAAGAACTAAGGTACTATGATAGTATTATCAATACATTGTGAATAATACATAATGAATCTTAAATTATCTTGATAAGTTAGACAAGAATACCTGACTTGTAACAGGTATCGTAAGAGCCTCCCCCTCGTTATATTATATGGAAGAAAGATGTACCACCGCCTTGGAAAGAAATCGAAAAAAGAAAAAAAAAAAGTAAAAATTTTTTTTTTTTTTTTTTCAATTGTATGAAAGATCTTATCAGTGAATGAATGCTTTGAGTCAATATATTTCCATCTAATATTATTTTGATTTTGAGTATATTCCCTCAACCATAATATATAACCACAATGACTGTTCCGGAGCCACTAGAATCAAGCGTGCCACCATCGTCTCCCGAGATCAAGAAACCTAGCTTGGAGTCTCGTATCACTGGTGAAATATCAGAATCAGACACAAGAATCGGCAAGGACTCGCCGTTTGTCTTTGGCCAGAGATATCTCACACAAGAAGAGGATGTGTTCAGTCGTAATGCCTGGGATCACGTTGAATGGGGTGAGAAAGAAATCAAGCACGCTGAAGAAATGATTGCCAAACAATACAACGACCCAGTTTCCCAAGAGGATAAGGAACGGTATAATGCCACCCCGGAGAAGTTTTGGAACGTTTTTTACACCAACCACAAAGAAAACTTCTTCAAGGACAGAAATTGGTTGCAAATCGAGTTCCCATTATTGTACGAGGTGAGTTCTAAGGACTATGGTGATAAACCAGTGAAGATTCTAGAAGTTGGGTGCGGTGCCGGTAATACAATGTTTCCTGTGTTGAGACAGAACCAAAATTCCAACTTGAAGATTATCGGTGCGGATTACAGCAGTGTTGCTGTCGATTTGATCAAAAAAAGCGAGTCCTTTGACCCAGAACACGCCGAGGCCTATGTGTGGGACTTGGCTAATGAAAATGGTGATTTGCCAGGTAATATGGAACCAAACTCTTTGGATATAGTGGTAATGATTTTCGTGTTTAGTGCGTTAGCTCCAAATCAATGGAATGCTGCGATCAAGAATATTTCTAAACTTTTGAAGCCGGGCGGAACTTTGTTGTTCAGAGACTATGGTAGATATGATCTTGCCCAAGTTAGAGTTAAGAAAGGTAGACTTTTAGAAGACAATTTTTACATTAGGGGTGATGGTACTAGAGTATATTTCTTCACCGAAGAAGAGCTAAGAGAAATGTTTATAAACCAAATAGGTTTTGAAGAAAAAAGAATCGCCACTGACAGAAGATTGTTAGTAAATAGAAAAAAACAGTTGAAAATGCACAGAATTTGGTTGCAGGCTGTGTTCAATAGACCATCAGAAAACGATACTGTCGAAACTAACAATTCAAGTCTCAGCACTCAAGAGTTGATGAAGAAATTGGCTCTAGATGACAGTGATGATGAAGAAGATGACGGCTGCACCCCGCCAATAACTTGCGGGTGTGAATCATGCGCCACTGGCCATTCTCATTAAAGAAACTTGAATATTCAATAATTACTTACTCTAATATAATCTAAATCTGCAAAATCAATTGCGATATGCAGCAGGAAATCTTTTGCCGTAATTCAGTTAGAATCCCAACCTGTAGAACAGTGAAGCAAATGTTGCAATACAAAAGAACCACCCATTGCCACACGCTTTGATATATATAAATCTTCTCAATTTCAAATCTCACGCAAAATAATAAATAAAGAATTAGCACATACTTTATTAATGGTTTTCATATAAGATGATAGAGCCATTTTTCATTTCCATTATTGCTTATTCTGACATAAAATTCTGCAAAAATCCAAATCCTGGATTACCCATCTCATTTCCATTATTTGTTTGTAGTAATTTCATCAATTCTCCTAAACTTTTGATATCCTCTTCTGATATGTTATACTCCCCATTGCCTTCAAATTGGTCTTGCGAAGTATCGTATTCATCATCATTGATACCATCATAGTCAGAGGCTTCTCGTTTGGGCTTTCTTTTTTTCCCATTCATAATCTCTTCTTCGTCCTTGACTTGATTTTTGTTTTTTGCTATAATAGATCTGTAGTCTTCTAACTCATCTTTTGGAATATTAAGTGCTTCAGTTAAGAAATACTCAAAAAAATCGTCCTCAGTTATTGAGATTTTTTCCTTCTTGAGATAATTAATCACTTCTTCATTTTCGTTACCCGAAGAATAGTCACTATCGTCATTATAATAATCATCCAAATTTATATCATCATTTTTTACTGAATTCTTCAAGTCATTACCTCCTTTGTCTTCAGGTTTTTCATTCTTGGGAATTTTTGGCACAGTAGGGTTATTTTCTAGATCTCTTTCTTGAATAAAATTCTTGATCTTTTCCATTAATTTCTCTTCATTTATGTTATTATTACTATTTAATGATTCATCTTTCTTCTTCCCAAGATCACTGACTTCTTTTTCGAATTTATTCAAGTCAATTGTCGATACTTTTTCTTTAAGTACACCTTTGGTCAAAAGCGACTGTTGAAGAGGATTTGATAGAATAAAATCATTTATGTTCGAAAGTGAAATGTCTTCAAGATCATCTTCCACACTCAATTTTTGAGTATACTGCTGAACATCCACATCTGAATCAGCGACAAAACTTTGAAAGCCCGAAGATAAAGCTTCTCCTAGGAACTCATTCATCGGAATCTCCTTGTTTTGCGGGTTAGAATGTCGCAGTTTTAAAACCGTGTAATGTAATAAAGACATAGGGATCCACAAGACTATCAAATCATCAGCATTTTTAAAATTCAATTTTTCAAAAGCGGTTCCTCTGGCCTCTGCCAACAGTTTTTGGAGATCTATTGTGGTAAGATTCTCAATATAGGCACCAAAACTTCTAGAAAAAACATTGGGAATCATTAAATGATGATCTTCTGTATTCAGAAGAGAATGATTCTGGCGGTAGATTGATAATTTCAAGATTATTGACGCAACCTTGCGATTGATTTTCACCTCGTTAAATACTGTATAGCTTAATGCTTCTGTTATTGCATTTTTCAACCTGTTATTCCAAATCTCATGTCTTAACTTTACCAAGCTATTCTTGTCAATCAAATAATTATACTTCATCATGTACGAGACAGCTTCAGTTAATTTCAAACTTTTGATCTGATTAGCGTTTTTTGTGCTTCCATGAGGTATCAATAGTAGATCACCATTTCCATTGATCCAAATTCTATTAAAGGTATTTGACGGCTCACACCAATCAGGAATATTCTCTGGAGACTCAATCAATAAAAACTCTCCATCTTGATCAAAAAAATGGATTAAAATATCCTGTTTGTCGAAAGAGAACGAGCAAAATATTGTGAAAAATGTGATGATCAAACTGACCACTAACCACTCATCACTCAAAGAATTGCCAAATTGTAAATGTCCATAAACGTAACTATACCGGTTGTTTTCTTGCAAGGAATCCTCGACTAGTTTTATATCTAAAGGATTGTCGTTCCAGGTATAATATTTGCGCCATGGTTTGAGAAACTCGGACAATTCTTGAAAAACCTCTTGGAGATACTGTGCTCTAGATTCATCAGAGGCTGTCGGATTGATGTAGAAGATTGTGAAGATTAGGGTATCTGACTCAAAGAAGAAATCAAAATCAGAGGTAAAGGGGAATTCCTGCGAGACTTCTATTAGAGATTTCACCATTTAATAACCACTAGTATCGATTCACCCTGTTATATTATTTTTGTCACTCTCTGGTGATCTCCGACTTTTTTTTTTTTCTGAAGATGTTGAGATGTCAAACAAATTGTGTGATGATCATCGATTTGATAACAAACAAAAACAACGACAACAAGAACAAAACACACAGCCATGACAGAAACAGTGAGGAGTATGATCTGGAAAGGATCTCTCACCGTGGAAGTGTCTTTGATAGCTCTGGAAACCGTGCAATCGATAGTGCCGAAGTTGTACATCAAGGTGCTAAGAAACGGATACTTCCCAATGTACTATGAGCAAATGATCCAATTTTTCCAGAGTTATTGCGAGAGCGAAATACAATTCAAGAACGTCTGGCTAGAATACGAAGAAGTTCCTTTGAAATGGAATTACACCATAGGGATGTTGTACGACTACGTAATGGGGCTTGATGGTTCCAATCATTCATTGTGGAAGCTTTCGGTGCACGTATCAGATTACCCCCAAGACTACTTGTTGCCACTACAAAGCTTGGATACGCTCAAGTCATACTGGATGAACCTGATCAAGGAAAGCTGTTTCATCACTTACAACTCTGCCAAAAAAATCATGAACTTGTCAAGAGAAGAATCCAACAATTTGTGGGATTTCGCGAGAGCTGGCAACTATGAGGGGTTCAAGAAGATTTACTACAAGAAAATCGTGCCCCAAAGCCTGGCAGAAGTAAGGAGAGTGCCAGTTAAGGTCTATCTCCCATACTCAAACAAGAATATCATTATTCGAGAACCAATTTCCCCAAGAAATGGCACTGGCGATGTCGTCACATTGCATGAGTTGCTTGAGAAGTGTCTCCCAGACCTTTTTCTGCAGGCACCTAACAAGAAGGATTTGGGCATTGCCATGGTCCAAGGGGCCTCTGTACCCACACAAGCTCCTTTGTGGGAGGCTTTCGAGTGCTTAGGAACCATCGATGGCTTTCTACATGTGGTAGTGGTGGTGGATTTGTGATTTTTTTTTCTCTTTGGAGGACGCGCTCCCCTTCGTCTAACACCCTTTACAGGCCCCGTGTAGTGTGTGCGCGCGGTGAGCTGTCACATAATAATTGCTGGTGCACAGAAGGGCCTTTTGTCCAAATTAAAAATAGATATCGAATAGCTAATTTCAGAACTTAATTTTCCCGATGTCTCAGTCTCTAAGATCGCGTTGGTCTCAAATAGATATATATTAGGCAGCTTCCGGATCGAAAAATGATATTTTGTCATTCAGTGCAAAAGGCAACGGTAGTGGGCAAGGGTGTTTGAATAATTTGATATGACAGCAGACTATCAGCAATTTCAATCACTTGTAAGTGCTTTTTTTTAATGTTGATTCTATTCTTATTGGTTTCCTTTATGATATTGTTACCATCACCATCGTTTTATTAATGATTTTTCTATTGTTTTTTTTTTCCCTACTGATTGCTGGGTCCGTGGGCTTTGGCCAACTCCTGAAAAAAACTTGAATTCCAGAAAACACCAAGGCTTTGCATGTTTCATTAGTATACTAACAATATCACAGTTGGTGGACACGGTAATCTTTTGGGAATCAGATAACTCATCAAGAGCCTCTTCGAAACCTCAAATGTTCTTTAGAAGAAAGGGCAAGTCAAAGGCCAAAACAGAGGAAAAGTCCGCTGATTCCATTAAAGACAAAAGCCAAGAATCACAGCAGCAGCCACAGAAAATCAGCCACTCACAGCAGCAACAACAGCAACCCGAGGAAAATAAAGCGATGTCTGGAAAAGCACAGCCACCAAATGGATATCAATCAACACAAACAGGCCAAGGCTTTGAAAATACTCCGAGACAAGAAAGCCATAAATCCGTCATGGCCCAGTATGATCTCGATGATTCATATGGTTTATTGGTCCCCGGACCAAGGTTCCAAACAAGTCAAAACAGCTTTTCCAACCCTTCTGTTTCCTCGACTAACATTTCGGATAACGGGTCTATTAACACACAAGATGCATTGCAATTGATATCAAAGGGAGTAAAGCTAGATCATACCGATATATTTGTCCCTAGACCAACACCAACTGGTAATTCGCCAATTTCTTGCTTAACTCCGGCAGCACAATCGCTTAACAGCTTCAATAACTTATCCTTCGCAGGTCAGGATATATTTTCTGGTCATATGTCAACAGAGAATTTTAAATCTGTGAACAAGTCATCAAAAGCAAACGGAGAAACAACCAGGAACCACCACGTCAATAGATCAACCCCAAATTTACAAAGCCCTATCAAGCAGAAACAGGATAATCTAAAGAAAGACTCACGGAAAAACAAGAGCAATAATTCCTTTTTCAAAAGGCTCAGTAAACTAAGCTTCTCCTCATCGTCCATATTCGAACAAATGTCACCTCCACCTCTTCCGCAGTCCAAATCGGATGATTCTATTATAAACAGCGAGAGGAAGGCGAAATTCAATAGTAACCCAGAATTGTTGAATAGCATGAAGGTGGAGAACATTACAGTCTTGAATCTTCAGAACACCAAAAGGGAGACTAAAAGATTGTCTAAGAGACAGCAAAACAAATTAAAACGACAATCCCTCAAACAGCAGCAACTTGAATTAAAAGAATACTATAAAACCCATCAAGAAATTCCATCAGTTCCACCAGCATTTCTACTTACACCTAATCCTGTTGAAAGAAAGATTCCCGCAACAGTTTTAACCAAAGCAGAAAAGACATATCCGCAAACCGTGAAAAGAGCCTCAATGCAGACCAATTCCCATATAGTCACTCCAAATCCGACCCCAAAAACCGAATTGAGCAAGACCTCAACAGCAAAGAGATTAGCTGTTAATCATGAACTTACTGGGCCAATGCCAACTCCAGAGGAATTAACCAAAAAATCCACTATTATTTCAAAGAAATACATTCCTGGTCCCTCTGATAAACTTGGAACGTCTAAGATAGATGATGTCCTCAGCATTGAAAATCCTGACTCTCATAACACCTGTCCTCCAACTCCTCCCCCACATGCTTCGCTACCATCATATATCAGAGCTGATTCATCAGCTGGACAAGAATTCGAAGACCAAATATACCAAGAACAACATTTCATGAATGGTGAGCAGAATGGCGAAGTGAACAATGATGGTGTATATTACACTAACGAATTGTATACCCTCTCGGAGAAGTCGGTCGAAAACTCGATCAATAATACTCATAGCAGAAATATCTCAAATAGTTCCCGTAACGTGGCCGCTGGCCCCAATGAGGGCGTTTTCTTGACCCCAATGCCAATTCCACAAAAGCAAAATGTTGACAAAACTCAAATGGCTACGTACATATACTCCAGAACAAGCTCGGTTGATAATTTGAACAATCCAGTTTTGATGGATTACTCGTCTGCTTCTATGCATTCCTCGGATTTTTTCAGTGCTTCCTCTGGCAGTGAAGATGAGCTTGATGTGGTCTCCAATTCTAAACCTAAATTTGTGGTCACTAAAAGGGAACAATCCAAGAGAACCCCTGTTCAACAACACGATTATGATATTCTTGATGATATTGTTGAATTTGACAATGATGAAGAACAAGAACCAAGAACCATGAGTACTGCCCTTGGTAATGCCCTTAACTATCCTTCCTGTATCCTTGAGATTAATAAGACTCCTGAGCTTCCAGGATACCCTGCTCCTGTTCTTCCAGTTGAAGCCTCATTATCTCAACAAGACTATACCAGTACCCCACAACAACCAAATTACTCTGCCCCAAGCGTGCCTTTGAATATGATCCCAGTTCCAATTCCAGTTAAGGATCGGGTTCCATATGATGGTGGTATCAACCTTGATGATCTTAAATTGATTAAAGATGGCCATTACTACAAAAATTTGGTTCGTATGGGCTCAGGTAAGTCTTTCAGTTCAACCAAGGTTAGAATTGACTTCAGTTCTGAAAGCAACGGAAGCGACGATTTTTGAGGAGCCATTTTTTTCTTTGTGTTTTCATTTTCTAAATGGCTCATTATTTCCTACATTATATTACTTCCACCGCTAGGATCAGTATTGTCTGATCTTATAGCTTTACCTAGTTTCAAATCCATCTATTACTTATAAACTTATCCTTTTTTTTTTTGCCCTTGATCATCATTTAGAAGATCATGTTGACCATACGCCCAATTCTCTTTATTTTTCTCTCTCTATGTACTATTATATAGCCATGACTTGCATTTACTGAAACGATTTCATCTATGATTTTCATGTTCGGTAACATTTTTTACATCATTACTCTTACTGTTTTAACATTTCACTATACACACCTTGCATTTTCATAAATTATTTTGACCGTAGATCTCAAGAATAATTGAGACCTCCCTGAATTTGCCCATATAAGTTTCCAATATCGCCTGTTCAATGGTGATGATTTATGGGCATTATAATATATTATGGACAGTAGAAATATTGAGCGCGTTTAGACATGCAAGTGACTTTAATCGCACGCGGAAGTTTTTTTTTTTTTTTCCCAGTATAAAAAGACCGACTGTGTGAAAATTTTTACTTATTAGTAGACCTTTTTCTTCTTCTTTAGCTTCATAAATAAAACATTGCTGCCTATTCACTGTGGTATTTACTTTATTAATGAATAACCAGAGGGGAAAAGGTAGCTAGAGCAAAATTATTCGTACACGATCTCATACTGAGAATGCTTTATTATTGGTAGCATATTTTGGTAACTGCGTTTACGAGATATCATAATTCATGATGATTGAATTTTAATGTAAGAAAAATTTTTTTTTTTTTGTTATATTGAGTAAGTTTATTTTTTTGGTAACGGTAGATTAAGGTCACATCCCTAGTGGGCCATCCCATCATGAACGCGTATTAGTATTAATTTTATGTAAGACTATCACTTTCGTGGGAAACTATCCTCGAAGCTTGGCCCCATAGCTTTTTCACAAAATGTTTTACAACAGTGTACGGGTGACAATCAACAGATGTGACAATCAACAGATGTGACAATCAACAGAAAATAATACATGTATTGTATAATAATAAGTGAACATAATGATAAAAAATAAAGACTTTCCAAAAGCCATTTATTTCTTTGATACCTTCTTTTCAGACTCCTTGTCATTACTAGCTTTCTCTTCTTTCTTGTCATCATCGGCTTCAATATCTGAACCTTTTCCGCTATTCTTCAAAATTCGGTTCTTATTTTCAATCTTGTTTTCAATCAAATCATGGAAGGAGATTATAGAATTGATTAAAGAACTTATGTAGATGATCATTAAGTTATCGTTGGTTTTGATCTGTAATGCCTTGTTCAAGTCTGAAAACTCGGTGACTTGTAAATTGCCTTCTGGGTCTCTCATTTCAAACTTAGCAGCCGGCGATTCGGTATTTTCCATGGTCACATCTCCATCTTCACGCTTTTGACGCACTACCGCTTCCAAATCACTAGCACTAATCAAGTTTGGCAACAAGTTGAAAACATTTTGTAATTTACCCAAGATCAAGTGGTTGATCGGCAATTGATTGTCCAACACCTTAGTCAAGTACCCAATGATATTCTTCAAACGGTCGTCTAAACCTCTCAAACTCTTCAATTGGTTGGCAATTTTGACGCTCAATAACCCTTGGGCTTGATCTCTTATTTCTCTCAACAAATGTTCGACCCCAATTTCTTCTGGCTCTTCGGCTTCGATGGTGCTTGGTATATGAACAAAAGTCTTTTCTGTTTCGGTACCATCTTCCTTCACCTCTTGAACAGACAAATAAGCATCGGTTGGTAAACCACTAGATTTGTCGTCCTGATTAACATTGATCACCAATAAAACCGGATCTGAATGGTATTTTTTGAAAAGTTCATTTATTTGCAAATCGCTGGACTTTAATTTTGGACCAGAGTGGTACCACCCAATAACCCTTTCTTTAGCATTGATTTTCTTGAACATCTCACTCATTGTGTCAATGTAATTGTGATCAAGGAAGAAAACATTCGAGTTCTTGTCATCTTCTTCAAATGGTACCGCGAAGGAGTTGGTAACTCTTATGTATTCTGAGTTTGCATTGTTTTCACCCAAGATTATACCAACACATCTCTTCTTAGTACTTTTGACGGTACGATTGTAATGATCAACAACAGACAATAACACCAATGGTGCTACCGAAACGGTTCTGTTGATATCAGATGAAACTGATGATGATTTTGTAGACATTGTTGTTGCTGGAAAAAAAAAAAAGGAAAAGAAAATCGCTACCTTTAATGACCTAATTTTTTGGTGTTGACTCAAAAATTATTACAATTGAAATTTTAGATATCCAAGATCAATTCCCTCTAGATTTTGACGTTTCTGCGGTATCCAACTTCTTGGTGAACGTTATTATCCTCTGGTGTTTTGGGCCCTCATAAAGATTCCTGTTGCCACTTTAATGTTTTTCGTGAAAGGAAAATGGGGATGTCTGGTGCAAAGGTGTGGGAACACCCGTGCATTGATGAAAGTAGGGAAAAAAATATTATTACTGAAAAGCGCAGACTGATTAGATGAGATCAAAAAGAAAATACTTAACCTTAGGGTACAACTGAAAAAAATAAATAAATATTTTTTACTAAATAAAAAAAAAGGATGCCTATATTTGGACAGGTAATTATTGGTCCTCCAGGATCGGGGAAGTCAACGTATTGTTATGGCCTTCAGCAGTTCTTCAACAGTATTGGTCGTCACTCAATAATTATTAATTTGGATTTAGCCAATGATAAATTAAAATATGACTGCGCATTAGATTTAAGAGACTTCATTACTCTAGAGGAAATCATGTCTGAGAACTCTTTGGGTCCGAACGGTGGGTTGATCAAAGCTTTTGAAACGCTTACCGGGGTTAGTGATTCCGGAGCTGACAAATCTGATGATGGCGAGGAGGACAATCTCTTTGATGTCCTTCTTAATGAAATAACCAATATTGTGGATAAATCCAACGCTTATGTAATATTTGATACCCCAGGTCAGTCAGAGCTTTTCACTTCTAACTTTTCATTGCCTAATTTATTCAAAGAGTTGGGCAAAAGACTGGATCTTCGTTTATGCTGCGTCAATCTCATGGATTCAATATACTTGACAAGTCCGTCATCTTATATTTCAATATTGTTGACTGCGTTGAGATCAATGTTATTATTGAACATGCCCCATGTGAACGTTATATCAAAGGTCGATTTACTTGCAAATTACGATAAATTGCCATTCAACTTGAAGTATTACCTCGAAGTTGATAATTTAGAGGAGTTGATACCGTTGTTGGAGAAAGAAATGAGCTATTCGAAAAATAAATTGGGGACTAAGAATTTGCTCAAAATAACAGAACTGATCATAGATTTGGTGGACGATTACAAGATGGTTGATTTTGAGGTGTTATGCGTGGAGGATACTAGATCGATGATAAACTTGGTTAGAAGAATCGATAAGGCTAATGGTTATGCGTTTGGTGAGAATGAGATCTCGGGTGATTCAACATGGATAGAGGCTTCTAGATTAACTGGAACCTCGGCAAATGGATTGAGTGACGTTTGGGGAGAGGAAATAGATATCCAAGAAAGATGGATCGACTACAAGGATGAATATGATGCTCAGGTTAAACTGGAACAAGACAAGGCGATGGAAATGATCAAGAAGAGAGAGAGTGAACTTCAGAAAGGTCATGACGCGGCAGATGCAGAGGATGAGTACGAAAGAGACTTGGCAAACTGGAAAAAGGATCATCCTTTCCAAAAATGATGACGTTGGGTGTCTTAAGCTTGCATTATGTAATATATGAGAGACGGATATAGAATGTATCATATTGCTTTACCGAGATTTGTACAAGATTTTCCCAGCTGTAACAAAAAAATAATAATTAATAAATAAATAGCAGATAGCAGAAAAGACAAATGATGGTTTAGATTTTATATTTTTGAGAATCAATTCTGGATTGAAATAAATGAGTTGGATTTACGTGAATTATTGCAGAAGTTGGAAAGTTATTGTGTCTGTTGATTTTACTAAATAGCACCCCATGTGAGAAATTCCATTATTCTCAACCTTGTGCTCTAGCTACTCCTTTTTACTATACACTCAAAAAGAAAAGATTCTCGGAAACTATTCTCTATTTTTCCTCTTTCTTTTTCCTTCCATAAAATATTACTCCCAAACACAAAATTCCTTTCTCCAATAATCGTCCTTCCCACATTGATGATGCTAACAACGTGAGGGTCTCCCACTACCCACCTGATTAGTTGGATAATCAAAGAATATTGGTAGTGGAGCTAGCTTATAGCCAGTGTGGTTCAGCGGTCTCCATGAGCTCCCCTAGACCTCCGCTGGACCTCACTTTTATCCTATACATAGCGTGCTCCCCAATCTTATCTCATCTCATCTCATCTTATCTATTTGGTCAGTGGAGACGAACCGAGTGGGTCTCCGGGTGACTGTAATAACAAGTAGAGTTTGGCACTCGCTGACAGGCACAGTTATCTACATGATCAGGGATTATCTTGCAGGACAACACCCCGGCATCGGGATTACCTAATGGGGAAATAATATCTGAGGCTGGCGGCCCCCGAGCGGCCGGTCGCCCATCGGCAATGGCCATCCACCAATCACCAAACGGTTGAAAAATTTCTCTTTTGAGCACTTTCGTAATCTCGACGATCACCATCCTGCCCCCAGCACCAACAGCAATTACAAACACATTGAGTCATTGCTGGTGTTATTTTCCTCGCGCCTGCATTCGCTTGCAATTATCATTGATAGTAATATTCTTATTACAGGTTGTCATTACCCCAAATCGCCTATTCCCGTCGGTCGAGATCTCCCCTGTGCTTACAAAACTTCACCAAAAAAAATTAGCGTGTGAAAGAAAAAAAAAAAAAAAAAATAAAAAAAAAAAAAGAAAATCATTGTTTGAAATTTCATTTAAAATTTCTTTTGGCCTCCATCTCAAATTGCTTGCCATCCCATACGAATTCTTAAAACTTTGAGGTAGTATCACCACACCGAACTGTTCCGGGAGCTTAATTATCATTATTAAAGCAGTGTTCTATCATCTATTCACTGGGTTTACCGAAACAATCTTCTATATCATTACCGTCACCCGAAAGCTTGCTTACCGTATATATACGCCTCTGAATTTTGTCCAGCTCATAATTGAAAATTACAACAAATAACAGCCTAGAAACTATCTTTACAACATTATAATCACCATGTCTGACGATTACGAAAGTCTTCCTGACTCCGTACCTTTTGTTAACCATCTTGCTGCCGGTGCCTTAGCCGGTATCATGGAACATTCATTGATGTACCCTATCGATAACATCAAAACCAGAATTCAAGCATCCATAAACATCAACCAATCTATCATCAATAGCATTAAAAAAGTGTCTTCGGCAGAAGGGCTTAAGTCTCTTTGGAAAGGTATATCTGCAGTCGTTGTTGGTGCAGGTCCTGCCCATGCAGTATATTTTGGAGTTTATGAATTTTTTAAAACAAATATGATTGACAATCATGCCTCTGCTCCAGGAAGCTTTAACAGCATCGATTTTCTCTATTTTAGTAAGATCGCTCTTGCTGGTGGTACCGCCACCGCGACTTCCGAAGCTCTTATGAACCCATTTGATACCATCAAGCAAAGAATGCAAATAAACTCGTCTTTCACGAAAAACTCAAAACAGTTCAATCCTAACTACACTTCCATCTTCAAGACCATGTCATACATTTACAAGAAGGAGGGCTTCAAGGCTTTCTATTACTCTTACCCAACTACATTGCTCATGACCGTGCCTTTCCACGCCACAAACTTTTTGGTTTATGAGTCGATGACAAAACTTTTGAACCCAACTGACTCATACAACCCATTGGTCCATTGTGTTTCTGGTGGTTTGGCTGGTGGTTTGGCTAGTGCCATCACTACCCCATTCGATTGTGTGAAAACCGTCTTGCAAACTCATTCTTTCACTATGAAATTCGAGGATGCTAGCCCATCTTCTACTAACCACTCTTCGTCATCTTCTTCCTCTTCCACTTCCTCTTCTTCTTCCACCTCTTCCAATATTCGCAATAATGCCAACACTAAGATTGCCCAACAAATGGTTCATTCTAACAGTCATGAGGGAACCACTTTAGTGATGGCTTCTCGCAACTTACACCAATCTTCCGCAAGCCATGCAATGAATGCCTCGACGAAAATCAATAGTTTCTTCACCGCTGCCAAATACATATATTCCACAAACGGTATCAACGGGTTCACGAAAGGGTTGAAGGCTAGAGTTGTTTCAAATATCCCAGCAACCGCCATTAGTTGGACAAGTTACGAAATGGCCAAGTTTTATTTGAATAGAAAATCAATGACCAGAAATAACAATGTTCTTGCTTAGAAAGCTACATTGTCAGCTGCCAAGGTTCACGATCCATATGATGTGGATTTTCAACAGACAGAAAGAAAGAATAGGAATTTTTGAAAATCGATTATATTCATTAACTTTCTCGCTTCCCGTCACTAGCTCATTAAAGTTGCCTTTGAATCTGTTATATTATATTAAAATCTAGAGTACGTACCTGTTATTAATCGGTGGCGAAGAACTAATACTTATATGCATATATTATGTTTGAGTTTTCATTTCTTTTGTTTGTCTTCATGTTGTGTTTTCCCTTTATTTTTTCTCCCCGTATATATATTATAGGCGAGCTTCTTAGCTACTGCTCTGCTGCTTTTTTGAGTTTTTTTCTTCACTTCGTATTTTTCCCCGGTTTTATGTACAAATAACAATTGATGATATAATGTCTTGTATTAGCTATTGAGTAATTCTATTTATGATGTTTACAAAAACTTGATACCAAAGGAAGGTATTCTCGAATCAAAAAGATAACTGTGGGGGCAAGGCGGTAAAATTCAAGAAAAAACATTATAATTCTAGATTGAACTAGCTCACTGTATCAAAAAAAAATTAACAAAATAGAGTATTGTTGAAGGGTGGCTGTTATTGGTATCAATGGAACTTGATTTCAGAATTTGGATTCCATAAGTGGTTAGGCTTTTGAGGCTTTGGTGAAATAACATTACTGTTCCGATTGCCATCAAGATCGTTAACTGGTCTTCTAAATCCATTAATGCTGGCCTCCAATTGTCGCGCCTCAGCTCTTCTATCATCAATATACTGATCAATTTTTGATCCCACTTCATGCGCCTTGATAATAAAATCATTGTAGAATTGCAACCCTTGTTTCAAGTTCTCAACAAGGGTCATATACTCCTTATGGATGGCTTCAATAGTATTGAAGAATTCCAACTTTTGCTTGTTTTCCGAGGTCTGATTCTGCTGTTCTAATTTTCTCAAATCATCAAGTCCACCTTCAAGTTTATCTTCAAGCTGGGATTGCTTGCGTTTCTCATTATTGATGCTCTGCAAATCTTCGTCCAATCCTTTCAAATGACGGCTATAAATTTCTTCATAGGATTCAGAACTGGCAGTTTGGTCATTCATATCGTAGGAAATTCCCAACTTGTGGTTGGCCTGTAAATACTTATACTCAGCGATCACTTTTGGTAAAATATTCATCTGCGATGACTTGATTTCCACCACCTCCACAATTTTTTTCCGATTATTCTTGAGATTTGATACCTCGACAAGTAAGTTCTTCAACTCATTTATTTTTTGCACTAGTTCAGCATTCCCTTGTGATCCATCAGAGTTATCAGTAGGAATTTGGCATTCAATCGCTCTAATTGATGACCCACATAATAACTCCACTTGTGGTTTTATTCCCTGATAGGACCTCTGGACAGTATCATCGCCGTTTTTAGCCTGAGTCAAAAAACTCTCCAATAAGCTTACATCTTCCATCAAATTTCCATTCACCTCTTGCGATGTTGGTCGGTTCCAAAAATCCGTGCCGTATCGTTGTCGAAGCAAATCATCTTCATTTTTCTCTAACCTTAGCTTTTCTATCATTTGGTTCACGGTATCCTGATTTTCATTTGCCAATCTTACCACATCACCAATGGCCTGCTCGATCTTGATGATTCCCCCCAAATTCTTCAATTCTTCAATTTTCACAATCACAGATTTAGGTAATGTTTGCGAAGTATCATTCAACAGTTCTATTGCCATAGGCAAATTTCTATCACTGAGATATTTATCGATGATGTTATTCAAACTACTCAACGGGTTGATTATCCTTTGCTTGACGTATTCTTCCTGGCGTTCTCTAAATGATTGCGAAAGCTGGATCACAGAATATGGAAGTAAATCGAAAAATAGCATTTTTCGAAGTTTCCCATCAAGACTATCTTTATCGTTGGTTATCAAATACTTCAATGGGTTTTCTAATTCTGGAGGAATCATGGTCTTCACCATGACCGCTGGCGCAATTGGAGTTAATGACTCTTCTTCATTGACAATTTGCAAGTAAATCAAATCATTATCCTTTTCGCTAGTCTTCAAGGTTTTGCCTAATAACTCATTGAATGATTCAATATCTTCTCTGAGCTGCTTGTTGTTGACCAAATACTTCAAAAATGACTTTGATTGATTCGACAACTTTAACGCTAACCTCAACCTTGATACCGCTTCTCCATGTTTGGATTCTGATTGGCAATGAATCGATTGTCTGTAAAGGGATACCGCTTGGAAGTGGAAACTCTTGGCTTTAATCAAGTTGGTCCAGTCGTTTCTGAGAAAGAATGAATGGCCAGCGGAGTCTATAAATTTCAAACATTCTTGATACAACACCGCAACTTGAATGGCGAGTTTGGCAATGAGCGAGTTCTTCAATTGGTTCTTCACCGCCTTAAGCCAGAACATTTCTTGAGCTTGGGCCAACATCAAATATTTTAAAAGGTTAACCACTTCCAATTGCAAATCTTTCGGGAACAATTCATTATTTTTTTCATTGCGTATCATTAATCGAATGATGAACTCAAAACACCCTGCTGCTGCTTGGAAATAATTGCAGGCTTTCTTTAATCCATCGTCCGAGTCCTTTTTCGATTCCACACTTCCTATTTGTGAGTAAACCGCAGATAAATTGTAAACCACATTCATTTGCTCAAATAGGATAGACCGCATCTTGATCATCTCTCTTTCATTGCCACTGGTATAACCAACAGATAAATTCCCATCAGACCACGCAAATTCCGCAAAATCGCCAGGAAATTTCAACAACAACGAAGATATATGAATATAGTATATTTTCAAATCTTCAACACTCCCTATGGTACACAAAATGTCGTTAATTGCCAAATACATTTTATGCCTAAGGTCTTTGATACAATCTATATCATCCAGGAAACTGTTAGCGGTTTGATAGTATTCTTCACTAATGATTTTCTTAATTGCTTCACCAAGGTCAAAATCTAAAGTTGACCTGAACGGAACTGATAATAGAGTCGTCATTTTGATGTGCCTGGTTTTTTATAGAAGTCTACATGTGGCATGGTATTAAGCAATCAGTTTTGTTTACGATCTTTTGTTTTCCCTATTTTTTTTTTTATAGATGGATGCCTAAAAGACCCACCCAATTGGTATTTATGTACATTATACTGCATTAAAATTGAATGAGAACCAAATAGAAGAAAGAAAAAAGTGAAAATAACTTTATTAAAATAATAATATACAATACAATACAATCTTCTCCACGTTTATATACTTTCAAGTCTCTGCTGTTCCAAAATTGCATTTTTTACATCGGCACTCACGCAGTCGTTAAAAATATCCAAACTCACTCTTTTTAATCCTGTGTTCTTCAACAACGGAGCCGGTTCAAGAACTGTCAGATACATTAGCCCTCCATTGTGATTCGTAATATCGCCATTCAAACCACCCCAGTCACTCTGGTTGATTTTAGGGAATCGCGTGTGAGGAAGTACCTCACTCGAAGGCGGTACATTTTTGCACCAACTGGACGTCGACGACTGAGTTAAAAGTGGATAAAAGTAAACCCCAGTATACAAATCTTTCTTACCTCTTTTTCTATTCACAAGCTCTAATCGGGATCGCGACAAGTCTGCATTGAATTTTTTGGACGATAACGAGTGTTCTAATAACCAATTATCTTGGTCTATATGGTTTTCTGACATAAGCGATTTGATGGAAAATGTTCGATCCATTTCAAACCCAATGTATTTCTCCACACTATTACTTTTGATATTCTCTCTTGTGCTCGTTGATTCATCCTTTATAATCGCTGTTTGATTCTGTTGTTGGTATATCTGCGAACCACCGTGCCAGGCAATGTACCTCTTTTTATTGTAATCTTGTTTGTTAAGAGGAACTGGATCGTCGGGCTCGGCAATTTCACCTTCCACTGCTCCTTCTTTTTTGGCTTGATCTTCATAATAGTCATCAATGACTTTTTTACCACCAATAATGATTCTTGCTCCAAACTCTTTGAAAATAGACCTTGCAGTTACCAACCCAATGGTTCTGCTTTTGTAAGAATTGGGCATTATATCTCTATCCACCAAATCCTGTTTCTGTTCCTCATTCAATACGTATTTGAATAAAGTGTTGTGTTTCAAAAACAAGTAATAGGCATCTCTATAACCAATACATCTTGCCGGCTCAGTTGACAACATGTACAATTTATCACCATTACCTGTCACTGTGAAAGTTCTAACTCTAAAATCACGGCCGCCTTGCAAGTACCCATATTTATCAATCTTTTGATCACCTTTGGCATCGTCCTTGATATTATACTCATCATTTTCATTATTCAAAGAAATTGGGTTCCCGTCATCGTCAAGGGGAATTGGGAATGGACTATGGACCTTCCTTGCAACCTTGAATCCCGGTTTTCTTCCTGGCTTCTTCTTCTTCCTAGCCGGTGCTTCGAAATAATCATCGCTGCCAAGCCCGTACTTTGCCAAACGTGCAATGGTTGATTTATTTCTACTTCCTGGAGGTCTTCCTCTACCTCTTTTACCTTCTTTGGGTGTTTTTGATCCATCCTCGAGATCAGGTTCTCCATCTTCTTCCTCCTCTTCCTCTTCATCATTTTCCTCGTTGTTGACATGAGTTTCTTCTTCTTCTTCTTCTTCTTCCTCATCATCATCCTCTTCTTCTTCTTCTTCTTCTTCTTCGTCGTCTTCGTCGTCGTCCTCTTGTTTCACGGCTCTTCTGGGATTTCTGCGAGGGGTGGTATCTTGTTTTTTTGCTTCTTCGTCTTCGTCTTCATCATTATATTCTTCATAATTTTCTGCCAGATCAATATCTAAATTCGAATAGTTTGGCGATGATAATCTGGTCGAGCGACGTGCTGTGTGCAATTTAAGTTAGTAACAATATTTCTCAACCCAAAAAGACTTTTACATGGGGGATACAAAAAAACGCGTTTTGGCGTTGCAAAATAACAAAAAAAAAAAAAACCACAACATACTTGAGCGAGTAGATCTGTCGTGCTGCTCCTCATGATCGAGCCGGCCACTTCTTCTTAGATGCCTTGTCATAGTTTCTCGTCTATGAATTAATTTATTAATTATATAATGGTTAGATTTTATTTTATTACAAAACAACAAATAACCAATTTCCAATCCCATAATTTGCGTGATACTTTGGATGAGGCAGGGTAAGTATGTGCGACTTTTCCGTGCCGGTTATTATTTTCCACCAAACGAATTTCATAATAAATAGACGGTTCAATTATATTATTTCAACACATGAGGACAAAAATAAATAACTAGAGTTTGTTTTTTATTTATTATTATTATTATTATTATTTTCTCAACCAGGATGCAATGCTGGTTGTGGTCGTTGTGTAGATGTCATAAATATTGGGTTTTCGGTGTTCTGTAAGGTAAGTGGAGTACGAGAAAAAGCAGGTTGCGTACGCAAAATTGAACAGACTGACTTTCTTGATTCGTGCTTGATTGTTTTATTTTAATTGGTAATGATGATTCGATTTTACGGTATTCTTCATAGCAGATGGCAAAGAAATTCTGCAGTTTTAGCAGGCATACATGGTGAGCACAATCTTTTGATAAGTCCGAGGGATTGGAAACCGTAACTGATAAAATGATAAAATGATAATCGGAGAAAAATCACCAAACCATTATTTTTGTCTGCTTGCCTCTTTTTTTTTTTTTTTTTTCTGTTCTTCGAAAATGCTGTCGATACTGATCAAATTCGTGGTTGCAATATAAATCTAAATTTATATAGTTTTTTAATAGGATCTTGGTGCATCAAAAAGGATGCGCCTTATTATTCGATCTCCGACATGAGGGATCTATCCATAAACTTAGACGTGCCACACATATATGTAATCTATGATGAGAATATTCCTCTCAACGTATTACATCTCCGTGACGTCCTGGTGATTCCACAAAATAAACCTATCTAACAACAGTTATGGTGATTCCAACATATGTTCACTTCTATGGTGATCTATTGGAGATGGTTAAAAACGTCTCACTTGCAAAGGACAGATAGCTGAGTGATAAAAAAAAAATTTGTAGTAAATAATCACTGGTCAATATAATACAATACATTTAATCCCTGATCTCTCGCCATCTATTGGCAAACTGTCTGCTTACTATTGCCCAGGGTACCCCACCCCTGGTACACTAGGAAGCTTATATTCCGGGTAACTACAAAATAATGCTGGTGCAAAACTGGCCAATAATCTCCCTGTAAAATAAGCGGTCAAAAAAAAAAAATACTATAGTTACTATCACAATTTCATAGGCGTTCTCTTTCAAGCTCTCTCCAAACGTATCATCACAATCACATCTACTATGATCCGCAGCAACATTAAGAGCTCGAGAATACTATTGAAGCGTGGTTTGGCCACCGTTGCTGATCCTGCAGTGAACCCACCTCGTCACTATGGTGGTCTCAGCGATCAAGACCGTATCTTTCAAAATCTTTATGAAAATTACGGTAGCGATTTGAAATCTTCTATGCGTATGGGGGATTGGTACAAGACTAAAGAAATCATTCTTAAAGGTGATAAGTGGATCATTGATGAAATGAAGAAATCCGGTTTGCGTGGCCGTGGTGGGGCTGGTTTCCCTAGTGGTTTAAAATGGTCTTTCATGAACCCTCCAGGATGGGAAAAGAATGAAGGTCCAAGATACTTAGTCATCAATGCCGATGAAGGTGAACCTGGTACCTGTAAAGACAGAGAAATCATGAGAAAGGACCCACACAAATTGGTCGAAGGTTGTTTATTGGCTGGTAGAGCCATGAATGCCACTGCAGCATACATTTATATCAGAGGTGAATTCTACAATGAAGCCGTCACTTTACAAACCGCCATCAACGAAGCCTACAAGGCTGGTCTCATTGGTAAGAATGCTTGTAATTCTGGCTATGATTTCGACATTTACATCCACCGTGGTGCTGGGGCCTACGTTTGTGGTGAAGAAACCGCCCTTATTGAATCTATCGAAGGTAAGGCTGGTAAACCAAGATTGAAGCCTCCTTTCCCTGCTGGTATCGGTCTTTTCGGTAGACCATCCACTGTGACTAACGTCGAAACCGTCGCTGTTGCCCCAACCATTTTGAGAAGAGGTGGTGATTGGTTTGCCTCTTTTGGTAGACCAAGAAATTCTGGTACCAAGCTTTTCGGTATCTCCGGTCATGTCAACCACCCATGTGTTGTTGAAGAAGAAATGTCTATCCCATTGAAAGAATTGATTGAAAAGCACTGTGGTGGTGTCATTGGCGGTTGGGACAACTTGCTCGGTGTTGTTCCAGGTGGTTCCTCCGTCCCAATTTTGCCACAATCTACTTGTACAGACGTTCTAATGGATTTCGATGCCCTTAAGGATGTTGGTTCTGGTTTGGGTACTGCTGCGGTTATTGTCATGAACAAGCAAACCGATGTCGTTAGAGCCATTCAAAGATTTTCTGCTTTCTACAAACACGAATCATGTGGTCAGTGTACACCATGTCGTGAAGGTACCACTTGGTTAGACAGAATGATGCGTCGTTTTGTTAAGGGTCAAGGTACCGAACGTGAAATCGACATGATTTGGGAATTAACTAAAGAAATTGAACAACATACCATCTGTGCCTTGGGTGATGCCGCTGCTTGGCCAGTCCAAGGTTTGATCAGACAATTCAGACCAGAAATTGTGAAGAAGTTCCAACAATACGAAGAAAAGATGGGTGAAACAGTGAGTTACGGTGGTTGGGTCCCTAAGGGTGATGTTAAGGAAGGTAAGGTGATAAATAACCCGGTTCCAGAGAGCCATTAAGCATACATAGCATAAAGTTGTATTATTGACTATTATTATTATTATTATTATTATTTTTTTTTTCACGTTCTCAAATTCTATTTTTGTTGTTTTCCCTCACACTTCTTTATTTACGTTACCTTAATCAAAATGAAATGAAAAATAGTGATTCAGTTTGTAGGTGCATTGGCAGTTGATTTGAATATGGTGCTAGTAAAATCCCTTATCTGTATACAGAAAGAAAAAAAAAAAAAAGAGGAATCCATTTTTTACCCCAGTTTTTGAAATGGCGGGATTATAACCCCACTGACTGTTAAAGTTTTCATATTGCTATATTATAATATCACCATGCATGTGCAAAAGCTTTCTGGAATTTTTGTTCTACATCTTTACTTTGTGTATTATACAATGTTCGATTCTGAAGCTCAATAGGAATGATAAAAGAAATTGGAGAGCCCAATTGCAAGAGTTTCAATAATAATAAGAATAGAGAGCCTTTTTTGTTTGTTTGTTTGTTTTCATTTTGTGGATGAATATCACAGGTTTCAATGATATTTAAAGATATTAATTACCTTATTGTCCCATTACAGATATGCACTGACTTTTTTTTTTCTTTTTTGTTTTTTTAGTGCTTCTTCCCAAACTTGACGGCCATTTCAACGGCAGCAGCACCCCAGTCTTCACCATGGTTGTGCGACCCAGCACTAATACCAGCCCTCTGCTCGGCTTGTTCCAAGGTGAAACAAGTCAACACCCCAAAGATGACCGGGGTGTCCAAATGTTTTTGCAACCCCATTAATTCGTGGGTGGTCGAATCAGCAATGTATTCAAAATGGGCGGTGGAACCCTTGATGAGCACTCCGATGGAGATGATGGCGTCCACTGGGGTGTTGTTCTCTTTTTGGATTTCTACCATACGCTTTGTGGCATATGGAAGTTCAAATGAGCCAGGAATGGTTTCAATGATGATATTTTCTTGGGACACTCCAAAGCGGCGAAGAGACGCTACAGCACCTGCGACAAGTGAGTCGATAATTTCGGCGTTCCAACGAGCGTGAACAATAGCGACCCGAAGAGATGAACCATCGTATTGTTGATCTATTTTACCTAATCCTTCAGCAACCATTTTTTATTTGCGTGACTCCCTATTGTTTTTTATCGTATAGATTCTTTCACGGTTTGTTGATGCTCTTATGGCAGACATCGTCTTTTAATAAGAATCCATGAAAAATTGGGGGATCAGGTCGGGTAATGATGGATTACTAAGGCATTCAACTTAATTAATCATCATGTTAATCATTATATAATAGATAGTAATACAAAATATCTGTATATGATCTCTAATATTTTGATATACTGAAAAGGTGGGATTATTATTTTCTTTTCTCTCTCTCTCTTTTTTTTTTGACCTTTTGATAAACCTTCTGCTTCCTATCTAAGATAAACATTTGAGGAGTGCATTTAAGGTAAACAGTTGAGGTAAACAGTTGAGGTAAACAGTTGGGGTAAACAGCTGCATTTCTTCATTTCTTTTTTTATTTTTTTTAGAAGCAGTCTTTCACTAGTTTATTCTTTGAGAATCATCCCAAGAGCTTCTGACTTTGTTCTCTTAAAGCCATCTGAATGTCCCACTTATTTCAATGGAATTAAGGGTGATGCTGATCGATTGAAATTTGTATTAGTGTGAAACCCCAAAGATCAACGATGAAGACTAACAATAGTAAATCAAATTCTCTGTATTCGTTTTGGTGTTTGGAGCAGTGGCTCTCATTATATATAAAAAGCGAGTACTAAAATGCTTAGTTTACAGAATTTTCCTGGAAAGCTGATACAATCAAGAAAATTGGCTACTAGTAATACTTCAATTGAATCATTAAATTATAGGAATGACAGTATAATATACTGAAGATAAATAGAATATAAATAGGGTATGAATAGAGTATAAATAGAGTATAAATAGAGTATAAATAGAGTATAAATAGAGTATAAAGAAAATGAGCTAAAACCACCCCCAGTGTTATCAGAAGGAAAAGAAACCACCAGCAAAAGTCTAGCAATGGAGGTGGTCCTAATAAAGCAATAATAAATATAATATAGTGGTAGTATACGAATCTACTATAAAAACAGCAGATATAACCCTTTGGGTATCTAATAGCTGTTCTGTAAAAATTATGGTATTGATAGGAATTCATGCATCCAGATGGAACCTAACCCGTTTTTTACCATCTCCAAATGGATCAGTCACCATGAACGCTTCATTATTTTTTATATTCTTCCCATCGATTCCTATTAAAGCATCTTCATTGTCTGGGAAGTTCATATGGTAGCTAGTTCGTGGATTGTTGAATGGATCAATAAAAGCTTTGTTCATTTTATTTTTTTCTTCCCAGAACTCAGCAACGTTGACATAATTATTCTGGAACTTTTTACCAAATTTACCAATGCCACCTGGAACTTGATAGTGGTTTGGGGCAATATTACCACTGGCACTCATTCCAAAATTAAGCGCTGGGGAAGTACCATTGAACTTATTCCAAAGTTGATAAGCTCTACCATCACATAAGATATCATTGTGCTCAAAAAATGCGGCGGTATTTGGGGAATAAACCATAATATTTCTTTTGATGTTTTTTTTCTGGTTTTTGTAAATATGGGTGATGTAGCTCTGGTACCATCTGTAGAATTGGATGTAGCGTTGGTAATCCAAAGAGGTTCGTTTGAACAGAATTGCCACCTTCATGTCGGCTTTAGCCAGACGATTCCAATGAGATGGCATAACTCTTGATTTTTGGTTGATCAAGTTGATCTCGACATTTTTTGAAGAAAACATTGTTGGCACGATTTCTGGATAAGCTTCGAACAATGCGCTTTGGAGACCTCTACCTTGAGCAGACGGTTCCCAATGACATACTTCATCGAATGGGAATTGATAGTAGCCGTGTTCAGGTAAGCTTGGATCATCAACTTTAACGAGGATGAATTTATCTTTTGGTTTTGGATCAGATTTCTTAGAGTTCTTGTCCAAAAATTCTGTCATTGCTTTACCAAAGATAAGGTTGCCCCATTGTTCCATTGGTCGATAATTTGGGTTTTTCTCGCAAAAGGAAACAAATTCTTCAGGGGTCATATCATTTGGGTTTATTGGCTTGAATGATTGCCAACCAGGGCCGAAGAATGGAGTAAACATCTTTTTCAAAGGATCTGGGTTGCGTTGACACTTGGATTTTATTCCCAAAAGGACAATTGCAACAGGAATTACCAGCAAGAGAATTAGAATTAGTGAAATAAGCGAACTAATGATGGAAGGGGGGAGGAAATATCAATAAGCGAGTTTGCTTTATTTCTAAGTCGGCAAGATATATAGACCTTATCTTTTTTTTGTTTTGTTTTATATATTTTTGATAATTAAATGTGAATCCGATTTGGAATTTTCCAAGTATTTGTAGTATTCGTATCCAAAAAATTAATTTTATGATAAGCTAATCAAAAAAAAACCAAAGGAGCATGATGTGTGATGAGATGTGAAACAAAAACGAGGGATTGTCCCACTGGGGGGTGCCTGCCAACGGTTAAACAATTGAAATTGGATCACAACATCTACTATAATACGACAGTATTATGGGTCATGAAGCTACCAGATCAAGGAATTGTTCTGCGATGGGGTACCTCCTCCATACACCGATGTCACTTCCAGGCTTATCTACGTGACCTTTGTCCGGAGTCAAATCCAAGGTACACACGCGGTACAATGCACTTCGCGTGCAACCCTTTTAGCGTCATCATCTATTTGTATTTTCTTTGCGTTAATGAGACAGCTTCTAGCTTAAGGGGATGTCATTCTACCGAAAATGGTCTTATTATCAGAAAACTTCTATCGTTAGCAATTACCAACTATAGTGAGGCTTCCCAGTCAAGAAAAATGAAATGTCTATACAACCGATCACATAATCATCTGTCGTGCAGTACGCAGTAGCGGACAAACAGATCCACCTATCAATCTTATCTTTCTTAGCTAACGTCATCTTTTCCAAGAAATGCCTGACTCCAATTCACTGCACACCTCTTCCTCATCTTCCTGAGGTCTGAATAAGTGCTGCACCACTGTGAATGTCGGTATGATCCCACATCTGTGATCCCAGTACTGTGGGAGGCTCGGCACGGCATGGCCGACAACACAAAGGGAAGAAAGCAAGTGCGGCAAAAAATAGCGAGCTAAAATAAACAAGTATGCATTGAACTATCTAGAAACAGAAAAGAATATAAAAAAAATTAATATTAGATTATTAAAATATTGGCTTATCAAATTAATTGGATTATTAAATTAATTGGATTTTTAAAATATTGGATCACACAACATCACGATTGGAAGACCTTCTTAACTTCCTGCTCCAAACAGGTATCTTGTAAGTAAAAGTACCTAAGATGCTCATAAACGTGTAACCAATCGACGATATTAATTAAAGACCATCCAAATCCCTCAAGAACCGAGCTGTAAACGTACTTCCCAGTGTAAACCACTTTGTCAATTGGCTGAGGTAATGGTGACGAGTCTAATAACTTGAACTCTAATCCTGCGTGTGTGTAGACTTTTCCTGGAGGCACTAATGGAACATAGTCATCTTTGGCTATCACTCTCCAAAATCCCTCGGTCAATTCTTCAATTTCGCCCGCTTGATATTTCTCGTCCAACTCTTCAGTACCACACAATTCATCAACATAATCTGATAATTCTTGATTACCAATCTTTGGGCCTGCCAAAGAGATCACTAATGGGTTGTATCCTAACAACTTCAATTCAATAAGCGCTAGGTTAGTCAATGCCCCGCCTAATGAATGGCCAGTGACGGTGATGCTGTAATCTGGATGTTCTTGTAATTCTTGTATTACCAATGGGAAGATTTCATCATAAGTCGATTTGAATAAATCCATAAACCCTTGATGCACTTTACAATCTTCACAGGCCGTGTTTCCACCATTGATTGGGGTATAATCTTCTAATATAAGTTCGGCGTCTTTGAGGGCATCAGTAATGCTCAAGGTTCCTCTATACACAATCAACAATTCTTTGTTTACTTCACTGACGGCAACGTAACCGGTGGCCGTGATGTTGTAAGAATTGTTATCATCCAAGTCCACTTGAACTTCTGGGTAAAACACCTTTAAAATGCTATAATCATTGGAGTTCTCGGTACAGAACTCTAAGGCACAATTCAATGTTGGGCCTACGTAGACGTCAATAAAATATGGAGGGTCTGCACAGTAGGAAACCGCGGTCAAATTCGCAGCACGGTAAAATTGGTTATAAACTTTTGTGGGAATATCAGTCAGAACTACTGCCCCATCTTCGTATCTTGGCAACAACTCGCCTTTAGGATGGGTGAAGTTCAATGAATGTACAGCTTCATTTAAATCCTTGATGCTTGAGGCAATTGGGGATGCGTGGATGGCTGTTGAGAGCAACACCAAGATAGACAATAACTGGGAAATCATCTTCATGGGTATAAGAGTGCAAGTCAAAAACAAATAATTGATGGTGATGACTTTATTTATTATTTCCGTTTTTGGAATTATACCCCTCAAGTCAGTGGCAATTGGATAAGTATTGTGTTGTCAGAAGGGAGGATCACCGTTGAGAGAACAGGGCAAGAGTATTGGGTCCTTCAATGGAGGCGGTAGTGTCACACTATTTATATATATGAGAACCTCCACAACAAATTTTGCTGCACACAATTTGTTTAACCAAAGAATTTGAAAATCTTAAAAAGATGAAAAAAAACACCAAAATGGGCCGGGCCGATTGTCAAATTATTTGTATTCTTCACTAAGACCAACCTTAAAAGTGGAGAAGCGAGAAACATGGACCCCTAATCGAAAATTTTTTCGTTCCATAACCCGCGGGATTCTCACGTCCCAATGTCACCTAAAATGATCAACGCCGTTGATATTTTTTTTCGGTAATTTGGCCACCACCATAATAATGCGCGGCGACAACAACAATAATAGAGCATCGTAGCGCAGATGTTTGTTCAGGATTTTCCTTCTTTATACTTTCAATTAAGCTTACAATAATAGTTTACGAAATTCTTAAACGTGTTTAACTGTTGGCTTCCTAGTACCCCGTAACCAACATTTTGATGAATCCAAGATTAATCTTAAAAGCAGAGCTTGCAGAGCTTACTTAGCGTGACATCATAAGCTTTTTTTTTAAAAAAAAAAAACAAACCCTAAACCTTTAACCTAACATTTCCTAAATAGTACATATAAATAGGAATAATAATATTAAAAACAAAATCGTTGCACATAAACCTGAAAAATGAAAGAAATAAATAAAAAAACAAGAATCAACTCAGTGAGAATCATTATCAGCCAAGAAAAAAAAAAGGAAACTCCAAGAGATGAAGCCAAGCAGTAGCCGTGCTTATTGAAATATTTTAGAATTCCACAAGATTACCGTGCAACACATGTGTCAAATCAGAATACCTTTCTTTTAAACCTTTTATATTTGATTTTTTTTTTTTGCTACCCATTTTCCTCACACTTTAAATACTCCAACCAAACATAAATTTTAGCATTCAACTTTCCACCTTTTCGAAACCTCTTTCGGTGAGCTCATACTTCTTCAAGTTCCCATTTTTTACGTTTGATGTATTAAGCAATTCTGGATAGGTAACATCCAACACCACCAATCCAACAAATCCAGCGCCAATAGCAGTAAAAGATGATATGACAAACTTCTTTAAAAACTTTCCAAACTTACTGCTTGAAGTATCCTGCGTTGGTTCAGATTCAACATTTATGGTTGAATTAATTGACTCTCTGGCACTAGGAAATAATTCAGCTTTTGTTAAACCACGATCATTAAAATTGGTGAATGAATCAAAGTATCCATCTATACCATTGTTCCCTGATCTACCACCAAAAATCTGCCCATTAGTGAAAATTGAATCTGGATGAAGCACTTTGTTACGAGACCATTCATAGGCACTTAGCTCGCGAAATCTTGCTTCCCGTTCCCGCCTTTTGGTTTCTTTAATATTATAAAGAATATTTTCCAATAGTGCGACATTTTGAGGGCTGGAAAATATAGCTTCAAGTTTTTGATAATTTTCATCTGATGGAATCACATTCTTGTCTTGCAGTGTATCATTGTTATCTTTATGCGTGGCATTCATCACGATATGCTTAGGTTTGGTGAGCATATTCATAACCTCCTCCATATCGTTCACCTTAGGTCCTTCATAAGGAGATAGGTTTTCAAATAACTTGGCATATGCAAGTTCATCAGTATAACGGGCCTCAGTGCCTAGGTGCTTATTGGATGGTGTTGTGCCAACATTGACTTTATCCAATTCAATATCATCGAATTTGATTGGCCTTTTCTTATGATCAGCATTTGTATTGTTGATCTCTTCTTTCATATTCTGGATATCCACTGTCTTATCTTCAGGCAACTTGCTATCAGTATTACCATTTTTGTTAGCCTTGTTTTGAATACCGTCATCAGTTTTCTCCTGGACAATATCTACAGGATTACCAGCTAGCTTTGGGTCTCCATCTTCCCCAAGTAATTTAGCATCTGGCTTCCGGATCTTTTCTTGTATATCCTCATCATGGTGCTTCTCGTGGGCAACATGGTAGCAAGCGGCAGATTCGTGATGGCGGTCAAAATTCGCAACATTTGATTCGACAGCACCAATACCAGGATTTTTATTAAGCTCATTGACCTGGTCAGCAGTATCCTTTTTATCCATGGCAACATCATCAAATTGGACATGTTTACTTCCAGATCTTTTGACTTTGGATTCAGATCTTTTATTTGTTTTGCGGCTATCTTTGTCCTTCGTGGTTGAATCAGTCATGATATCACCAGAAGATTCTGGTGTAATCTTAGCATTCTGCTTTGATTTAGGGGAATTTTTAAATGAAACAACTAGCACGTCATCAATATCATCCACATTGCTCTTCAATTTACGAACATTGAACAAGGAATCGGATTTCTCTGGGCTGTTTGGAGTTTCATTTGTTGAAAGTCCCCCTACTTTGTCAGCATCAGCGTTATATTTTTCATTATTTCTTAAGTTTCTTTCTATGAATGGTCTCATAAAATTTTCCAGGGTTTGTTTTGTAGTAGATTTTCCCACACTGATATAAGAGCTAGCGGCGGTATCATTTAGACATTCTTTGCTTGATTTCCTATTCTTTTGCAAATTTTCAAGTACCTTATTAATTTTTTCGTTCTTTTCCTCATCACTCCTCTTCACGGCAGATTTATGTCCTTTTTTTGAATTCTTATTCTTCTTTGTGGCGTTAATCTCACCCCCAGATCTCTTGCAAGGCTTCCTGGTCAATGTAATGAAATCAATCTCATAATCATCGAGATTCTCATCATGCTCGGATTGTGAATTTCGCTGACCGTCTTTGTTATAATTTTTATTTTTTGTCCTGGTGTTGTAACCATTACTAGTTGTTGAATCTTGCTTGATTCTGAAATAAACGTACGATGATCTCCAAATAAAACCCCTTCGTTGAATCAATTGAGATCTCACACCGACACCGGAATTCTTGAATAGCCTGGCCTTGCAAAGACGGGCGTTAGATGCTCTAAGCATTATCGAATGATACTAATAACGAAAACTGGTATTAAATACCTATCACAAGTGTATTGCGGTAACACTTAATTGTTATAGATTGATAGATATATAAGGGGAAAAAAAAGAAGGATAACAACCTCATCGCTTTGTCACGTGCTAAAATGGGGTTGCTGTTGCAGGATCTCCCTTGTTATCATTGCATCATGATACTTCTAGTGGTTCCTAATATGGCTTTTATTAAATGATGTAGTTCTCTTGAACATTAATGTTGAGTGGTTTCATAGCATGCCCTGATTTTCTTATTATTTTGAAGACAATTGTGGAATTGAATTGAAGATGAGAAGCAAAGCGGCGGGCTAGATATTCCGTGTACCTCTGGAACAACGGTCTACAGATCAACAAGAGAAAAAGAAGGAAAAAAAAGATACTAGTCGCATACATATATATAATCACTCTATGCAAATAAATCACTTTGAAATCTTGCTAATCCATCTTGCCACCCCGTAGTTTCCTTGCCATAAGCTCTTTTTATCCGTCAAATAGCCAATCAAATCATCTTTCAAAGGATCAACTTCCTCTATATCCTTCCAGCCATATAATGCTCTAAGTTCCTTCCATTCTTCCAAATTCGGTTCAATTTTTGGCGCCGACCCATACTTCAAAGGCCCCAAGTTTATCCAATAACCGTTTTTTCCTTGCACCAATTTGCTGATGGAATCTAAATACTCAAAGACATTTTCCGCAGTATCAATGAAGAATTCCGTGACAATAATGACATTTTCAATTCCTTCAGGGTTTGGAAGTTCAAATTTCCGGAAATCAGCGTTGTGCAAGGTTAAGTTTTCTGGTTTTGGACGACTACCGTTCAAGTTGATGGTTCTCAATTGATTCGCCTCGCTGATATGGTGGGAATATGAATGAATGTAAGGATAAATTGTATAGTTCTTATTGTTTTGCTCACTATACACAAACTCATTGAATAAATGCATCAACATTGAGTACTCAACGGCGTGCACTTGTTGATACCCTTCCAACCCAATCTCATGCGCCACCCTCCCAAGACCCGATCCAGGAACAATCACTGCGGTATTGGATTTCTTAACATTCGATCCAAGCTTTGACAATCCTTTTTTGTAAAATTCCAATATTGGTGCCACTTCTTTCTCCCCAACACTTGACCAATCCCGCTGATAATGGCATAATGACTCAATTACCCTAAAGTTTTGCACCGACGGTACCGCCAAACGCATCTCTGAAGGTTCAATGTTGTATTTTTGAATCGCTGATTTGGCAATATCTTCCAAGACAATGGAATTCTCTTGGATCGCCTGTTCAACTTTGGAAACTCTGGCCAAATACCCGATTTTGTTGCCAATGTCCTTGTGGTGCCCCGACATTTGATTATAAGCGCTTCTTCTTCGGGAGTTCCATTTCTTGGTCTTAGCGTTATATTCTTGTATAGATTTCACGGCGTTGATGAGTTCAGCCCTGTGGCTGGAGATATCAGTTTTGACAAATTTATTGAAGAGAAATGATAAGCTCTTTAACTTGTAGGCGTTGGAAAGAACCATGATAATAAGTATGGGGAAGGCGATTTTAGTATTAACGTTAAAAACGAGCAATAAGGCGTATGTAATGAGGATAATTGAAGTCTTAGTGAGAAATTCGCTTAGTTCCTTTTGCTGTCTACTATTCATATTCCCGGTTGGATGTAGTCCTTCTTGTTTTTTGAGACTCACTTGGATACTGCTTGGGTTATTCTGGTTAAATTTCTTTTGCTCACTTTTCATGTGCCTGCACAAGAGCCATACAAGTGGTAACTAGGATGAAAAAATATTCTAATATATTCAACCAATGTGGAGGAAAACTATACTAATGAAAACAAAAAAAAAAACCACCAAGTAGAAAATAATGCTAGAGAAAACGAGCCAAAATGCAAACAAAAGAAATATTCTTAAACTAAAACAAACAAACAAAAAAAATACATTAATAAATTTAGCCTTTCAATTAGTCGGAAAAGAAACTCTTTGCAATTCCCCACTTCTTCTTCAATTCTTCATGCTCTATACTAACAGATTCGTACTCTCGCTTACTTTCCTTAAATTGCTTGTCTAAGTTATTCAATTGCTCTTCTAAGAACCTATTGGCCTCCATTACCTCCAAGTTCCTTTCCATAGTTCTTCTGATTTCTTCTTCAAGATCAAGATCTAATTCTTCCTTTGCCTTGAGCTTTTCAATCATATCTCCCGATTTTCCTTCTTCAGATGTCATTTCCTCAATTTCTTTTAATTGATTTGCTTGTTCAGATTCCAATTCCAGTATTTTCTCTTCTAATTGGGAGATTTCTTGCTTCAAATCGCTATTTTCATCTTCTAAATTCGCCAAATTAACTTTTCCCTGAATCATTTCGTTGGCAACTTCGACGTGTTCTTTATTTAACATAGCATAAGATTGTTCTAATTTTCTGATTTCTCTTGTTAGCTGGGCGTTTTTGGTTCTGAGAGTCTCTATTTCTTCTTCCCTTTCCTTCTCTAGTTTATAAATTTCCTCGTGCTCACTTTCGTATTTCTTTAAGGTCATTGGAAGAATCTTGATCTTCATGGCGTCTTGGACCAACTCATTAACCCTGTAAGAGTTTGCACTGTTGTTGACATTATTTGTGTTAGCTGAACCAGCACCAAACGTAAATGGGTTGGCGGCATATTCCTCGGTATTATCATCAATAATATAATACTCGAATAATTTATCTTTCAAATACTCCAATAATTGATCAAAATTGAATTGTAGTAATTTATCCTCATTCTTCATCATTAGAGCAATAGCGAATTTCAAACTTGACTCGATCCCTTCCGCAAGTATCACATCAAAAATTCTAATCACAATATCCAATGGGAACTTGTAAGCAAACATCGTCAAAAACCACTGAGAAGCATACATCGATGATTTGATTCCTTGTCTCATCAAATGCAAATGTAACTTAGGAGACATGTCCTCTAATAATCTTTCAAATTGATATAATATTAGGTGCAATCCTGGCATATCTGGTAAATAAAACTCTCTTAACCCGTAAACCTTCATCAATTTTGTCATCAAACAAAATGCTTCACTTTCATTCATATTCATTAATAAAGGCACTGCGATAAACGCCATACCTTGAGTGTAACCAACCTCACTATCAAACAATGAGTACGCCTTGATAATGTTAAATAGGCTATCTGACTTATCAGACATGCTATTATCCGTAACAAATCTTGTTCTTGATAGGTCTTTTTTGATTTGTTTTTCATGGTTGCTAGGTTCCAAAATAATAGAAGTGTAAATGTCCTCGAGACCATAAGATTTTGAATTGATCATTACTTGCCAGAGAAGACCTCTAAGCTTACTTGGAATACCGTTAGTCAATTCCCGGTACAATTTAACGGGATCTTTTGCAACACAATCATTATAATCATTAATGATCAACGACCAGAAGTCCCAGTCAATATAGTCTGATTGATTTGAGTCTGAGCCATGGCTTTCAATATTTTTCTGGAACTCGTTGAACAAGGTTTTCAAAGTATTTGTACCTAATTGTATTTGTTCTTGTTCTTTAGCGTCTAAAGCGTTAAAACATGCCTGATTTCCTTCATTCCGTGAAAGCAAAAGTTTGTAGCTGATAATCTCCCCTTTTTCGTCCTGGAATCCGTATCCATTCTTTATGGGTGGTTGTTGCGATGTATTCGAAGGCTTTCCTGTGAGCCAGTTGGTAAAGCTGCTGGTAAAGCCTGGTTTTTTAGCAGCTAGACTGGAGTTCTCACTACTCGCATCCTTTTCCCTGGCTGAAAACGCTACAGAAAAAGCAGAAGTATCTTCTGTTGGGTATCCTGATTGGTGTGAGTTGATTGTTGCCTTATCTAATTGCAGTTGGATGTCCTGCATATCATCATCATACTTGTCATCCAGAAGAATTTCTTTACTGTCATTATTGTGCTGAAGTCTCTTTATTGGGGATGTGAATTCTTCATCCTCTTCTTCCTCATCATCATCCATATACTCTGATTTGAGTGACTTTAACTTGGCGTTCACCTTATTCAATAAGTCCTCGTCTGACAGATCATCCTCGTCATCACTAAATGGTTTCTTGGTAACAGCCTTCTTGTCCACAAAAGTGGTATCCTCGAACTCACTATCACTTTTGCTCATGATTATTTCTTATCTCTTGTGATATTTTTGTATCTAGGATGAACCTCCGTCTGTGATGAATCCAGTTAAGAAAATGACAGGTACACAAAAAAATTAGCACCACACCAATAACAATAATAATCCCACTAGGACTCTTTCAATGAAAATGGAAAATAAAATAAAAAAACAAACAAAGGCACCAAACAAACAAAAAAAAGAAAATGTCCTTTGGAAAGTTCAAACAGCGATTATTTTCTTGATATTCCTTGTTTTCGTAAAAAGTTTTGTCGTGAACAAGTGAAACTGACCGATGATGTTTGAATCCATGGATTTGCACACAAAGAGAAAAATCTGATTATTTTATCACGTGTGATATCATGTGCTGCTCATTTCACTTGTGGTTGAAAGCTGCTGATTCTCAAGTCTCGACTCTCTTTTCCATAAAGATGATTGAATAATATGTACGGTAAAAGAGTTTTACTATTGTGACTTTTGCCTTTCAATATCTGTCTCCAGTATCAGTTGTTTATTATTGTAGTTTAGGCTTGTATAATATGCTAAGGGCACGCCCCACCAAAGCGTGGAACAGAGAGAAAAAAAAAAAAAAATTTTAAAGGCAAACACACTCATAGTTCATCTGCGAAATCATTTTCTTCCTGATCTCTGAACCTTTTTCATTATATCTTATTTATTTATTTATTTATTTACAATGGAATTCCAGGTGGTAATTTGCTGTGGGAAGGGTAAGAACCTCTCTCCTTTCTCTTCGGTGCGTCAGAATGGTATTCCAAAGGCTCTTATACCAATTGCCAATCGTCCAATGATTCATTACAGTTTGGAATGGTGTGATAGTGCTCCATTCCATTCGGTCATTGTGGTCACTGATACCTCTTCTAAAGATGCTGTTACTGGTGCCGTAAAGAAATATGAAGAAAAAAGAAATAAGGAATTGTTTAGTCAAGTAGAAGTTGTGGGTCTTGACATTGAAGGCACAGGAAGTATCGTGAAAGCGTTAACTGATCAAGGAAAGATCACTAGAGACTTTGTGTTGTTGTCGTGTGATTTTGTGACTGATCTTCCTCCTCAGATATTCATTGAACAATATCGTAACCGTGGGGAAAATGATATTGGGATGTGTACTTACTATAAGAACAATTTTACCACCATCGATGAAAAAAAGAGTAATTTGAAGAGATATTATACTTGTTATACCACAGATAAATACGGGGAGAACCACTTGTTGGATATTTACTCTAAGTCATCGATCGAGAAAACCAAATTCTTGAACCTTAGAACACAAATGGTGTGGCGTAACCCAAAGGTTAAAGTTTCTTCAAAATTGTTGGATTCATTTATTTACTTTTGTTCACTTAAAACTATACAAATTTTGGCAGAAGAAGATTACGACTTTGAATACAAGTCATGCACCAAGATCATGAGAGATTTGGCCAGACGTTCATGGCGTCATACCGTTCCAAAAGAGTCCATTAACATGTTCATATTGCCAGATGAATGTACATTTGCTCGTTCTTCTAATTTATCTATTTATTTGGAAGCTAATAGATGGATCATGCAAAATGAACATATGGAAAACATCAAAAAAATCCAGGCTGGTCAAATGGCTCCTCCACTAGGTAAAAAGGACAAAAATTCACCAAATGTCGGTCCAGAATCCCAAATTGGGCCAGAAACTACGATTGAAGAAAAAACCAATATCAAGAAAACTATCATTGGTGCCAATTGTAAAATCGATAAAAGATGTCGTATTGCTGGGTCAGTTATTTTAGATAATGTGACCATTCAAGATGACGTATTTTTGGAAAATTGCATAATTGGTGAAAAGGTGACAATTGAATCAAAGGTCAAATTGATCAATTGTAATGTGGAAAATGGTTACACTGTTGCAAAGGGAAAGAACCTTAAAGGTGAAACCTTGTTACAAATCCAGTTGGCGAACTTTGATCCTGAAGGCCTTTTTGAATTGAGCGGACCTGGTCTTACTATTGGTGACTCAGCAATCACTGATGACGATGAAGGTGATGATGATGATGATGATGATGATGACGACGAAAGTGATAATTTCATTGAAGATTTCGACGAAGATTTGGAAGGTGATGACTTGTTTGATCGCTAAGTCCATTTGGCATTTTAAATAATAAACGAAACGATTCTTTTTCTTTTTTTTCTCTTGTAGTATTGAGTCATATGTTCCAACAAAATCAACTGCAAAATAAAATAAAATAATCTTGTTTGAGCTGCCAGAAAGAGAAAATGCTTGTGTATAAGTAATCCAATCATCGAGGAGTAAGAAGTTGCTTTGCTATTTAACAAAAAAAAAAAAAAAAAGAGTCCATGACTTTTTTTTTGTACTGAATTCATCTCTACGACATTTATTATTTCAAGGTAGAATCATTAGATTAAACTAAAAATCATTCAATAATTAAAAATAAGATTGCAAGCAATTAAGAATTATAAAGCAAGAAAAGAAAGCATGAAAAATCAGGATAAAAAAGATCAGAATAGATAAGAAAAAGATCAGAATATATAAGAAAAACCAAAAGATTCTCTATTGTCGTTTTGCTCATCATAAAATGTGATGTAAGCGAAATATTGAAAAGCGCGCGCGCGCGTGTGTATGTTGTTGATGCATTGCGTGGAATGAGGGTTTGATTGGATTTGAAAAATTAAGATAGGTTGGTATTCTAAGAAGTGAATCAACAGGAAGAGTGACTAAAACATGGAAAAACAGAATCTTGAAAAAGATTTCATAAGAAATATGATAAAATAAAGAGAGATAAGAACGACGTTGGGATATATTTTTTCGTTTAATGAAGCAAATTGGGATCTCTAAGAGAGCAAGTATCTTAAACTTGTTCTGCAGCCACTGGACCACCAACTTTCTCCGATTTTCTGGTCAATTGTTTTTCCAATCTGTTCAATTCTTGGGCTTCAGCCGCTTCTTTAGCAGCTTCAGCCGCTTTCTGTTTCATCACCGCAGCGTAACTGAAGCGGGAACCTGCTCTTAGCTTTGGACCGTATTTGGCGAAAACCCATGGGATAGGAACCATAGCGACAGCGATGAAGGCAAAGATTGATGAAGCCCAGCCAATATGAACATTTTCATACATTTGAACGGTGAATAAAGGGAAAACAGATGCCAAGATATAACGCAAGAAGTTGTTAGCAGCGATGGCAGAAGCCACAGAAATTGGTGGGTACGAAAGGGAGAAGTATGTGATGGTACTAAAGAAAATAAGAATCAAACCAAACCCAAATGGAACCCCGCCAATAATTGGGACAATCCAGTGCACAGATTCACGACCACTCCATCCAACCCAGAATAAGCCAATTGGCAAAAAGATGGCACCGATCTTGGCTGGCAATAAACGAGTTTCTGGTACTGGAGGACTAAAGACGCCATTTTTGAAAAGAGGAGAAGATCCGTCTTCATTTTTCTTCCAGAAAACACATTTGACCAAGTACAAGTATAAAAGCATACCGAAAACTAAACCAACACCAATACCAAGGAATGGCAAGCCAGAGTTACCAAGACTCATCTTATAAACGCCCCTGAAAATCACTGGATAAGCTTCAAAGAATCCAAACAACACAGCAAAGATGAAAGCAGACCAGATAGAAAACACCAAAACGATTGGTTCAACAGCCAACATAACACATGGCTTGGTGATGTAAAGCGAGATGATTTCTTTCACGTAGTCGGAAAGGTTAATATCAGGCTTAGCAACCTTAATACCTCTTTTTTTAGCTCTTTTTTCCAAAAGCACTGGTTTATAGGTTTCTGGACAAAGTGTTAAAAAAGGCAAAAGACCAGCACCGAAAAACAAATCAATCCACATTGTCCATTTCCAAGATTCCTTTTCCACGGCATAGCCACCAATAACTGGACCAACAATTGGACCAGCAAATGGAGCCATACAGAAGAAACTCATAGCGACTTCAATTTCGTCTAAAGCCCACATGTCAACAATTGTACCACTGGCGACAGCAAGAGCAGGAGATCCAACTAAACCAGCAAAGAAACGAAGCACAAGAACTTCTCTGATTTTTTTGGAAAACCCAACACCAAGGGTGAAAATCAAGGAAATTGGGAAAGATGTTAAATAAACAATTCTTCTACCGTACAATTCTGATAAAGGAGCAGCAATCATAGGGCCAAATGATAACCCAAGAACATAGAACGTTAACCCAGAAATTGCCAATTCTTGGGAGGCCATACCACGCTCAACCATATCAAAGATCCCACAAGTATATAGAGAGGAGCCAAAAGTAACCACGAGAGCTGTGAATGCAGTGGTCATTGTGACAAACCACTTCTTTAGAGGGGACCAATTTTGAGGATTTTCTGGGTCCTTTGGTCCATCCCAGTCCAATTTTTCAAGAGGAATGGCCTCTTCATTGATACTGGTTTCCTCAGTTGGTTGATTAGATAACGCCTGTTTGACTTCAGAGAGTCTTCTTTCGGTAGTTCTAACTCTTGAGATTCTAGAAATTTCTCTGTGTAAGGCACTATCAAGATTTCCCAATTGAGGCAATTCCTCACTTGAATCACCAGTGTATTTCAAGGCCTCGTCGGTGTCTGAATCAGAGTCGGAATGTAAACCAGAATTAGTCACGGTCCCTTTGCTGCTTGGGTTTGCGACATCATCATGATTAGTCACCGGCTTCTGGATAGCAGGCTCGCTCTGAGCTGTTATTGTGCTGATCGAGTTATTGTCTGTGATATCACTTTCTGGTTGCTGTCTGTCGGTGAATCTTTCGTTATTGTCATTTGATGTTTCGAGTTCAATGGAGTCTCTTTCAGAAGCAGTTTCATAATTAGATGAGTGAGCAAAAGACCCAGTTGATTCACTATTTGGTAAATTGGTAGACGATGACGCAGTGGAAGCCTGAGATTGGAAGGCTTTTTTGATCTGCTCCTCATCTGCTTTGTTGGCACCAAAGAGAGACATTGTTATGATGTTGTTTGTTTGCTTTTTAGGGGCAGGGAAAAAAATCACTGAAAATACTAAGTTGGGACCTTAGCAAAATATATTAGAATTGAAGGATAAATGATAGGGATTATGGCACAAATAATATCCTGTTGCCTTTTTCACGAAATGAGTATAGGAGTTACTCTTTATGATAAAAGCAAGAATGGTGTGAATTAAATTCCGTAGATTAAAGATGGTTGATAATTAGAAGAATCCACAAGATAATTTCTTTCTTCTTATTCCTTGGCCTAGGTTTAATGCCAGACTATCTAAAAAAAAAATTTCAAAAAAGGGTATTGGTGGAAGTTATGGACAGGGTCAAAAAAAAGGGACTCCCTTATTTATTTATACTTGATGAACAATGTAGGTTCTGGCCACACGGAAAAGGAAAAAAAAAAAAAAGGAAAAAAAAAAGGAAAAATTGTAAAGAAAAAGGATATTTTTTTTCCTTGTGTGTGCGTTGGGTTGCAGGTGCAACGGTAAACTCTATGATCTTCCTACGCTAATGAAACTAGCCCCCAATATAGAAACCATTGCGGTGGTGGCGAGATCACTAGCAGAGGTTGTGCCTTTCAATGGTTATATTCTGAAAGTCCCCTCCCTCTCTTGTTACTACTGCCCCGGTGTTTCTTCGACAACCATCTCTATCTCTGCATCATGCACATTCACTTTCCCAAAGCGCATTCTCACGGACAGTTTTGGGACCGGAGGTTTCCAGGTTTTTCTTACAACAAAAACAACAACAACAACAACAATAACAAGAAAATGAGAAAACGGGTTTCCTTCATGTTATTTTTCACCAGCAATGTGCCATGGATAGACAGATGGCTGGGCCATATCAGAATCACTGGTCTTTTGGCCACTTATTTTGCGGGACTGGACGCCAGATGTGCGTTGTTTTTTGTTGTAAGGATGCTGGGGCAATGATCCTGGTTGCCATGAAGACGATGACAAATTGTTGGCCGCCCGTGCGTCGGTGTGAAAAACAACTTCCGTTGCCGAGGGCAGCCCAACCGCCTTCCGATCCGATTTCCTTCTGTGAGAAGTTTAATCCCAATATGACACAACCTGGTGAACCACAGCCTGGTTATATTTATATCCAATAATACCTATACATCCTGAGACGGTTGGGCCTTGCATACGTCAAAAAATGTGACTGTAACTATTGGGAACTCCCCCAGAATATTTCACTGAGATCTGGAAACTTGCCATATAGGTGGTGTTATTGAGTTGCCATCATTAATTGGAAATTCAGGCATATTAGGACTAAGGAAACAATACTTAAGTAATCGCCATAGCGTTCAAAGTATCGTAAAAAAAAAAAAAAAACCCCCCGCAAAGTTGTGCAACATCACGGTAGTTATGGGTAACATAAATTTGTTAAAATCGAATAATCACTGTCAATAATGCAGTACTATAAAGTTGTCAAAAAACCAAGAACCTTGCTTTAAAAATTAATCACATCATCAGTTAAAAAAAAAAACTCAATAATTATTAAGGGAAGAGGTTGTACTGTAAAGACATAACGTAACATGTCAACTTGATTAAATGGTGACTAGAATATAAAAGAAATGGGATGCTGTCCTATAAAAAGATGGTTACACACTATATAATCCTGGTAACGAACCACTATTCATATCCGGGGCTCGTCCTCATTCTTTACAACTATTGTAATAAAATAAAGTATTGATTCTTATCTTCTCCGCAGACCACTGCAATATTTCAAATACAGAGTATTATCAATGTAGTAACCATCAATATTGTGAAATATAATGCAAAAAGAATAAAGGGGAAAAAAAAAGAAAAAGAGGACATGAACTTCAAAAATATATCACAAAGTGTTATCAGATAAATGAAATATCCCAGCACCATGTGTCTATCTCAAACGCCATCACACAACTAGGAATGTTAAGGGACAAATCAATCTCCACCAAAAACAAAAACAAATTGCTAAACTAAGTTGTACTCAAATTCAGACCTCTCAGACTCTATATCGCAATCAATTGAGACGAAAAAAAATTGTCTTTGTTTTGTTGTTAAGCACAAAGATCAACATATGCTTTTTAATTGGTGGTATCATTAATGAAAATATGCTCATTAATATTCATCTGATGACTAACTGTTGAAAGTTGAGGTAATGCTTAATGCTCTGGTGTTTTTTTCAGTTGAAACAAAGAGTGACAAATTCTGTTTTGCTCTTTTCCCAAATTGTGGTTTCATTCCCATCAGGATAAAGTTTCAAAATTCTCCAGTGGAAATTTCAAACTAAAAAATCTGCACCATATAATAAAATTGCAATTTTCCCTTTGGTAACTTGAATTATCAAGTTTTTTTATTAGTGACGTGACTAATATTTGAGAAACAAGTATATATGGATAAGAGAGTAATTCACAGTATCTGTCGGAGTGTACTACTGTGGCGGTTCTTTAGACTATGGATCACAGCTCATTGACGAATGATGCTTGATCAATGTTAACTAACTCTGTACATTGATTGCTCCAATACAACACCAGTGGGCTGCAACCACTAAGCAATGTATATGGATATTACTATGTTTAGATTCTTCTGAACATAGATATAAAAGGGCTTTCATCTGTCATCATATGAAAGGAAGAATTAATTACTTGGAGGATAGAAGAATAATAACTCAATATTATTCGAAAAACTATCTACTAGAAGTAGACTAACAAATAAATGAACCAATCAACGACCCAAACTAATAACCAACTTTGTAATGGATACTTCATCTAATCTACAATATCTATATTGCTTTACTTTTTCTACAGACCTACTGTGAATCTGGCTCATATGCTATTTAGGATATTTGTGGTTAATTAATAATTAACATATGATTAACTCATTCATCGATAATAATAACAGTAATTGGGCTAATGAATTAACTATTAACTTTTGGGTGCGCGTAGCAAAATAACAATATTCATGTATGTGCCTTCAAAAAAACCGCTCCCTTTTCAACAAGCCTCGCTAGCACAATCGGTAGTGCATTCGACTCTTAGCAATAGGCGTCATCGAAAGGTTGCGGGTTCGAGCCCCGCGTGGGGCTTTTCTTTTCAACTTTTTTTCTGACTCAAAACAGTGCGCTAGCATTCACTTCTCCTCTTGCAAAATATTCCCTTAAATTGACAGCAGCCTTTTTTTTTTTTGTAGCTCTCAAGTTTTTAGATCTGAATCTTGAAAAGTAATGTTATCCTATTAGCAGAAATCTTGGAAAAAACTGTAATTATTTCAAATATTTATATACTAACTAACGGCAAAAATTGTAGCAAATTGATAGGAGGAAGATGGGGGCATACTTCACTTATTAGGGCATAAAAAGGAGCAAGAAATGCCAAAGAAAATGTGAAACAATTTTTTTTTTTTTTTTTTTCATTGTTCTTGCTATTCATCATCTTCTTATACAATAGATTTGGTCTTCATGACTCAACCCATTCTTCTAAGTTTCCTCGGCAACTAATTTACCAACAACAGGGTATTTTCTTTTGAATAACGCTTCCCAATCATCCAAAGCAACCTTCTCCGTTTCGGTTAAATCGTTCAAGTCATCAATTGGCTGTTCAAAAGTTCTAATGACGTCGAACTCAAACGAGTTCTTGGCCAAACCCCTTGAAGCATCATGTCCAGCAAAATTGGAATAAGGCCCACTAGGACCATAAAATCCACGAGCTGAGCTGGCATTATAGACAGTGCCTTTCACAGCAATAAAGATTTCTTTTTCGTCATGTCCATTGTATTGCGAGAGCTGACGAGGAGTGAATGATCCTTCAACGATCGGCTTCTTCTTTTCCACTTCTGGTTTCTTTTTACCTTTGGATTTCAAATTTGGATTCTGTTTGTAAGATGGGAAAAGAGTAATCTTAACAATGTAACCAGTCACAATGACCAATAATGCTAGAACGATATTATTCATGTTGATTTTAGGAGAACTCGAGTTAGATAATGAAGAAAGAGACGTTTGGCTCGTTTATTTGTGTCAAGTTTGGTTTTTTCAGACAGCGTAAACACCGCAGCGATGGGTCATTGCGGTGTCTCCTGCTTCCGATACCATCCTGTGAATTAATACATCATCAAATGAAATATATAAAATTAAAAGGCAAAAATAGAATTGGATTGTACATATTTACATGATGATCAGCCTCAAATTAGATAGCAAACAAGATAATATTAAGGTGTTGTAACTGTTCACTTTCGGTTCATGTGATGATAGGAGCAAAAAAAAAACAACCAAGAAAAAACAGAAAATAAAAAACAAAAACAGGATGTTAGTTAACTATATCGCTATCTCACTGTACCTATCACCTACAACAATGTTGATGAATGCCTTATATTCCATTCTGTTATTAGCCAGTGTCACTCAAGCATTTGATTGCTTCAAGAAGGAAATAAATGAATTCAATTTTGACTCACTTAAAGGTCTCCATCATATTTCCATGGTGCATGACACACCGCCATCAGTATCTAATATAACCTGGTTTATCAATGTTTGCGGGGCCATAAATGATAACGAAAACAAAGAGTATTATGATGTCTTGAAAGAATGTCCGAATGAATCACAGATCTGCGGGGTCAGGTATATCTCGTTACCGGGTGCTGAACCTTTGAAAACTGAAGTAATCTCATTCTCCAACTCATTAAACCCGGAATTCAACGTTGATAGACAATACAAAAATAGCAATAAGAACGATGAAGAAACAACCTTGGTGAATATTAAGCTCAAGGGAGCAAACTGGGGCTCGAATACCATTGGTAGCAGTATCAGCTTCATTTGTGATGAAAGTGTCAATGAGGATAAGCAGAATGACCAAGATAACATACAAATAAAGACATGGGATAATGAAAACTTGGAAATTGAATGGCGAACTTCATCCTTATGCTCGAAGGAGAAAAAACCATCTGAAGGTAATGATGATAAGAATGATGATAAGAATGAAGACGACACAAAGAAACCTTCAACATCATCCGGGTTTAGTCTCTTTTCATTCATTATTAATGTGATTTGCGTTATTATATCTATTTACATCGTTATGGCTGTCTGGTTAGCCATCACAAAGAGAAATGGTACTCCATTGAACTGGAAGGACACTATAAATGAGGTGACGGAGATTTTGGTGGATATCGCCAGAAGCGTTCCAGGGTTTGCCAAAGAAGTCGTTGAAAAGTTCTTTGGTAATAGTACTTCTAGAGGTGGTTACAGTGCGGTTTGAACAATTTTCCATATAATATTTACTATTCTTCTATCCTTCTAGTGCCTAATATATATCTGATAAAATATTACGGAGTACAATACTTTTATTTCCGGTTTTTACGTGAGAGGGTGAAATGACAACAGAAAAGGAAAGGGATGAAGAGTTGACTTCTTAATCCTATATCGATTCTTATCTTCACTCGATCTCGAGTTAGATATGTGATAAGAAGATCAGATGTTATCACCGTACTTGGTCTCTTTAACTATCTGATAGAACGCACAACTCAAACAAGTGGCTCGTATTTAACAACTTGTTATAAGGCTGAATTAACAGTAATAAATCAAAGAAGGTAAGTGTATTAAATGAATAATAATAATGGGATTGGTTCTTCTCTTCTAATAACAACAAGGAAGACAAATAATAATAAACAACAAAATAATTTAACACGATAAAATGTAAAGTAGGGTGACCATATTCGTAGTATGTACGATAGAGCAGTACATATGGTGCGGTTAACAATATACTAAACGCACATACACATAAAAACAATGTAATTACCCTACCAGAAGGACGCCACTTTTCAATTACATCCCAACACCAATTTGATGCAAAGAAAAATTTTTCACTTTTTTCAGCGCTAAAAAAAAATAAAAAGACAATACCATCCTTTCTGAACTCTTCTCTTCTTTTCTCTTTTCTTTATCAAAACTTTTATTTCATTACTACCCATTTAACAATGTCTCACAGAAAGTACGAAGCCCCAAGACACGGGCATTTAGGTTTCTTGCCAAAGAAGAGAGCTGCCAGACACCAAGGTAGAGTTAAGTCTTTCCCAAAGGATGACAAGACCAAGCCAGTTGCTTTGACCGCCTTCTTGGGTTACAAGGCTGGTATGACCACCACCGTTAGAGACTTGAACAGACCAGGTTCTAAGATGCACAAGAGAGAAATCGTCGAAGCCGCTACCGTTGTTGACACTCCACCAGTTGTTGTTGTCGGTGTTGTCGGTTACGTCGAAACTCCAAGAGGTTTGAGATCTTTGACCACCGTCTGGGCTGAACACTTGTCTGACGATGTTAAGAGAAGATTCTACAAGAACTGGTACAAGTCTAAGAAGAAGGCTTTCACCAAGTACTCTGCTAACTTCTCCAAGAACTCCGAAAAGGAATTTGCTAGAATTGTCAAGTACTGTTCTGTCGTTAGAGTTTTGGTCCACACCCAAATCAAGAAGACTCCATTGACCCAAAAGAAGGCTCACTTGGCTGAAATCCAATTGAACGGTGGTTCCATCGCTGATAAGGTCAACTGGGTTAAGGAACACTTGGAAAAGACTGTTGCTGTTGACTCTGTTTTCGAACAAAACGAAATGATCGATGTCATTGCTGTCACCAAGGGTCACGGTTTCGAAGGTGTTACCCACAGATACGGTACTAAGAAGTTGCCAAGAAAGACCCACAGAGGTTTGAGAAAGGTCGCTTGTATTGGTGCTTGGCATCCAGCCCACGTTAACTGGACTGTTGCCCGTGCTGGTCAAAACGGTTACCATTCCAGAACTTCTATCAACCACAAGGTTTACAGAGTTGGTAAGGGTGAAGATGAAGCCAATGGTGCTACTGAATTCGACAGAACCAAGAAGACCATTACCCCAATGGGTGGTTTCGTCAGATACGGTGAAATCAAGAACGATTTCGTCTTGGTTAAGGGTTCTATTCCAGGTATCAAGAAGAGAATTGTGACCTTGAGAAAGTCCTTGTACGTTGACACTTCCAGAAGAGCCACTGAAGAAGTTACCTTGAAGTGGATCGACACTGCCTCTAAATTCGGTAAGGGTAGATTCCAAACTCCAGAAGAAAAGCACTCTTTCTTGGGTACTCTTAAGAAGGACCTTACCAACTAAGTTTTCTAAAGCTTTTTGTTTCCTAAAGTTTCTTTTACTTATTGGTTTTGCAACTTTATAAATAACTGTTAAATTAATGATTTATGAAGTACTTCTATTTAATTATAAATTTGTAAAGTGATTTTATAACTTTTTGATTTTGTCCAACTCCAAATGGAGAACTTACAATGAACACTTTAAATTACTATCACCTTTTTTGAGTAACTGTATTGGGCCATTCTAAAAGTTTGTAGAAGAATTACAAAAAAAAAGCGTACATATAAAGGTAACTAACAATGCTAACAAAAGTGCTACTGGCTCATGGGTCCATATTCTATAATATCATCAACTCCATACGTTTTTGAAAAGATCATCATCAAGTGCAGATTTCTTTGTAGCGCTCGCTGTATTATTGGAGCCATTCATCAAGGTTGGTGCACTACTCCACACATTGGAAGAGCTGTAGTCAAAATTAGTATTGATGCCAGTACTGGTGCTACTGGAAGAAGCAGCAGAAGTATTACTGGACAAGTTCAAACTTGCTAATGAATTGCTCAAACCACCGAATGAACTACTAGGTTGTTGCTGTTGTTGTTGTGGTTGAGAATACAAGTTTCTCGAGACCGGCGAAGGGGCTACCGCAGGTTTATTATAATTAGATGGAGTAGAATATAACGCCAAAATGGATTTTTTCAAATCTTGACGGCCAGATTGCTGAGTTGAATTAACAGTAGCGGCAGTAGCACCAGTGGACGAAGGAATACCTGTATTAGAAGGACTTGAAAAATTCAAGTCTAACAATCCACCGGTAGAAGCAGCAGCCGGAGCACTTGGTTTGGGTAAAGGCTTGTCATTGAGATCTTTAGAATTAGCAGATGACAGAGGGGCAGAAGTTGTAGATAATTCAAAGCCTCCTAATAGATCAATGCCATTGCCATTGGAAGGAGCAGATACAGATTTTGGAGCAGATGAATCTGGAAGAATATTTGTATTGGCCGACTCTGTAGATGATGATGACGTGTTGATAGTTTTTGGATCAGGAAGATATTTAGTTGCAACCCACTTCTTCAACTCGTATTTGGTTCTAATAAAGTTTTGTATTTTGCTATCATCCGGAACATGATTGTCAGGTAAATTATGCTCCCAATAAACATTAGCCTTTTCATTTCCCCATGCCACCATTGATTGAACCTGGTCATCAGTCCAGGAATCCAAGTCTATCGATTTAACCTTCGATATATGTGTTCCCATGGATCTATGGATACCAGAACATCTAATGCATACGAAAACCCCTATGTTCCACGAAGCCCATCTTGGATTAGTGGCCACTTTACAATCAGCGCAGTTTTTGTTGGCAGCCTGCTTTGCTAATGCTTTAAGGATTTGTTGGTTCTTTTCACTATGTGATTTTCTAGATGTCGCACCAGAAGATGCTCCTCCATGACCAGAGCGATAAGATGATCTATACGACATTCTCAACGTTGGGCTCAGAATTTCTGCCTGGTAATCAGATCTGAATCATTCAGTTCTAAACACTTTGGCTTTTTTTTTCTGCGCGTCGGTGGTTCTTAACCGGCCTGTAGCTAGACCATGCAATGCATGGATTCGTTATCATTTACTTTTTATTACAAATACACAGGATTATATTGTTGCAAGAAATTGTAGAATAAACTAATACATAATATGGTACAACCATGGAACAACTATGCTATAACTATGAAAAAAAGAAATAAAGGTAACAATAATGAACAAGCGAGCTAGATATCAATATTTGGAAGCTTTTGTTATTATGAACTCTTTTAAATTATGTGGGAACTTTTGTAGTGTCTTCATTTTCAAATTTGCAGGATTGAGAGAGTTAATATTAGGTAAACCAAGTTTAATTTTTTTGAGCTTCAATCGATTCTCATCAGAGTGATAAAGTTTCTTCATCAGCAGCCCAAACATCAGATATTTAGGTCTCTCCATCGGTTCATGTGCCACATCACCACCAATGACACCTGAAGACCAAGTTTCCAAGTGTTCATTAATTGAAACTTGAAAATTGTTGCTGTCATACCCATCTTCTTCGTATAAGATATTGCGCAAAATAGAAATGTTGGATGCAATGATTTCGGAAGAAGCCGTGTCATTTGGAAACCCCCTTGATTCATCTTTGAAACTGGAGTTATTTTTTTCAAAATTTTGCAAAAAATTAGGGGTCTCTTGCTTTATTTGTTGAGCCTGGGGCAAACTTTCATAATTGATATCGACATATGCAGCATACCCGATTTGATCAACTGAAGCCTGTTTTCTTTTGGAAAGGGGTGAATGATTAAAATTTTGGAATCCATAAATACTTTCAAAAGGATCTAGAGTTTTTGTGCTATTCTCGGAATTTCCTTGTTCATGATTTTGCTGATAATCGACTTGTATTTGTTTGGATATAGTCCCATCGTCACAAGGATTTCCTAGTTGTTGTTGTTGCTGTTGTTGTTGGTAGCATACTTCACCAACTTCAGATATCTTTAAATCAGTCTCCATTCCAACATTTGGTGAGGTTAAAGCAATTGAATTAGAGAGGAATTGATCTCTCTTATTTTTATCGTCAGATCCAAAAATAGAAGTAGCAGCTGTAGATTGAGAGATGGTGGTTTCAAAAGTTATATCTGAAACTTGTGATTCCCCAGAATTGCTTCTCTTATGGTTTATGACTCCATTACTTCTGAGTTTATTTGGACCTTCCGAGCTGAGTCTTTGTTTGGCGGCTGCATGAAGATCAGTTTCACCTACAGGAAGCTCAAGGTTCCACATAAGCCCAGTATTTTCAGTACCATCATTTCCTGATTCGTGGAAATTATTTGTAAAATAAAATTGGTCACTCATAGTTTCCTCGCTAGAAGTTATACCAACGTTGGTAGTTGCAACATTACTTCTATCATCACTAATATCCGAAAAATTTGGTTTGTCATCAATAGAACAATCAGATGCAATAGTTGTACTGCTGGATAAGAAATTTGCAGAAGTTTCATTTATATGGGTATTGGAGTTTATAAAAATTGGAATCTCCTCAGCAGGTACACTTGGAGAGGAGCCGCCGTTATTGGATTCATAAAATTGCAAGCCACCATCACAATCACCTGTTTCATCATTTTTGGGAAATACAATGTCCTTAGCCTTTTCCTGTAGAACTGATTCTGAAATCACGCTTTGTTGAAAAGATTGATTATCACTTTTATCATCACTGCGGTTGTAAAGAGATAAAATATCACTGACTGATCCAAGTTCGGATTCATCTTCTTCTAAAACTTTAGGCAGTGGATTAGTAACAGGAGTGAAGTTTTGATTGATTAAACTCCATCTTATTGGATTTCTCGGTGGAATTCGTATAGGATCCACATCTCTCATGGCTTGTCCGCTAATATCATCATCTTCACTTCCAGAATAATAGCTAGAAGCCACAATGCTTTGCAATGAGGCCAATTTTTGGTGCCTAAAGGAATATTTTCTTTCATAGTTTGAATGTCCTGTTTTAGTAACTAGCTTTGAATCAGGGATATTAAATCCCAAACATTCATCCAAAGCGCAGCAAAGTCTTGTATTTTTTGGGGTTGGAGAAACCATCACAAGCCTTATCAAATATATGGTGTAAAATGGAAAATAGAAGAAGAAAGAGATTTGGAACGAAATGAAAGAAAGTTATGATTTGATTACAATTTAAATATATTTTTTTTAACATACAAAGGAAGAAGTTTGGTCAAAAGTCAGGAATTTTTTATTTTTTCCTTCATATAAAATGCCGTAGCAAAAGCAAACAAGTAGCAAATTAAACAATTTCCTTCCTTATAAAGAGCAGAAACTCTATGAATGGATAAAATAAAAAGATGTTTAATAGAAAAGGATTTTGGTACGTGAAATACCTCAAAAGCTTGGTTTTTAGTCAACCAAGGCAAGAAATCTTTAGCAATGAATGGGTCGATGTTGGGAGAGAGATGCATTACGGAGCATCAATAACGCATTAGGTATGTCAAAAAACAACAACAACATATATCATTGTATATAATATAAATCGTTTGAATATTTCTGTATCTCAAAAGCAATCTATTGCAGCTCTAAAGCAAAAATAAACCGTCTACTAGATAAAAAACATAATTCAGTCGCGAGCAGGAATAACTTCAGGAATATACAAATCAACATCTTGTATATCACCAGTATTCAAAAAATCTTCAACCATAGCAAAATTTTTCTGAGAAATCTCTTCAGCTTCTTTACTGTATAAACCACATGCTTTCATAGCTTCTCTTGGTTCAATGGTCTTTCTTCCCTGTTTAAGAATATATCTGGTAATAGCAGTACAACTTGTTCTGTCATTTTGGCCGGGCAAAATGAATTTGGAAAGAATGAAAATCCACTTGTTATCCCACGCCACGATTCTGCTCACCACATTATATCTGCTATAAGGCTTGATTTCTTTCTTGAAAGTTGCTTGCACTGCCAGAACCGGAACATACGGGAAGCTGCCATGCCTACCATAGTATTGTAGAAAAAACTCGCCGAAAATAGTACACATCAATCTAGTTCTGACAATATCAAGCTCAGTAAAATAAGTCGAGTTGGATTTATGAAAGAACATGTCACACTCAAAAGGCGAATTATAGGTTTTGAATACCTGAGGAGTGAAAATGGCCAAATTAGGCCCTTCATTTTTAATAGGAGGACCGAGTTTCACTGTAAACCCCAATTTCTTTTTAATATATGGCACAATTAATAGTTGAAATACCTGATTGAAGAATCTGAAAAAGTAGGCTAAGGGAAGCGATTTGTAACTTGAAGCCAAATACAAGGCCACTAAGACCTTCAATGCTATAGTTAATCTCATGATGTTGGTGAAAATAAAACCTATTATTCAAATACGATGTTTTAGAAAAACATCTCGGATGGATTTAAAAAAGAAAGCCTCCTTCCGATCCTAACGATCTCACATGTTTTCCTTCCTTACATTTTTTTTTCTTTTTTTTTTTTTTTTGACACAATTTCTGTACTTTCCAGTGATCATCGATAGTCAATGCCATGGAGAGCTACAATATCTTATCATCAGGTACAGCCTATCTAAATCAAGAAAATACCTCCTAAATTTTTTCCATCAAAGAAGAGAATTGACTAGAATACATGGTTATTTATGACGGTATTCTAAGAGTAAGCATCCAATACATTCAGAAGTCATCCAAAGAGTACTTATTCTCTATCTATGAACTAAGGCAAATTTTGAGGAACCGAGGGAAAAACTTCACCCAGTTGAATTTTTGCAGCTCTTTGCTGTAGGTCTATTTTCTTTCTATGCGCTCTGATTCTGATTTTAAAGATATCTGAATTCAAAACAAACTGCTTGACGTTAAGTTCACCTAGCCTAATTTGTTCTTCAATGCTTGATTTGTCTTTCATAATCGTGTTCAAATCCAGCCGTAGCTCATCTATTGATTTAGATCTTTCTGTTTTCTTAGTGTCCTTATCCTTATCTTCAGATTCCTCCTTCTTGGGTTTATCACCCCAGCCAAGGATTTTGCCGAAAGACCCAAACTTTGTTTTTTCATTGATAAGAAACGTAAGAATCTTCTCTCTATCTTCTTTAGCCTTTAGGCGTTGTTTTAATTCCTCTAGCTCTGGACCGTAAATTGGATTACCAAAGTTTCTGGAGTCCTTTAAATGGTTAGGGCAAATATAAAACAAATCCTTTTGATCCTGGGTAATCAACACAGTACTGCTTGGTTTGTAGCAGATAAAACAGGCTTTACCATCTTTTTCGGAAACTTTCCGAACCCTGTAGATATTCTCAAACATAGCGGCAGACATTTCTTTTATGTCACATAGTACCCGTGTGGCGATAAAGTTTGATCTCATCTCTTTTTGAAACCAAGATGCGGTTATGAGCACCACTGAGTTTTGACATGAGCAGACATCACCATCCTTATACTCACAGTGATTTACGAGAATACAAGGAAAAGAAGAAGAAAAGAAAATGCTATTTCATTTATTTTGGCCATTGGAGAGGTCATTGCATTAAGAACTTTCATGACTTTACTAGAATCATGCATGGACTTGAGTCATAAGGATGTCCTTAATGTCCAAGCAATAGAAATGGAATCAATACAAATTATTGATGCTCTGAAAATTCCATCTCACCTAAGTTTGATGGTTTGGTTATGTTATTTTTTCCATAATTCACTACAAAAATTTGATGACTATATTGTGTGCTCATCCCCATCGAAGAGTTCAAAAAGCGTTCAAGAAATCGTCTTATAATAATAACATAATTTTCCTTGTGTTGCTACCTCAAAGACTATTAGATTTTGCTCCAAATCTTCGAATGTCTTTATTATTAGTGCTACTAGGCTGAAACTGAACCATAATTGAGGGGGAGCAGACAATAAAGCTTTATTAAATTTATCCCTATTATTGCCATCGTCATCTTTATGATTATCAGTATCAAGAGTATCTCCATAAGTATCATTATTCGTCATAATCAGTCATAATCATCATCATCACTATTATGATTATCGTTATCATTATCATCATTATCATTAATATTACTAAGTCTCAAGTATGTAGCTCCTCTATTGTTTGATTCAATATTGAAGCTTTCATCAATCTCTGGGCCCTGGAAATGGTTTTTTCCAAAACTAAACCACAAAACGGTGATTGCAACGATCTCTACGAAGAGCGTGAAACTTGTATAATTCATTGTATAAGTGGTGAAATGTGCTTCAATTGGGAAAGAAAAAATTACAAGCATCAACAAACACCAGAAAATCGAGATTGAGTTTATCAAATAACCAAAAATTTTCTTGACTTTAAATGCGCCGCCTTTAAGCTTTTTTCTTCCATTCACCATTGAGAAGAAGATAGGTACCCCATTAGAAATAGCTAAAGAAACAACACTGGTTCCCATAAATGAGTAAAGAATAGAGGGTGACAACAATGTGAACAGACCCATCAAAAGTAACCATCCAGCAGTCAAGTAGATTGCATTATTTGGAATTTTATTGAGATTAGGATCGGCGCCAATATGATTCCAAAGATGTGAATATGGTAAGCCATTATCTCTTGCCATTGAGTAAATCGATCTACTAGTAATGGTATATATCCCAATGCTTCCAAAGAAGATTGTGCCACACAATAGTATGACAAATAAAAAGCTAATAAGAATGGATTGAGAGCTAACTTTGAATATTAATTCTATTGGCAAAATGTTTGCTTCAACATCTAACAACACATCAAGCTGTGGAGTGCATGCCAAAATTGGCAAAATGAAAATAATACCGGTTGCTCCAGCAACCAAAATAGATAAAACCATACCTTTCGGAATTGTTTTTTCAGGATCTTTAACTTCATCAGTCATGGAGGGTATCATTCCATAGCCTTGAAAAGTAAACGCCGATTGTTGTAAACCAATTAGGAACGCCAATGAACGAGGCCAGCCCGATCTTGGAGTTTCAAAATTGATTAACATTTCTTTCAAGTCATTAAATTCTTGGGAAAACAAAAGTAACAAGATATCAATGATAAGCACAGTGGAAACAGTCCAATAAACAGCTACTCTATTAATTTTGTCAAGGAAATTGTAGCACTTCATGTTGACAAATAAGCAGATAGCAACTAACAAGATATATACAACTAATGTTAGCCAGGCATGAGGATGGTAGGTTGTATCTGCGATCCCAAATATTGACAAAAAGAATTGAGCTCCAGAAAACATAATAGAGACCCCCATGGTCAAATTCCCCACGATTAAGAACCACCCAACGTACCAGCTAGTTAGGTAATTAAAATTAGTTATTTTCTTGATGGATCTCGGTGAGAATATAAAACTCCAATGATAAACACCACCATTTGTTGGATATTTTCCAGAAATCTCCCCTAGAGAAGTTGTAACTAGCAAGCTTAGGATGCACACCACAATCCAACCCCAAAACAAGGTTCCCGCTCCACCATTTAGAAGGGGAACAATCATGGTCGTTGACTGACCCAAAGGTACCGACATGATAGACACACTAAGACCAAGAACAGACTGAAGTGTGAGTTTTCGTGATAGTTCTTGCTTATATTTGAAATGTTCAATTTCCTCAACCTCATTTTCAGCATCAGAATCCTCAAGATTATGAATTGCATTTTGAACATTTTCAAGCAACGCCCTTGCCTGCAAAGTAGAAGAAGCTATAGATTGCAGTGATAAGATATTCTGCATCCTATTTATTATTGTGAACTAATTCGTCTTTAATGGGTGGGTGCTATTGCCCACTGGTGTGTACCATGGATTTTTCTCAAATTTTTTTTTTTTTTTTTTTTTTGTATGCCCCGCCCATATACAAATACTCCGCCAGGCTTACACAAATTTCATTTCCACCAATATATTAAAGCTGAAATGCTTCTGGTTAATATCTTCTTACTCAATTCTGGCTCCAAGAAGTTATTCTTAGAATAATATTGACATATAAAAATAATGGATTTATTCTCATTTAAAGAAAACCTGAATCCCCCTTTCTTTTCAGGCAAATATCCACGGAATCACATTAGTTTCTGAAACACAAATATTAAAGATAAACTAATAATTTATGAAATATTAAACATTATAGGAAGTGAAATAGTATATTATTTAGCTTATGTGAACAAAAGATTAATTTCTTTATTTCCGCGTAAATGAAAAAATAACAAATAAATCAACTTGAACGATTATGATACCGAGCGAATTGAAAATGTCGGTTCAACAAGTCTACACTGTTCTGCACTTGTAAAGAAAAAACGAAATAAAAATGAACGGGTCCTGAAATACAAATATTGGAAAAGAAATAAGATAATAAATACAAATCATAAGCGCGAAAGAAAGGCAAGGAAAAGCAAGAGGAAAAAAATAAATAAAAAAATAATAATCAACCAGCCCAGAACTTGTATAGATGAGGTACTTCAATACTGACAGGCTTTGTTTCATCAATATCTTCTTCATTAGTTGTTATTTCCTCATCATCAATTTTCTTAGGTTCATTGTTGAACAAGCTAAATTTAGAAGAGGAGCCCAACATTGTTTTTGTTTGTGACAAAGAAGCTTCAATTTTTTGCAACTTTTCAAGTAATTGCTCATTGGTAATTGGGTGACTTTCAGTATTGGCCGCCGTCTTCTCTTGCATATTCTTTAAAACTGTGGATAATTCATCCTGTATATTTTGGAAGCTTCCACGCACGGATTTTTGAAACTTGGCTAAATTTAACCTGTCGGTAAAAATTTCTTCTTGCAATGAATTCAATAATTTTTTTTGTAATTCAATTTCCATTTCTGCCGCCGATAATTTGGAGAGCTTTAATTCAACTTTTGAAATCTCCAGGTTTATCATCATGGAAATAAAGTGATTCAATTGTCTCTCTTCATATTTTGAGAAAATATGAGATCTTGCTGCCATCGAGGAGATAGCAGTAGTGGCACCTTCTTTGAGGGATTCATGAAATGTCGAGTTTGCTTTCTCTGGAGCTTTATTTGCAGAAACTGTTGGTTCAAACTCATCTAACAGTTCAGGATCTTTCATTTCAACATCAGAATTTCTATCATCCTTATTCTCATCCTTATTCTCATTCCTATTCTCATCCTTATTCTCATCCTTATTCTCATCCTTATTCTCATCCTTATTCTCATCCGAATCACCTTCCACATTTGCAGCTTCTGGAGTTGCTTTCTTTTCACTTCTTTCAATCTCTCTTTTTAGTCTCTCTAAATAAACTTCATCGACTTTTCTGATTACTCTATCTCTTGATGCTGCTAATACTTCTTTATCCACCAACCCACATAAGAATGAAATAGTCGATATCACAGGATTATCTGCTTTGGAGTATGGAAAATGTGGCGCGTATTTTAAAGCACCAAGCTGATCATTCCTGGCGTCAAATGATTCAAGGAAAGGATCTTCTATAGGTAACTGTATAAATCTTGCAATACATTGTTCAGGGGTTTTGGTCCCTACAAAAGTTGCAATTCTATACCAATCGAGTTGCTTATTGTCACCCACAGACTCATCGTGAATTGCAACCAAGAGTTTCTTCAATTCTAACGCTGACCAATCAGAATTATAATCGTTATTTACAATTTTTGGACGTTTAAAAGATTTTGACACTCCAGCATCATATACTGAAGGATCCTTATTATCCGATAAATTTTCATTACCATTCGATTCCGTGGTATTTTTTTTGACATTCATCAATTGTTTAATTTTCTCAAGTTTATCCTTCTCAGCTGGTAAAGCATAGCTCTCAAACGGAAACAAACCTCTAGGATGATCATAGCTGATTTTTGGATCATTTATTTCAGGTGGTTCAACGTTGTAGACCCTATTTTGTGGATTAACTTGATAGTTTATGATACCCCATTTAGTCAAGAATCTGTGAATTCTCAATAAAGATCCGACATCTCCTGCTAAATTTCTTCTAACCGCTGTTAATGTCAAATATTCATTTGGGTTTAATCTATAAGCATTGATCATGAAGTTTCTATAATTCAAGTATATTAATGGGGTCTTCGATCGATTTGAGTTGTTGAAAAATTCCGGCAAGGCACGTATTTCAATCGAGTTAATTTTTTTAAGAGAAAACCAGGAAGCATATGAAGGAAGAACAATCTTATGTAACTGCGGTACGCCTTCAATATCATGTTCTATAGGTTCCTCTTTGACTGTAAGACTATTATCACCAATCTCCAGATTTTCAGTAATATTTATTTTAAGTGAGTTCGAAACAGCATTGGCTTCCATGGTCAAATGTTCTTTGGCATCCTTCAATATTTCATCTTCGTCTCCTGTTTCGGTCAGCACTTGGTTATTATTATTTATGCTCTGAGATGCTGACATCAGATTATTATCATTGGAATTAGAAAGTTGCAATTTTTCATCTTCTTTACTGTTATCTTCATCTTCTTTTTCATCATTATCATTGTTGTTATTATTATTATTATTATTATTACTATCGTTGTTGTCATTCCTGTGTTCATTATTGTTATTGATTTCACTACCATTATCCCCAATATTATTACTATTATTATTAGAGCTAATAACATTATCATCAACATTATCAACATTATCAAGAACATTTAATTCTTCACTTTCATAAAACTTTGGCACCACTTTTGACTCTATACTCGATGGTGCATCTGGCTGTGATATTATTTCTTCATTTCGCAATTTGACATCAAGTGGATTAGCAATTGACTCCGTTGGTTCCGAGGAACCTTCTTCTTCATGTATTTTGGCTGATTCCTTTAGTTGATCTTCGCTGCTTGATTGTATTTTTCCGCCTTGTAAAGTCGCGTCTGGTTTCGCGATTTCAGAACCAGAGGTCAAAATCATCTCTTGAGGATTGTTGATTTCTTGATTGGATTCATAGGCTGCATTTCCTTTCTTTGAATCTTCATCTTCGTCATGAAACTTTGGCTCTTTCTCTTTATTTAATTCAGAATTATTGACGGTTTCAGTTTCAATTGCCGCTTCACGTTCGTTTTGAGCTTCACTGTTCGCATTAACAACATCAGCCACATTGTTGGGGACAGCACCAATTGGTACATCTGCATCCGCTGGAAAATTTCCTGTATCACTCATTACGGTTACTACCAGTAACTAACGCCTCAGACACTGAATATGACCTTGTTTTGATATTAGAATGTTTACTTTGAGGATTTCTGCGAGTACCAAAGTGAAAGAAATTCGGAATGCACGTGAGTTTTACCATTACCCTGACTGAATGCTCTTCAGCATCAAAATGCTACAACAATGTTAATCATTAAACACTATCATTAAGCTTCACCATATATATGGAATAAGGATAGACAAAAATATAATTGAAAACGAATTGAATAAAACTGCAGGCAAAAACAGAATACAACAAAAAAAAAAATACAAATAACAAAAATAAAATAAACAATAAATGTGTTAAAACTCGTTCAGGCAGCGGACAAAAGAAAACAACTTTCACTTTCGCTTCCAGTTTCTATAATCATTCTTGGTGTTATTTTTGTATTGTGAATTATTGAAGGGCTTCGAATTATTGTTATAATTGGTCTGAGTATTGTGGCTATCATTTCTGTTATATTGTGGATTGTTGTTATAGTTGTAGTTGTTATAACTGTTGTCGTAATTATTGTAATTGCCATAACTGTTGTAATTGCCATATTGATAACTGTTATAATTACTTGCATTATTTCTGCTGAGATCTGGCGGACCTCCTTGATAGCTTGAATTTCTGTTGGCAGCTTGATTTGGATATCCTGATCCAAAATAACCAGGAGAGCCATGTTTAGGATTCTGATTATAGTCAGAATTCTTAAATCCTGAACTATGGTCATTATTTTTGAAGCCTGGTTTGGTTGGAAACCTATTGTTACCATACTTCTGGTTAGAGGAATTAGATTCAGCGTTACGGAAAGAGTTACTGTTGCTTCCAGTATATTCCCTGTTTTTCGGAGCAGTCGGCAAATTCAAGAGAAAGCTGGCCGGCGGATGTGTTTGTGATTCAGTTGCAGCTGGATTAGTAATGGCACCGGATCTTTTAGGAGGTGGGATTTTATTGGTTCTTTTATCAGAAGCTGTGTTTATTGTTGGTGATCCCGTAAATCCACTTTTGTTGGAATTTTTCTTAATGAACAAGCTGGATTTTTGAACCTTATGGCCAGCTGGTTTGAGCAATGACGATGGCTTCCTCTTGAGACTGTCAGAAGAGCCCCCTATTTTATCGTCAATTGCTGTACCAATATCTGAATGTATCTTATTATCAACAAGTGCGTTTTCTTCGTTCTTGGCATCGTTACCAAAATGGGCGTTATTATCATCACCAACCGTTTTGTCTTTATCTTTTTCTTTTTTCTTTTTCTTCTTTTCCTCGCTTTTGGAGGATTCTTTATCCTTCCCTTTATTTTTTGTCTTATCTTTATCTTTATTTTTCACCTTATCTTTACTCTTCTCTTTATCTTTGCTTTTAGTTTTATCTTTTTCTCTAGACTTCGATTTTGCTTTTTTAGGGGATTTTTTAGTGACATCTTCAATAAACTTGCTCGACTGAGGAATGCTACCTGATTTAACCTTTCCTGGATCCACAAGTTCGCCTTTCAAGAATCCAGGCGAAGCTTTGCTAACAAGACCCCTCTTATCAGCATCCCCAATGAGATGATTCCAAACCTTATTGACAGACAAGGATTCTCTGTGACCTAATACCCAAAGTGTAGTTTTTGCACGAGTAAGACCAACGTTCATTCTTCTGACATCTGCCAAAAAACCCACGGTCGATCCACCACTGGCACGAACACAAGACATGATAATAACTTCTTTTTCTTGGCCTTGGAAACCATCAACAGTGTTGAAATCAATGATATTCAAGATTGGTTTACCATAATGTCTAATAAAAACACTTTTTAATTTGCCTATTTGTTCTTTGTACGGGGAAATTATACCAATCTTGCCTTCTATATTAATACCCAACTTCACACTTATCTTTTCCAATTTCTTCACCAATTCTAAAGCAACTACTGCCTCCGTGGTATTAAAAAAGGATTTGGATCTAGAGCTTTGTTCTTGTCTACCAGCAATATCGAAGAACCTGTAAGGACTCAAAGGATAAATACTATGCCAGGCTCTGGTGTTAAGCTCTCTCATTTTGTTACCATCAATCAATTTAGAATTATAGAATTCATCACTTGGGAATCTGGAAATGTCAGGGTGCATACGATATTGGACATTCAATAAATAGACTGAGTTTGGATAATTTTTGTGCATACGGACAAACAAACTTTGCTCGTAGTTATATGATGCGGCGGTTTGAGACAAAACAGTTGGAGGTAACTGATTTGGATCGCCAACCATAATACATTTTTCGCATCCATATCTTAAAGGAATGATGACCGACAATTCTGTACATTGACAAGCTTCATCAATAATAACCGTGTCACAAATGATGTTCATGCCCTTAACAAGGTCATGGGCAGACCCAGATAATGTTGAGCAAATAATATTTGCATTTGATAGAATCTTGAATTGAATATTTCTTCTTTCAATTTCCTTATTACGATAAGAAACCGACACTTTTTCTCTTTGCTCATCAAGTGCCCTACCTAACTCATTTTTCTTTTTTGTTATTTCTCTGATTTTTAATTGCAATTGAACGGCTTTATCATCTGGCAAATCCTCCTGGTTAAGTTGTGCTCTGATCAGATCTCTTTCTTGGAGACATTTGTTAAGCTCCTGTCTGATACTGCCGTCAGATAAAACTTGATCATCCTGTTTAGCGCCGAGCTCTTTATCAACCAACTCTTCCAAAGTAAGATCCTTAACAGCACTGTTGATCGCATCTGATCTACCCAATCTAACGACCTTCGGTTGGAAATCATTACCTTCAGAATCCTTTATCTTAGATCTCAAACGAAGCACCAATTCATCAACAGCCGCGTTACTAGGAGCACAAATCAATATTTTCTGATTTTTCGACACTTCAAGATGATTTTTCTTTTGTGGAGCCGTGATTATGCTGGACAGCCTATTAGAAGTTAAGATATAACCAACAATACCAAGAATAGTTTTCGTTTTACCTGTCCCTGGAGGACCTTGAATTAATGAGAATCCCTTATTCCGCACCGATCCAATAATTGCTGCAGCTTGTGACTCATTGACCTTGAAAGTAGAAATCATTTTGTTGACTTCACTTTTATCTTCATTTTCTTCAAATGTTGGCTTAGCTTTAATGATGTTACTAAACAAATCATAGTACTGTAAACCAAAAAGAGAAGAATATTCTCTCTCTATTGTGACCATCTGCATAACCTTAAGACCAGTAACTAAAGTTTGAGGAGAAAAGATAGGGATCATTGGATTATTGTTTGGCATAACTCTTAAAGTGATATCCGCATAATCTGAGTTTGCCGACTTTATTTCTCGAACTTTTGCTAAACAACTAATCAGAGTCTCCTCCAAAACTCTTGATGTCATATTTTCAACTTTTTGTCCATCGTTCCTTACATAACCAAGCACAAGCAAATCAGATTCACCAATTTTTCTGTCATATAACACAGATTTTTCTATCGACGCATAGACATCAAAAAAGTTGTCAACAGAAGCTCTAGTACCAATCAATAACTCAAACGGTTTTTCTTGGGTCAATTGACGAGATTGCACAATTGATTGCCAACATTCTAAAAGAAGTAGTGGCTCAAATGTTTTTTGATAATCCTTTACATTATCAAAATTATCCCTGACTGGTTGATAAATCTCTCTTCCTCTTTCATCTGGGAAATCACTCACTCTGTTATAGGTCCACGATAAAACACTTCTGTACAACGGATCCAAACTAACATTTAATCTTCTTCTCATATTCAATTCCTTCTTCTTCTGCTCATCAGCAGCAGAAGCCACAGGCCGCTTAAGCTTTAGGGACTTGTTTTGTGACATCTTATCCAATAGAGTAGCTTTTGCCTTTTCCTTCTTATTCTTCATAAACAATTCACGTACACCATCATCCAAATCAGAATCAGAATCCGATTCATCATCATCCTTTTTCCCTCTTTTACTATGAAATCCAGATTTGCTTGGAGGATGAATGATAAGCAGCTTGCTGGATGAAGTGGCTCTGTTTTGCCTGATATCCATTTTAATTCTATCAAGTTTTGAGAGTTCTTTTTCAGGCTTGTGGCTGTCAAATCTTGAATAATTCGTTGAAGAAGCAATAGACGGTACTGGTGTTGACGCTGCGGTGCTGTTATTAGAGCTATCTGTGCTAGGTTTGGTACTTTTCCTATATTCTTCTGCTTCACCAGTGACTTTTTCAACTAATTCTTCATTCAAACCTCTAGCTCTAGTGAGGATCTCAGAAACTTGTTCATCTGTCAACTTATTATTAAATTTCTTGGCTTTACAACCATACTTGGCCAATAACTCAACAACATCATCGCTGAATGGCAAATTCAATTCTCCGGCTAAATCAACAGCCTTAATAATCAAATCAACACATAATGTCAACAATGCACTATCACTCAATCTAAGCCAAACCAACATGGACCTAAAAGAGTCTAAAATATTTTGAAATAGATCTTTTTCTACTAATCCCCTCAAAGACAGATCACTTAAAGAAAGAATGGTGGAAATGTTTGTAAAACAGTTCAAAATAAGATGACTTAGGTCTAATGTATCTCTTGTAAATTCAACTAATTGCTTCGAATCATAACTATTAGCCCATTTTAAGGTCTCTTTGTAAATGAATACCAAAAAATCCCAGCATTGAACCCAAAATTCCTTAAGAAAAGATTTATCTTTGATATTCGCAAATTTAGTTCTATCAGATAGCATTCCGGTAATAGGATCATTGGATGCATTGATAACATCCATTAAAACTCTAACAGCTCTTGGGCATGGTTCATAAAAACCGCAAGATATTGTTCTAGATAAACTGTGAGTGACGGATTTTAAACAATACTCAAAGTTCTCATTTAAGATACTCCGAATACCTTCAAATCTTCCAGAACTATCATAAGCTTCATAAAGTATTGAGGTCGCGCTCTGAGAAATTTCTTGCTCTGGTGACAAAATAGATGACCATAAACCATCCAATGCATCGGGATCCTTCAACACTATTCTAAGTTGCTGTGGGCTAACTTCTGAGAACATGGATAATAGATTGTTTAAATATAAAAGCATAGAAGAGTATTGATCTTTTAGTTTTGCATCCCCTTTAATCACAAGAATACCCGGAATCCCCTTGAGGGAAGAGAGCAACTTAGTCATCAAAAAAGATTGATGAAGGAACAGACGAGAACTGAAATTTCTATTGGTCATTTTTTCCCATAGTGTTGGAGAAAATGGAGCAAGTGAAGAGTTGGAGTTCTTGTAAGAGTTATAACTATTTTGAGAAAAATTTAAAATATCAAACTGGAGACATCTAGAGACAAGATTTATGCATGACTCTTTCAAGAAATTGGAGTTTTCATCACCACTACAAAGGCTATTGTTATCAAAACAAGTACTAATGAATAAATCGCTGTGTTTATCAACCAAACTTCTTGATTCGACTCTAACCAAAAGATCGACCGTAAAATTCAAATCATATAGCGGCACTTCTAATTTCAAACATCTTGAAAGTAAGTCGCATGCAACAGAAATTAATAAGCTCCTCGTGAACTGTGGAATTCCAACACTCTTGTCAGTTGATAACTTCAAGAAAAAGTCTGATACTGTTGTTCCTGCTTGCTGTTGCTGAGAAACCGCGATGGATTTGTATAGTGGATTGACCCAGTAAAGTAAATCGTTCAACAGAGCCCCCGAACTTGATTGATTATTGTTCAATTCTATGATATATTTCAAATAATATGGATTGCCAAAAATTGTTGCCAAGAAATTATTGAACATTTCTGGCTTCACTAGACTCCAGAAAGAGCTCTCAAGCTTAAGAAGCAATGAATTAAAGGCCCTTAGAATAAAAGGCAAAGGAATTTTCTGGTAAGACATGACATGATTTTTCAATATGTTTGTGAGCAGAACAAGTTTATAGGTGAAATATTTTTGAATATGGGACATGTTATTTGGTCCCTGCAATTTTTGAAGGACAGTGTCTTTTGTCAGGGCATTGATTATTAAAACCATATTTTCCCAAAACTTAATACATGTATCATCATTGTAATATTCTGGATTCTGTATTTCATACAAGTGCATCTCTAATTCTTCCTCGAGTGCTGAATTAAACTCTTTCGGCTCAATTTTCTTCGTTGCAGAGATTTCAGAGAGTGTATTTATAGCCCAATCTTTTTCTAAATCTGAGCCTTCAAAGAGGAAGAATATTACAGCTGCTGGCATACCACTATTAGAGAATTTGAACGGCGTCTTGCTTTCAAGCAAATATTTGAAAACTTCTGAGAATAAAGACCTCAACTGATAGTTCACCCTAAATAGTCCCGGACCACAAAGACATTCTATTATTGCTAGTATTACTCTATTGTTTAAAATTAAAGCAGTGCTTTCTACCCCTTGATTCATCTGGATCTGTTTGCATGCTTCCTGGAAAATAGGTACAAGCCTGGATGCCTCCCAATCCAAAATCATTTGTGTGAATTGAGTAACCGAGCTGTAATCAAGCTCTCTTGATGACAAAAACTTTTCTCTCAAGCTTGCTCTTCCCTGATGAAACATATAAATACATTTCTGACAGGAATCTAAGTATGTTCCAATCTTCTGTTTGTACCATGATAAAGCGTCTGATTCAGGAAAAGAGAATAATATTAGCCCATGGATACCAGCATGGTAACCCTCAGCATCACAAAACAAATGCCTATCTACTGGGAATCCAGCAATATATTCGAAGCACTTCTGGATTGTTGCTTCTTGTAATTTATCATCCTCTGGTTTCTCATGAGAAGCATCAATCAGTTTTTTCAACTCTTCCAACTGATTGGCACTGGACATGGCCTTCAATCTGTCTAAAAACCTCTAGTAATAATATAATGAAAAATGAAAGTTCAAGAAAGCAAAAAAGTGAATCAAAAAAAGAAGTGAAAATTTATCAAATCGCTCATAAATATAGAGGGTTTATATTTTATAACGGCCGATGTCAAACTAAAGAAAAAAAGTACCAATTTTTTTTTCAAAAAAAGGAAAACCCAGAAATATTTATCCGCACTCACGCGTTTCGTGTCGGTGCTTGCCACTTGACATCAGCTTTCACTTCATAGCCAGTCAAAAGAATAAGAATCTACCAAATGTAAAACGCCATTTTACAAGCTTCGATGCGATATTCTCTCATATAATATAAAGACTAGAGATATAGGAATTTCTTGGGTAGGGGAACTTTAAAATAAACAAAAAAAAAAACGTTAAAAGAATAACAAAAATATTCGTGAGCAGCATGAGAGTAGCAAATCAAGTAACATAAAAATACAAACGCCAAATTGAAAACAGGAAAGTAAACAAACTGAAAGAGCAACATATTGGAAAATAGAATTGAAGAATGAATACAGGAAAATTAATAAAAATGGAGACAGAAAAAAGAAAAAAAAAGAAATGCTACCCAAAAACATAGGAACGGCAAATACATCAACAAAAATAGAAAAAATATTAGAGGTATTGAGGGCAAGGGCCAACTTCTGAAATGAAACGAAATGAAAAGAGAAGAGAAGAAAAGAAAAGAAAAGAAAAGAAAAGAACAGAGAAAACACGAAATAGAATGAAAATGGTAAATGACCTAGTCTGATTTTGCTAATGTTTCAACAATTCCATCAAGGTCCCATCTCGAAGTAATGTCCTTGATTAAACATCCTTTGATAATATCAATGATAGCTGGCGCGCTTCCTCCTGCAACCTGTAAACATTGCGTGTCATATTTACCTCTGGCAATCATGGCACGCAATCTAGGCTCAAAATTGTGCTGGAATGGTAATTTACCAACTACCATGGTATATAGCAATACACCGAGTGCCCAAATATCTGCCATGGGACCTAATGGAGGTGGATTTGGTAGCAAAATTTCTGGTGACGCATATGGTAATGAGCCAATATGGGTATGCGGCAAAGGAGTTTTATCATTGCTAGGTTGCTCGTTTTGAATATAATTGAAACTGATTGGTGATAAATTCAATGTTGTGGAGGTAGGTGCAGGACCATAAGATTTCGGGAACGACGAGATACCAGCCGGTGTATCATCATGGGTCACCTTCTTGTTGAAGAGGATTGCATGCATTTTGTTGTAAGACACTGACAAGTTCTCCGATGATGACGATCTTGGAATTTGTGGACGTGAAGAAACATCTATATCGATGTAATTGCCTGATAAGGTATTCAACCGTGTCAAAGATGATCTTGCTGAAGAAATAGAATTTTTTCTGGACCTTTCTGGATTAATGTAGAAGCAACTCATTCCAAAATCACAAATCAAAATATGGTTCTCAATTTTGTTTGATACTGGGTTAACAATCTCATCAATTAAACAATTTTCTAGTTTCAAATCTCCATGCACAATACCATTATAATGCATATAACTCAAGCCATCCAATATCTCCCAAATAAATTTCTTGATCAATACTAACCTTTTCGAAATAGCGATGGGTGAGTTAGGATCATTATAATACCCCCAATTGGACACAATGTCAAATAATGTTCCGCCGTAAATTCTTGGAGTGATACAAAAGATTGCATAACTCGTTTCCTTGATGAACAATAATGGCAATAATCTTTTATGATTCAACAATTTCCAGATCTTTATCTCCTTTTTAAAGCATTTCCTAACGATTTCGTTCTTGGTCTTGACAATCTTAATGGCCCTTACAAGTCTTTGAGGGGTGCCTATAGAATGCAGTATTACATTATTGTCATTTTCGGCCAAACTATAACATTCTCTAACAATACCCCAAGAGCCATATCCAATGATTTTACCCAATTCGTGGTTCATAACGATTGATCCTCTATCATCGATATTGTGTTTTTTTCCGGTATTCTTACCAACTCTCGATAAAAATTTTGCGGCAGCGGTTGTTGGCTTAGTAGGTTGTGCCTTTTTTGATGAGTCTGCCTGGTCAGATTTCTTCTCAAACTTTTTCTTAATCAATTGTAGTAGTAATTTGGAATCAATCTTATTGTTCTTGTCATTTGGAGGCAAAATGTTCAAAAGAATCTTTCGTCTTTCAGAAAAACGCAATTCAAGGAAATCGTCAGGTAGTTTATCGATCAACTTCTCATAATCAACTTTCTTAGCTTCTTCAGGTTTCTTTTGCTCAATAATTGGTGAAGCAAGACTAGCAGAATCTTTGGAATCAACTTCGGCCTCAGGGACCTCTTTAATTTGGGATGATAAAGACAGGGGCTCGTTTTTTTTTTCAAGATCGTGTCGCTCGATAGTTTGACTGAAATCTTTTTCAGTATTTAGTTGGCGAGCCCTGGCTATATCATTTATAGCTATAGGCGAGGACATAACTGATGAAGCTTCGGAAGTGCTACTGTTTTCGATAACTGTACCAAATTCAAATTTCACACTATTCCTTGGGGCTGAAGGGCTTTTCGTTCCAGAAATAGGCTTCGGGACGGACAGTATACCAGCATAACCATTTGATCTCAAGATGGCATTATTAGATAGAGTTCTCGGAGAATCTAAAATAATTGTATCTAGTCCAAACCTAGATCTTGTAGGAGTGTTGATGTTAGACGAGTCAGTACTGTTAGGAGTTTTAGGAGAGCTTTTCTCATTCAAACCATCAAGCACCGGTGACTTCTTCTGGTTTTCCTTTGAGGTCTCGACAGTCTCTCCATTCTTAGCCTTGTTCTTCCTATCAAGGATAAAGTTTGGGATCTCATTGAATTTTTTATGGCCACCATACAAATTATTATAATCATAATCATTAAAGTTTAAGATATTTTTTTTGTAGTTTTTTAAATTTTGATTCACATGTCGTTTATATGACTGAGTGAAGCGCTCATCATTTTTCTTGGAGACTAAAGATTTATTTTCAGTTGAGGAAACATTGTCTTTAGATTCAACGATTTCTTTATACGTATAATCGTGAGGTGCTTCTGTCAATGTGGGATCATCATCGTGATTTGGCACATCCAATGTCAACTCATCTTGATTATCAAAACTTCTAACGCTTTTTATACTTTCAATGGTCTCCAAAACTATTTGAGGTTTGTTGTCATGTGCATAACTTCCAATTAATTGCAATTTGTAATATCTTCTGTAATCATTATCATTGTCAAACCACTGACCAATGCTTGTCTTGAAATCCAAACCAGGGATATATTCATCTTCACAGCCAAGTAAACTTTCATAGTTGCGATAAATCTCAACATTTGGGTGAAGACGCAACCCACTGGAGTAATTTACCTTATTAGAAGCACCAGGATTCAAAAGTTCAAGGTGTGATGTGGATATCTGATGGGTCTTAGCCAAACCAAAATCTCTGTTATAATTAGCCTTATTACGCGCATCAAACACAGGCTTGTAGTTGGCATCTGGGACAATTGTACCGCCATGAAGAGTAATATTGAAAGGAATCTGCATTGCACTATCATTATTTGAATTATCTCTGCTCATATATGGTGTTTGCAAATTAGAATTGGACTCAATATCAAGACCACGATAAATCTCTTTATCCTTATTTTGCTTATTCAGGTTGACTCTTGTGCTACTATTGTTTCTTGTAGAATGGATGGAATCATCCTGCAACTTTTCATGATTCTTATGCAAACTGAAAAATGGTCTGTGCTTACCATCATCATATAAACGTTCTCCGGTAATTACTGAAAAATTTGCGGTTTCTGATTCGGAATATGTACGTGGTCTTAATCGAGATTTACCTTTCTTACTACCAGCTTTCCTATCTCCAGTTTCCTCTACCTCATCGAAATCACTTTCTTCTATTGCCTCTTCATTATCAGCAACTTTCTCAGTTTTCCTATTCTCTTCATGATATTTTAAATTATTTTGTGTTCTGACTCGTAGGATCATGCTATCTCTCTTGGTTGTGCTTTCGGCATCATCAAACATTTCATGATTATCATATAAGTGATTGTAATTATTATTGGGAAGTGTCAATGTTTTATCATTATTGATATAATAGTTTCCATCAATCTTTTCTAACAACTCAAATGGAAGAATCTCTGCGGGAAAGTCTCTTTCTAATAATGTTGAGCATTGAGCAGTGCTGATGTCACCGAATGACCGGCTAAGGCTTTGGTTAGCCTCCTCCTTTTCCTCATATGTCTTTTCTTCTTGAGGAATAGCTTTAATTTGAGTCTTGGTGTCGCCTGCAGTTCTGTTATCATCATGGTCCAATGATCTATCTTCATTTCTGAAAGTGTTAACCTTAGCTGTGTGAATAAACGATTCACTGAAAGAGTTTGGTTGGGTACGATAATTACCAGGGTCATCATTCAGGCTCAAACCATTTATATGGGTTGCAAGTAAACCACTGTTATCAGCAAGGGAAGAAGGTTCCGCAGGTCTAGTCCCAAACAATCGCAGTATATCCTTATTCACCAAAGTAATAGGTGTGTCCACTGTTAAGTTTCCAGAACTCAGAGTTGGATTCTTGTTAAAGTTGAAAGGAGAAGAGACCGTCAAATTGTTGTCGACAGGCGAATTGATGAAATTGTTGGAGAAATTGTAACCGTTATTCAAACCTGTTATCAAATTGGGGGCCATTTTTTTTGGTTGCACTTTTGTTTCTGATATGTATAAACCATTATCACTATTGTTGTTATCATTTTGGGCTTCTGGGTCTTTCTGAAAAGGTAAGGGGCCTTGAGTTAATTCATTGTCATTGATTAAAGTATTCTTTGGAATCGGGTTGAAAGAGGAATTAGAAAACCGCCTCGAGTTCCGATTATGTCCATCGTTATTATTTTTGAAGGACATTTCTCGGGAAAAACATCAACTGAAAGCTATTTATAGGCAAGTGTACCAGGGAAAGGCTGATCAATCCTCAAGCACTAGAACGTCTTCTCAGTGTTTATATAATATACGGCAGGCGTCTCGAAGGTGTGGATCAACGGCAGCCTGTGACTATGAAATGAAATTTTTAATGCAGCTAAATACTGTTAGCAAGCCAAGGGTAATTCCTGGCTATTGGATTCCGCCTAGTTTGTGTCTGTTTGGTTACCTTAGATTGTATCTATAAGCGAGCTCTTTACTTCTAATTAACCACTGTATCGCCAGTGATTTTTTTTTCTTTCTTTAAATTAGTGCGTGCTGCGTTACGTAATCGCTTACCAGAGGGGAAATCGCTTCTGTGCAAATCGCCACCAACAAAAATAATCTTTGAAATTGTTAAATGGGGAGGCAAACACCGCTGAAGGATCTATATTCATCATCATTTACCAGGAAAAAATGAATTCAATTGCGGACAGTTTTTACAGTAACAAAGCAGAAGAGTCAATAGATAATGAGTTTATTTCCAAAAAACTCTCTTTGACTCCTTCGCTCGCCATGCCTCCAATATCCAAGCCAACAGCGTTCTTGAGAGCACATACCGACGATAATACCAACCCAGATTGTAAAATCAAAATTGCCCATGGTACCACCACTTTGGCTTTTAGATTCAAGGAGGGTATTGTTGTTGCCGTCGATTCCAGAGCCACTGCTGGTAACTGGGTCGCCTCCCAGACAGTGAAGAAGGTAATTGAGATCAACCCATTTTTGTTAGGTACTTTGGCTGGTGGTGCTGCCGACTGTCAATACTGGGAAACATGGTTGGGTACTCAATGTAGACTCCATGAATTGAGAAATAAGGAGAGAATTTCTGTGGCTGCTGCATCCAAGATTTTGGCCAATTTGGTATACAATTATAAAGGTATGGGTCTTTCTATGGGTACAATGGTTTGTGGTTATACAAAGAAGGAGGGTCCAACCATCTATTACGTGGATTCTGATGGTACTAGATTGAAGGGTGATATCTTTTGTGTCGGCTCTGGTCAAACATTTGCCTATGGTGTGTTGGACTCTAACTGGCATTGGGACTTGACACTTGAAGAAGCCTTGGAATTGGGTAAGAGAAGTATTTTGGCCGCCACCCATAGAGATGCGTACTCTGGTGGTTCGATCAACTTGTACCATGTCACTGAACAAGGGTGGAAATACTATGGTAATCATGATGTTGGTACATTGTTTTGGGAAACCAAAGCTAAAGAAGGCTCTTTCAATAATATTGTTTCCTGATGTTTTTCTTCTTCTAAATCAATTGTATGTGTTTTCTACCTGTGTTGATCGTATAACTATAAAATTTTTCTTTTCCTGTGTGACCCGTTTATATTAATGAATTATTTTTTTTATTATAATTGTGTTTACAGTAAGCCGTGACGTAAATCGTAATATTAACAAATAGTGAAAATAATTATAATAATAATAATAATAATAATAATAATAATAACAAGTTCTATGTAGATCCATGAGCTAACAACACGGCAGAAGTCAAGTTTCTTTTAATGTCTTCCTTGTCAACATCATGGGTATCTTCAACTTCTCCCCATCTTTCAGTCTGGTAAATAGTTTCCAAATTTGAAGCTCTGATAATGTTATCTAACTCCAATCTCATTTGTCCATCAGCTTCACGCAGCAACATTACGGTATACATACCACAGATAAATGATTTGCTGCTCATAACAGCTTTTTCAAAAGCAACGAATGAATAAACATCTAATGAGTCCATAAATTTCTGGGCGGCAATTTTTGTAGCTTCGGATTGTTTGTTGCTTCTAATCCCGTGAACCTCGCAATCAAGGAAAGAAAGTTTTATCTCTTCTTTTTCCGGGTGCAAGCTGGTCAACAACTCTTCGACTTCAGACATGAGTGGCTTATATAATTTGTCTTGTTCGGCTCTTAACGCCCCTTCGAATTCATCGGCTGGGGAAAAGATCAACAAAGTATCAGTATCCAAGTATCTCAACAATTCTTCACTGATATGTTGTCTGTTTCCAATTTTGGCTTTTCCTTCTGCATCAGCATTATTAGCCAATTTCAAATCAATCGCACGAGCAGTGATGGAAGTCAAAGGTACTTGATGGGGTTTGATGGACAAGTTTGGCAAGTTTCTCCATTCCAAGGCAATCAATTCAGCTAAAATTGGTTTTGATTTTGGCAAGATAATCTCGTTACCTAAAGGGGTTCTCAAGCATTTCCCATCCATCTTCACCGAGATTTCAGCACCATCATTTTCAACAGTAATTTTCTCCCAGAATTTTTGGAGAGTTTTCTCTAATCTATTAGTCTCGGTCTTCAAATTGGTTTCAACAGTGACCCCTTTGGTGGCAACTGCGAATGAGCGACCAAGAGGAGGAGCATAAGTCCTCTGTGAGATCACTCTGGCAAGATTCCTTTTCTGAAAGCCGATAACTCTAAGCATGATCTGTGTGCGTGCGATAATTAGTAACAAACACTCTTCGTCATACATTGTTACAGTTTTCCAAATTGAATGGGAAAAAAAAAATGCAAACCGTACTACATGGTGCGGTTAGACTGCAGGAAAAGGCCAACATTGTTGTGCTATATGCTTTCACTACATACAAAACGACAATTTACTGATGGTTATCCGACATGAATGAGCAAAATAATTCAAGCAGATCATCTATTACCGTATAAAGCGAAGAACCAAGACACAAATACAAATGGGAAACAAACAAATATATTATAGAAATAAAAGGGAAAAGAAAAACGAAAAACAAAAGATACACCTTAAACACATAGTTATACAGACATTTGGGTATCCTTTTCTTTTTCAGGCAAAACAGTTGAGTTTTTTGTCAAGTAAATCACCTTGACATTATTTACCCCACCAATGGTCCCATTCCATTTGATCAAGTTCTCCACATTCGCTTCATCGGACATATCAGGGACCTTAAAACCACTAACATACTCTGCTCTGTCTTTTTTCTTCTGATCTTCCAATAGATCCTGTCTTTTGCTAGCCGGTCTACCTGGTCTTCGCTGATCTCTCAACTCTTCCAATTCTTCATCAAACCTCGACAAATAAGCTTCAATGAACAATTTCATCTCCTCCACGGTAAAGCTCTTTTTTTCATCGCTGACACGGTTCTCTGCTGCTTCTTGGAAGAACAAAGTTCTTCTTAGTTCATGTTCACGCTTGTCGATATGTTGCATCTTCTTCTTTTCAAGCTTATGTTCTCTGAGATGGGCCTTGTTCAACTTGGCAAACTTCCGACCCTTTGGGTGGAACATCACGGACTTGGATTTACTCAGCTGTCTTGAGACTTTAAGCAAAGTCTTTCCTGTTGGCATTTTTATTATTATTATTATTATTATTATTATTAATATTATTATTAATATTATTATTTTCAATGATTTGATAGAATCTTGTAGTTAAGAGATTTTTGAAAGAAAAAAAAAAAAAAAAAAAATTTGAGATCGATGGATGCCTTCATTACCCGGTGTTTCACAACGCTTCTAAAGTTCAACCATCTCAAAAAAAAATTTTCGTGAAAAACATACAGAGACGCAATCCTGGCTTGCGATAAGAGAGAGCTTTCACCAATTGCTTTTACTTTTTTTGGTTCATTTAATTTTTTTTTTTGCTTTCCAATTCAAGATATTTTAAGGTTTGCAACTGGTAATTATTATTATCATTACTAATACATACATAGATTTTGACAGTTATTAAGTTTCAAAGATGGCCAAATACACCGAAGAAGAATTGTTGTCATTTCGTGACCATGGCGCTGCTCCACAAGGCGTTGATCTTAAAGCTTTTTCTGATATGATTGCCGATGTCAAGGAAAAGTTAGCTCAAAAATATGAGGCCGAAAACCAAGAAGGGAAATTCACTTTCAGTAGAAGACGTTCATCCCGTCATGACGCCAGACCACATTTCAAGAAGAACTTCCGTAAGCATGAACATGTTGTTCAACCAGATGCTGAGGGTTGGGTCACCTTGAAAAACACAAGAAAGTCCTTTGGTGCTGGAAATGAAGAGAGCCGTGATGAATTCAGAGAAGCCGTCAAGATTGTGGCTCCTGTAATGAAGGTTAAGCCAAACACTAAAGGTATTGGTACCAGAGCTGCTGCCGACACTAAGGAAGCTGTGTCTGAAAAGAAAACTAAGAAGTTCAATGCTTTCAGTGCATTAGGCTCGGATGATGAGGAAGAAGAAGAAGAAGATGAAGAGGATGAAGATGAAGAAGAAGATGAAGAGGATGAAGAAGAAGAAGAAGAAGAAGAATGAGATTGGGAATAGATACAATGGTAAAATAATGAAAAGAGTTTAAAATTTTCAATTAAATTTTGTCAAAGGATTGATGCATCGTTAACAGCTTTATTGACCTGCAGAGAATGATAAGATGACTTGTCTATAGGGAAAAACTCACACATTTTTTTTTTTTTTTTTTTTTTTTTTCTAGTTCTATTTTGGACATTTATAGAATTGCAATGTAAAACTTAATAGGTTTATTTCTACAAGAAACTTTATGTGCTTTTAATGTTGAGAAACTTTTGCTGCTCTTACGTATTATAGGTCTGCGTCCATGTTATGAAAGTCGGACATCTCTTGTAAATTAGATAACTTTTATTAAACGTTATGTAACGCTACTTCACATATGACAATAATAACCTAAGACTGTTTTATATATAAAACAGTAAAAAACTACATTGAGCTATTCTTAAACAAAAGGAAAAAAGTGCATTAAAAAACACCCTGAAATTTTGGATTTGAGTCTTTTTTAGTTATTATGACATAACACCCCAGACTTAAATACCGCAAAATATCTATATAGTAATTCAATTCACAAAAACCAGGAGAAGAAGAAAAAAAAGACAAAAAAAGACAAGGAAAATAATCAGCGAAACAACACAATAAGTATATTGTAGGAATTATTCAGAATCCTCAGTCAAGCGGATTTGGAGGGCATGGTCCGTGTCTCTCTTTTTTGGGAGCGTCTTCAGAAGGCGATTCAGAACCAGAATTAAAAGGATCAAATGGAGGAGTATAGAATCCGTGACCTGCAAAACCGTGGTGATGACCGTGACCACCGCGTCCCTTAAACCTGCCAAAGTCAAAAGGACCACGGGGTTTGTGGTGGTGAGGACGATGGTGGTGATGTCCGAAGCAAGGAACCTCTCTGTTATCTTCAAAGGCTGGCTGTTCCATAGGAAATTCCATAGGAAACCCTCCTCTAGGGTGATGATGACCACCGCCAAAACCACGGGATTTGTCACCGGCAAAGAATTCTTCACCAAATGGTGGAGGCTTGGCATGCCCGCCAAAATGGTGCCATCCACCATGACGGGCAAATGGATGATGTGGTGGAACAGGATGAGGATGTGGTGGTGGTGGTGGCATAAATTCTTCGGCACCAAAAGTACCCATATGTGCCTCAAAGTCTCTATGCTGGTGATGCATATCTTTGAAGTAACGGCCTTTTCCATGGCGACCAACGCCCTTTTGAGATCTCCCTGGAGCCAAGTCATCGTCAACACTCAAATCAGCAGCATCAACGGATTCCATCATTTCCTCAAAATCTTCGGTTGCCTTTTGCATTTCTTGATATTTTTCTTTCAAGGCACCTTTAGTTTTCTTTCTCAAAACTCTGGCAGCTTTGTACTTGATTTCCCTCAATTCGGCGATTGATAGTTGCTTATACAACTCGATAGGGGCGTCGACCAAGTCTTTCGATGTGACAGAGTTGGTACCAGAAGGTACCGCAGCAGAAGGTACAGAAGCAGAAGATTCAGTAGCAATAGTAGCAGAGCTATCCATATTGGCATCAATCATCTTCAGAAATATAGATAAAATGTAAGTTGTCTCAATAGTGTTTGTTCATCGGCAATTAGGAAAAAAAAACTTTCAGGGGGGGCAACGCGGCTTTTTATATTTCAAATCCCGGAAGAGTTTGAACTGCGCCCCGGCCTTCTATTATCGGCATAGGTCTGCATGACAAACGCCGACAATCCGGTGGCAAATATCAGGGATTTTGGGGACGGAATAGGGGCGGGGGATAAAATTAATTAGGAGATATGTGAAATAAAGCAATATAATACTCTTGATAAATCTCCCAATATCAGCCTCACTTTAAATAAATGCATTTGACAAACATGTGGATATCGGATGAATATGAAGACATCGGGCGAGTATGGAGACATCGGAAAAGCAGCAGAGAAACCTGACGGGTTGCCGAATTCTCCGCATTAGTATGCGCCAATGGACATTTTCCTTTTCTATTGATATATGTTTTTACATATCTATAATATATATGTGATCTATTCTTATTCTGGAATATAAGGGTGGTGACAAATGCAGCTAGTTGTAATTATCCCCGACATGTCGACATGTCGGGGATAATTACAACTCACTGCAGTGACTGTAGTGGAATAGTAGCTGTTTCTACCACTGCGGCGTTCGAGGAGTGTTCTGTTTGCGGAGTGAGTAATTTTGAGTTTTTCATTCCAATCATTAGTACATCATCGGTAGGTAAATAAGAAAAAGAAGATTTGTCTGCAATCATCGCGGAGGATCGGACTCTTGCTTTCTTGCATTCCCTATGTTTATATCTCTTGAGGTAAAAACGTTTGTCACAAATGAGAAGGTATACCATACACACGGCTCAACAAAAAAAAAGAAAAAAAAAAAAAGGTGAGGGCAAAAAAAAAAATTGGTTGAAAACCATAAGACAGATAGATTGTTCATCTTTTGGATTAGCAAATACCATTATTTGTGTTAGATTATAGATAACTTCATAGTCATTCTTTGCTTTTCATTATTCATCATGTCAGCCCACAGAACCGAAAAAACTGAAACTGCTCAGTTGCCTCACAGCTTCTCCGAGCCAGTCACTTTGGCGATCATTGGGGGTACAGGATTATACCACATGGCATCTTTGGAACCAGTTGCTAGATTAACTGTCTCTACACCATGGGGATTTCCTTCTTCTCCAATCACCATTTCTCGTACTTCAACTGGGTTCCCAATCGCCTTTTTAGCCAGACATGGTCTTCATCACGATTTATTACCAACTGACGTCCCATCCCAGGCAAACATTGCTGCTTTGAAATCTTTGGGTGTCAAAGTGATCGTTGCCTTCTCAGCCGTCGGTTCTTTGCAAGAACATGTTAGTCCTCGTGATTTTGTCATTCCTAACCAAATCATTGACCGTACTAAAGGTATTAGACCTTCCACTTTCTTCGAAAGTGGTTTTGTTGGCCACGTTGGTTTTGGCGAGCCATTTGATAAAAAACTCGGTGAATTGATCTACAATACCTGTAAAGACACTATTGCTCCACAGAAGTTGCACTCCCCAGCCACCGAAAAGAAGGACACTTTGTTGATCTGTATGGAAGGCCCGGCTTTCTCTACCAGAGCCGAATCCCAATTATACAGAAGCTGGGGCGGTACTGTCATCAACATGTCTTGTATTCCAGAATCCAAATTGGCCAAAGAAGCGGAAATCTCTTACCAAATGATTTGTATGGCCACCGATTATGATGCATGGAATGTCAACGAAGAACCAGTGACTGTGGAAACCGTGGTCAGTAACTTAAAGGCTAATGGTGAAAATGCCAACAAGTTGGCCACAACCCTTATTCCAGCTTTGGAAAAGGCTCTTGTTGCCGGGGAGATTGGCAACGATTTAAAAGACACCTCCAAATCTTCGATCTCTACTAATCCAAATGCAGTTACTAGACAATTATTGGAAAAAATGCACTTCTTGTTCCCAGGTAACTGGCCTGCTTACAAATAGAAAGCTAGCATTAGCGTTTTCTTTTTCTTCATTTTTATTATTGTGCAAATATACGGTGGCACGTTTTTATACTTTTTATTTATTTTTCCCATTAGTTATTATTCTCTAGATCAGTATTCCAAGTAATAGAACTAGAATTCTCCTTCCTCCTTTCAGTGATAAAAATACCTAAGGTGTTCAGGTAATCATCTCAATCCATTATTTTTACTTTGCGCACGTCACGAAGATATGGAGCCCGGGTAAGTGTAAAATCACGAGCGAAAAACTTTGGAAAATTTTAATTTGGTGTGAATAAATCACAAATGTGGTGTAGCGGAGGTGAAAAGACGAATCTTATTACTGTTTCTCCAATCATTATTTATCAACACTAGAAGGCAGTGTCTTGCAGAAAAAAAAAACATCAAAGAAAGGAAAGCACTTGTCACATAAGCAGATAGGGAATTCTAGCAAAAGTAAAGAAAAATTGTGAGAAAGAAAAACAAGGAATAAAGATAAATCAATCAATCAATCAATCAATCAATCAATCAATCAATCAATCAATCAATCAATCAATCAATCAATCAATCAATCAATCAATCAATCAATCAATCATACCAGTCCATCAATAATGAGTCTTCTCAACACAATATTATTCAACTCAAGAATAATATCAAGCTACCCAAAGTTGGTAAGAACTGGAGCATCATTAACTTCTCTTGATGCTGCTGTCACTACCATTACTTCCAAGGCAGCCCCAGTGAACCATTCCGCTGAAATGGCGCGTCTTAGAAAAAGATTACCTAGCAGACCTGGTCTTGTGGGGGTCAAAAAGGGTATGATCTCATATTTCACTCCTAGTGGCGAGAAGTTCCCATGTACTGTGGTGGAAATTGACTCTGTGGAAGTGTTATACACCAAAACTCCAGCCAAAGAAGGTTACTATGCCGTTCAATTAGGATATGGTGCCGTCAGTTCCAAAAAGATTAGTAGAGCCATGTTGGGACACTTTGCTAGAGCTGAAGTAAACCCAAAGGAAGCAATTTATGAATTCCAAGTGAAAGACGAAACCGGATTATTGGAAATAGGCACCGAATTGAAAGCTGATCATTTTAAAGAAGGACAATACGTCGACTTGAAGTCGGTTTCTAAAGGTAAAGGATTTGCAGGTGTCATGAAGCGTTGGCACTTTGCTGGTTTGAGAGCTTCTCACGGTACCTCTGTGGCTCATAGACATGGTGGTTCTTATGGTCAAAATCAAACTCCTGGTAGAGTTTATCCTGGAAGAAAGATGCCTGGTCATATGGGTCATAAGAACGCTACCATACAGAATAGCGAAGTGATTGAAGTTAATGCCGAAAAGGGATACATTTTGATCAAAGGGCCAATTAGTGGGGCTAATGGAACTTTTGTCAAAATTCAAGATGCTATAAAGAAGCAATAATCGTATTTTGATTATCTATCTTTCACTTTTTTTTTTCAAGAAAAATTCAACCAGAAATTTCAAGTGTTGGTTACATAAATAGCAATGTAAATAGTTAATAGAAACTTTTAGCTTGAGAAAGCGAAATCTTTCTTTGTGTGATATTCAAATTAGTGAAAGGAAAATCCTTGTAAAAATGACAGTACCGTTTTTCGATGATCAGTCTCATGACAAACGCAAAGGAGCAAATAATAACACTGAACTAATGCATTTCTGGTACACGATAGAACCTGAAATTTCTAGCAATAAAATGGAAAATTAGTGGTATATTCTCTAGTACTGATATCGGAGTTTATACATTTGATTTCACCATTTCAAAATCGATGCACCTTACCATCGATTTCGATTTAAGGGATATTTTGAAGAAAGTTTAATAGTTAGTTTTAAATATTTTAGAGTTTTTGATAATAATAAAATAGTATTAGTTCGTAACGACTCTTCAAAACTGCCCTTAAATCACCTTTATCATATATTGAGAGAGTCTCTATTACTATAGCAGGGTTAACTCGCTCTGCCAAACATTAAAAACCTTAAGTTTGAAATTTTTCATTCAAGCATATCATATCTCAAGGTATTTGTACATATATTTACTCTATAAGGTGTTTTAACTACATCTAATGGTAAATAACAGAATTTTTAATGGAAAAATTTCCATACAGATCACCTCAGTTTTTTTTCAACATGATTTATTATCTGGCGCAACATGAGTCCTCGAATACAGTAGCGACAAACTTTAGCCAAATTTATGTTGGGTATGGTCGAATGAATTTTCTTTCAAGTAAATTCTATGATTTCTCATAGTATACAAATTCTGACCAAAACCCATGAGCTAACATAAATATGTCTAATCATATGAAATGGCGGTTTCTGAAAGGGTTTTTGATTTTTACTGCCATTTTTGTGGTTCACTTATTATGTATTATATACCTGTTTGCATTGTTCTTTTGAAGTGAGCGAAGCAACAAGTGAACACTTCAATGCATTGCAGAGAAGTTTTTAGAGCGGGCTTATTTGCTCGTTTGTAGGATTATTTTGAGGTATGTGAAGCAACAAGTGAACACACCAGTGCATTGTAGAGAAATCCTAAGGGTTCCAAAATCTACGTGTATCGACAGTGTATTTTTGGACCTGCTGTTTTGCTTCTTCTTGGGTTCAGTTCATCAATGTATTTTTGGTTTAACTATTGGAAGAATAACTCGTTTGCAACCCGGCTTCTTATATTACCAAAACAAGACATAATGATATTAAGCTTTCCCTTTTCAGAAGAGCTAGACTTTATGAAGGCATTAGAACAGTTTCATGTAATGTGACTAGCTTATTTCCATAAATAGAATAGTGAACGGCATTTTTTCTCTTGGTTAATTTGCTTTATGAATCGACAGTGTAATAATGTTTTAATTTTTTTTTGTTACACAAGCGACATATGTTTGATGAGTTTGTATACTAGTATGCCTGGTAGCTACCAGGCATGAACTGCGTCGGGCATCAAAAAAATCTCTTTTCTTTTTTTTGTAGTTTCAATAAGCAAAACAAATATATGGTCGTTCTTTTAATTTTACCTTATCGTATTTCTCTTTTTCTGCTAGAATAGATAAATCTATATACAGAGTAATGACGCGAACTTGCAAGAGTAGCGCAGGTATCATTGATTATCGCTGAAAGAAGCATCAAATCTTCAGTATACAGTTGATTGATATACCTCCGCGATAATTAATCATGTACTCGTCAGTAGCTGTGAGCAATTTAGCCATGCAACTGATAAATTAGAATACTGTTTTATCAACAGCAAATAATCTGTCTATTTTTTCCGGACTTTTATCTATATATATATAAATATTTATATATCTTTATATATTTGGGGATGCCTCACTATAACAGTATATTCTTGATTCTGAAACTCGTGAACACTATTACTTGTTGTTTTGGTTATTGGAACTTGTTTATAATAGCCCTGTTAGTAAATGGCTCTACTGTAGGCGGACCTTTGATATCCTTGGGTATTTTATCTTCTGCAAAGTAGTGTGTACGGGGATTCTGAAATTTCCATATTCATGCAACTATGATAGCATCAGTATTGAAAAAGTGTGCAGCTTATTTATTTATCATCGTTATAATTATATCATCATAATTATATCATCATAATTATGACTGTACATAATGACTACAAATATTTCTCCAATTTGCGGCCTGCTTGCAAAAATGCTACACCTCCGGGACGTTATTTCAGCTCGTATTTGCCAATGGAAAACTTTCATTCACTATAAAAGACAGCAACAAAATGTCCAGAACCACTATTAATGATAAAAATGGCAATAATCGTCATCATCAATAACGCATAATGAGGAAAAGGAAAATGGATCTCTAGTTCCATTGCTTGTAAGCAAAAATTGCTTGCCTCTGGTGCTTCTTTTTGTCCTTTTTTTATTTTTTTTCCCCTTCGTCATCGTCTTTGCAGCGATTCTCGGTGCAATGTAGGCGCCTATCACCAATTGGAATTTTCCACATAAACCCAACCATTGAACCCTTTTTTGGATATCGTAATAACACATATAGAACATGTGTATAGTGGTAGTCAATACTGTCAGGTAAAAATTCCCCGCACCTTAAATTGAGCTCCAGTTTTTGACTTCAACTTTCTGTACTATTTTTTCATTAATTAGACAAAAAGCATACGTGATGCTCATCGACACTAAGTTGCAGACCTGATTATTTGTGGATACTCAATTGTAGAAGATCATATTTACGTGATATTACTCTATTGGTTCTGAAGGATGGAATTTCTACCATTTCTAAACCTTTTCCTTTTTCTCCATTTAGTCGGTTCTAATTCAAAAGGCTCTAATACCAAGAGCCTTAATTTTAGCATTAGTAATGTACAAAAATACAGAAAATAAATAATTAGTAAATAGAAAGTAATAGAACGGAAGGCACAAAAAAAAACCATGAAAATAGAATAATTTAAGGGATTTTTACTTAAAGGAACCTTGTGCTTTTCGGACTCAACCCAGATTGTAAGTTTTCAGGATCTAAAAATCTCCTCATTCGATGAAGTATTATATTTGTCCATTAGACTGCTAGATTTAAGGGTAAACTGAAATTATCTTCTCAAAAAAAAAAAAAAAAAAAAAATTCTGGAAACTCTAGACAGAAGAAATACTCAGTTTTTTAGATATTCATATTCGATGTAACAAAGTCACAGAAAATTTCTAAATCCACTTTTCGATTTAATTTAAATTAAATAATATATAATATATGGCGCAATTGCTTCTCGTGGCGATGTTTGTTAAACACATTAGATCTAGGTTGGTGTATAGAAGAACAAGAGAAACAGTCCGAGAGATTGGTTTAAAATGAAATGAAAACAGCATAAATGCTGCCAAATAATAGGAAATAGTAAAACAATAGCATACCTAATAATGACATTGTTAACGAAAAACTGAGATTTGGAATAACATGTTAATGTCTAGGAGAACAAAAAAATGAAATATGAATAAAATATTGGAGATGGATCAAGTTGGTTGCTAGCATCCTTTGGTTTGAGTTTGATTTCACTCAGATGAAATGAAAAAGAAAATGAAATGAATTGCGACAAGTGGCAATCATAGAAAAAACTATTCAATAATAATATATGAGTGCTCTGTAATGCGCGAAAGATAAAACTAATCTGAAAAGAGGTTAAGAGAAGCAACTAAAACTCTTTGGGATAAAAAAAAAGATTGATGATCAATGGTTTCTTTGCTACTCTTTTTCAGGCATGATGTAATTGCTTTTCATGGCGGTGTTTGTTGAACACATTTTTAAAGCTTCTTTCACAATAACTGCACTGGAAGACATCACTATTAGATTCATGGATTTTACCATGGCGTTTTAGTGACCCCAGAGTACCGAATCCAATGTATCGATATGGGCAATTTGCTATCTCACACTTAAATTCGTTTTTCGTACACAATTCATCCAAATGTTTCGCCAATTCTAAAATATTTGTGAACGTACAATTCTCACGGCAATTAGTCCCAGAACACCGGTACCCTCCTTTTTTCTTTTTAGCTTTGTCGACCATAGAGTCTCCTAATAGCGCCAGTGTCATTGGGTATTGGTGATAGTTGATGTACGGGTGCTGGATTCTGAAAGCCCGCACCAAGTCTTCGCTCGATTGCAAGATCGGGTCATTTGTCGCTGGTGGCATTGTGCCAATTGTTTGAGGATGATATATTATATTATTATGGAAGTTCCCAGGAGGACCTGAGGAAGACGGAACAAAAGGTGGACACGGCCCCCCATACACAGAAGTTGAAGGGATCATGATAGAATTATTGGGCGAGGCTATGCCAGTCAACTGATTGTCATCAGTCGTAGGGTTGAGCAAATCAGAGATATCACAACGTTTATAATATTGGCTTGCTCTGGCACTATTGGAAGGGTGATGGACATGTCCCGATTGATTAGATATCACAGGTACATGATGAGCAAAAGAAGAGGATGGAGAGGAGTAAGAACATTTGTTTAGGAAAGAGGGATTCACAGGCGTAGAAGCGGTAGAAGATGGAAAGGGAGGAAGAGGAGGAAGAAGTGTTGATGGTGGATTGGTTAATTGAGATTTACGCCCCGATTTGGAACTGAGAGAGTTATTAGTGGGAATTGTGTAATCTTTAAAATGGCTGTTTTCCATAGGTGTTATAAACATTATCAATCTGCTAGCCGATGGAAAAAAAATTTTTTTCTGTGGGTTTTAGAGGTTCAATTCAAGTGATAATATAATAATATAGTACACGGTATAATATACTTTGGTTATAATGATCCTATAGTATCAACAATAAAAGTGACCTCCCGCTAGAAAATGACGATGACCAAAGGAAGATAACCATTTGTATTAATGGATTTGATATCGAATTTTTGACGTGATTCGAGTAATTTTATATACTTCTGTGGGGATGGGGAGCTGCGAAACCGATTTTTTTGAGGAGACTTGTGTTGATGCAAGCAACAAAATAGTTGCATTATTTTAAATATAACTGTAGGTAATATAGGAGAGGATGTAAGAAAAGAAAAACTATAACATTTAGGAAGAAACAACAGTCACTTTTTGCATGTTACAGTTTGAGTCTCCTGCATATGTGATATGTAATGTGCTGTGTGCATATGTCTATACATGCATAACTTCAAACCATATTATATATATATATACCAATAAAGCAGGCGAGCACCGTAAATTGTTTTCCCCAATTTAAGCACATATAATGCCGGAAAATTCTCTCCCTACTTGTGCTATTTCATCTGCTCCATAGCACTCTAATTGCTTTAATGATTTTCATAGATTGGGACATTTGTTGGGAAGTTAAAGACCCCATCTTCACAACAGTCACTATTTGGAATACGAAATGCTTAACCTCATTCACAAGTGTATATTTTGATTTGAATGTTACTAAATCAAATGTCTTACCTCTTCTTTGAATAATTTTATTGCGCCTATTAAAAAGACTAAAACGAAATAATGTATCTATATATATACATTAATAATTGATTCCTTCAATTGTTTTGACTCATTTTAAAAGATCGATTCGAAGAAAAAAGAAATACAGCGGAAAATGTGCTGTCAATATTTCACTCATATTCTTGTCTCATATATTTTTATTATGGTACACATATTTTAGTGGGACTAGTAGTAAATAGCAAATGGCAATATTTGCTCTTGATTATCTCCGATGTAAAGTACCCTTCCCCCGATGTAATACTTCAGTGCTCATGACTGGGACTACCCGGCCATGTATACCCAACACCTTGATTCTTTTCCAAATGATTAGTTGTTTCACCTATTTTTATTATACTATAAGTTGTTATCATCTTTATAGGTTTTTGTTCCGCCTTTTTTTAGAAAAAAAAAAATTACTTAGTGGTAAGTTGCAATTTGTTGTATTCAGATATTAAAGCTACAACTGATACTCCCTACCCTACCTTAACTATAGTTAATATATATCAATCATCATGTTACCCTCAAATCTTAATTTGGCAAGAAATAATACGTGAGGAAAGTAATATTTTATATTAATTGCATAGGGGCCGTCCACTTTTAATTAACAATAATTGTAATTTCTGTTCTTTAACCTCAAGGCAAAGCGGGCTTGTTTTAAAAACAGGAAGTCAATCGTTTCGATTACAGATACCGTATCATTTTATACTTTGTTAAGACGTCTATTTTTTTTTCTATTTTTTTATTTTTTTACATGTCGGCTCTCGCCGTTCGCTTCCTCGATACGATTCTAGAACCTGCGACAATGTTTTAAGTATGTTGCTTCGTGGTGTCTCAAGCTGGTAATCATTCACATAACAACAAGAAGATTTATTATACCTTCTTAATAAATTAGCCGGACAAACAAAAAGAAATGTCATGGCAGAACAAATTACGAGCAGGATAATACCTGAAAGCCAAAATAGGATTGTATAATTATAAATGATTGATGTTAAATTAACTGATTTTGCGCCGCGGAAACTCTACACTCACACACTCCGGATCTACTGTTTAATAGTTCCGGGAATTCCGCACATATGGCTTTAACATAACATGTCCAACATCTTTTTTCTACCTAAATGGGCCTCACTTTTTGCCTTTATGTCTTCTTGCTTTAATTGTTATCTTCAACATCTTGGTCCATCTGGAATGGTTTCAATTGCACCTTTTGAATTAACTTTGGGCTCGTAGAAGTGTATGCATTCTACAATTTTCTCTGAGCACCTGTGGAAGTATGTATGTATATGTATATCACCAAAGAGAAAGTGTCAGAATACGGCCACAGCGAGCCACGCCTCTGCACCTGCCGGACAGCCACTCCGGATTACATAAAGCTGATTCATTATAGTGGATAGTTCATCATGTGTGACTAGAGGTATATGACCTTCACCTTTGCCTCTCTATTTTATTTGTCTGATATCCTCATAAAATAGAATAGTTTAATTCAACCTGATTGTTTTAAAGTTATGTGCGTATAAATGTGTGAATTTCAACAGAAAGCTCCTGAAAAACAAAGAATGTCTCAATTTCTTTACATAATTGTCTTAAGATTTTCCAGAGGTTGGGTGAAACTAGCAAAAAAAAAAAACCACTCCAAATTGATTTGTTGTTTACGTTCCAAAGGGAAAAAAGAAAAATCTTCTAATTGTTTTTGTTGTTAGGATTAGCCAGACAACTGGTTTGAATATAACGTGAGAGCCATGGCTTCAAAGCGTTGTTAAAGAATAGTCTGGCTAAATAAAAATAATAAAATGGATTGCAAATCATTTTAGGAAATGTGATTATAAAAAGTTAAGCAGGTAGTACTTGTAGTTTAAACTTAGAGCCTCCGACATCAGGGGGTAGAATATCCCTGTATGGTCGAGATCTCGATTGCGCCCGCAAAGGGCTGAAAAGATTGTAATGAAAGAAATTAGCACCAGAAAATTAAAATGCGATATCTTTCAAGATTTGAGAAAAGTAGGCGAATCTGATAACAACTCTGAAGACAAGTCGTAAGTGTTTTTCAACCGTTTTTTTTTTGTTGTACCCAAGCTTTCACAATATCTACCAAGCTCCATAATATACTAAATATTTCGGAAATTACTGGGGAACTGCTCTGCTTATCCTTACAATAGCGGCATTGCATTAGATGTAGAGCAGAGTTCACTGAGAACATGCTTGGCAGTCAAGATCAATCAATAGGGGTGAGATTAGTAATTGCCTAAGTTAACTGTTTTTCTTTTTTTTTTTTTTTTCCTTTGGGATACAAGTATTTTTGAGCCAGGGGCACGGAGTAGCAATGCCTCTAGATTTGCTTATCTCAGTAATAGCAGTTATGAGAGTATGTTCTGGAACCATGCTCGATAGTGGTTACGGCAGATCTCATGCTCTTCTCATATAGTTTATAATTTGGGGAGGTTGAGCTTAAACTGCCGGAGCCTTAAATGCTTATGCTTTTGCTTTTGCCTGTTTCATTTTGTACCCCCTGGAAACAAATCTAAAAACATGACTTGGGCAGGGATAATATTGTGAATAAGTATTACTATACCGACTCTTAATCCCAAAAAGCTTTAGTAAAAAAGGCAATGCAGTTTTTGCATAGAGAGTCTCACAATAATACAGATTGTTGTACACCATGTAACTTTATTTATCAGCTTATTGGTTGACATTGCAGATTTTTCTTCACCTCAGATCAGCAAGGCAATTTTGACTATATAACACAACGCAGAAAAGAAAGCCTCGCGAATGCCATACGCCTGTTCCATGCAAAAGCCCTAGCTTGCATTTTTTGGGTTATTCCTTTGTTAGTGGTATTCTATTGTTATAATAGGCTTCCTTTTTTTTTTTTGAACCAATAAATGAATTGTATATTAACGAGTCACAGAGGTTCTAAATTTTTTTTTATTTGATTTTTCTCTATTTTTTAGCACTCCAAAACCTTATTACCTATACGTAAATATATTTTCCAGCAGCTGTGAAGTCTTCAGAGCTCTTCTTGTTCCAAATGCAATCCGACGGAAAAATCTCCAAATTGTCATACTGGGCTGCTGTTTTTTCTAACATAACAACACCCACAAAATGCAACCTACATCGGTGCATCACTTTTTCTGAGCTAAGGAAATTGTTTATTAATATTGCAAAAATACCCAAACTTTGGCTGTATTGTTTTGTTCCACTAAGGCAGTAGTGTAATACAACAAGAGAACGTGGACATCGTCAAAAATTTGTTTCTTAATTTCCCTTTTAATCTCTTAGTTCTAGCCTTTATTCTACAAGAGAATACGAATGGAAAAACCATATCAAAATTCCGTGTTGTTAACTTGATACATACACAAAAAGCGAAAAGAACAGAATAACTAAAAAGTCTAGAAACATTCGTAACCCCAGTGATGAAATCAACAGACTAGCATGAACTTTACAATACAACAATGCTTCCCACATCATCTACCTTTCCCTCATCCTCCCTGTTGTTAATATATTAATCAATTTTTCACAAACTAGAAACAAATTAATTCATACCACATACAATTCCATGGGAGCGCGTCAACAACTACAATAAAATATCCCAGATAAAACAGATACCAGTATTAGAAAAAGTGTCCCCGTTTTGATTTGTCTAACGTTCCGTTTTTTTTTTGTACAAAAAATATTTTTTGGCAACAACACACGCTATTCTTAGATAACCAATTTCTAAACAATCGCGATTGTCATTTCTTTGATTTTTATCCTGATGCAACTCTCTCCCCTGATTAAACAAAGCCATGGCGTAATAATCCCTCATCAAGATAATTGTTAAAAAAACTGAAGCGCACGAGCCTCCTGCATCGGCGGTCATACCTCAATCAATTATAACCTCACTAGTCCTTTAATGACTATATTATCAGTTTTTCACATTAATGTTGAAAATACTAGGTAACACACTTGATTATGAAGTTTCAACTTTCAAGTTTCAATGATGTTGTATGAGTTGGAAGGGTTGATGATTGATATCCACTATATCCTCAATGTATTGGACCAAAGGCTGTGTTTCTTTTCCCCCTTCATCCGGTCATGTTCCTTATTGTGATTGGCGAAGAGGTTTTCGCTGATCAGCGTTATTAGGAAGCAAGCATGTGATTGATAATACAGACCTGTTATACATATTCCTATTTCCTTGGAGCTCATAATTCGCTGGCAACGGGCTTGTGCGTGTGGGCCATTTTGATGATCTCTCCGCTTTATAAGAGGAATAATGTAAATTCAGAACAAATATTTGAAATAGGTGTCTTGGTAGTACCATATTTATACTCTTTATGACAGTTTTCCATCATGTACGATTGTCATTGGATATTGGCAATAGATTCCAACCAATTGGTATAACAACCAAGCAGATATGAAATAAGTTCTTTGCTATAAAAGAAAAGAAGAGAAATGCCAGAGTAGTGTGTGTAAATGCTATTATAGAGCAACCATTGGGATGTTGCTGGTGTGTATATCTTCAATAACCAACTCACTGAATACAAGGTTTCGCAACCTTCGTTATAAAAATCATGTGGTGGTTGCGTAACAGCAATCTTTGTACAAACATATATATTTAGGTCAAATGTCACTTTATATTTCCCCCACAATTTAGAACTATTTTTTTATTTTCAAACTGCCAAAAAGAAAAAAAAATCAAAGAAACCAGAAACTTTATTAAAAAGAAAATGGTCTTGCATCACCACGTCGATCCAGACGCTTTGGAAATCCAATTGATCTCCAAACATAAAAATATTAACAGTAAATTGATATCAAAAATTCAAGCAAACAATATCAGTTACTTGGATAGCAATTATGAGAACACCATTCCGAAATATACCATTCCCTCCAATGGTGTTGGTTCCGATTCTGCATATCAGTTGATACATGATGAATTGAATTTGGATGGGAATCCAACTTTGAATTTTGCCAGCTTTGTCAATACATTTGTTGATCATAATGTGAAGAAGTTACTAGTGGAAAACTTTACCAAGAACTTGGCTGATAGTGATGAATATCCAGCGCTTATGGAGATCCATAGCAGATGCATCTCTATCTTGGCCGACTTGTGGAATGCCCCCAAAGAAACCAAGGAGGAATTGAAGAAGAAGTACGTTTCCGTTGATAAAAATTCTGAGTGGGAAATCAAAAGTAATACCTCAGTGGGTACTGCCACAGTTGGATCATCAGAAGCAATCATATTAGGGGGGTTGGCAATGAAAAAGAATTGGCAAGCCAAGAGAAGAGCAGAAGGGAAAGATATTTCAAAGCCAAATATTATTATGGGTGCGAATGCTCAAGTCGCCCTAGAGAAATTTGCGAGATACTTTGATGTGGAGTGCCGCTTAGTACCTGTTTCGAAAGAGAGTCAGTATGTTTTAGACAAGACTAAAATCAAGCAAAATGTTGACGAGAACACTATTGGTATCTTTGTGATTTTGGGATCTACCTATACTGGGACTTTTGAGGATGTTGCAGGGGTGTCTAAAATTTTGGATGAGGTTGAAAACGAAACCGGTCTTGATATTCCAATTCATGTCGATGGTGCATCTGGGGCTTTCATTGCTCCATTTATTTACCCAAATTTGGAATGGGATTTCAGATTACCAAGAGTTCACTCGATTAACACATCTGGTCATAAATTTGGGTTGACTGCCGCCGGTCTTGGGTTTGTGCTTTGGCGCAAGGCCAGCTATTTGCCACAAGAGTTGAAGTTTGAACTAAGTTATCTTGGAGGCTCAGAAGAAAGTTTCACATTGAACTTCTCTAGGCCTGGACATGAAATCATCAACCAATTTTACAACTTTATTGCTCTTGGTAGAGACGGCTACACAAAGGTGTTCCAATTGCTATTGGACAATGCAAGATTGTTGTCAGATTTTTTGGAACAGACTGGGTATTATGAGTGTGTATCAGTTATTCACAGAAAGCAAGGAGTTTATCATTTAGGAGAAAGTGAAACAAAATCAGATGACGGTAGTTATAATGTTGGTTTGCCAGTTGTTGCCTTCAAGTTCAGCCAAAAGTTCAAGAAGAACTATCCACACATTCCACAAGATGTTATTTCTATGATGCTTAGAAATAAGGGGTACATTGTCCCAAACTATCCATTGCCTCCAAATGAACAATCGATTGAAATCCTCAGAATTGTTGTTCGTTTGAACTTATCTCATGAGTTGTTGGACCAGCTAATGAGTGACATCCTTGAAATTACTGAGAATTTAATTGATGCTGCCGACTTGATTGAAAAAACTACTTCTCATGAGACCAAAGCTGCTAAATCTGATAATGAAAAAGTCATTCATGAAATGTTGCTATCTATTGCAAGCTCAGGGATCAAGAACAAGGATATCTTTGAAAAAAGTGAAGAGGGTTTCAAGCGTCATCGGCGCCCAAAACACGGTACATACAGAGGAGCTTGCTAATTTGTATTATGTAATTATTCGTTATTTCTTCACAATAGGTCAAATTGTGTTTTCAATTGATTTCATGTGATGGTGAATGTCTGATATTTGTAAGTACGTAATATAGAGAAGAAATTCTTGATCCAAAGTCCCTAAATAAGTACAATTGCTATTTCCCTTAAGTAACTGATGCATAATTTTTGTTTTTTCTTGTTTCTTCCTCCCTTTCTAATTACAAGGACTTAAAAGGATCTAATTAACAACATGAAAAGAATGTATACCTCATTTACTATAGTGTATCATGTCAAATGCAAGACGGGTAAACAGAATGTTGCACAAAAAAATCCTCAACTGCATGCCAGTTGGTACAAACTGAACCATTCTCCATTGACTCAGGTTGAATAAAACGAACCTAATACTGAAAATATGACAGAGAATCAACAACCTCAAATTATTACGAAGACTTCTCAGCCAAGTTCTGATTTTTATAACCCAGAAACTGGTCCATATTATTCGGTAAAAGATCATAAAGTTTGTTTAATTACTGGTGGTAACAGCGGCATTGGTTGGTACACTGTCTTGCATTTATATCTTCACGGATATATTGTTTATATTGCTGGTAGAAACAAGAATAAGATAGCAACAGCGATTAAGGACATAAAAACAGAAGCCATAAAAAGAAGAGAGATTTTTCTTGATGGACAAACTGACGAAGGAAAAACCAAGCTATTAGAAACTTCCACTCTTGGCGACTTGAAATATATCCATCTCGACCTATTGAATTTAAGCTCGGTTGAAAAGGCCGCATCCCAATTCAGACAAGATGAAGAAAAATTGGATCTATTGATCGATAACGCAGGCATTATGGCATTGCCTCACGAAATCACGGCCGACGGTTTTGAAATTCAGATACAAGCAAATTACGTTGCCCACGTATTGTTGGATGAATTGCTTCTTGATATGCTTGAAAAATCAGCTGATCCAAGACTTATATTTTTGTCCTCAATTGGTCACAACTTCTGCTATAGAAGATTTGCCCCTGATTCCACCCTTAACAATACTCCCAATATACTTTATACCTGGGTTAGATATGGGATGGCTAAAACTTTTGGGATTCAATACATGAGGATTTTGGCAAAGAAGTATCCAAAGATTTTGTGTACATCAATTCATCCTGGCTTCGTTTTCGATACCCACTTGTTTGATTATTGGGCTCAATTACCGGTCATTGGAAGATTTTATAAAAAAACTTTTGGCGTGCTTGCAAACATAGGGGGTATTTCTAACGAAGATGGTTCAAAAGCCACTTTGAAGGCTGCCTTATCACCAGACTTCACTGCAGAAAAAGATAATGGCAATTTTTTATATCCAGGGGGGGAGAAGCATCAACCAAGTAGAATTGCGCTTGATGAGAATTATGCCGATCAAACTTATAGTTGGGCAATCTCTGAATTGAAGAAAAGGGGCTTCAATGTTGGTGAACTAGGACATATGGCTAATTAATTCTTTTATTATAAGTATCAGTCCTCAATGATGTTGAAAAAAGTGGCATATCTCTGTGATTGAAAACAATTCAAAGCCAACCTTCGTGGTCCAATATTGTTGTAGAGGTTGTCGTCCTTGTCATTCTAGGATTTTGGACTTTTATTGGGCTTCTGTTGTTTCTATTGTGAGAGCGTCGCCATCAAGTAGATTTTGCGGCTCGTGTTATAATTTCTCAGTTGATACAAAATTGAAATTTTATTTATTCCAAATTCTTATGATATCTTGAAATTATGTGGCTTGTGTGAAGCTCCCTTTGTATTTGTAGTGGAGCAAGGAGCCATCAACCGAGGGACTCTCATTTGTTGCTTTTCATAGCCTGGTTGTATGAGAATTCAGGGCGTCCTATTGTTACGGCCTATGAATAATGATTCTTTATCAATAACGAGAAACTCTAGGATTATTAGCAGTTATATCTCTCAGAAGCCCATAATAGTACTCAAATAGATGTGTATTATGTAACCATCCCACGTCTGGACCTCCTTTCTAGTAAATATTAGACCCAATAGCTAATGTCTTTTCAGTATATAAATGTGAATGCCATGCTTTTGAAGTACTTCTATAGTTTTTGCTATTAATCTATTTGTAAAAACTCGCAAAACTCGGTAGTAGCTAATAGCTGAGAAAATTAATGAGATCTTTATTATTATTATGGGAACAGACAACTTTCTATGAGAATAATGGTACTAATAAAAAAAAATATTTAGAGACTTTCGAGGACTTGACGAACATGTTGACAATTGTGGTGCTGCAGCTGTTACAAGACCGGGTAATTGTCTTTGATCTTTTGATTTTTTTTCCCATGATTTTTTTGTTGTTGACTACTGTTGCAAGGAAGAGAATCAGAATTTTTCGCGTTCATTTAAACCTGATCAATTGTTAGATAACAATATGTTTGGAAATAGTGGCGGCGGCTCCGGGGGCTCAGGCTTCTCTTTTGGAGGCAACTCAAACACCACCAGTACCGGTGGTGGCTTTAGTTTTGGCGGAAGTAACAATGCAACAACAACAACCACAGCACCAACATCAACAGCATCCGGAGGATTGTTTGGAGCTAAACCTTCCACAGGAGGTTTTAGCTTTGGAAACAATAGTAATACCAATGCTACCAACGCTACCAACACTGCAAATTCAGGTACTGGTTTGTTTGGAAGTAACAATGCAAACAACAATAATACTGCTAATAATACTGCCGGCACTGGTGGTGGGTTATTTGGAAATACAAACAATAACACTGCTAACACTAGTGGTGGAGGATTATTCGGTAACAAGACTGCTACTGCTACCAATACGAGCTCTGGTGGACTATTTGGTGGCAATAACAACACAACTAACACAGGCTCTGGTGGATTGTTTGGCCAAAATAACTCCTCTACTACTACTGCAAATAAACCAACTATTGGCACCGGAGGAGGGCTATTTGGTAACAATAATGCTTCAACCACTACAACTACTGGTACCAGCGGTGGATTATTTGGTAACACTAATAACTCGACTTCTACAACTGCTGGGACTGGTAGTGGGTTATTCGGCAATAATGCTTCAAAACCTACTGGTGGTTTATTTGGAAACGCTAATAATTCGACTTCTACAGCCACTGGAACCGGTGGTGGGTTATTCGGCAATAATGCTGCTTCTAAGCCTGCTGGTGGATTATTTGGTAACAACAATGCTGCTGGTACTACTGCCACAAATACCACAAATCAAACTGCGAATGGTTTGTTTGGAGCCACTAATCTGTCAACTAACAATCAACCATCTTTTGCATGGACTCAGAATCAAAACATGAATATTAACCAGCAGTCATCAGTCAACAATCCTACAATAAACGCATTACAACTACAACGCCAACAACACCAATATCAGCAGAATTTAAATAACTATTCCAACACTATTCTTGAACAATTATTGAAGATTAAGAATTCTTGGGATCCAAACGCCCCAGACTCTGCTCTCAGTACATATTTTTACAACAAAGTTCAAGAAAGTGAAGTACTGTCTTATGTTAAGCCGGACAATGTTAGTCAAGAAGAATGGAATGATGCGATGAAAAAGAGACCAGATAATAATACTTTTGTCCCAGTTAAGGCATCAGGCTTTGAAGGTTTGAAGAAAAGAAGTGTTGCGCAAACTACCCATATTGCGCAATCCAGAATAATTTTGAAAGAAATAGAAACTAAAACCAAGAACTTGGGCGATAAGCATGACTTGGACTCGATTACTAGAATAACAAATTGCAAGAATAAACATCAGCAATTATCTAAGAAGCTTTTGGTTTTGGGTTGCAAGCTCTCAATATTGAAATCAAAAGGTTATTCTTTGAGTCCAGAAGAGGAGATTTTGAGTGAAAACTTCAAGAAACTCATCAAGGTGATCAATGATCCTGTTGGATTGGGTAGACTCAATGAGTTGTGGTCTCGCTTGGCAATAGTTAAGGAAAGAAGCGAGTTGTTAAGCAACCAGTTGAATAATAACTTGTCTATTGGGAAGAATGATAGCGGCTTCGATGAGTTGCATGAAGAAAAGGAATTGCAGATGAGGAAACTTACTGAAATCTTACAAAAACAACAGCACGGGATTCAATATTTGGCCGAAGTTTTGGAAGCTGATGGGAAAACTTTGGATACTTTGATTGCAGAAAAGGTGAAGACCAAAAAATAGAACTTTGTTCCGTATATTACCTTTATGATGATCGGAGTTTGAAATAGAAGCAAGTCTTACTTACATATGAATGTGCATCAACCAAGTTTTTCTTTTTTTTTTTTTTTTTTCTTAATCATATTGTCATTATAGTACAACGTTTATAAAATGCTAAAGAATGTAGAGAAAGAAAAATAAGAAGAGAAAACACTAGAAGAACATTGTAATACTAATAATTTATATATTAAAAATATTCCTAATAATCATTAAGTTGGAATAATCTAGCTTTACCAGCTTCATTACCAACGGCCAACATTTCTGAGTTTTTACTGAATGCCACGGCGGTGACTTTACCCAATGGTGTTCCACTGGTTGGCCAGTTTTTATAAACTGAACAGCTTGGGATGTGGACCAATCTCAAAGAATCTTTCTTGGCTCTACTAGCAATACACAACAATTGGCCATCGACATTAAACACAAGGCTGGAAATGCTAGTGACCAAACTTTCAATTGTTCCCATAGGTTTGCGCTGGTGAGTGTTAGATTGTTTCAAACGATCGTAAACATTGACAATACCATTGTTGCTACCAATGGCCAAATATCTATCGTTTTTGCCACCAAGTGCCAACTTGGTGATGCCAAGTCCATTTTCATCTTGCCATTTACCAACGATTTCATTTGCCTGGAAATCAAATTCGTAAACTGTACCTGCGGTGTTGATGATCAACAACAATTGTTCAGTTTGGGACCACACAAAGTCGGCAACGACCCCATCAACTTTATAATTCTTAACAAAAGACCCGTTAGCAAGTGAAAGAATATTGACGTAACCATTATTACCGATCAATCCAATATATTTATTCAAAGGAGATATTTTGAACGATTCAAAACTTTTTTGCAAATGTTTGATCCCGTACAAATTAGTAATTTTTTCAATTTCTCCGCTCATCAAATCAAGTTTATACATAAACTTTCTTCTACCGGCAAGGAAGACTTTATTGGTATTGTTTGGGGTTGCAAAATACGCATTTTGAATTGGAGAATTTTTGAAGAAAAGCGTGGTGACCACATTATTGTTTTTTCCATCAATATGATAAATTCTCAAAGTTCTATCATAACCACCAGTCAACAACAAAGGTAATTCTGGGTGGAAATTTATCGATTGAATTGCCGATTGTGACAAATGCTTGTAATTAGCGTCTTTTAATCTGGCAATGTTGATATTTTTTGGGGTCAATAACTTAGGTTGTTTAGGTCGTTTATAAGATATGCTTGATTCCACGAGCTGAATCAATGTCTTTGGATTGTAACTATTTCTATCAATATCTTCTCCTCCTTCATCGTCAGTCACTGGTTCCGTATTATCTTCGTCGCTCGAGTTCTTCTCATCAACATCACTCATTTCTTCATCAGCCCAAGCTGGTCTAGGATATATCTTTTCGAACTGAGATCTAAGACGATTTATGAAGATTTTGCTATTTATTGTATCTTGGTCATAACTTGTTCTCAATTTCTTGATCTTTGATGAATATTTGAGGTTGATGTTCATTCTTTCATCATCACTGTCTACCCAGGCAGCTTCTTCTTCATCATCATCGCTATTCTCTCCATCGGTGGCTGATTCTTCACCATCTTTCATTTCAATATCGCCATTTGCATCCGCTTGACCTTTTTTATCATCATCCATGAAAAATAACATATCATCTTGTAATCCAGCCATCTTCACATCTTCTTCTTCTTCTTTTTCACCATCAAAGTTCCCCTCGTTATTATCATCATCAAATTCATCGTCACTAGAGTCATTCATAAAATTGTCCAAGTCTTTCAAATTGCTTTCAAACCCTTCGGCATCACCAAAAACAAGTTTCTCAAGCTCGATTTCCTGTTCATCTTTTTCTGGTAATTCAACATTCTCTGGTCTTTTGAAAACGGATGAGATCACCTGGGTTTTTGGTTGTGATTGTTTTTTGTTATTCTTCTGCTGTTTTCCAGAAGCATTCTTCTGAGATTTCTTCTTGTCCATATTTTTCAAAATGGTAATCGCCACCACAAGCCTCTAATTATATATTATCAAATAAGAAGAAGTAGTGAAAGAAAATGGCTGATTCTAACAATTTCCAGTTACTATGTTTTCCTAAAAAAAAAAAAAAAAAAAAATTTTCAAAAAAAATACCAATCCCATCGATTATTTCCTGATTACATAACCCTATCACAATAAATCTCGATGGCTTATGTAACACATATAAACTTTCATGAAAACAAGGACAAATAACTCACACTATGACTACATTCATAAGTAATCTTACAAAAATAAGAGATTCTTTGAATAGAGTTATTAGACAACGTCAGGCAATCTGACAATATACAATTTTTTTTTTATTCTTTTTTTTTTCGTTTTTTTTTTTTGCAGAAAATGCCATTAATTCTTTAAAATGAATGACATTGAAGAGACAGTAGATCTTAATATTCCCAGTCCCAAAGTTTTTCATCAGAAACTCTCCATGATGGCAATAAGTTCAAGTTCTTGAATTCCTTATTGGATCCCTTCATACCAAAACTAAGTGGACTCAAGTACCAGAAAGCCCCGGCAATCAACGCATAGTTAGTAGCATAGGCCAAGAAGTATAAGACCTTCTTGTACTTGTAAGGACTACGGTTAAGTGGGGACAATAATAACTCGAACATATAAGTGTATACCATCATGGCAAAGTATAATGCTGGTAAGTAATGGTGGACGTAGGTCACTCTACCCATGATGACAAATGGTGCGAAATGCAAACCCCACCCAAACATTGGATAAACCCCACCCATGAGGAATAAGTTAAGTTTGTGAGTAACTGGTTCGGTAGCAGTAGGGAAATCATTATATTGTCTTTGCCATCTGAGAACGTAGACAACAACCAAAATTGCAAAACCAACAACAGCGACGGAGGAAGTCCATGTGGTAGCAGGGGACCCAATCAAGAAGTACTTGAGGTTTTCATCGTGCCATCCACATAATCTGATACCAACATTCAAAGAAGGCCACTGCCACCATTGAGAAGCCAAATCATCTTGCTTATCTGGGTCTGGAACCAAAGCGTTATTGGTTGCCATCATTGCCAAGTTCAATTGGATGAAATCCTTGAAGAAATTGGTCTTTGGCAACTTGAAATCAGGAGCTGGAGCATCAAGCATTTCGTTTTCATGAGTTTCAATGTTCCACCAAGTTCTCTTATCTCTTTTGAAAGAATTCTTCACACAAATAACTTCACCTTGACGGAAACCCCATTGAGGCAATTGAGCTCCAGAAGTACCCAAATAACAACCGTAAATTTGACTCTTAAGTCTAATAGAGGTGGTCAAAGGATGGAGTCTAGATTTGTTTTCGTTACCTTGTTGGTTGACAACTTCAATAATCCAGTTATCCTTTTCATCACCAATAGTCAAGTTACCGTAACAAGCAACTTCTTGTTGACCTTTAGTGACAGGACCTTGGATATCATGGGTATGTAAGTTTCTACCGGTAGATGGATGCATCAATCTGACAGCCATACCATCGTAAACAAATTCACTAGAATTCCCTTCAGCTTCTCTGCTGTATGGTTCTAACCATCTAGCTCTTTGGAAAACCCAGTTGTTGTTTTGATCCTTATGGGAATAGGTAGTAACTTGTTGTTGCTGAGAACCTTCTGGGTAAGTTTGAACATGCGAGTGCAATAAACCACCAGACAATCCTTGGTTCTTGAGAGTAAGAACACTATTACCAATAGCAACATCTCTTGGACCAAGACCGACATTCGAACCAACCAAGTTAGCTTGGAATAATGAGTTCATATTAGCGTCCCCGGTACCAGAATGCCACAATAATTCGAAATGAATCTTGAAGCAAATCATAAACACAGTCATTGGAATCATAACTAAAGCAAAGATTCTGGAGATCCAGTGGTAGAAATAAATCTTGTTGGACATGGTTTTGTCACCGAAATATTGCCACAATTGAACAACGGTATAGATCCCTACCAAACTAGTAACGAATAAACCAACCATCTTAACAGAATCAACACAACCAATGGAAATACCGAGCAACAAAAGCCATTTCCACCATTTTCTGCTAAATGGTTCGGCGCTTTGATTGTGGAATCTGACAAAGCAATAAACAGTGGTGACGGTGAAAAACAACAACATGGCATCCAAAAGAATAAATCTTCCAAGAGTCACGTAACTTTGTTCCAAAGCAACCATCAAAGTGAATAACCAGGTTGGCAAAATCCCAAAGCCAATTTCTTTACAAGTAAGATAAGCAAATGGAACACAAAGGGCACTGAAAGTGGCTTGGAACAATCTCATCTTCATGAAATCGATGTAATCTGGATACGCTTGACCTGATGGGAAATCCCAAGACCCGTTATAACCAGCCAAGTAACCAGAAAACCCGACCAACATTTTACCTAAAGGAGGATGAACATCATGGTAGAACTCATGTCTCAAGTAATAAGAACCAAACTTCCCAAAATGAGCTTCATCCCAAACCACAGATTTGTTAGCACCAATCTTGTAAACGCGTACAAGTACCCCAAGAATAGTGAAGAGAATTGGAGCAATAATAGCTTCAAACTTTCTAAGCGATTGACAGGCGGACTCGCTTTGCTGGGCCTTAAGTTTGTTTGGATCATCCACTTCTGATGATTCTTCAGCAATAATTTCTTCAACTTCTGCTGATTTGGCGGCAGCCTTCGAAGGAATATTAACCCCAGAGGCAACAGAACTGCTTGCAGCCATTGTGATATATGTAGTAGATTATTGGATGTTAATTTGTAAATTTCGGGGAGCAAAACAAACCAAGAAAAATTCAAAGAATTGTCAATGATGTGTTGTTTTGAAAGGCACAAAGAATCTTTTTTTATTTTAAATACTATTTCCCTTGATTGAATTTATCTGCAAAGACTACAATTCAGGAGAATATTTTCACAAAATAGAGATTCACACGAAAATATAACCACTCAAAATCTCAATTTTATTGTCTAGGATACGTTGATGATCTAACTGAAATTCAACGAAACGAACTAGCAAAAATCACAAAACAAAGTGGTTAATTGAAATGAGGCGACAGAGTGAAAGTTAATGGAGCAAAGAGAACACAGACTAGGAAATTGGATGGGTTTGAAACACCCTTTTGCTTTTTTGTTTTGTTGTTTCTTTGTATATGGTTGCAGAATGAACCCGTGTTTATCCTTGAATTTTTCATAACAGGTGTGTCTAAACACGGGAGAAAAAAATAAAGGAGTAGTTGCCCGGTTTGTGCGTTGCTGTTTTTTTTTGTTTTTTTTCTAAGCGCCCTCTGTTGTTTAAGCCATTTGGCACCTTTTTTCTGACACCTTTTATTGCAACTTCGTAATATAAATCACCATTTCTATGGAATTATTAGGATTCAAGGCACTTTGGGCCAGTTCTTAAAAAAAGCCCTGTGAGCGAAAGCAAAATTATTTTGATTGTCAACAAAAGCTCAGCAGACTGCATATTTGTCGTTGATATCTTAAACTCATCATTAAAGAAATTGAAACCCAAATAAGCCTATATTTTGTAATATAATTAAAGAAAAAAATTGAAAAGAAAAAATGAAAATAATATGTAATGTGCCCTATTCTTTTTTTTTTTTTGTTATTGGCATTTTTATGAACCTTTTTATAAAACTAATTTCATTATCAAGAGAAGAAAAGAGAGAGTAAATCTATTCTTAATACGAAAGAAAAAATTGTAAAAAAAAAAGAGTTAATTGAATGGTTTTTTGAAAGGAGAACCCAGCTTAGATAGCAGTAGCCAAACCAACAGCATCCTTACCAATGTCATAGATAGAATAGTAACGACGCAAGAAAGAGTCACCAATAACGGCCAATGGACCAATGGTATCTGGGAAGTCCATTGGAGTAATAGCAGAAATACAAGAGCCGCTGACTTCCATAGTGTAGTCATATGGAGTCAAAGTGAAATTGTGACCACCGAAGTTAAAGGTCATGTCTGGCAAATCAGCTCTAGTATCACACTCAACAGAATATTGGCCGGACCAAGTCTTCGTAGCCCCGATTTCAGCGTTGATGATTTCCGCCAAGTTAGATGGCAAAGTGATCAAAGAAGTACCAGTATCAATGATAGCACCAGTCTTTTCCAAGACGGCCCATTCATTTCCCAAACCAATACCTTCAAAGGAAACTTCCCAATAGGCCTTTCTTATCACTGGCAACCAAGTGATATCACCAGTGAATTTGGTTTTGTCATAACCACCAAAAGTGGCAACACCTCCATCTTCAGACTTGCTGGTGTCTCCCAAATAGAAGGCGAATTGTGGTTCATCAAGTAAACCAGCATCAATGGCCTTGTAAATTGGTGGAACAATTCCATTAACAGAGATAGTGTTATAACCTAGACCCAAAATACCATCGAATTTACCAAAAGCAAAGGCCAAACCCGGTTCATTGGTAGCTTCGGCAAAGTCCTGTTTTGGAATGATCAAATCACCAATACTCAAAGTGTCTTGTGACACATATCCTTCCAAAGAACCAGAACCATAACGGATCTCAAAAGATGAGCCATTGCTCTTATAAGTGGAAGAAGCATCGTGGTCGTATTTAGTGTGCAAGAAGCAAGCTAAGGACCCACATTCGGAGCTTGGGACCCACAAATTAGAGGAACCAGTGTCCAAAATTACCTTGAATTCTTGAGCAGGAGCACCCAAACTAATTGTTGTAAAATATTGCGCATTCATATAGTTGGTCAATGGAGCATCATGACCAGAAGCACTTGCAGCTAAGTCAACAAATGGGATTTGGGATTGGAAGACTGTGATAGTTTCTGGGTAAGCCTTTTGGAACTGTTTGATGTATTTTTCTTGGACAGCTCTAAGATGAGATTCATAACTGACACCCTTGAACGAGTCGTCGACAGGTTTTTTGTGGAGCTTAGCACTATGGACCTTGGCTTCAGTTATTTCATTGAAGGACAACAAGGCAATGGCCAAGTTAGCAAGGGTAGAAAACTTCATTTTATAGTATTTGCCACAAATAAACGAAAGAGTAAATTAAATATAAACGACAAAGGACAAAGTAATATGATATTATCACTCAAAATACAAACAAAAAAAAATAAGAAATAGAAATAAAAACTTTCTAATGGGTGGCAATGATAAGATAAGAAAAAAAAATAATTGCACTATCAAAGGAAAAGGGAACGAGATGGCTTCCTTTATCTAGCCATGGCTGGTTGTTGTCATAACCCACCCGGGCGATGAGGTCAGCTGACACCCCCTAACTGCTGTTTTCGGCGTGTCAAAAGGGGGTAATTGCTATTATTTTACCCGGCTTGATTGTTATGTCTTTTAGTGCACCCCTATGCTTGTGTAGTGTGATTGAATCGAGCGGTGACGTAAATTTTTTCTTTTTTTTTTTTTTTTTCAGCCAGGGTCTTCTTGACTCGGTCTTTATTAAAATGATATTCTCTACAGAAAGAAATATATTTTCAATAAGCAATTCTTTAACTTATACTATTTTTCCTGAGCTGTCCTAACTTGTTTTTGGTCTGCCTAATTGAAATAGATCGTTGTAGCTTCTTGTTGGCGCAGTTGAAACAAAGCTGTAAGTGCCTATTTATCATGAAGTATTCTGCAAATGATTCTGATGATTGATACCATATTTTGTTGTAGACGTGACAGAAAGGACAATAATCGCCCTCCTCTGTGTAGTAACTATTGGAATTACTATAAGTATACTCATTGCAATAACCCTAAACATGGTGATGGTTAGAATTTACTTAGTGAATAGTTAAAGCAAAATAAAACAGCAGAAAACAGAAGGAAAGAATTCTTAAAAATCATTCGATTTCTCGTAAATTCAAACAAACATACCATCGTGAGAAAATATTTATTTATAAATGAGAAGTAACGGCCAATAGCAATATTAACAATAATTGAAAGTAGTACCAGCCTAACTAGCAATGTATGTTGGTTTAAATGTGGTCAATAGCACAAAATAATGTAGCGCATTAAATAAAATGGTAATCAAGAAATTGGAAGGATAGATGGTGTGGGGTTATATATATATTATAAATATGTGTGTACCTGAGAATCTGGGTTTAAAAATTCTGAGGCAATGTGAATCTATGGACAAACGGAGTAAATCTAAGCAGGATGTTCTAATTGAAAATGGCTAAAAGCATAAATCAAAAGCCAAACGAATAAGTGTCCTTCTCTTCCTTTTATTTCGCAATTAGCTTCCACTAATTATTATTATATCTTGTTATTTATAGCGTTACAACATATATTCGCTGAAGAGCACCAGGATATACAGGGTATGATCCATCCCGTTGGTCTCGTGTACAGCTGTTGTTGGGGGTGTATTATAAAAAAAAAAGTCTGGGGTAAAAGGTGATGTACCTTATTTTCCCAAATACGGGGTAGCAGTTGAGATGCTAGTCTTCCTAGCACCAAGTAAATGGCGGGTTAATGATCTCATCTATCTTCTCCTCTTGCGTCACCTCAATTTTTAATATTTTTGGCTTCACCAGAATAAGAAAGCCATATGAAACGGGTGCTTGAACCCTGATAGTCCCTGTAAATTCTGTGTTGACTCTGTATCTCTCCTTTCTCTCAATGGCCAGAAATGGAAGAGTACCCCGATCTTCTGTTCAGTATTCACAAGACAGAAAATGAGGCTATTACTTTTTTGAATTAATATTATTAGAAAATATAACTTCATTTATTTGCTCGAACATATAGAAAATAAAAATAAAAAAGCAGAATTGAATTGAGCAAATGGATAAACGAATTAGCTACAAAAAATGAGCGATCTTTGGCAATGTCGATAGAGACTTTAGTCAAAGTCCTTCTTTCTTTCTTTCTCACTCTTTCAAAAGGAAAAAAAAAATAAGCGAAGTGAAAATTGCAAATAGTAAAAAGCAGCTTTGTGGTATCATTCGTAAGGTTTAGGAGCTCCAAGCCATTTATATTTTTTAGTTCTTGGATCTCTTTTCCCCAAGGTTTGGTTTGCAGAAATCTTGGAAATATCAACCAACGAGCAAGACACCGTAGAAATAAATACAAATGCGAGAACTAGTTTCATTAACTTAAACATTTTTTGGTTGATTTTTTCTTTTTGAAGATTTTTGAAGAAATAAGGAGACTAATGGAGCAACGTTATTATTTTGTTGAAAAAAAAAGTGAAATACAAACTTTGGCTCTTCCCTTTTCTGAGGAAGAGAATGGATATTTATAATCAAATTCTTGTTGAGTTCTTTTCTAAATTAGTAATATTAACTGAAAAATGAAGAATAAATCTAAAACATATATGTTTCCTTAATCTAAAAATAAACGAGAATGGTGAATAATAAACCACAACTGAATTTGAAAATATATCTTGAAGAGAACAAATAGTCATGGATTTGTAGTACTATTGTTGAAAAGTGCAATATGCTACCATTATAAAGTAAGCCATCATTAATTTTCAATGAAAACAGCTTTCGTTTATTGGTTTCATTTAGCTATTATATATTGGCAGTGGGGAGACATGCTCTACATTATTTGGAGTTCGCTTATTTACATTGCCACTCAGAGTTATATCCTTATTTTGACATACTTAATGATCTAAGAGTTGTATAAGCATCCTTCTTTTATTTTTTCCACCCTTGTCTTCTGCTTTTCCGTTGTTTGATACTGCATTCATGTTTTGCTGATATATGTTTACACTCACCAAAAAGAAATGTGCTTTTCCCTATTCAGACATCAATCAGGAACAAAAACTAGGAAAACTAAAAATTGAATCAAGAAATCCTTAGAATCCTGAGATATTTTGCAGAAAATTAACAAGCAACAAGTACAAACACTTATGATTACAAAAACAATCGCCAAAATTTAGCGTGCTAACCTTTAAATTGAAGACATAACTTACTATCAAATTATAGCAAAATGATAAAATCTATCGAAGTGATAATAATACAATATAAAAAAGATATGACCTGGATCACCAAAAATATGGAACAAAACAAAACAAATGAAGGTAGCGAAAAAAAAAAAAAAAGGTGAAACAAAGATCAGATCACCTTCAATCATAAAAAAAAATTTACTTCCAACTCGTTCCGAGACAGTGACACATCCATACTGAATCATTGAATCAAAAACGCCAAATTAGACTTATTTGAAATCTCGTATTTGAATAAAAAATCGAACCCTTGATTCAAATGTCATCAATGTCCAAATCATCCAATTTACCATCTTCTTCTTCATCTTCGTCATCTGAGTCAGCACCGAATTCGAAACCGGCATCACCTTCTTCTTCTTCATCAAATCCAGCTTCGTTGATCTTGGCGTTTTCTGGCAATTCACCCAAAGATTTCAATTGTCTGGCTTCATCGATACTATATTTTTCAATGATATCACATTGGTCATCTTGGAAATCTCTCAATGACACAAGAACAATATCACCTGGACCCATCCAGACTCTCTTACGCAATTTACCACGAATATGAGCAGTTCTCTTGACATCATCAAAACATTGGGCTTCGACTCTACCGTTCCCCAAAAGCTTGGTGACAGTGGCGTATTCTTGCCCTTCATCCTTAGTGATCAATTCACGCTTTGGGCCATCACCACTGTTCTTTCCTCTTCTCTTATTTTTACCACCTTTTCCTTTACTCTTTGGCATTTTTATTGATAATGTTTGTTGAAACAAGAAGAGTTATGTACTTGTGTAGCGTTATTTGGTGTGTGCCACTTGAAGAGACAAATCAGAAAAAATTTTTTTTATACCGCCTGACATTCACGTGCACACATATTGCTATAACCGCACTACTAACTTTTTTTTTTTCCTTTTTCCTCTGTAACAAAAGTTGCTGTGTCTCTTTATAGTAAAGTGAGAGGTACTTAGTTTTCTGTGGATACGCAAAACTTTGTTTTCCCACATGTAGTCAAAAATAACAATCGCCCCTGAAAGCAATCTGTGTCGTTCAGGATCATGATTCGCCAGGCTGCGGCCCCGGATTACGAAATGGATGACAGCACCGGCAGCAAAGATGATATAATAGAAATTAATATAATTACTTGTTAGCAGTTTTGTGATTTTATCCAATCACCTTACTTGCCTTGCTTGCTACTGTTCTTGATCCCTTATTTTTTTTTTCCTTTTAGGCACCCTACAGTAAGAACAATGGCTCCGATGACGGCAATGTGCAAGAAAAACCAGCACAGTCTAGAATGAAAAAGAAAGAGGTACCGAGGGTGATGATGTATTGATATTTTCTCAGTGGTCATTGCTATTCTATATTTGAAACCCTATATATAAATGGAGATGTTAATTTTGTTTTCTCATTTGCCTTTTCTGTTGGCTCGTCAGTAGTTATTGGTTGATTGGAAATAACATTAACTAATTTGGAAAGCGCGCAACTTTTTTTTATCAACTAAACAAATTCTATTACAAATATGTCTAATTTTATGAACAAGTTATCTGATAAGTTTTCTGGTAACGACAAGAAGTCTGGCAAAGACTATAACCAAGGAGACAACATGGGTAGTGGAAACTACGATTCTTCAAGACAAGATTCTGGATATATGGGCCAATCTATGGGGACTGGTGGGTATGACAACTCTGGATCTGGTGGATATGACAACTCTGGCATTGGTGGCTCAAACCTTGGTGAAGATGACAAAATTGACTGGAACCGCGGTGGTGATTCACAAGACTACAGCCAATCTCAATACGGTGCTCAAGGTACTAACGATGACTACATGAAGAAGGGCAAAGGTATGTCTGGAATGAGTAAGAGGGGTCAAGAAAGAAACACCAGAAGCCAAACCAGACAAAAAATGAACGAAGACTTGGATAACCCAGATTATGGGGACTCTGGTAACACTGGCTATTAATCGTTACTTGATTAAGTTTGTTTTTCTTTTTTATTTATATCCATGGATATCATACTGCTGTTTGTAACCGGTCTTATATAGCGTGTATTTTTAAATTTTTAATCAAATGATGAATGTGATGTTGTTTTATAGAATAAAGATGTAGTAGCAGCTCTTCTCCTCATGTTGAAACAAGTGGTTGCTGATTAGCAATTTTTCTGCGAAGAGCTAAAAAAAAAATTTCATTTTTTTTTTTTTTTAGTGAAAATTTATAGCGGACCTTTACAAACCATCCTAACAAAAGATTAACAATATTACACCTGTCTTTGAGCAATAATGAATATTCATCGTTCTAGATTTGTGGATTTCACTCCTCACACAATAACACGTTTGGCGTTTAGTCATCCATCTACCAAAGGATCGACTCCAAGTGATCTAAGATTGGCGGTTGGTAGAAATAATGGTGACATTGAGATTTGGAATCCTAGATTTGGATGGTTCCAAGAACAAATCTTGAAAGGAGGCAAAGGAAGAACTATTGAAGGCCTTGCCTGGTCATTTTGGAGCAACACATCCCTCAGATTATTTTCCATTGGCGGGTCATCAGTGATCACTGAATGGGATTTGAAAACTGGGATGCCTTTGAAAAATTACGATTGTAACTCAGGAATAATCTGGTTCATATCAGTAAATAAAACCAATGATAAGATAGCCGTCGGGTGCGATAATGGATCAGTGGTATTGGTCGACATTTCTGGTGGCCCAGGGGTTATGGAACATGACATGGTTTTACAAAGACAGAATTCAAGAGTCTTATCAGTGGATTTCAATGGTGATTCCCAGGTTGTTGGGGGCTGCGCAGATGGAAAAATTAGAGTGTGGGATATAAGTGGGGATACCAATACCAGAGGCAGATTGGTGGCCAGCATGAAAGTGGATAAATCGACAAAAAGAGAAAGCACATTAGTCTGGAGTGTTTTGGTATTAGATAAGCAAAATCAAATTATAAGTGGTGATTCCACTGGGTCACTAAAAATCTGGGACTTGAAGTATTTCACATTATTACAATCTTTTGATTCTCATAAGGCTGATATTTTGAGTTTGACTTGTGATCTTGATCAAGAGAAAATATTTTCTGCCGGGGTCGACAGAAAAATCATCAACTTCAACTTAATTGCTAACCCAAACAGCAACAACAAAAAACAGTGGGTAAATTCTTTAAGCAAACTATACCATTCTAATGATATTAGAAGTCTTACAAGCTTTGAATCCAAGGGGTTGAGTTTGTTAGTTTCTGGTGGTGTCGACAGACAGATTGCAATCAATTCTATCAAGTTTTTCAACGCAAATATATACAGAAAACTACCAATAACTACTCAATATCAAAATAATTTGATTAGAAATAGCCAAAACAGGTTGATTATAATGTGGCAGGACCAAACTGTTAAGATTTGGAAACTCTTCAACGATGCGGACATTATGGTTGAAACTTTGACCAGTGAACAACCAAAGAAGAATTATAAGTTGGTGTCCAAATTGGCTCTTTCCGAAGAAGAAAACATATCTGATGTCGCCGTGTCTTCTAAAGGTGATTATTTGGCCGTGGCGTACTTATCAAACATCAAGATCTTCAAGTTGAATTACGATGAATCCCAACAGACCATGAAGGTCTTCAAATTAAAGTATCTTAGTTCTAAATTAGAGAATGTTGGTGCAAGAATTGTGACATTCTCAAGCGACGGCTCAAGTTTGGTGATTGTTGATTCAGAAAACGATATTATGAAAATCAACATTGTTGATTACGAGCAAAATTCCCAAGAAGACGAAGACGAAGGTTCTCTTGATACCGTTATGTATGAATTGCCGGATATCGTCGATATGGACTCAAAATTGGGACATGCTGGTAATATTAAGGACTTCAAAATTTCTGATGATGATAAGGTGATAGCAGTTTCAAGACATTATGGCGCTTTGGACTTGATTTTCATAGATGATAATGGTGGATCAGACGTGGTAGAATTGGCAAGATTGTCAACTTCAATTTCTGCCATTGAATTCACCAAGAGAAACACTTTGATTGCGATTACTGTTGAAAACAAAATTTATGAGTTCAACATCCGCAGACAGATGGAAATTGATGAAGATAATGACGAAGATGATGATGCAAAGAATACTTCTCAAAGTGTTTTGGATACCAATGCTTCTAACTCAAACTTGTTATTGACAAACTGGTCAAAGAAAAATTCTGAGAACTTGCCAAACCAATTACTAAATTTGAAAAACAAATGTGTTGGAATTTTCCCAGATCTTAAAGACACTTCAAGAATTTGGTTCTGGGGTGCCGATTGGATTTGTTTTATTAATTTAAATGCCAATTTGCAGAACAAGAAAAATAGAAGTAGTCTTAAAAGAAAGCATGATGGGTTGAGTATTTATCAGGAGGGGAATGATTTGGAAAATGAAGAAGTAACTCTCGAAAATTTCTCCAATACTATGAGTGAAAGTTCTAAACTCGAAAACAATCAATTAGTTGTCACCAATAACACTGATACAAACGAGAATAAATCCGTTCCATTCTGGTTCACTAATAAGTATAATTCTATTTTATTCACTGGGAATTTTGAAACCAATGACTTGTTGGTTGTTGAAAGACCAGTCAGCAGTTTAGCATCTTCTAAAGCATTCAAAACTAATCACATTGCTTTTTAGATGCTTAGAAGTGTATTATTCTGAAATTACATCTTTTTTAGACCTACAATTTTCTCACAATCTATTATTCAAGATTTTAATAAATAATGTTGTAACTTGAGTTCTAATTGTAATATACGATATTCATTTCTAGGAATGCAAAAAGTGACTAGATTCTTTACAAGCCCATTTATAAACAAAAAGTTTCTGTATTTTGTTTCAATAGTGCTTCAAGAATAAATTATGTACAAAAAGTTGCAAAACGCAAAGCACTATAAGATTTATAAGTCATCTTTATTGAAGTTAATATCATAAACCCACAAATTTGATACAACTCGTTTATCAGCAGCCAAATCTCTAACCCAATCCTTATCATTATCAACGCTCTTTTGGTACCACTTCTTTGGCCAATCCTCTTCTTCCTTCACTGCCAAATCAAGATCCTTTTCAGCATCAAATGGTCTGACGACATTACGGACCACTGAAAATGACAATTCTCCAAGTTCATCCGCCACGTATCTTTTGTTGTAAAAACGGTAAATTTTCATTGGAATAGTGAGAAAACCTAACAAGTGTGGGACAGGCATCACACATATTGGTTGTTGGTAGTATGGGGGAACATTGTCGTCAGTTGGAATCTTGACTGATGGCTTGTCTTCAAAAATATAATTTTTGAATTCTTCGGCAAGTTTTCCTTCTTTACGATACTCATTTGGCAAAAGATACGCTTTGATAGGTTCACGAGTGAAATCATATTCTCCGTATTCTTCATCTTGATCATCTGGATTGTCATATTGTGCAAAGAAGCTCTTTTTGTCATCGTATTGACGATTAGCTTTAACTTCTTCCATCAATTCCTCGACAGTCTTGATGTCTGGTTCATTGAGTTCTTCACCTTTCTTCAATCTGGAAATATCTCTCTTTCTCTTTTGATCAAGAATTCTGTGTTCATCAGCTGCTTGGGCTTCAACAACTCTTTCTGGTTTCTCAAGAGGACCTAATAGACCTTCATGGAGACCAAGCATATACTCTTTATAGGTACCTCTGCCAATACATATAACACCACCAATATTATTTAATGGTTTATTATTGTCAGAATCTTCACTGTGAGATTCCATCATTTGATCTTTGTTTGAATCATTGAGGTATATGCCCAAAATGTGTTTATGATTCTCCATTTGTTTCTTGAACGCTTGCGCCTGTCTTGTTTCCTCTTCTTCGGCCATTTTTTTTTTTTTTTCCTCTGATAAGAAGTATTGATGAACGGAATTCCAAGGTCTTGTAATAAATCCAGGAATTATATCACTGAGCCGGCTTCTCAGTCCCTCATTTTTCGCTGCTTTTTCAGATTCATTTTTTTCAATTTCTCTTCTCAAGTTTCTAATGTCAGCGGCCACTCGGTTTCTGATTGATCCTTGAGTATTACTATGAAGAACCTCCAAATCAATTCCTCCAGAATTGAGAACTGGCTTAATGTATCTTCTAAAAAGCTTCCAACTTTCTTCAAGGTAATCATTTGGGGGTGGGCTTACAAATACTGTGACTTTTCTTGGAGTTGTGTTGGTTGATATTTGGGCTTTACCATACTCTTCAGCAAGTTTCATCCATTTATCTCTGTTCTTCTTTTGTTCTCTTTTATCATATAATGCACCGCCCACAAGCAAACCAGTGACCGACAAAAAGATCATCCAATTTCTTGAAGGAAGTTTGATTCTGTTAATACCCATTGCTTTCAAAGCAGGATTACTATAGCCCTTAGATTCTACCTTGGCAGTCGAGGATTTGGCATCTTTAGCGGCACCAGAGGCAGGAGATGAAGCCTGGGTTGGCTGACTTTCCACTAGTTTGGAACTATCAGTCATGGTGTTTAGCCTATCTTGTAATACTCCTTTGTCATAAACTAGTTTGTCTGCCGAAAATTATTCACTTTTTTTTTTCAGCTCATGGGGTACGTGCTTCAAACAAAGGATTAATCCACTTTAAACGGTGACGGGAAGCCAGTGAGGTTTGATAGATCCACTATAAATGTCAGCTGAGTAGAGGTGAAGATTATTATGGCGACCGAAATATCGTTTTTTTTTTTTTTTTTTCTTGTTTTTAGAAAGCTGACATTAGTAATGTCTTTCTAAGGAATGTCTTTCTACAGGCTTCTAGAAGCACTAGCTCAAATGAATATAATAAAACGGTCTATCATTGCGAATAACATAAAGCTGAACGCAAGTGAAATTAGATAACTGAAACTGGCAATAAAATATCGACACTGTCTCTAGTGGATACAAAAAAAAGAGTAAAAGGTTAAAAAGCAAAAAGTAAAACAAAGTTATCAAGTTCTCAGAATATATGCAATGAAATGAATAAGCATTAGGGCCCTTGCTTATATATGAAGCTGAATCAAAGCTTATATCTTTTCAAAAAACGACTATCACAAACACTGCTGTTATCATCTTCAAGCCTTTAATATAATCCATACTTCTGCCCAATGTCGAGTCCTCTAAGGCTCTTGCGACAATTGCGTCCTAGACAGCAAATCCTCCAAATATTGTTTCCCTCTATTTTGTACCAACTTGCTCATTGACTCAAGATAAGTTGCTATGCCATTGGTTACCTCGGGCACCTTGTAAAGTTGTATAAATCACACTGCAAAGAGGATTGCTCTAGGATTGCAAAAGCGCAATATCCAAATTTACTTCACCATCAAGCATAACATCATTAGGGTTTGGATCTGGATACGTGCACTGTGGGCAAGCTGTGGGGAGCAAGCCTTCTAATTTTCCTAAGCATAGCAATTTGGCCCTTTTAATTTTGACTTCCCACGCCTAAATCGAACCCATCGATCATGGTATCGCCAAATGGTTTGACAACAAAGGGGTTGTTGCATTTAACATTGAACATATCATATAATAATTGGGCTGCTGTATCGGCATCGGCATCGCATGTTAAACCAAAATCACCCGTAGATCTATCTCCCCAATTGGCAAAAGAGCTTTGATCCCTAGGTTTTGACATACTTTGATGTCCGCAGCAATAATCATACGTCGAATTCAAGCAATCGATGAAAGCTATTACAGCAACGTCCATATCCCCCTCCCTCTTCTCTGACAAAGGTAAGCTAACCTTTCCTGTTTAGCACCTAGACCCCAATAAACTGCCACATTGTTTTTGGAATTTGGGTCATAGGCAGCCAAAAATCCAGTTGAGTAGAGTAGTTGTGCAAATTTTCATTGGTCGTGATATCTTTCTTTATTGTAACAGCAACTTGACCAGATGCTGTTATCTATTTGTCAATACAGAACAAGACCACTGTGTAGCACCCCAAAGTTATCTGGGATGGAGCTCATTTATATTGAAGGATATGCTAAGCTTTTGTAGGTTATTGTATCTGAAGGATTGTTTCAATGTCGTGCATGACAATAATAGGCGATCCATTCTTCAGCTTTAGTTATCCAGTACATATAATAGAATATTTAATCCAAACATATAAAATATAATATAAATAAATATAAGAAAATACTATCACAGAGTAGTAGCAGATTCTCTCATGATCACGTGATAATTAATGAGAAGTCAAAGCGCACTGTATATTGATCATTGCCCTATTGACTTTGTGTTGTACAAACCAGAGACCCCATCTCTTCGATTCTAACAAACAAGCTGCTTCTGCTGCTGCTGATGTTTGGAAATTCTGGTCTTTCTTCGAAGCCATCGAGAAAAGCTCGTCCTCAGCCGCCTAGTGCGGCTTCGTCGTTGGCTGCCCAGGCAGCAGTTGCAACCTTCAATAAGTCAAATGGCAAAAATGAATCACTCAAAAAGAACCCGAAGCCACCATCACAACCCTCAATGCCTGTGGCTATCCTGAACTCTCCCAAAAAGAAAAAGGGATCAGACATGAGTCCATCATCAACGGTTTCCAGTAGCCCAGTAGCTTATCCAATACCAATCAAATCATATTCTCGGCCGCGCATTATCCATAAAGGCTCTAGTTACGATATGACAAAGCATTCGCCCCCAATACTAGATAGCAATGGCTTCATTAATGACGAATATGAAACTGAAAGCGATTCAAATAGATTGAGTATGGCTGCCATTGCTGCTGCGGCCATTGCTGCCAAGAAGATCTCTGCAATAACAGCTTCTGATGATTCTTCACGTCAAACAACACAAACCAAACACAAGCCAAACGTCTTGAATACCCGTTTTTTACAGCCTCCATCTAATGATTCCAGTAGATCTTTGAAACCTCCTTTGAGCCCGGTGTCGTCAGTGTCCAATAATTCCAATATAAACTTTTCTCCAGGGGGCCTTACGAAGTCCAAAAGCATTTCCCTAAACCACTATCACTCTTCAGAATCATTAAAACACCATCACAACACCCAATTCGATAACGAATTAAGAAGCCTGTCTGCAGGCCCAACATGCGATAAAAGAAGTTTGATGACAAAGGCTAGTAATTCTAACAAGAAATTACAAGAGGATTTAAAAAACAACAAAAGTTTTATCAGCTTATCCGATAATTATTCTTCTTCTGATTTGGATAATCCAGAAGCCAAAATAATTAAGGTTAGAAGCATGTCACCTCCTACATTCTACGTTAGGAAAAATGATACCCAGGACTCATTTCACGCATCACCATGTTATAGTTCAACAAATAACCACAGCCAACTATCTCTAAGTCAGTTATCTGTTCCAAAACTCAAACTTGATACTCAATTGAAACGAGCAAGTACAGATGCTGTTACTTTTAGTGCTCACGAATTTTTAACACCTCCAAATAAATTGCGCTCAAGTTTTCAACTTGACACTTCGTCACTGAGTAACAACAACATGCTAAATATCCCACGGTCCAGCCACAGTGAATTATCAGATGCATCATCTATTGTGTCAAACGGATATCAACAGAAAACTACGCTGCAGAGGTCTCTTAACAATACCGATTCTGGGCAACCCAGTATGAGGTCTTATGAACCGGTTGATAATTATGACGTTCAATCGAAAAATACCTATAGGAATAGTAATCATTATCCAGAAAAAGATGAAGATGAAGAGGAAGCTTGTTTATCAGACCTTGAAGGAGTAGAATTAGACAACAGGGTGCTACCACAGTATCCATCCTCAGTGGGGTACCATGATTATAGCGCTTCTCAGAAAAAATCGAGGCTCACCATTAGGAAAAAGGGGAAGAAGATGTTACGTGATTTGGGACTCAAATCAGGAGGTGACCACAAAAGTCACAAGTCAGAGGTCAGTTACTATAATATTAATACAGATATGTCAAGACCACAATATTATCATAATCAACAAGATGATGAGCAACAACTACTCGAAGATGATGAACAACAAAAACAAAAACAACACTCAAAAATCAGGGGAGCCCAAAAACCCGTAGAATTTAAGACTACTATGAGAGAAAAGTCCCATAATCAGCAGAAGTTTAACGCTGACAAACCTTGGAAGCATCATAATGATTCCTTGGTTGTTACCGAGGCTGAAAAGAAAAGATATGAAGGTGTTTGGGTTGCTAATAGAGGCCTTTACATGAATTTGATGAGAAAGCCCATTAATGATACAAGCACAATAAAAGATATGAGTGTTCAAGATCAGAATGAAGCAGTGATTTTAAACTCGAATTTAATCAATGCCATTCAAGCTCCTTCACATACACAAGAACTCAACCATCCCTCGCAGTTAGTGCATGGCTACGTTGTTAGAAGTTTGTGGAGGAGAAGCAACCTATCGTATGACATTCTTTCCCAGATATGGAGTTTGGTTGACCTTAGGAAAGATGGAACATTGAACAGAGATGAATTTTTAGTTGGAATGTGGTTAGTTGACCAATGTTTATATGGAAGAAAGTTGCCAAAAGCATTAGATGATAGCGTTTGGTCAAGTGTTCAAAGATTGGTGGTTCAAGTTGTTATCAAACCAAGGAAAGGTAAATTACTTAAGTGATACAAGTTTTTTTTTAGTTACGATTTTTTGGGTCCTTTTGTGCTGTGCTTTAATATATTATAATATTTATAAATTGCACAAAGTAATAGTAAGATAGAGTACAGTACAAGAAAAAAAAAAAGAAGCCTAGAAATGAAAAAAAAAAAAATATATATGTAAAAACTATAAGGAATTGATAAATTATGCTCCTCTCATTACCCAAAATAACTAAATTTCCAAGAACCCACTTCCACGCTAATCAGTTTGGAGTTTCATAAGTACGTAGCTGGTTCAAAACTTCCAATAATTCCTCATCACTCTTCTTATCAGCTAAACTTGGAATCAAAGTTTTTGCTTCGTCTGGCTCATCACAAGCCAAAGAACCCAACTGGGCAATTTCAAATGGATGCAATGAAGTTTCTTTATCTTCGTAGTCTTTTGGCTTTAACAAACTTTCTACTACCGAACATGTTTCCTGGTCTCTAAATCTCGCAAATATATTAAGATATTCCAATGTCTTCTTCAAAACTTCGTTGGCACCAGGAGCAAGGGCTACTTTAGCAATAACTTCATCATCGTCGTCATCATCTGCAATGCTCGTTGATGCCACTCCATTTTTGGCGTCCATGACTTTCTTACGTTCCTTCAAGGCTTCTCTAATCAAAATTCTGGCCTCGGAAAAATTAAGAGCCACCAATTGCTGAGCATTGCCCTCATGATCAATCTGGGTTTCTGTAAACTCTGGACCTAACTGCAAAACTGCTGCATTTTCCTGATCACCAACGCCCGCATCGTTTCTTCTTCTTCTCCGCTTGGCTCCCAAAGTTGAAGTTGATACATTCATAGTAATGTGTATATATGTATATAACAACACTTAAACCTCCTGAAAAAAACCCCTTCGATGCACAGACTAGAGACAGAACTTATTTTCCCAGCTAATTTCCAGTCCCGCGGTGGATTTTATCTGTTGACTTATTTTCTTTTTTTTTTCTTTTCTTCTCGCCCCCACCAATTACGTAAGCGCTGACCACGGGAGTCCCTTTTTTTTTTCTTTCTTTTCGGTGATGGCAAAATAACTATAAAAAATTTTCAGCTTAATCGGCCTCTATCGTTGATATAATCCAGTTTAAACCAGTGTTCATAGTCAATATATCAAAAAAATGTCCAACGTAGAAGCCGATCATACCAGAGACCCTTGCCCTTTGGTCATCATCAGTGATTTTGGTGGTGCTTTTGCTATGGGTGTGAGTAATTGACATATCTTGGAAGTTTTTCTCGGGTTGCCTGGAATCATCAAAATATACTAACGCAAAGAACAGGTAGTTGGTGGTTGTGTTTGGCACGGTATTAAGGGTTTCCGTAACTCTCCACTTGGTGAAAGACGTTTGGGTGCTTTGTCTGCCATTAAGGCAAGAGCCCCAGTCGTTGGTGGTAATTTTGGTGTCTGGGGTGGGTTATTCTCCACTTACGATTGTGCAGTGAAGGCCGTTAGAAAAAGAGAAGACCCTTGGAACGCTATTATCGCCGGTTTCTTCACAGGTGGCTCTTTGGCCATTAGAGGTGGTTGGAAACATACTAGAAACTCTGCCATCAGTTGTGGTATCTTGTTGGGTCTTATAGAAGGTGCGGGTATACTTATGCAAAAATGGATGGCCCCTCCAGTCCAACCAATGTATGATCCAAACGCTCAACCATTAGGAGCTTGAGATTTCTCATAATTAGATTAATCCCTCCGGGATGGGGGCTGTTGATGCACCAGGAGCCCAATGAATAGCAGTGGCTGAATGACTGATCCATGCCTATTGTTGATAATCTCTACTGTGAATGAATTTTATTCTCTTATTGCGAGTAATAAGTTGCATCTTTACGATTTTTTTTTAATCCTTTGCTTTCTTTTTTTTTCTTTCATTTTTCTCTCCCCTCCCCATACATTTGTTGCTTTCATTGTTTCTTTGTTGTACCATAATTTTCTTTCACTGTTCGCGTTGATAACTGTTTGCAATTCAGATAAAGGACCCATGGCTAACTTGTATATAATTTTGATTCCTTACATGAGAGTTGTTTTTTTTTGACCAAAATAAACGTCTAATTTACAATATACATTTGTGTAAGCAGCTAATATCACTCAATAATCCCTTGGCGCTTGAGTTTTTGGAAAGTTGATTGATCAATGTATTTTTCCAAACTTGGTTCACCACCGAGCCCCTTTCTTCTTCTAGTTTTGGTGACAAGATCTCTTGCCAAAAAATTTGGAGATGCCGGTTTCAACTTTGGAATAAAGGCATCTTTATCTAATGGGTCTCCACTAACAACTCCCCATTCATAAAATCTGGTAAAACACATAGCTTGTCCTTGTGTAAGTAATCTCAAATCTGTTTCAAACCCAACAGAATCTAACACTGGGAGATATCCAATACATTTGTACAATTGAGTTGCCGCTATTGGTTCATTTTCAGATAAGACTCCTCTTCTCTTATACAAAATCTTCTTAACTGCCTCGGTGGATTGTTTCGTGCAAGTGGCATCAACTTGATAAATCGGTTCCAATAATCTCGGCGTCGACACCATATAAGCAGCATAACAAGCCCTTCGAACCATAGGTAAAATTTGACCGGAGCTTCTATCTGAGAGATTTTCTGCCAATTTAATAGAAATGATTCTGAATTTGATGTTGGTCATAGTTTCATCACAAATCGGGCCTTGTTTTATGGCCCATAAAAATCCTTGAACAATAGAATCTTTCAAAGTATTCAAAGTTTTTTTATCAACCTCGTCAGAAAGAGTGTCGTCTAACAAGACATTAGCTCCATTTTCCGATCCAATGCTCCAGACCGATCTTGCGGCCAAAGAGTCCCAATTATATTTCTCTTGAAGAGTTTTGGCAACCTGTCTTTTTGTCATTTGGTTGAAATTATCGAAATGACCTTTTTGAATATCTTTAACAAAATCTTCTTCCAATGGTTCACAAATTATTCCAATAGAGTTCTTACCATTGACAGATTCAATGGTTAATTTTACTAGTGACTTTTCACTAATAGTTTCTTGGAACTGAACAAACGGTTCAGAAACTTTGATTTCCAAGTTGTCTCCGTACAAATATCTGATATCATGCAAAATACAATCCAAGTACAATTCTCCAGATCCTGAAACAATATATTCTCCACTTTCTTCAACTTTAACTGCAGCGCCGGAATAGCTTCTGCTGATACTTTGCAAGGCATTTAAAAGTTCAGGTAAATGTGAAGGGTGATCAGGTTTAATACTGACTTTGAAAATTGGATCAAATATGTGATTAACTTGTTGAAGCAAATAAAGGGGTTCATCGGTGTTATCAAAGTCATTACCACAAATAGTGGCATTCTTAATAACCACTTGGGAGATATCACCACCAATAAGACATATAGATCCAGCACCCACCTCATTAACAGAGAATTTATATCTGGCAACAGGAATAAACAACTCCTTAACTTCAAATTCGACGAAATCATCAGAGTTCTCATCCAGTGAGTATTCTTCTCCCAAAATCTTTACTTTTTGACCCACCTTCAATGATCCCGAATAAACTCTGGTTAATCCATAGAATTTGTCAGCTTCGTTAGTATTGATCAATTTGCAAGTATTAGCAATTAGTATACCATCAGGCGAGCATTCAATTAAAGCTTGTACCATCTTCAGGATCTTAAGTTTAGCGGGTGAGATTTTCATTCTTTGTACTTGATGTCCACCAGTCAAAGTAGGAGAAGGTAAAGAAGACTGAATCATATCAACAAATCCGTAATTCTCACCAAAAAATTGCTTGCAAACCTCAGTTAACACCACTTGAGAATCTTGTTTATACAAGTTCTTATGAAGAGAAATATGAAATCTCTTATATAATATGTCAGCTAGCTCATCTTGATCTTTGGATATGGAAAGAGAGAAGAGTTTATAAAGCGGTTCCAAAATAAATTGGACAAATGAGTTCTTTTGGCTTAATTGCCTAGCGGTTTTTCTGAAAAATTTCCCTGTTTCTGGATTGAAGCAAACACTATCACCCCATAATCTTTTCCCAAACTTCTCAATATCAATATGACCCTCCAATTTGTTGAGCTCTACGTATTTTTTGGCGAATGATTTTAAGTTGAATGCAAATTGTAACTTGCCGGAGGCAAAGGCAATATTATTCAACTCCGGAGAAAAAATCGTCAGATAAGAATAATTGGGCGTTATTTCCGATAATTCTCTTTTGATATAGTGATTGATTTCTTCGATGACATATTTAATTTTATAATATGCATCAAGGACTGGCAATTTCAATTCTAATATTAAGCGGTCAATTTTATTTAATACAACGCTCAATGCTAAATTTTTATCAATAGCATTCTTGATAGCCAACTTATCCATAATGGTTAGGCCCTCAACGATATCAATTACTAAAATGGAACCGTCCGCCAAATCTTGAGCCGCCACTAACTCATCAGTAAAATTAACATGTCCAGGAGAGTCAATTATATTAAGAATTACCGAGTTTCCCTTGATGTCTGGAACAACGAATGTTGCAGCAGATGCTTTGATAGATAGCCCTCTTTCTATTTCAAGCTTGTGGTTATCAGAGTAACGTAACGATCTGAAATTCTTGGTTTGCAAATGCTTGTTTTTCTCAATCAATCTGGGATGAGTTTGTAGTATCAACATATCCAATAGCGTGGTTTTACCAGAATGCATGTTACCAACAAAAGTAATGTTTCTTATTTTTTCTGGAGTTTTAAGGGCCAAGTTTGCCATAAAATCCCTCGAATAATTCACCTCTGGTAGATTCTTTTCTTCGACAATAATCTTTTTGTTTATGGTAGGTTTCACCAACGGCACATTAAGAGATTGGGTATCAGTGTGTTGTATTGTGACTTCGACATCTGGACTAAAAACCTGGGATATTGAGGGATGGTATTGCTTATCTTCATGAAGCACTATTGCTTTTGATGTCGATTCTTTCTCTTGTTCTTTTTCATCTTCGCTTATTTCATTTTCAGAATTCGATACATCTTCATCAGAGCTATTAGACTCAATTTCAGCATCCGAATCATTGGCATCACCGATATAATTACCAAATTCATCATACAAGCTTTCATCCATTTCAAATACTTTTAGTATTCCGATGTATTTTTTAAATAATATAATAGAAAGAGTAAGAAATGCGTAACATATTTTGATGTGATGGGGATTTTTTTTAAATCTGTAAAAATTTTGTGCGTGATGCTCGCGGAAATATACCTTAACATACATAGTCTCTGCTCAGAATATTGATAAATGTATCATATCGAAATCAAAAAAATATATTAAGAGTCTATAAGTATAAAAATCTATTGAGCTGATAAAAATGAAAATAAAAAACACAAAGAAAATATTGGAAAGGATGTAAAAACTAAAAAGAGCTAGTACAATAAAGATCTTTGTGCTTTAATGATGCGACCACTTAGCAGGATATTGGCAATGCAAGCCAAAATAAGAATAGTGGACAAACTCATTGAAATCTTCAAATCAGTTGTTTCTGGTAACCAGGAAGCATTTTCGATAGTTGAATATTTTGTACCAATATAAATTAGAGAGTATAGATGATACGCCATGTAAACTGTAGAAAAAATAACGGAAGAAATCAGCCCAAGCAAACAACGCTCCATTTTATGAATCACAAAATAGTTAACGAAGTTTATAATGACCATCAAAATTGTAATGCAGATGGATATGATAGTCTGCTCGCTAGATAATCTCCATATAACGGTCTTGTATCTCACAAATTGCATTGAAAAAATGCAGATGAGGTAAGTGAAAACGATAATGAACGCAGTATTGTATTCTAGAAGCTTTCCAAGCTCCTTCTTGACCTGAAAATCAAAGATTTCATTCTTTTGAGAAGTTTTCAATTTATTAGTGTTGTGTGATCCCAAATCATCGGTGGAGTGGTTTCTAAAAATCTGAGCGAGTAGCCAAGTTATAAGACAGCAACTCAAAGACAATAGCCCAATAAATCCGAGCTGCAACCCTTGACCAATATTTCTCGTGACATCATCATCGACAGTAAACATAATATTAGCAAATTGAAATACTAGAGCTAGACCATTGAGTATCCATACCACATAAATACCCAAGAAGTTGATATAACTTTCAGGCTTGAAAAAACAAATGGCACTTAGAAATAAAGAATAGCAAAAACCAAACAAGTAGCTGATCATCCAATTGTTTGCATACTGGATGCTTTTGTATGACGTAGAATCATACCTGATAAAGAAAACAAGTTCAAGGATGCCAATCATGAAAGTTGTGAAGTTAATAACAGTCAAATAAATTGCATTCAAATTTTTTTCAGAAATTTCTAAGTTGATTTCACAATGTATCAATTTTTTGCAATCCAAGATGAAAATCGCAATAATAACGAGAAATATAAATCCTGCAGAATAATATTGAATAATTATAGCTGCTCTATATTGGATAGCTTCTAAAACCGTGAGCATCTGAACTAAATTGAAAAACAAGTAGCAATAGAAACACAAAGAGCAAAGCAATCCTGAAAACCTTTTTTTCTTGTAGGCCCATCCGTTCAAAACAAGAATAAATGGCGTTGCCACTGCTAAAACCAAACCATTAACATAGAATGGTGTATTCTCAAGAGGAACAATGTAAGCACAAATGAAAAAAGGAGGAATTAAACCTCCTAAAATAACTAGTAAGGCATGTGTCAATTGAGCATCCTCAATGATCTTCCTAGCACGAATTGAAGCCCCAGTTTTTCTAAAAGTATCCCAGCTGAATTCTTGCACAATATAGAAAATCCACATCAAAACTTGAATGACGAAGAAGACACAAGTACAAACCGTAATTGTTATACAATAAACCTTTGGATTGTAAAAATCTTCCCTGAACTGTTTTTCTGCAACAGGATGTTTACCATGGTCGTGGAAAATATCAATCCCATTTTCTTTGTAAGCCTCTAACACCAGTTGAACTGCTTCGTTTTGCACAAGAAGGATCATAGTAGTAAAGAGTAATTCCATAATGGTGAATAAGAAAAGATAAAGGAGCAAAAAAAACACTTGAGTGTTGCTTTTAGTTTTAAGAGTGGAAATGACCACACCAAATTGGTAAATCTTAGTGTACATAAGATACACATAATAAACCAACACACTATAACGATACTGATAAAAAGAACTTGGAGAAGTCGGATCAAAGTATTGAGTTAGCAAGAAAAGGGTCAAGAAGACGGTGAATATTAGTGTAGTTGAGAAGGAGACAAAACCAAACAATCCATACATGAGAGTTTTCTTGGTGAAAACTTCTTTCATCTTTCCATAAGTCGTTTGTGACGCCTGTAGATCACTTTTGTAAGCTTCTAGATCCATATAATATTGTGGTTGAACTGAAACCGCTTCCTTTTGGTATAAATCCATATTCAAAAAACTCAATTTTTTCAGTTCAATGGCCTCAGTGGCAATCATGATGCTATCACACCTTTCTGATTCTGCACCCATCTGGCCTCGACATCTATCTACCAGAAGGTTAGAATCTTTGGTTTCCCTTCCATAATCATCATTAATAGTGCTTGCAAGAGACCCTGACCAATCACTGGAAAAAGAATTCTTTCTATCCAAATAGTCCACGGAGTCGATGGTGGTGGAGGCTATTGAAGGGGTATCAACACCAAAAGGTGAGGTATAATCTTTGAGTGTATTGTTTATGTGTCTTGGTAATGGTGGCAATTTTTTGTTGATAGTACCAGATGTGCTAAGACCAGTCTCGTAAAGAGACAGCTGTTTATATTCAGAATCTTGTCCAATAACTCTGTTCATTGTGTTGGCATACGGGCGTGAAGAGTGGAAAAAATAAATGTGAGAGAATACCTAGAAATATGAATAATGAGCCAATTCCAATGGTATTTTTGTTCATATATATATATATGATCTTCTAGCCAAATGAATGTACAAAACCACCAATCCTTAGTGCAATCGTGCATCCTTTTTTTGTTTTGCATGTTGAATCCATATGACAGGACCTGCACCTAAAGTGTCGATTATGCGGGATGTTTCAACTTGTGATACCCATGATTCCACCCACCATCTCCACCGCAACCGCACGAAAAAAAAAATTGCGATAACCAAAAACAACAGAGGGAAGAAACAAGAAGGGAAGAAGGAAACATGAATGAGTAGAAATAATTGGTTCTTCATACAATAAATTTCCTCCTTCATCTTTCTTCTGTCATAATTTCCGGATTTGAGTTAAAAGACCACTGAAAGCCCTCCCAAATTAGTAATGTTGTCAAGGATCCTGGATTTTGTTTCAGGGCAAACGCATTTGCAGGAAGAGGCTCAATCAACTACAATTTGTAGACTAGTATGTTTATTAGATCCTTCTCTGACTAGCAAAAACTGCTCAGTGGTGATGGATGATAGGTGCATGATATTGTTACTAGCAAGTAAGTGGCTGCAGATACCATCCGACTTTCATAACCATTTTGATGAAGAAAACAATAGACATTCACCTCATACTGCTCTATCATCAATCTCTGTATCCGCACTTTGCCCACTCGATTTTACTCAGAATAATGGCTTCTGAGTACCGAAGTTTTTAGAGATATAGTTTTTGATAAAAGCACTCCCCGCGCTTTTTTGCAAGAAATAAAAATCGGTCACTGATCCAACCCCACGAAGATTGGAGTTCTGTACCACTAGTTCGATATGGAAACTAAAAGAAAACGTAACAGGATACCGCAATCATGCTCTTTGTGTCGCTCTAGAAAGAAGAAATGTGATAAGAGGCGGCCTGTATGTACTTATTGTCTTCAACATGGTTATTCGTCGAGATGTCATTATGAGTCTGAAGGTCAATATAATACTATTTCGCCACCATACCCTGATCTTTCTGAGACGTCATCTTCTGGAATGTCACAGATACGTTCTCAAGTGTCTCATTTGAAAGATCATATCCACAGATTGGAATTACTATTAGAGCAAAAAAGCCCTCCTGAGTTTGATAACAAGAGTACCAGCTGCCTTCCGAGCTCCGCGAAACATGATCGATTCGGCCAAAATTTTGAATATAGTGGCTATGAAATTCCAAACGCTATGATTGATGGAGAGGCCAGATATGACTTTTTCACCGGCAAAGTTTTCATTTCTGTTGGTTCAAACTCGCTAATTCTGCACAAACCCCTTCACCGGGCGGCACTATTTGCCAATGACCAGTTCTACGTCTCTTCCGCATGTCACATCAACGGATTTTATAAGCATTTAAAACAATTTTCAAAAGAAAATACTCTCAATAAAGATTTGACAATACTAATTTCTCCATTGCCAGAAAAGCTCAACGAGAAGTTCAAATCGGGGAAATTTAGATTTATCATTAATATGGCGTTGCTGAAGACAAGTGCGCTTTTGGAATACAATCTAAAGATTCTAACTAGCTTGAATATGGCAAGACAGAATATAAATTATTTCCCTTCTTATAGGGAGACATTTTCCAATGAAAACTCAAGAGCTTCTCTCATACAAGACATAGAGAGATTACTACCGGAAAAACCAGCACATTTAAGGTACCTTTGGAATATTTTTGAGAGATATGTTCATCCTTTCATTCCAATTTTAGACTTACATTGCTTTAAACGGGATATTGAGTTAATAGTTGTGGGGCTTTATATAGGTCAAGAACGCTCTGACTTTGGGGCTTCACACTTTTCCGAGACTCGAAGGTGTAATATTTCGTTGACTTCCTTCATTGACTTTGGCGTGCTTGCTTCATTTTTAATAATCTTGAGAATTAGTTACTGTGTTCTTAAATCTAATTTCCAAGTAGCTACCCCATCAAATCCAATAGAGCTCGAAATGGTAAATATAGACAACTTACAGTATATCGGGAATGACTATATCACTCTAGCGTCTATATGTTTATCTCAAGCGAAATATTTGACTAAATCTAGTATCACTTCCATGAATGCAAATATTTTAGTGGCATACTACTTTGGAATGGCAGAAGAGCATGGCTCACTCTACGAAACAGAGCGAGTAAATTTACTAAGTACCATTCATGGCCTTTCCAAATCGATAGGGCTAGGCAGAGACTGGTCGAACATGTCTTTTGGTGAACTGGGAACTCAACCAGGTGTTGATTTTCAGCATAGGGAAAAGCTAGTTTATATTTCTAGAAGGACTTTTCACAGTATAATGAGATTAAATGTTGAGGAATTTGTACTAAGTGGGGTGGCATCAAACATTGGGCTAAATAGAGGCACACTTGTTGACTTACCAATAAGACCAAAATATTCTGACTCTGAAAATGACATAAAATTTATTAATGAGCTACTGGTGGCGGAGGAGTTGCAATTCGATTTGTTAGTTGATTTTGATTACGTGAAACAGGATGAGATACATCGATTATTATTAAAGTTCGAGACTTTAATCCATGACAATAATAGCGTAAATCTAACAGAAGTTTCCTCATTATATAATATTTACAAGAACTATATTTCCTCAGAATTTGGAGACCCGTGTGAATATTTCAAGGATTGGGAAAATTTTACCTCTTTCTTTTGTGCAAGATCGGACTCTTCGAGCTGGATAATTAAGTTAGAGAGTTCGTATTTAATTGTGCTCAATAAAATATTGCAACTCAGGCGATTTCTTACAATAATTATTATCCAAGTCAAGCTAATTATTATTCTAATAAATTATTATGAAGAAAAACAAAATCAACAGTTATACTCCTATTGTTTAAAAGAATTGTTCAAGCTCAGTCGAACTAGTACAAATATTTTTGCTCGAGATTTTTCTATACAAAATGATGTGTTTTTGGATATTGAAAGTGACGAGAACTTCAAGAATTTTAATTATAGAATTCTCCCACTACTAGGAAGGTTAATTATTCTAGTGCTATCTGTGTTTGGCAGCTTAATTTTTCGGTCTCTAGTTTCTATCTTTCTTCTTAAATATCAAATCACTCAGATTTCCAAAAATGTGGATCCTGCTATGAATGGGTTATCTGAATCTCTTGTGTATAAGTTGGGGTATCTTATGGAATTCAAGAATACCTTGATGAAGAATTTTGAGGTTCTTAATAAAGCATATTTCCAGAAAAGTGTTCGATTATATTATGGTGATACGAAAGTGAACCTTTCTTTTATGTTGGCATTTGATGAATTCAGACGTCTTAATAATTTGCAGGAAAAAAATGATGATATTACTGGTGCTGAGCTCTTTGGATTCATATTTGATATAAGAAATGACCAGGAATCAGGAAAGCCCAATGATTATACAAAAAACATGCCTGATCTTGTTGGTGATAATGAAGGCTTTCTAAGGAACTATCGTGCCTCTATTGGTTTTAAATTCGAACCTCGTCCAATACCAAACAAGTGCCTCCTACTAGAGGTTCACTCTTTCCAATTTAAGGAATATCTTGAAATTTTATCGCATGATGACGAATCTCACGAAAATAATAAATCTAAAGGACCTACTTCTTCAAACATGGATTCCAGCGAAACTAGAGCTTCTCATTCAGAAAATTCATGCGGTTTTATTGATCGGCTATTGAACCTGGTTAGAGGAAACGACATATATGAGACTATGGACGAGCTCACAAGACCAGAAATAACCATGAATGGGGAACCTAAAGAGTACAGGCATAAGCCTTAATTATTCTAATCTATGGATATAAATTGTGATCAGTTAAGTTACATTGTAAGGAGTGAAATACAAAAATAAGATTCCGACACTGAAGGAAAATGTTGTGTGCGCTTAGAATTTCTTTTTTGTGGTTACAAAAAACGCTGTAAGTAATGATAACACCAAACGTAATCAACATCATTTCATCATAGTTACTTGTACCGATAGTTACAGCTTTCTGGACAATATTTCTTGTATATCGAGGGTAAAAATCAAATTAGGAATATGGGAGATGCACCAGCAGTTGCGTCTCAAGCAACTACAGAGGAACCATCAATAAAATTTTTAACCTTTAATACCTGGGGTCTCAAATATGTTTCCAAGCACCGAAAGCAAAGATTAAACAGTATTGCTGATAGATTGGCAACTGATAAAAAATATCAGTTTGATATCATTGCCTTGCAAGAAGTCTGGTGTGAAGAAGATTGGGAATATTTTAAGTCAAAATTGTCTAATATTTTTCCATACACCAGGTATTTCAGCTCTGGTATAATAGCGGGTCCTGGTTTGGCAATATTATCCAAGATCCCTATTGAATCTACTTTCCTTTATCGGTTCCCTATCAATGGCAGACCTAGTGCGTTCTTTAGAGGTGACTGGTTTGTTGGAAAAAGTATATCGGTTACCATATTGAAAAAATCAAAATTAAATAGCATGCCTATCGCTGTTTTGAATAGCCATATGCATGCACCATATAGTGCTACTGGTGACGCTGCTTACGATTGCCATCGAGCCTGTCAGGCTTGGGATTTTGCCAAATTATCGAAAATGTTAAGCAAGGCAGGATACGCCGTCATCGTAGTTGGAGATTTGAATTCAAAGCCCGGATCCCTACCATTTAATCTTATTACCAAAGAATCAGGTTTGCATGACTCTTGGGATGTTTTGATCAAAAATAGAAGCCTGATTACTGGCGAAGAAGTTCTTTCAGATTTGCAAATTTCCCAATTAAACCCAGAGCAACAAATTGATAGGGCAGCGACTACGTGTGATTCGGTTTTGAACTCCTGGAGAGCCCATTTACCTAGCACGAAAGCTTGCAGATTAGATTACATTTTGATTAACACTTGTCTAGAACCCATTGAAGCAGAAGTCAAATTCACTGAAAAAATTCCAGACATTGGGAGCTATTCTGATCATTTTGCATATTACTGCCAATTAAAAATCAGTGATTCTGCAGCTCAAAAAAATATCGAAATGGAACTGAAGAATTCTCTTTTCTCCAGAATTGAAAATATTGAAAAGCTAAGGGCTTTGATCTCCTCCTATGAAAAGGAGACCATATTATCTTGGAAGCAATTGAAATGGAGGGCTCTTCACGTTATTTTTTCGTTGATAATCATAATCGGCTTCCATATTATGGTACCTTTTACAAGTCTGCTAGCTAGCTGGTCTTCTGTTTTGATTGTATTTGGGACGTTTGTGGTTTCGGTTCTTGCCACTACTAACTTTTTCATCGTCGCTCTTTTCTTGCCAAAGGAGTGGAGAGCTTTAGAGGAAGTTAAAATGGAGGCAGGCGATATGGAATTAAGTTTAAAAGAGACAATCGAGGAAATTACCATTGGCTCCAAATAGCTCTTGCTCTAAGATATGTTACTTATTTAATTCATTTTAATTTACTTTAATTTTTAATTTACTTCTATTACAAATAGTTGTCAATGGAGAAATTTACCGCCTTTTATTTTCTAGTTTTCTAGAATCTCAAATACCAAAATAATACACACTATACGTATTTATTTATATTATATATTATATATTACTATGGGGATTCGTAGCCGGTAATACATGTTGGGAGAAATTGTTATCAATAAATGATACACGCCCTCCTGATGCCTTTCCACCGGGTAAGCAAGGGTTTTGGCATAGCAGTAAAAATTTTTGGATTGCAGATGTGCCATAATCATGCAATTTGATTAAAATAGATGATAAAGGACTCTACAAGGATGTCATTTTCTCTCAGAAGAAGGGATCCAATACCGAGCCAAGGAGTAATTCTGATCCTCGAAGAAGATAAATGGAGTCATGACAATACTGGGCACTTATTGGATCTTATGGGAATGGGAACCCAAATTGTAGGGGCGTTGACAAATGAACAAATGGAAGCATATCAGATTGTTTTTAGAATTGAAGAAATATCAAACAAATTAAGACACCCAGAGAAGTTCTTGAGTAAGGTTCCCCCATCTAGAAAGCCTACTCCTGCACCAAAGTATGATGCCACTGGTAAAAGAATTAATACACCAGAGTATATTTATAGGAAGCAATTAGAAGAAGAAAGACATTCATTAATTGAAAATGCAATCAGATCGATAGCAGGATACACTCCTCCTACTGACTATAAAAGGGCAAGTACTAAAATTGTTGAAAAGGTTTTCATTCCTGTGAAAGAATATCCAGATATCAATTTCATTGGCTTATTAATTGGTCCTAGAGGTAACACCTTGAGGAGATTGGAAGAAGAAAGTGGAGCTAAGATCGCCATCCGTGGGAAAGGGTCTGTGAAAGAAGGTAAGAATCGCTCTTCGATCACAGAGCGTCAAAATAACCTTGAAGAAGATTTGCACTGTTTGATTACCAGTGAAGACCCCACAAAATTGCAAAAAGGTATCGATGCCTGTAAGGATGTCATAAACAGGGCTGTTTTGACACCAGAGGGCCAGAATGATTTAAAGAGAGGTCAGTTACGAGAATTAGCGGCTATCAATGGTACCTTAAGAGAGTACCAAGAAAGACCTTGCCCAAATTGTGGTGAAATGGGTCATAAAAGATTTGACTGTCCTAATCAAAAGAAATTTTTGGAAAGTATTGTTTGTCGGATTTGTGGCAATATTGGACATTTTGCAAGAGATTGTAAATTAAAGGATCAAATGGGTAATGGTGATATGTCTACTGCTGATCTTGAATTTGAACAAATGATGAAGGAAATCAATGGCGATGAGTCAAGTGGACCGATTGCGTCCATCACCGATGGTAATGACGGGCTACCTAAAAAGAGAAATTTGCAGAATGATGATGGTAATCTCCAAGAGGGGGCGCCAGGTGATTATTCTGGCAATGGTCATAAGCGTAGCAATCCTGGTTATAATAATGCTGGCTATAATAGAAATGGCTATAATAATAATGGCTATAACAAAAATGGCTATATGAATGCTGGTTATGGTAATAACGGTTATAATGGTAATAATGATAATAGTGGTTATAATAGTTATAATACTAATAATAGCTATAATAGTAATAATAGTTATAATAATGGCTACAATAACTACAACAATAACCACAGGCAGAATCAACACAGACAACATACGCAGCAATATAGAGGTAATAATGGGCAGCCATATAATAATAATGTTCCTAATGGTGGAAATTATAATAATTACAACCATGGATATAACAATAATATTCCACAGGTCCAATCTCTTCCTCCTCCTCCAAATTTTGCTCCTCCTTCAAATATTGGTGAATTTCAACCACCTCCACCACCACCACCCCCTGGTATGGAGGATATGCTAGCACCACCTCCTCCGCCACCTATGGGGCCACCTATGGGGCCTCCTCTTGGTGCTCCACTGGAATTACTTCCGCCTCCGGAACCTTTTGAAGATTCCTTGCCTCCACCACCTCCGCCTCCTCCAGATTATTAGAGAGGAAGGAAGGAACTTTCAATAACGACTAAATAATGATCAGTTTTCCTTTTATTGTTATTCTTTTTCCATTTTATTTTTGTATGTTAGTTTGCAAAGTACTCTTTCATATTTTGTATTATTTTAATTATTATTTTACTTCTAAAAGCTTAGGGCGCTATAACTTATAACTTATTTGTAATGAGACGTTTTTGTTTATGATTATGATTCAAGTAGCAAATTCACATCAGCAAATCGACTCTGTTCTTCGTACCTAAGCCACCAAAGCCGGGGGACGAAGCCATGTTCCACATTTCTTGCTTGTTTTCCGAGGGTCCTTTACAACCATATATGATATAATTATAACAAAGTATCTATTTTTAAGCATGGTAATTAGTAGTATTAAGTGAAAGTGGCATGATTACTCCTTTCTGAATATCCCTTATTATTATTTTTTGCATAGAATATTCTGGAGTATTTTTATTTGTTGAGCATTTATTTATTTCTGTTGACGACTCGTCAAGAATTTGATGCAGTTACAAAAACGGGTCCGTTTAACAAAAAGTAAACAAAGCTGCGCGTCCTTCACCAAATTTTCCATCCCTCATTTATAAACAAGATCCGCCACGCGGGAAACAACAAAAGAAAAGTGATAACAACTTCCCTATACATAACTACAATTCTTTTGAAAGAATAAAGTGATCAAAAAATAGGAAAAAAAAATAAACAAAAAAACAAAATAAAATCACACTCTCACAAATATTTCATTGATACACCGTATAAAACCAACATATTTTACAATAACCAATAATTGAAATCAGACCTATGTCAGACCTAAGAGGCAGTGGGACACTTATTATTGTCATTCTTAAGGCCCGGAACTTGCCAAACAGAAGAAAACTAGATAAGCAAAATCCATACTGCATAGCGAGAATTGCAAACATCGTTGACAGAACTCCTGCAATAGCCAGAGGTGGTCAAACTCCTGAATGGAATCATGAATCACGATTCCAATTAACTTCGGACATAAACCCTTTGCTAAAGGTTTCTATCCTTGATGAAACCAAAAAGCAGCCAGTGTTAATTGGTGATGCTGAAATTGACTGCTCCCCGGTTTTCAATACCAGTAGTGAAGATGGTTATGACAAATGGCATCCATTGCAATATGCGGGTAGAACAGCCGGTGAGGTTTATGTGGAAATGACTTTCTATCCTTCAGCTCCAACTGAACAAGTTAAGAAGAAGGGAGCTGTGACCTTGCATCGGAATACCATCAGACCACTTCCCATCAGACCAGGGGAAGAAGATAGCTTTGTCAGCCTTGATGACAATAAATATCTTGATGATGATTACCGAGATGATTACGACGCGAGAAGTGATTATTTTAGAAGCCATAGATCGAAATCACCGCTTAAAAGCAGTCCGTATAGCTCTGTAGCAGGTGATAGCAATTACTCTGAAGTATTTAATGATGCTATGAGCGATGAATACTCAAGAAGATCAAGATTAGGAAATTTCCAGGCTACTCAGAACAGCTCCGCGTTTCAAGGGTCACAAAGAACCGAATTTAGCTCGATATTCGATGATAGCATTGCTAGACAGATTTTGAAGGAAAATCCTGAGAAATTTGAAGAACTTCTTTCAAGAAATCCAGAGCTTGCTCAATCAATAATGAGTAGAGCTGGCAATCCCTCAATGATTTCAGACTATTCTAGTGGAAGATATTTTCAATCGCAGAGATCAATTTCCCCCTCCAGAACTTCCCAAAGTACCAGCCCAGTAAGAAGACCAGCACACCAACAAAGAAATATGCGGTCAATAAATGCTTCTTTTGATGACTTAGAAAAGGAAGTTCAAACTGATTGGTATAGAAACAATTTTGGAACTTCGAGATATTCACAGTTTATGGATGATGGACGATCGAAATCAAGATCTCCAGTCAGACAGTTGAGGGACCAAGACTCCGTTGCTGACCCAATGAAAATTTCGACTATCCTCCCAAAATTACCAGAATTCAACACCTCGAAAGTGTTATTTCAAAATTTTGGAACAAAGGAAAATGTTCCTCCGCCACCACCTCATAAAAGTACTACAAGCAGATACTCTAATACTTCTAACACTAGTGCTGGTTCTGGGTATGGGACTAGTATGACTTCCATATCCACATCCTCAGATAGGGATCATCAGTCATACTACTCAAAAAAATCATTCAGCCCATTTCCAAAAAAGAAAGCTCCTCCGAAGAATTACGATGAGGAAATTGATGGATTATCTTACAGGACTAACGAACTTAGGCTTAACTCTTCAAATAACAGTAACAGATCCTGGTGACTGTTATATTCTCTTCTATCTTTTCATTAGCTCAGCATATTTTCCCAGTTAATTGTTTACTTCATAATTCGTTCATCCCTTTACCATTTTTTTTTGAATTCTTCAAGCTATGAATATGCATCATTTTTATTCCTACTCCTATATTATAATTATTTATCTATTCTTCGCTCTGCTACCTAATGATGATAACTATCTGAAGGCATTTCGTCAAGGAGTATTCATCATAACTATTCGTAATTATTTTAGCGTAAAAATCATCATACTAATAATAATCATGGCTACTCATAGAATATTTGAGGTGCGTTTAGCACATAATAAGCTTCTCGAAAGTAGAGGAAGCAGATGATCTGAAGTAAATTGTTTCTTGGTGTTGTGATGCTGGTACCAACACAATCTGGTAAAAGACAGGGAATATAACAAGTCTAACATGGCATGAGCTTTGAAAGTGATAATATTAGCGATTTTACGAACGAGACTCAGGAGTTTGATCGTGTTTTTTCTCGTATTGAAACTGCCCAAAATGCCAAAAACCAATCTGCTTCACAAAAGCCTACTTTATTTTCGCTGAAGAAATCTAAAGAGAATGATTTTTCCCATAGGGCTAGAAAGCTTAGTTCTATCGATAAATTTCTGAATCCATCTAACTTTCATGGTTTATGCCTGTTATCTTTAAAGAATATCAATAAGTTAGTCACATTTGACAGTGATAACTCCTTCATGAGCAGCTCATTTGGAGATGATGGCGATGATGAGGAAATGATTGCGATTCTAGACAAAAAGTTTCCTAATATGCAAAGGAAAAATGAAACACAAAGCCGTCCTAAGGTTTCCTTAATCTCTACTCCTACAAAAACGAACCCGATTAAAAAAGATGGTTTATTGGATAATAACGCTCCCATAACTTCCACACCATTAACCACTTCCATCAAGCAAAAAACAGTTTTTCCGAATGCAAGATCTTTTGAGAACATAGAAGAAAATCATAATGGAAATTCAAATACATTCAATGAAATGGAAAGAGTAAATGATGATAATGAAGATATCACCGACCATAATATTACAGAGGATGATGATGACCAAGATTTTGGGGATTATGGATCATATTTCCACCGAAAGAAGCTTAAACAACAAAAAGCAGATGAAAACTTTATCAAATGGAATCAAAAAAGAAAAGAGTTTATGCAAAATATTGAAGCTCAGGATGCACCAAATGTAAATATCCAATTGAAGAAGTTTCCTCTATCTCCAGGAAAACCCCAAATGGGCCTTATTTTTAAGGATTGTATCATACATGTTAATGGCTATACTATCCCAGGTATTAATGAAATTCATAAATTAGTTATTTTACACGGTGGAAAATTTTTGCATTATTTATCAGGAAAGTCGCAGGTAACCCATATTGTTGCTAGTAAGTTAACACCTAAGAAACATGAGGAGTTTAGACTATATAAAGTTGTGAAACCTGAATGGATTATTGATAGCATAAAAAATGGGAGGCTTGTTGATTGGAAAGAATATTCAATTATTGAAAAAAGAGACTATGGTCAACAGGAACTACAAGTTAGTAACAAGGGTATCCAAAAGAATGTAGAACAAACACAAATGGGCTCAAATGATAGGAAGGCTTTAGATACCAAAGTTAATGATTTCAATATTGATAATCTCCCATCAAACTTCAACAATAATAACGCTTCAACATCTGAGGGAACCCTGGCCCCTCAATCCACAAGGCCAATAGATTCCACGCAACCGAACTTTTTGAAATATTTCTTTGAAAATTCCCGTTTGCATCATTTGAGTGCTTGGAGAACTAGTTTCAAATCTGAATTTATTATTAAATCGATAAAAAGATTTGAATCAAATCCTAATAATCTGAATTTATCTAATCACAGTATTCTCTTTTATATTGACTTTGACTGTTTCTTTGCCAGGGTATCTGCAATGATGCGCCCAGATTTAGATTTCACCAATACTCCTATTGTTGTTACCCACGGAAAACTAACTTCTGACATTAGCAGTTGTAATTATGCCGCTAGAGCATATGGGATACAAAATGGAATGTGGATTAAAGACGCAAGAAAATTATGTCCCAATATAGTTAGCTTGAAGTATGACTTCGCAAACTATGAACGGATTTCCAGGATTTTTTATAATTTTTTACTTTCCAGTGAGGAGAATATTGACATTATTTGTATTTTGCCAATTTCTGTCGACGAATGTGTTATCGAGGTTGAAGCAGTGGATGGATGGGATAACAATGGTTCTACAGACCAAAAACAATATTATATGAATCGAGCAAAAAGGCTTAAAAACATGGCCAAAAGCCTTACAAACTGTGACATAAGTATTGGTATTGCAAATAATCGAATCTTATCACGTTTATGTTTAAAACATGCTAAGCCTGGTGGTGTACATTATTTGAACTCAAATAATGAGGATCCTAAACCGTTTTTGAAAAACTTTTTATTCAAGGATTTGCCTGGAGTTGGATCAAATTCCACAATGAAATTGATTCAGGCTTATTTTAATGATACTTTACCTATCAAAAAGGAGAGCATTTCTTGTCTCAGGGTCGGTGATCTACATGAAAAGAAATTATCTTTGCAAAATCTCATTACTATTTTTGGAAATAAAAATGGAGAAAAATTTTATAATTATATTCATGGTAAAGATGATTCTACCAAATCCAAAGGTACAGTGCCTTTAATGAAAACCCTAAAATATGAATATGAACAACATATTCTAAATAAGGAAGCAATTTCAATTGATGTCAATTGGGGGATTAGGTTTGTGAAATTTGAGCAAGTTGAAGTGTTCTTTGAAGACCTCGTAAGAGAATTGATAAAGAGGATGGATGTTTTTAATAAAATTGGGTCAAACCTTACCCTTAAACTAATGAAGAGACTTCCCAATACAAAGAATGAAAAATTTTTAGGCATGGGCCAATGTGAATTGATTACCAAGAGCTCTAATATTGGTCTCCCAACAAGGGAGTTCGGAATATTATTAACAGAAATAAAAAATTTGTTTAAAATGGCGATTGGTGGCGGAATGGGTAAAAATAGTAATGAAAACTCCATTATCAAACTTGAAGATGTTCGTGGTCTTGGGATAAGAATTGGAAAATTAAAGGATGTCCGACATTTGGACTCAAAACAGAAGAAATTGAACTTTCATGAAGAAAAGAATATTCAGGATAAGAGCTTTGAGCTACCTAGTCAGTATGACGCTACTGTATTTGATGGGTTGCCAAAAGAGATCCAAGATGAAATCAAGTTGCAATATAAATCTGACCTCATTACTAGGAAATTTGATGAAAAGCATAAATTGAATCTACATCAGAGATTGGCCAAAAATAAAGCAAGGTTAAAAATCCAAAAACCACTTATTAATAAGCCGATTTCTGTAAAATTCAAAAAAGAAGAAATAGATGGCCTTCAAAATAATGGCGGTTTAAATGATATGGTTACAGATGCTAAAATTTTGAGCAAGACACAAAATATTTCTATTTATGACGTTTCTGGTGACGATACAAGTAGTTTTATTACCACCCAAGATCTTTTCTTTGCCAATAATCCTGGTATTAATAAGGACGTTTTTACTACTGAATTTCCGACATCTGTTCAATCTGAAATCCTTACTAACTGGAAAAATGAGGAGGTAACATTCAAGAATAATAACGTTAATGAATTGAAGAAACATGCGAAAAAAATGAAAAAGATTGAGAAAAATAATAAAAATTCCTCTGCTAGACTGATGAAGCAAAAAAATATAATATATGGTGGTCAGAGATATTTTGAAAAGTTTTGCATCAGTGAGTTTTACTTGGGGAAAGGAAATGCAAAAGATGGTAATTTTCTAGATATCAGTGTCAGCTACTTGGTTAACTGCTCTCAAAAGCAATTGAACTCCTCCTTGAAATCATTAATTGCCGCACATACTTCTGTTCCTATAGCATTAACAAACGTGCTTAAGTCCTTTGTAGATACTATTTTGAAGTTCAATCAGTTTGAGAAGCTAGGATGGTTGCTGAACTTCGTTAATATCAATTATGAAAATGTTAAAAGCTATGGTAAACTGAATAATCGAATAGCTGAAAAATCCTGGGTCGAAGTTTTCATGATGTTAAAGAAGTATATTACCACCAAGGCTTCAGATAAAGGGGTAATAATTCAATAATGCTATGTATATTAGTTTATGTAATTTAGTTAAATGTATATTATAATGATGTATTTTAGGTAGTTGTTTACTCTATTGATGCATGTCAGATAACTTCTAGCAACGCCAAACACGAAAAACACAGTGGAGAAAAAAAAAAAAAAAAACAACAAAAAGAAAAAATGGTAAACAAAGGGATTATCAATCTTCTCTAAAAAATTCCCGAAAGTAATCAAAAAATCCAACAAATAATTTGGGCCAATATTTCTCTTATGTTTATTTATTCCAAGGTACTCTTCATTCTGCTGCTTGATTGAGATAATTAATGAAGTACAGCTGAAATGAGTGCCGCAGATTTGGAAGTGGATAGGCAGATCACAAAGTTGATCAAGAAACTTGTGAAAGTTTCTTTCATAAAAGACATGCTGCAAACCAAATTTATACTAGAAAATCTTGAAGAGCTTGTGTCTCACCATGGTGTATCTGGAAAACAATTGGGAACCTTGATTAGTCTTGTTACTTTTTTGCATGATAAGGACGGAAATAACCCAGCAAACAACAAATTGTCAGTTAACCACAAGACATTTATCATTAGCAAATTGCTCCTACCAAGGTCGAAAATCCTGAGCTCCCCGATAGTTCATATAGTAGGATGCTTTGGTGTTGACGAGTCCAAAAAAAAATCCCTAAAGTCGTTTCCTGATAAAAGAATTCAGATGGCATTGGCCAAATGGTTAGTTTGTGTGTCATTTTTTCTAAAAAGTAGGACCATACTTGCTAGATTAAACGGGATGCTATTCAATTTTCTAAGTTTGGACTTCTTGAGCCAATGGATTTCACAGCTATTATATCTTCTGACTCAAATATCGCATGTGAAGCCGTGGAAACTTCAATTTCTCAATAGCTTGATCAAGCGCTCTCTAAGCTCTTCTCCTTTTCTAACAGCCTTATTGATTCACTATGAAGCACTAGTTCCGAATAATATCAATGATTTTGATGGCTATAATAACAATAACTATCTGGACGCTGACGGAGATGCTGATTTTTTGAATCATTTTTCAAACAATGCCCCGGTGATAAGTTCAACGAAGATTTTCACTTATCCAGACAAAACTTTTCTCAACAAATGGAAAAAAATAGTAGAAGCCAGCTCTAGTGAGCTTTCTTATTCCTGGTTCAAGGTGGCAGTTTATGAATACTTCGGAAACTTGGCCGACTTTGAAGAGAGATTGTCTATAAATAAGAAGAGAAAATCCATTGGTGGAAGTGACGATTACCTTTACAACAATTTCTTCAAAATAAGCCAAGTAGTCAAAGTCATGAATCACGATAATCCAATAAATGAAAGTTGCTGTTTTAAAGAAATAATTTGGAATGACATAAACACAGCCTCCAAATTCTTGAAAGTTTTCGACTTTTTGCACGTTCCAGATCAGCTCAATGTGATTTTTAAAAATGATTTATTCTACCAGCTATTGATAGTAAACATTTTATCGGATAATGGAGATACTGATGGCTTGGAAAAACTAGATTCGTATATTGACTTACTCTTGAGTAATCCTACTCATAATCTTTCAGAAGTCAAATTAGTGTTAGCTGGATGTGAAACTTACTCCAAGATAAATGGGTTTCTTTTACCCTCAATTGTTAAGCTTCTCAATCTCGAATATCCCGGCTGCTCTCAATACGCTTGGATCTTCTTCCCATTTTTGACCATGCCGTCTGAAATTTCACAGGAAAATGACTTTACCACTGAGTTATGCTTGAAGTACGAAGAAATTTTTGTTAGTAGTGACGATATACAATGGTGCGTGTCATTTTTGAATAGTGTTATAGGATTATTAAGAAAGTGGCAATATAACCAAGATGATGAGCATTATGGCTGGGTGTATGTCTCTAAAATCTATGAGAGATTCCTTTCACATATTTTATTCAATATGAATAAATTCAAGGATTCCCCCAGATTTATTGAATTCTGTTATTCTTCTTGTGAATTTATTGGATTTCTTGAAGATATGCCAGTGAGCAACAATACATTCAAGATTGTTTCTCCGTTCCTTATTTACAGGCTTTTGCTTTCTCAAGAACCGAACTTGGTGAATTTTGCGTGCCATCACATTAATTTCCTTAAAAATTATCCATTGTCGCAAATCGTTGATGAACTTCAAGAAAATAGCGATTTTGATGAGCAAGATTACTTCAAGACCTCGATTGAAATTAGAAACTCATTTGTGCTAGATTTTTGTAATTTGCTTTGGAGGGACAGGCTGTTTAATAATTCTAAATCTAATACTAAAGGGTTATTAGTACCGAAAGATTTCATACAGAAAATTCAGACCGCAGGAGATATTCATTGGTTCAATTTGGTCAGCCACAACACTGCTTTTGCTCGTGAAGTTTCAACATTAATAAAAGGTCTTATGGGCGAAAATAAAAAGCCACAGGATATCAGAGAGCCTATCACTCCAAAAGTATTTGATAAGCTCTTCAAATATCAAGGGGCATCTACGCCTCATTTTGAATCCTTTGATGATCTTCGGGTGCAAATATTAGAAAGATTAGAGGGCTTAGGATATGATCAAGTGGCCAAATTATTATGGACATCGTTGAAGAGTCTCGCAACTAGGAGACATCCTACTGAAGACTGAGATTTGGCTGATATATACCCAATTAAAGTATTTAATTTTCAAAAACTCGTTTTTTTTTTTGCGGATCGGGAGATATAACTGATCTGAAACAATAATTAAAAATCAGTGTATTATATATTACAAAAATGGACATTTATGCTATATGTGAGATGTTATTCTTATTTTTTTTTCCCTCATTCAGTAGCTCATTTATCTTCCTAAAGTGAATTACATTTACTTTTTGCCCTTAAGTGTTGGAACAAAAACCTTTTGACATGAAATATTTTATCTCTGAGACGATAGATCTGTATTCCAGGAATTTTCCCATCATCGTATTTCATTATGCAAACCAATATATGAGCCCAATCAACATTAAGGGCCTTGGAAGATAATACATAGGATCATCCATCTCTGGGAAATCAACTACACTCAAAAAGAACAATTGTATGGAACTTTTGGATGTGATGTTGAGAGAGAAAAGGTGTATTGTATTGCCCGGTACTAAACGTCGGGTAATGACAAGTGATAAACTAAAAAAAAAAAAAAAAACACTGCAAGAAGCGTTTTGATTGACAAACACCTGGTAACAGAGAGAAGGTTGAGGCATTATCCTGTTTATTCAGTAAAGTAGTGATAAACCATGGGTCTTATAAAAAGAAAGAACAATGATCTGGACGATGTGGACTCGATCTCAGACTATGAAAAAGAACCAGAAGAAAAGGTGAAGAGCAGACGCCCAGGTGACAACGCTTTTAGACAACAAAGACTTAAGGCCTACAAGTAAGTATATTTTCTGTTACTTTGCCAACAATAATGATAAAGATTTAATTTCTAACTTTTTATTAGCCCTATAATAACAACAAAGACGGTGATACCTTTGTTCTTACTCTTTGCGGTAGTGTTTGTTCCTTTGGGTGCCGCAATGCTTTACGGGTCAAATCAAGTTCAAGACTTGGTTATTGATTATGAACAATGTGAGAACATGGCCAATGCTGATTACTTCACGGAAATTCCAGAGGAATACTTTGAGTACAACTTCAAGACCCCTATTACTGAAAAACCGCAATGGAAATTGGTTACCAATGCATCCGAGAGCGATCCGGTCGAAAATAAAATATGTCAAGTACAATTCCCGGTGCCAAATGATATTGACGGGCCAGTGTACTTTTTCTATCAACTTGAAAATTTCTATGCCAACCATAGAAGATACGTTATTTCTTATTGTGAATTACAACTTAATGGTGAACCCTCTTCCGTTCATGTCGTCAAGGATACTATTGGCCAAAATTGTCAACCAATGTCCACGGATCCTGCTTCCGGCTTAATCTATTACCCATGTGGTTTAATTGCCAATGCCATGTTCAACGACACTTTCACTTATCCTGCTGCTATCAATGGCACCTCAGACGATTACGTAATGACTCAAAAGGGAATTGCGTGGAGTACGGACAAGAATAGACTAAAGAAAACTCAATATAACGCGTCACAAATTGTCCCACCTCCAAACTGGGTTAAGAAATTCCCAGACGGCTACAACGACGACAACATCCCTGATATTTCCACGTGGGAAGAATTCCAGAACTGGATGCATCCAGCTGGTTTATCCAAGTTTTCGATCTTATATTTCAGAAATGACGATGACCAATTGAAAGCAGGTTCTTATCAAGTTAACATTGGTTTGCATTGGCCTGTATTACCATTCAACGGTAAAAAAGCATTTTATATCAGTACACGGTCAGTTCTTGGGGGTAAAAACTCTTTTTTGGGTATTGCCTGGATTGTTGGTGGTGGTCTCTGCTTCGTTTTAGGGTTGGTATTCTTGGTCATTCATTTGATTTCTCCTAGAAAAATGGGTGACACTTCATTGTTAAGCTGGAATAAAGAAAAACAACATGCTGAATGAATAACAAATAATTGATTAATTGGTTATCTTTTGATAATTTTTGTTTTATCTATTTTTATTTTCGTAATATTGAACTTTGTTACTTCCTATTTAACTATATTTTTTTTTTTTTGTTTTCTTCGGTTCTTTCTTTAATTATTAAATCATCTATCAAACACTTTTTTGGCTTCTTGTCTTTTCTCTCTTGTCGGTCTCTATGGGATATATATACTTTTTCCCTTAATACATGTAAATTAACAATTCTACAGACCACTGATAAAATTTCTATTATATATTTATAACTGTGTAGTAGGGACACAATTTTGAAAATCTCTAATTTCATGTGCTACAAAAAGGCTTTTTCAGCATCACCCGAATGTCATCAATTTCACTCATTCATGAACTTTTTACCTGCTCCGAATTTCCACCATTTAGGTACGCAACTGTGTAAAGTCATATCAATATTTGCTTCTTTATAAGGATCACAGACACATCTCTTATTTAGCCTGGTGTATCTACTAGTAGGACAGCTTTCAAATGGCGCATGGATATATCCAATATCCTCAAAATGATGTATTTCATCTCTAGCCAATAATAATGCCACCCCAATACTGTGAACGGGTGCATCGCCCCATCTTTCATAGTAAAAACCCCCAGTCTTCTCGAGGAAGTCAAAATAGTCATTGTAGGCTTTCGAGCGGAAAAAATCTAAGTTGGCAATTTCAAAATTAGACCAGAAATGGCAGAGGTTGTAATCCGATTCAGATTGTATCGCCAATGCCTTTGATCCTATAGGCGATGTGTTGGTAATGAACTCCAAAGAATTATTTGGATGGATATGCTGAGGATATTGTTCCATAAATTGTTTGGTAGTGTTCCATAGAGTAGGAATGGTATTCTCATACTCGTAGATACTAATTACAAATCCGTATTTCTTGTTATTTTCTCTCATTAGTTTGAATGGATCGTACTGGAAATCACAGAAATATTCAACATCCGGCTCAACTCTAAAATACCATTGATATTGATCGAGCAATTTCTGTTTATAGAAATATCCAGAATTGAAACGGCACATATTTCTGTACGACCTTGAGTTACCATAAAGAACTCCATTCTTTTCTGAATTAAGTAAATTTTCTTCAAACTTGGTCTCATTGATCCAGCTGGGTCTATCCCAATCTTCGGATGGGATCAAACCATACTGAGTTTTCCCACTAGCCATTAACGTCGTTGCTTCTTTGAATTCGTCTGTGAAAGGCACATCATTTAAAAATGTCCATGTGTATTTGTATAGATGATTGAACCTGTCTTCTAATGATCTCATGGATTTCAAAGCCCCTTCCAACTCCCAATTCCTCACAAGCATCAAAATGGTGGCATTTTCATGTTGTAAATTTGTGTGTGTTTCCTGAAAATTCTTCACAAATTCCAAATTTCTCTCATCATTAGAATAATATGCATTTGTTCCGTGCTTTATTTTCTGTCGATTTAATATTGTTTGAATGTTATTTGCTCGCAATTGAACCTGTTGCTCATAAGATTTGATCTGATCCAATATATCTTCCAACTTCGTTGCGTAATTAGACTCGTTGCTATTAGGTCGTACTCGGCAGTTCCAACCTGTTGTTAAAATAGTCATAAATATTGACAATATAATGAGGAATGCTTTTGTTCTGGACATGTTTTAGAAACGCTTATTTCTCAGCAGTTACTATAAGTTTTCAATACTGAATCGCTTCAGTATGATCACCGCGATCAAAGAAAAATCATAATATGTATGCTCCTGCAGTGATCATGTGGGTCATCAGTATGAAAAAAAGGGCAAAAAAAAAAAAATTTTATAATTAATAATATTAGTTTTTGTGGATGTTCACGATAATATTGACAAGCTACAATCATTACGACTCAAAATAATTCTGGAATTTTTTCTCTCTATCACAACATGGCTCCTGCAAATTTATTGGTTATCGGAATGGCTGGTTCTGGCAAAACCACCTTCATGCAACGATTGAACTCACATCTACATGCAAAGAAAAATCCACCATATGTCATCAACTTGGATCCAGCAGTGTTAAAAGTCCCATATGGTTGTAATATAGATATCAGAGACTCTGTGAATTATCACAAGGTCATGGATCATTACAATTTGGGTCCAAACGGTGCAATTGTCACTTCTTTGAACTTGTTTTCCACGAAAATTGATCAAATTGTTCAGTTGCTAGATAAGAGAGCAGAAAATTATAATCATGTTATCATTGATACTCCAGGGCAAATTGAATGTTTTATATGGTCGGCTTCTGGTTCTATAATAACCCAAGCTTTGGCCTCGGCATTTCCAACAATCATAGTATACCTTATTGATACTCCAAGAACTACATCTCCTTCGACATTTATGTCAAACATGTTGTATGCTTGTTCCATTCTATACAAAACTAAATTGCCAATGATCATAGTTTTCAACAAGTGTGACATCAAAGATTATGAGTTTGCTAAGGAATGGATGACAGATTTTGAAGCTTTTCAGGCGTCCATGAGCAGTGACCAACATAATTCTTCTGAGGGTGGCGATTCAGGATACATGAACTCCTTGATCAATTCAATGTCATTGATGCTAGAGGAATTCTACTCTCAATTGGATGTTGTCGGGGTTAGCTCATACACCGGTAAGGGGTTTGACGAGTTTTTAGACATCGTCGATGATAAAGTGAAGGAATATAATGATGTTTATAAGGCTGAACAAGAACGAATTTTGAAGCAGAGGGAACAAGATGAGGCTGACAGAAAGGTTAAGAATTTGAGTAAATTAGTCAAAGATCTAGGAATTAAGGATCAAAATGCATCAACCTCCAGAAAGAAGGAAGATGACTATGATGGTGTTAACGTGTTGTCAGATTTCGAAGATGATGATGATGAAGAGGAGGAACAGGAGGAGGATACTATCAATGCTCCACAAAGAGAGTACACTTATGAAGATGAAAGATTTGAACAAATCAAACAACAGGCGCAACAGGCAAAAGAGGACTCCACTCTTGAGAAAATAACGCAATATATTAATAAAAGTAATTAGCTTACAACTTGATTCAATAAAACTTTCATTTTGGATAATTTATTTGGTATTTAATAATGACATTGTGTGTAAGACTATTTATACAAATTTAGCACTCTTTCCTCAATCCCATCTAAATCATAGACATGATCAATTATTCTAAGGTTGTCGATTTCCTTTTTCAACAATACCTCTGTGGTTGGTCCACCAGGCATGTCCAATGTTGGCATAGGATTGCCACTACTCATCAACATTTTGTCAGCAATTGATGAATTGCCTAAGAGTAAATTATACACCGACTTCAACCCCAACAAGTTAACAAAGTACCAAGAAATTGAACTCACCCACCTGACGTCCAAATCATTGGTGCTGACACCATTTTGAAGCATTTGTTTGAATCTCACTGTCAAAGGGAACGGCAACTTCATAATGACAAATCCGCTAAAGAAATAGTTCACCCACGCCATGATCAATGTTTGAGGAATGAAATTTGCCATATTTCCCTTCATCATCCCTGACAATTGTTCTGACAACTTACCATCGGCAAAAGGGTTTGGTGGAGCATCACCTGCTTCTTGTTTTGCCTTTTCCGCCTTTTCTGTCTCGATCTCAGTGGCTGTTTTGGATATGGATTCAATTAACGCAGTCCGCTGGAGATCGAAATCACTATACGATAAAACACGAAAATTCTGTTTGAATCTCTGGATTCTTGCAAAAGTTTCATCCTTTTTAATCTTTTGGTAGTCTTCCAATTTTGCGGCAGGGGTAATTAACAATTGAATGTTCTCTCTAACAATCCCCACTAATACCATCACAAATGAGATTGGAAGAAGCACCCAATACTTCAAGCTCGGGTCGAGCGTTAGATTAGGAACATTTGCCATGGCTCTTTATATTTATCAATAGTTAACTGACCTATCTATTGATATACACTGTTCATATCATTATTCATTGAAGTATTCTTTTTGCTATATGCGGCGGGTAACGCGCTTTGGAAACGACAACCCAAAAATCAAAGTGGCAATTTTCAAGTCTTTACTTTTATCCCATTGCGAATTGATAAACAGATAGTTTAATATAGCACATTATATAATATTATCATAGCAATGAGTGCCGAAGACCCTTTATTGGCTGCTTTGAATAGTGAAGAGACAACAGACGGAACTTCTGCCACTACCAGTTCGGAACCAGCCGATCCAGAAAGAAACGAAGCGTTGAGAAGATTCAAAAAGAAGTTGGTGGAACATAAAGAATGGGACTCCCGGTTAAAGAAAACAAGATTAGATATAAGATCTCTAGACAAAGATTATGAGAAAACTGAGAATGACATCAAGGCATTGCAAAGTGTGGGGCAAATCATTGGTGAAGTTTTGAAAGCATTGACCGAAGAAAAATATATTGTCAAGGCTGCCAATGGACCAAGATATATTGTTGGTTGTAGAAGCACGATAAATAAAGAGAAATTGGTGAAAGGGGTGAGAGTGGCATTGGATATAACTACATTGACTATAATGAGAATTTTGCCGAGAGAAGTCGACCCATTGGTGTACAATATGACTACGTTCAAAGCAGGGGAAATCTCCTTCAATAGCGTTGGTGGGTTAACCGATCAGATTAGAGAATTGAGAGAAGTCATTGAACTACCATTGAAAAATCCAGAATTGTTTTTAAGAGTAGGTATCAAACCTCCAAAAGGTGTGTTGTTGTACGGTCCACCAGGTACCGGTAAGACCTTATTAGCCAAGGCTGTGGCCGCCACTATTGGTGCAAACTTCATCTTCAGTCCTGCCAGTGCAATTGTAGATAAATATATTGGTGAATCTGCCAGATTGATCAGAGAAATGTTTGCTTATGCCAAGGAACATGAACCATGTATTATTTTCATGGATGAAGTCGATGCCATTGGTGGTAGAAGATTTTCCGAAGGTACTTCTGCAGACAGAGAAATTCAAAGAACTTTGATGGAATTGTTGAATCAAATGGACGGTTTTGATTATTTGGGCCAAACTAAGGTCATCATGGCTACAAATCGACCAGATACTTTGGATCCTGCGTTGTTGAGAGCTGGTAGATTGGATAGAAAGATAGAAATTCCTTTGCCAAATGAAGCTGGTAGATTGGAAGTGTTCAAGATCCATACCGCTAAGATAAATAAACAAGGAGAATTCGATTTTGAAGCTGCCGTGAAAATGAGTGATGGCTTCAACGGTGCCGATATTAGAAACGTTGTGACAGAAGCTGGGTTCTTTGCTATTAGAGATGACAGGGACTACATTGTTCAAGATGATCTTATGAAGGCTGTAAGAAAAGTCAATGAGGCTAAGAAATTGGAAGGTAAATTAGAGTACCAAAAATTATGATCCTGAATGTTGCACACGCCTGCTTTTTTTTTTTCACAAAAAAAAATCACTATGTCTTTCTCGTATATGCTTTTGTAAAAATGTTTAATGATGTTCTTTCTTTGCTTGCTTTTTGTAAGAACTTGTCTGAAAATTTTAATGTGGCACTAAAAAATCTGATAGAAAGGAGAGAAAACTACAGTGGTGCACTCTTCTTCGCTTTCAACATCCAAGATTTTACCTTCTCAAAAGAAAAAAGGTTTATTTGATTCTCAAGCGATCAAAAAGGGAATACACAAACCCTACAACAGCATTAATAGTATGAGTTAATAACACCAAAAATAGTGAGAAAATTAATAGGACAAAAAGAAAAAAAATGAAAAGATATAATTTAGAGAATCATAGGTGAGCTAACGAAAACATAGTATCATTTAGATAACGGTTCAATGTTCCATATCATCTCCGCGTATTCCTCAACAGCTCTATCGGAACTGAAGAAACCCATGTTAGCAACAGAGGTGATACATTTCCGAATCCAGATATCGTGGTCACCCTTGAAAGTTTCATCAATTAACCTTTGTGCTTCCAAGTATGAATTGAAATCATCAGAAACAATATAGAAATCACTATGATGTCTGATCGAGTCTAACAATGGTTTAAATTCATGGGAATCACCAAATACGTCACCATCAATGGCTTGGAATACAGTTTCCAAAGAGCTAGGCAACTTGACATCGAAAAGGTGAGAGGCTCTAACCTTGTCGACATTTTCTGACAAGTGACCAAACAAGAAAACGTTTTCTTCTCCGATTTCTCTAGCGATTTCCACGGTAGCACCATCTAAGGTACCGATGAGCAAGCCAGCATTCAAGACAAATTTCATGTTTGAAGTACCAGAAGCCTCAGTACCAGCAGTAGAAATATGCTCGGATATATCCGAAGCTGGAATGATAATTTCGGCCTTAGAAACATTGTAATCTGGGATGAAAACACATTGTAAATATTCCCTAGTTTCTGGATCGTTATTGAGAACTTGAGAGACATTGTTAATTAACTTGATAATTCTTTTGGCCATATAGTAACCTGGCGCAGCTTTACCAGCAAAAATAGAGACTTTTGGTTGGAATTTTTTACGTTCCTCTGGAGAACAAGATTTCAATTGCAAATATCTGTAAATAACTCCAAAAATATTCATTTGCTGTCTCTTGTATTCATGGATTCTCTTGACCTGAATATCAAATAGGAAAGTTGGATCAATTTCATATCCAGTCAAATCCTTAACCAATTTGGAAAGTCTGGTCTTATTAAATGTCTTAACTTCTTGCCATTTTGATTTGAATTCCTTATCTTCAAGATATTTTTCCAAGTTCTTCAATAAGTTCAAGTCAGACAAGTACTCATCTCCGCCCAATTTACTACTAATCAACTCCGCCAATTTAGGATTAGCTTGCTTGAGCCATCTTCTTGGAGTGATACCATTGGTGACATTACCAAACTTGTCGCCGCCAAAGACCTTGACAAGGTCTTTAAAGATTGTGAGCTTAATTAAGTCAGAATGCAAAGCGGCAACCCCGTTGACATAATGAGAACCAATGACAGCCAAATTAGCCATTTTGACTTGTTTTGGGTTTGACTCCTCAATGATGGAAACACTGGTCATTAGGTTGTTGTCACCAGGGAACTTTTTGGAAACGCTTTGCAAGAAATAGAAATTGATGTCGTAAATAATTTCCAAATGACGAGGTAATAACTTTTGGAAGATGGTCAATGGCCACTTTTCTAAAGCTTCTTGCATCACAGTGTGGTTGGTGTAACCGACAGTTCTAACCACAATCTTCCATGCCTCATCCCAGGACAAGCCTTCCAAGTCAACTAATACTCTTTGTAATTCTGGAATACACAATGTAGGATGAGTATCATTCAATTGGATAGCCACTTGATCAGGGAATTCCCTCCATGGTCTCTTTGATTTCTTGAAACGACGGATAATATCGTGTAAGGATGCAGCGACCCAAAAGTATTGTTGTTTCAATCTCAACTCTTTACCGGCGTCAAAATTATCATTTGGATACAAAACTGCAGTAATAGACTCGGCCCGTTGTTGCGCTTCCACAGAGTTTTGGTATTCACCGGAATTGAACTTGGCAAAATCAAATTCATGAGTTGGTCTAGCGGACCATAATCTCAAATTGTTGACATTAGCATCAGCTCCATAACCTGGAACTGGAAAATCATAAGCCAATGCCAAAACTCTTTCGCCACCAACCCAAACCTTTTTCTTCTCGGTAGCCCCTTCGTAAACCGGAACTTCCTCGACATAACCATAGAAATCGACTGGGTACTGGATTTCGGTTCTGACAATTTCCCAAGGGTTAGAATAGGTCAACCAATAATCTGGGTACTCAACCTGGTACCCGTTAACAATCTTTTGTGAAAAGATACCATACTCATATCGGATACCATACCCCCAAGCAGCATAATTCAAAGTGGCAAATGAATCCAAGTAGCAGGCAGCAAGTCTACCCAAACCACCGTTACCGATAGAAATATCTGGTTCTTCTTCAATCAAATCTTCCAAGGAAAAGCCAAGTTCGGAAACAGACTCTTTTATCGGAGTTCTGAGGCCAGTATTGATCATGGCGTTATCCATAGCCCTCCCCATCAAGAATTCAAAAGACATGTAGTACACTCTTTTTTGGTCAAGCATGGTCTGTGTTTGCTGGGTTTGATTCCACTTGATGATAAGCTTATCTCTAATAGCAAGCGAAGAAGCCTGGTAAGCGGCCAAGTTGTCACAATTATACATTGAGCGGGCCAAAGATGTTTCTACATGGTTGACAAAATCTTTCTCAAAGTCTTCTTTTGTTTTGATATCTTTTCTGGCAAACTTCTTCCAGATTTCTCTGGATTCCAACGGAATTTGTGACTCGATAGACTTAATTTCGTGGATAGAGAACCCTGTCAATCTTCTCTTGTGCAAAGAGCGTGGGTCGTTAAGTCCGGCATCGGATTCATCCTGAGAGACTGGGGTGAACGTCATTGTCAGGCAATGTTGCAAGTTGTTTGGAGGAAGATAAATAAATAAATAGTAATAGTAATCAGTAAAGACCGATTTTTATTCAAAAGAAGTGAGGCAAACGGAATAAAGAGAAAATAAAATGTCCGGGGAAATCGCTATTTATAAACGCTGGCTGTCATCCCCCACACAGCGCAAGTCAATCCCTTCTTTTTTTTTTGACGTCTTTTGTGGCCACCACCCGGTGACAACAGCAATCCGAACATGTGCGAACATTTGTGCCCCATCCTGCAGCATATCTACAACAGACTAGCAAGGTCTAATAAAGCAGTGTCTATTTTATTGCGGGTAATAATACAGAATTTCTAGAAATTGTCGTTGTTGTTGCCACTGTCATTGGTGGTTTCGTCTTTGCTAGCCACGTACACCGGCAAACTGGAACTGTCGCTGGTCTTGACATGAATGTTTAAGATCCTATTCTTAACAATATTCTTAGGGTCAGCCTTAACAGACGGTCCAAAGCTCATTACAAATCCACCGGATAGCTTGTATTTTTCGCTGGTCAAAAATGCCACTACTGCCTCCATGTTGGCCATCACCTCCAGGGATTTCATATCGGTAGTCCCCACCTTGATAGATAAGGTATTCCCATTCTCAGTATAGACCACTGTAGTGTTTCTCAATATTGACTTCACTTGCTGATAGACATAATAGTTATTCACTTCTTCCTCATCTAGCTCAGCATCCGTTTTCTTATTGACAACTTTATCGATCTTCTTCTTTTTCTTAAACTGCTCCAATTTCTCTGGAGAGTTCATTTGGATCATATATGGCACCTTCTTATTCTTTTGATAAAAATTCTTCCCCAAAACATCAAATAGTTTGTGATGGATCCGTTGGTCAGCCATTATCACATCATAATCATTGTATATCCCTCTTTGGTATCTTTTATTGTGCATTCTAGACAGAAACTTCTTCAACCCATATATCCCTTTAAATAAGTGTTCAGTGTCTGAATCGGTAACTTCCAACTGCTTCCTGTATGTCATTGTAGGGTCTTTGGTGATTAACAATATTCTTTTGTCCCTGATTTTACCAAATTTGGAAGGTATCTGAATAATTCGTGGGATGTGGTCATTCCTCTTGACTACAGGCTTATCACTGGTTATCATCAAGTATATTGTTTCATTCTGCTTGTCTTCATTATCAATGTTTTTCTTCTTGGTGTGAGATTTCAACGCTTTGATTGATTGTAGCCCTGTTTGTTCGTAGGCAGAGTTTAAAAGTAGCATTGTTATAGTCTGTGCAATTCCATGAGCCCGATATCTGTACAAAGATAAGCCCAGAGTAAATATGAAGGGTCTATTATGATCACTTTCCACTCTCTGTGTGATTTAATCTCAAATAGAAATGAAAAAATGACAAAGAAGAAAAAAAATGAAAATTACTGTGAAAAATTTATGTTGCGTTTACACGGGTGCATTTTCCCTAGTCTTTTCCAAGCGATGAGAAAAATGCCCCATTTCAAGAGGGATGGCATCTCACGGCCGGCTTTGTGTTCATTCATGGATGGTTGAGCATTGATAGAGTTTCGTTCGTGAGTAGCACCTTTCCAGTATTTGAGCTGCCATTGGGCTCATTCATCTGGTGCTTTCTGCCATGAATTGGAAGACTCCAACGTATAACTCGAATCGCATACCACCATAATAGTATGTCTTAGCTAGTCCAATTATGTACATCCATATAATTATACATTACAACACACAGTCTATTCTTTGAACAGTTGCTATTTTGAAACTGTATACAAAACCTTTCTCTCTCTCTCTTTGGCTTTTCCGAAAGACTTCAACGAAATAAAACTCTGCACTTGGTGCGCTGATGCCTTTTAAATAGGGTGCTACGATAGACATGGGAATAAAGTAAATAAATATATTAATCGACCTCAATAAACACTTTAAGCAAACTCAACATCAGATCCCAACACATCAAGCAAATCCGTCACCTCAAAATCACACTCTTCCTTTATACGACCACTGCAGTCTCTTTTATTAGCAATGAGCACAGAATTCACAAAGCTGCCAGCAGATTGACTTTTAGATATGCACAATGTATTTTGGTTGATATCCTCTTCATCATGTACAACGTTGACAAATGAATTGCTAAGAACATCCAAAGACGATTTCTCTTCAATTTGAGCATATGTTTTTGGAAAATCAGAGCTTTCAACTTCATATGGACTTTTAGCCCCATCAGAAGGTTTGTTACCACGGTTTTCATCCCTGTCATCTTCGCTCCAAAGATCAGAACTGTAATTCGATTCATTATCCTCTGAAATTTTCTCGAATCTTCCATAGTTAAAAATATTCACTTCTTCTTTATCATCTAGATCTTGCTTTGGCACTTCCTTCATTTTGCTGCTTTGCTTCTGCTCATCAATGTTGAGATGGAAAGACTCCATCGCCTGAGATTTTGGAAGCTCCATTTCCCAAGGCAGTATGAGACGATCCGAAATTTGTTTCTTTTCAATATAAGATGATAACGATGGAAAATGTTCATCTTCTGAATCAATCGAATCATCAAGTAGTTCACTACGTCTTACATGAACCTTGCCAAGTTTCCTCTTTTTCCTCTTAGGCACTAGATTGGAATCAGCGTCATTTGATACATTGATCTCATCCTTTCCGTTATTGAAAGTATTACCCTTTCCCACATTACCAAAAGAAATATCTTTTTCCGCATACAGATTTCCTAAAGTATCATGTGAGCTACGGTGATGATATTGGAGATTCTTAGAGGTATATCTAACTGACTTCTCAAGATAATCACCTCTTTGTTGGAAGTTGATCCCCTTAACTCCTATTTCAACAGTTTTATTGGAAGATTTTGGAGAACGTTGCTGTATCTTATTCCCTTTCAGTTCTTTTGAACCTGCCCTTTTTCTGGGAATATGTAGTAATCCTTCATGACAACATAAATGGCGACATTTGTCTTTGTTCTTGCAAGTATGTTTACATTCATAATTACCATCTGATCTTCTTTTATACTCTCCCACTTGTGTTGAAATTGGTGTTTCATCTGCTCTGGAATCTATATCAGTAGATATAAGGATCTCTTGCTTTTCAATCCCATTATAATTGTCAAAAGCAGCACTGAATATTGAATCATCAAACTCATCATCATCATCATCATCTTCATCATCATCTGAAAAAGGATCCGTCAAAACTGGCTCTTCCACTTCAGGGACAGAAACAATTAATTCGTCAAATACTCTGGAAGGAATATTCAACTTCAATGCTGCCCAAGTTTTGGTATTGGCAATTACATCACAGGCAATATGAGATCTGATTATTTGATTTTTTTTGCGTATTTTGGCAGTAATGCTAAATACCTTTGGAGATTCAAGCTTTCCGCACATAATCCTTCTAAAATCAACTAGTTCACCATCGCTTATTTCTGTAACAATATTCACCATAACAAACTGCTTATGCCAATGGGTTACTTTCACACCCTGTAAGCACTGAACATTAACATTAAACGATATAGTGATGTAATCTAAGTCTTTGGATATTTCATGGGAGACGAGGCGGCACGAAATTGAAAACTTTGGAATTGAAGCAACATCTTTTAAAATCTTGTTTCCGTGACCCGGTTTCAATCCCAAGTAGTATTCGATTTTAGAAGCATCTAGTTGGGAAACTTGTTCGAAATTCATAATATTATGATTGATGAACTTTCTAACATACTTGAGACCAATCCCATCCAATTGTTTCAACATCATTCCAGAGTCTTCCCAACATTTCCCACAAACGGATCGTCCGAGTTTCAAAATGTTGAGCAATGATATGGAATCCTTCTTCTCAGTGAAGGCATCCGCCATGCACTTAATCAATCTAGGACATTGTTTCAACAAATATAATTTTTCCCCATTGAAATTGAAATATAGACCGAAAGATCCCTTATAGTTTGGAAATTCAAGTCCTCCAAGTTCATATTGAAGCAACAAGGATATTTTGTAAGTCTGTGGATAAGACGAACCAAGGATTTTGGGTGGAGGAAACTTCAATAAATTTGATGAAGCAATTTCCTTATACAATTTTTTTTCCATATGTTTGATTTTGAGATCTTTAAATTCTGTGGCCTGGCATAGCAAATCGAAAACCGAAGAAAAGTTCAACTTTGAAGGACTGTTAATAATTTTTTTCATAGTTTCAAAGGAAACATAATGGTGTGACATTGCATTGCCATAAGCAGTACTTTTGTAGGTTCTTGTGAATTTATCATAGTCAAGTATTTGATTTTCCCGGAGGATTTCCAATTGTTTTTGACAAAATAATGCCAATCTGGTATCTATATCAATGACTCTCAAACCTTGAATTTCGCTATATGCAATCGGATTCGATTTATACCTGGTATAGAAATAGGTGGAGGCTATCCAATCGACGGCCGTTTCCACTGTTGTTATTGTTTTCAAGCAAACTTCTGCTGCTAAATTCTCAAATAAATTTAAATGCAAACTACTTTCTAATTTTTCGGTACCCTCGATTAATCTTTCATATCTGTTCTTATTTTTCTCCTCGGTCATGATAACAGCAACACCCTCAGTTTCGAACTGTGGCCTGCCAGCTCTCCCAATCATTTGCAAGATATCCAATTCTGAGTATTCACTGAACTGACCCTCATTCCAATATCTTGTTCCTTTAATAATCACCAAATACGCGGGTAAATTAACACCGACTGCCAAAGTGGAGGTAGAGCATAATATTTTAATATTTCCATTAATGAAGTTATTTTCAACAGCTAAGCGATCTTTATATGATATTCCAGCATGATGAAATGCCACACCTTTGCTTATAAGCTTAGAAATTTCCTTATCTTGTACCTTGATTAGGTCTTTTAAGTTATGCAGTTCAAAGCCCAAATTGTTGCTGAGGAAGGTAGCTGTATTAAATGCAATTTTTCTAGTAGGGCAAAAAATCAATACGGGTTTACCAAGACTCTTCTCTCTGATTATCTCTAAAAGTCTGTTGTTGAGGGAAAAATCGAACTGAAAATCATTCTTCCCATGATTCCTGAACCCATAAACAGTTCGTAGCAACTTTACCGGCTTATACTCTTCTCCAAAAATCATAGTAACAGCAGGCTCTGAGGAGCCCTTCGATGTTTTTCTGAGCCATTTAGATATATCGTTTATGTTTGGAACGGTGGCTGAAAGTGCAATGATTCTCAATTGGTCACATAATCTCTTCATTCTGGTGGTGACCACCTCTAGTGTTGAGCCTCTATCATCTTTCAATATATGGACTTCATCAATCAATAATAGTTTTACCAAATCGAAAAGTTTGATAAAGTCAAACCACCTTCGAGTCAATAAATCCCATTTTTCTGGAGTTGAAATAATAATGTTAGATTTCTTCACACTTTCAGTCTCAAAAGAGGATGTGTCGCTGGTCAACATTCCTACGGAAATGTTCAAAGGAGCAAATTTTTTTTTCCAATCTTCACATCTTTCTGTGCACAATGCCTTTGTTGGCGCAATATATAGAACTTTCATGTTATTGTTAAGGTCTATCTTGTTGTTCTTGAGAAACAATCTTATTATACCTAGTTCGAAAAGAACTGTTTTACCAGAGCCTGTTGGTGAGGTAATAACACAATTGTAAGGGGTATTGAAAATATCTTGGAAGGCCTCGGTTTGCATTCTATTGAATGAGCTGAAAGGAAAGATCCCCCTTATCCTGTTAGGCAAAGAAGAAAGAAAGTCAACTGGTATATTCGACCCATGTTTCCTAGATTTTACGTTTTGGTAATCTTCATAGCTATTTGATCTTAGATAATATAGGCTTTGTGGTGGTCCTGGGGGGCAGGAGCCTGTATCTCCGTAACTTGTGAGCTCATCATGGATACCTGAATAAGCGCCATCATTGGAAGCTTTGAAATCCGCACCCAGAAGACGGTAAGCGCCATTTCGCTCCTCAGATGAGGCGAATTGAGTTTCATTATTGTCATAATTTTGCGATAACTGGTGTTGATTGTTGACATTTGTTTGAAAGATACCTTGATGTTTGTCAGCAGGAAGCCGTTCACTATTTCTCGAAAAATTGCCACTTTGAGAAATGACAGGTGGGGGGTTTTCTGAAACCGCTATAGTTAATAATTTAATCTATTGGGATTTTCATCACACTGAGGTCAATATAATCACCATGTATATCATTCTGATCTCCATTTTGCAAATAATCTTGCAAGTACTCTAAAAAGTTTGGCATTCTAGGCTCTTGCGTTTAGTTGAAGTGATTTGACTCTTGTATCATGTTAACACAACCCATATAAACTAATGCGTAATTCCTTCTATGAAAATAGTCCTGGTGTTTTCCACTTTGCTGAAATGATGATTTTGACGTCAAACAAGCAGGTAATGAACTTATTGAGTTGGCAAGGGTCCTTTTTTTTACCAAAGGTTTCAAATAACCCGCTGCATTGGTGCATTTTTGTGTGCTGCGTGCAACAACCGAGACAAACCACAATACATCAAATCAAGACCTACCCAGAGAATTTTTGACAATTAATTATCTTCCCCACAATAAAATAAAGCAAAACCTCAATAAAAGCGTCAATCTTGCTCATTTTTCCCTCCTTAGCGCCAGAAACTTTGATCATGTGTCACGACCGGGTGAGCGCCAGCCCGTCTGATAGTAAAACGGTAGGGTGGTGACAAAACAAAATTCGTCCCGACCAGCAGCATCTCATCAACTTAATATTGTGTCTGCTACGTGTCTTGCTGCTTTATATATTTTTAACATTTGATGATAATATTTTCCAGGTCCTGTTATTTCTATTTCTTTTCCTGTTTATTCGTTACTGGGCCCATTCTTTCAATCGTCAACACACAATAGACCATTTCATCTGTTTCTCTGCAACATCCACCCCAAGACGACACACATCATAAAATAATTTCAAGCAATATGTCGAACTACAGCAATCAAAGTGGGCATGAGGGTGGAGGACAGTATTCTGGCTCTTTCTATGTCAGCTCAACTCCTACGAATGCTACAAATGACACCAATTCCTCAACCTTATTGACAGCACCAAGATTTCCTCTACCCACATCTGGAAATATATCTTCGCAGAAATCGAAAAATCCAATTAAATTAACAATTGTCCCTACTAGTCTGTCAAGTAGTAATAATAGCAGTTATGGGAATTTGGGCTCCTTGAGAAATACGCCTCTAACTCCAAGCTCGGCCACTGTTGGATCGTTTGGTCCTATCGGTAGCAATGGCAGTATCAGCAACTCGCATTTTCAATCTATTCAAGGAACTTTAAATAACGATATTCTATCACCAGTTCAATCCCAGAGGCCAACTCTTCCGCATTTACATCCGCAACGGCTTTCTGCATCGTATCTTGGAAACTATCTGCCTCATAATGAGAATAATAATGGACTTCTTTCGCCTGTTACTAGCAATTTACCACCTTTGCTGTTACATTTAGGTGCAAACTCAAATTCATTCGGCAATATTGGTATTGGTGACGGTGTTTCCACCCAAAATTCTTCAGTAGAAAATAATATTGGAGCAGGACCTCCCAGTTCCGGTGTGAACAAAAATCATGGAAATGGTAACTATTGGCTTAGCCCGGTTCAATCACCTGCTATGAGATCCCCGGCTAGAAACATTCACAAATCACAGTCAAGTAACTCTATGTACCAATATCAACCGTTAATGCAACAACAACAACAACAACAACAACAACAACAACAACAGCAACAACAACAACAACAACAACAGCAACAACAACAACAAATGACACCAATACAGTCACAGCCACCTCAAGAAGATGTTTTGGGGTTTGTTCAAAGTCCAATCACACCTACAAAAAATTTTTCTAATAGAACTTCGTTCAATTCCCAACTACCAACACATTATGAAAACGATTCTTTTGCAAGCTCTATTTATCAACAAGAATTAGAGCCTCCTTCGCGAGCCCCTGCTCCGGTTCCTTATTTTATTGAGTCCTCGACGATTAATGGGGCCTCCCATAAGAATCTTCATGGTCATAAAAGAGGGAATAGTGTTGGTGTATTAGCAAAAGATCATGGTTACAATAGCCAATTTTTGATGAACTCTGGTATATTCATGCACCAACAAAACTTGAAACAATTCCAAGCACCTGTGGCATTCAATAACAATGATAAGCAGATTTACGACCACAATGAGCCCCAGATAGCAACTGAGGAGCAAAAATTGGGCGCACCGGTTATTCAGAAAGTGAATTGTAAAGCTGATCTAAGACCTGTGATTAATCAAAAATCCAGGTTTAGAAGAGCTTCGAGTGCTTCAAAACAAGTATCTCCTTTAAAGGCATTAACTTCCTCCATTACTACGACATACTCCCTTTGCCGCCCAGAATTTAATTATCAATTATCGAGAAACCCAAGACGAGTATTAACAAAACCTTCAGAACCAAAGATGAACAATAATTATGATAACGTTGATAGTGACTATATTTTGTATGTTAATGATGTTTTGGGTACTGAAGAATCAAGAAAGTATCTTGTTTTGGATATTGTCGGCCAAGGTACTTTCGGGCAAGTTGTCAAATGCCAAAATTTATTGAATAAAGAAATTGTCGCGGTCAAAGTCATCAAATCTAATTCTGCATATCTCAATCAGCTGTTAACGGAGGTAACTATTTTAGAAACTATCAACACTAAAATTGATCCATTAGATAAGCATCATTTCCTTAGGATAAAGGATAGATTTATGCACAAGCATCATCTTTGTATTGCGTTTGAGTTATTATCCAGCAATTTGTATGAATTGATAAAGCAAAACCAATTCAACGGGTTGGACATGCATCTTATCAAGTCATTCGCAAGACAATTATTGAGCTCTTTGATTGTTTTGAAAACTTTTAAGATAATTCATTGTGACTTGAAACCAGAAAACATTTTATTGGTGAATCCCGATAAGCCAGACTTGAAAATTATTGACTTTGGCAGTGCTTGTTATGAACGCCAAACGATATATACTTACATTCAGTCTAGATTTTATAGATCACCGGAAGTTATTCTTGGACTACCTTATTCCAGTGCTATTGATATGTGGTCATTTGGTTGTATTGTTGCGGAATTATTTTTGGGATTGCCATTATTACCAGGCTCAAGTGAATATAATCAATTGACAAGAATAACAGATATATTTGGATATCCTGCTTCCTGGATGATTGAGATGGGCAAGAATTCTTTGAAGTTCATGGAAAAAGTGGCAACTGGTGCTTCATCTAATGCATTCAGTAAACCAGCTAGTGTGTCTGCCCCTGATGGCTCCACTACACTCTGCAAATACAAATTGAAATCAATGGAAAAATATGCAAAAGAATTCAAAACTCAAGAGAAACCTTCGACAAACTACTTCAATTCGAATAACTTATCAGATATTATAATGAATTATCAACCAAGAAGTGTCATTAAGTCAAAGGGAAAAATCATTCCAAAGAAACTCACGGAAAATGAATTGAATGATCGGTCTAATTTACTTCATTTCTTGAAAGGTGTTCTTAACATGAATCCTTTGGAAAGATGGACTCCTCAACAAGCCATAGCCCATCCATTTGTGAACAACCTACCATTCAATGAACACTGGACTCCACCAGGTACCAATGCTGTGAAAAATGGCAACAATCTGGGTTCCAATAACCCACATAGTACGGGTCATGGATCAGCTAGGCAAAGGGCCAATTTACATAGAAGAGGGCAATTATCAACCTCATCTATCAATTCTTCAACCTCCAGGCTTGGAAACAATGCCTTCTTTTTGAACAATGAGTTTTATGGGAAAAGCGATGGAAATGGTAATTCTTCCAACAATTTGTCTTTTAAGCCACAACTTCAGCCTAACTTTAATTATGCAAATCCGACGGTTCAAAGCAATGACTCTATTACAAGCTTCAAGTTTCCGCTTCAAGAATGAGGAATCTTACACGTCATTTCATTTCTGTGACTGCTGGATAGAAACGCTTGTTTTTTATTTATTTTTTTCTTAATTAATTATCATCTGTTCTTTACCAATTGTACCATATTTAACAATTCTACATTTATCTGATCTAAATTTTCAGTCAGCCTCATGAACTTCCATATATATTCTTTTTTTTTCTTTTTTTCTTTTTTTTTTTTTTTTTTTTTTTATATATATGTATTTCATACTTTGAGTCGTATAATTGATGCCCATTGAATGTGCTTATTTTCTCATAAGTATAAATTTTGCAAATTATAAGGTAAACTGTCTTCCTCAAGAAAAAAAAAAAAAAAAGAAAAAGGGTTATACACAACAGCTTTATTATATATTGCGTCAAATTTTAGGCTTCTTATCGTCGATATGACCTTCATCCATTGCATCATTTTCATAGTTGCGCTTCTTGGGGAATGATGAGGGATCAATTTCATCGCCAACTCCATTTCCTGGGAGATCATGGGTTTCTGATTTCCTATCTTTTTCTAATTCTTCCGATGATAAGGCAGCTAAAGCATCCTCACGATTATTCCCATCATATGTTGTTACATCAATAACTTTCGCTGATAAATCATCGTCACTTTTCAAGCACTCCTCAATATCGTCATATTCTACGTCTTCAACCATTTCATTTTGTTTGTTTTCACCTATTTCAGCATGTATCTGGGACTCAGGACTATTACTAGACTCAGCTGGGACATTTTCTTTTAATTCACTGAGTTCATTGGTCCGCAGGGAGTTCGTTGTAGGTATTGTAAATTTGTCACTTGATTCAACAATATCGTCGATCAACAATGCATTATCTTCATGTTTTCCCTCTTCATTATCCAGTAGATCAATAACTTCCACTTCTTGGGCTCTCATAGATTTATATATTTCTTCGGATTGGTTGCTTGGAGATATTTGTTTGTCAAGTTCCCCTTGGGCCTTTGTCCTAGATTTCAGAACTTCATCAAAACCTTTGTCTCTATTCATAATTTCAAGCAATCTATTGAACTGGCTGCTAAACCGTGCCTTGGTTGTGATTCTGATATTGATGGTACTTACTCCGGAACCATTCGAAGAGTTAGAATTCAAGCGATTGAACAAGGACACGATATCTGAAAAGCACACTTCCATACAGTAAATATTGTCCTCACCTAATGCCAATCCTAAATCTGGAAAATCCAATACAAGTTCATAGGCAGTAGACAAAGGGCATCCTAGCGAGATGAATCCGCTTCGAAGGCTAGGAAAAAAAAGTTCCATTTTCTGGTAAATTATCTTCGCGTCGTCGAAAACCCTGGGCATTTGATTGTGTGCTGCAAACTGTGAGCCTGATCTCATCCTGAACCCAAGGTATTCACCACCCTCATAACTCAAAACCACTGGATATTCAAGATATATTTGAGAGGCAGAAATCTGGTCATTATATGGAGCAGGAGACGCCTCTTTTTTTTTTAATTACTGTTTCTTTATATATCATCACATCATCATAATCAGTACCCTCATCGCATTCAGCAACATCATAGGTTTGGTCAGTACCACTTTTGATAGCGCCGAATACCGGGCTAGATGAAGAATGATTTTCTGATACAAGTTCAATGGCATTAGAAAACAATAAATCTGTATCTTTGTTGTTGGTAGCATCTGGAACCTCGTCGTATTCATTAGGGAGTTTCTCCTTCCCCCTTTTGGAATCCAGCTTCTGATAGTCTTCATCTTCTGTGATTCCTTCTTTGTCATTGTAGAGAGCACTGTCAATCAATTGTTCGTATTTGTTTGCGTAGTCGGTGTGTTTATCAGTAAATTCAATTCCCATATCAACATTCTGTCCATTTTCTGTCTCGAAGCTTATTATTTCCTTTGTTTCCATATTCTGTTCCCTTTCAAAAGACGTATCAGTTACACTTCCCTCGGGTTCCATCAAACTCATTATTTTTTGGCTTTTTTGTAAATTTGCTTCAATGAATCACGTTATTTTGGTTCTATAACAATAGATATGACTAGGGACGTGGACGAATTCTCTTATCTTCGGTGGTGGTTCCCTGATGGATGGGATAAACATTGATTGCGATTTCATAAATTTTCCTATTTTTGGTTGACAGCTGCATTAAAATACTTGTTTTCCTGCAAAGAAAAAAAAAATCTCATCGGGAAGATAAAATTGGCTATTATCCCATCCATCCTACAGTAAGATAGATATCTGGAAACAGCACTATGCTGAAGCAGTTTATTGAGAAAGCTCTTTTTAACAGACTTCAAAAGAAAGTGATATCTGTTCCGAGGTATTTACCTGAAGATGCTTTTGCTTCCAATCAAGCAAGCGTAACCGAAATTGAAACTTTACCGCCTTCAAACCATGATTCCTTGGAACCTGCGTTGGAACTAACTGTTCGTGAGTCCATATCTTCATTCTTTGATAAAAGCAAATTCAAAAGTCCTAGAAAACTAAGCAGTCAGTCAGCTGTCGAGTTTACTACCCCATTTGATAAAAGGGTGTTTGAGTTCAAGATTGATAGAGATTCTAGCAACGATTTGTCGGTATTCAATACATCTGGAGTAACACCATACGACGTTTATAACCTCAATTATGATGGATTGAGAGTTGGAGGTGGTAGAGAACGTATTAATAGTGGATGGGATAAGAGACTTTCAGTCACTGGCTTACTAGTGAATAAATGGTGTGAGTTGAACACTATGTATAAAATATATTCAAGATTTGAGAAGATCCTCACTCCTCAAATGATGAGAGGGCTGGTTAAACATGGTCAATTAGAATCTCTTGCACATCCAATTGATGTAGATTTGGTGAGGAGGTTTATGGAGATGATGCCTGAAGAATTATCAAAAGAAGAAAAGTACTCAGAGTCTGTAGTGGACTCTATAGTCAAACTCGTTAATTTGATGATCAACGGAGAGGCAAGAGAATTGAAATTTCATCATTTCATTGATAGAAAAACAAATGTTTTCGTCACCGGTGGCTCTGACCTAAAAGATGAGAATATGCTAGGAAACAGGTATATTTTGGTATCTGCAATCGTTGATCATCTAAGCATTCGTGATATGAACCCAATTCATCGTCTAAGATTTAAAGATTATCCATTTTCTGGAACATTTGATGATCTAAGGAATGATTTTTTGGGATTTCTGGAAGATATTGGCCCAAAATTGACTATCAGTGACGTAAAAACTAGAAGCATACCCCTGATACCTGCACAAGCAAATGTGGTTAATTCTTCTAAATTACAAGTGTCTTTGTACAGAAAAATGCTTGGATTGTTATCAAGCTCGCCCAACACCTACGAGGTACTAATACAAACTGCAAAACGCCATGGGGTTGACGTTGATGCTGCTTTGTCACCCCTACTAGCACTTCGGTTTTCAGAACAACTTCCTTTTTTTGAGTCTGATTTCAAGGAGCTAATGGAGGGTATATTTCCAATAAACTACCCTTATCCGCTTCGCAATCAATCGCCTTCAAGTGAACTTGAGGAAAATGTGGTGTCCTCTGCCGAAAGAAATTTTGCAAACTACGTTTACTTGCTCAATAAATGGAAGCAACCATTAACTTTAAGATACTTCTTACATCGATATTCAACCCTACTCAATGCATTATCATCACAGCTCAATAATAGCGATGAGCTTGAGCTTGATTACTACCATTCAGATTTTGGAAGCTTTGCCCAGATTAAATTCCAGTATGATGGACCAACTCTGGATATGGAGCTTGAGTCAAATGTGAAATTTTGGTTAGGTCAAAGACCAGCAAAGCCGATTGACCCTACTTATAAGAATTTTTCAACGTATTGCACCAGTTGTGAGTACAAGAAAATATGTATTTGGAAGCTGTATCATGAAAAATTGCCTTTTAAAACAGACTTTCATTAATTACTCCGCAAAGGGAGAGAAAAAAAAAATACTGGTCAAGACATTAAAAAGCTATATTTTACGGTGAACACAAATCTTTCATTTTAGTTAGCAGATGTCTCAAAGACAAACCTTTCCAATGGATCCATGAAAAGAACTCCGTTGTGTTTATCAGTACATTTGTCATTGATTTCTTCAAACTCCAAGTCTGTGATTTCATCAAGATCATCTAATACGTCTTCTTGTGTCCTTTTTGGAGTCTTAATATTATAGTCTTTCCTCTTCTCTGCCTGATGTATTTTTTCCAACTTCTTCTTGATGTCACTAATCTTTTCCTTCCAAGTTCTAGTAGCCAATGCTCGGCGACGTTGGATATCGTGAATGTTGGATTCAGAGTACCATCCTGAATCGATAAGCCGCTGTTCAATGGTGGCAAATGCCTGGTCTTCTGCTTGCATCTGCTGGATAGATAAAGTGAGAGACCTTATAAGACTATTCTTAAAGACTTCTTTTGATGATTTGGAAGTACTGTTATTTCTTATAGATAGGTGGGTAATCATATCAGCTGGTGATGATGCGTCGTTACTCATTTCAGTATTGGAGTTCTTAAACGCAGCTCTTTGTGCATCCAGTGGAGCTCGAGAATCAGTCTTCCCATTTTCTACATCACCTGGCTTATGATTTGAGGAATATGGCAATGAGCCATAGCGTAGCGGAGGCAGAATCTGTGATGACCCCATATCTTGCTCATTCAAATAATTTTCAAAATGATATTCGCTAAACCTTGCCAGGTTCAAGGCGTTGACTTTAATAACTGGTGACTTCAATGTTGTAACCTGCTCCTGAATATCAGCATCACTGGAGATATTGAAATCATTAACAATATTATCAACATCAATAATCTCTTTTGTAAAATTTGCATTTAAAATGGTATTGCTGGTATGATCACTCGTAGAATTTGCAATAATTGTTATATCCTCGCTTTGTGAAAGTGAACCTGAACTAATGCTTTTATTAACTCTATCGTGTTCAAATCTCGACAGCAGCTCTGAAAGAGGCGGAGCTTCTCTATTACTATTCTCAATATGAATTTCATCAGTCTTACTATATGAACGTGTGGATGGTGATGTGGTATAGCTTGTAATAGTATTGGATTTCGCCCTACCGTAATATAACCCATCATTAAACCGATTTCTATCAATATTATTTATGTGGTTAGACATATTATTAGAACTTCTCAGAGCAGAGTTTACATGGGGCACAGTTGAGCTGTTGTTGGAGTTGGTACTTCTAGGTGTTTTGGTAGATTTCGAACGATAAAGGTTTGAGAATGATGTTTTCTTAGCTAATGTTCTAGGAGATATCACAGAATCAGAAAACTTAGATTTATTGGGAGTTATGTTTTCGGATTTGCTTGTTCCAAGGCACATATTCAGACTTTGGCTCAATAGAGTATTAACGGCCGAGGACATTGGCTTTTGAGTTATTTCTGTGCTAAATTTACCATCGATGCTTGGTGTAACTCTGCTTGTCAAATAAGTTTCATGTTTAGGGCTGGCTACTGGGCTGGAAAGTTTTCTGATACCCGTTTTCAATTTCCCAAATTTTTCAATCATACTGGTAGAAGAACCGGAAGTATGAAGTTTTGGTAAAAAAAAATCTGAGGAGTTGGTGATGGTATCAGTATGATTATTGGTTCCATCATGAGAATTGGAATACTTATGCAGAGGGGAGTAATCTGTGGTAACATTTGAACTGGATTTCTTGTGTCGATGTGGCTGTAAACTTTTCTTGATAGTGCTTGCAAAGGAATTCATAGTGTTGCTGGTGGTAGTAATACTTCCTTCATCCAGCTGGAAGTCCCCAATACTTGATTTATCTGTTGAAAAATCTCTCTCTTCGATTGCAGATGACGAAGTATTGGAATTCCACCTCGAGTGACTTTTGCTAGTATTGAAACTTCCTTTCCTTTGACGGTTTTGATAATCAATTTCCAGTATCAGAGGTCTAGGGGTAGTGTAATATGTTACAGCGTTGAGTGGCAGATCATCCGAAGTTTCTAATGGAGGAGGCGTAAAACTAGGAATTTGTTCACTAGTCAACGTGTTTTTCCGTCTTATTGAAAAAGAATTGAGTCTTCGCAACTGAGGTAAGGATTTAACGGTCTTCAATTTTGGCTTCGAGGCAAAATTATTGCTGTTATTATTGTTTGCTGTGTTAATTGGAGATCTGACGGAGAAATAATCGTTATTTTTTTCTTTATCCTTTTTAGATATCGTATTAGATCTCGATAAGATTGATAATGATGGCTTAGATATCTTTCTGTGAAGTGACTTCTGTGGTGCTTTAGAATGGGAGGGTGGTTTTGACGGGGAATCCTTCATAATTTCTGCAAGCTCATACTCAGACATTGATGCTTTTTTCATGTATGGCACTCTATCAATAGATCTGGCATCTTCTTCTATTTCATCATCACCAATAGCCTCTCTATTATCAACTTTATTGTTATTTCTCCTATTATTTTGGTTAGGAGTATGATAATCGTAATAATTGGCCATGCTTCTATTACTCGCTGAATTCAATTCGGTATCATTTAAAATATCGATTTGTTGGGTTCTATTTTCAATACCTTGATTAATTTGACCATCATTCTCCAATTTCATATATTGAAATGCAAAATTGATTCCATTATTGCTATCGTTAATCGATCTTAAATCAATACTTTCATTGAAATCATTATAAAGTGGCGAAGTTGGTTCAATAATCGATAAGTTTTTGGCTTGATGTTTATTTCTCACTGGACTGTCAATGAACACTAGTGGGGATAATTCTTTATGATGAGAATTTGGAAAAGCAGAACTATTACTATCACCAATCATTGAACTATGGAATTTGTTAACTGTTGGAGTCACCACTTTTGGACTCAATGGCTCGCTTTTATTATTGTGGGGAATTTTTAGAGTGCCAGTGTCCATGGTGATAGTATAGGCAGAGTCTCTAGCCGGTGGGTTTTCATCTAGTTCTGATTTTTGGTCATCGTTGGAAGAAGTATCGCCGCCACTATCCTCGTTAATTATTGTATTGAATCTATGATTTTCAAGAGAGTCAAAGCTGTCGTTTATTAACCCCTTATAATACTTCAAGACATTAGTGTTGGTGTTTCTGAAAGAATTATTCAAATTATCCAGAACTTCTAATTTCTTGAGCAAATTTGAAAGGCGAGTATCACTGTTTTTGTCCAAAATGCTTTCTTGGGTAATTTCATCATTGGGCATATCATCTCCGTTCTTCAAAATCTGATGGTTTCCGTCTCTTTGGTATTCCCAAGGACTGGTTGAGTTGTATGAAGGCTTACTCATTCCTGTTGCGGTCACTATCAGATCAAGAGAATTGTCGTAATGATTTTGATCATGGTACTCTTTAGAACTGCAGTGATGAGGATCCATGATTTACTCATGAGAGTCTTGTAGGAGCATGTATTTGTGTACTGAATATTTGATCAGAATGTATTCATGAATATGCTTTTGTGATACGTCTTCTGTTGAGAAATGTGCGAGAGATTGAAAAGTAGATTAAACGATGGCTATATGAGTTTATTATTCTAAGTATCTTATATCGTGATCTGTTTCTGTGCTTGTGATTCAAGGCGACGTGGAATGAAATTTGTAGACGGAAAAAAAAAAAATAGAAGTAGAAAAAATGGGAAAAAAAAATATGAGAAAAAAAAAACACAGACTACATTCTCTTAGTATACAACAACAAACAATTGTCCAAACTTTAATGTGATTATTACGAGAACGCAACAAACCTGCCGAGAATCAAATTACTTCGAAACCTTAGTCAATTAATGGAAAAATGGCGAATTATGGTTGAAAGAAATGAATCAATCAATGTAGATCAAGTAAATTGGGCTGTGCACACTGCAGTACTTTTGTCCTCCCTTACTTGGGATGGCATGGGGCCCTTCCAGGGCTGTTTTAAATTGATAATTCAATTTAGAATGAAAGCAAGTCGATTTAAGGAACGTTGGCTATAATATAGTGTCATTTAGCTGCGCCATGCTGGCCTGGTTTTCAATAATCATATAAATATAAATTATGGAGAGGAAAAAAAGTGCAGTTTGATTATATGACGCAGAAATAATGACTGGCTGGGAACTACTCAAAGAATATAATATATAGGTTCAAACAGCTATTGTAAATTTGATGATTTGGTAGTGGATATCTACTAACAGATTTTGCTACAAAAAATAACCGTTGCGTGCCTTCAGAATCAGTTATAAACAGAACTGAGGCCAAAGAAAAGTGAATGCCCGAAGGGAACACTATCATATTGGCAGCATATTAACCATTTACTGAAAAGGTTTGAGGATAATATTGGCGTATGAATGAATGAATGAATGAATTGTATATTAACGAGTCACAGAGGTTCTAAATAACATGCAAGCCGGGCATTTCATGCCGGTCTTTCTAATAGATAAGTATAATACTATAACTTTCTCACAACCTCACACTCCTTGCTTTAAGAATTAATCACATCACCGGTAAAAAACTCAACAATCAAGATTATTAAGGAAAAAAGGTGCAATGTGAAAATATGAGATGAAGTCACTAGTGAATTACCCATCACTAGGAGCTTCATGAACTGAGATGGAGGTCTTTGTTGAGGGGTTTTGGCACTATATCTCAAATACTAAGTATTTTCAATGTAGTGACCATCAGAATTCTGGGGGGATAATAAAAATAAAAATAATAAAAATCAAAAAAATAATAAAATCCAAGTAAAAAATAATTCAAATAATCAAATAGACCAAATAATTCAAATAAGTCAAAATAACCATGTAAACCAAATAAACCAAATAGACCAAATAAACCAAATAAACCAAATGAACCAAATGAACCAAATAAATCAAGCCGTTACCCGGCCTTTTCTGAAATATCTGGACTTGATATTGACTCTGTAAATACGAAACATCGTGGTTTCGTGGTCTAGTTGGTTATGGCATCTGCTTAACACGCAGAACGTCCCCAGTTCGATCCTGGGCGAAATCATTTTTTTTGTAAAATTTTTGAATGTAAATCTTTTTTTCGGTTACCTTTTTGAAGCCATCATAATGGCTTCAAATATTACTTACTACCTGATCTCGAACACTTCACTCAAGGATTCATGGAGAAATAAATCGTTTAAAAAAATTTTCGAGTCTACCAGGTGCATCTAGAGAAATCTTATAACTTTGTTAGAATCAACTATTTCCAGCTATCCCTGTAATAGTATTGATTTATGCCATTGTCTGTTTTTTTGATTAATGGTTTCGTAGATTATCACCATTTCCAAGAAAACAAAGAAACTTGAGTGAATTTTTCTTATCTTTTTTTTTAAAAAAAAAAAAAAAACATTGAATTTAAAGGAGATCCCTACTTACTACCTTCTTTATAAGAGGGCTATCCAGTTTCGCAACACGTGCTTTATTTCTCAATTTCCTCCAAGCAAATAATTTGAGTAATCTTTACAATGTATCGAGAGCGAAAAAAAAAAAAGAGCATCGTTGGATAAGGAAGATTTCATGGCCATGGATGGTAAAGTTTTTGAACTCTGTTGGGTTTTACAGAAGAAGACTCCCAAAAATCAAAAATATATATCCCTAATTTAAATATAATTTCAAAGTACTACTATTGAAGATCATTTATTGATATATCATATTCAAATAACTTATTTAAATTTAAGAAGTACACGCCTTAATGCTTCCTGCTGGCTACACTCCATTCTTCTGCCTTTGTTTTTATTGCTTGCTTCATTCTCATCATATTCCTATCTGGCTTTAAGAATTTTTCATTTTGTTTTCTAAAATATAATTTCAATATCTAGTACATGTTTCTTTTTCTTTAGACTTCTTTATTCACGCTCATTATAAATCGTAGTAGAATGAGGTCGTACTATGAAAGGAGAAATTGACTGTCTTATTTTTATCGACAATTATGCGGAGAGGGCCTCCACGAAAGATGACCTCTCAATATATTAAAGAAAGTGATATCTGTATCAAATAAGAAACAACAATATCCTTTTTCAGCTCTTAAATCTGTTGCTAAATATACTTCCACCTACTGCTGGTGGCTGTCACTTATGGCTAACCAAAATAACATAAAAAAAAAACTTCTGTGTTTTTATCTTCCTGTCATTCGTTATAACTACTAAATTCGTTATTATCAAATCATTCCAAGAATTTAGTATTTTTTACTGCACACCTCCAGTATTAGCTGTGTTCCTCCTAAAAAATAAAAGAGTTATATCTACCTCTGTACCTGTGTCAATGAATAAGGTGAGGCCCGGCAACAGAGGATAAGGTTATAATGGAAGCACACTATAATAGTAAACTGCGCCTCCCGGAAAATTAGGCCGATGGATCCAGAGAGCTATATAAAAGAGACTCCAATACACTGCAAATAAGTATAAAAGTAAGAATAAAAAGTATCCATTCTCAGTATCAGACTTGTAGCCATTGCAGATCTATATTCTCCAAGTCTTTTTAGAGTTGTGGAGTATTTGTGATCAGAATCTATTGAGTTATTATTCAACCAGACTTTACTGCATTCAATAATTGTTAATGCATTTTTTTTCAATACATGTCTATAAGATATTCATAAAATGTATCTTTACCATGAACTTTCTAAATCATGGTGAATGCAGAAGCATGCTGACAAGGACATGTGCGTTTAAGTAACACCTTTTTTGGAAATCCAAATCACATGATTAACAGAAGCAAATTCGTTGGACGTCCAATGTGAGGTTCGAATTTGCCATCCGAAATTACAATCATTTATGTAGACCCTGTATCTATAATCACAACCATATAACAAGTTTTTGGGAAAGATGGCAATCTTCCTGAGACATGTTTCTAAACTAGTCACCGCTAATTTGCATGCTACTCGTAGCAGAAGCTTAATAAATCATGGAAGGTTTGCAAACTCAATACGAAATGCTGCATCCATTAGTATCCGGCCTTCATCTCATTCACTAGGTTTTAATGAGCAACAAAACATCGATGAATATATTTCTTCTACAAAGTACCATCAAGTTACCCCTGATGCTTCAGGGTTCATGAAGAATTATGCGGGGCTCAAGGAAGGTGTAGCAAAGTATCATCTGCTTACAAATGAAGCTTTGTTAGTAGAAAAATTGAACTTGAACAAACTGAAAGAAGATCCAGTGAAACAAGACAAGGAAACTAGTATTGACAAGCTGAAAGATGAGAAACCAGCTGAAAAAGATAACGAAAAAAAGAAAGAGGATGGGGAGGTGGAATCTACTATCAAGAATGAAGACTCAGTGTCTAGAAATTCCAGTGAATCATCGGCCAAATCATCATCATCTTCTCCTTCAAGCAATAATAACAATAATAATGATAATAACGATGGAAATGATAGAAATAACAAAAATGGAAAAAATGATTCGTCACCAGGGATTCCAAAGATCTATCCTCAAATAATGGCTTTACCAATTTCTCGTAGACCATTGTTCCCAGGTTTCTACAAGGCAGTGGTGATTTCCGATCCACAAGTTATGAAAGCTGTCAAACAAATGTTAGAGAAAAGACAGCCTTATATTGCTGCCTTCTTATTCAAGGATGAAAATGCTGAGTCCGATGTCATCAATAGTCCGGATGAAATTTACCCAGTCGGGGTTTTCGGGCAAATCACCAGTGTTTTCCCTTCAAAAGATGAAAAAACTAACGTTGAAACCATGACTGCCCTCATTTATCCTCATAAAAGAATTACTTTAGCTGATGGTAAATTCACACCACCAAAGTCCGAGGAGGAAATTGAAGTTTATAAGACTAATAGAGCAAAGATGTTCGAAGAAGAGGTTATTGCTGATATGGCAAAAGAAGGGAAGAAATTGGTCGAATCCAAGGACAAGGATTTGTCAAAGGATAATGAAGCTGAGGTCACCAAGTCTGAAGATCAAAATTCTCAATACTTGAAAGAAAAAGAAGTTAGAATCTTGGAAAAGATGGATGACGAAGAGGCTGAGAATCCTACCGCGTTTTTGAAGAATTACTGTGTTTCTCTAGTCGACGTTAGTCCATTGGAAGATGATCCATTCGACAAGAAGTCCCCAGTGATTACTGCATTGACTTCAGAGATTTTGAAAGTATTCAAGGAGATTAGTCAATTAAACACCATGTTTAGAGAACAAATTGCCACCTTTAGTGCCTCTATTCAATCAGCAACCACTAATATTTTTGAAGAGCCAGCTAGATTGGCAGATTTTGCCGCAGCAGTCAGCGCTGGTGAAGAGAAAGAATTACAAGAAATCTTGGATTCTCTTGATATTGAAACCCGTTTGAAGAAATCCTTGATTGTTTTGAAGAAAGAATTGATGAATGCGGAATTACAGAATAAGATTTCCAAGGATGTTGAGGGAAAGATCCAAAAAAGACAGCGTGAATACTACTTGATGGAACAATTGAAAGGTATCAAACGTGAATTAGGTATTGATGATGGGCGTGATAAATTAATTGAAACATTCAAGAAGCGTGTGGAGAAATTGAAGTTACCAGAGCAAGTGGAGAAAATCTTTAACGATGAATTGACAAAGCTTAGCACTTTAGAAACAGCTATGTCGGAATTTGGGGTGGTGAGAAATTATTTGGATTGGATTACACAATTGCCTTGGGGCTTGAAATCCAAAGAAAGATATAATATTCCTAAAGCCCTCAAGATCCTTGATGAAGACCATTATGGATTGAAGGATATTAAAGATCGTATTTTGGAATTTATCGCTGTGGGAAAATTACTTGGTAAAGTTGATGGAAAGATCTTATGTTTTGTTGGCCCACCGGGGGTTGGTAAGACTTCTATTGCTAAGTCTATTGCCCGTTCATTGAATAGAGAATACTTTAGATTCAGTGTTGGTGGGATGACCGATGTGGCAGAAATCAAGGGTCACAGAAGAACTTATATCGGTGCTTTACCAGGAAAGGTTGTTCAAGGTTTGAAGAAAACCCAAGCTGAAAACCCATTGATCTTGATTGACGAAATTGACAAGATTGGTTTTGCCGGGGTTCATGGTGATCCATCTGCAGCCTTATTGGAATTGTTGGACCCTGAACAAAATAACACTTTCATGGATAATTACTTAGACGTTCCAATAGACTTATCTAAGGTTTTGTTTGTTTGTACCGCCAACAGTCTTGATACCATTCCTAGACCATTGTTAGACAGAATGGAAGTTATTGAAATCGCTGGTTATATTGCTGAGGAAAAAGTTAAGATTGCCGAAAACTATTTGATCCCACAAGCCAAGGAAACTAGTGGGTTGAAAAACGCTAAGGTGGGTTTGACAGATGAAGCCATCGAAGTTTTGATCAAACAGTATTGTAGAGAAAGTGGTGTGAGAAACTTGAAGAAACAAATCGAAAAAGTTTATAGAAAAGCTGCTCTTAAGGTTGTTAAACAAATCGATACTGAACCCCCAGAAGAAGAAAGTTTGGAAGATTCTAAACAAACTTTATCTGAAGAAAAGAGTGAAGATAGTACCAAATCAGCTAAGCAGTTGGCTGATGAAAAAGTCAATGAAGAAGTGGAGGAAATTGTTAAAGAAGCTGAACCTTCCGACACAGACGTTAATAAATCAGCAGAATCATTGAATCAAGAATCTGAAGAACCAAAATCTTCTGTGGCAAGTGAGGTGGAGACTGGTGTGTCAAAGGAAGATCAAATTACCATTCCTGAAGAGCTTAACATAACAATTGCTCCAGAGAATCTTAAAGAATATATTGGTCCAGCTATATACACCAGTGACAGGTTATACGAAACCACCATTCCTGGGGTGGTGATGGGCTTAGCGTGGACCTCTATGGGTGGTACTGCGTTATATGTTGAATCTGTGCTCAGCCATCCGATCGATGAAAATTCTCATGCCCATCTTGAAAGAACAGGTCAGTTGGGTGATGTGATGAAGGAATCATCTACAATTGCTTATTCTTTCGCCAAGATGTTTTTGTCCAAGAATTATCCAAAGAATAGATTCTTTGAAAAAGCTTCAATTCACTTACATTGTCCAGAAGGCGCTGTTCCAAAAGATGGGCCTAGTGCTGGTGTTACAATGGCCAGTTCGTTCTTGTCATTAGCATTGAATAAACCATTATCCCCAACCGTTGCTATGACTGGGGAGATCACTCTTACTGGTAAAGTATTGAAAATTGGAGGATTAAAGGAAAAGACAATTGCTGCTAAAAGATCTGGAGCCACGACCGTTATTTTCCCCAAAGACAACTTGGTTGACTGGGTAGAACTCCCAGAGAATGTCAAGGAGGGATTAGACTACCTTGCGGCTGACTGGTACGGTGAGGTCTTCCATAAAATTTTCCCAGATGTTACTGCTGAAGAAGGCAATACAGTTTGGAAGAAGGAGTTTGATGCTATTGATGAGAAAAAAGAGAAAAAGGATTAGATTAGCGATATAATTGTTTAAGATATTCGTGTAAATATATGTTATTATTATTACTATTATTATTATTATTATTATTATTATTATTATTATTATTGTTTCCCCAGTAGTCATGCGTATACATTGCCGGCGTTGATAGAATCATCATCATCGGGTGGCAAAACTTGCAAAAAAGTGGCAAAACACTGATTTAAAAACAGTAAAGCTATGAGAGCCAAAGAATCCCCACCGTTTCACCAGCACGTACCAACCACCACCATACAACCGCCAGGATCCTTCATTCCCTCGCTGGTGCCCGATGGTTTGCCCACTGGTTGCTGGACCCAAGGCCGCGGAATCTTCTAGATGGCGTTTGGGTACGCGGCACGTGGAAGAGAAGCTGCGAGAAACAGCGTGGCAGTTGGGCGGTGGAAAATTGTCGACCCGATTATAAAACAGGGTGCGATTCTTCATTTTCCAAATTTCTGCAGTTACATACAAACAAGTGATATCATACATCCATCGTTTCAGAACATAGATAGAACTATGGTGCAACGCTTTGGGAAGAAGAACCTCGTGTTGGCAATCTTTGCCATTCTCTACGCCTTTTTATTTGTCAGTGGGCCATCTCTTATTCAAGCGGTCAACGCTGAAGATGAAGACGCCGTCGACAATTACGGAACCGTCATTGGTATCGATTTGGGTACCACTTACTCCTGTGTCGGTGTCATGAAGTCCGGGAAAGTTGAAATTTTAGCTAATGACCAAGGTAACAGAATCACTCCATCCTGGGTCAGTTTTACTGAAGAAGAAAGATTGGTTGGTGACGCTGCCAAAAATCAAGCAGCTGCCAACGCTAAGAATACCGTTTTCGACATTAAACGTTTGATTGGTTTGAAATATAACGACAAGTCTGTCCAAAAAGATTTGAAACACTTGCCATTTTCTGTTGTAAATCAAGACAATAGACCAGTGGTTCTGGTGGAATACAAAGGTGATGAAAAGAAATTCACCCCAGAAGAAATCTCCGCCATGATTTTAGGTAAGATGAAGTCTATTGCTGAAGATTACTTGGGTAAAACAGTCACCCATGCCGTTGTCACTGTTCCAGCCTACTTCGACGATGCTCAAAGACAAGCTACCAAGGACGCTGGTACCATTGCTGGATTGACCATTTTACGTATTGTTAATGAACCAACCGCTGCCGCCATCGCCTATGGTTTGGACCAAAAGGGTGAGCGTCAAATTGTCGTTTACGATTTGGGTGGTGGTACTTTCGATGTTTCCTTGTTGTCCATTGAAAACGGGGTCTTTGAAGTTTTGGCTACCGCCGGTGACACTCACTTGGGTGGTGAAGATTTTGATTTCAGAGTTGTCAGACATTTCCAAAAGATCTTGAAAAAGAAGTACGACGTTGATATTACTGGTAACACCAAGGCCATGGGTAAGTTGAAGAGAGAAGTTGAAAAGGCCAAGAGAACTTTGTCCTCTCAAAAATCTACCAGAATTGAAATCGACTCTCTCGCCGATGGTGTTGACTTCTCTGAAACTTTGACCAGAGCCAAGTTTGAAGAATTGAACATTGAATTGTTCAAGAAGACTTTGAAACCAGTTGAAAGAGTCTTGAAGGATGCTGGTGTCAAGAAGGATGAAATCGACGACATTGTTCTCGTTGGTGGTTCTACCAGAATTCCAAAGGTTCAAGAGTTATTGGAAAAGTACTTTGACGGTAAACAACCTTCTAAGGGTATTAACCCAGATGAAGCTGTTGCTTACGGTGCTGCCGTCCAAGCCGGTGTCTTGTCTGGTGAAGAAGGTGTTGAAGATATCGTGTTGTTGGATGTTAATCCTTTGACCTTGGGTATTGAAACTACCGGTGGTGTGATGACTAAATTGATCAACAGAAACACTGCTATCCCAACCAGAAAATCCCAAATTTTCTCCACCGCTGCTGAAAACCAACCAACCGTGTTGATTCAAGTTTACGAAGGTGAAAGAACTTTGGCCAAGGACAACAACTTGTTAGGGAAGTTTGAATTGACTGGTATTCCACCAGCTCCAAGAGGTGTTCCACAAATTGAAGTTACTTTCAACTTGGATGCCAATGGTATCTTAAAGGTCAACGCTGTTGACAAAGGTACTGGTAAGGCTGAATCTATTACTATCAATAATGATAAGGGTAGATTGTCTAAGGAACAAATTGAAAAGATGGTTGAAGAGGCTGAAAAGTACGCCAGCGAAGATAAGGAACTTAGAGAAAAGATTGAAGCTAAGAACGCCTTGGAAAACTACGCTATCAGTTTGAAAAACCAAATTACCGATGGTGCCTTAGCTGAAAAGTTGGACGAAGACGACAAGGAAACTTTAGAAGATGCCGTTAAGGACACTCTTGAATGGTTGGAAGACAACTCTGATGATGCTACCAAAGAAGAACTTGAAGAAAAGAAGGAAGCCTTGTCCAAGGTTGCTTACCCAATAACTTCTAAGTTGTACGGTAGTGCCCCAGGTGCTGAAGATGAAGATTTCGAAGACGACGAAGATGAAGATGATGACTTCTTGCACGATGAATTGTGATTTTGATTAATGATGATTTTGCGGGAGGTTTTTTTCTTTTTTTTTTTTCCCCAAAATTCTTTAAATTATCATTATTATTGATACAAGATAAAGAGGAAGAAAAAAAAAGGGATTTCCTATGAATTGATTGTATAACAGTTTTACCATTACTTTTTTTGTTTTTTAAATTTTTTTCATTACTTTTAAATATATATTTATACTACAATAACATTCAAGAACTTTGTAGAATTGGCGAGTCTCGGCAGTGGCCCACCCCCCCTGACTGGAACAATGTGGGACAAAAGAACTAGCGAAGTCCTACCTATCACTTACATACACACAAAGAAACAAGCTAAAAAAGGTTGCTTGTCTACCACTGTCAAATGAGAGTTTTCTGATACATTGCCAAAGGGAGGGCTGTATTCCAGAACAGGCATATTGCCTCCATATATCTGGCATTATCGCACTTGCACAGTTAAAAATTTTTTTTTTTTTTCTTTTTTTTTTTTCCTCTTTATTTTTATTTTTTTCCCTAAATTTTTAAACATTCAAACACCACTGCGGCCCACCTTTCAGTTTTGTCCACACAATTCAGAAAAAAGAACCAGTAATAATAATAATAATAATAATAACATAGACAATATCTGATTGAAACATCAATCACAAACAAAATATTTTTCTCATTTTGTGCGAATAGTTCTGCCTTTTCTTTTCTGTTTATTTTTGTCGGAGTGAATCATAACACAGCAGTATCATGGGTGCCTCGAAGGAAACCAGGATCGTCATCCTTCTTGTGATTGACACAGTCTTCTGCTTGATTGAAGCAATCACTGGTTATGCCGTCCACTCTCTTGCCCTTGTGGCTGACTCTTTCCACATGTTGAACGATATCTTCTCGTTGGTGGTTGCGCTTTGGGCAGTTCGGGTTGCCAAAAACCGTGGTGCTGATGCCAAATACACTTATGGCTGGCAAAGAGCTGAGATCTTGGGGGCCTTGATCAATGCAGTTTTCTTGTTGGCGCTTTGTATCACCATCTTTATTGAAGCTATCCAAAGATTCATCACCCCAGAAGTCATCACTAACCCACAATTGATCTTGTGGGTCGGGGTTGCTGGGCTCACTTCCAACTTTATTGGATTATTCTTGTTCCACGATATTGGCCATGGCGGTCACTCCCACTCGCACGGTGGCGATCTGTTTGGTGAAAATGAAGAAGAAGGCGCCGGGCACTACCATGACCATGCAGGGTACCACGACGATGAAAGTCATTCTCATTCCCACGGTGGCCATTATGATGAAGAAGCTGCGATTCACACTATTGAACCGGTATTGCCAGAAGATGTTGTTGCCCATGAATTACACAAGTCCCACAATCATGAAACTCAAAAGAAACTTAAGAATGGTCAAGATGGCCATTCTCTCAATATGAGAGGGGTTTTCTTACATGTCCTCGGTGATGCTCTTGGTAATATTGGGGTTATTGTTAGCGCTTTGCTTATCTGGAAGACCGATTACACTTGGAGATTCTATTTTGATCCGGCAATTTCCCTTTTTATCACCGCGATCATCTTCTCCACCGCCTTGCCACTTTGTCGCTCAGCTTCCAAGATTTTACTTCAAGCAACCCCTTCGACCATCTCTGCTGATCATGTCCAAGAAGACGTGTTGGCGATCCCTGGGGTGGTTGCGGTCCATGATCTTCATATTTGGAACTTGACCGAACAAATTTCAATCGCCTCCTTGCACGCTGAACTTAACGTTGCCCCAGATTCATTCACCAAAGTGGTTGATGATATTCGTACATGCTTACATGCTTATGGTGTTCAGTCAGTGACCGTCCAGCCAGAATTTATCGACCCTGCAAACAGTTCTATCAGTGATTCTCAATCCAGTCACAATAGCACCAATGAGACTTATGGTGCTATCAGTAATTGTACCTCCGGTTTCAAGAAATGATCTATTTGGCTTCTCCCCATTATTTGCGCTAATTTACTAAATTTTGTAGAAGTGCACTATACTATTATAGTTTCAAATCCACCCTTTTTCTATAGATCCTCCACATCCTTTATTTTCTCTTTTTTTTTTCATTTTCTTTCTATTATTATCGGGATGATTTTTTACTTATTATCGAACTGATTAGATTGTCTTATTCGTGTTACTGATTTTTTTTTGTTCACTGATTTTCTTCATAATATTTATCCCCGCTACTTTTTCTAATTAATCTTCAACAATTTCATATTTCCTATTCATGAGAAACGATTTAGTAATTTCAAAGATATCTGCCATATATCGTTAAGATTATAAAACGAAAAATATATAGAGAATTGTTTTAACCTTCAATGGTGGGCGTACTTATGACAGGCCATGTCACTTTCATTAATATTTGAGACAAAATTCTTTTGCAACATCAAAACTTCATAAAGTATGTATATATTATACACATTACCAAAAAAATTAACAAAAAAGAAAGAAAAGAAGCATAATCCATTCATCAGTCTAAATGTATGTAAGCTTATGTATGGTACATAAATAAAACCTATATTTTAACCAAAACCTGAAGGGAAACAAATATCAATAGGAATAATTTTTTTTTTGTGCGACCAAGTAAGTCAGTCTCTTATGAAATTTCCCCGAAATCAAAAAATAAATAAAATAGAACAAATCAAACAAATGCATACGATACCGCACCCAAACCAAAAAGGGCGATCCCAAAGTACCATATGTTACTATGATCGGAGGTTACTCTAATGGCATTAGTTTTTCTTTGGTTTTCCAAACTTCTCTTGACTTTTCTTCTAGAAGATGATCCGGAGGTGGCAGATGCGGTGGCTGTAGGGTTCAAGGTCTCTGTTGGCAAAATGAGGGCAGGTCTATAGGCGAGCCAGAGTGGTGGGATAGGAGCCCCATCGGCATCGTAGAGTTGTAACTTCCAACGACCATTGTACGAATCAACGTACACAATGTATTCTGAAAAAGAGGTGTTGGAACTATAACGAGTGTACACCGAGGTACCATCATCATTACATGGATCACTCAACAATTGACGGCCATCGACCGCGATAGATTGAAAGTTAATCTGCCCATCACTAATGTTGTAAGTCCCATGCTCCCATTGAAGCACAGCGGTTGGGCAAGTGTGGTCTTTGGCATTAGGGGTCACCACATAAAGAGCCGACTCGTAGTACCCATCTTCGGTGAACGAGTAACTACGGCCAGGAAGACTAGGCTCGATCAAGAGCTCATCGACTGGATCGTAGAACCCTGGGCCGGTGAACACCATATTTGACTTTGTTGACCAGGTCCCATAAAGACTGGAATCAAGCGATGCAGCGCTGGCAGCAGTGGCGAGGGACACTGAGGCTAGGAGTTTTGTGAAGATCATATTTTATGTGGAAAAATAGAAGCAATGCCTGATTCTTGAGGCTATGATAATGATATATAGGCTCTTCTTGAGGGATGACAAAGAAAAAAAACTAGAACAAACACTAGATTATTTTCCAACAATGACAATGAAAAGAAAAGAGCGATCCACTCTCTAGTAATATCTTTGATTTATATGTTTGTTGCTTATTGAGAGACCTCTCCTTCCTGGCAAAACAGACGGTGCTCTCTTCGTGTCGTTTTTTGGAATTTTTTTCTTTTCTTGTCGTGGGTTGCCCGTCCTCACATTGTCAATAACTGCGGCAGTGCAATACAGTACAATACAATGTATTAATTTTTGTATATAATTACCCAAAATAATATGATGGGTCCTACAAAATAGTATAATTGAACCAATATAATACACGTGTATATAGTACAGCCATAGATCACACCTATTCTCACACTCTCGCGTACCTCCGTAACATATTGTCTTTGGCTACCAACCCTTGTAAGTCTCGCATATCAACCTCCAACTGGAACGCCCGCGTATCGTAATTATCCACCGCATTGCTATTATTGGCCCCTTTGCCCCTTCTGTTATTTAATCTCACCTGGCCAGATGGTGCAATAATCAACCCTAGCTCTTCCAACTTCTCCCAGGTCGCACGACAGGCTTTCTTGCTCCAGATTCTAAACCCAATTGGGCCGGCGTTGGCAATAGACTTCCCGGTACCGTCTAAGACTTTTGTTTTCCGCAGGTCATTGATAGCTTTGGAAAGCTTTACATACTCTTCGTAACACAAGTTGAAATTCACAAAATTCAAATCGAGTTTCAAAGTCACCCTGGCTGCACAAATCACCATAAACAATTGGAGGTCCGACATCGATTCGTTGAAAAGACCTTTGAGAATATTGTTCGAGGCATCGAATTCTTGAAAATTATTCACCAGGTTATATTTGGCAAAACCCAGGTCCAATGGGAAAGCTGCGACACCGTTATTGATCTTGGTGATGGGGTAAACGCACGATTTCAATAGTTCTCCATGATTCTTGACAGTAATAAAGTTTTTGAGCACCAATTCTTTGAAATTCTTCCCGAAATTTTGGTGATAAAACAACGCATTCATGTAATCATTCCAAACAAGACCATATTTCTTGTTGACCAATTTCAGATTGTTGATCTCTTCAAAACTCAAACATAAATTATATCGCAAATCAAACCAGAAAAATTCCGCTTCAGAATCCGTATGGAAATTCATTAAAACGTTACGATCCCCAATATCCTTGGGGCCAAAATGACCAAAAAAATTGATGATTCGTTGTGAGAATCTTGAGCTCACTCTTTTCTCCAATTGTTCTTTGACATTGACCTTAGTGGTTAGCCCCACCACGCTGATGGGAATTGTATGATTACTACTTGCCAAATCAAACAAATTGTAGAGTAAAGTTTGGCGATTATGGGTAGCAAACTTTTCAAATTCATCAATAACAAATACCAATGCCACCGCTTTGCCTTGTTTATCACCAACACTAATCTGTTCTAAACTCGATAAAATTGCAGAAAAAGTCTCATTAATCGATCTTTTCTCGAATCTCTTGTCATTATTTTCTTGTTCTCCATCACTTGCATCGTCATCGTCATATTCATCATAACCAGGTCCATCATCCTCTTTGTAAAATTCCAGAAATTGACCAGTAGATTTCCCCAAGTTCCGTAGATTCACATCTAATTGTCTAGCAATCTCACGAACCGCAGATTTATCATCAGTTTGTAACGAGCCATTAAGTCTAATAGTCATAAACGTTTTGTTGCTTCCGGAATTGTATTTATCGTTTAGACTCGTCAATGCGTTTTCTAACGTCAACTTTTTCCCAGATTTTTTGGCTCCAATTAAAAGACACGAAGATGAAGCACCATTAATTACACTATGTTCAAGAAAAGCGTATACTTGGTTATATTTTGCCAGTAAGGAGTTAGGAAGTTGGTTTACCTTTTGACTAGGGTCATACAACCCAACAACTGGTTTAATAAATGGGATCCGTGAGCTGACATCGGGTACCAGGTCCCTGGTGATCTTTTTAAGGATCACTGACTTTACATAATTCACATCACCAGCAGTAGTTTCAAGGGTTTGGGAGTTGAATTTTTTGAGGCACTCGATGGTGGCATCGTCACAATTCCAGGCACCATAATTCAAACTGTTTTCGTTGTTGGCGTCTTTTTCCTTGAAAGATTTCTCGACCATTACTGAGCTCTGTTGCTTTAAGATTTCCTTTAAGATAACGTCGAATCCCAATTGCTGATCATCTTGGTCGTTTGTAAGTGCTGATTCTCTGTATCGAGATTGTAATCGCGTGGTTTTCCGAATTCGTTTATTGTCGCCAGCATCTTCAGGATAAGGATTGCGAGACCGCTTATTACTTTTCGTAGTTAAGGATTCGTCAAGGTTATTATTCTCTTTTTGACCAGACTGGGTTAGAACTTCTCCTTCTTTTTCATCTTGTTGTTGTTGTTGTTGTTGTTGTTGTTGTTGTTGCATGGCGAGGGTTGCAGCATCATCTTGACTGTCCACTTTGTCACCCCCAATTCCTCGGAACCAGGCAAGCAACGACATGATAGTGCGAGTATTCTGAATAGCTACTACCAGTAACACACCAATGATTTATGCTATTGTTATATTGTTGTTGTTAGAGTATTTATTATTATTATTATAATAACCTCCTCTCTCACGTGACACCCGCACACCAGGACAGGCGATTTTCGTTTTTTTTTCCCCTCCAATCGAAAATTTTCATCTCATCAGAAATTAACATCTGTTTTTGTTTGTTACCATCCACATCCAAGAAGATTATCTCAAAGATGTTCTCCGGTATCACCTTATCCAGAACTTTGCGTTCGATCCGCCCGGTTCTCAAGGGTATCTCCTCTGCCAGAGCCCCAGCCTTGTCCAGATCTTATGCCGTCAGCTTTGACCGTTCCAAGCCTCACTTGAACGTCGGTACCATTGGTCACGTCGATCACGGTAAGACTACCTTGACCGCCGCCATCACCAAGTGTTTGGCTGACAAGGGTCAAGCCGACTTCTTGGATTACAACTCCATTGACAGAGCTCCAGAAGAAAGAGAAAGAGGTATCACCATTTCCACCGCCCACGTCGAATACGAAACTGAAAAACGTCACTATGCCCACGTCGATTGTCCAGGTCACGCTGATTACATTAAGAACATGATTACTGGTGCCGCCCAAATGGACGGTGCTATCATTGTTGTTGCTGCTACTGATGGTCAAATGCCTCAAACTAGAGAACATTTGCTTTTGGCTCGTCAAGTTGGTGTTCAACACCTTGTTGTGTTTGTCAACAAGGTCGACACCATTGATGACCCAGAAATGTTGGAATTGGTTGAAATGGAAATGAGAGAAGTCTTGACTCAATATGGTTTTGATGGTGATAACACCCCAGTCATCATGGGTTCTGCTTTGTGTGCTTTGGAAGGTAGAGAACCAGAAATTGGTGAAAAGGCTATTGCCAAATTGTTGGACGCCGTTGACGAATACATCCCAACCCCTGTTAGAGACACTGAACAATCTTTCTTGATGCCTATTGAAGATGTCTTCTCCATTTCTGGTAGAGGTACCGTTGTTACTGGTAGAGCCGAACGTGGTACTTTGAAGAAGGGTGAAGAAGTTGAAATTGTCGGTTTCAACAAGGTCCCATTGAAGACTATTGTCACTGGTATTGAAATGTTCAGAAAGGAATTAGACTCTGCTATGGCTGGTGATAACGCTGGTATTTTGTTAAGAGGTATCAAGAAGGAACAACTTAGAAGAGGTATGGTCATGGCTAAGCCAGGTACCCTCAGTGCCCACACTAAGTTCTTGGCCTCCATTTACGTTTTGACTAAGGAAGAAGGTGGTAGACACTCTCCATTTGGTGAATTCTACAGACCTCAAGTCTTTATCAGAACCGGTAACGTCACCACAACCTTGACTTTCCCAGATGGTGAAGATGTCGACCACTCCAAGCAAGTCTTCCCAGGTGACAACGTTGAAATGCAATGTGAATTGGTTGCCCCAACCCCAATTGAAGTTGGTCAACGTTTCAATATCAGAGAAGGTGGTAAGACCGTCGCCACTGGTTTGGTCACTAGAATGATCGAGTAAATGCAATGACTGAATTATTGTATCTTCTTGATAAACAGGAAGCGTTGTTATACATAGGTTTTCTACTGTAAATATATCAAGAATTAGTTTGTGATCGCCAATTGTAAGATTGAAATGATAAAGAATCTCTTTTCACGTAGTGCCAAAAAAAAACCATTCCGGCTTCGGCTCCGGCTCCCGGCCAACAAAAAAAAAAAAATTGGCGTCAATTTGATTAAAAAGATCAAAATTCTTTGAGAAAGACAGGAATCACTTTTCAAAGAAGGCTGTCTCTGTCTGTCACCAAATTCCACCCCACAAACACATACCATGCTTTCCAGAAACGTCACCAAATTCTGTGCTACTCGCCGTATCATTTCTCAAAGAAACCTTCATGTTTCCGCCGCTCTTTTGAATAAAAGAGTTGAAACTGATGCCTTTGGTGAGATCGAGGTCGACACCACCAGATACTGGGGTGCCCAAACTCAAAGATCTTTGCAAAACTTCGACATCGGTCAACCAACCGCTAGATTGCCTCCCTCCTTGATCAAATCTTTTGGTATTCTTAAAAAAGCTGCTGCCATCGTCAATGAACGTTACGGTACCCTCAAGCCAGAAGTTGCCAAAGCTATCCAACAAGCTGCCACCGAAGTTTCCGAAGGGAAATTGATCGACCACTTCCCATTGGTGGTGTTCCAAACCGGTTCTGGTACCCAATCTAATATGAACGCCAATGAAGTCATCTCCAACAGAGCCATCGAATTGTTGGGCGGTGTCATGGGTTCCAAGAAACCAGTGCATCCAAACGACGATGTCAACAAGTCTCAATCCTCTAACGACACTTTCCCAACTGTGATGCACATTGCTGCCGTCACTGAAATCTCCCAAAGCTTGCTTCCTGAATTGGCTGCCTTAAGAGAGGCTTTGCAAGCTAAATCTGACGAATTCGCCAATATTGTCAAGATTGGTAGAACCCACTTGCAAGACGCTACCCCATTGACCTTGGGCCAAGAATTCTCCGGTTACGTCCAACAAGTCACCAACGGTATTGCCAGAGTCGAAAGTTCTTTGGGTACTTTGAGATGTTTGGCTCAAGGTGGTACTGCCGTCGGTACCGGTTTGAACACCAAGAAGGGTTGGGACTCCGACATTGCCTCCGAAGTCTCTAACTTGACCGGTCTCGAATTCAAGGCCGCTCCAAACAAATTCGAAGCTCTTGCTGCTCATGATGCTATTGTCGAAGCCTCTGGTGCTCTTAACACTGTTGCCGTCTCTCTTTTCAAGATCGCCAACGATATCAGATACTTGGGTTCTGGTCCACGTTGTGGGTACGGTGAATTGGCCTTGCCAGAAAACGAACCTGGTTCGTCAATCATGCCTGGTAAAGTTAACCCAACCCAAAACGAAGCCCTTACCATGGTCTGTACTCAAGTGTTTGGTAACCACTCCACCATCACTTTTGCCGGTGCCTCCGGTCAATTCGAATTGAATGTTTTCAAGCCAGTCATGATCTACAACTTGTTGCAATCTATTTCTTTGCTTGCCGACGGTGCCAAATCTTTTAGAATCCACTGTGTTGAAGGTATTAAAGCTAACGAAGATAAGATTAACAAATTGTTGCACGAATCCTTGATGTTGGTCACCGCCTTGAACCCATACATTGGTTACGACAAGGCCTCCAAGGTTGCCAAGAACGCCCACAAGAAGGGAATCACTTTGAAGGAATCTGCTTTGGAATTGGGGGTTTTGACTGAAGAAGAATTCAAGAAATGGGTTGTCCCAGAAGATATGATTGGCCCAAAATAAAAAATTAGATTTGGTGAGTGAGTTGATAGACTGACTTTTTCTGTGCTATGGTTTTTGTAGATAGGTGTTTTTTTTTTCTTTTTTGAACATAGTAAGAGAGACTTTTGTCTTTGAAAATATATGTTATCTCAGCTTCTTCTTTGATATTAAAAATATAAAGAATCATGAGTAAGTAAATGTGTTTGTCTATTAGCGTCATTCTCTACGAAAAAAAAAGCTATCAAATTAAGACTTAAAATAAATTAACTCAAATCTTGAATATACAAGTCGACCAAAAAATTCATAAAATCATTAACAATAAAAAAAAAGTGCAATATCAAGAAAAAAAGAAGGAAAGAATACTATAATAAGGCACCTAAAGAAAACTTAAGCATTCTTCTCTAAACTATCTTCAGTGTCTTTAGGAACTTGAGCATTTGGATTCTGTTTCTGATTAGCCAAAATTTGTTCAAATCGCTTTTGTTGTTCCAATTGATTAGCGGGTGGAACAGGTTGTTGTTTTTGCTGCTGCTGCTGTTGTTGTTGTTGTTGTTGTTGTTGTTGTTGTTGCTGCTGACGCTGTAAAATTTGCAACATGATGTTATTTCGCTGTTGAGGAGTCAAAGAATTTAAATTAAGTCTGCCCCCCAAAAAATTATTAGGAATGTTGGCAGCCATATTGCTAACCACATTTGGTGTGGCCGATGGCATATTCCTATTAACTATATTAGAATTATTAAATATAGGTTGTGTTGGAACCTGAGTGCCGCTTGCTTTGTCTGGCTGCTGATTCATTTTGGCAGGAATTTGACCTTGTACATGATCACCACCAGTATTAGCTACACTACCGACAGGTCTCTTAATGTTGTTGGAATTATTAGTTACCGGGATAGCAGGTGCTGCGCCAGTTGTGGCGGTTAAATTGACGCCACTGGAAGCCAAATTCTTGTTCCGCAATTGATTTTGCAATGCTGCAATATGCCTAGCAGCAGCTTTGGTAACCTCTTCATTTGTCCAATTTGGGTTCTTCGCTTGTATCCGGCTAATAATCGCTGACACTTGAGAATGAATATTGTTCATCGGTCTAGGATTATTAATGCCGCTACTGGTGCTTCCACTAGATCCCCTGTTGATATTATTACCAGCCTGCAAATTTCCTCCGTTCTGTACAGTACCATTAGCAGATATGTTGGATACTCTATTGATGATACCCTTATTTGGCGTGTTTGTCAAATTAGAATTCATACCACTATTATTCTGCTTTTGAAGTTGATTATCATGTATCATCTTCTGGAAATTAGCAGATATCTTCTGCTGTACATTAAGAGCATCCGGGTTTGGGTTACCTGAATTCTGAGAAACATTTGGAAACTGTTGTTGTACCTGTTGCTGCTTCGTCTGATTAACGAGGTTTGTAGAAGAATTCTCAACTTTGTCACTACTTGGAACGGCAACACCACCGTTGCCTCCATTAGTGGCACCGACAGCCCCAGAGCCTCCTTTAGATACAGAGTCTGAGGAAGAAGAGTCGGAACCTGTTTGTTGTTGACCTTGGTTAGATACTTGGGACCCGCTGCTTTTTGTACTTCTATTAGCATTAGCCCTGGCCATTAGTATTTCTCTAGCAGAACGTTCTCTTTCATATTTCATACTAGCTAAATCAGCAGGCAGTAAAATCTTGGATTTATCTTCAGCGCTCATTTGTTTTTTAAAGGTGCTGGAGTTACTTGGTTTTGGTGCAGTTTCTCTCTTTTTCATGGTTCTCTTGATCGCCTCAAACATGCTAGCCCATCTCAATCTGGTATGACCTCTTTGAATGGATTCCTTTCCAACACCAAGAGGCAATATACGACGCTTTGTGGTCGTTTGAGCCTTATGTGCAGCTTCTAACCAAATTTGTGCCGATTGGGCATAGGGCCCTCTCATATCAGTAAACTGAAACTTATCAGTTAGTTGAATATACCTTTCAAAGCATTGCCAAGGGGTCCTTCTTTCAATGTTAGAAATATAAGTCTTAGTCCTTTTAGCACCCAAATGTGAGGAGATAATATTCCAATTGAAAGAAAACTTGTTTGCGTAACCTATCAAAAGTTTATCATCTTCGGGAAGCCAAATGGTAGGAGTTCTCATATCAAGATACTTTAACGGAGGCGGCATTGGAGGTCTCACTGTATTCAGTCTCCTGGAGTAAGCACTTCCAGTAGCAAATAGACCTTCTGTTCTACCATCTGAAACACCATATTCTTCTTCATCCTCGCGCTTTACCTTTTCGACCACTTTGTACCAATTTTGGTCATTTTCAAATGGTAATAGTAACTTAGAAATAGGCACCATTGGAGTGGTATTAAATTCATTACCTGGGACATTGCAATATAAATCATCAGAGAAGTTTTCTAAATTACCAAAGGCAGTATATTCATTCATACTATCGAGAATGGATTTATTCACTCCTAATACAGAGTCTTCTTCCAATGTAAGTCTGAATGGGAACTCTGTTTGATGCTCTGGGACAGCATAACTTGGTTGAGTTGATAATAAAACCTCCTTAGGATCTTTGATATCCATGTCTTGAATTTCGTTATTTGGACCCTTAACTAGAAGGGAAGTATCAATAGATTCAGAATGATTTTCTTGTTTATTTTCTTTTGGAATCTCCTGCAAATTCTCCTCCTCCATATGATTTTCTTCCATTGGGCTTTCAATACCGATAACATCATTACTAATAAATTCCTCAAACCCATTCATTTCTTCGAAGCCATCCATTTCTCCGAAGCCATCCATTTTTTCATCCTCAGCTTCAATTTGGTCTTGCTGAATGGTGCCAGAGTCTTCAATTTCAGCAGTTTTTTGCTCTTCAGGATCAAGGAACCTGATCGGTTTTCTCCTGATGCAAACATCTTTTCCATACTTATGGTACTCCATCACAGCATTTGCTAAGAACAAACAGGTTGCAATCTTATATTTCCTGCCTTCCTTGAAGTCATTTGCCATCCAGACACCTTCTTGAATTAGATTGTCCCAGTGATTTCGTGCAGAATTTGAACCATTCAATGGCATTTGTTTGAACGGATCAATAAATCTTCTAGGTTGTTTCAAACACCACTTACCTTGCTTTTGTAACTCTTCGATTCTTGAGTGGACCACAGAAATCTTCCCTTCTAAAAACGAGCTTTCAAATAGATCTGTTGTAAGAACTTTATGTGAATTTACCAATAACTTTACCATCTGTAGACTTCTTGAGTAATAGAACAACTTAGATAATGGCATAGTTTTGCTTATTTTGGTTGGCAAATTCTCATTCAATAACATGTAAATGAGTCTTTCAGAATCTATCGTTTCATTGGCAGAATTACCAAACCCTTTCTTTTCTTTTTCAATCACAGATTGAGCATGTAGGAGTTTATATAGCTCAAACGATGATGCTTCATGGGGCATTGGTTTCGTGAATTTTCTAGATTTTTTATTTTCGTGTTTGACTATTCCAGCTGATACTTCATCAATCTTTCTTTTGCACAGATTGTTAAATGTCTTATTATTCTCCGACCCTTGCTGTCCATCACGAATGTCACTAACATTATTGTCACTACCATTATTACCTCTACTTTCTGTTATTGGCTGATTATTTTGTAGTAGTTGCTCATCATTATTCGCGCTGATTGTTTGAATGGGCCTAACCGATCCGTCTACTCTAGATTCTTTCCTTAGAGCCTTTTCATTACGTTGACTATCTAAAAGAGTACCTGGCTCCTCCTGCTTGAAGCTATTCGCGTTACTATTATTCCCTGTGGTTTGTGTTGATGAAGACATATCCGCTTTGGCAAAACTGTTGTCACTTAGTAGAGAATGAAGGACATCTTGATCCCTCAAGATCACTTGATCGGTGATCTGCTCATTTTTACCAATATTATGATCATCGATAAAATATTGTAAATAGCTAGAAACCTTCTCAATCTCAAGATCTTTCAACGGTCTATAAGGAAAATTGGAAACACAATATAAAAGGGCAAGCTTTCTTCTTCTAGAGCGGGCAATATCTTGCAACTTTGCACGCCGTCTATCAATAGACTGACGCTTCAAGCGATCCTATGGTCTAATATTAGTAAATGATAACAGCATATATAAGGTTGCTGGTGATGGATTACATACCATATTGTAACGAAATAGCCCTTTAGTGTAATATTAAGGTCTTGTGGATTTTCTACATCCCGAATGTTTTTATTCCATCTTTCAACTTTTTTTAGCCCAATTGTATACTTTACCCGGCCAGCATAATCCATTTGCGAAGTAACCTGCTACAACTTCCTCACCAAAACTTAGGAGGAAATGGATGCAATATTATTTAATAATTGATCGTGAAAAATCGGGATGCCAATATATATATATATATCAATGCTTTGCAGTTGCTTCCGAAGGTTTCCGACAATTTATTACGATCTTTGGGGGTTGCGCTCGTCGTATGCAAAAAAAAAAAATACATCCCAACATGCCAAACTGAGTGATGGCGGCTTCCCCCAAGTTTCTTCTAATTAAACAGCAAACAAAGTACATAAGAGAAGATTCGAGCTCATCATTGTTATTTCTTGTTTGTCTACTTCAAATAGTTAGAAAAGAATCATTTCCCATATATTTCAAGCTGCTGTATCGTCTGACTCGATAATGGATAGCTCACCACTCTCCAAACTCTGGGAAATGCCCCAAGATATCCTGCCAAAAATTGAAAATATATTATCGAAAAGAAAGTTTGGATCAGAAAAAATTGTATTAAGTAGCTGCTCAGCCAAAAAACTAAAGAAAGTTCTAGGCGCCAAAAACCAAAAGTGTGAAAGAACATCTTTCCGTCAAACATTTGAAGATTTTGTTTACCATTTTCCACCATTAACAAACACTTCGACCAAACCATTAGACAAAGAATTTAAAATATATGAAGAGTTCAATGCATTGACTGTTGAATCTCTAGTGCTTTATCCATTGCCTAATATTTCCCAAATTTGCGAAATTCCGGGAAAGGAAACATTACTAATAGATGCCGATACGAAAGCATTTGTTCAAAAGACATGCTATTGGAAACAATATATCCCACACATGAAGCCATTGGCAAGAAATGTCTTGCATTCGACATCCAATGCAAATGAGTTTATTATAGATGACTTGTTGTTCAAGGATGACTTAGATTCTTCTTTGCAGTTAAGAGATTTAAAGCATGTATTCACAGAATGGTCCTCTATTACACGCTACTATGATATTTTTTCTATTGAAGAGGAGTTATATTTTCTTGAACAAGATATTTTAAATCACAACAGTCATGATGCTCGAGATTTTGCGCCCAAGAAACTTGAAACGCATGATAAATTCACATTCAGCAAGCCGATATTTTACTGCGACTCTGATGACTTGAAACCTCAATTCTACTACCTAGAACCGTTAATGAACGTTACAAATATTGAAGGAAGTCTAAATAAAGATATTTCTGACGTGCTAAATGAGCTTGAAATCTTTGAAGAAGACATTGACGTTAGATTAATTGAATTTAAATTCTCCTTGCCTATTATTGATGACAAACTTGAAGCGGTGGACAGATCTATAAATGAAGCCTTCAATATGGAATGGACCCTATCAGATTTCATTTTGATGGATTTGGACTGGAAGCCTATTAAAGACTTGGAAAAACACATTTTTCTGGAAGAGACAATAAATAACTGCCAGATCTCATTTGAATCCGGAAAACATGAAGTAAAGATATCCAAACTCACAAGATATCAATACGAGTCACTCATTGAAAATGAAAGAAAAATTCTGGAGAATAAAGATGAGTTCAAGGATATTAACGTATTATGTATTCAAGAAAAGTCTAATTTTGATGAGACATTCATGCCAGATACAAAGACTAGAAACTGTACGGCTGAATTGTTAGGACGAAATATGCTTACCAAGAAATTCAACGAAGAAATAACTATGAATTATGATAATTCAATGCAAACATATCCCTCATCAATTTATAAAACGAGGGAAAATGAGGTGCAAGATAAACTCCCAGATTCCATTCCCGAATTTTATCAATTGCATGGATACTCTAACCCCGAAGATCTAGCTAGGAGTGAAGCGAATTGTTCATCAGAAGATAAAAGGCTTGATTTTCACTCATTTCGTAATAACAAGGCTCTATATAAGCATAAAAACACTGACAGTGGTCAATCACTTGAAGAATTGGATGAATTGGTCGATTACAAGAAAAGGAAACTTTCGGTAGGTGGTAGATGTGATGATGGATTGAATATCTTGAATGATATTTTTGATCTATCAAGTGCTAAAAGGCAATTTTCACAATGTAGCAAAACTGATGGCTTCAATAGTACTTTACCAAGTATAGCCTTGGAAAAAGAGCCTTGTGTCTTGAAAGAGATCTATAAACTAAATATTGGCCCGTATTCTTTCAATCTATATGATAGCCCCTTATTAAATGATGTGCAGAATAATCAAAAGGTTACAAAGATCTTGATAGTCAATTCGAATAATTTTCAAAGTAATTTCAAAGATGTGCGTACTTTGCACCAATTGAATTTATCTGAGGAACCCAAATTGATGATTTATGAAACAGATGATTTTGGAATTAGTCATGATCTTGACTATTTAGTCTCGGAAGATTTAGGGATCATGAAAGTTTCAAGTAGCAAAATTAATCAGAGAGATTCTTTCACGGGACAGAAAATGGTCATTAGAACTGTTGATAAGGTACTCAAGGGGGTTAAAAGATTGATTTTATTGATCAAATTAGAAGATTTTTTCATTCCTACCACACGTTTGGTTCTGGAGTCAGATCCCTCAATACATTATTATGAAAAGAATATGAAATTGTTGTCCTCTTTTTTAGATGAATTGGATTCTCTTGGAGTGCTTTGGGTGCTTGTGAATGACGAGGTTGCAAGAATATGTAGTTTAATCCGCAACTTAGTTGCGTGTGAAGGCATCCCTCTTAGGGATATGCTAAACATTTATGAAGTTACTGTTTGTATTCAAATGTCTAATAATTCCCATTCAATATGAAATAAATACTAACGTGAGCGCCAGGATGAAGAGCTTTTCTTTATTGAAGCAGGTTTCAACTTATTACTCTCGAAAAGAATAGCCGCAGAAATTAATCCCCGAGACCTTGCCTTGCTCGATAATCAACGGAGGACTCGATTTCTAAGTGAAATTGTTCCCCAGTACCTTTTAGTAAGTTGCTGGCCGTTTAGTTTTTGGATTTTTGATTAATGAACTAACAAAAACCATGGGCATCACTCAATCAAATCATGTCCAATTCTAATCAACTATGCTAGATGATATTTGATATCTAATAGATATGCTTGTCAAAATTTTACAGATACTGTTTAACACAAATAGAAGAATGATATTATATTGAAATCAGAAAAAATAAATAAGACAAAAGCAGTAGTAAACTAGTTATCAAACCCACCCTTCACGGTGAAAGTCTTGGCTAATTCACTAACACATCCCAAATCTAAATCATCACAGAACCCATCAATGCTTGCACTGATCAATAAATTGTCATATCTGCTTGGTTCGGTTGGCAACTTGAACAACAGTTTCCAGTCGTTTTCCAAATCAACAGGCTTACCATCTTGCTTAGCCTTCTGCTTCCATTGTTGGACCTTAGCCATTTCTCTTGAAAGCTGTCTTTGATAATAGTTGAAGTTATTTAAGTCATAGTTGTAGTCGTCAATAGAGTCCACTAACTTGTTGATTATTAAAGTAGAGTCTTCTAATCCACTCAAGTTCAAAGGACCAAAGTTTTCGAGTAAAGTGTTTTTGTTTTCCTTTTGGGCAAGATCTTCATCTGAGTTGAGATCAATCAAGTTATTGACATTCAAGTCATCCAAATGGTATTCGTTTATTTTAAGTTTCAAATCGTTCAAGAATAATGAGATTAACTGAGAGTTGTGGATTTGTATTGGCAATTCAACCAAGAAGTTCTTATAGTTTAATTCATTGTCCACCAAGATCTTTCTGGTGAATTTATTGGATTGACCATTGTTGAGGTAGGCCTTAACAAAGTTTTCGCTCAATCTGAACGCTCTCAAGGACAAGATACCCTTTTTCAACTTTGAGGCATCATGAACAAACAAAATACTGTTAGCATTATTATTTATTTGAGCGCCGAGTAAATTGTCGATAGTGAAGTGATTAAGGAAATTGGCGGAGGTGGTGGATTGGTACCAACCAACGAATTGGGTGGCATGGCCAGCAATTTTCATTTGCTCAGTCAAGTCATGGACATATTTCTGGTTGGATTTTATACGGTATGAGTAACCTTCATTTGATTCACCGATTGTAGGAAATGGGAAAGCGTGAGACACGTTCAAGACTTTTTGGTTAGTGTCCAAACCCAACAACGGACCACTAACTGGGGTTGGGAAATGCTTGGAAGCATGCTTGACAATCTTCAAGACAACGCTGCTTTCGACCTGGACGGTCTCGGTGTTCGGAGCTGTGTATTCCTTGGACATTATGAATGAACCTAACCCGTGGCAAATATATATCTCCAGATCAAATACTGTTTTGAGTAGGGACTGTCACCATCACCACAGCGTCTGTTCGCCTGAAAAATTTTTGTGAGATCGATAAATTTACCCGGCGCTGGAAATGATTCCAGCGCCGGGTAAAGTGCCATCAACTCCTTGTGAGGGAAGCAGCGAGAAGAAAAATAAAAAAAATTTCTGAATTTTTCAGTGACTAATGAATCTCCATCGGTTATCAATATAGCAAAAATGTCTGACAAACCAGTTCAACAGGTCACCGAAGGTGTCCAAAAGCTTTACTTGGATGAAGCCACCGGCGAACAAGTCTCCAAATCTGAATTGAAGAAGAGACAAAAGCAACGTCAAGTGGAAGCCAAGAAGGCTGAAAAGGCTAAGAATAAGCCACAAACTGCCCAACCAAAGAAGGATATCATGAAGGATATCACTCCAAACCAGTTCCATGAATTGCGTTCTAGACAAATCAATGAATTGAGAACCACCAAGACCCCAAACCCATACCCACACAAGTTCAAGAACACTATTGGTGTTACTGAATTCATCAAGAAGTACGCTCACTTGACCAAGGGGGAAACCGTTCCAGAAGATGTCATTTCTTTGTCTGGTAGAATCATGACCAAGAGAGAATCTGGTAAGAGTTTGAGATTCTACGTCTTGCAAGGCGAAGGTGTCCAAGTGCAAATCATGGCCCAAGCCCAAGATGCCGACGGTGATTTCGCCGCCATGCATGATATCTTGAGAAGAGGTGATATCATTGGTGTTACTGGTTACCCAGGTAGAACCCAACCAAAGAAGGGTGGTGAAGGTGAATTGTCTGTCTTTGCTAAGCAGATCACCTTGTTGTCTCCATGTTTGCACATGTTGCCTGCTGAACATTATGGTTTCAAGGACCAAGAAACCAGATACAGAAAGAGATACTTGGATTTGATCATGAACAAGAATGTTAGAGATAAATTCTTGGTTAGATCTAAGATCATTACTTTCATTAGAGATTTCTTGAACGCCAGAAACTATATTGAAGTCGAAACCCCAATCTTGAACGTTATTGCTGGTGGTGCCACTGCTAAGCCTTTCATTTCTCACCACAATGACTTGAACATGGATATGTTTTTGAGAATTGCCCCAGAATTGTTCTTGAAAGAATTGGTTGTCGGTGGTTTGGATAGAGTTTATGAAATTGGTAGACAATTCAGAAATGAAGGTATCGATATGACTCACAACCCTGAATTCACCACTTGTGAATTCTACCAAGCTTATGCTGATGTCTATGACTTGATGGACATGACCGAATTGATGGTTTCTGAAATGGTCAAGGAAATTACCGGCGGTTACTCTGTTAAGTACCACCCAGATGGTCCAGAAGGTAAAGAATTGACTATTGATTTTGCCAGACCATGGAAGAGAATCGATATGATTGAAGGTTTGGAAAAAGCCTACGATACCAAGTTCCCACCAGGAGACCAATTGCACACCGCTGAAACTGGTGAATTCTTGAAGAAATTGTTGATCAAGTACAAGTTGGACTGTGCTCCTCCATTGACCAACGCCAGAATGTTGGACAAATTGGTTGGTGAATTGGAAGATTCTTGTATCAACCCAACTTTCATTTTCGGTCACCCACAAATGATGTCTCCATTGGCCAAGTACCACAGATCTATCCCAGGTTTGTGTGAAAGATTTGAAGTTTTCGTTGCTACCAAGGAAATCTGTAATGCTTACACTGAATTGAACGACCCATTTGACCAAAGAGCCAGATTCGAAGAACAAGCTAGACAAAAGGATCAAGGTGATGATGAAGCCCAATTGATCGATGAAACCTTCTGTAATGCTTTGGAATACGGTTTGCCACCAACTGGTGGTTGGGGTTGTGGTATCGATAGACTTGCCATGTTCTTGACTGACTCCAACACCATCAGAGAGGTTTTGTTATTCCCAACTTTGAAGCCAGATGAAAAGGAAGTTAAGTCTGGTAACTAAGCGGGGGTTTTGTGTATTTTATAAAGTTGAATTGATTTTTTTTTTTCATACATTTCGACATCATAGAAGGTATTTACTGTTCAATCTATTTACCTTATACATTCAAGTAGTTGTCCATAATTCCTGTATTATTGTCAATATATCCTATAATCCATTTCGTATCTCCACTCACTAGTAGTAGCTTATGTTGTTGACTATTTCTCTAGCTTAGAAACTTCCTTACGGAAGGATGGAGGCTGGAAAATATAAGGTTGATATCTGTAAATTATTTGTGGCTGGTATATATATGTTATGATGAAAAGTGCTTTTGAACTGCCCTAAATTACTGTGGGGTGTGCTGCTTTACGCTAGATACACCATGGGAGTTTCCATTCCTTCGGGTCATCGAAAAATTATTTATTTTTGTCTAATAGATACATAATATTCTGAGCGTAGCAGTTTTTCTTCTTCCATTTTGCCCATCTTCAGGATTTGTCTGGTCGATACAGCGTGGATTGGTTACATGGTCTTCTATTGCAAACAATATTTGTCTTTTTGACCACGGATTCAGAATTTTTTAGCTATCCAACTCTTCTGCTCTCTAAATCATTCGCTTTTTATTTCCTCTCTTTCCCTGTTCTTTTGGTTATGTTTATATGTATATATTGTTATTATCCAGAGTAATGATGCAGATCCTCAGACAAAAAAAAAAAAAGCACCAAAAGTCTGACGGTCCACGGAATTTCTTTGCCACTTCCCAATTTTTTTGTATCCACCAGAATGCAATGTCCACCTACGAAAGTGAGTTAATAAAGTGCCTTAGTATTTGGTTGTGTCTTCTGATAAGTTTTGACTAACAAGATAGATGACCACAACATAAATGTATCATCATCTGAATCCAGAAATCAAGGTGATGGTAATCAGCAGAATCTAAATCAGATTATGGGGAACTTTTTCCAGCAGTCAGCAATTTCAGGAAATGATCATGAAGGAGATGGTGCATCTGAGATCAACACCTTTAGAGAGTAAGTTATTGCCAATTATACGACGTTATAGAACTCCTCCCAGCTAACAATTTTACCAGTCGATTGAGATCACTAGCAGAAGAAAATGGCGGCCTTCCAACAGAAATGTTGAGCACATTAGACTCAATGTTGAATGATCCAAGTAAAAAACATAGTGGTGTAACTGATGAATTCTTTGACTCTTTGGATAGAGTGACGAAGAAACAATTGAAACAGGAAGATACATGTGCCATTTGTACGTCTACGTTCTTGGATGATGACTATCCATTGGTGGTTAAACTTAATAGGTGCCACCACAAGTTTGATTTGGATTGTATCAAGCCATGGCTCACTGTAAATTCTACATGTCCCCTCTGCAGGGCTGATGTGTTGGCCAAAAAGACTATTGAAGTTGAGAGTGATGATGAGGAGGAATTTGATGATATGTATGGATGAACAAATATTACATGATAATAGAATTTTCAATAATATAGAGCTTACAGTTTTTATCACCTCTTTTTTTTTTTTAATTATTTTATGTTTATTATAAAAAAATAGATACGTATATACATGTTATAGGGCCTCGGATCCATCTAGTCTTTGATTCAACCGCGGGCCTTCTTAAGATGAGCTCACTGGTTTTCCCACAGTCTCATACAAGCCTTTTTTATACTCCGAACTATTCAATATTTCGCTAATTCTTTGGGCAACCGGGTCGGCATTTTCTGGTTGGTTCTTCAAGTATGGGCTCTTGTCATCGATGTCAAAAGCAGCACCTTCCAATTCTTTCAAAGCACTCAATGACTCCTGAACAAACACGTTGGTCTTGATACCCACGCCCGGCATACTGTACTTATTCAAGATAGCAAACCATAAATCAATGACTTCTGGGTTTGCATCCCAGGCTTTAATTAATCTCTTGTGGGTTTTTCTTTCGAAATTTTCCTTCGACTTGGATTTAACGAACGGAGCTCTAATGACTGTCCAATCTTCTGTTTTGGTAGGAAGAGGCTTTGGTCCACTGATTGGAATTCCTAAATAGTAAGCAGCTCTAAGGGCGAAATCTATAAAGAAATCCATATTCTGTATACCATATGACTTAAAGTAAACCTCGGCGGCCAAGCACTTATGCTTGATTTCGTGTCTCAAAGGTTCATGATAAATGGCTTCGACGTTGACTGGGAAACCTGGTTCTTTTGATAACACTTGTGGATTGTAAGGCGAAGAAGAAGTATTATTGACTTTGCTGCTGTTCTTCTTAGTTAAAGGTGTCTGTGTTGGGGATTGTTGGAACACACGGCTGGTTGTGCTGAGTAAGCGCGTGCTATGTCTAAGACCAGTATAACGAGATGCAAATCTTCCGGCAATCATCGTGGGGTTGTGATATAATAATAACTAATAATAATCAACAGTTTATCATCACCGATTTCTCATAAATTTTTCACCCAAAAATTCAATTTGGGGGAATTTTGCACGTGATCATCAAAAAAATTTTATGCCAAAATTCAATCCCATCGTGAGCTTCACCAAGCGGCCTCTGATTGTGATAGATAACGCGCCATGGGTAAAAGCAGTAAGGATAAGAGAGATTTGTATTATAGGTATGTGTTTTCTTTTTGTTCATGTCAATGTTTTGTTGTTTTGTTGTGATTACTGACACTCTCAAAAAAGAAAGGCCAAGGAAGAAGGTTGGAGAGCCAGATCGGCGTTCAAATTATTGCAGTTGAATGAGCAATTTCAATTGTTCAAAGGAGTAAGAAGAGTCGTTGATCTTTGTGCAGCACCGGGATCATGGTCCCAGGTCTTATCCCGGGAAATCTATGAAAAGAATGTCGATGGAGAATCTGAACCAAAGATCGTGGCCGTCGATTTGCAACCAATGTCTCCGATCAAAGGGGTTACAACGTTGCAAGCCGACATCACCCATCCAAAGACTTTGTCAAAGATTTTGGACATTTTTGGTGGTGAGCCAGCAGACTTCATCTGTAGTGACGGTGCTCCTGATGTCACAGGTTTACATGATCTAGATGAATATATTCAAGCACAATTGATCTTGTCGGCACTTCAATTGACTACATGTTTATTGAAGCCTGGTGGAACTTTTGTGGCTAAGATTTTCAGAGGAAGAGATATTGATTTGATGTATGCTCAGCTAGGATACTTGTTTGAAAATGTCATTTGTGCCAAGCCAAGAGCCTCTAGAGGTACTTCGTTGGAGGCTTTCATTGTTTGCAGAAACTACACTCCTATTCCTGGATGGACTCCACAGTTGAAGTTGAATCAATCAACCGAAGAGTTCTTTGAAGATGCCAGCATTGCAAGAAAGAACAAGTTGGGTGACAAGTTAGAAAATTACTTGCCAACTGAAGAACGTCATATTGCACCATTTGTAGCCTGCGGTGATTTATCAAGCTACGATTCTGATGCCACTTATTCTCTCGATCATAGTGTTGCCAGAGTCAGTTTAGATCCTGTGCAATCGCCAACAGCTCCCCCATATAAGAAAGCCATCGAAATGAAAAGGAAAGGTCAGTTGAAGCAAAAGGCTTATAAATGAATGGAAGCCGGTAGAGTTGATTAACAGTAAAAATGAAGGAAAAAAAAGGAAAAAAAAAAAAAAAAATGGGCCATGTTGTAATATATGTTTATTTATCTAGAGTCTTCTGAGGACCACACAACTGTAGATCAAACGAACATCTGGTTTGTTGCCAAAATATAATAAATCTGGATAAATCTTTGTTTATCCATTTTGTTGAACCAGTAAGGTAAAACATTCACATTTTATATAATAAGGTTAACCTAAAAAAAATCAATGGTTTTGTGAACATGAGCAACAACACCCTAACATAATGCATTAGGGATATATTTGAAAAATCAGTCCGCATGAATCTTCTCTGCTACCCCCGATCACAACCAGAACAAAACAACAGCAAATCAAATGATTTGTCAAGATGACATATCAATATTCCTTGGTGATCTAATTGCCACTGAAGTTCTAAATGAATTCCGTAAAATGACTGCAAAAGGTAAGCCTGCAACCCGATCTAATGGGGTCAACGAATGGACGGTGTTGGCGAGCGTTGTTGCGGTGATTAATGGTAAAACCCTTTCGGAAACCCCCGAAATCAGAGTGCTCACTCTTGCTACTGGGGTAAAATCTCTTCCGGTTGAGTTTATTGATAGGAATTCTGCAAAAGGACGGTTGGTGCACGATTCACACGCCGAGATTTTGGCGCTTCGAATGTTTAATTATTATTTGATCAATGAGATCCTTCGATTGGAAGGGAAACATCCTAAAATGCCACTGAATAATATAAAACACGAATCAATTTTGATGAAGCAACAAAGGGAGCCAGGATTTATGTATAAGATTAAAGATGATGTGGAGTTGGCATTATATATTTCTGAATTGCCTTGTGGAGATGCAAGTTTGAAAGTTTCACTAGCAGATGATAATGGCAACGATGTTGAAGCGTGGCAAACTCCTGTGAAAAGATTGAAAACCGGTAAAGACAATAATGGAATAATTAGAGGAAGAAATCATTATTCAGAAGAGGGTCTGGTGCGTACCAAGCCAGGTCGACCTGATTCTCCGGTATCATTGTCAAAGTCTTGTTCAGATAAGTTGACATTGAAACAATATATAGGTATTCTTAACTGTGTCACGTCTCTACTAATTAGCCCGAAGAATTCATTTTTACGATGGTTAGTGATTCCCAAACCTCGGCTACAACCTAGTAATTGTGAGGATATAATTAGGTGTTTCAAGACTAGGCTTCAAACTGATCCCAACTTGCAGAGCGATGGTGGTGCCTATTTGCTAAGACATTATGAGATCCTTCCGACAGAGAAAAAATTCCAATATTCTAAGCATGATGCTGACCAGGTGCCGTCTATGAATGCGATTGTATATTTGGCGGATTATCAAAAGTTTCCAAACACCAATATGATCAAAGGTGGTAAAAACCCCATTGTCGTGCACGAAGTCATCAACAGTGGAGTCAAACTAGGCTGTAAATCAAAGAAAGAAAAGAATTGTGTAAGTTCTGCAAGCTCTTCGGTAATATCCCGAAGAAAACTAACGGAGCTTGCGATTCCAATTATACCAAATGTCCTGGAAAAATTGGATTATGCATTCATAAAACAGTCAAATAAAGAAAGAGAAGCAGCAAAGACACTATGTCAAAATCAGCTTGGTGGCTGGGTCAAGAACACTACAGACAATTTCCCATCGGAAATTAAAAAATTAATAGATTATTTCTAGAGTTTAATAAGATATGAGAACCACATCAGCAAATAAACGATTATTAGGTAAAAGCTTGGAAAAATATTTATGTATAATTTACAATCAACACATTGTTGTGGCAATCGTTTTCTTCTCATTATCATTCAATTGTTCGTAGAACTTTTGGAAATCACCCCCAGATTGGATACACTCTTTCAAGAAACTGGTAATGATAATCTTCAAATCTTGAGAAGATTCATCATCCAACGATGTGTTTTTCTCATCATCTTCCACAAATGACTTTAACTTGTTAAAAGTAGGAATTCCAATATCTCCAACATCTTCCCATTCATCTTCGTCACCACCAGCGGCAACTTCTTCAGTAGTAGTGACATAATCATTGGTATCAGGTTGCTGTGATAGGAAACTCAACTCTTGAAGAAACAATTTAAGAATCTTGGTGGAGGCTGAGATTTGGGTGAAGTTCATTGGCATCTTTTTAGCCATTGATCTAGTTATGATAATATCTGGATTATTTTGATTTGGGATCAAGTCTCCTTTCACGATCAAGTTCTCCACTCTAGAATCTTTGGCTAAAAATATCTTGCCTAACGCATTTACATTTTGTTTGATTTTTTCGGCCCCGCCCGTACTAGTAAAACTATCTAACCAAATTGGCAATACCACCTCGATACCATTCTTTTTCTCAACAGGCAGATTATCATATTTAGCAGCTCCTGGGGTTGGGGGTTCAAAAAATGGGAAGCTCAACGATCCCAAGAAATTCAAAGTCTCCTCTGGGGATAATAACACCAAATAACAGAACACTGTCATCAAGTTTTCAATGATTATTGGATGGTTGGCGATTAGCAATCTTCTGGTTGCTGATTCCAAGATCTTTGGCATATAATCATTCAATTGATACTTGAATTTTTGTACAATGCTGACAACAATGGACCCAACGCTCATAGCAGCACTATCAGACAAAGTTGGTGATAAGAATTTCTCCAAAATTTGCAACGCGATCTGGATCCCATTTTTATTAGCATTACTTTTGAAGTCCAAGAAATACCGTTCGTTAGCATTCACTAAAACAGTATTAAACACTTCGCCACCAATTTGTAAAATTTGATCATCAACTGAATGGATTAATAAACCAGTAAGAGGAGCGAATATAAAGTTGAACAATGATTCTGGCAAATCACGCTCAGATGGGCGATTGTCAATGAAGATATTTAACAATTCTAGAGCCATGTACAATTTAGGTGAAAACTCAATATTATCACCAGTAGCTTTGCTTTCGTTTAAAATTTCAATCAAGGAAGGCAAACCAAACTCGCATTGTTTTAAGTAATCTTCTTCGGCAATATCAGTCAATAAAGTTTCTAAACTATCTTTGGCAGTCTGGACGTTCATAATGTTAGAGAAATCGACCCCGGCAATCTTGAAAATTAAAGTAATGTCATCAGTACCGGCCTGAGAGCTCTTCAAATCAATATTAATAGAAATCGTTAAAGACTCGAGTAAAACGGCAGGGGTATCTTCCTCAGCTTCATCAACTAAGAAATGCATTATTTGATGAATGACGTGTTGTATCTGGACATTCAAGCTTTTGTCATCAAATTTCAAGAAGCTGTTGAAATAAGTAAGAGAAATCAAAGCAGCCGATTGAATTATTTTGATACAATCATTACTTTCTTTATCAAAATTTGCATCATTAGCAATACCATCAGCTTTGATGACATCACTATTTTTTATGTTAGCGGCAGTACTCAAGTTACTTGTAAGAGCTTTGTAAGACAACTCGTTAAAGTTGCTGACATTTTGGCCAAATTTTTCCAAATACTTGGCTAGCACTAACACTGACCTGGCTATCACCATTGGATTTTCATTGGAATTACTGGAATGAGAGAGCAAGCTTTCGAGAACCGCTTCAAAACTAATATTTCCTGGTAATGTTGTATTATCATCCTCGTTTAAGAAAAGTGATTCAAGCATACTGAGAAGTGACTCTTTGTTTCTCCAATTCCCAGAAACAGATTGGTCAGACAAAAGCATTAATGAGGCTTCCAAAAAGGCTGCGGCATCCTCACTTTGAACCTCTGACAAATAATCACTAACAGAGTTTCTAACGGTGAACAGGCCCGACATTTCGGTTTCATCAGTGACAAAAAGATTAAAGTTATCAATGTATAATTCGTAAGTCTCGATGGGAACAGTATTAAAGATAACAAAACTGTTCAATAATGATCGTAGGGATGATGGGTTATTGACAAGTAAACAATCAGAGAGGCTCCCCATTATCTGGATAATTTGCGTCACTAAATTATTTAGGGCGGTGCTTGGATCAACAAAATCAGCTTCATCTTTTTTGGTATGGACAATGAATTTTTCCGGATTTGCTTCAGCCTCAGAAGCAATCGAAATGTTGTAATAAAACCTACTCAAATTGGCAATATGATTAACAACAAGCTCCTGAATCATTGCCCTTGATTGGTCATTAAACAATTTCCTTTTGTAAGAGTCTATCATAAAGGTTAAAATGTCATAAAGTTTATGGGTGAAAAGAACGTTTTCGATATTGAGAATATTAATATTTGTGTTGAGAATTTCGGTTACGTAATTAAATTGTTCTTTGACCAAATTGAGAATGAGTTCTAAACACTTTGGCAAAAATTCGGCAGCAAGCGCCGCTCTTGAAGGGTTTGAGAAAACCTCTGGACCCTGAATTTGTTTGAGCACAACCTCAAATAATTTCGCCACCTGGTTCTTGATAACTAATGGAACGAAAGAATAATTATCTGAGCCAATTATTGGAGCTGATGGGGCTGCTAAAAGCTCGATACAGTACTTCAATGTGTTGGCTCCAACAAAGCCTTCGAAAAATTGCTCCTCGGTGATTAGCTCATCAAATAAATCATGTAGAACATTCAAACCACCAAGAAGTGAGTTTTGAGTAACATTGGAACTTGAGTTGTCGATAAGAGAATATAAAATTTTGATTAAATCTGGCCATTCATCAGGATAGTCAACAACTGATATCATAACAATAATATTACTAGCAGCGTTTCTAAGTTTGGTGGTTTCAGTTTCACTGACCAACCTCAATAAACTTGAGCGAATAAAGACTTTCGTTTCTTGAGTGACTGGGTTACCTGCAAAGCTTTCAAATCCAATTGACCAATGTAAAGCCACCACCCTTTTCAAGTAAACTAAAGCAGATTGCTTAACAATCAGATCCGATTGTTGGTTTAAACTAATATTGATCAACGCGCTCGCCACGGCAGAAGGGTTTTCTGAGATTGCCGCAAAGAACCCACGCTCAGCCTGTGATCTAACATTATTGTCTGGTAACTGAGATTTGTATATGATATCCAAAAGCAAATTTTCCATCGCGAGATCAAGAATTAAACCCTGGCTTTACCTGTATTAATAAATAAATTCAACGCGACGATTAAACTGCGCCGAGGTGAATTGAGGCGTTAAAATTTGGAGCTAACCTAAGATTTGACAATGCCACAATTAAATGATTGGAAACCTGATGGGAGGGAAAGCACTAGGAAACCGCGACGCTTTTTCGACTGGGGGAGGGAGAGGGATGTTTTCTTGTGGTTCCACTGTTCCTGGCAGGAAAAAGTCAGGGAAAAATAAATTGCAATTCTGACAAAGGGTCACCTGTTGCTGCATGTGATAACTCTATCGAGAACACCGTCACCTCCGAGGTATATTGATAGGCAAACAGCGCATAAAGCGATAGCACAAACACCACATTCTCTTGCTGTATTAGTTATAATTGTCTCTGTCTTTGTTGCTTTTTATTTGCTCCTTTCCTGGTGTTTCCAAGCTTCTTTTATCAAGGCTTCGCTCAGAATAATACAGTACATATGCCATACATATAGAAACACACTACGAACGCCCATCGATACGTGACATGAATGTATAATAAATGGTACTAAAATGACAAAAAAAAAAAAAAAAAGCATAAAGGGCAAAGTACTTGCAATGTTATAGAAGGGCTGACATTGTCTTCAAATGACAGGCTATTATGAGAGTTTCCCTACTATTTTGGAGGGGGTGGAGGTGGAATACTGGATGGAAGAGAAGGTTGGGCAGATGATTCTTCAGAATCTGAATCTGAAGGAGATTCTGAGCCACTTCCATCTTCACCATCTGCTAATGTCAAATTATTCATATTTTGAACGACATCTCCATCAATGACGTCGGCATCCTTGGAAACCATGGCGGCATATTGAGCCTGCTCCAAAATGTCCCTCAATTCTTCGTGTTCCGGATCCTCGCCTCTTACCAAATCCACAGGTTTTTCTCCATGCTTATTCTTTATTCTCGGGTCAGCCCCAACATCAGTTAGAACTTCTGCCAAAAACTTTCCGTACTCGGGGTCATCATGACTGTATCTGACAGCAATGTGTAAAGGGGTGTCACCATCCAATCTATTCTGCGGATCCACTTCAACTCCTTCCTGGTCCAATATTAGGTCCAAAGCCAGGTAGTTCCCATACTTTGTTGCCAAATGTAGCGACGAATTCCCCAATGGGTCCTTGGCAGTGTTAATCAACTCTGCTATCTTTTCTGGGTCCCCTATCTCCTCAAAAATTGTGGCCAACAAGTCATCGTTATTACGACGACTGGCGTCAAGTAACTGTTCTTTATAGCTGGCACCATCGCCATTATCTAAGTCAGACATATTTGAAGGGGGGTAGCACTGTAGTGGAGTTCTGGTGGTATATAAATCACACCAGGAGTTCCACCTGTGCCTCAATTTTGTTTCAGCTTTTAGGTGTACATCCCGTTCTACGCGCACCGCTGCGTTGGTTGCACAAACCAAAAAAAATACCAGTTTATACAACTGACAGTGGTTTTATCTCATCTCTATTAATCCTCGTTCATTGTGCTCGTTTCACAATGTCAAACAGTCGTGAAGAGCAGAACAAGAAACCAACAGCAAAAAGGTCCCCATCTATTCTAGTGACTGATGTTAGAAGTCAAGCATCAAGACGGTCTTCTGCTCCATTTGCAGGGGCTGCTCAAAATAGCAGATTCTCTAAGAAACAACAACGTTCACGGTCTTCCCAAGAACAAATAAAAGCAGCACATAATTCAAAGTTCAGCAATATTTCTGTTTCCAACATCTTGTCAAATGCCAGTGAAATTCCTTCTGCATTACGGAGATCGTATCCGAACCAACTCGATGGTTCTTTACCTCTATTCAATAGCCAGATAACCTCATCTGATAGAAGAAGCCCTTCACGATCTGGCTTATCAAATAGAAGATCGCTTAAGACCCCTCAGGATAGAGCATTCCTTCCCCAGCTAATTCAGTCATTACCACCTAGAACTTCAAAGACATCGCAAAAATTGGTTTATATTCCAGAAGATGATGATGATAATTCAGATGATGAGACGGCTCCAGGAAGACCACAACTTGTTCCAGAGTCCCCCGTAAGTACAGAAGACAAGAATATGTTTATGGCCCCTCCTTTCAACAAACGAGGTAAACCAGTGTCAGCCAAACTTCAACAGCAAAGACAGCGACAACCACCGAAGTTTCAAAGCAAAAGAACTTTAAAGGAAGCCAAGGCTGAAATAAAGAATTTCACACGTACAAAGGAAGATTTATCCAGGGTTACCGCTTATTTGGTATCAGATAGCCTCAATCTTGAGAAAGCATCTGCGTTTCTTAAAAAAACTCATAAAGTCTCCCCTAGGTTGTATGATGAAGTGTTATACATTCCTTATCAACTACCATTACTAGATGGTACCAATGGTTATAGAGTTCGGTCAAATATTTATACTAAAAATGCCGTTGGAAGGGCAAGTGTTGAAGATTATTTGGACAAATCTGAGCAGCGAGATTATCATTTCGAATATTTTTCAGGTCAGGAGAATGAGGAATTGATGAAAAATGAAACGGAAATTCTGAATCAATATTCAGAGGAGTCTTCTAAAGACAGAGAAATTTCAAGCTCAGATAACAACAGTAACAATTACGCCAGTGATTTTAAAAATAATGATGAGGATAGTTTTGATCCTTATGAACCTCAGTATTTTAATTATAAAGAACCTTCTAGTCTTTCAAATGAAATGGCATCTTCTATTCTTCAAGCAGCGCATGGAGAAGTATTTTTGTTCAATTATGGGGTGATTGTATTTTGGAACTTTACGAAATATCAAGAGGAAAATATATTAGCAGATTTATCTTTTTCAAGATATTCTGATGAAGACGAAGACGATATTTTAATCAACGAAATCCATGAGCAGGATATTGAAACTGAGGAGTTCCATTTTGAATATGATAAGACCACCAATGTACCGAGAATCTACAATGACATGATTACATTGAAAACTGAAGATCATCTAATCAAAATGACAATATCTCACGCAATTGCACAATCTACCAAACTATGTCGGTTTGAATCTAGGATGTCTGAGGTTTTATACTCAGTGTCTAAGTTCCCAAAGATTTTGGCACTAACTGGACAATTGGGTATAAGTCGTGAACAGTTATTGAAAAAATCTGGTAAATTATTTAAGCTTAGAGTGGATGTTAATTTATCTTCAAACGTTTTGGATATCCCTGAATTTTTCTGGTCATTTGAACCTAGTTTGAACCCGTTGTACGTTGCCGCTAGAGACTACTTGGAGATTGAAGAAAGGGTGGAAGTCATCAACGATCGTTGTAAAGTATTTCTAGAGTTTATTGATGTAATTTCTGAAAGTATTGCTGAAAACAATATGAATAAAATAACTTGGGTTATTATTGTGATTATCATTATGAGCTTGACGGTTTCTATCCTTGAAATCTTTGTCCGTTATCAAATTTTGACTAGATCATCGAAAAAATAATCGTTTGTTGTCACGTCTGCACGTTATATTATAGTTTTATTCTTGGTATCATTATTATTTATTTATTTTAGGGGGGAATATTAGTGAAAAATATATTATATTAGCACATTTTTGTGTAGTATTATTTTGGGTGTAACTGTTTGTACCACCAGCGTGGATCACATAATTCCATTGACGGCCCCGGTTTTCTGCTGCAACAAAAAAAAAATAGTGATGAAATGTATCAAAGGCGAAAGGTGGAAGTGATAAAGCATTTGATCATTATATACCAGCTTTTATTACATTCTTCGAAAAAGCATATTACACAAAACACTCAATATTCTTTTCATTCCATTCATAATATAATCAAAAATGAGAAGCTCAGTTCAACAATTAGCCAAGCATGTTCCAATGATCAAGTTTCCAAACAGAAGTATACCGGGTATGTTTTCTTAATATTATCATGATCATTGAATGGTGTTCTTAGCTTGCTTATATGCGGTATCTTCAGCCTTTATTTTACACAAGCTGATCACATCATTCACTCATCTAGTAGACATGTGTATGCCTGCAGAATTGAAGGAACATACGGAATCATTCAAATACTAATACCTTTAAACAGTCAAGATCGATCTTACTTCAAAGCCACATTTCTTTTCTAATGGCGTTATGCCAGCTTCTCTTTCTGCTGCTCCAAAAGTCTCTCTTCCTGAAAGTAAGGCCAATATTGATTTAAGATCAGAGTTACCTTTGAGATTCAGATATAGACCAATAGAAGATATTGAAATTGAGGATATCAATTTCGGTGGTGCTGAAGTTTTGATGAAATAAGTACATTATTCGTTCTATTTGTTTATTATATATATATATACACCACATATTGATGTCTTGATTACCTGTCAAATGAAGTAGCGTTGTAAATGTAACAATACTAACGCCGCCTATACTAAGACTATTAGAATTTTTCTATTCCTTCGATTTACGAATATCTCAGAGTATTGATTTCAAATTATGGGTTGTCTTGATTTCCTTTTCTTTTTCTTTTTCTTTTTCTTTTTTATTTAATTTTTTTTTTTTTTTGTTTCCTCATTTCTGCTTTATATCTTTGATATGTGTTTTCCATACTACAATAAGCTCCTATTGGGAACGCTGTGCGCATAATATTTACATCCGGGCTCAATTCCAGCAGCCTCGAATTTTTGCCACTATTGAAAATATCAATAAAATAAATATAACGACAGCATCAGCCAAAAACTATTGATCTGGATTATTATTATTCTTCTTCTTCGTCTTCTTCTTCTTTTCTCATTACTTAACGTCGATTTTTTGTCATAAATCAGTTCCACTTTTCATTGATTTTTTTTGGCTTGTTTTTTTTTTCATTTTCTTTTGATAAATTACTCCCAAGTCACAGAAAATAGCATCAGGAATCATAACATCTCACAACATAAAATAGCAGAACCAAGTTATTAAAATCAATTATCATGGAACACGATCCTTTTAAATGGGGCAGACCTGATAACGCCACTTACGGTGACTATGACTACAGAATCTCTAATGCTAAAAATACTGAATTTCCATCGATGCATACCCAACAACCAATTGTCACTGGTACTTCTGTCATTGCCATAAAGTATAAGAACGGTATTGTAATGGCTGCTGATAATTTGGGTTCATACGGCTCATTGGCTAGGTTCAGTAACATTGAAAGATTGATACCAGTCGGCAAAGATACTGTGGTTGGTATCAGTGGTGATATTTCCGATTTACAATATATTGAAAGAGCTTTGGATGAGTTGGAAGTGGAGAACGATTATGATGGTGCCAGCCACCCATTCAAGGCTAATCACATACATGAATACTTGAACAAATTATTATATCAAAGAAGATCTAAATTGAATCCTTTATGGAATGCCGTGGTAGTGGCTGGTATCAACAGTGATAATGAACCATTCTTGGCACATAATGACTTATTGGGTGTTCAATTCTCCTCACCAACCTTGGCCACCGGTTTTGGTGCCCATTTAGCCATTCCTTTGTTGAGAAAGGTTGCTGATAAAGAGGAAGACGTTGCCCATGTTACCAAAGAACAAGCTAGAGAAGCTATATTACAATCCATGAAAGTTTTATTCTATAGAGACGCAAGATCTCTGAATAGATTCAGTTTAGTTACTATTGATAAAGACACTGGGATAAGCTTCGAAAAGGATTTGAAGGTTGAAAATATGAGTTGGAAATATGCTGAAACTATCAAAGGGTATGGTAACCTTCAAAAATTCTAGGGAGATCCATCATATCACTTTTTTTTTTTATCTTTTTTAGTTTGAAGCGTCGTCTAGCGAAGCATATGTTTTATTGATCTTATTTTTTATCATGTTACTCTTTCTTTCATCATTATTTAATAAACGCGAATAAATTATTGTACACCTCATGGATTCTGTATTCTAATCTGAATAGCTTTGCGACTTGAGCAACACATCACATTATTATCCCTGAGCAAAGTGGTTCAGATTCGTCACAAGAATGGGAGTAACAAAAATAATATTGATCATATTCCATCCACATACTTTTGAGACCACAAATTTGAAAAAAATAATGCGACCATGTGTTCGCAAGCCGTGATTGACATGGACAGGAATTGAACCTGCAACCCTTCGATTACACGAATAAGCTGTAAGAATATTCCAAAGCTGGAGTCGAAAGCTCTACCATTGAGCCACCACATCACGATATTCTTCTATTAATTCATATCAATAAATATAGATGGTTTTCAGCTTGAATAAAAAAAAAAAAAATAAATAAAACTGATTTTATCATGAGAACCACTAGAAATAGTAATAAAGCTACTCCAAACTACTCCACCGACCCTACTAATGATCCCCCAATCATTGAAACCCCGGTTTCTTTGGGCTCTTCATTGGATGTTGGCGCAACATCTGAAACCCCGATCCCGATAGCAAACATAAACAAACAAGCTAAAGATCAAGATTCCGATGAAGAAATTACTGATGCAGCCGACAATACTATTAATAGTACTGTTGAAACCTTTTTAACTGCTTCAGAAGATCCTGAAGCGGACCAAAACATGGATTCCAACGCCATTTCTACCCCAACTACCTCTCCAGCAATTAATGTTTCTTCAGTTGATTGCGATCGCAATTCTCATGCAGCATGTGACACTGACATTGACATGCACAATCCTGTTATTCCAACCCAAGCCGTTATTTCTACTGATTTTATTAATGAAAACTCCGAAAACCAAAAAAAAATCGAAAATTCTCAAAACCCAAAAAAAAATTCTGTTTCTGTTCCTTCTGTTTCTGTTCCTTCTGTTCCTGTTCCCTCTGTCTCACCTTCTACTGTCGCCTCTCCAACTACGGCCTCCAATCCGGTGGCTCCAGCTGTCAATGTGACAAGACCAATCCAAACCTATGCTCAAGCCACCGCTGGAGACAAGCGCACACCTCGAGCCACTACAAACACCAATGATCCATCCTTCCAAAACGTGTTGATGAAATTTGAAAGAACTTTCAAATGGGCAAGTCACATCAAAATCCTTGACTTTAAGCACCGCGACGTATTGGAATATGCCATAAGCGAGAAACGCAAATCAGGAAAATTGTTCTCCACCTCCAATCCTGCTATTATTAAATCCAAAGAAAAACGCGAGGAACTCGTCAAGATCATGGAAATTGAAGATTTCTTCCAAAACTACACCAGTTTTAATATGACAAACGAATTCAACAGATTAAGAAACTCTAGAATCAGCTTGGAGAACTACTTGGAATTTATCATGAGCCAACAGCATCTTAAGGATATCTTAATCTACTTTAAGATCCCAAAAGATATCTTTACAGAGTTTCCTCTTGAAAAACACTTGGAATCCATCAAAAACGGACTCACTAAGTTATCCAAAGAACTTGATACTATTACACAGTCATCCAACGAACCAGATAAGGATTTGATCATAATCAGGGAAAACTTAAAAGGGGCCCTCAACCACTTGGTTATTTTTAATAAGAAGATCTGCCTTAACTCAAACTTCATCCCAAACCCTCAGGATACAGGCTCTGATATCTTCAAGAAGGACAGAAATCTTTTAATTGAATATCTTAACATCCACCTTAAAGTTACAGTTGGAAATTATACCTACACGCCAGGGTCTTTGTTAAATACAATGAATAAGGAATCCCATTTAATTGAGATTGAAATGAATTCCGAATTTACTGAATTTAACCGGGAAAAACTTCTTGACCATGTCTTCAATGAATCCGGAATTGATCCATCATCCTTCTTTCCAATCAACACCGTTCACTTTACGGAAGAAGCTAGCAAAGCTGCCAGTATTGTCACTTATGGTTATATTGAAATTGACTCAGGAAAATCCCTTCCACTCTTCAATGACAAAAATTTCCGCTCCAGAGTCATCACGAAATGCGTCCACTGCACTGCATGTGGTTCCCGTGAACACACTCGTTTTGACTGCAAGACGTCATCTTGTGCCATTTGCAAGAAATTATCCCATAGGGCAAAAGATTGTTATTTCAAAAAGCAACAAAGAGCACCTATTGTGAATCCGGAAGATCCAGAAAAACACTCTCCGAAACAAAATTCTGGAAAAGCAGTCAAACCAAACCACAAATCAAACTATGGTTTTCAGACTGTCGAAAAAAGAAAAATAAAACTGAATAAACCGGCTACTCCAGAATATTCTAAACCACATTCAAACCCTTTCGACTTATTGGCAAATGAAGAAGAAAATGTTGATGATTCAATTATTGATGAGGACGATACTTTGGAAAAGAACTACCCATCCAATGAGGAAGATGCTTTAGAGGAAGGCCTCTCTACTGATGCAGACCAATCCATGGATGAACTCGAAACCTCTACAACCCAACACACTGCTACTCTCAGACATCAAACCAAACCAATAGAATTATTGTCCAAGAAAGGTAAATCTAAGAAGCACGCCAAGTTCGCGGCCATTAGCGCCATCAAGCTGGCCCATATTAGCAAGGTCTCCAAAAAGATCCTCGCCTCACCTTCATCCCACCCTCAGGTCCGTGTTTCTCGCAGACATCAAGAAGTAAACTCACAACATCATACTACTTCTTCTGCTGCCAACATTCCTCCTTCACCTACCCCTGCCCGTGATACTGTCACTTCCTCGGCTCTGGCCACTTCTTCTATCCCTGCTTCTGCCCCTGCTTCTGCCCCTGCTTCTGCCCCTGCTTCTGCCCCTGATTCTGTCCCTGCTTCTGTCCCTACCTCTGTTCCTACCCCTATTACTACCTCACCTCATTCTACCTCACCTCATTCAGCTTCCCCCTTCTCAAAACATCCAACTATCCTGGAAAACTTAGACAAAATGCCCACGCCACTGGAATCATTTACTCCCCGGCCAATGAAGCTTCTGTCAAAAGAACAATCTTCCCCCCTGGAGGATAACAACAACGAAATAAATTCACCTCAATCAGATGGCTCAAATGTCACAAAAAACGCCTCTCATACACAAAATGAGTAAACTATCGATCATTAGTCAAAACATCCAAAGATTGAGATTGGATGACTCCAAAATTCTCCATCTATCAAACCAATATAACATTTCAATGTTTCAAGAACTTAATCTTGGCGAGGACTTCCTCTTCCAACACCAAAACAAAAAAATTTATAAAAATACTCCATCATCCCGCACAGCTATTATAATTGAGGACCACATAAAGGTCGTTGATCATTCATTGCTAACAATTGCAGTACTGAGCCAGCTCCAGGTTTATATCACAGATGCCATTATTGAACAAGATGCCAATAACTGGCTTTGGCTAATCAATATCTACAACCCATCTGCTGATTACCAAAAACAAATCCTCCTTCAAAATCAACTCTCCATCACCCTCCAAACCCAGCTTACCGCTCTCAGAGCGAGAAGCAACAATAAGACCATCAACATTATTCTCGGAGGTGACTTTAATAATTTTGTCAATTCAAGAGACTCTGCTAACTTCCGTTCTCGCGAACAAAGATCGTCCGAGTCGCTTAAAAAGCTAATCAAAACTTTCAAGCTAGCAGATATCTATGAACATCCAAAATTGCACCAGATTAAAAAGAATTGGACTAACCAATCCACCACGGAAGAAAGTAGTCGCAGAATAGATCGTTTTTATATCAGTCAGTCCATGATCTCCGACAAAAACAGATTTCATATTCAAATGTCCCAACAAAACTATCTAAAGTCTTCTTCAACTCACGATTCTATTATTCTTGAAATCAACACTCAACCTCATGCAATGACTTACATCCCCCAACATAATATTATTAAAAATCATATTATTCAATGGCTTCTGAAGATCAAGTTTCCACCCACTGTGAACTCTACTTCAGACCTCATTTCCGAGATTCGCTTGAAGCTGAATTTTTTGACGATGGTACACAAGAAAATAACAGAAAATACTGATGAACCAAATTATTATGACCACATAAGAACTAGGTTCCACCAACACTCCAGACCGCGCCCAATCAAAGCCCTCAAAGCTTCAGATGGCGCTTTATTGACATCACAGCAAGACATGCTTCTAGAAGTAACCAATTACTATCAAAAACTCTACGATGGATCTCGTGGTTCAAAGAGCTCGGAAAATATAGAAAGGTTCATCAACGCCTCCTTGGGAGATCAGATACCACTAACCAACACTGAATCCAACAACTTGAACAAACCAATCACCATGACAGAATTGGAATATGCAGTTACTGAATCCAATACTCAATCCGCCCCCGGGGTAGATGGTATACCATACGGCGTTTATAAGTCTCTCTTTCCTCAGATAAAACACATACTTCTAAAAGAATTTAACCAAATTCTTTCTTCAGGGGAAATTCCATTCAACTATCGAACCATAAAATTCACTCTCATACCAAAACCAAACAAAGATGTTCAAAAAGTGGAGAATTACAGGCCCATAGCATTAATCAACACAAATTTGAAACTCTTTTCCAGCATCATCAACGCCCGTTTGCTCCCGTTCTTGCAAAAAATTATCGGCCCAAATCAAGTTGGTTTCATACCTGAAAGATCCTCCTTCTCTAATATAACAATTTTCGGTGACTTGCTTTCCAGTTTAATATCCCCACAAGACAAGCCACATGTCAATCATTCTACTAACCACCGAATCATGCTTGCTGACTTTGAAAAGGTTTTTGACCAGATTTCCCATCTATACCTTAAAATATTACTTCGAAAACTCAATTTTGGAAAAATGACGGAAACTATTCACGCTATCCTTACCAAAGCCCTCGGAACCATTTGCCTAAATAACATTACAGGCCCTTCTTTCCCATTAAGAAACGGAACCCTTCAGGGCAACCCACTTTCACCAACAATTTTCGCGTTAGCCCTTGAACCTTTTCTAAGAGCCATCCAAAGATTAAATAAAGGATTCAGTTACAACCATAAGATCCAACCAAACATCATCCCCAGAGTCAAATACCTTGCCTATGCAGATGATGTTACCTTATTCTTGAGAGATCATAATGACTTCAAAAACACTATGAAGATAATTCAGGCGTTCGAACAAGTCAGTGGTTCTAAATTAAACAAAAGCAAATCCAGATTAATTGTTCCATGCGATCAAATACCATTCCAGTCCGACTTCCAAATAGATATTGCTGACAATAATTATGAAACCCAATATCTAGGCGTTAAAATTGGGAACTCGAGTCAAACCTGGCCTAATACTCTCCAAAAAGACATCAGCACCAAATATTACATGACCAACATGAGTTCACTACCAATATCAAGTCAAATAGTCGGATATAACACATATATCTTGTCTAAGCTATATTACCACGAGATTCATGCACCTATGCTTCCAGACCAAATAGATTTGCTAGAACAATCCATCAAAAACCAGGTGAACAAAAAACTGAAAATCTCCATGGACACTTTAAAAACAAGCCCATTGAAAGGAGGATATGGCATGGTGGATATCAAAAGCCAATTGAGCTACCGCAAGGCAAAAATCTTTCAACAACTCTTTCTCCAATCTTTAAACCCATATTGCCAGTTACTCCGATTCAAGCTCCAACTAGCAATAAACATGATCATCAAACAAAATCTATCCGAGGAAGAGCAGTCGATACAAGGATATATAAAAACCCAATACTGGTGGCGGTTAATATTGGGTGACCAGATCAATATCAAGAATAAGAGAGAAAGCAGGTCCATACTCAACCAGGTTATAAATCTTCCAATGTTTACCACAGCGGAAAAATGTGCTTTTGTAGCTTGGTATAAATTATTGTCCAAACCAATATCTCAACAACAAACATTGAGCCCAATGAATATCAAACACTCAGACCTTGCCAAGTCCATTCAAGACGGTATACCAACTATCTATCAAATGGAGATCCCAAAACTGGTCATGGAGTTTGAACACAAACAGGGAAGCAAGAAAAAAAGAGCCAGAATTGATAAACATAAATTATCCACCACTTTAACCAATATCCAAGAAGTCACCCAAACGAAACAAAACTCTTTCTGGAAGAGACTCCACAAATACCAACATAATAGCCCTGGTTACTTTGAAAACATACACATATTCCACTTAGGTGCTGAACAATTTTTTTACCAACATAGAAAATGTCACTATTGCGGGCTCGAAACCGTCTCTCAAGACCAACAACATGAATCACCAGAACTCCAAGTCAAGATCAAAATGACCCATTTCCTAATTCAATGCCCATTATCAACCGAGTTATGGTCAAGATTGAAAATCCCAATTCCATTAGCATGGAATAACTTAATCGCTCCCAATCATTCAGAATCAACAATCAAAAAGATCGACCGCTATCTATGCTATCAACGCAAACTCTCACGCCTAAGATATCATAACCAAATTGATTGGAACACATCAATTAACAACTTGATTTATATCATTACTACTGGGAGCTGAATAGTCGATCAAAACAAAAAAGAAAAAAAAAAAAAAATTAACAAAAACAATAACAAAAAGACATTTTATTTAAATACTAATAATTATCACTAAAGGGTTTTTCACCATATGATATGGTTTTCCCTAACATATATAATGAGCATTAGCTTATAAGATTTTACATAGATATATATAATTATATATTTATTAATAAATCGAACTTTGAAGGAAAAAAAAAAATTGAAATTTTTAAACTAGATTCCCAGGAAAGACAATCAACATCATGTTAGCTGGTGATTTTAATAATTTTATTGATCGTTCGGACTCCCTAAATTATAGAAGCCGTGAAGACTCAGTTGCTGAATCCTTAACTAATCTCATTACTTTGTTGAACTTGAAGGACTCATTCAATTCAATCAAACATAACATCAAGAAAACATTCACTAATAAAGCATCAGAATTAGGGAAAAGCCGGAGATTGGATAGGTTCTATATCACTGGGAGCTTCTTAAAAACAAAGAAAACAAATGGAATATGACACAAACAAATCATTTTGGGAAAAGATCCACACATGATTCAGTTACAGTGGAGTTGACTTTAACTTCATCCAAGGCTTACTATAATATGAAGAGATATAGATTAACCGATAGAATCATTAATGTTCTCAGGCACCAATCTATAAATGAAGATATCCAAGGAACCGATGAATTAATAATTGATATTAAATGCAAAGCAGAAAAACTCAAACACATGTTGAAAAAAGTGAAAGTGCCTGAACTTGATAAAGTGACGGAATATTATCAACATATTAACCAAGTTTTCCACCAATATCAAGAACAACGCCCAATAAAACAGCTAAAAGATGTAGAAGGGACACTAGTTCAATCTCATGAAGAGATAATGAAAATAGCAACTGAATATTATATGGACTTGTTTGATGGAACCAGAGGAACAAAGGACACAAAAAAAATACATAAATATCTTCAGGACGTGATTCCAACCCAAGGAATATCTCCTGAAGAGAAGAGAAAAATGGATTCCTCCATAACAATGGAAGAACTCAAACTGGCAATTGATTCGGCAAATTTGA